AAAAAGCGATCGGCTCCCGGAAACCAGCCTGAGTTAGTCCCGCCGCCGCCCTGAGCTGCTCCCTGAGCATCCCTGAGCATCCCTGAGCGACCCTGAGCGATCCCGGAGCGCTCCCCGAGCACCCTGATCGCTCACCTCTGATGCTCCGACTGGCCGGCGTCACTCTTCCTTCTTTGTTTCACATCCTCCGATGATAAGCGCTTTGCTGCCTACGGTCGCTCGTAGGAGCTTGAGGGAAGACATGACTTGATCTCACGCTGTATCTATTCTCCAGCGCTTGCTTACTCGAGCTCATCGCCTAACGACCATGGTCCGTCATTCTGTAGGAGAAATGAGTTTTCCCTGAACTCGTCCTTCGTTGTTTCTTCTTTCTTTCACAGTGGCAATGCAAGCTTCATTTGACCGAATTCTAAAAGTCGAATTTTCGTCGTTGTCTCTGCGTCTATGCTCTGGATTAGTTCACCAAAGGATTGTCAACCATCACTATAGTCTGGCACAAACCCCATGAGCTATAGGCCGTATTTACCCCACGTGAAGAAGCTGGGAAGATGTCAATAACCTACCAAATATGATTTACTGTCTAATAGCTGATCACACATCCATTTTAGACATGAGTTCCTAGTAGCACCTCCTTTTGCTGGTATATCCTGGGCAAGAGCGGCCCTTCAATTGGCTACGGAAACTTGCAGTGGAGTAGGGTCGGGTATCAGCCGGTTTATTTTCAATTTCAGCTCTAGCCATTTGCAGTTTGAGCAGAAGTTGATTTTTGATCCTATCTCTTCCCCGATATTGGGACCTCGATAAGCACGATGGTACAAACAAAGTATAAATAGCCACGACTGTCCCCCATTCACGAATCTCTGGAATACATCTTTCATTCGGAATTTCCATTCTCGAGTTCCTGGTTCGACAGTTCCCTGATTAATTTGCGCCACCCTATCGTCATTATGGTGACGCTAAATCATCAAAGATTTTGACAACCGGCCACGGAAATGTCACGAGAATGCTCGGATAGTGGTCCTGAAATCGGCACTTCCATGATACCGGAACAATTCATTACTGTCGGAGAACGATGCCATGCAAATTGTTACATGCTCTGGAAACACAGGCCACATTATGGGGATGGAACAGAGGACTTCGGTACGTATCAATCTTTAGACATCCCAATTTCCATTTCAGGTAATCTAACATAATCACGTTGGTGTCACAAAATGGCCAATCTGCCCAGGAAATTTCACCAGAAGCATCTGCTAGCGACGTATCGACCACTGATAATTACCCCGATTACCCTGAGGAGGTCGCACTCTGCCCTTGCTCTCGAGTTAGCAGCAGCTCTTCCGTGACTGGTCTAGACGGGCCTGGGACATCAAGGATCTTTGACATATTTCACGATGATCCAACCGAACAAGGAAGCGAGCACTTGCATACGCAGCCTAGTGTAAGTGGAAAGAAGAGGACCCTTGAGGGACCTCGTTCTCCTCAGAAACGACTCCAGACCCGCTATTCTACCACCGCAGATACGAAAATGTCGTCGACGAGAAGAAGAGGCAATCCAAAAGATGAACGCCCATCTCAGGATGAAGAAGGCCATTCATATAAGCCCACCAGCATTAGGGACTCGATACGATACATGAGACACTTCTACAGTTTGGCCAGCGCCGAAGCTCAATTCTCAGATGATTTGGTCGACGGAGGTACTTGCAAGCAAAATCTTGCCGTGATTCAGAACACAATCAAATGGTCTTCAACACACATACGGCATTATTGCAACGAGCAATATGGCAACTGATGAGACTGATAAAGAATTTCCACTACAAAAAGACGGCTATTTGCGGCAAACAAAAATTGGGAGCCCGAGGAAGAACATCTGTTGTTAGACCAAAGGGATACCAAAAAGCTCGGATGGAGGTCTATCTTTCGCCACTTTCCTAGACGAAGTCCCGCGGCAGTCAAACAGCGCCATTCCTTCATTCGTTCAAAAAAGAGCGATATCCTCTCAAGCAAATAGAACTATCCGGACAGCTCTCGCCGGCCTGTTAAATTCTCATCAAACACCCGAAGAAGTCACAGGCTGAGTCGACGCTCTGAACTTAGGGAGGAAGGCAAAGTTGATTACCAGCCAAGATACCTCACTCGCTCAAGGAAAGGTTCTCCAAATGCAAACATGCCAAACCCAGCTTCCATCGATCCACGGCTTCGCGATCTTGGCAAAAACTAAGGCTCAGGTTTTCATATGAGCACACACCGACCACGAGAGGCATTTTCTGCTAAGAGACTTCTTTCTCATAATTTCCTATCAGAGAAGTGGAGATATCATATTGGGATATGTTTAATTCAAAATCTGACCGCGGGCCCCATACGCAAAAATAGGAGAAACCGATGACTTGATAACCCATTATCAATTACTTTTCACAAGCGTAGGGAAATGAATTCTTAACATATTTGTAGTCTGCATTTTTTCTTTCAGATATATCAAGACAAAAAAAGAAAGCACGCGCAGATCCGAAGCGGAAGAATTGTGAAACCTCGAATCGTGCGATGTAGAATTTGACCAATGCTGGGTCGTTAGCTCCTGGGAGGGACTTACATGAGATATCAGGAATTTGGCTACTATCCGATTCCTGGGAGTATAATACTAGTTCCTAAGGTCAATGCTGCTCCTAGGCAGGCCAGTGTCGCTCCTGGGGCCGAGGAAGTTGCTCCCAGATTACTGTGTCACGGATCTACATGAAGCATACACGATCAGCGGAGGATATACGGAGTGACGGCCTGGGCTTATCAGTCCTTATCGGGTGCGGCCTGACCCACATGTGGATGTCGTGGCGACATACTGAGTATGTTCTCAGAACTGGCCAAAGCTGGATGTAACCGTAAGAGAAACGAATCGGAACGATATCCTGATGGCCCACTGTCCGTGGGGCAAAAGCTCGATGGGGAAAGGTGCGACCGGGAGGTCCCCAGTCTCGCCTTGGCTGCAGCTGAGCCTGCAGACGCTTGAGAGGCCTGAAACAAAAAAAATAATCTTGAAAAACAACTATTCGACCCGGAAAACCCTGGTGATCGATAAAGGACCTGCTACCATATGTTACTGAATGGATCAGTTCCGTGGTTGAAGATGATGTTATTCTCTTGGCTGGCGAATCGGGATAACCCTGGATCGCTTAGGAACTATGCTTATGTAACACTTAACTAGCCTCTTGTTTCCCAACTCCTGCCTCATTCCTCAACCTCCAACTCTAAATTCAAATCCAACAACTAAGTAGCACCCTAGGCATGTTTTGTAGACATGCAGTACCACCAGCAACAAAGCCCCAATCCAAGTAGAAGAGACGCTCCCCCTCCTAGTGTCGCGGCCGCCTCAACCGGCAACGTCCCATCTAGATAGCACCACAAGACACTTAGTATATCGAACCAATCCACAATCATCCCCGACATTAAGGCCCTCTGTGTGTTGTTCCAGCCAAGCTGCGCTTGCGACTGGTCCTTGCCCGAAAGTCCAGATCGCTCGGTCGGATTTGTTGTCTTGCTCATGAGGGCTGTTGAATCTCGAGAACCGCAGGTATAAAGTAGAGCTCCTAGGACAAAGTCCCGAGTCCCGGCCATTTTACAACCGATCGCGGCTTCTGGGCTAAACGGCATGATAAAAAGAGAAGCAAGCTGCCTGGGAATGACCATAAACCCAAGGCCCACAGCCATGCGTGAGATCGAGAGTGTCTGCGTCATATTCAGAGTTCTGTAGAAGGTGTTTGACGGGTAGTAAAGCGATTCCAATTTCAGTTTCCTGTTGCTGGTTGGTGGGAAGCTTGATATACATTACCAACATAACGTTATGTTAACTATCTACATAACGTTATGCTGCACCCTAGGACATGAACCAGTCAGCCCTCGCTCGAGTTACTCGGCCCCTGATTGGCTGGCTGACCAGCTTGGTCCGCCGTGCGTGATCTCGTTCCCGTATTTATTATCCATAGTTAGCGCCATATCCGCCGCTCTCTATCGCATCTGATATTATAATTGCTTCTTGTCATGGCCCGGGTCGGAATTAGTGGTAGCGGCGCCCTTTAGCACGACGCGTCGGTGATCGTGTCTGTGATCGCGTTCGCGATTCTCATCATGTGTCGCAGTTGCAGCCCCAGACAAATCCACTTATTTACTTACTCACTATGCTAACCTCTCTGTCCGCGCGAGGGAACTCAATGTAGTACTTCTGGCTTTGGATGGATTTTTGATGAGAGCGATAATTATGATATTTTGAGTTACATTTTATTGAGGTCGCTTCCGGAATGGCCATTCCTACGCTCAGTGAGCGAATCAAAACGTTCAAAACAGGATCGATGAGTGGATCACACAGCTCAGTGAGAAGATCAGTGAGCAAATCAGTGAGCTTACATAATGCTCACTGAATTGCTCAGGCTGCTCAGGGGCGTGCTCGGCTCTACTCAGTGAGCAAAAGCGGCGAGGGACTGAGCACGAACACGGAACAGGAAGGCCAAGAAATGGCATAGGAAATCCGGTACATAGTGAAGAGGGGAACGCTCGATGGCAGCACGCGCTGAGACGTGCGGGTCGATTCAGCAGAAAACCACCACAAAACACACGCGTAGCTATCAGGAAATAGCGAGAACCCCAAATGTAGGGGTCGGGTCGGGGAGGTGTAAGAAGGTGTATTTTAGAACTAGCTATCCGGCCACCGTATACTGCCGGCTATGTCACATAACATGGCTGGCACCCATGTAGTAGGGGGAGGGGGTCTCCCCGCTACAATAGGTACATTTGACTCTAGGAGGAATCGACTAGGTCCTCACCCGCCCCCACCGATATGCAACCCCGATCCTCAACTGTCGCAGGACAAACAGACATTACGTATTTGATTGCCCCTCACCAACCTGAGCGAACACTCGCGAAGCAACCACAACAACCTCACCGATACCACAACATTGAAACACTTGAATAGTACAATCAACTCGGAGCTATAACCACCTCCCAAAACCAACCTCAAAATGACATCCCCAACAACAATCCTCCTCCTCGGAACATGCGACACCAAACTCCCAGAACTCCTCTACACAAAATCCGCCATAACATCATCACAAACCTTTGGAACCATCAAAGTCCTAATGATGGACATCGGCCACGGCCCATCCACCTCCACCGAAGTCGACATAAAACAATCCGACCTCCTCTCCAGCGCCGCTGAACCACAAGCACAAATGTCCACCCTAGACCGCGACACTTACATCCAAACCCTCTCAACGCACGCCGCAAGCTACATCTCGAACCTGCACCAACAAGGACTCATCCACGGAATCCTCGGCATAGGCGGCTCCTGCGGTACATCCCTCGCAACAACCGCCATGCGCGAGGGTTTACCAGTCGGCTTCCCAAAACTAATGGTCTCAACAATGGCATCCGGCGACGTATCTCCGTACATCGGCGAAACAGACATCGGGATGATGTACAGCGTCGTCGATATCGCGGGTCGGAACAGGGTTTTGGAGATGGTGCTTAGGAATGCGGGGGGTGCGATTGCCGGTATGGCAACCTCCTACCATGCCCAGCTCTCTGAATTTCCGGAAGGAAAGACTGGTGTCCGAATTGGAATCTCCATGTTCGGCGTTACGACGCCAGCTGTCACGGTTGCCCGTGAACATCTTGAGAGTATCTTGCCAGGATGTGAAGTGTACGTATTCCACGCGACGGGGTCCGGGGGACGCGCGATGGAAAGGCTTATTGGCGAGAAACAACTTGATGCTGTTCTTGATCTTACGACAACGGAAATGGCAGATGAGGTTGTGGGCGGGGTACTTAGTGCCGGTCCTGAACGACTGACTGCCGCGACGAGGAGGGATATCCCGCGTGTTGTGAGTGTGGGCGCGTGCGATATGGTTAATTTTGGAAAGTTTGAGTCTATTCCGGAGCGGTTTGCCGGTGACACTCACACGAAGCGCAAGTTCCATCGGCATAATCCGACTGTTTCGCTGATGAGGACTACGGGGGAGGAATGTGCTGAGATTGCGAGGAGGATTGCGAGGAATATTTCTGGCAAAGCTACAGCCCAGTCTGGTTGTGGTAAGGTTACGAAGACGAGGGTGCTCTTGCCTACAGGTGGCGTGAGCATGATAGATGTGCCTGGCCAGCCGTTTTGGGATCCGGAGACCGATGAGGTGCTTTTTAAGACGTTGGAGAAGGAGTTGCAAGGGACGGGGATTGAGGTTGTGAGGGATGAGAGGGAGGTGAATGATTCCGGGTTTGCGGTGCGTGCCGCGGAGATGTTGAGAGATCTTATTGAAAGTTGTTCGAATTGAAGGCTGGTGAAGTAGGGGCCTTCCACTATGTAATGTCAGGGTGAGAGGAACAGGGTGAGAGGAATGTCATTTAAGGGGCGGAGTTGTGGGTTGCGAACCACCTGCCCGTGTGGGACTGGACCACATACTCGACTGAATTATCGATACAGTGGCAGTTACAAAGAATGAACGTTTACGAACTATGCCTTGCAGAAATATTGGTTCACAGATATTATTTCACTGTGCAGCCACATCTGACCGACGGTAGGGCCAGCACGAGACTAAGGTATCATTAAAAAATTCCCATCCGTACGCAGTGTTGAATGCAAGACCATCCCAGGTCGACCCACGCCAGTAAACAGAAAACACGCACCCCATGTGGAGACCACTTTTTATGCCGTTGAAGGACAACCACTTTTGAGTTCTAAGTTGATAGAGAACTCGAATGCCAATCGTAACATCGTCGAAATCATGTTGAAAGTCTATTCAAGGAGGAAAGAAAGAAACTCATGTCGGACGCAATTGGAGGAGATCTTCACCAAGACCTTCCATTGTTATAAGAGGTGTCAAGGGGGGTGGTTTGCTTAGTAGCGGTAGATCTCGCTCTTGTAGGGACCGGCAACCTCCAGGCCGAGGTACTCAGCCTGGACAGGGGTGAGCTGGGTCAGCTTGGCGTTGACGTGGTCCAAGTGGCAGCGAGCGACCTGCTCGTCCAGAGCCTTGGGCAGAACGTAGACGCCGACATCCTTCTTGCCGCCAGCACCGAACTCGATGTACTTCTTGCCGAAAGCGGCGTCCTCGGCCTTGAACAGAGCGATCTGGGCAAGGACCTGGTTGGAGAAGGAGCAGGACATGACGAAGGAAGAGTGACCGGTGGCACAGCCCAGGTTGACCAGACGACCCTCAGCCAGAAGGATGATGTGCTTGCCGTTCAGAAGGTAGCGGTCAACCTGGGGCTTAATGTTCTGAACGGACTGAGCGTTGGCCTTGAGCCAGGCAACGTCGATCTCAATGTCGAAGTGACCAATGTTGCAGACAATGGCGTCGTTGCGCATGGCCTCGAAGTGGCGGCCAACCAGGATGTCACGGCAGCCAGTGGTGGTGACGAAGATCTGACCGATCTTAGCGGCCTCCTCCATGGTGGTGACCTCGTAACCCTGGACGGCGGCCTGGAGGGCATTGATGGGGTCGACCTCAGTGACGAGGACGCGGGCACCCATAGAGTGCAGGGCCTGGGCGCAACCCTTACCGACATCACCGTAACCGGCAACGACACCGACCTTACCAGCGATCATGACATCGGTGGCACGCTTGATACCGTCGATGAGGGACTCACGGCAACCGTACAGGTTGTCGAACTTGGACTTGGTGACACAGTCGTTGACGTTGATGGCGGGGACCTTGAGCTTGCCCTCCTTCAGCATGCGGTACAGGTGGTGAACACCGGTGGTGGTCTCCTCAGAGACACCGAAGCAGTCCTCGAGCATCTCGGGGTGCTTGGAGTGGACGAGGGAGGTCAGGTCACCACCGTCGTCAAGGATGAGGTTGAGCTTCTTGTTGTCCTTGAAGGCAAACAGCTGCTGCTCAAGGCACCACTGGTACTCCTCCTCGGTCTCACCCTTCCAGGCGAAGCTATTGAAATGCATGTCAGATGTGGATCCTAGACAAACCAAAAAAAGAGGGGGTAAAATTTGGGGGCCGGCTTACACAGGGACACCGGCGGCAGCGATGGCGGCGGCAGCGTGGTCCTGGGTGGAGAAGATGTTGCAGGATGTCCAGGTAACCTCAGCACCGAGGGCAACGAGGGTCTCAATGAGGACAGCGGTCTGGATGGCTGGAGGGGGAGTGAGATCAGCTTTGGGATCATGCAAAGCTCGGAGTCCGAGGGAAACTTACTCATGTGCAGGCAACCGGCGATACGGGCACCAGCGAGGGGCTGGTCACCACCATACTTCTCACGGATGGCCATGAGACCGGGCATCTCGACCTCGGAGAGCTCGATCTCCCGGCGACCGAAGGCGGCCAGGGACTGATCGATCGTTAGCAATTGAAAGCGTAGAGGACATGAAGCGGGAAAGACGGATAAGGGTCACATACGATGTCAGCGACCTTGAACTTCTGAGCGGGGGCAGACATTATGTGTGAATGTATGAAAAACTGAAAAGGATGGTTAGAATTGAAGGCCCAGAAAGTCTTCGAGGGAGGAAACGAACCAAATAGGGGATGAAGAGGGGAAGAGAAAAGGAGGAGCTGAGCAGAAAGAGGGGCACCAAAAAGTCTCCTTCATCTTAGGTAAGGCGGGACCCGCGCTGCCCCACGTGAGCCCCACGTGATCATCGGGAGGCGTTGCTGCCGAGTGGGGCTGCGTAGTATGATGGTAATGTTTTGAACAGTTCTTTCAAACTGACAATTTGTCGTTGGAGTTGATTGATCTCTGTCTGGGATTGTTGATGGAGATCTTTTATATCTGCCTGTGCTTGTTCCAGTTCCTTGCGATATAGGGCTGACTCCAAACGGGTCACACTCGCCTAAATCGATACTTGTGTCAAATTGGACAAGTACTAGACGACGCCTGTGAATTTCAAGAAGGACCAGAAACCATTAACCACTTTCTATTTGATTGTAAACTACGGGAACCACACCGCGGCGAGATGAGAGCGACAATGGGAAATCGATATAGAGACACATCCTTCGTACTGGGTGGGAGGTCACCAAGCCAAGGACCAACCGGACAAGATCTTGAATCCAAAAACAACTGGACTCGCAATATGGAGGTTGTCAAATCTGTCATCCAATTCGCCATGGCAACCAACCGACTGAATCGAGAGACATAGAAGGCTTTGTGAGAGGGACTAACTACATGTACATAGAAGACTCAGCAAAACTGGCACGAAGGCTACATGCAGCTGAGGCTGCGCACAGCCCGAGGATTAATAATACTAATAATAATAATAATAACCAACCAATAGTATGATGGGGAGACTGATTGCATTATCTTGACTAATTTCTTGGGAAAGTACCTTGGTGGATAGCTGCCCTGGAGACCCTGGGAAGAATGACCGACGCTGGAAACATCACTCTTTGTTTTTATGGTTACAAGAAAGAGGCAGGCCCTGTAAACCGAATTTCGTCGGACCCGCCAGATTTATCCAACACGAAGAATGCAATGCAAGATCGAACGAGAATAGATAAGAATAGAAAAAACCAAAAAACAACAGTGCATATCCTCATCCCGTCATCAATCATAAATCCTTCGCAAAAAAGAGTAGACAATAGCCGCGCTAATAAGATATAGCAGGCGCCTCGGTAGTAGCCCCATATGGGTTTCCATCATGGTACGAGAAACTGCCATGACCACCCGAGTACGCATTCTCCTCAATCTCATCCGGCCAGCGATGATAAGAAGGCATAGAGTTACTGCGATTGCGCTTCAGCTCGCGCTTCATCGCCCGACGCACACACTCATGCTGGAAATTGTTGTTCTCCTTGCGCTTCTCATTAACCTCCTTCCACTCGCCATAAGCACCCTTGATGCCCAATGCCGCCAGACCGATACTCGCTGCATCGAGGGTATTCGCCTTGATCCGTTGCTTGCGCGCTTCTTCAGGGGTAATCTCTCCTTCTTTCAATTGCTTCATTCGCAGCTTGCGCTTGTTCACTGAACCATAGACACCGTGCGCGGCATGAATGGATGCCACCGTCGCGAGACCGGATGTCAAGAGCATATCTCGCCTCATCTTCTTCTTCATCTTCTTCTCATCAGAACTGTCACCTAGGTCAGAATCACTGTCGGAGCATGAGCAGTCGTCACCACGCGAGGTCGGCCGTTGGGAGCCGGCACTGCGTGGTGCGCTGGTTGGGCTGTAGGGGGGTACTCGTCCGCCATTCAAAGAACGCGTTCTACCTACATCTCTCGAGCCTCGGCCTCGTCTCGAATATCCCCTGCCGTAGTCACTGTCTGCATCAGAACCCGAGTACCCGTCATACCGGGAGTCTCGGTCTCTGTCTCGACGATCGTCACGGTGGTGACGACGTTCCCGACGGTCTGATCGATCGTCTCTGTCTTTGCTCCGATCTCTGCTTCGGTCGCGGCTGCCGCGGTCTTTGCCTTCATCGAGGCCTAGAGCCGCAATGCCTTTGTTGATGTAATCCGAAACACTCTTGCTGCGCTTTCTGGATCCACGGCGCTCATCATCGCTGTAACGAGAATCATCGTCTCGTTCGTCTCGACCGCGTGGTCGAGATCGTGAGCGAGAGAATCGATCATAGATTTCTTTACCAGCAGCAGCCAGAGCACCCGTCGCGGCAAGGTTCTTGATACCACCAGACGAACGCCCACGACCATCTCGGCCACGAGACGAGGATCGCCCGCCATTGACAAGGTGACTGGTAGCCAGACCGGCAAGCGTGGATTCGATAACATGGCGTGTTCCGTGCTTTTTGGGATCTTTATCGACAAGTCCATCGGTCGCGGCGGAAGTAACAGCGGCAGTCAAGACTCGCCTACCCTTTTCCCCGGTCCATTCGCCGGGATCCTTGCGGGAACGAAAAGCCTCTGCAGCACCGGCCGTCAACGCAGCACGAGCAGCTTGCATTATACGCTGCTCGCTCTTTTCACGTTTGCTGCTATGACGACCGCGGTCACGGCTGCGGCTGCGGGAGTCGGACGAGTAACGACCATGACGGGAGTATGAGCGGCCGCGGTCTTGACCATGACGGGAATAGGAGCGATCACTGCTTTTTGAGGCAGCGCCGAGACCTAGGGCACCAAGGGCAGCTTCGCTGATGGACTTGCGACGGCTATGGCGTGGTGGAGAGCGGCTGGATTCGGAAGCAGAGTCGTATTTGGAGCGACGCGGGCCTTTATTGAAAAAACAAATGGTTAGTACGAATTTGACAAACAATTTTGAAAAGTGAAATTGAAAGACCGAGAGTCACTTACGACGATCATCATACCGACGGGATCGGGTAGGACGGGAACGACGATAATATCCGCTATCGTAGTACGGATCACCGCTGACAGATGACGCCCGACGCACAGTTTCGTATACTGGACGGCGCGGCGCCCGCCGCGAGTCATGGCCGCGCTCGACGACATAATCCCGACCGGGGGGAAATCGCGAGGGATTTCCTCGACCGAGCCGTCATCCCGATAGTAGGGATAGGGATCGCGGTCGCGCCTTGCATATCGGCCCCGCGGGTGGTCGTCGTAGTAATCTGCAGCATAACCGCTGGCTGGGCGGCCGCGGTCGCGGGGTGCGTGATAGCGACGATCGTCGTAGTACGACATCGTGAACGAGAAGAACAAAATTAAAAAGTCGGCAGGGGCGAAGTTTTAATCGTTCAAGAAAGAAGTGTGGTTGCGGAAAAAAAGTGAGAACAGAGAGTCGAGACAAGAGAGGCGGGGCAGGTGGCGTGACGTCGTTGGCAGCGCAGGGATCAACTGAGGCTGGGGCGACTTGGCGTGGCTGAGAGATGAAGGCGCAGGCGAGAAGGCAGCACCATGATTCACAGGTACAATAGGACAGTGTATGGGCGAGAGCAGTGCGAGGGGATTTCTGCGACGTTGTTAATATATACGAACAGCGCCATTAGATTGATGACGTCGTGCCAACTGGCGGCGGGAGGTATTCTCCTTGCGACACGATTTCCCAATCGCCAGGCTGGAATCGGCGCTCGGATTCTGCCGTGCTTCGTGCGTTGCCCTGTCACTTCTTCCTCCCGACGTCATCTCACATTAACAGTCCACCAAGGAAAAACAGCCCTACAAGATGCGCCGAGGCCCAGGTCTGGCCACGATCGCGGTTCTTGACCGCTAGTCGATCCGAATGACGCTTGATACTAGCCCTATGGCAGTGCCCTCGTTGGACGCTTTGGTCGCTGGTACCTGGTAGCTGATGGAGGTGTTTTGCCACGATTTCGAGGTTTTGCCCAAGGTTCAAGTCTGGGGTCGGCGCCGTTTCCACGGATCGCAGCTCGGCCGGTCCCGTGCTGCCTAAATGCGGCGAAGATTCCTCGCATTTTCGACGGGGTAATCAGGGTCCGTCCAGTACGTCCGTTTTCATTCCACGCAGAACACAACGAGGGCGAAGTAGAATTTGTCCCGGGTTCCGTCGATTACGATTCGTCCTGGACGGCAAGTAATTGTTGCTTGGTGCAGCCAGAATTGGTCACACACGGTCATTCTATTCATGGACATCCTTGCTAAGTACTATACAGAAGTACACGCCGCAGATTCTGTCCTAGGGAGAGCGCATGACACCATCCCGACATGACACAGGCATTCAAACGCAATGATACACGGCGAGCGTATCACACACACAACGACAGGAACTCGACTCCCTCGATTTCTGAATGACAGCACCATGCATCGGAGTCCCGACGATCCGGAGTGGGTGGGCACAGCTCTCTGCCTGCTCGCTTGCGATGGCGACGGCGACGTCGGCGTAAATGGGGAGAGTTTTTGGTACAGCGAAATGCCGTTTGACGGCAAAAAAAAAAGAAACAAAACAAAACGTTACAGGAAGCAGACGGCGTAGCACACTGCGCAGCAGTGAGTCGAAGCATGCACAATATCGTCAAGCAGTAAAAAAAAAATCAAAATCAAAATCAAAATCAAAATGCTAAAAGTAAAGGAAGACAAGTGGAGAAGACAAATAACAATGAAGAGCAAAAAAAAAAAAAAAAAAAAAAAAAAAGCTTGGGGTATCCGTATGTGGAACATGAGAGATAGAAAACGTATATGTCGCGACTGCACTCGACAAATTTAGAGCAAAGCAGAATATAAAACAGATTTTTTTTCTTCTTCCATCAATGTGGAGCCAGTCACTGAGTTCCCGGAGGTATCACACTGGCATCCGAGGCCGTGGACTGACTGACCTGGCTGATCGTCCGATTGTGCGCAGACGCATAACTTGACGACTCAGGTCTAGCCATCATCCCCCACCGCGATTCCGCCTCGGGCTCCGACGTCGACCGCATATCGTCCGAATGTGTGCGGTGCGTTCGGATGTGCTGCTTCATATTGTCCTTGCGAGTAAAGGCCTTGTTGCAGATGGGACAAAGCACGCTCTTCTCGCCCGTGTGTTTCTTGCCATGCCGCGCCGCGTGGCCCGATGTCGTGAAGGTCGCCGCGCACCCATGGCTCGCCGCATACGGACACGGATATTTGTTCTTTTTCCCAGTGCCTCGTGAGCCCCCAGGTGATTTGACTTCTGTCCCCGGGTTGGACTGGATCTCGGGCGACGTGCGTGGTGCCGCTGGGCCCCGTGACGGATACCGGTACGCATCGCGCCGGGGCTCCTGCCGGGAGTATGGGTGGTAAGCGGACGAGGAGGCATGGCTGGTCAGATAGTCATAGGCCGAGCCTTCAGAAGAACCCGGCGAGGTGGGCTGCACGGCCTCGGAGATGGGGCTGAACGGGTGTCGATTTCCCCGGGGTGATGCCGTCGGCGATTCTGATGAGGCATGCGGATGGGGGTACTGGCTGTTGCTGACGGGAGGGGGCAGTTGCTCAGGTTGGGAGTATAATGGCGGCGAGGGTTGGCTTGATGTATGTCGGGAGTTGGACCGGACCGCGAATGATGGGTGATCATCATTATTCAGTATTGATACAATGCTCGTCCTGCCGCCGGGCATTTCCTCAGAGCCCCGATGTACGGTCACTGGGGCTGGAAAGGTATACTAAAAGGCACGGAGATGGCAGTTAGTCGGATTGATTCTCCAATGCTCAGCTCACTGGCGGAACCCAGATATGTCGCGAAGATCCAAGGAAACTCAACGATCTAACGCAAGACAGCGGGGGGAAAGAAGAGGAAGGCCGAGGAGAGCGCAGATGGACGGGGACGGAGGAAGACGGTGGACGGCAGAGAACACAAAGTGCAAGACTCTGCGAGGGAATTTCCGCTCATTTCTGGTTTTTCTATCACATCCCCTCACTATTGTCCCTCCTTCTGGTCGGTCATCCTTTCCCCCTTATAGAATTTGGGGGAGGGCGACTGGGGAAACGTACCAACGGCTCTCGAAAGATGTTTGTCCTTTGCGTTGTATAACACATCGACAACATGAGGTCGACCGTCGGCAATATGTGGCCGACAAGACACAGCAGATCAGGGCTCGAACGTGTGCCCCGTGCCTTTCGGTTTGGTCGAGGGAAGATGCGGGAGTGGCAACGGTGGGAATACAAGTCTAATGAAGATCCCCCGCGATTCCACTGCCCTCGCTGTGGCGTCGGATGGAGGGGCTCAACGAAGAAAGTCGTGGGTCGGTAATGCCCCTTTTCTGGATGGCCTTGTGGATTCTTCTATTGTTTTGATGGACCTGATTCTCTTTTCGGGAGGGGGAATTGTCCCGAATTTGACGTAGGGAACACAATCCTCAACGGCAGTTGCAAACCGGGCTGGCGATATGGCAGGGGATAGTCAAACCTGCCGTCACCGTTCTGCCAGACGGGAGCGATCGAGCCAGGCCTGCAGATGTGTAGCACGGGCGAAGATGGGATTGAAGATTACCAGGTGGGATGGCGTGAGGGAGTGAATATGCGAGGTTCACCCTCTAATGGTCTGTGGTAGCCCGCTGGGAATGGGATGCCAGTATTCCTAGGGTTGTTGCGAGGGTGGAGGAAGCGATACGAGATAAGCCCGGAGATTAGAAGGAGGGGAACGAGATTCGTAACAGCCAGCCGGGATGGTGGAAAAGCAGCGAAAGGAGAGAGAGAAGAGAAAGCGAGTCAAAAGTTCCAGGCGAGGAGGGAGGGGGTTGGGGAGTTCAGTATATGCATCGAGAAGAAAAAAAGACATGCGTATCTTAGGAACTAATGATACTAAATAGGTCAGGCCAAGCTTCAGGGTCTCTGGCGAGGCTCCCCAGGAACGAGTTGGAGTACTGTATACTGGACTAGGTATAGGAAAATCAGAAAAACAAAAAAGAAAATCATCGATACCTGTATTTTCACACTGGACCCCTAATCCACTCTCGCATCCACCCCAACCCACCCCTGGAACTACGGCGGTTTCTGTGCAGACCCGTTTTCTGGGCTCCGTTTCTTCCGGGCCGCCCCATCGACGACCCTGGCGGGGACGGAGTCGTCAGCAAGATCTGCTCGCGTTTCAACGTATTGTCATTTGTCATTTTGCGGTATTGCTGTGGCTGGTTCCCTGGAGCAGGTCGAACGGTTACTTGGCATCCGGCCCAGGCGACTCCGACTCCGCCAGGTATCCCGATTACCAATGCAGCTAGGGCTTCGGTTGGCCCAAGCGATACTCCACCAGCAGGAGCATTGAGCATATCGGCAGAACTGCGGCAAACAAACCTACGGTTAGGGGTTGTTTCTTTTTCCTGCGACGGCTGATCTCTGCTGTTCTCTGCTAGACCCTGAGTCGGACGAGAAGGCGGCAATCCGTTGAAAGCCCACGCGGCCGGACTAGAGTTTACCCCGACGAAAGGGTTCTTTAACTCCGACACCGCAGCACGACGCCTGAATGACAGCACGGGAGCAATGGATACTGGAATACTGGGATGATGGTATGAATGCCCGTACGGCCGTGCCGTGTGGCTGATCAAAGCAGTAGATCGCGAACAGGGCGAGCCGCTGGAGTCTGGGGACATACGTAAGTGATGATGTTGCGCTGGTTACTTGGCCCGTTTGGGAGAATACCCCCGGTTCCGAGATTGGGCGGTGGGGGATACGACTGTCCTATACATAGTAGTAGTAAATAAAAAAATACATACCCTAAGGTATAGTAGAGTCAGGTACTGCGAATCATCTACACAGTCATTATTGAAAGCAATATGGTGTATCATACCTGGTCGATAAGCTGTCAGTCAGGCCATATTACTGCATGGCCCTGTTCGTAGGGCCGAAACCAAAAAGAAAAAGAAAAGAAACAAAGGCTCCACTCTTCACCCAAAGCTTTCGTTTTTGATTTTTGCCCCCCACCGTCGGCCCTAGGAACTCTAAATGGCATTTTGGCTACTGCCTTAATCTTCCGATGTCACTGATCTGATCGATAACAGTGATCGTAGGACTCGTGCTCCCCGACACCCTCGGTAGGCTTCCCTCAGCAAGGAAGGTCAATAACTCAAGAGTTCAACTCGGGTATCCTTAACCCCGACCTACCCGAGTTTACTCGAAACAGCATTCTGCACCGAATATTCCAGTAGCATTGAGGAATCACCACGCACTCTCACCAGATTATTTAAGGTAGGGGACGAGGGTGCTATCTCCAGGGACTGACGCATTTGATCCACGTCACGCCAGCGCTAGGACGATACCGAGTGTCTCCTTCAGGACTATACCCGGACCCATACAGACTCGTAGGGCTCAGGGGTCTGGCCCGTGCGACCCTCGTACTCGTACGCGTCTCCCACCGCCCCGCCCCGACTGCATCGCGGGGACTCTCCGCCGGCCTACGTAAGACGCAGACGCATTCATTCCTTGACTATCAGAAACAGCGGCATGGCAGAACAATGTCAGACGCGATCGGTTCCATCCAGCAACAGTCTCTGGTGCTATCTCGGGGAAAGCTGCGTATTCATCAAGCCTGGATACGGCGACTCCACTCAGCCCTGAGGAATCGCCCCAATGAACAACAAACAGCCACACATGGTGTGCGCCGATCAGCCAAGCTTCCCCCGATCGTTAACCTCCCGACGCGGTTCATGCTGCGCAGGACCAGGACGACCGTTTGGAGGGCGGCCGCGCGATGATTTGCCCACCACCGCCAGCCGGACGGGGCATACGTATGCAGCCTACGTATATCCACTGGCACAAAGACAGGGCTAGCCCCCGATCCAGGATCGTGCTGCCTCGACGGCCTGACTAGTGCGCTAGCCGTCGGATCATCTCGTAGGATCATCTCCATGATTCGTACGCCCTGGGCGCGACTGTGTCGACTTAGCTCCTTGCTGGGTACGCCATACGCCACGCGCCCCCTTCAGGGTCTTTGTTAGTGTCGTCCTCAATTAAAACTAACCTGACTATCTCGGTGGACTTGAGCTAGACTACTTCGACTACTTAGTATTAGTATATACTATATATGGAGGTAGACGCGTAGTCAATACCCAAGTATACCTTAGGGTAAAGTGTAGGGTAAATACACCAGACAGCGGGCGGTAGCTTCCTTTACACTGACATACCCGTAACCCTCAGCAACTCTCTTAACCACCAGATCGCTCGGTCAATATTACGATTCCTCAAGCCTCTCCTGCAACCATCAGAGACTCCTGGCCATTTCCCTCCCGCTTACTACTCGCAGACTAGCCGCGGCGTCAAGCTGCACGCACTGCGCTGCGCTATGCCCGATTCCCCGCTAGCGGCCCAGCTAGCCTTGTGAAATTTGCGCCGCGACCAGCGCCCGCCGCACCCGCCACGCGGCCCTGCCCTTTGCTGCTAAAGCTGGATCGTGGCTGGAACTCGACTCGGTTTGTTTCCGTTCGGGACGCTGACGGGACGCGGTCGCGGTGATCAGGGTGACCGCCAATTTCAGGGTCGGGGCCCTGCCGGCAGCGAAGTCTAGTCTTTGGACCCCAAATCGCTTGAAATACCTGGCGAAACCTGGTCAAGGTTCAAGGGGCGATCGGTTTTCGTTCTCCGCTTTGGCCTTGATTGCTACCAGTCAATCTGGTTACTAAATTCCGCAGGCGTATGGTGGCACCAAACTCAAGCAGAATTGCAAATATCGGAAATTATACGCACAGCCCACTGCCATTTGCATTTGATTTGCAGCGACAGAAATGTCATCATCACAATCTCCCCGTTGTCACTCGCCAACCCGCAATAATGCTGACATAGAGTGGCTTGCTCCAGGCACCCACGCATTGCTTCCCTGTTCTCGCCGCGAAGTGGATGCACACAGCCACAGCCCCATGCTATCCTTCAGTGCTGCCTACATTGGCGCAGGGCTTCCAGAACGCTCCGCGGGGTGAAAAGGGCACTATTGAAGCCAATTGGATTTAGTTCGTTCTCGGCAGTTCCCATGCTACCACATTATTGCTCTGGACACGTCGGAGGAATCCATAGTCGATCCGGTACCCGACTTGCCGAGGAACTTATGCTGACCCTCTATCGGGGTGCAGTGCGGCGCAGCAGTGACAGCGGATTTTGTAATTGGTGAATCTTCTTAGGGTACTGAGGATGCACTAGGCACCTGTCAATATTGCTGACGACGGAGTTAAGGGACTCGCGGTACGCTTTCCCCGCGGAGAGGCCTGAAGGGTGAGGTGTTGTTTTCCCTTCGCTTCGCTTCCCTCATACCTTATCTAGGTAGTGCCTATGTACTATGATCAGTGCATATCAGCATCAGCATAGATGTACAAGCTTTGGTCTGTGGCGCATTGCAATCGAGATCGACCTATTTCTGGCACCGGGTCAATGCTTTCGGTAGTCTGCGTACTACTGAGGTGGCCTCGACTGGTATGGGGTCGTTGCTGGAAATAGCATCACGACAATAGTATCTATACGGAGGACGACCAGCCTGGCGATACCTCCGTATACTCGCCTCGCTATTGAGAAGATGCGGGGCGCGTTGAGTGGGTTGCTGCCAGAGTTTATCCCTCGGACGCCCGGCGACCGATGTCCCGATGCCCCGTTCAGTCCTCAGCACTTGGGTATGTGATACGTTATCTATACAGCGTGGTCCCCGTGCTTCTTGCTTCCACTTACAGAGCTGATCGACATACATGGAGACTGGGGTGATGGACCCGGGGGGAGGATATAGAAGTATACGACCGGCCTGCTGCACTGTCATCGAGAACGAAACCCTGCACAATGCAGGGCACAGCCACGAGGATGAAGTCATGAGTGACCGCATCTGCAGGGTGAGGCATGCAAGATGCATCCATTGACGTCTTGAACAACGCGGATTGGCTCAACACGCAGCACCGCCCCTCGAAGATTCGATCGCACTCGTCATGTGTGTCGAATGCACCTCAGAGGCACCCTCGTGGCCCCGGATCCGCAATCCAATCCACGATAAACATCTTTCCCTGCCTTAGGACACCCATAGTGAGTATTAGTGTACGTACCCATATGCCAGGGCCACTCCGAGAGCGGGGAGACACTGGTACAGTAGCTAGGGTACACCACTCTCTTGTATATGGGTGTATGTATTGTATCTTCCATCGATGAGTATTCACCGGGTCGGAGACGAGCCCACACGCTATTGCTATCAGCCCACGCCAAGCCCACTTGCTCGCTCCCTATTCGACCGGTGCGTATAGGGTCCGGCCGAACTGAGCTCGGGTAGGGAAGTGAGGTGATGGGGGAAAGAGTGTGGAGTCGGGTCGTCGACGCTGCGATGCGGCAGGCGGGTGACGAGGCCATCCTCGCAACGGGCGACGAATCGGGGCTGTGGCTGAGCGTGTTCGCAGCTGTAGTACTTTATTTTTTATCGTAGGCGAAGAAAATAAAGTAATTTACGCTCTCCAAGCCTTATTTACATGTAAATGAATACAATACACGCATTACGAAACATTTCATCCCTGTACTGGACCCGTTTCCACATCTGGCCCCAAAAAGAAACCTCTTAACTCCGTGCAACCAAGAACAGCAACCCTGACAAGGTCTAGCAGAAACGTGGAGGAAAAGCTTTCCCAGCTCATGCAAGTACAATCGACAAAAGCCAAGACTCGGCATCTCCTCCCTGATGAACTTGTAGTCCATCCTGGAGGATTTCCGAGGCTGCGTAAGCAGAAACGTCACGTCGGGGGCGACTAGTATCGCGACTCCACGCACTTTTTGAGGGAGTAAGAGTAGCCGCCAAGGCTAGGGAAATTAATCCTGAGCTTGATAGGTTAGCCCCTGCATAATTAGTCGATTTGCTGATAGAATGTTGTGCGAACCTCCACGTAAGTACGTGGAGGGTTTACTCTACAGAATCGACTACGAGTGTAAACATGCGAGTGTGGTTGGTTTCGGGGGATTTATTGGTGGGTGAGGAGTCGGGGTGTTCTTACCGTCACTATGTAGCTGCGTTGACTGGTTGGTTGATGCGTCAGATTGGGTCGTGGGAAATTAATGAGGTACGTACTAGAGGTTGGAAACAAGAATTCGTGACTCGGCGCTGAGGAATTAGGGTTGGGTTGCTTGTTTTGTGTAGGGCGGTAGGTATGTAATTTGTCTTGTGTCATATTATTCTAGTGTGGTTGAGGGCTAGCTGGTTGCTGATGCTGTTGAGTACGGCAAAATAATGTCAAAACGGGCAAACGCTAACTCCCGACTCGGTCCAGATGAATCCAGGCTTGAGACGAATACCCTTCCGACCAGATCTTTCCTAGGAAGAACGAGTTGAAGCTCGTTTTGATGGCTCTGAAAGTCATTACTGCGCAGGATCACATACTGCTGACCTCTGAATAACTTTGATCCCATTGACAGCAAGCTCCAATCATCTGTGCCCTACCCCGAATATCGATCTCCCCCACTTCGTCGAACCCACGAGACACATATCTATTGAATACACAGCCCACATTCAGTGATATAGCGGGTCTATTTTTATGATGGGCGCCATTGTGCAACTGGCAGTGAGGAACCCTGGCAACACGATGCTGAAACACTGGCTTGCCGCGTTGTTCCAGTTTGACGACACTATTCTAGGAGCATAGATAAGCTGTTCATAAACACGGTCCTGTTCTCTACCTAGGAAAAGTTTGCTGACCGTTCTCCATTGTTCATAAACCAAACAACCTCAAATGAAATATCGCAGATTGATCCCTCGGGCCCTGATCGTGAACAAGCAACCCGAAGCTTCAGCGCTGGCGACACCAAGGTAGACAATATGTCCGATTTATTACAAGAGAAAGGTTGAGGTGAATGGATTTGGATATTTCTAGAGGGAGTTTCACTCTGTAGATTCCCTTCACAAGAACTATCCTACAAAGATTCGCCCATTATGGGGTATCAGTATCTATTCCACAATTCTCTTCATACCATCAACATCTCCACTGGATCCCAAATCGAAATTTAAAATGCACGCGATCATAAAAAATCTAGGGATATGGTTATTTGTAATCCTGAGAATTTCTGCTGGCCTCACACGACCACGTATTCCAAGCGGAACTGAAGCATTCCATTTCCTCTTCTCCGATACTCTACGGTAAGACAACTCTCGCCAAGCGGATTGCATGAAAACTGCCATTGATCAGGACAATGAAAAAGGTTACCAATGGCAGGTGAAATTCACCAGCAACGATTTCAATCTGGACGAGGCCCAAAAAAAAAAGAAAAGAAAAAAAAGAAAAGGAGTTTGAATGACCCCAAAGCGACTCGAACGCTTAACTTTCAGGACTGGAATCTGACACTCTACCAATTGAGTTATGGGGCCTCCCGGATGAAAACATAAAGGAGGAAATTGCATATAAGAGCCAGAATCTTCTCAGTGTGACTTTTTACGTCTGCTGCACGACTGAAAACCAATGGCATTTCTTGTGAAAATTTTTCATCTGCCAACGCGAGAAACAAAATTGAACATTACCCGGTATTATTTGAATCGGGGCATTGGATCCAATACGAATGATGCTGCATTCATCCTTATTGAAGCAATCATATTACTATCGCCAAAGTTGGTACACTAGTGGTGTTACTCGATTCCTGGTTGAAGGGATAGAACAATGCTATGTATACGGTGCAGCACGTGACGGTTTCCGGATGGACACAGGAATTGATCATACCCAAGGGTAAATAATTGAACATTTTTCACCTCACACGCAATGAAAATCGGAAAAAGCTTCGTGTCGCATCTATTTAGATGTAATAGAGCGATTCGATTTCTTGGGTTTAATTCAAATACAAACAGTCCCGACAATCTCAAAAGGACTGCAGGACTAGTCGAGGCACCTACATTTCGTCCCATTATTTTAAGGCCAGGATATTTTCGAAAAGTCAATTGATATACTGTGAATACCCCTGCAATATCATTAGAAATTCGTCCCACCCTTGATAAGGACTAATCGCGGCTGATATAACCTCGTAGCATTCGCCAAAGTAAACCGGTACATTCCACCGGGATCTCGCCCGTCCGAAACCCGGCTCACCAATAAGTGGCCAAGGGCGAATACCCAGTCGTCATTTTTGGGTGAGTTGCATCGCACCGGTGCGACTCGAGCGAGAATCTTCCGTCGTGCAAGTGTCGAGGGGAAGATGCCGGTTGCCTGTCGGCATGAGGTAATTCGTGGGGCGGAGGGGTAACCTGACCTCCCGCATACATCAACCACTGCCCAAGTGATTTATCCGTTCCCAGTAATTCCTAGAAAGCCTTAGGCAAGACCAGAGAATCCGAGCATAAGACTGAGGAAATGCCCCGCCCTACGAACCGCGACGAAGTCCTCGCTCGACTTCGCCAGACGGTCGCAGATGGCTCGATTATCGTCGGCGCCGGTGCTGGTGAGTATCCTATTCCCGCTGACACTCGCCGAATGAATGCTGATCTCTACGAGGCATCGGACTTTCCGCCAAAGCCGTCGAACAGGGTGGCTGTGATCTGATCTTGGTCTACAATTCAGGGCGATTCCGAATGGCCGGCCGCGGGTCGTTGGCCGGGTTGATGCCCTACTCGGACGCAAACGCGGTCGTCGTCGAGATGGTCAGAACACCCCAATTCCCCCTCCAGGTCCTTGATGTAGGACGTTGTTAACACCGCTCAGGCCAACGAAGTCCTCCCCATCGTACAAAACACCCCCGTCCTCGCCGGCGTCTGCGGCACCGACCCCTTCCGCTCCATGCCCACCTTCCTAACTGAACTCCAGCGCCTGGGATTCGTAGGCGTGCAAAATTTCCCAACAGTCGGGCTAATCGACGGGCAATTCCGGGCAAACCTCGAAGAAACGGGGATGGGCTACGACCGCGAAGTCGAGATGATCGCCACAGCCCACAAGCAAGGACTCGTGACAACGCCGTACGTCTTCAGCGCCGAAGACGCGGAGAAGATGGCGCGGGCAGGCGCAGACGTCGTTGTTGCACATGCGGGACTCACGACGTCCGGTTCGATCGGGGCCTTGAGCGGGCGCTCGCTGGAGGACTGTGTCGGGTTTGTGCAGGGAATTCGCGATGCGGCGGTGGGTGTCAATCCAGAGATTCTGGTGCTGTGTCATGGGGGGCCGATTGCGCGCCCGGTGGATGCGGAGTTTGTGCTCTCGAGGACGATGGGGGTGCATGGGTTCTTTGGGGCGAGCAGTATGGAGCGGTTGCCGGTGGAGGTTGCGATTCAGCAGAACGCGGAGGAATTTAAGCGGTTGCGGGTACGGGCGGGAAATTAGCCGACTCTGTCTGAGTAGAGTATGGGGTAACGGCCGGCAGTCTATACTGGCTTAGAACTTGACAAATATATACATTTCTATGGAATCTCTGTTCATGGTACCATGCTCTGAGCCACACTCGTAATATTATCAGACAACTGCTAGTACCTCCCTCAATCGGCCACCGTCATCGGATCGGAGCTGCTCATTTCACCTTCCCCAAACCCGCTCACGGGCAATTTGGGCCCGCGTGGAGCAACTCGGCGATCGGCTAAATTATGGACACCAGAACCTACAAAGCAGACCAGGACCCTTTTTGCTCTTCTCGATTCTTCATTCTCTCCAACTTTCACTTCAATCTCTCACACACCCCTTAATCCCTCACAATGGCAAACCGCGTATTGGAAGGCAAGCTGGGTATCGTCACCGGCGGATCGCGGGGTACTTCACCATCTCCAACTCCCCACTCGGAGCTCCACTAACACACCCCAGGAATCGGTGAAGCCATCGCGCGCAACCTCGCCTCTAAGGGCGTCTCGCTCCTTCTGAACTTCACATCCGAGTCCTCGCGGGCTCCCACCGAGCGAATCTGCGCCGAACTCGCCGCTCAACACGGCGTCCGCTGCGAAAGCGTCCAAGCCGACCTGGGCAATCCCGAAGAAGCGACCGCTGCAATCCTCGGCGCAGCCCAGAAGCATTTCACTAAGGGTGGCAAGCTGCAGATCGACATCCTGATCAACAATGCCGGTGTCTCGGCCGATCGCGATCTGAACGATGCGCAGCGCGGCCCCATCAACGCCGACCACTTCAACTGGCACTATACCATCAACGTGCTGGCCCCGCTACTGCTAACTCAAGCCGTCGCGCCGTTCCTGCCGACGGACCGCAGTGGTCGGATCGTGAATATTTCCAGTGTCTCTGCATCCATGGGTTTCGTGGGCCAGTCGATGTATGGTGGGACCAAGGCTGCGCTGGAGGCGATGACGCGGACCTGGGCACGGGAGCTGGCGGATCGCGCGACTGTCAATGCGGTGAACCCCGGCCCTGTTATTGGAGACATGTATTTCAAGGCTGGGGAGGAGTTCTGGAGGGATATTCAGGGTTATATGGATAATACGCCTATGACGAAGTTGGACGAGAGTGATGAGTCGACGATGTCGAGGTTGACGGCTGAGCAGACCAGGTTGATTAAGGAGAAGATGGGTGGCAGGAGACCGGCTTTTACCAGTGAGATTGCCGGTGTTGTTTGTATGTTGTGTACGCCTGATGGTGTGTGGAGTACTGGCAGTGTTGTCTGTGCCAATGGTGGTATGCGGATGGGCATGTAGGGAGGGTTGGATTCAATCACATAAACTGCAGCTTATGATCGTTCATGATTGAGTTGTTCAATAATTCATTGTATTGGCGTAGCATAAAGCAGTCTTGTGCGGCAACGTTGAATTCAGAGAGGGCGATAACACTGACCAAGTGTGTGGTGGGACGATGGAGGGGCAGGCTCTGAAGTAAGATCAGGCAACGTCGAGAATACCATGCATAGAGGAGTAATAGTCAGGTGACATCGAGAAAGCAAAGAGCCGAATCTTTGTTTTGGGGGGGAGGGGGGGAACATAAAAGGTTGGGGTACTTTTGCATCGGTCTGCAGCCCGAAGAAATTAGATATGCCATAAGGCTGTGGCGTGATATATTCAATGACGAGGTGGCTGCATAACATTGAAACATCAAGTATAGCTTTTCTGTCAATCCAGAATGAGCCACCACTCAATAGAATCGGCATTGAAATATATTTGTGCCAATATTACATCCATGGATTCCTACTGTAGGAAAGAAACAAATAATTGGTCGAGTATATTCAAGGTATGACCAGAACTTCAAACAAGCCTATTTAAATACAAGCCAATCTAGCCAAGATCGACAGTCATTAATATATCCAGGTCCAACTCAAGCCTTATCTACCAGTCATAGCAAGAGCGTCCCACATCATGATTCATGGCACTCATAATCTAAGGCAGAGTAGCAGGGGAGTAAGCCTGATCAGGCTTGACAACCTTGCCACCATCGAGCTGCTTATCAGTGTAAGCAGGCCAGACAATCTGGCGAGCCTTGTTGTTGACAACCGAGAGGGTGGTGAAGCCAGCGTCCGGGCCGAACTGGCCACTCCAGCCGGAGGTGATGGTGTAAGGGCCGCAGGTGGAGGGGCCACCGTTGGCCTCGGAGGCGTGGGCGCCCTTGACGACGTAGGTGCAGGACTGGGCGGCGGCGGTGCCGACCTGGACGCCGAAGGTCCAGGTGCACGAGGTGTCGTCCTTGGTGCAGACACGCTTCATGTTGCGGATGGTCCATTGGGGGCTGGCGGCCATCATGTCCTTGCTGGTCTCGGCCGGGGCGGCCAGGACGGCCGAGGCGGCGACGAGGGTGGACAGGAGGACTTGGGTGATTTGCATGGTTGCGGTTGTTTGGTTTAGAGGAGAGTTGAGGAGTAGAGGAGTTGGAGAAGGTAGTTGATGATGGATGGAAATGGCGGATGGATTAGGAAGTATTTATGTGTTTTTTTGTAACGTCCTCTGCCGGGTTCCTTGGTTATGATGTTATGGAGTATCCCATGGTGCTGGAGCCTGGAAAATGAGATCAATCATGCTGAGTCTCTGCTGTTTTCCTGTAAATAGAACCGACTAAAATTTAGTGCATGTAACAGTGTCTGGAGAAGACGTGGGCCGTAGCGCAGCATGTGCTGGTTAGCGATGTCTTGGGCAAGCCAGTGAGACACTCCATCCTGCTCGAGCCTTAGTACCTGAACCAGGCAGGTACCTTTAGGGCAGAGTAAGAGGAAGGTGATGGAAAGTCTGCACAAAGTAAGACACCTGCGAGACCCACCCAATCACGGCGTGGCTGCTGCGGATTTGCACCCCGCATCTCCCAGCAAGTCCCTGCAGATTTGCCACGGGCATCCTCAGCCCGGCATACAGGGCTTCTCGCTCTGCACTCGAGCCGATGGGTTCACCCACGGAGCTCTGCTCGCAGTCCTCATGACTCGGAGCCCTTCGTTTACTTATGCGGCAGGCTGCTAGCGTGCTCCCAACGCGACGAGAGTCTTGTTCGTCTTCCCTTCGCCGCGCCGAGAAAGGCAATTGACATCATACTAACGTATTCGTATATTACCAGGCACGCACTTCATCTGAAGAGCCCCAGAGTGGAATTGTCGGATCGTCCAAGAAGGGATTCACGATGGCTGGCCATCCGGGACCCAGCGGCAGCGTCCGGGACCCACAGCATATCAGTCAATCCTGTTTTCGGCCCGGGGCATGTGGGGGGAGCTGCAGCTATTCTTTGAGGAACGAGAGAGATCGAAAGTCCGAGAAACGAGCATCTGTCCAGTGCTAGCGGCGGTGCTGCGGCCAGGAACAGTACACATGACCATGCGGTTTACTGCGGTGACCCTGACCGGCTGCAGGCTTCGTATCCTGCATCGAGGAAAGTGATCAGCGGGATGGAGTTGGAAAGAGGAGGGGTTATCCGACCACCCTTTAGCGCCATGTGTCAAATGGTCCCTGTTGGATCTGGAAAATACCTCCACTCGACGCGGCAAACTAGCCGGACGGCTTTTTCTTAGGCATGAAGTAGAAGGTTTGGTTATTTTTACTTCTGGTCAGAGCTGGGCGCTGACTTCTTTCCTATAACCGAAGACTGAGACATGGGAGTATGAGAGTGTTGTCAGCAGAAGCCACGGCAAAGGAAGAGTCTAGAAACGCCGGAAACGGAATAAGCTGCGAGAGGGATCGATTGACATTTGGCCTTCCGGCCCGGAAATTGGTCTGATGCATAATTGCATCAATTCGATCGTCCTGCATCGCACGGCTTGACTACCAGATTGAGGTGCCAATCTTGCGTTGAGCGAGCTCTGATGCAATGGAATTTTCTCATTACTTAAGATTCACATAATGATCCTCATTTTCATGTGTGTTTTCTTCATCTACGTCAGTTATCCAAGCTGTAGACACATTCCTTCAAGAAAAGTATAAAAAGCGGTGAATAAAAATAAATATTCTCTAGAGCCAAGTGGAGCCACATGAGCAGGAGACCTCGTTGACAGGCCGTGCTCTAACTGTCATAGATGCAATATTCTCACGTGAAATGGGACCGAGTTCCCCGCCGACAATTTATTCAGCAAAGTATTTAATGCAACTAAGCAGCCTCCAGGATGTCTGACAAAGACGTAATGGCATGGTGTTTTCGCCATCTGCTGCTCCGCAGGTCTGCTCCCGCACAGGCCTTGTTCCAATCCATCTGACTCAGCCAGCCTGGTGAATTCAGACTATACTCCACAAGTGTCGTCCATAAACCTCTCTCCCGAGCTGAGGAAAAGCATACAAACTGAAGAACTTCATGACTGGCTTGATTTCACTTCTTCGACGAGGTTGCACGGTCAACTTGGAGCGAGCTATCAGTGTACGGAGTAGACGGAGAATGAAGATGAAAAATCCTCATAAATGGCGTAGGAAGATGAGAAACAAATCATTTCATTGCGACTGGTATCTACTACATTCAATACCTGTTGACTAACGTAAGCGGCAAGCGAGTGGACCACCTACCCGCGATCGCGTCGCGTTCCTTGAATCTTACCAATTCAACCACCCACCATGCCACCTATTCGTGATCAATCAGTCCCTACGCGTGCCAATCAGGAGGGTAGGATCTTATTAGCAATTGACGCTATTCGAAAAGATCAATCACTCTCTCTTCGCCAAGCAGCAGGCATATACACCGTTCCTAAGACTACACTCCGTCGCCGCCTTGATGGTATTACTGAACGCGCTACCACACGCGCAAATTCTCTTAAATTGACTCAACTGGAGGAGGATTCGCTAGAGAAATGGATATTATCTATGGATAGGCGCGAGATTTCCCCTCACTATCCTCTAGTGCGATCAATGGCGAATATATTACTTGCTCAGCGTGGTGAACCATCCCCACAAAGACCGTGGGAGAGAAATGGGTACGAAACTATATTAAGCGAACACCCTCGCTTACGGGACGATTCTCACGTCGATATGATTATCGGCGAGCTGAATGCGAGGATCCTAAGGCTATTCGTCAATGGTTTGATCGCGTGGTTGATACTATTCAAACCTACGGAATTGCCAACGAAGACATCTACAATTTTGATGAGACCGGCTTCGCGATGGGCCTCACTGGCAAGGCTAAGGTAGTCACTCGCGCGGAGTATTATGGGAATCGATCAAAACTACAACCTGGTAATCGAGAATGGGTCACTGCTATTGAATCAATCAGCGCAGATGGAAGAGTGCTTCCACCGATGATTATATTTAAAGGCAAGGTCTATAATAATGGGTGGTTCGAGAACCTATTACCAGGATGGCGAATTGAAGTTAGTGATAATGGATGGACTACTGATCAAATTGGCCTACGATGGTTAGGAGACCATTTTGTACCATTAACTAATAGCACTACTGGCAAATACCGCTTGCTAGTGCTAGATGGTCATGGTAGTCATATCACTGCTGAATTTGATCATCTTTGAAGGGAAAATGATATTATTCCAATCCGCATGCCTTCGCATTCATCACATCTCTTGCAACCTCTTGATATAGGTTGTTCTTCAATTATCAAGCGAGCATATGGTCAATTCGTCCAATCATTGATGGTGATGGGAATCAATCATATTGATAAGCTTGGTTTTCTATCTGCCTATCCACAGGCGCGTGATAAGGCCTATAAGCCTACTACTATCCAAAGCGCGTTCGCAGGCGCAGGGATTGTACCATATAACCCTGAGCGAGTGATTGAAAAGCTTACTATCAGGCTTTCTACACCTACACCACCACCACCACCACCACCACCACCACCACCACCAAGCCGTGATAGTGGTAGTAGTAGTTTCGTTCCTTGCACACCTGCTAGGCCTATTGATATTCACCGGCAGGTAAGATCAATAGGGAGACTACAAAGAGAGTCACCACCTAGTCCTGCTAAGCAAGCGCTTACGCAGCTCGCTAGGGGATTTGAAGTTGGCCTACATCACGTTGCTTTACTAGAGGCCGAGATTCATCAATTACGCCGTGCGAACGCCTGGTTATCAAAAAAGACACATATATCTGGTAAAAATCAGCACAGGGAAAAGGGCTGTTCTATTGAAGAGTGGCAGGATGAGATGGCAGAGGCACAATTAATGATGGAAGCGAATAATGCTACTGGACAAGCGCCGGCGGTTGCCACTAGTTCGACCAATCAGAGGGCACCACGGCGCTGTGGAAGGTGTCGGAAGCCAGGGCATTATAGATCAAATTGTAAGGATTAATTTCATATAGCTATCAATGGGAAATTGGCGTTGGTTGTTGAATAATAGTAAGTTATATTGATCAGTATGTCGGTAGGCGGTCCACTCGCTTGCCTGGTCCACTCGCTTGCCGCTTACGTTAGTGTAGTACCAACCTTTGAGCAAAGCCATGTACTATTCGTGATGATGGTGGTACTATCGCATGGCCACCTGACTCGGAAAAAACCCTAACTAGCAACTATTTTGGGACGTAACCGTAAACTGGGGTGCAGATTAGTGACCTGGTACGACATACGAGTACATAGTAAAGCAGGTAGGTAAATAGACGAAGAATTTGAGACCTGCATTTTTTGAGCGTGTCACTGGCTGGTCTGCCACGGTGTAATCCTCTACTCGCCAGTCAGAGGCGAGGCTTTGCGTCTATTCCTGCCTGAGGCTGCAGCTCAGCGTCGTGGTATGTCTTTCCTCATCTTCTCCTGTTCATCCTTTTACCACCTCATTCATCTTCCATATATCCACCATAGCACCAAGGTAGCTCTCGTACCATCGACTGGGTTATGCTTGTAATATAATGATGCCTTTTCAGATATTTCGAGCTTTTGGGCGAAAGCAGAGATGTGTTTGAAGTTAAAGTTGGCATCTGGGTAGGATCCTGGATAGCGCCAGGCGCCTGTGTGCAATGATACTGGTCGCATCTTTTTTGTATTACGTTGTCCTTGAACTTTCTTGTCATATAACAACAAGGCATCGATTTTATCTGTGGGTGCGTCAAGCTAATCGGGGATTCACTTGCAGGATTCAGATTCAAGTCGCATCGCTGGAGATTGTGGCACCAGGTGGTCAAGGAACATTGCGCTACCATTCTGAGTCCAGCGAAGGGAGGAGCAAAAGCCCTTTCCGGGAGAAGCAAGCCCAGTGGATGTAGGGTTTTTGGGGGGGGGGGTTCTCCTTGGCCCAGGCTTGCTTGGAGAGTCGATGAAGACAAACAGGAAACGCTTGCATTATTTTATTCCTCGGACTCCAAAACTCTATGATGATTTTGAAAGTATCGTTCGACGACAGTGAATTCAACAAAACATCAGCGACAAATTGACGATCTTAATTCTCGAATGGTCAAATAAACCAGCATTGAACACTCCCGAACCTATCCACCACGAACTCGATAAACTCACGAACACCCGCCAACGTGTTTCACAGGAAGCTACAACAGGAATAATAAAGACCCACAAGTTTTGGGGGCGGAAGGGGCCGCGCAAAGCTAAAACCCCAAGATCAAGTTAGCACAGCGAACTAAATCAATCTGGGCAGGTGGTCGAGAGATCCAAGCCATTTCGCCCCCTCCCGAATCCTTCACTCCACTTGCCAAGCGTCGCAGAATGTCTTGCGGGATTTTCCCGCAGATCGGGATGGTGGCGGTCATTGGTTGGTTGTTCCGGGTCGAGATTAGATCAGATTGCGCTGCACATAACTTTTCGTTTTGGGTTGCCGTGAACGGACCGTATGATCGCGTCATTTCCATAGCGGGTCTTATTACTATGTAGTGGATCATGATTCTATTTGGGATCTTTGTGATGAGGTTGATGCGCGTTACTTTATATCTTGAGGTATGCTATGTACAACAATCAGAGTCTAGAGAAGAAAGAGATAGAGGAACTGAAGAACAAGAAATTAATTTGTATTAACATTTCACCACTTTTTAAAAAGTAACAAAATATGGGTATCACCCACTCAATCGTTCTGGCGATCCTTTCCCATCAGTGGACCAGGGATGGGTCTCGATGATTTGCGCCCGACTCGACTGACTATCAACCTCCCAATCCTGCGTAACAAGAATCTGATCGCGCATAGACAGCGGGAAGTCGTGACCGCGTTGACTGCGTCCTTGCGTCTGCGACCGGCTGTACTTGTAGTTCCAACTAGTGGGATCGTCCACGCCCTCGATCTTGAGTCCATTTGTTCGCATCCACGAGAGGAAGGGCTTGAGTTGGCCCCAGCATGCAGTTACGATGCTTAGACATTGGATTATGACTTCAATGACAGTGAGGTCACAGAGGCCGTAGGTTGGGTCTGCGGATTCGGTGCTGCGTCTTATGAGAGAGAGTTGGCCGATGGTTGCTGCTGTGACACTGGTATTTATGTTAGTACTGGTTGTACAGTGTGGGAGACGAGTAAAGTTTAGAAACGTACAGGAGTCTCGGCATGAAGATGCCTGCGAAGATCATTCGTCTTTTCACGGATGTTTGGATACTGTATATCAGGATCATGGCTTGGGAGAAAATGATCAGGTCGGTGACGATGTTGGAGCCGGAGACGAAAAAGCGCCAGGCCATCTGTCGAGTCGGGAATTTATTAATACAGTTCAAACAAAGTATGGTCGGATCCAAATACCTCGTTGAAGCATTTTCCATTCCAAAAGTCCCAAGTCCGTGGCGCAGAACATTGGAATGCTGTTCCGAAGAAGGTGACGAGAGCCCAGGCACAGATCATCCCCTCGACGATCCGGGCATACAGACGATCTTTCGAGGTTGGCGTCAGACTGCGGATGAAAACGGCCAGCGATAGTTTGGAGAGGGTGAGGCTGATCAGGTAGAGAAGCGAGCCTGCGTAGAGATACTAGATATGAGGATGAGCGTGTGATCAAAAATAAATCTCGTTGAAAGAAATCGAGTACACACCTTCATCACCTGGTCAAACTCCGACGGGGACACATCACGAAAGTGCTTGCCATAGCCAGAGGCTACTGCCATGGAAATGATTATGCTCTGCACAATACAAAACACCTAACCTCGATATCAGTCAGCTTCGATCTGATAACAACTTGAAGCACAGTGGGAAGGATCATACCAGCGATGCCACCATTAAAATATCATCCACTGTCAACTTATGGAACAAATTGAACTTCGTCCCGAGTCGAGCAGAAACACTCAGAATGACCACGACCAGCAGAACCCATGTCGTCACATTGACCTCGGGGTCTTTGGATTCGGTCTTGAATCTTGTGCCCATCGATGCGAGTGGCGAGGAATTGAAGCAAACAGCCAGAATTGAGACGGCAGCATGCACCGCAGTCGTGATCGGTCGGTCTCCCTTATACTAACCCGATCTCGTGCGACGGCATGGGGTCCAGCTGCAGGGGCCGTGTCGTCCTCAGTCAATCCGAAAGCCCAGACAAACTGTGCGCCGCCCAGGAGGGTCATCTCCCGGGGTAGGATTTCGGACGTCGGCCGATTAATCTACGTCCGCCCCTCCAAGATTCCGACCTCGTTTCATGCTGAGTGTGCCTTATAGCAGCCCTTCCCCTGTATTCGCTAATATCTGCCTTGTTTCCAGCTGGTTTGCACATATTCAGAATACGATAGCCTTGCCTTTTCTCGAAGGCCAGAAAATGACCAAAGAATCCGTGGGGTAGGGCATCGGTAGCGTGCAGAGCCTTCCCTGCGAGCGGCTTGTGTAGGTGCAGGTGCGACGGGGTCGAAGGATGCGGCCCCTGGTTCAGTCGGCGGGCGGGAGCTTAACCGAACAGCAACCGCAGTACTTTCGGCCACCCAAACATCCTCCCTCGCCCACTAACAAGCACGCATTACCTTAGAGCAATATCTGCTCAGCTCACGGCCCACCCGTCCATATGAATTCCCAACAGTCATTGGCCCCCGCCAAGCCTCGCCCAGGTGCGTCTTGTATAGGATCGACATGGCCATCGCGCCTTGTGGGCCGCAGAGACGGCCATCAGACCATCCTGGCGAAGCCTTGAACATGCAGGACCAAATGCATTAGTCCTTCGCATGGAATTTTCGTTACATCTGGTAAGAGGGGTGATATCGGGTCCGCTTTTCCGCATTCCATTCCCCTCTGCCTTGCACGCTTTTTTCTTTTTTTAACCCGGCCCTTCTGTCTTTCTCCCTTGGTTCATCCCACACCACCCCAACACCGGACTCGAAATGGTGGCGTACGAGTTGAAGAACAAGGCATCGGTCACGACGCAGGGCGAGCACCCGGCCGATGCGTACTCGGCGGCCGATCGAGATAATCGACAGCTGCAGAGGCTGGGGAAGAAGCCCGTTCTTAAGGTATGCGACCACGGGGATCATGCGGAGCCGATCGCTTACATTCCTCGCAGCGAAACTTCGGGATTCTCTCGATTTTGGGGTTTAGCTGTACGATTCTGGGGACGTGGGAGGGTCTTCTGGGGTGAGTTTTCTGAGGATCAGCTTTGTGATCGCAATAGTTAACAGACTCACAGTACTTTCGTGAACCCATTGCAAAAGTTTGTGTCCTCGCCCTGTCGCCGCGAATAATTCTAAATGATAACAGTGGTGGATCTGGAGGAGCAGTCTATGCGTTTATCTTTGCTTGGGTAGGCACTGCCTGCACCTTCGTTGTGCTGGGAGAGCTGGGATCGATGTATGTTGCGAACCTTGGTTCATCGAGACCGGTCTAATTTATCAAAACAGGGCGCCTACATCTGGAGGACAATACCACTGGTGTGCCATGCTGGCGCCGATCAAGCAGCAAAAGTTCCTCAGTTATATAACAGGTAAATCGACATTTTCTACATGTACGAGACACCTAGCTGACCGGTTACACACAGGCTGGATGGCCGTAATGGGCTGGCAGACAGCTTTCGCTTCTGCGTCTTATCTATGCGGGACAGAGATTCAAGGCACCGCAATCCTCGCCCACAAATATTACAACGCTGAAGCCTGGCACGGCACCTTGATCGTCTGGGCCGCACTGGTCGTCTCGCTCCTCGCAAACCTGATCGGTGGGAAATTCCTACCTCGCCTGGAGGCAGTCATTCTCGTCATTCACATCATCGGGTTCTTTGGAATTCTCATCCCCTTGACGTATATGTCAGAGCACAAGAACACAGATGAGGTCTTTCTGCAATTCTTGAACAGTGGCGAGTTCCCTACTCAAGGACTCTCCTGGTTCGTTGGTATGACTAGCTGCGCGTTCGCATTTGCTGGAGGTGATGCTGCGGTTCACGTATGCCTCGACCCTTTCCTACGGATAAAGTCCTCCTCTAACAAGAAATAGATGGCCGAAGAAGTCAACAATGCGACAATGGTCATTCCCCGTGCCCTTCTAATGAGCGTTGGAATTAACGGCTGTCTCGGTTTCGGCATGCTAATTGGTATGCTCTTCTGTCTCGGCAATATGGACGACGCCCTAAACACGCCGACCGGATACCCTTTCATCGAAGTCTTCTATCAGGGAACTGGCTCAATGAGCGGATCGCTGACAATGTGTTCGATCATTTTGATCATCGCCGTCTGCTCGGTTGTGGGACTATTGGCAGCTACTTCGCGACAATTCTGGTCATTCGCACGAGATAGGGGTGTCCCGGGTTGGCGGATGTGGAGTCGGGTATGTCCCTTGTACTTTGAAATTGAGACTGACAAGCTAACCGATATTCCAGGTCTCACCCTCGAATCAATTGCCAATGTACTCAGTCCTCCTCACCACGACAATCAGCTGGCTCCTCGCACTCATCAACATCGGCTCATCGGTCGCGTTGAACGATATCCTCTCAATGGCCGTGTCTGGATTATACTCTTCTTACCTAATTGTCACGATTCTTCTGCTCGTCCGTCGAGTCAAGGGTGACGTCGCCCGCTATAATGATGACGAAGATGAAATCATCAACCTCCCCGGAAAGAAATTGGTCTGGGGCCCGTTTCACGTACCCGGCATTTGGGGTATCGCGGTTAATTCCTTTGCGGTGATATATATTATTATTGTGATTTTCTTCAGTTTCTGGCCCACGGCTATGAATCCCTCGGTGACGGATATGAACTATAGTGTTGTGGGTTGGGGTGGAGTCCTCTTCCTCGCTACGCTGTATTATGTTGTTCGGGCTCGTCATATTTATACGGGGCCTGTTGTTGAGGTTTCTCTGTGAGATGTATAGAATAGAATTCCAAGCAATGTATTTGTTGCGATTAAGCAGCCATGTGATGATGTAACTTTCGCTCGGGGTTCAGCATCTAGATCTGCACTAGTAGACATATCTGAACTTATCATTCTTCAGGTCTGTAGAGTCGGATAGCTCTCTCGGACCCGTAACTCCTTGTTTCTCCTGAGACTCGTCGGGCTCAGAAACTCCCTCCTTCCTATCTCTTCGCATATTCTCCCACCGAAGATAATACAGCAGAGCCGCGCTATCAGCGACATTGATCGCCAAGCAGATGATAATGGCCAGGAACCCACTCTGCGAAATAATTAGAGCTGATCAAATATTTCCCCCCCTTTTTTTTGTTTGGACGTACCTGGTACTTAGGAGCTTCACTCTCAAAGAAAAGCTGTGGACCGATAATATTACCCACGCAGTATAGAATGAAAAACACTGCACTGACAGTTGCCTTCTTGGTGAAACCACCCACATTAGAGCTAATTATAGCGATAGCGATCGGCATCGCAGCTGAGTAGACGCCCATGAGGATAAGGCCGGCGTAGCGGGCTCCGGTGGATTTGCAGACGTAGACGAGGACACTTCCCACGATACTGCACCCAACTCAGTAAGTTTCAATGGCCCAAGCAGATGCGGGGTTTCGTACCTGATTATGTTCATGCCAATCATCACCAAGCATCGGCTATTCTTGAACTTGGATGAGAGTGCTCCGCTGCCTTGGTCAGTATCGCTTCGTTTATAATTCTGTCAGGTCCACTCACGCGCTCAAGACGAAGAGAAAGACAATGAAGCCACCAGGAAGTCCCAGGAGCAATGTATGGCGGGTGTCGAATCCGAAACCCTTCAAAACTAGGCCATTGAACTTTTGAAGTCAACTCTGATGCCTTGCAATTACTTTATGGGAGTCCACTCACAGTTGTATACCCCCCATTTGGAATATTAGCCGTCAAAACCAGAATCGCCAACAACAAAGTCTTCGGATCACGGAAAACCTCCATAATCTGACTCCGATCAAGATGCGTATTCTTAAATCCAGTGTTATTCGCCTTTAATCGCTCGGTCGCGATCATTCTTTCCTCCTCGGTCAGGAATTTCGCGTTAGTCGGGGAATCGGGGAGGTGGAAGAGCATGAGGATACCCCAGAGAAAGGTCAGGATTCCGAAGATGATGAATAGCCACTGCCACATGATAAACCATGAGAGTCATGCCCAAAAACAGGGGCAGGTACGATTTGGGACCGGTAAATACTTACCTGCCACGCCCCGAGTTTACTCCTGATACCAAGAATCCCGACAGCGATCGAGTTCCCGAGAATGAGAGAAAGTGAGTTGCCGCAGAACCAAATACCCGCGCGTAGTGGTTGCTCTGAGGTGCGGTACCACAACGATGTGATGAGGGTGAAGCCTGGGGATAGGCTTGCTTCGGTGCAGCCGAGGAAGAAGCGGGTGACCATCAACGTTGCGAAGTTGGTGGTTGCAGCGTGGCAGGCGAGGATGATGGCCCAGAGGATGCTGCAGGTGGGAATGTCAGAGATTGATTAAGGTTGATGGGAGAGCTGACTCACAAGTTGATGGCGAGGTATTTTCCCAAAGGAAACTTGACCATCAGAAGGGAGGCTGGGTAGCTATTTCGTTGTCGTTTGTTAGTTCAGCTTTGGGGAGAATTTGTCTCCCAGGGACTCACGAGAAGAATAAGTAGCCGAAGTAGAATATCCCTGAGGACCAACTGTATTGATTCCCTGTCAAGTGGAGGTCTTGCAGAAGGCCCATTAACGAGGTGTAGTTGAGGGTTTGTTTGTCCAGGAAGGCCATCATGTAGGCGACCACCATGATGGGCAAGACGCTGCGATAAATCAGAGTTTGAAATTGCTGGGTGTTGAATCTTTCTTTCTTTTTCAACACTCACGTCAAGTCGATCTTTCTGACGAGCTTCTTCTCCGCCAGGGGGAGAACTCGAATGAAGGCTGCAACTGCTCAACTGTCCCATTGTCGAAACATTGCTCGTCCATCGCTATATTGCTTTCTTGGATTTCCTTTTTTGTTGTTTGATCGGTCATTATGCAGGAGGATATGGATTCGGGTATTGACAGAAAAAATGATTCAGAGTTTATTTACAGTCCGGAGCTCGTGAAGTCACCTTATATATCCCGTGTTTGTAGGTCGATGTCTCTTCGTAGCCACACTTATCGCGCGTAGGCGAAAGCGAAAGCAAGACAGCGTCAACGCAACGATAAAGCTATCCCCGCATTCTCGAATACCTGATAAAGGCAGCCACAGTGGGCCACCCCCGGGACCATCCTCCTTAAGCAGGATTGGTTGTGTCGGCAAGCTAGTCGAGGCTTGGCAGTGCTCAAGTCGTAGCGAGGGGGCAAATGTTCAAACAGCAAAAGGAAAAGGGCCCAAGCAAAGCATTTCGGTCTTCCTCATTGGAAGCTGATGAGATTTAGGTTAAATTTCCCCAGATAATAGGAGCGGGGAAATGTTATAGGTTACCCATCCATGGATTACCCTACATGAGCACTCCACCCGAATCTTGTACCCGAGACCAATAGTCGAGAACACAATATCATTTCTATGCTTGCCTATCACTCGCGTTGGAAATCCTTCCTAACTGCCTCGGCAAACTTGTCGTCCACTAGGATCTGACAGGCAACGACTGCCATTCCCGCGGCACAGGCAATTCCTCTCTCAAACGCCTCGGGTGATCCAGCTCCATTGGTAAATTGGGGAGTGTGGTTGACGCCCTCGGCTGGGATACAGAAGATACCGTGGAATCCAGGCACAACGTATGAAACATTGCCTATATTAACGTCAGCAGTGCTCGTAGCTCAATCATTCGGCAATAGAAACGAACCCATATCAGTGGATGCTCCGGCTAATGGACCCTTTTTCTCAGAGTTATCGAGCAGGGTATGATGGCCCATGGCGCGCATAGCCGTGACATAGCTCTCACAAATCGGGAGATTGGTTTTGAGATCCGCGTATGAGATACCCCTAGCAATAATTGTTAGTAGTACTCCGATAAGATCCCTGGACAAGTACTCCTTACCAGTCAAACTCGACTTTGCAGCCAGTAGCCATCGCAGCTGCTTCGAAGCACTTGATGACCTTCTCGGTCAATGGCTTCAGAGTCTTGATGGTAGGAGATCGAATATAATAGTCCACAGTGGCGGACATAGGAATCACGTTTGGCCGATCACCTCCATTGACAATTACCCCGTGAATCTTCTGCGTGGGCAGGATTTGCTGCCGAAGCATCGATATATTCACATAGGCCGAAACCACCGCATCAAGTGCATTAATGCCCTCCCACGGAGCAGCGGCTGCGTGGGCTGGCTTGCCGGTGAAAGTAACCTTGACTTTATCATTTGCTAAGAACCCCCCTTCAACCACTGTCGCCATGCTCAGCAGATCTGGGCTTCCTGGTGCCATGGGAACCGGGTGGACCATCAAACACGCATCGATATCTTTATAGGCGCCCGCATTGATGAGTTTCACCTTGCCGCCGCCCGACTCTTCGGCTGGAGTTCCGAGCAATCGGACTGTGAAACCTGATACCGAATGCGACTCTGCTTGGACTTTCATTGCTTCACACGTAGCGAGAAAAGCTGCGATTGAGCTCGTGGCGATCAGATTGTGTCCGCAGGCATGGCCAATGCCCGGAAGAGCATCGTATTCGGCATTAAACGCAATCACTCGACCCCCGCTGCCGTAGGTATACTCTATCTCGAGAGCAGTATTGATTCCATGCACCTTACGACGAACTGCATACCCATTTGACTTGAGGCTGTCAAAAAGGTCGCAGATATGATCATGGGCTTGGTACTCTTCATATGCAAGCTCAGGGTTAGACCAGATCTGGAAATACGTTAACGACCGCCAATACCATGAACTCAAATAGCACAGCCACCGACTTTATAATTGATATCTTTCAGCTGTGTATCATACCGACGAAGAACCTCCTGCACGTTATCGAGGAACGGTCGCTGGGATTCGGGGACATGCATATTTAGTTCGGGTATTGGACCAACAGGGATGCGAGATGCTCAGCGGGTGCTATCGCGGGTGCACTTCGGGCGATTATATAGGACTTTCGTATCGGCGTTGACGGTGTTCCGATCCCTTCTCCGTTCCATGGAAGTACCAGTCATTGTATCGCAAGGACTAAGTGAAGACGAGGCCGCATCGTGCTGCTTAATGCGGCTAGGCGGAGCTTGCCGACGCAGCCAATCGGCACCGCGCAGTCGGCAGATTGTTAGTGCAAGCAGTCTCCGCTCGGCAGATAAGGCCGCACCTTCCCCGGCCTCCACTTTTCCCCTCTACATCTCTCTTCAGACGAGCAACCCGGTCTCTGGCGATAGGCTCGTCGGTATTCGCATGACAAATTCCTGGACTAGTAACTGCAGGGACTCCCACTGCCCCAGTTGGGATCCCCAGGGACCAGATGGACCCGAGACGGCTGTACAAGTCGGTTTCCAGTTAATATGCACAAGCCCAGCAAGACTCGTTCTAAGACAGGTAGGGATTCACGTTTCACCGATCAAGGCCCTTGCGTCACACTCTTAAGAGAAAATAACCAACCTGCGCAGGGTGTCGAACGTGTCGCATTCGCAAGGTAAAATGTGATGAAGAGAAGCAGCTGGTCCATGGCCAGGAAGAGCCGCAATGTAAACGGTGCACGTCGGCTCGCATCCGATGCGAGTGGAAAGGCGGACCGATTCCTCGAAAACCGAAGCCTTACTCTGCATCAGGCACTGCACTTTCGACCAAGGACCGCGAAAAAGTCCAACATGGCGGTGGTGCAGGTACAGCCCTGCAGCAGTCACATATCCAATCGCCAGCCACATCGCGTAAAGCGATCTTGATGCCGGCTCAGGATATTGGAAATGCAAGCTGCGATAATCGGGTCCAAGCCGCAAACTCTCTAACCCTATCTGCATTTGATCGGGATTGTCTCAAATACCTCCAAAACTCGACATTGGTCGTAATCTTAGGCAAGCATTGGCCCTGGTCTACAGTCTCCTATGCTTACCACAAAATTGGGGTCAAGGAACCTATGGTCATGAGCATGATTCTGGCGAGTACTGCACGCGAGATTCATCGATCGCGACTACATGACCAAGAGGCCTCGTCCACACCATCATCAAGCAATGAAAATTGCGAACTGGATGGCCGCACACACTACGGTCGGGCCTTGTCGAGCCTTCGCCATGCTCTGAAACAAGATGTCAAATCGCCAGAGAAGATCGAGGCCATCTTCATCACTTTGTGGCTCATGATCGACTACGAAAATCGGTTTGGTAGTGGAGCGGCCGCCATTAACATCCACATTCGTGGAATCGAGAGTCTTCTGCACAACCATATCGTACCTTTGCTTCAAGGATCCGCAGGGAGTTGCCCCAGTCACGGATCAGGGACAACTTCAACTTCGGCGATCATGCTGGGTGACGAAACTTCCATTAATCCGCCTGTTGATATACGTCCCGCCCCGTCAGACGAAATAAGTGCCGAAAAGAGTTCCAGCTTTCCTGCAGTCTCAAGTCCTCTAGATGGACTTCGCTGTACATCGGTTCCTCTCTTCCTTCTGTGGACCTTATACTTCTTCACACCCGCAGCGCTCTTCTTTGGACCGGCGACCACTAAACTGGATACCGATATTTACCAGTTTTTCCTGGGGGCGGAAACCGATAGTCCGGCGCGACTCACGTTGTCGGAACTATACCGAATAAGCAGGCAGTCCCCTGCAAGATTCTGGGGCGAAAAATATCCCATGTCGGCCCAATTGGATGACATGGAGAATCTTCCCGGGCTCACTCTGTATCACCGAAGCCATGTTGCACAGTTCAAGATCACGGAATTGTTCAAGCAAGGGGTTGGAGCAGGGACGACACTGGGTGAAGAAACACCTTATCAGCAAATCATCGACGAAATCAACACAATATCCATGGTAGTCCACCCTACCTCGACAGTATCAAATTGACCATATGACTTTTTCTAACACATCGGCTCCAGGAATACGATACAGTCCTCACAACCGCCCGAGCAGCGCCATCCTGCGAGGCCGTCGGCGATCGCAGAGTGATGGAAACCGTCTACTGGTCCGCCATTACATTCTACAGCACGATCGTCTTCTTCCACCTCTGCTTCCAAGATATCCTCAACAAAGCCCCCGCCACAGCAGCCCGCGTCAACCTCATCTCCCTTCACTCGGCAGTATCCCAGGTTCTCGAACTCAGCTTAAAGCTGCACCGTAGTCGACCCCGTTTAATGGTGCGAATTGCTTGGCCACTTTTCCTTGCTGGAATTGCGACGCCTGACCGGATATACCAGGATTGGGTTGCGATTCGACTACGTGAGCTCGGTCGGTATGGCCAGAACTATAGTCGGATTAGCCGGCGCTTCGATGAGATAATCCAGGGTGGTGAAGCTTATGTTTATGAGCGCGAAAATTTGGCATTGGATGTTTGAAATACTACAAAGACGGCTTGCGAGTATAGATAATGAAGAAACGATTTTATCATACAAACTTATCGAACCAGGACGCTCGATCCACTTCTCAATCACCCAGGAACCCGTATTCAGCTGAAAGCACTACAAATACGATGTCTTGTCTTGGCTGCCGACACTGCACGCAGCCACATAAGACAACAACCTACACGGCAAGTCGTCCGCGAGATGTTGGGGTATGAAGACGGAAACGTTCCGCGGAGAAAGTTTAAACTACCTTGAAATCTCTCCAGATCGTCGAGCTAGAATGAGCTCTCCACGTGGGTCGAATATTCGGCAATTTTGTGGGGTGCGTTATGGGGTACAGGACGGAGAAGCTGGAGGTCATGGCGGGATGTGGAGGTGTGTGCCTGGGGATCAATGGAGTCGACATACTACATTCTGCAGGGACCTCACCCCGTTCGTGGCAATCGGCATCTGAATGTCGGCTATAGGAGCTCTGCTCCGGTTCTGTGAGGTATATTGCGTATGCTCCAATTTTGATGAAGGCATATTTGAAGACATTTTTCGAGAAGGGCTGTGTGTGGTTCTCCACAAGTGATGATCGCAATGAAAACACTTTCTTCATAAGTATCCAGTCATCAATTAATTTCTGATGACTTCATATCAGGCAACTGCAAAAATGACAGAATTATTGAAGTGGACATGGAATTCCCTGCAAGGGACGACCCAAGGATACCTGAATCTAAGCCAAGAAGGCCTACACTTTTTGGGGCTTGGATTCAAAGACCGATGATGTTTAGTAGCCGGCTGGAAAGATATAAATAGAGCTGTTTTGGACGTTTCTACCACCGTGACCACGAAGAACAGGACCCCAAGTTACTCTCAAGTTTCAATCAACATGCTGTCTTTCCTCCCCTGGATAGGAGTGGTCTTACTCCTTGGACGCAGCAACGGTCAACCCCATCCGATAGCCATACCATCACCCAAGGCAAATACGGCAGTAGTCCCCAAAGATTTTCATTCATTTTCTATTGAATTTGCCTTTTTCCCGGATTATGCTGGAAACAAATCGCACCCTAACAGGTTTACCAAGAACCTGCTGCAGAACTTCAAGGATATCACCGGGGTATATCCACTTGTCCGAGTCGGAGGAACTTCCCAGTACTGCGCCACCATCAAGATGCAAAGTCAAAAAGAGAATGCTTTACTCACTGACTTTCTTTAAACAGGGATCATTCCGACTATTTCCCTGACCAAGAAGAAAACATCAAACTCATCTACGAGCACCCAGATGACGACCAACCCATCCAAATCAACTACGGACCCACCTTCTTCGAGTCCTACCACACCCTCGGCCCAATCAAGTTTCTACATGGGCTGAACATGAACCAGAATCGATCGATGGAACAGCTCCAAGATGCTGCCGCGGAAGCATGCACGGCAATCGGACCGCAGCTGCACCTGTTCGAGTTGGGCAATGAATGGAACTTTGTTCCGGGCGAGTATAGAGCTGGTAATTATTCGATGCTGGATTATGCACAAGAATGGAATCATAAGTCTTCTATCGTCAAGGCGGCGGTGCAGAATGCTTGCCCGGGTCCGTTCCCGGGGTTTATGGCGCCGAGCTTTGTGCTGTTGACTTTTGTGGATACGAAAGGGTGGACTGCTGAGGGGCTCTATCATCTGGGATATGATCAGAAAAATTTGACAAAGGAGCTCTCATTTCACAAGCAAGTCATTTGCAGTGTTCGTCGGAAGTTAATAGCTAACCATTTTATCTGACAGTTACATGGGCGTCAACTATGATCCTGCAAGCAATGGCACATTCAACCTTCAGAGTAAGACCTCTCACAATTGCGTACGAGACACAGCACTAACACAACCAGAGAACCTCATGAACCACACTAAGATCGTGGAGAACCTATCCTACCAAATCAAGCGCTCCGAGAACCTCGCATACCTGGGCCACCCCTTCACCCTCGGCGAAATGAACTCGATCGCGGGACAAGGCCGCACCGGCGAGACAAACGTTTTCGGTGATGCACTATGGATGGTCGATTTTTCCCTCTGGGCCGCGGCACATGTAAGGAACCCTTACTACACCCCGTACGGACATGGATACTAACGACCGACAGAACATCAAACGCCTACACCTGCATCAGGGTCTCAACTACCGCTACGCATCATGGCAGCCTATCTTAAGCAAAGGCGAGGCTCCGGCCACCAAGCCTCCCTATTACGGACAAGTCATGGTTGCCGCGGCACTGGGCGATTCGGAGCATGTTCGAGTGATGAATATCCCCCTGAAGGAGGATACAGAGGCCGCGTATGCGATTTATGATGCAGAAAGTCCCGGAAAGATTGTGGCTGTGAATCTGCAAGCGTTCAATGCTAGCTCTAGGGGTCGTCCTTGCAAGGAGTATCGGTTCAAGGTTCCGGTCACCATCGTCATATCAGGGTTGAGCGCTTAATTGCACCGGGCAGCGATTCGACAACGAATGTTACATTTGGAGGTGTCTCTTATGATTATGAACTGAAGCATGGGAAGCCGGTTACTGTGAATCATGAGAAGGAGGTCTTGGAGGTACGCGATGGAGTGGTCTCGGTTGAGATTCCGGCTTCGTCGGCTGTTTTGTTGTCATTTTCGTGAGAGGATTTGGCTATGAAATCGCAATTGCACAACTGTATTTATGTCAATTGACATTTAAGAAACTTGTGAATAAGCTCGAGTAGTTCTCGCGAAACATGGTCGCGTCAGATCTCCCTCGGTCAGGAGCCGAGATTCCTACCGTCCCCCACCTCCTCTCCGACGCTGCAGATCACCGCAGTGAATAGATCAATCCGGTATGTTCGAACACCGACAGGGCTCATTTTTCCCTATCATATCACAGGCCCTAGCAAAATTCTTGCTGCATTCGTTTGTCACTTGCCATTTTTTGCTCGCCCTATGCACTGTTGAGTCTGCCTAACGACGACGGTGTTGGAAGTGAGTTCGTATGATTTTGGTGCAGCATCAAGTGCATACAAGCTGACCCTGGTCCGGGGTATTGCATTTTTTTTTTCGACAAATCTCTGCTTCATTTGGATATACCGATGTTGTCCCTGGACGTAGCTAGCCCCTATCCTGAAAACGTACTCAATGCCGGCATACTCTCGTACCATTCCCTAGATTCGATATTCTCGACAATCCACCTTGCCAACTGAGCTCGCGTTATGGATGTCGTCCATCTACCCCCTCCCAGCTCCCCAGCATATACTGAACCAGTCTCTCTATCACGCTTCCAGCTGATCTCATCAGACTCACCCGAGATAGCAGCGAGGCGAAAGACAGTCCAGTCCAAACCCTGCCCTTCCTCCTGGAAAGCAGCTGACAAATTATGCATATTGGCGTAGATCGCAGACGCGAAAAGGCACATGAGCACGTGCACCATCAGCTTGAACACTGAGAAGCAGTCGTCTGGACGGGATATAGAGATAGTCCCCATGGCGGTTATTCTTCGGATTCCAAGTTTGCCATCGCAGGAAATATAGCATTCTTGTAGTAGTCGGCGAAGTGGAATGGATCGATATTATTGTTTTCGAGACTTGGTCCGAGGAGAGATAACACAACACCGCAAGGGGCCATGGCATTTTTGAGGGACGTCTGATCTGACATTTCGCCTTTCATGATCTACGTATTGTCAGTTGTCAGCATTGCGCAGTAAGACCCAGATAACTTTGAGATCCAAAGTGCTAGCCACGTACCGTCAGAAACTCGTGGGAAGCAACGTCATCTGGTATTTTGTCAGGGCTCCGGGCGTAGACCACGATTCGGCGTTGAGACGAAATTAGTTCTCGGATGAGACATATCCCTGCAGGACCATTGACTCCAAGAACAAGAATTCGGTTGGGAATTGGATGCCATTTCGCTTTGATGGATTTCCTGAATCATTGATTATTCGTATGAGAGCTGTCAAGCTGAGGATTCTCTCCTGCGTCTTTATAACACATCAGGTGGCGGGCGCTCTATTATCGCCCCACTGCGCCCGTCAGAGTCCGCTCGTGTGGTAGTTCTGTCTATGCAGGCATCACCCCAAAGCGATAGATTCTGCTTCACATCGGCCTTTTTATGGATCTGACATATCCTCAGGTTAGTCGAAGAAGGTATGGAGAAAGAAGGGATGAAGGTGGTTAGCGCGCAGTTCCCGCGCCGATCCGACTCCGCGCGGGATTGCCACCGCGCGCGCCTCTATCTACATGGGAAAAACAAAATATCTCCAACCACCTCCTACTCACGGTCCGCGGCAAATCTTGAACAGCTAGCTGGCTTGCTAGACCATTAGCTCTATCTCAGTACAGGTCCAATGACATGTTGACCGAAAAGCAGACGAGAAAGCGTTCCTGCTGGACATGTCGCCTCCGTCACAAAAGGTGTGACGCAGTGCTTCCCACATGTGGCCCTTGTTCAGCACTAGAAATCAACTGCTACTACAGTGACCAAAAGCCAGACTGGATTGACAACGGTCCACAGCAGCGAGAAATGTCTCGGCAAATCAAGACCGAAGTCAAACAAAGCGCGAGGCGCCGGCGCGGCATTACTCTCATGGAGGACATCGCTCAAACCATCGCAGTTAGTCCGGACGAGCCCACTTCCAGGCTTAGTCGACTGCGCTCCTATGATTTCTTTTATAGAAAAAAGCTCGATACGACCAGGAGACCATTGCCCCTGCAACAATTTACAGAAACTCCCGCGAGCCACCCGGAGAGATCGCACTCCACTCCTGCCACCGATGATTCGACCCACCTTTCGTGTCCATCTAGCGCTTCATCAATGTCCACTCGGAGTGACATAAACATGGGGCTCCTGATGGGGTATATGGATTATGTTTTCCCAGCCTTGTTTCCATTCTACAATCCTTCCATACTCGAGGGTGGTCGGTCCTGGCTTCCCATACTGGCTACAACGAATAGCGGGTTCGGCAATAGCATAATCAGCTTAACCTCCTATTTCTTTTCAATAGTCCCAGTTGTCCCAGGACTCGACCACGACAAATGCTCCACCAAGACCTGGGAGGAAGTGCGCAACCAGATCGAGCTTGCTCTGAATAATGTCCAGCATGACGTTGCCATTTGGCAAAGCCGAGGAACAGACACATCGCTCCGAGATGGCGTGAATCTCCTGGCGACTATTGTACAACTTCTCCATATTGCGCCTGAAATCTTCACATCGTGTCAGTGGCAGGTCCATTTGAAGGCAGCAGTTGCTCTTTTTCAGCAGATGTTGAAGCATCACGGCCAAAGCAGCGTGATGTCAGGTCAAGGGATAGAGGTCATTATGAAAGATCTGGTTGGCGGGGCTCCGTTCATAACACCTGTCGTGGAAAGGGGAGCCTTCTCCTTTTTCTCTTCGCTGCTCATTATGGACGACATTATCGCCAGCACATGCCTCGAGAAACCGTCCGAATTACTACCGTTGCTTCATGATCTTCAGACCAGTTCGCCAAAGGCGGATCCCCCGCGGCGCCTTGAAGAAATCACAGGCTGTCAAGATTGGGTGTTCTTGGTCATCGGCGAGGTAGCTGCTTTCGATGCATGGGAAAAAGAGAATGAGAGGACCGGTAGAGAATCCAGCTTCGATCTAATCCCCCACATAGATGTGCACACAATCGAGGTCCGGTGGCAAGAAGGCATGAAACGCCTTTATCTACACCAGCAGTATGAATCCTCTTCACCCGCCGACATCAAATCAACACGACCACTTGAATACATTCTGCGCAACTCCGACTGCACGTACGGTCTACGTTGGTGTTCATCAGAAACGCGTTATACTATCACAAGTGTCTGGGCTCAGGCGGCTCGCGTGTATACTTTGAGTGTCTTCCATGGCTGGTGGGCGAGAGAAAGCCAGATCTCCAACTGTGTTGAAGAAACATTGAAACACTTAGATAGGATCACATCGCCTGCCCAGCTTCGAACTCTTGTCTGGCCTATCTGTGTGACTGGATGTCTTGCTAGGGAAGAACAGCGGACAAAGCTCCTCTCCATCTTGAGCAAGACTGGTGCCCTTGGGGCTCTGAGGAGTGTGCGCGAGGCTTTGGAAATCATCCAAAAAGTGTGGGGGCAGCAGCCTGATGATGGCTATACCTGGGACGTTGCTAGCTGCTTGAGATGCTTGGGTCACAGGGTCCTCCTAGTATGAAATTTCCCAGCAGAAACTGCTCGAATATAATAGTAATGTCCTACGCCATATGAGTATATCCTGCCATCGAATTAAACTTATCGGCAACCTATCCTTGAGCTGCATTGTACTCTCCCGAAGTATGAAGTGGCCCCTGAAGGCATAGGGAAAAGCAGGCTGTACGTGGAGCCTTGTGCAAATCTTTCCGCCCCACTCCACCTCCCATCCCCAACAGCGCCAAGTTTGCGTGATACGCATGAACGCTCCGTTTTCGCGCGATACGAGGCTGCCAGCCCGATCTTCGCATTGATATCCCAATCGGCTCAACCACCCCTGGACAGCCACGCCCGCCCCAGCTCGAGCGCACCCAAAACAGGGCCGGACCCTGGACCAAACCGTTGGCAGCACTCCAATGGGCCACCAAATAGTGGAGAAGTGATCCCCTTAAAGCCCATTTAGGCCCTTGGAGGTCCACCGGGTGGCCTGAAGAGACAAATGAGGGTCGGCTCACCTTGGATGCTAGTCGCTAGCGCCGCCCAAGTGGGTTGCGATGCGCAGAGAGATTGGGCCCTCAGCCCCGATAGAAATCAGCCGCAGAATAAGCACGAGGAGAGCCTTAACTGCGAGCCTTGACTCTTTCTCCGATCCCGAGCCTATTTTTCCTCTGCTTGCTCGAGATCTCGCTGCAAGCCTTGTGGCTTTTCGCTGTTCCTGGCCGCTCTGTTGAAGCTTCACTTCATCCTCATGTCATCGCGCCAGGATGGCCGAGTCGCGAGAACCGGAGCACTCGCTGCTGCAAGAGGAGGACCTCGTCAACGCGCGCCCCGCGCGCTCGTGGAATCCGCTGCGGCGCTCCTCATCGCCTGATGTCGACTACCACCGCATGCCCTCCCAGAACCCATTGCCCTTCTCCGACGAAGTCTTCCGCGACGTCGGTCTAGGAATCACCAATCCGTCTGGCGAAACACTCCCCGCGGGCAAATCCAGGCGAACATCGGTCTCGAGCGCGACAAGTCAAGCAGATACACCAGGTTTCTTGAAGACGCCAGAAACGCCCGCCATTCCGCATTCGCCAAACTGCCCGAGTCGCAAAGCAGTCCTCCAGCGCCGACTGTCTTGGGTTCCAATCACAATTCTCGTACTTGCCTTCTATGCGACGGTCTTCTCGGGTATCTACCTTGCGGTTGCGATTCGGAAACCGCGATGGGGAATTATTAACGATCAGCAGGCGCTCGCCCCGTCCACCGCGAGCCTTTTGTGCGCCTTCTTCGCGAAAACAATCGAATTGGCCTATGTCACCATCTGCGTCGCGTTTCTCGGTCAGGTGTTGAGTCGTCGGGCTTTGACGAAGGATTCTCGGGGAATCAGTATCGCGGACATGAGCATGCGAGCGTGGATTATGCAGCCTGGGTCGATGATTGTGCACTGGGAGAATCTGCGGTATTCCGCACTCACTATTCTGGGATCGATTGCATTGGTCGCTACCTTTGTAGCGATGCTGTACACCACCGCCGCGGAGGCCTTGGGTAGGGACGACATGTACACGACGATTATCTTTGATTTACGACTAATTCTCTCTCTTCCAGTATCACCAACGCTTTCCATGGGACCGCGGGAAGAAACAACACTAGCAGGAAAAGTGCATGCTAGCTTTGCCAACACCAATTATCTCGCCGCTCACTGTCAGACTCCCGTGACCGTCGCGGAGGACCCTGAGGCTCGCAATACAACATGTCTGCAAATTGAGCATGTGGGATCGGCTTACCATAACTACCAACAGTGGATCAGCAACTGGGCCAATCTTGTGGTGGGCGACAATGAGACCACGGATAATCTTCACACCCGCCCAGACCCCAGTGGTTCGATTTGGGACAACACAACCGTCACAGGCAGCTGGATTGAAATCAAAGACGCGACCGAGCTCTCAAAGAAGCACAAACGCATGATCAACAATATCACCATGGCAATGCCTCATGGCGGTATTCCCGGTGCAGCGATGGACGGCAAGAATGGCATTCGACAGCCACAAGATGCATCTGGAGAGGGCAAGTATAACCTGGAGGCGTCCGTCCCATCTCCAGCTGTGAATGTGCTATGCGTGGGAATGAACAAGTCCGAACTATCTCCCCTAGTCTACTCGTCATGGCCAGAAGCAGACTTCGACGCAACAAGCTTCAGCGCCGACCCACCTTCCAACATCCCGGTCTGGCCCTCCTGGATGAACAGTACAGTCGTCGACGATGTTTTCGGCTTCGGCGAGGAATACGGCCAACGCCCTCCGGTCTTTGGCACTTATCCACAAACCTACAACACCATCCTTAATACAACCGGCCGCTGGCCCACAGATGCAGTATACCTGCTGGGCAAACCGAGCGTATCCCATCCACCCTACGTGATGTGCTCAATCCGCGCCAAACAGACCGGCGTCTGTTCCACCCGCTACAGTGCCGCGTCTAGCGGCGCCTCCCTCAACACAAATTGCGAAAACTCCACCAACCCCTTCCAATACGACCGTGATCATCAAAACTTCCCTGAAGGACTCTGGTCAGCCGACTACAAAAACATTGCATCCGAATGGGCCGGCTCCCTGAGTCTGAACGCAGGAATCACAAACGGCTCCGCGAGTAACGCACGCCTCCTGATGCAAATGATGCCCGCCTACGACTCCTCAACCGGAACATACTCCCTCGACCCAACCCTTCCCTCCATCGGCGAGGCATTAGCTGTAATGGCCGGCAGCACCCTAATCCTCAGCTCCAAAGACGCCCCATATGTACCAGGCTGGAACTACAGCGGAGACGGCGACGTCCTCTCCGAACCCGTGTACCAATATTTCCGCGCATCCCTCCAAGCAGTCGGCTACGCCTCAGGAGGGACAGAAAAATGGCAAGGCGTATTCTACGTCATTCTCACATTCTGCTTCATCACCAGCTTCATATGTTTCGGCTTCGTGATTCTTGAAGCGCGCGGGCACCAGATTACCGACTTCACCGAGCCGCAGAATCTCTTCGCGCTAGCCATGAACAGCCCGCATAGTTCGCGGCTGCAGGGTGCTTGCGGCGGTGGGCCTGTCGGACGACAGCTGAAGGAGCGCTGGTTCATTGGGATGGAGGAGGATGATGCGCATTACTACATTCGTGCTAAATCGGATGGCCGGCTGGCGTTTGATAATGGGAGGTCTACTGGCTACCGTGGCATGGAGCCTATGGATATGGATGATGGCTCGCTGAAGCCGGTTAGTCCCGCTGTCGATGAATTCCGGCGCGTTTCCAAGGGACGATCGTTCCTCGCGAAGCTTTACTGAGTACTCTACTGGAGATTCACATTGTGTGTTAATAGATGATATCCACCATTCGGCATTTGATTTCTGCAAACTGGGACTTTTTTGCCATTTTTTAGAAATACATTCAACGGCGTTTTTGCTTTTGATCAGCCCTCGTGGATAATAATGGTATCTCTCCCCATTTTTTCATTCCCATAGATGTGGCTACCGCTTCGACCTTGCACCAGTGTGGCGGCATACTGTGGGTAGTCTTTCATTACCAAAGCAGTCCCTATGGTGTTTTGGAAGCCCTCTGGCGAAGACCTCCATTACCGATAACGGGCGTTATGTTGATGATTTGATCGATTACACTTAATCATTATCTCAGCAAATTCTTACCTTCCCCTCAGGTCACTGAATGACCTTGACTTAAGCAGCCTTCATTCAACGATCATTCAACGAGTCCAGAAATACTCTCCTTGGTTGAATATCCAGTTTGATACTGATATCATAGTGTCAACACTCGACTCCATGATGCAGATTGCCACGCTACAGAGCCCAGCATGAAGGAATGATTCCCTGGAGCCGCGGCGCTCCACATTCAGGTGTGAATCCTCCGAAACCGCGACTCTTGGAAGCTGCTCTGACTACACAGATGTTACGGAAGCGGCAACCCGATCATGTCAGCCAGCCACGAAGAAGCTCGGCGCCGATACCAACTATGCGCTATTTCTATCGGTCCACCAATTACTCCAACACGAGTCCCAGTGGCCTGGAAACCTTTCCCGAGATGGCTAGTGCTACGTCTATCTGATACGCTTGAGGGTTATTTGCGAGTGACTACCCGGAGAACAAGGATGAGATGGGACGAAATTCGGGATTGTCTTAGGTCTGATATCCGGCGCTCTTGTTCATGCTACGGATGATGAGTTGGAAGAGACTACGTGAATGGCTTATCTCACTGTGCTTACTGGTGTACTACATTCATCAAAAAAGTGGGAGTCAAATCGGCACCCAGGCACCAATAAATTTCATATATACAGAGACCTCGGCCAAAAGCCAGCAATCAGCACGGTGACAATTGAAAGGAATCAGCACGAAAACTTCAACGTTACTGAGAAATTGAGATATGAGAGAGAGAGAGAGAGAGAGAGGAAACACAAAAATGTATCAGATTCAACTGACAGGAATCAACAGTGAGGCAACGCTAGAGAACCGCTCGCGCACACAAGACAAATGCAAGAGAGGGTTGCATGCAATGCAAGGGAACTTTTACAAGGACGCCTAGGACGCCATGCAGTAAAGTATGAGATAGGAGAGGGTCTATCGATGGATAGAGTGAGGGTGACAGGTAGAGAAAGAGGAAGGGAAGGTTGAGTGTTTCCTGGATAGACCAACGGGTGTGCTGGCCAGCTGAGGTTGGTTCGGATCAGCGATCAGCGTGGATATTAAGCCAGCTCATATCTGAATTAACATTATGATCGCGACCGGCTCGGAGCTCGTCGATGTCGTCTGGTATTACCACGCTCGACCGCCGACCATGAGACTGCCGACTCATATCGGGAAAGTAGCCTGAATTCGTATTTTGCAGGTCTCGTGTGCTAGAGTTGTAGAAGCTAGTGCTATAGTTGCTGCTGGGTGGACGGCCCAGCCAGCTCTGTTTGTGTGCGCCTGTCCAGGCTGTGTCGTGGGGGTCATCATCTGAGGCGAGACTGATTGAGTCTGCGCTCGAGATGCGTGCTGATTGGGCTTCGGGGATGGCGAGGCTCCGGTCGGAGGAGGGAGGGTTCTCGGTCGTCGGGCTGCCGCTGTACACTTGGCCTAAGGGCTTTGGTTGGTCAAGGAGGCCGAAGTTCACGGGGGTGAGGTTAGCCATGGGCCAGGCGCTTCCGCGGTAGTCGGATTTTGTGTAGACGGAGCTGACGGTCGAGCGGTCGGCAGGCATGCCGCCCAGATTTGAGGTGCTGTTGCTGTCTTCGAAGTATTTGCCCCATCCTTCGTCGGTGGTGCGGTCACCGGCCTTGTTGGAGCTGGCGGCTGCAGCTCCGGCCGCACCACCGGCAACGATGGCTGCGCCTTCGGGCTCTTGAGAGTACATGCTCGAGGGCGCCAGGCCGCTGGATGGAATGGGAGAGAGCGGGCTGCTATCGCGTGGGCGGTTGGACAGGCCATAGCCAGCGTTGCCCGGGGGCGGCTTGAGGGTCTTCTCCCCACTGACGTGACCAGACATGATAGCAAGTGAATCGTTCGAGATGGAAGCGACGGGGACCGGACTCTTGGCCATCGGGTAAGCACCATTGGCAAGGGGTTCTATCCCCTGGTCTTGGAAGCTCAGCCGGTCCTTGCTATCATTGCCACCCAACTTGCCGTTCTGGGCTTGCTGTTGCTTCTTGCGGCGGAGGAAGAAGAGCAGAAGGAGAAGGATGAGGGCCACACCGCACACACTGCCGAGAGTCGCACCGAGGATGGTTTTCAAACCAGCGTGCGAGCTTCCACCAGCAGCCGGGGCAGGAGTGGAGGTGGAAGTGCTGGTGGTTGTGGCCGAGGCGGAGATGGACGATGTCGCGGTGGGAGTTGGTGTGCTTGACGAAGTCGATGATGTGGTGGTATGTGTTTTCAACATATGTTGGCTAGGCTTGCCATAGAACAGCTCGGTGGCGTTGGCCCAGCTATTGGAAGTCTGGTTAAAGATGGCCAATGAATTATCACCACCACCGCCAGAGAGTACAGCGATTCCCTGCTGCGAGGCAACAGAGTAGTCTGACCATTTCTGTGTCGGAGCAAATTTGTCACCATATGTGGGATAATCGCTCAGACTGCGCTTCTTGGAAGAACCCAGCTCAGAGGCCGGCGACTGTACCTCCCCATTATCGTTGACTAGAGCATAGCTCGTCACTGAAGAAGAGCCATCCATATTAAACGTCAGCAAAATTTTGCCATCTGAGCCGTCGTCCATCAAAGCAACTTGGACCGATGAGTCCAGTGAACTTGGCAGACTTGCACCAGACTCAGCCCAGCCTGAGTCGCCATCACCATAAACATAAACAATGCCGTTCTGCTGCTGGCCACCGATCATGGCGACATCTGAAGAGTTCCAGGACAACAGCATGGGCTGATAAGCTGGCGGTGCTCCTTGGCTGAGCACCGAAGAGGAGTCGTACGGAGACTTTGCCGAGATAGACCAGCTTTGCGAAGAGGGAGTGGTGTCGCCAGTCTGGCTGCCCGAGTAGACAACAATCGAAGCAGAGGAACTCAGGTAGGCAGCGCCGTGTCCGGTACGGTCCGAGAAGTCGGTTCGTGCAGATCCGAGGATGTCCCACCTGTTGTCCTTGAAGGAGTACCGTTGGAGTCCGGGGTAATCTTGGTCGTCGCCGGTCCCGCCGACCACGTAGAGGGCTTTTTCATCTTCGTTACCCTCAATTCCTCCCAGCACGCAGACTGCGTCGGATACGGGCGTGCTGCCTTCGGACAATTCGGACCAGGTGCCATTCTGGGAAAGCGGAATTGATAGGAGGCCTTTTTTCGAGAAGGCGTAGAGGGTATTGCTGTAGATGACGGAGCAATGACCCTCGAGCTTGTAGGGGGGTTCAGGGACGGTCATGTCGAATGCGAGTGCGAAAGAATAGAAAGATGATACCAGACCAACAGGAAAATTGCGGGTAGCCAGCCGGCAGAAGAAATCGGGCCGATGCGTAGAGAATGAACGGTGACTGCCAGAGCACTATCTCATCGCGGCCGGGTGTGGTTTAACAGCGTGTCGGCATTCGGGAGCGTCCGTGATTGTGAGAGTGTACGGAGTGATTCTTTTCTCGGATTGGCGAATGGGTGGAATGTCTCAATGTGTCGGGGCGACTTGCTACTGGAAGCTGCTAGTTCTCCGTGAGAAATTCGGGAATGTGGAGTCGTGAAGAGACGAGTTGAGATCGGAGAAATTCGTCGAGATATCCAGCTCGGGTGCGCGCAAAAGACGGACGTTCACAGATTGTCGGTCCGGTGTAGACCAGCGATAAGGCGAATCGACGCGAAATCGAAAAAGGGTCGAAGGAGAGACGAGCCTCGAGGAGTCGGGGGGCACGAGGCTGAGCCGAGACGAAAAGAGGAGCGAACGGGGGCGACAGGTCGCGGAGGAAAGAAAGCTGTGGCTGTCAGCACCAGAACATGACACGGCTCGACTCAACGCGAACACAACAACAAACAACCTCACATACAGGGACAAGTGCGCAGCACGACGAAGGGCGAGAGAGACAGAAGGAGTGAGACAGAAAGAGCCCCCTAACACGACGACCAGCAGCGGGCTAGCTTGGCCCACTTGGGTTAGCTCCTCCCCTTTATGGCTATTTCGTCATGCAAATTACCTCGGGCGATCATGACATTATTTATTGTTTTTAAAAGCTTCAATTGATCTCATCGAATATGTTTCGTAAGTATAGTATACAGACAGAGAGCCAGACTGAAAAATGTGGCATATTGGGGCTGCTCAATCCTCTACGGCTGCTCGTCTCGGCTCTACAGGACGTTGCAGCTGGCAGGCAGTGAGGGCTGCAGACTCCACCGCGTCCTGCGAGGCACTTACACCTCGACTCTGACCAGGGACAAGCAAGGGCTCGGCCTGTTTCTTCCTCCGATCCTGCCTCCCTTTCGTCTTAATAAAATGTTAGGTGGGCATATCAGGGGGATTTGTTGATGGAAGGTGACCTGCCCCTTTTCGACGGATCGAACCATGGAAGCAGTTGGCTCGTGCGCGCCAGGAACAGGGTACCATCGCTGCATCAGGAGGAGGTACTTCCCTTAATGCAGACAGCCCTGCCTAAACGGAAGTAGCCCCCTCACTCAACCACCCAATTTCGGGAACTCGCCTTTCTCTCGACATAAAATTATGCCCAATGAAACCAGGGCGCCCCAGGGTACTCAACGCAAAATACGACTGGATATAGATCTAGCACAACGTGGCGACCCGGTCGAGAATGCGGCATTCCACCCAGATTAGCGACTTCCATGCCATCTGGACCTCCGCTAGTGTCGCACCAGCTGGTTAGCCCCAGCCCACGCCCCTCGTGGACACCGTGCTATACACTCACCACGCCACGTCCACAGTAAAAGGTGGGCCAGTCGCGAAACACAAGCAAGACATAATATCCAACACGAGATCTAAGCGAGCGCCAGCATTTATTTCACAAGTGGTATTGTGATATATAGCACTAAGCCACCGCAGTGCCTCGCACAGTCCCCGTGTGACAACCCAGTCAGGGCCAGGCACGAGCGGGCGCAGATTCAATCCATCCCAAGCACGAAAAACCACGGGTCCAGCGGAATCCCCCCACCAGGCAATCAGATCGTGACGAGCCGTGGGGTTTCCTCTGGCATTATGGTTAAAGTTCTTGCCGTGCCTTGTTGGGTGGGCGATCGGTGATGACTCTGCAGCACGCGGCGGCGTGCCACCTTGATAGCCTGGGCACATACTGTACTGTAGATTGGCGGGCCGGCTGACTATACTCGATGGAGTGTGTAATGCCGCCCCGTCTACGCATTAATTACTGGCAATTACTCTACTGAATTCTGATTGCACACGAACGACCAGATCCGAGAGTCCCGCATACATCAACCTGGTTCCCTCGGGTTGGCACCAGGCCCCAGCAATCGGGCAATCGGGAGCTTTGCTCGTGTCGTACGGGCAGCTCGGGAATGACTGATGCATCAATGTGCGATCGCGGCTGAGTTACTGAAAATGAGGAAGAAAGGCATTGTAAGGTGAACTTTCGATGAATTTTGGAGATCCCTGGGATATTTTATTCCGTACATAGCATTACATCGGGTAGGGATCTCATTCAAGGTCATAGTCATGGTCATGGGGTGGGTAACAGCCTCCACCGCCACATCGTACTCATACAACACCACCCACCCATCCACCAATCTGCATCTGCAGAACTTGTCAACATCATCACGCACATCCTTACGCGCCGCCCTTCTTCCAGGCGTGCGCCTTCTCCAGCAGCTTCGAGAGATTGGCCGCCGATTTGTCGTCGGCCGGGAACATGTAGTCCATGTACTCCTCGTATCGGTCGTCCTCCAGCTTGCGGCGCTTCTTGACCCGGCGCGGCATCTGCTTCTCGATTTTGTCGATGTCGTCCGGCGAGCCGTGGGCGTGCTCGAATGATCGCCATGCGTTAAGCAGTTCAACACGCTGACCATGAATTAGTTCCTGCTTCCCATTGAACCTTTCCAGGGCCTTGCAAATACTTACCTCTTCCTTGAGCCCCTTGTCCTTGAAATCCTTGTGTGCCCGCTCGAAGATCGCCCGAGTCCGGTTCTTGGCATCTTCGGTGGCCGGCTTCTGCTCTTCGGTCTCCTCATCTTCTTCGTCGTCGTCCTGGCCGACGCTGATCTCGAATTTGGCGTAGGCAGTCCAGACCTTGACGTGGGAGGTCTTCTGGAGCAGACGCTCGTACAGCGCGCGCACTCGCTCGTACTCGCCTTCCTCTTCTTCAAACTCGATGTAGGACCGCCATACCAGCTCGGGCATGTCCAAAGTGGGCTGAGTGACTGCAATCTCGTAAATTCCGCGCGCACGATCCTGATCGTCCAGTCCGCGTTCCAGCTCGGCATAGCCAATGAAGGAGTGGCAGTTCTCCGGGTTCCATTCGATCCACTTCTCGTACAGTTTCCGGCACCGCACGAATTCGAACAGCTTGCGCTCGAGATCAATATATCCACGGAAAAGCTTGTCCTTGGGGCACATGCCGATGGCCGTGCCCAAGGTTTTGCGGGCAGCGTCCAAGTCCATCATGCGGATCTCAAACTGCGCCTTCAGGAGCCACACCTTGGCAAAAGTGAACTTCTTGTGCGGAATGAGCTTGATTAACTCTTGGTAGACCTGCCGAGTCCGGTTCGTATCCTTCGCCTCCATTTCTTCATACGCGGCGTAGAAAATCCAGAGGTAGATGTACCGCCGCCAGTGTCGCTTCTCCTGTGAAGGGGGAACCTGTGCAATGGCCCGCTCGTAAACATCGCGGGTTCGCTCCACGTCGCCCGTGGCTTCCTCCAGTCGAACATAATCAAACCAGATGTCGTAATTGCGCTGGTTTTCCTTCAATTGCTCTTCATAATGCACCCGGCGCTTAGACAGGACCACGTCCTCAACACCATCCTGATCACCGAATTGCTTCTCAAAGGCCGTGTAAGACTGGTGGAGTTTCATCGCCTTGGATCGCGGTAGATTGTCGAGGGAGATCTTGTAGATTGCACGCGCACGCTCAAACTCTTGCAGCTTGGTTTCAAACTTGGCGTAGGCGATAAAGATCTTCTCATCCGCGAAGTCCATTCCTAGTGTGTCGACCGCAGCGTCAAACACCTCGCGAACCAGATCACTCGTACCATTCTCTTCTTCAAAACGGGCCCATCTAATCCAATTCTTCGGATCAGGATGCACAACTGTGAACCGTTGGTAGATATTGCGCGCGCGGTCGAATTCACCGTAGCGCTGCTCCAGTTTGATGTATGCAAACCACGCGCTCTCCTCTGGCTCCCATGACATCCACCGTTCGAAGACCTGACGAGTACCGGGCAGATTACCAATTGTCTCCTCCATGTAGACATACTTGAACCAGAGCTTATCCACACGGGGCAGAATCGTAACGGCGCGATCAAGAAGGTTCCGGGCATGGTTGATATTCTTTTCTTTCATTTCAGATTCGATGTAGCGAATCCACAGGACGACGGAGGTCGCGTCCACGTCCAGCGCACGTTCAAAGATAGACCGCGCGCGGCGGAATTCCTTCTGCTCTAGCTCCCAGGCAGCATAGCGCATCCAGTTGTTCATGTTAATGCGGTTTCGCCGCACATAGTCTTCGAATTCCTTGCGCTTCCGGCCTTGATATTCGTGTAACTCTTCGAGATCGGCAAATTTCTGGGTCGGGGCTTGCAGGCCGGGCTCTTGTCGGTCGACAGCCTCTCGCAGAAGCTGCTCGGCGGATATCTGGACCGGCGCCGCGGCTTTGTTTTTGACCCGGGGAGGGCCACGGGACGCCTCCATTATGGGCGGGTTGAACGGGTGATGAGGAGTTGAGGTAGGTGAGGAGATCGGAATTTGAGTCGGCGAAGCTTGTAATTCGATGCCAGTCCTTGGATTTGGCCTCGAGGGATGGGTACGGGTGAAGAGTGTGAAAAAGTAGAAAGGCGCACAGCTCGGTAGTCGATTAAATCTATCGGAAAACCACCGGAGACTGTGCTGCCTAGACAAAAGTAGTAGGCGCGATGCGTCTAGGTCGTACCTGCCTTTCGCGGGCCCGCTGATGAAATCCCCCGTTTGCACTTCTGGTCTTTCGCGCCGCCCGTGAAAAGCTCCCTCTGACTAATCACCTCCGAGCTCACTTCCGCCCGTTTTGTGTCGCGGACAATCCCATCTTCAGCGGCCAGCAGCCAACAGTTCCGGTGGCAAACTGGGAAGACATTTACAACTGCACACTCCCTCTACGATAGTCTCTTTGGCTATCTTGACTCGCCCATCATGTCTGCTGCGGAGGATCTCCTGCGCGACTTTGAAGACGATGAGGACTTCCAGGACCAGGAAGGCGAGGACCTCGCGCAACAAGAAGCCGAGGCGGACGAGCAAGAGCAACAGGATCTCGCTTCCAAGACGACTAGTGATTTCGATCTCTCCATCGCGACTGCCGACGAACTCACCCGACTCCACAAAATTCTTCGCGACCACTACTCGGTCCGATTCCCCGAACTAGAAACCCTTGTCACAAACTCGATCAAATACGCCAAAACCGTCGCTATCCTCCAAAATGGCCCTTTCGACGATATCAAATCCCTCTCCAACTCGACCGACAACATGGTTGGCGAGTCTCTCAAAACTGTGCTTGACGGTCCGTCTCTCATGACAGTAGCCCTAGAGGGAACGACCACTCGCGGCCGCCAACTGACCGATGGCGAGTTGAAAACCGTTCTGGAAACCTGTGAAAAAATCATCCAGCTCGACCGCGAGCGTACTGCACTCACGGAAAACATTCGATCTCGCGTCAATTCGATTGCGCCGAATCTGGTGGCTTTGATTGGATCACAAACTGCTGCGCAGTTCTTAAACCAGTCCGGTGGATTGAAGGAGCTTGCTAAAATCCCGGCTTGTAATCTAGGAGCCCAAGGCGCCAGGCGCCAGGATGGTCTGGGATTGGCTACAAACCATGGCGTTCGTTCACAGGGTTTTCTGTACGACTCGCCTCTCATCCAGGAGGTCCCGAACGATCTGAAGAAGCAGGCGATCCGGATTGTCTCTGCCAAGATGGTTCTCGCTGTCCGCTCCGACGTCTCCAACTACGCCAAGGACGGTTCGCTGGGCGAAGACCTCAAGGAGCAATGCTTCAAGCGAATCGAGAAACTGACTGAGCCTCCGCCGAACTCCGGTGTCAAGGCTCTCCCCGCACCGGATGATAAGCCATCCCGCAAGCGCGGTGGTCGACGAGCCCGTAAGGCCAAGGAGGCCGTCGCCATGACTGAGCTTCGCAAAGCTCAGAATCGGGTTGCGTTCGGCCAAGAGGAAGCTGAGGTGGGATACGGCACAGGATCAGGCACCGTGGGTCTCGGCATGCTCGGCCAACAGAACGATGGCCGTATTCGGGCAACGCAGATCGACCAGCGCACCCGGGCCAAACTCAGCAAGAACAACAAGGGCTGGGGTGGTGCGACCCCGACCACTAACGGCGCAGCCTCATCCCTGCGTACGTTTGGCCAAGGTGCCAGCGGAACCGCCAGCTTGCTGCAGGCTCGGGGTCTTCGCACCTCTGGCGTGGGCTCGACGTCCGCGACTGCTGGTACGGCCAGTACTATTGCCTTCACGCCTGTACAGGGCTTGGAGCTGGTGGACCCGAAGATCCAGGCTGAGTTGAACCGCAAGCGCAAGGCCGAGGAGGATCGCTGGTTCAAATCTGGCACATTTACCCAGGTTGGCGGCGGTCAAAGTAGCACGAACCCGCAGAAGGACAGCGATGGCTTCATGAAGCCGGCGATCCCGCCCCGCAAGAAGGTCGATACCGGCGAGGGCAAGATGGGCCCGCCGCCCAAGCCGTAGGGCGTGAATTCGCGTCCGCTTGCCGTTTTATCGAGATCGATCATCATGCAAACCAAATTCAGTGCGGGTCTGTGCATTCCGGGCGTTGGGCGACGATCAGGGGAACTCTTTTTTTCTGCTTTTATTTTGCTACACATGATACCAATTACTTCCATGTACATCATCACCATCATGCCTGCTATAGCTGAAGGGCGAGTAGGTCACGTCTCTCGGAGTGCCCGACAGGCCAATCACACAAGAATCAAAAAATCTGCAAATGACCAAAGCGGCTCCTTCAAGTCGTGATCGACCCCGCAGTGCACGCTAGATCCCCAATGTCGTAGATCGCAGGCTTCCCCAATGTAGCACCAACGTCTATCTCTGCTTCCCCAATGTAGCATGCGTGACGCTGTGGAACTGTCGCCCCGCCATTTCGCCAGCCATTTTCCTCTTCCAAATAGGGTTTGCGCACTGCACGTGGAGAACCACGTCAACGTTTCAGAACCGACGCCACGGACGCTGCCTTTTGACTTGATGCCATTTTGCGTCGGGTCACATTCGTCTTCCGGCGCTGGAAGGAATCATTTTGGGGTCTGCAGCGGCGGGTCTTCTATGTCCAGAATCGATGGCAGCGGGCTGTACCAGACTTTGGGTGCCGAATGGCGTGCTTCTGCCGGGCCGTTTGCTCAGTGCTTTCGCAATCTCGGGGAATTTGGCCAAAGATTTGGTAGCGGTGAGAGATTTGCGTGCTGGGTTTATTAATGGGGTCGTTTCTGCTGGTCGTGTATTCTCTTCCACTTCTCTTTAGGCTGGTCCTTTGACTATTGAGACTTACCCGACTCCCATCCTCGTCCCAATATACATCTGATCATCTGCACATCGGTCATATATATCAGTCGATATTCGAAAGACATCAGATCGAACAACATATTTCATCCGAAATCATCGAACACATATTCATCGATAGCGATACAATCGGAACTTCGTACAGAAATCTGCGGCGTGGCAAATTGCACCCGGTCCTAAAGTATGGCTCGGGAAATAGCCGTCCCGGCACCAGGCACAGCCAACAAACTCGGGCCCAGCAACACTTCTGGAATTGAGACAGTAAAAGGGATAACCCTCAAGTACCTCCGGCCACACACCGAGATCAGCAACGACTTCGACGAGCTGAAATTTCACGCCGCAGCATCCCGCCAATTGCAATGGCAGCATGACGGGTCTCTTGCATCCGGAGAAGAGGGACGAGATACCCGGCTAATCGCCTCCCCGTACAACGACGTGCCCCATCTTCTCGACCTCGAGACACTCGACACGCAGAGCCGATTTCTCGCGCTCGCTCTGGCATCTTTCAGGTCTGTTCGCGACGATTATGCGACAGCGCCGTACATTGATAACTTCAATTGGAATGAAGTCTTTGGTCTCGTGAAAGCTTTCGCCGACGTGGAAGGGCATATCTGGAAGGCGCAGACGTTCTATGTTGTCGCGTTTCGATCTATCCTTCTTCCGGGCGCCGATAACGATCATCTGCATGCGCTTGATGCATATTCGCACCAAGAGGCTGTTGCCAGTGGTGGGTTGTTGAAGTATTGGTTTGGGACGAAGGATGAGAAGAGGCAGAATCTCGCAACTTGTAAGTTTTCTCAGTCACGTTGAGATAGAGAGCTTAGAATCGCTAATTCGCGTTATAGGCATTTGGCGCAGTCGAGAAGATGCTCGTCTGGGTGGTCGGGGACCTTGGCATGCGAAAGCGATAGCCGCAGCGAGGGAGCTGTATGAGAAAATCACTTTCACGACGATGAAGTTGATAATTGAGGATGACGTGAAGACTTGGTCGATTGGAGATTGGAAAGACTCGGCCTGAGGGTCCTTCGATTATGAGCGATGAATCATCACTGGCGTTGATTGTTAATTTGCATTTGAAAGGCCACATTAATAGAATGTATCTAGTTAGCATATTGGCTTTATCTGTTAAATGCCCATTATCACATCTGGTCATATGGTTTTGTAGGATCTATCCACTGGCCACGTAGCAAGATCCGACCCCCTTCAGAGGACCAGGTTATATGAATGGACGAACTCGAGGCTCTTTCCCCTCTTGAATTGTCATTGAAAGGGACATTTAGGGAGTGAAAAGACGAAGCGCGATGATCCATGCCGATGAAGAACACAGGGATGCGCTCGGGACTAAGCAATCGGTTGGTCAATTGCCTGACGGACCTTCTTCCCCAGTCGGGATCCGCGGGCTCCTTGGGAGCCCTTCAACTAATACAACGCGGGATCTTGGCATAAAGGGTGAGCCCTAGTTGGGTACGGCGAGAGGAATCATCTCAGACCGATCCACTTCTCGCTTGTTTCTTCCCAGATTGTGGGGCCTTTGTCGCTTTATCAATCTATGGTGGGGGTGAGAATGGATCTGGGCAGGCAAGACCTTGTTAGGCAACCATTCAATCCATGTCGGTATTAACCGAAGTACTGGGCTTTCTTCGGAAAATTATTTTCGCCTCTGTAATCCTAGTTTCGCGAGTTCAATTGATTCCGCCAGAGTCAACGACTGATATTTTCGCCATCAGCACACTCACGATCTGAATGGCGACGATACCGAAGACCTTGCATGCGCAGAGTTTTCAGATGGTGGACAGGCAATAGGTGTCTAGTTGAGCTAGTGTGTCCGATGCTACACAAGATCAGATAGCGCAAAGAAGGGTCTGGAGGCGTCCACTTAGCACGTTTAGTGCCGATACCTGCCCCAATAGGAACTCTCGCCCGCCATCGGTCCCCGAAGCCACCTACATATCAGGCCATTGGCCGCTCACAACGATTTGTTCTGTGAGAGACCAGGGTATGAGCTGGACAATGGTGCACTATTGATTTCTCTTCCGTAAAAAGAATCTGATAACTGCTGCGAAGAGTTTGTTGCGTGGTGACCTGGAGATGGAATCCTCAAAATAGTCGTATCTCAAGAGTACTAGTAATGGGTGTTGAAGACGATCCCGAGGCAGGTGTCTTATTCTCTGGCTGTCAATTCGAGTACTGATCTTGATCTTATCTCGGCCCAACTGCCGCCCCTTGCAGTCTCACCTTTCACAGGCTTCATGTAGGGCGTGGTTTCATCGCCAAGGCCGAAATCGGCTTTCTCGGTACCTGGGCCATCCATTCACACGAAACTGCTAGGGTTCAGGATCACGAATAGCACTGCTTAGCTCGCTAGCAAGATCGGCCGGGTGTCTTCGGGAGTGGAGCAGGCCACTTCAGTTGACGGACAGGTGGAGACTGGCGGTTCTCAATGTTCGATGAATGCTAGAATGAAATGAATTGAAAGAATCCGCGTATGATGTAGTGAGACATGGGGCCGGCCAAATCCGGCCCCTGGATTGCTTCCTATGTTGTCAGATTGTGCTGTGTTCTAGTTGGATATCAACTGGTATCGTGATGGCAGATCATCGTTGGTTTGCCGTGTTGACCTTGGAGTAAGATCCTGCCGTGTCAGATTAAAGATCCGGCTGTGATTCCGGAAGCCGTTTTCCCCATAATCAAAATAAAGAGGTCCCTTGGTTTCTACAGTGGGTTCGGCGGAGGCGCACGAAAGAAAGCGCTCTCGGGGTGTGGGTATACGAGGCAAACCATGGCCCCATGTCGGAGTTTATAACAGTGCACCATTGCCCGCCAAGTTTCCCTTGCAGTCTCCCAGCGGTATCCCTTCCACACCTTGGACACCATCCGGAATCATTCACTATGACTCAGGGCAAGAATTCACTAACTCCAGAAGTCTCTGAGCATCCTCCTCCACCTCTCGTGGGCACGGGCCTTCGAGACTCCCATTTTCAGAACCAAGATCAAGACCCAGACCAGCAGGATGGTGTTCGAGTCGCTGAAGCCGTCACGGCTACTTGGTCCAAGAAGTCCTTGATCATTACCTATGTCTCGTAAGGATTGTCATATTGCGATAAATGTTCGATTCCGCTAACTCTTCACAGCATGTGGATGATTTATTTCGTGAATGGCCTCAACAACAACTTCACCCAGAATCTGGGAGCTTATATCACAAGTGACTTCGACGGACACTCCCTGCTTTCAGTGATCACTGTCGTTACCAGTGTGATGGGTGCTGCCTGCCTAATGCCCATTGCCAAGGTGCTGAATTTGTGGGATCGCACCCTGGGCATGTGCATTATGATCCTGATTGCCATCATGGGGCTGATCATGATGGCCGCCTGTAGCAATATCGCGACCTACTGCGCCGCCCAAGTCAGTATTCACTTCTTCCTCTCTTGCGTGGTTTCCGGGGACCAGGCTACTAACTTGTGGTCAATTCCAGTCTTTCTACACGGTCGGTCTGACTGGTGTCATCTTCTGCGTTGACGTGATGACTTCCGACACATCTACTCTTCGAAACAGAGGAATTGCGTACGGATTCACTTCCAGTCCGTATATTATCACAGCTTTCTCTGGGCCATCCATGTCCAACCAATTCCACGAAAGCAATTGGCGATGGGCGTACGGGACTATTTGCATCATTCTCCCGATCGCGGCCCTGCCACTCATCATCACATGGGGCCTGGCAAAGAAGCAAGCGGATCGAGAGGGCAAGCTCCAATACAAGCCTCGAAGCACTCGTACCTGGTGGCAGAGCATCTGGTTCTATATCGTTGAGTTCGATGGTTTGCACACCTACCCGAATCTTCTTGTCCCTGCAGCCATATCCTCTAACAAGACCTCCCTTCAACAGTCATCGGTATCCTCCTCATGATCGGCGGCTTGATCCTCTTCCTCACCTCCTTCAACATTGCAGGCAATACTGAAGGCGAATGGAAGTCCGCAAAGATTATCGCGATGATGGTCGTCGGCTTTTTCGTCCTCGTCGCCTTCGTTGCCTACGAGCGATGGGGCGCTCCGAAGCCGTTCATTCCCTACCACCTCATCAAAGACCGCACCGTCATTGGTGCTGGACTCTTGGATATCACGTACCAAATTTCCTACTACTGCTGGGCCAGCTACTATACGTCCTTCCTACAGGTCGTCTATGACACAAGCCTCACCCAAGCGGGATACATCAGCGCCATCTTCGACCTGATGGACCCTGTCTGGCTGATCGGATGCGGCTACCTCATCCGATTGACCGGCCGCTTCAAATGGATCCTTATGTGCGCCGTACCACTCTACTTGCTAGCAAGCGGATTGATGATCTACTTCCGCAACCCGGGCTTTAGCGTCGGCTACATGTGCATGTGTCAGATTTTCCTAGCCGTCGGCGGTGGAACGATGATTCTTATCGAGCAGGTCTCTGTCCTCGCCGCCTCCAAGCACGAAGATTATGCTGCTATGCTGGCCCTTCTCAGTACATTCGGTAATATCGGAGGTGCTATTGGTGGTAGTGTTTCGGGCGCTGTGTGGACCAACACACTTCCGAAGAAGTTGCAGGAGTACCTGCCTGCCGAGACGAAGGATCAGTGGATGAATATTTATGAAGATTTGTCGGTTCAGTTGAGTTATCCTGTGGGATCGCCGACTCGTACCGCTATCCAGAATGCCTATGCTACCACTCAGCGGAACATGATGATTGCTGGCACGGCTATCATGGGACTTTCGATTATTTGGGTGTGGATGATGAGGAATATCAAGGTTAAGGATAACAAGAGTGTTTCCCAGGTTCTGTTTTAGACTGCTGGGATTTATTCAATAATATATACAGTGTTTGGCAATTGTGGTCTGTCAAAGGATACCGCGCTGCTATTACATTTCAGAACTACATGTCCTCGTCGATGAGGTGGCAAGACAAAAATGCAAGTATGTTATTATTGTTGCCTTAGAATATTTCGAATCGATGAAGCAAACGGCTATACAGAATACATGGCAACAATGCACACACAATCCCAATATCATGAAAAGGTTGTCCATGGCAGCTTCAGCTGTTGGCCTTCCAAAGGCTTGTCACGCCCTTCTTGACCGGCTTGAAAAGCAATTTAACCTCTGCCTTAAGTGTCTTCCTTTCTTCCTTCGACCACTCCCCATTCTGCTTCGCAAGTCGAAGACTCTTCACGTGGTCGGTAAGCAGAGCCGACACTTCGTCTACTGTGCACTTTGTGCACTTGGTTCCATCGGTCACATTGTTCAATGCTTTCGCCAATAAGCCAATTATATCTTGAGCTCGCTCAGTCTGCAATTCGCGATCAAGAAGCGGAGTTTGGCTAGGGCCGTGAGTTGAGCAAGATGCCGTTGGGCTGATACTAGTTGACAATGTTAGGAATTGATGTGATATCTAATGTTTTTCAAGTGAGTATGAACAATACTTACTGCTCTTTCTCTTCCTTTATCGTCTTCTCATATTTGATGTTGCTCACAGAAATAACAGGCTGAGTCATCAAGCTGTCCGTCTTGAGTTCGACCATGTCGTTGATTTGGGTTATTATGGATTGGAAATTGTGTAAAAGTTTTTCGTTTTCGAACTTTGGATATTCGAGTCTGTCTGCTCGAGAATGTAGCTGGGATTACTGGTATTTATATCGGTTTGTATTTAGGTTGCAGCGTTCAGTATACCTTCAGGTTCCTGTGAGGTAGCCCAAAGGGGTATGTTGTTGTCTCCGAGCGCTACCGCATTGGGCCTATCGGCCGAGCCAAGTCCGACTGGCCTCGGGGCTACTTCTTTTGCCCTTGCCTCATCATAGTTCCATTCTGATATACTCGGACTTAAATTATTTTGGGTTTTTGATAGGTGTCGGCTTTTTCAAGCTCCTCGTTGAGGTGCATCTTCGATATCTCCCGTGGCTGGATGCCACGTTGGACTGTGTTCGCGTATATATTGTTGCGGTGTCACTGAAGTTCATTTCTACCTGCGAAAGTCACACGTGACGTTTTGCAGCATTTCATGTTCTGATTGAAAACTTTCTAAGAACCGCCTGAGGATTTTTCCATCTAATCTTAGATAAGTGTGATCCATGGGATGAAATCCATCATTTTGGTCTGGTCTCCCGCATCCTCAAGTGTGAGACCCGCAGATCCTTGACCCAGAGAAAGAACCATGTCGGAGCATCCACTTGGTATTCGTCAAAGTCCCCACACTCCAGATAGAGCCAGCTGTAGCTGCGCTTGGACCAACTGTGTCGGCATCGCTTCAGTTACTTGGGAAAGCGCGCCGCCTTACACCGTAATCGAAAAGTGGCAAAGGCGATGCTCCTCGTAGGGATATATAAAACTCCAGATACCCTCCTCGTCTTCCTAAAACCCTGAGGTTTTCCTTACTCCTAAAACTCCAGCCAAATGCACACATTCTCGCTTTTGCATTCGCCTTCAATCTATCCTCTCAATCAACCTGACTAATTTGGGCCAGGCTCGACAGCGAGCACTCACATTCCCCGCAATGACTGTGTTGTCCACCACGACCACCTGTCCCTCTGGTTCACATGGAATCTCTGCGAATCGCTCGTTGCACATGCGTTATTTCGCGTCGTCGTGAACGGCCAAAAAGAAAAGAAAGGGAAATATTCCCCGCTGTGGATCGATCTTGGTACACCCCCACTTACCCGAAAGCCGTATGGTTCCCCGATCTGTTGCGGAAATTTTTACTTGATTTACTACGCATCTCCATCCTCCCCGATGCCATGCAGTCATGAAGTGTGACGGGCAGTTCATGAGACCCAAGACCCACGACCAATGCCGAACAGCCTGATTTCGCGGTGACTCTGCGGGGCAGCACTGACTTTCATACAGACCTGGTTGGATATGTTGCTAGATCAGTTATTTCCGCTACCCCGCCAGTATGGGGACGAATGGTAGCATCGCGAATATAAATTCAATCCGATCCTTCGAGGAAATTCTGTCTTTTGCTCACTCAACTCCATTTGATTCTCCCTTTTGAAGCCTGAATCGACATAAAACAGCCCAGAATGGTCGGCGTCCTTGCAAACAACCTTGCCGTGAATGATGGCCCCTTGAATGAAGATAATGCCGCCCTCCTTCGCCCCTCCGATCCCTCCTTGCCCATCGAAGACCTTCGCAAGCGATACGAAGAAGACGGCTACCTCTTCCTCAAGCAAGTCCTCCCGCGCGAAGACGTCCTCGAAGCTCGAAATGCCTACTTCTCCTCGCTGGAATCCACAGGGGTTTTGAAGCCCGGTACTCAGCCCGTCGAAGGCATCTTCGACCCAGCCAAGAGTCATCTAGACTATCCCGGAATCGGCGCAGGCCACGTCGATGGCAATGGAAAACCGGGCGGCGAAAAAGCCGCGGCTTTCGTCGATCTCGCCCTAGACGCTCATTATAAAGAGTGGTATGCGGAGAAGTTCTGCAACCACCCAGCGCTGTACAACTTCGTGGCCAAATTCTCGGACTGGGGCAAAGACACACTCAGTCTTCGTCGTACTCTGCTCAGGAATAATATTCCCGGCTCAAAACCTATCGGTGTCCACTATGATCAGATCTTCCTTCGATATGGTGACCCGACCAGTATCACTGCTTGGGTGCCTATGGGAGATATCAAGCTGAACGGTGGTGGGCTAATCTATCTGGAAAATGGAGATAGAATCGGGATTGAGATGGAGCAGGCGTTCTTCAAGGAGGCTAAGGAAGCTGGTCTTAGTGATGAGGAGGCGAAATCGGCCTTCAACTCCAATATGATGGCGACCGGGCTGCTGTCTGAATTCCCTGCTGGTTTTGCGCGCGAGCATGGGCGCCGTTGGCTGGTCTCAGCCTACGAAGCGGGCGATGTTGTTCTCCATAAGCCACATATGGTATGTCCACCTTCGATAATGGGATGATTCGTTCTGCGATACTGACGATAATCGAAGATCCACGCCTCGACTATTAACCACGACCCGAACAATGTGATTCGTCTGGCGACCGATCTCCGCTTCTGTGACTCTTCGAAGCCGTATGACAAGGTATGTCTCTAAAGTCCTTACACTTAGGCCGTTCAGGATAAAAGGCTAATTTTGTAAACAGAGGTGGATGAACCACTACACTTTCAATGATGGTGTTTAATGAATGCTGTTATCGAAATCAGTTGTTAGATTGGTCGTAAATATGCAATGAGCAATATTGGCCCTCGCATTTTGCTTCGTCTCTATTATTCGTGTGAATCCCATATAACTGCCTGAGGCCATAGCGCCGAGTCAGACTGTAAGATAGTAAAGCCCCGTCATTCCAGATTATCTCGGGCCACAACATCCGGGCAACATCTGGAATACGTTCTGTTTTCTGAGGATGTCATTATGATCTTGTCAGGGTGCACCTTATTGGCGGTAAGGGTCTCTGGAATGTTGAAGTTGTCATCCCTGGCTTCAAAGGTATCCCTAGATCCGAGCTGAGCCCTTTCGAAAACCAGTCTTCGCAGAAGCTGATCATGAGAATATGACCAGAAGATAACGAGACTACTAGAAAAAAAGGAATGGATTGAGAGGTTTTAAACCAAATTGGAGAGCGCGCGAAATCCAGATCTGAAGACTGACTTGAGGCAAAGTATGTGAAAGCCGGCATTTGTAGAGTGAGACGCATTCCACAAGACCACAACAATTTCTCACTCCCCTGAGGCACATACCCTCTATGACAGAATATATGAGCGGCCAGAGGAGTTCTGATCGAACTCGCGTGTGGAAGATCTCCTTCGAGCGCTACGAGAGCACTCTACCTCCTCACCATCGTGTACTACCAATCGCAACCACACTCCGTCTCCAAATCAACGCCAGCCTGATAAGTCACGATGTCGCCTCTTGTGCAGGGGCTTTCTTGGCTATCTTTGATGGTCTTTGCCATCCTCGCCGTGTCCACTGTTCACGCGTACCCCATTCGCGAATCGAGCACCGAAACAGAGAAGAGCACGAAGATCTTAGAGCCTCGGGTATGATCTCCGATATGAGCTGCACCCAGGACAACATCTCGCTAACATAACTGCCAGAGAATCATCCCAGACACCGAGCACTATCTCGCCAACATCCTCGGCAGCATTGGAGTCGGCGATCCTGAAACCGACGCCTCTTCTCAAGCCGCCTACACCCCGACATCAACCATCAAGGCCGAGCAAGACCAGCCAGAAAACACCAAGGTAACGCCATCGACCACTGGATCAGGAGCCAGCTTCACCACTGTCATCCACAACGGCAACGACCAGTCCATCAAGAACATCCAGATCGGCCCCGGCTGGGACGGCCACAAGGAGCTGCGCGCTTCGGATCTGCCCTTGATCTTCGACGCCGTGTACAAAGAGATGCAGCATCGGCTCAAGGACGCATTCGACAGCTCTGACGAGCTTGGACTGGGGCTTTGAAGGAGACATGGCATATAAGTGCGGTTTTAAAATGGAAGAGGACTCTACCGATGATTTATGCAGTTTATGTGATTAACTTATTGCTCGCTTTCTGTACGATATCACTAGTTCCGGCGCAATCGACCTTTTTGCAATTCATTTGACACACGCTAGCCTGTTTCTTCACACTTCGTCAGCATCGGCCAAACATGGAATCGGCAGTGTTCACCGTCGGTCAACGCCACCTTAACTCCGGAGCTCCACCACACAAACTTCGTCAGGCCATGCTTAAACCCGCGAAACACTCGGAGACCGAGCATAACCCGGCCACGGGGTTATCTCGAACGTTGATCTCTATTTAGCTCCACAATGCCATCAATAGCAGCTGTAGAAAAGAAGGGCTTTGTTGACCCGCGATCCGAAGAGCCGGACTTAAATGAAGCGCAAGTGGGGTGCGAAGGCGGGTGCGAACGACAAAAGTATGGGTTGTAGCGTGTATAAAGACTGGCCATCCCAGAACTTGCCGTCAAAATCAATCGCTCAATCCGCTGGTCTTTGAACACCCATCACTATAACAACATATTCTATCTTCCCGCAATGCCTACTCTCGTCGGACAAGAGGTCGGACCTACCGGCTACGGCACCATGAGTACAACACCCTTTTTGCTAAGTGACGTATAGACTCAGCTGTGCTAACCAGTAGCCTAGGAATGACATGGACGAGCACGCCCCCGGCGCAAGACGTCTGCTTCGAGACCTTGAACAAGACTTTGGAACTGGGTGCGAATTTCTGGAACGGTGGCGAGCTCTACGGCACGCCGGACTATAACTCACTGCATCTGCTGAATAAATACTTCACCAAATACCCGCAGAATGCAGAGAAGGTCGTGCTGAGCATTAAGGGAGGACTGAAGGCTGGCCAGCTCACGCCGGATGGATCGGAGGAGAATATTCGCCGGAGCGTGGACAACTGCCTGCGCCTCCTGGATGGGAAGAAGAAGATTGACATCTTCGAGTGCGCGCGACAGGATCCGAACTTCCCGGTAGAGCACACCGTGGAGGTCCTGGCGCAGTATGTGAAGGAGGGCAAGATTGGAGGCATTGGGCTCAGTGAAGTGGATGCTGAGACGATCCGACGAGCGTACGTGATGAAAAACAAATTGATTTATTGAACCGGGAGCTAACAACATCTACTTCTCCAGTCACAAAGTGCACCCGATTGCGGCAGTCGAGGTCGAGATGTCGCTATGGTCCACCGACATTCTCGAGAACGACATTGGAAAGACCTGTGCCGAGCTTAAGATTCCGGTCATCGCCTACTCGCCGCTCGGACGGGGAGTCCTGACAGGAGCCGTGACTTCATTGTCCGACATTCCCGAGGGCGACATCCGGAGACACATGTCTCGATTCCAGGAAGAGAACTTCCAGCAGAATCTGAAGCTGATCAACGAGGTGAAAAGCTTGGCCGCGCGAAAAGGTGTTGCCCCGTCTCAGATTGCCCTGGGCTGGATTCGCAGCCTGAGTGACAAGCCCGGCATGCCGACCATTATTCCAATCCCTGGAGGCACAACTATCGACAAGGTTGTTCAGAACATGGTCGGAGTGAAGCTGCTCTCCGATGAGGAGCTGGCAGAGATCGATGCGATCTTGAAGGAGCACACGGTGGCCGGGCCTCGCTACTAAGGGGAAATCTCCTAAATATTACTGCGCTCGTTAGCTTGGAATCGAAGCAAAAATGGTAACGATAATTAATTTAATTGATCAATTGAGGTCAGATCAAGTGTAGAAGAGTCAACACGCAATCTCACAACACCGGCGTACCCGAAAGTACAGGCATGGAGATTGTCTGAATTGCAGAATTCTTCGTTGTATTCATCTTGTAGGGAGGGCGAACTGGAAAATAAAAAGTGGAATGAAACTCACAATGTAGTTCGTATTGTTTAGCCAGCGTCGCTGAGCTGGTTAGTGCTATTTTCTGGATTGAATGTTGGGAGGGAAAAAGAAGTGGGAAGTGGAAGAGCGAAAAGAAAAAGGAAAGAAGCTCCGTGCAGATCACGTGTCGGCGAGCCCCCAGCGTCGACTGCCTTCACCCGCAACTCGAGCGCCGCGATCTCCAACCCATCTCCAATGCCCGGCAGCTTCAACGGCTCCCTCTAATCCATCATGGCCTCGCGCGAAGGAACGCCCTTGTCCTCCGTCGGCTCCGCCGAGGAGTCAGATCACGAGTCCGTCAAGCAGGACAGCCGCGCCCAGTCCCCAATAGCTTCCAACCTGCCCCCCTCAAAGCGCCGTCGCACAGGTGTAGCATCTTGGGACCGACACACACCGCTGTCATCTGTCCAGGATGAAACAATTCCTCCTCCATCCCCTACGGCCTCTATTTCATCTGATACCTCCGGCGACGTGCCGAACTCGCCCAATTTGTTAGGTCTCTTGGGTAATAACCAGGACGACGATTACACGGGTCAAACCACTGACCAAGTCACCGTGTGTCGATGGGATGGGTGTTCTGTTGGCGACCTGGGGAACATGGATGGGTTAGTGCAGCACCTCCACACCGAGCATATCGGGAGCCGACAGAAGCGATATTCGTGCGAGTGGACAGACTGCAGCCGCAAAGGACAAACGCATGCCAGTGCATATGCACTACGCGCACACATGAGGAGCCATACTCGAGAGAAACCCTTCTACTGCACATTACCTGGTAAGGATGCCCCAATTCCACGACCTCGATCCCAGCCTCTCCGCTAGGAATCGCAGCTCCTTCCAACTCTTGAGAGTTTCGACTCATTAATTTACAGAGTGCGATCGGAATTTCACTCGATCCGACGCTTTGACGAAACACATGCGCTCCGTTCATGAAACAGACACCCTTCGCCCGTCTGACAATAAAACCACCTCTGGCGCTCTTGGCAGCGTAGCCGGAACGCCAGCCTCAAAGTTCCAACGGATTCGACTGAAGCTTACCGGTCCTAAGGATATTATAAGCGAGGCTGATCATTCCGGGGACTCCACCGTTTCAGCTCCATTGCTTCCCGAGTCTGACCTGGATGACAACACGATGCCCGAGTTCGGCCCGGAGCTGGGTTTCGACGAGGACGAACTCAAATTGCCGCCACGTGAACTTTACCGCCTCCTACGACGGCAAATTCGCTGGGCAGAGAAAGAATCTACGGAATTGCGTGCCCAGTGGGATATAATTCGACCGTTGCGTGAAAATGCCTGGCACGAGAAGGAAGCTATCTTCGATGATCTCATTCACGCCGAATTGGCCTTGTTCAGCACCTTCGTGAATGCCACTGGGGCAGGCGGCCAAGCAATGGCACCTCCAGCTAATCTGACCTCTGATTTGGAGAAGCTGCAACATCAGCAACAGCGATTCAAGACTCAACAGGATCAGTTGCGGGCCAAGGCTGAGGAACCGGCTGATGCCGACGTTGATGCGGCCGAATGAGACCAGCCAGCATTCTGTACCGCATTTATGCCCAGCTGGTATCATTGGCAACTTTGAGCTTAATCGGTTCCAAGGCGCTAGCAGCATCAGTATTCCTTACCCCAACCCCCTTCTTATTTCTATTTCTGTTTCTACCTTTTCGATATCTCTGGATCTGGGTTGCAATATTTTCGATACTTCGGTGTCCTTACGCTACGGCGTATCTGGCGTTTCGGTACCAGGACTGCGCGTTCACCAGTCAAAGGTGAACCATTCAATGTACGAATAGTTTCTTTCTATATTTTTATCAATTGAGCGCACCCTTGCTGCAAATCAGCAACGTTAGTGCATACTAGTTTATATCTTGTCTACAGTATCTGGTCTACGATGTTAATGGCCTTAGTGTTATGAGTAATTTTAGCTTTCAAGACCTAAACTCAGACACAGAATGTCTCGAGCCCGGACCAATTCCATTCGATCTAAAAGAGAAAAAAGAAAAGAGAGGGGAATTTACTCAGAAAATGCACTTGACCATGGATATTTGAGCAACTTCATATTGCTTCGCTTCGCTCCGCAATCAATCAACGCCGTGGTAGCCACTCCATAGGGTACATGTACTGGTCAAATAATAATAGGGAAGAAAATAACCACGAAAAAAAGAAACAAGAAATGAAGCCGTAGCTAACTGGCGCTCAAACAAATCCAAGCCAGTGTCAAATGGATGCCAAAATCAAAAGGAACAGGGGAAACGGAGTAAAATCTGCTGAGGGCAGATCCAGCATGCCCGATAGCACGTAGTGCCAGCCTAAAGCATAGTACATAGTACACATGAGGTTCCGTAGGTATCAGGCTGATCTGCCCTTTCCCAAGACTAGTCATAGGAAATAACAACAGAGAAAGAAACGAACTCCAAAAAGCCCCAAGCACGCCATGCAAATATCATTTGACATTCGAATCATGCAAGTCCAAGTCGGGGTCTCCTTTTGAGTTTAAAATTTCTCCCCGCCGGGGGGGGGAAGAGAGGTTGCGCAATTCGATCGACGCCTTTCGCAATGCCATGCAATTCTTGCATCCATATGTACTTTTTCAAAAAAAGAATACTCGGTAAACTCTGTGGTGCGGACGGGTAGAGACAGTAGAGCTAAGAGACAGGGGTATGAGGGTAGCGCAAAAGAGGGCGAAGAGCTAGATCGATTTTGAGATCAACATGCCGAGATGGAGGATCGCCGGCGAGAATCATGGGAGCCAGTAAGTCGGACAATTCAAGCCAGACTACTCAATATGTATGTCATAAGTCCGTAAAAAAAACCTTAGATCGCAATGCTCGTGGTCCGAGCAGAAATGAAATGGGCCAGGTCAAGCTCCGTTGGATGGTTGTGCAGGTTTGCTGTTGGCAGCCTTGACCTTCTCGTACATCAATTGGAGCTTGGCGCCCCCGACCTCTTTGTTCGGCCAGTAGTGCACGGCAACATAGTCCCACAGTCGCTTCTCCAAGGACGGCATGGGTTCACCACCACCCAAAGTATTATGAATGAATCCACCAATCTTCTCAATGGTGTTGCGGAGCTTGATAGCCCGATCAGCCTTATTTGGATAGTTCTTGGAGGTGATGGTGGCTACCTGCTTGAGGTTGTCACGAATGGGTCTGAAGAATTTAGAGTCCTGGTCCTCTTCCCGGCTTGAACTACCATTCTCATAGCTCTTCCGACGCCGCTCGTCGTGAGCCGCGTCTGACAGCCGGTGACGAGGACGGTCATGTCCGGACCTTGGCCGGTCGTGGATGGGCGTATTTCGTCGATCCTCGCGACGTTCATCTCGGCGGTCATCCCGGCCGTGGGTGTGTGAACGCGGTCGTGACCGTTCGGCCTCACGGTGTCCTTTGCGTGCTGACGGGGCGGGAGATGCAGAGACGCTGCCACTACCGACACGGGAGTTCCGCTTGTTATTTCGATGGTGATTGTCCACTGCTCGTCTGGCATTCGCATTGCTACCGTTGCTATGCTTGTTCCTCAGGACGGACAGCAGGTACTCGGCTCGACGAACCAAGTGAACCGCGCCAGGAGATTTTGTTGCTTTCTCTTCTCCCTGCGCACGCTGGGTTTTCCTTTCAACACGGTGCTCCTCCAGGAAAAATTTGTCCCCGAGACCCAGGTCGGTGTCGTCGCGGATTTGTGTCCAAGCGCCAAAGCCATGACGGGCAATGCCGACCAAAAGCATGCCGTCTTCCCGGGCTCCCCAAGAACAACTATAATCAGCCAGCTTTGTGGCTTCCGGGAGTCGGAAGGTCTTGAAGTCAGGAAGTGAAGCTGTGATCTTGCGCACAAGACGCATGTCCGGTGGTCGGTCCACAATCGTCCAGGCATTAAGTCGCTTAACTCCGTGGTGGTCAAACAAGACAGCCTTTTGCTCTTTCTTGGTGATGTTTTTGCCAGATTGTTTTAGTGCATCGATCTGCTGCATATTTTCTTCAACGAGAGAGGCAGCCTTCTCTGTAATCTCGCGGAGGGCAGCATGGACGGTTTCACGATCACGGTTTTGCAATCGAGAATCCTCCAGGATGAGCTCTTCACAATCAGCCATGTCACCATATCGAAGAAAAGCTCTCGAGAGAGCACGGTACTCCTTTTCACCTAGGGGGCGCTTCGGATCCAAGGAGCTGTCATCTTCGGCATCATCATCAACAACAACTTGTGCCCTGGCTTGTCGCTTCGCCTTGCGCTCTTCCCGAGAGTCCTTGGTTTCTTGGGTGACTTGGCGTTTGCGTGGCCGGTTCTGCTCAATCACGTCGGCAAGGTATCGCTCATCGGCCTTGCGCTTCTCCTCTTCTTTAAGTTCTTCGAGTTGATCCTTGGGGATGATGTCATCCCAAGACAGATCATCAACCTTGATGTCAACGAAGTCAAATGCCTTCAAAAACTCTTCACCACCATCGGCCTGTATCTGTTCAGTCTCCTCGGTCTGGTGCAATTCAGCATTGGCAAGAACGGAGTCGATATCGAGCTGTTCAAGCTTCTTCTGGTTATCGGTCTGCTCGAACATTTTCTGTCCGCGACGCTTAAGAATGCGCGAAATGTCCTCGGTCGAGTTTGGTTCACCAATGACGCGAGACATCTTATTTTGCATCTCTGAAGCTTCCTTGTCGGTGACGCCGCGCTGAATAGTGATAAATTCGAGCAGAAGCTTGTTGCGAGCTCTCTCGATGACTTCTTCCTCAATAGTATCCTTGGAAACAAGGCGATAGACACTGACAGGTTTCGTCTGGCCGATACGATGGGCTCGAGCCATGGCCTGCAGATCTGCTTGGGGGTTCCAATCAGAGTCAAAAAGTACCACAGTATCAGCAGTCATTAGGTTGATTCCCAAACCACCAGCTCGTGTGGAGAGAAGAAAAGCAAAGTCCGTACTCTCGGGGGCGTTGTAGTGCTCAATGGCCAGACGACGAGCGGCAGAAGGAATCGTACCATCCAGTCGTTGGTGTTTGTAGCCGCGATAGTCCATATACTCGCTCAGGATATTAAGCATTCCGACCATCTGACAGAAAATCAAAACTCGATGACCATCCTTCTGCAATTTGCGGAGAAGCTGATCAAGCAGCATCATCTTTCCACTGCTGGTGATCATGGAGCGAAGGATGTCCTCTCGACGTGTACAACCTTCCAAAATCTTGGCTTCGGCCGTAGGGAACATGAAAGGATGGTTGCTAGCTTTCTTCAATTCCATCATGATATTCAGGAGTGACTGCTTCATGCCTCTCGCTCCATCGTTCAAAGCAGCGTAGTTCTTGGTCAAAATGTTTTTATAATATTCAAGTTGGACATCTGAGAGCTCAACACGAATGATCTTCTCTGTCTTGGGAGGAAGGTCAGACTCGACCTTGGACTTGGTACGGCGCAGCATAAATGGTTGAATAGCGTCCGTAAGTTCTGCGAGCTTCTGCGAAGCAGCCTCTGAGTTCAGATCCATGTCGACATCAACTTTGATTTCGCCCGGGTTGAGGAAGTCCATGAGTGATGAAAGCTCTGCAAGGTTGTTCTGGATAGGAGTTCCCGTAATGAGAAGACGAGCTTGGCACTTCCACTCTACTAGTTTCGTGTAGAGCTGAGAATCGCGATTCTTGAGGCGGTGAGCCTCGTCGATAGCCATGAATTGCCATTTGAATTGTCCCAAGAAAGGCGAGTCGTTCATAGCATACTCATAAGTCGTGAGAAGCACATGAAACTTGGGCCGTTTGGGGTTGCCGTCTACCATCAGTTCGTAATCGCGCAGAACCTGGCGTGCCTTTTCGCTACCGTTGTAGACAACATAATTCAAATCTGGGGTCCAGTGGTCAAAGGTTTCAGCCCAGGCTGGCATAGTAGACAGTGGGACAATGACGATGAAGGGACCTTGTTGATGTCTGCAGTGGCGCAGCCAGTTGATGAATGATACGGTCTGCACTGTTTTACCCAGACCCATCTCATCCGCGAGGACGACATTGCGATCCTTCACCCAATTGAAAGCCAAGAAATTCAGGCCTTTAATTTGGAAATCTTTGAGTTCGCCATTCTGGAGGAACGACGGGGTACTGTGAATCGGTTCGAATGATTTGCGCGTAGCTGGGTTTGTTTCGTTCTTGTCTGACACAGGAACACGAGCCGAACGATCCAAAAAGCGGTCGATTTCCCGCTGAGCAATTTCGCTGACGAGGTCTTCCGGCTCCCAGGTACAAGAATCGTAGAACAAGCGTTTCCACTTGACAAGGTATTCAGTGCCGTCTTCGCCTTCCCGAACACCAATGACTCGTTCAACATGTTTGTAGTCTTCGATTGCTTCAACGTCGCGCTCATGATCCAGGTTCCATTTTTCGCGGTCCTCGGGAGGCGCATCGGGGTCATGCTTCAGGCGTAGATCTTCATTTAACACCTTACGCACATAGTTGTCCACACGGCGCGTGCTCCGGTAGTTGGACATAGCCTCGTTTGGTTCCCATGTTGAGTGGAAGTGGGACTTGTCCTGCCATTTGATGTAGAACTCGAAATGATGGCGATCGACATCGGGGTCCTCGGGGTCAACGTCTGCCTTCAGGCGGTGATTGAGGACGACGTCGACAGCAGGCCTCGTGTCCTCCACATAGTTCTGAGCCCAGTAGTTCTCGGTCATTTCGTCTGGGTTATCCTCGAAGATCGATTCGTCTCCATCATCTTCATTGTAGTTGGAGACCTTGGCAGCGTTTCGCGTCGAGAAGCGGACCTCGGTGTAAGCTGGCTCCATGCCAGCAACTTGCTTCATATTTCGGCGTCGCCTGGCTTTGCTCGATTTGCCACCATACTCATCACTGTCAGATTCCGAGAATGAGGATACTGTAGCCGACCGCGAGGTCTTCGATGGCTGCTGAGATGGTTCTTTGCGCCGGCGCTTCCGGCGAGGCGCGACTGCATCGGAATCGGACTCTGATGAATCAACAAGATGGCGTGTAGTCCGCGCCCGACCACTACGACGCAAACCATAAAGATCTGGGTTTTGTCGCATGTACTCGGTCTCGTCCGCCGGCGACCTGCGTTTCATACCTCGGTCGGGGTGCGGCGATGAAGAATTTTCACGGCTAGAGCCATCATGCTCGTCCCCGCTGTTCCCCATCACAATGTCCTCGTCCTCTGCATCGGAATCCGGAGATTCGGCATCATATGAATCATCGGCAGCATCGGGCTCGGGGGATGACCCGGAGGCGGGTTCGGACTGGACAGGCTCGGGAGAGTTGCGCTCACTTTTCGCGGTAATGTCGGCATCGGCAGTGGCGTGATCACCAGCCATGGAGTGGCTATATCCATTCGGCAATGAGGAGGAAGAATGAGGTTCTAGACCCGATGGGATCACCATGCTGGAGGCTATGGACGAGGGGCAGTCAGCATTGAAGCTCAATTCTGACAGGTAGGGCTGCAAACTAATTAAAGGACAGTAGAGCAGATGTACGCGACCCAAATTGGGGGGAAGTGAAGTTCAAAAACAGTGAATATGAGTGCAATATCAGAACTGATGGGGAAGGATGGCTCTTGACGCCGGGTGGAATGGACGCGGGCACCGGGAGCGAAACAGCCACGAGGATAACAACACCTATCAGATGTCCAGTGAAACGCGACCATCTGAAAGACGTAATCCGATTCCTCGATCTTCCCGATCCCGACAGAAAAATAGGATCCCGAGGTGCGTGCAGTGGGTCGAGGAACGCGGAGAAGTACCCGGGTAATATGGTTCGGTCGAGTCGCAGCGCTCGAGAACAAAATAAATTTCACTTACACTCCATAGCGTGGTGACCCCGCAATAGGGGGAGCTAGGGTATCAATGTGTGAAAAGAATGGTGGGTGGTTGGAAACGTGATAGGACATCCGCGACGTGGGAAGAAGAGACGAGTGAGGGAAGAAGAGTTGGGGGAGGATTCCATTCGGGTTTGGTTTGGTTTGCAGGTAAGGATCGGCCGGTCTTCAAAGCAGCGAGGCTTTCACCCCTTTTCGGGCCTAGCGTCTTCGCTTGCCGCTGGACAACTGGTACGGTCACGTGCAATAAAAGCGGTCGCGGATTTTCATTCCTCCGAGTGCCGGTTTCCCTTCATGCCACGTGACATCCCCCACTGGCTGCATTACCCCCCGAATGTCAGCATCAGCGAATTAGCAGCCCGCTAAATAATGCGCGCGCCTTTGCAGGCGGTCTCACATGGACGCCTCAGGCATCCCAGCCCACAATCAGAAAGAAAGCCCTGCACTTCTGCCTCCCCGTTCTTTAACGCATTGTTTCGCCCCCTCTTCGTCAGTCCGAGTCTGCGCAGACGTTAGGTGCACATTTGCACCCAGATTACTCTCGGCTGCAGCGGCGCTTCTCTTCGGTCCTCCCAACAGATTCTGCAGACAACAAGTCACCTCTTCAGCAACCTTTTGTTACCCGCGTTTGACACCTGAACGTGGTTCCGTGAAGCCAACTCGCCACGATGTCTGACAAGCTCACCCGGTATGGTTCCTGAAGCAATCTTAAGACAAGTATCGCGCGTTACTGATGGGTATCTTCGAAATCTAGTATCGCCATTGTCAACAGTGACAAGGTTCGTCTTAAATACCCCGCTAACCGCGCCTTTTTCGCCGAAACGCTTCGTTCGAGTCCCGCTGACCAGAGATTTTGCCCCTGTACAGTGCAAGCCGAAGGTATGACATTCGTAATGGTATATGTGACATTCATTGTGGCTAACTGTTAGTTAGAAATGTCGTCAAGAGTGCAAGAAGTCGTGCCCGGTCGTGCGCACAGGTAAACTGTGTATCGAAGTCGACAGCTCCTCCAAAATCGCCTTCATCTCCGAGCGCCTCTGTATCGGTTGCGGTATCTGTCCTAAGAAGTGTCCCTTCGGTGCTATCCACATCATCAACTTGCCCACCAACCTGGAGACTCAGGTCACCCACCGTTACTCGGCCAACAGCTTCAAACTCCACCGACTTCCTATGCCCCGCCCTGGACAGGTACTTGGTCTTGTTGGAACAAACGGTATCGGCAAGAGTACTGCATTGAAGATTCTCAGTGGCAAGCTGAAGCCCAACCTCGGCCGTTACGACAACCCGCCCGACTGGGAGGAGATCCTGAAATACTTCCGTGGTTCCGAGCTGCAGAGTAAGCTTTCCATATTGAAACTCTTCCCACAACCAATATGCTAATTAATGCAGACTACTTTACCAAGGTTCTGGAGGATGACCTGAAAGCTGTTGTGAAGCCTCAGTATGTCGACCAAATTCCTCGCGCTGTCAAGGGTCCCGTCAAGCAGGTCAAGGACCTGATCAAGGCCCGTGTTCAGTTGGACAACCTGGAAGAAATCATGGATGTTCTCGGTACGGAATCCCCAGTGGTGTTATGACTATCGCTTTCAGTTACTGACGACATCTTCAGAGTTGCACCAAGTTGCGGATCGTGAGATCGACCACCTGTCTGGTGGTGAGCTTCAGCGGTTCGCTATCGGTCTTGTCTGCGTCCAGAATGCCGACGTGTAAGTTGAAACGTTCTGTGCGATTACCGAAGACCGTCAGGTTCTAATTTGATTGCAGGTACATGTTTGACGAGCCCTCTTCCTACCTTGATGTCAAGCAGCGTCTGGCTGCTGCCCGTACCATCCGTAGCCTGCTCCGCCCCGATGACTACGTTATCGTCGTCGAGCACGATTTGTCAGTCCTTGATTACCTCTCTGACTTCATTTGTGTGCTCTACGGTCGCCCGGCTGTCTACGGTGTTGTGACCCTGCCTTCCTCGGTCCGTGAGGGTATTAACATCTTCTTGGATGGTCACATCCCCACCGAGAACTTGCGATTCCGTGAGGAGTCTCTGACTTTCCGCCTCACTGAGGCTGGAGATGATTTCATCGCTGACAAGGGCCGCGCCTTCTCTTACCCCGCCATGGAGAAGACCCAGGGCAGCTTCCACCTCAGCATCGAGCCTGGTCGCTTCACCGATTCCGAGATTCTCGTCATGATGGGTGAAAACGGAACTGGAAAGACCACTTTCTGTAAGATGCTGGCTGGAGCCCTGCAGCCCGATGGCAACACCAAGGTGCCCAAGATGAACATTAGCATGAAGCCCCAGAAAATTACCCCCAAGTTCCAGGGCACCGTTCGCCAGCTCTTCTTCAAGCGCATCAAGTCTGCTTTCCTGTCGCCTCAGTTCCAGACCGATGTCTATAAGCCTCTGAAGATCGATGACTTTATCGACCAGGAAGTGCAGAACCTGTCCGGTGGTGAATTGCAGCGTGTCGCCATTGTCCTTGCCCTGGGTATGCCCGCCGATCTGTACCTGATTGATGAGCCTTCTGCCTACCTCGACTCCGAGCAGCGTATTATTGCCGCTCGTGTCATCAAGCGTTTCGTTATGCACACCAAGAAGACCGCTTTCATCGTCGAGCACGATTTCATCATGGCTACCTACCTGGCTGATCGTGTCATTGTCTTCGACGGTAAGCCCTCCGTCGATGCTCGTGCCAAGTCCCCCGAGTCCCTGGTCACTGGTTGCAACCGCTTCCTTGAAAGCCTGGACGTGACCTTCCGCCGTGACCCCAACAGCTACCGCCCGCGTATCAACAAGTACAACAGTCAGATGGACCAGGAGCAAAAGTTGGCAGGCAACTACTACTTCTTGGAGGAAGAGAACTGAAGAGGGCATTGTTCATGAGCATCACCGCCGTCGTCACAACCGTGGCGGTCGCGGACCTGAGCAGCGGCGCAAGCGGCGCTGCGGTATTAGAGGGGTCGGGTGGTTCATGGCGTTCCCGGGCGTTCTTCGAGTCTCGGCGGCTCTGGGCAGTGGTTTTGTTCCCTGCTTTGGCTGTTCTCTAGGCAGCGAGGATAACGGTTTGGGTGGTGACGAGGATCTGGATGGAGATAGTGCTTGCGACAACAGCTCAGATGTCAAGGAGGATTTTGGCTAGAGCGAAGTGACCTAGTTTACTCGCCTCCAGGCTAATTTTCGACATCTCTAGAGTTTTGCCAACACTTTTCCCCATGCTCTCTCGTTGCCGTGCCCAATCATATGTCCATTCTTGCCCTGCAACCAATTTTCCGAGGCTCCTGTCACTGTCAAACATCTTGGAACGCCCGGTGGCAGAAGCCCTGCCACTAGATGTTCCGCCCAATACCCCTCTTTTTCATTTTATGGACATATTCTAGGGGTCATTTGCTTGGCATGGTTTTTAATCGGAGTTTCTTTTCTTGTGTTTTTCTTACTGGGCCTGGTCTGGATTTCAAAAGCTTTCCCATGATTTTACGATTGGCATAGAGATGGAGCTCGTCTTCTCTGGATGAGTTGGAGATGTGGCCTGGAGGATGGTCATTGTCAATTAGTTCACTGCTTTTACCTGCATCCGGTCAACATCCTCGCGATGATTTCTGGCCCGCTATGCTATTGCAATGATCCGAGTTCCTTTTTTCCAACATAAATGGTCGTCTCCTACAACCTTGGCATTGTATATCCCTATGTTTGGGTCTGAGCATGTTGCTGTTTCAACATGGCCAAAATGAGCCAAGGAGAGCTAGTATTCCTTTTAATTGACAAACAAAGCGATATTAAAATAATGACAAGCAGTTCATGCGGGATACATTGTCTATCGAATCGAATAAAACCGAGCCTTCTTCAAAGCAGTCTCGAAGGCCCTTTGTGAGACATTGGGTTCCCGCTTCAATTTATCAATGCTGGCAGCTTGCAGGCTCGCCTCCCACTTCATCAACATCTCAACCATTTGGACGAAACCGAAGGCAATTAATTGCGAATGAGAGCACAGCACCTTCATCAGTGTCGTCATCTGTTCTCAATCTGAGGTCTATATCCGCTCCATGGTTCAGCAAAATCTCCATCATTGCCTCGGTTTTCGTTTTGCAGCCTGCCAGAATAGGTGTATTTCCAAATATGTCCTTCGCATTGATGTCGGCACCTCTTCTCAGAAGCAGCATTGCAACTCCTTGATGGTCTTATCTCATGACCCAATGGATTGGGAACTCTCCAAGGTTCTTCATTTCCATATCAGCTCCCTTCTCCAGCGAATACTTCACCAGTTCTTCCTTCCCTTCACAGATTGCAGTGTGAAATTGAGCTTGCCGAAGCCACTTTTCAGCCTCAAGGTTTCCACTATCTTTACTCTGACTTCCCGTCCACTCTTTGCTGCTTGTTGCGGGGCCGTTTCGTCATCGTTGTTTTTAATCTCAATGTCAACTCCATGAGAAGCACTTTCGTGTTCTCCGTACACCCTGCTACAGCTGTATAATGCAAAGTCGTTCTTCCTCTGGCCCCCTTTTTGGTTGGTATCTGATACATGCTCCAAGAGATACCGTAATTTCTCTCCGTGGTCCGAAAACGACGATCGATGCAATACAGTCTGACCAAAATTGATAGGGCCCTGGATTGTTCTTGTCACATCTGCTCCGTAATCGATAAAGAGTTTCAGCATGTCAAAGCGATTGCATCCATGGTGCAATGAAGTATAGCCATCTCGCCTTCCAACTGCGTTGGGATTTGCTCCAGCTTCGAGTAGTAACTTGGCTGTCCCGATGTTATCGAGCTCACAGTCCACAGCGAGAGCAGTGTCTCCTTCATCATCTCTTTCATTCAAGTCGAGGCCATCAGATATTGCGGCTTGCACGGTGCCTGGAAACTCCACACACATGCCATGAAGATTGGAGACTTTGATGGACTCAAGCTCTGGAGCATTCTTCTCCTTCATGTGTAGTACTCGCTGCCTTCCAATTTCGACAAAACTTTGGACCATATCTCCAAGCATGTCAGAAAGGCCTTTTCGTGTAGCTAGTAGTCTGTCCCAAAGGCCTTGCAAGCCTTCGATCTTCTTAGTTTGGCGAGCCCATGTGCAAGGCAGCGGGGGATAAAGTGCCGCATAAATGAGTAGCGCATCTCCAGTCTCAAATTTAGAGCTGCTATGGGGGTCACTAGCAAGCAAATACAGCAAGGAAGTACTGCCAACTGCTTGTGGGCATCGACAGTGCTATACCCGAGCTTGATTTCATTCACTAGGTATTCTTGGACCGAAAGATGCGCAAATTGAACCAGCTGACTGTGATCTACAACGATAAGTTCGCTACAAATGTCCAAAATGTAGTCTGCATCATCCTCCTCGTCGAAATTAACATCAAAATCAATAGACGCGGCTTTGACCAGCATCTCGATGCCCAATGGTCTTGCGCAAGACATGGCCCATTTCAGGAGTTTTTCTGAAACTATTTCGTCCTCTGGCTCGGGTATGTTCATCTCATGAATATCGTCGTACACGTCCGACAGTAGTGGAATTTCGACCTCGTTGCTAAGATTCTGTAGCTTTCGCTCGAAGGCATCCCGATCCCGGCGCTTGATTTTAGACTTCGGGCTAAAAAATGTGTTCAACTGCAGCTCAACCCATGGAAACCTATATTTTCTTTCAGCCAATGTCATGATAAATCTCTCATCAATCTACTCACATTCTTTGAGCTCGGGGGCTGAGATGAGGTAAGACTTGAGATATTAACGGGAGATATGTGAAGATGAATCAGAAAGAACAAGAGTGTTTACAGTAAAATCTCATCCATTACATAGCTTTGAAGTGACAGTAGCCACATATCTGTGGTGAATACTAGCAGAAAGTCTCATGGGCAAAACGCTAGAAAGTTGTGTTCAATAGCATGATCGCTCCAGTGAGGTGAGCCCCACGGGGATCAACTCCTTAATTCGTGGTAATATTTTCTTTCTAAAAATCAAGCTATCGTACATCCTATCAGGAGGATGACGCCAGTGGGGTTAACACTCCACGGGGATCCACTCCAAGCCTTGCTCAGAAAAACTAATCAATCGAGGCCTACTCCTCCTCGCTGCCCGAGTGAACAGCCTTCTCGGCCTTCCAAAGTTGTACTCGAATATCCCGATATATCAAAGGGGATATCAAGCACTCGGATTTCATATTTCTTTTGGGCTGGGAAGGCCGAGAGAGAAATAAGATTCCTGGTAATGTGTGGCATTCCTTTTTGAATGGTTGGTAAGTGTGAGAGATATGCGAAGAAGAAAGAACCAAAACGGACAGAAATAAATATTTTAGTAAGACTCTTACTAGCTACTACCTGGTAGCAGCCATATATCAGGTGTGATGACTATCTGAAATTTCTTATGAGTACCTAGTTATATAGAATGTTTCCTTAGATAAATGTACCTACTGGGTAAGTTTGCTCGAAGCTGACAACTGTGGGAAACTACAAATTGCATAAGCAGGGCACATTATATCACATGCACAAGTAGATCTTAGTGGCATATGAAGAAGGTTTACTCTAATCCTCAACTTTAGAGATTGCCTATAGTGGACATTATTACTGGCTAAATTCCATAAAAATCACCCTAAGGTGAAGAAATAGTTGAGGAAACTACTAGTTCAAATCTTTTTTAATAGGAGGATCACTCCAGTTGGGGGTACACCCCCACGGGGATCAACTCCTTAATTCGTTGTAAAATTTTTTAAAAAGAAATCAGGCTATCGTACATCTTATCAGGAGGATCACGCCAGTGGGGTTTACACTCCACGGGATCTTACTCCTTGTCTCAAGAACTTATCAGTCGAGGTCTACTCCTCCTCGATTTCACCTTCTTCGCTGCCCGAGTGGACAGCCTTCTCCTCCTTGCGCTCATCACGCTCCGGCTCCGCACTCTCTCGGCGAGGACGCTTTGCAGACCGACTGGCAATACTAGTCGCGTCACTACCGCGTCTACGTCGTCGGTCTGTGCTTGCCGTACTCTCACCACCGTAGTCAAGTTCATCGCGGCTGCCACGAGGGTCGCCGCGAGTGCGGTAAAGACGCTCTCGCTCAGACTCGTCTCCGCCTCGGCGAGAGCGACGGTCACGATCTCGGTCGCTGTAGCGGTCATCACGGCGGCCACTGTGCGGAGACGATCCGCTGAAGTTGCGGGAGGAACGCTCGCGATCTGCCTTTCGACGCTCGGCCTCGTAGACGTCTTGTTCCGGGGTGCGACTAGCACCCCTTCCGCCACGTCGTTCACCTCGGCCGCTACGGTAGTCGCGATCACCGCGGTCATAGTCTCGGCGGTGGCGGTCCCGATGACGCGAGTCGTGGTCTTTCTCAGCATCATCCTCCGTTTCTTTTTGCTGTCGAATGAACTTCTCAAACGCCTTCAGTCGGAGCTCATCGGATTCAAGAGCTTTGTATTCGTCGTACTGCTCCAGTCGAGGCCGGACCATTTCCCAGGTGTCGGTCGAGCGCACATGAGGGTTGAGACGTCGGAGACGGTAACGAAGTGCATCGATGGCGTCTTGTTGGTTAGTAGCACCCTTCTCTTCACTCCGACGGGCTGCCTTCTCTTGGAGACGCTGGAAGATGTACCCAAGGATTTCGGGGCTAACCTGAGAAGCCTTCGGGTGAGTGGCCATCGCGCTGCTAAACTCATCATAAGTAGTGGTGGGCGTCACATCGAAGCGTGTGTCCTGCGCGGCTTGTTGGCAAACGAGAATAGCAGTATCCATATGGTGAAAACTTACATGAATCGCGTCATCCACCTTGTGCCGATCGGCCCGTAGCTTTTCATTCTCTTCGATGATCAGATCCCAGAAAAAGTCCAAGGGTTTCCTTTTCTGACCCAGCACGTCAAGGAATCTAAAATCCTTTTCGATGAGTGGGAAAATGTCTTCCCAATGAGTGGCGGCATGAATCTTGCCCTGGTCTCTTAACTCCTCCAGAAGCTCACAGAATGCCTCGCGATGGGCGCTTTCTTTGATCAACTTCCTTTCTTTATGCTCCTGGCGAGCCTTGTTGAACTCGCGCTCCAGGGTGTCGATGTGATTTTCCCAGGTCGTCAGGATATCGCACTTGTGGAGAGATTTGAAACTGAGATCATTTTGAAGCTTTTCATCAGATGCAATCAGTTCTTGTCCAACCGCCCACGCAGGGACAGCCTTCCAGTCAGGAAAAGGCGGTGATTTCACCAGCGATTTGAGTTGGTTCGCCAGTACTTTCATTCCCTCATCGCGCATAGAAGCTTCCTTCTCTTCATGCGCCTTCCAGAGATCCGAGGTGTACTCCTCGAAGAGCTGACGTCTCTCATCCTCATTGTCGGTGGCTCGGAATGCGGTCTCGCCTTCAATGATTGGGCGGATCGTTCTCCAGCGACTGAAGTATTGAATCTCGGGATGCCGTTTCAGCATCGTAGCGAAATTGGAGCGGAGCTTAGTGAACCGCTCTTGTTCCCGTTCCTGTGCATGTGCACGAGCGTCGGCCTCGAATTTTTCCCATGCGTTCCTGCGGTCGAGTGGCCTTTTCAAGGCAAAGAAGAGCGGTTCTTCACAGATTTCCTGCAAGGTCTGTTCCCATGTCCAATCAGGCTTAACCCCGTGCCGCTTGAGCATTTTCATGAAGGCCGCCTCAGCCTCCTCGGCCGATGAAAAAGTAGGGACTTCAGTATCCACTGCGGGTTCACCCACCATGGCGCCGGTCTCCGAAGCTCCATATCCGCGGCGGTCGTTGTAGCCGCGATCATGGTGGCCTCGGTCATGGTGGCCGCGGTCGTGATAACGGTCGTGGTAGCCTCGGTCATGGTGGCCTCGGCCATGGTCGTCGCGAGCTCGGTGTCTAGCTTCGGGAGTGGGGTAAGAGCTGGTGCCGCCTGCCACAAAAGCGGGGGCGCTGCAATGTCATTAGTGCAAGCACTTTGATACACACAAAAAACCGTACTTACGCAACTGGAGGGGCCGGAGCGACCTGGGCCTTGGCCTGGGCCTCCACTTGAGCGAGAGCAGCTTTGTAAACGTCGGGCATGTCCCATGTGCTCTCTTTGGTCTCCATGTTGGCCCAGTATTTTTTGCCTTTGTCCGACGTGTATTCCTTCCAGGGGAGGTTGTCGAGCTCGACCTGGAAAAGGTGGTTAGTCAACTTCGAGGAAAAAAGAAAGTGTGAGGGCTACATACCTCAGCTGGGGTCATCAGCTCCCTGGGCTTTGTCCACTGGACGGCATTTGTCTGCCTGTTGTAGTAATACGGACGGCCTTCTGCGTTGCGTGCCTCTTGCCAGAGCGGAGGTCCCAGATGGGCCCCCGGAGGTGGCTGGTTGACATCCATGAGCGGATGCAGGAAAACGCGTGCGATCTGTCTCAGAATACAAAATTTACGAAAGCGAAAAGGATAAATTGGGTTTTGGAAGAGGTGTGGTGAAAGAGGGTGATGGAGTGAGGGTGATGAAAGAGCCAAGTTGAAGCGTGAGAGAGACGGAGGTAGAAAACAACCCGCAGGTGAGCTTCCGCCGTTTGCACTGTTTGCACCTCCGTCCTATCGCATCTCCCTATTGCGGCCCTCCGACAAATACAGGGAGTCTCAAAGAAACTCGCCCAGTCAAGATCTATTCAGGCGACAATTACTGTCGCAATGCCTGGGCTGGAACTCCCCGGTGAATTTCTTCGGCATGCAGTTATTTCCACCGTCGTACCGCATGCGCCGGCGCTCGATATTGAAGGGTCCCTAACAGCGGCCTTGGAAGACGGAGCTGATGACCTACCCTCGGTGCTTTCCTCAATCGCCCAGAGATCGCTATTGTTTTTCGGTTAGCTCCAAACTCACAAAGCTACATTCGTGATTTTCTTACTGACTACGGGCCTCATAGACGAGCATCTGCCCGTTCGCATCGTCCTACGACTGTCCGATTGCACAGACACGACATTGAAGCATTACCTACCCCGTCTCGAAGTCAAACTTGATGTATTTGCGATCGATTCAGCTGAAAATGTTGCTGAGAACCCAACACCTACTCGCGAGGCCATATACTCCGGTTTTGTCAACACGGAAGAGGAACCACTGGTGATTTTTAACGAATTTGAGGGCAGCGAGGGGACAGGGAACCATGTTTACCTGATATGGAACATTGAGACCTTCTTAAGTGAGTCGAGCTCTTACACTGATCAAATGATCACTCCAGCTAACTTCTTCAAGAGCGCCCCAGAACGCGTATCCAGAGCCCATCGCTCTTGTTTATGGCGTCTGCAAGCCTAACTCCAGCTGAACCCGGACGACAAGAAGATCCGGAAGACGACTATTTACCTCCGCTCGTCCCTGCGTCCACAAATATGTTCCAGCCTTTGTCTGGTGATAAATTACTTACTCAACGAGAACCTTTCCTGCCAGCTTCTCGACTGCTGCGCTTGGTTCCCACCACGCAAAACGAAGACCCCATCTATAACATTCAGCAGCAACATGGCCATTCTTTCCGAGTTGTGCCCGCTGCCAGTGCCAGAATTCGCTATTCGCGTTTGAACAACTATACCGGTCTGCCTACGACCATCGCCAGTCTAGATTTTGAGGTGACACCCTACGTCAGCAGCGACGTCGTATTTGATAAGGCGGATCTCCACCTATCTGAGGGGGCACTTGAATCTCTCTCAAATATCCCTGGCCTCATACTTCCTCTCACCTGCCGCCCGAGAGACGACGTGACCTTGGCATACAAGCTTACGCCCGAGTACGGGCCAGAGACCAATGGCTCTTCCACGGTCATGTTGAGCACACTGGACATTTCCTTGGAGGCGCAGATCATGGTTTCCGACGATTGCAAACCACGTATATTAATGCAATGGCGAACCAATGTCGATTTCTCAATGGCTCTTAATCCTACATTTGGCGGGCCCAGTCCAGCGCTACAGAGGAGCAATCGCCCGACAAGCCTCTCAATGCCACAGGGTCATTCAAGTCGACCATCGACTGGCACGGCCAACCGCAGTTCTCTCCGGGAGCGTGCGTACTCAGTCACCGATGTAGGCGTCACGATCTCTTTCTCCGGACCAGTGCGGGTGGAAGTCGGGTCGCCATTTTCCTGGAGCGTCTTTATTGTTAATCGCTCCAATGTTCCCCGGAAATTTGCTTTGATTGCCATCCCCCGGCGGAAACGCCTGGATCCACGCGGGCATACGGCACGGCCGTCCTCCGCATCCATTTCCAGCCGGAAAGAAGATGGAGTTGCCGAGGCTGTGACGGACGACAATATTGTCCATGCCATGCAAAAGAGCGTATCTGGTCAAGAGGCAGAATTGATTAGTTTGAGCACTGACATTCGAGTTGGGTAAGTGACTGCATTGACATCGATCTCCCGTCGACTTGGCAAATGAGACTAATCAGGCCTATAGACCTCTTCTGCCAGGAACCTGCCATGCTACCGAAATCAAGCTTCTCCCTCTTGCTACCGGCCCCCTTCACCTGGAGGCTGTGCGATTAGTGGACGTAAACACGAACGAAACGACCGATATTCGAGACCTGCCGGACATTCTGGCCGATGATCAGCCACGCATCACGGAATAATGGTACCGAATTAACATGAATCTTGTATATTGAATAAAGCAGAATACACTAAAATGGAACATAATTGGCCCACAAGCCTGTCAAAAACAAAAGATATCACGAAAGAATTCAGAATCTACTAGTAATATTACATATTTCTGGAGGAGGTGGAATCGGAATCCCGTGACCCTCTGGGGTAAGGCTGACGCCGTCACCGCCCCCCCAGGTGACATTCTGTTAGTCAGAGCGGAGTCGGCATCGCATCATCCACTTTGGACTTGGATCTGGGGAAGCAAGGCATCGATCTTCCTCCGAATCCTCATCTCCACCGGAGCCACCAGAAGGACCGGAGACAGCTGGGGTAACCTCTTTGACTCGTTCCTTGCTTGCTGCCGTTAACCCCGTCACAATTTGCGTCATACTGGCGCGCAACCACAACTTTCCACCCGAGAATCTCGCCTTCGAATCCCATCCGACCGGGCCACCGGCCATCAACCCCCATCATGATTGCCTCCGCGAAACGCAAAGTCCTCGATGGGCTCAACAGAAGATACATCTACGGTCGCGTGGTACGCCCTCACGTCCTGTCTTGCTGCTTGCCCGCTTGCCTCTGCTTGAACCCGCGCTAACCCGGTCGCCGTCCTGATAGCCCCTTCTGCACACCATCATATTCCTCATCGAAATGGCGGTAGCAACCCGCATCGCCGCCAAATTCAATACCTACTATGCTGAGAAGCCAGGTGAGACTTCTTCCGTGGGATCCGGAGGGGTGTGTCCGGTCGCTAACCTTGGGACGTTCCTGCCTTGATAGTGCTCACAACTATGGTCACCAACGCGGTAAGGCTTTCTTTGCATTCCAGCCATCATCTGAGTGGCGCCTGGCTTTCATATATACATAGATGGTTCGCTGACCATATGCGGAATGTAGGTGCTAGGAGGTGTGGCCGACACGGTGGCACAGTTGATCACGGCTTTCCGAGCTCGCTCCCAACAGAGATCCGAAGGAGGCGACGGCTTTATCTCGATCGAATTCCATGAGTTTGACAAGGAGAAGCCGGCTGCGTTTGGAGAGCTAGGATATGCGAGGAGCTCGCCGCCACCCTTCGACTTCGAGCGCCTCACACGATTCATGGCATATGGTTTCTTCATGGCTCCTGTTCAGTTCCAGTGGTTCGGATTCCTGTCCAGGGCTTTCCCTCTTACCAAGAAGAATCCTACTGTTCCAGCCTTAAAGCGGGTTGCGTTCGATCAGTTAATCTTTGCGCCATTCGGTATGTCAACCGCTGCTCGTGAATCTTTGTCCGAGGTGCGGTGCTAACATGGCGGCATAGGTCTTGCATGCTTCTTTACCTACATGACGATTGCCGAAGGTGGAGGCAAGAGAGCATTGACGCAGAAATTCCGAGATGTATACCTGCCGACACTGAAGGCCAACTTCGTGCTGTGGCCGGCGGTCCAGATCCTCAACTTCCGGGTCATCCCCATCCAGTTCCAGATTGTGAGTTGGTTTCAAATCTGCTCGTCCTCTCCGTAGTCAATGGCTAACTGTTTTAGCCATTTGTCTCGTCCATTGGTATTGCGTGGACCGCATACCTCTCGCTCACCAACTCCGCCGAGGAGTCTTGAATTGCTTCGCTTCGCCTCGGCGAATGTCATGTTAACGATCCACCCTGATTAGACACTGCACTTCTTCACGGTCTCTTTATTCAGGCGTTCCGGCTCGGTCTCCGTTTTCTGGCTTGTGTATAGGGGGTAACATTTTCCAGGGGAGGACTTGCATTTCCAAAAGATTAGGGTCTGATTTTCTTGCGCATCGGACAAATCACTTCGGGTACATTTTTTTTCTTCTTGTTTTCTGCTGCTTATCGCCGCGGGTTCATTGTCTCTAGCACTCGACAGCTGTCTTTCGTTATAAAGGGCATCGCTCTGGTTTTTTAATTTGCACGCCGTTTATCACACGGGCCTAGCGTGACACTTCTCAAGTATACAGTAGCCCGGCCAATGGAGGAACTCCGCGTAACGATCTCCCCAGAATCCCCGAATCCCCCCGACTCCGAGGCTATCAAATGCCTCCAGTCCGTCCGGCCTCTTCCGCATCAACGGGACCTCTGACATCAGTCCCGCATCAGCCCGATCTCTGGCGCCCGGGGGAAATCGGGTGACCTAGCAAGCTTGTACCTGATATGTAGGGATACAAGAGCTTACCGCCGGATTTGCTGTAACAATAAGTACCTTCCCCGGTCAAATACATTACCGGTAAGTACCTTGTTGCAACACGCTGGATGCGGTCGTCTACCTCACCGGCCTGCCCCACCACGCCCTCAAATGCCCCTCCACTCTTTACTTGTCGCGACTCACCGTGGCCCTGATTGAGATCTCTCTTTTTACCATTTCCCCGCCCCCTCTGGCTTCTCTTTTACTTCGTCTCTCTCGCCCGTTGTCAAGGTACCTACTACGATAGCCCCCAAACGAACACCATCACTGACATACTCAGACTCCCGACAATGTCTCTCTCTAGCAAGCTCCCCATCACCGACGTCGACCTCAAGGACAAGCGTGTCCTGATCCGGGTATGTACATTTCTTCTCGGCAGCTCTAACCTGCTCAATGGCTAAACCTGGTTCTGTATCAGGTCGACTTCAACGTCCCTCTCGATGACAACAAGAACGTCACCAACCCTCAGCGCATCGTCGGTGCTCTGCCCACCATCCAGTACGCCATCGACAATGGCGCCAAGGCCGTCGTCCTGATGTCCCACCTCGGTCGTCCCGACGGCAAGCCCAACACCAAGTACAGTCTGAAGCCCGTTGTCCCCGTACTTGAGAAGCTGCTGGGCAAGAGTGTCATCTTCACCGAGGACTGCGTTGGTCCCCAGGTTGAGGAGACCGTCAACAAGGCCACTGGTGGCCAGGTCGTCCTGCTGGAGAATCTGCGCTTCCATGCCGAGGAGGAGGGTAGCTCCAAAGACGCCGAGGGCAAGAAGGTCAAGGCCGACAAGGAGAAGGTCGCCGAGTTCCGCAAGGGCCTGACTGCCCTGGGTGACGTCTACGTCAACGATGCCTTCGGCACTGCCCACCGTGCCCACAGCTCCATGGTCGGCTGTGAGCTGCCCCAGAAGGCGGCCGGTTTCCTCGTCAAGAAGGAGCTGGAGTACTTCGCCAAGGCTCTGGAGAACCCCCAGCGCCCTTTCCTCGCCATCCTGGGTGGCTCCAAGGTCTCTGACAAGATCCAGCTGATTGATAACCTTCTGCCCAAGGTCAACAGCCTGATCATCACCGGTGGCATGGCCTTCACCTTCAAGAAGACCCTTGAGAACGTCAAGATCGGCAGCTCCCTCTTCGACGAGGCCGGCAGCAAGATCGTCGGTGACATCGTCGAGAAGGCTAAGAAGAACAACGTCCAGATCATCTTGCCCGTTGACTACATCACCGCCGACAAGTTCGCCGAGGACGCCAACGTTGGCTCCGCCACCGACGAGTCCGGCATCCCCGACGGCTCTCTGGGTCTGGACGTTGGTCCCAAGACCCAGGAGCTGTACAAGAAGGCCATTGCCGAGTCCAAGACCATCCTCTGGAACGGACCCGCTGGTGTCTTCGAGTTCCCCAACTTTGCCTCCGGTACCAAGGCCACCCTCGACGCTGCCGTCGACGCCGTCAAGTCTGGCGCTACCGTTATCGTCGGCGGTGGTGACACCGCTACCGCCGCTGCCAAGTTCGGCGCTGAGGACAAACTGTCCCACGTCTCCACCGGTGGTGGTGCTTCCCTGGAGCTCCTTGAGGGCAAGGAGCTGCCTGGTGTTGCTGCTCTGTCCAGTAAGTAAATGACATAGAGGATTTCGGTCGAAGGTAGAGACCTGTTTTAGGACTATCTTTGGCATCGGGTCCTCTTTTGAATTTTACGAATCTGTAATGTACACAGCCAAAATCCTTTTCTTTTTTCGCTTTAAAAAATCACAAAATTGTTCAAAAAACATAAATTGCCTCCCATCTTGTCGTTTCATTGCGGGCGTCCAACTCTGCGGCTTCAGATAACTAAGGTGTATTTTGTAATTAGACACGCGACCGAAGCTTTGACTGTATCAGAATGGAGGAGTTAATATTGGTATTGTTGCCTGCTGAGGGGCGAGGTGCTTGCATGTGGAAGTAGTTGGTGTACCCCTAGGGTAGTTTAGCTCTACGGTATACATGGATATATACTTGCACAAATAGCACTTATGTGCACTCACACGCTGGTCCATATACGAAACTACGCATCGAATGAACCCAGGACACAAGTAAACCTCACGGGAGATTGTTCGCATTCATCACATGGTAGGCGCAGAAGAAAGGGCCTTGTCATTATTCAAAATCGCTAGCTCAGATGTCCAGAACCTGCCCAATCCAGCACGACCCCACCGCTGAATGTCCAACCCTGTTAAACCAGTTGACGGGAGTCAACAGGCCTAGCAAGTGAATACCTGGTTATTCAGAGAGTTCCCCAGACATTCTGTTGGCAGATCTGCTCCAAGGACAGGGATCCAGAATCCCGCTAGGAAAGCGCATGCCCAAGAGCAGACTCCGCTCTCCCCAGCAATCCGAAATGCAAAGGGTATATGTAGTGTGGGTGTGAAGGTGAAACAGTGTGATGGTGATTGAGCGTTTGGGAGGAAAGGATAATTCGTTTTGACGGATCCTGGCGATGGCTTCTTGACCAGGTTGTATTATTCGTGGGTATGTAGCTTAGGACGAGGCCTCGACTTTCTTGAGCTCCTCCCTACAAGTATTAGATTAGCGACTTGTTCAAGAATTACGCCGTCTGCATCTGCACCGAGTCTTTGCGGGGTGGATGGCGGGAATAGAAACAAGGGCGCACGGTGCTAGCACGGCGCAAGTGGAGGGAACACCTACTTCAACTGCTTGGAGAAATCCTCCGCGGCATCATCATCATCCCAGCTTTCCTCCCACAGATGCTCATTCCCACCGTTCGCCGCGCCGGATGCTTGCTCAGCTTCTTCTTGGGGCCAGTCTGCATGTACAGTCAGCTCTCGCTTGCCCTTTGCATTGGGTGGACTTCTGATCGTTCGTGAGGATTCGATCAAGAAAGGCCGCTGGTCTATGGGCCTAGTGGCACTCGCAAGATCTACCATCATCAGAAGGTTCCCGGAAACTGAACACACCTTCCACCGGGAAGTCCTCAAACTCGTCGTCTTCCTCCAGGACCTGGGGCTTCTGTTGCTGCTGGGGCTGGTCTGATTCGGCCTTGGCCTGCGACGGGGCGGTGTTGGACATGGTGATGTGAGGATGTGCGGACACGAGGATGGGAGCGTGGGGAGTCGAATTGAAGAATCGAGTCGGCGTGGGGGAACCTTGGTAGTGGTGGACTGCGCAGCGTGCGGGCGGCGGTTGAAGTTGCGGGCGGAGAACAGCTTCCAAGCTTGACTTAGTCAGATGACGATGCCGCCGATTGATAGTGCTACCATCCTAGTAATGAACATGGGATATTTTATACACTCGGGGTTTCTATGGCGAGAGAGACCCGAAATCGCTGCATTGTGCGATTTCTGGACACTTCATATACTAGCATTGCTGGCACAGCACGCACTGCTCACGATGGGCGAGAGCGGCCTCCACTGTCAGCAACCTTGGACGGCGTGCCGGTGGCTCCGAGGGGCGAAGGCTTATGCACATTTGCACTCCTCGGAGCCCGTTTGGCCCGGTTTTGACCCCACGACGCTGCTCGTCTTCGGGATCGTTTCAGCTCTGCTTTCTCCCCTCCTCACTGCCTCCCCCGCTGGATCCCCGTTCTCGGAAATCCATTTGCACATGGGCCCGTTGACATTCTTCCCGATCCGTCTGCTCCTCAGGCCGTGAGCCTGTGTGCTTCTCTCTCTCTTCCTGTTCCTGAACCTCTCAGGCGCCATGTTGCGAGTCGGCTCGTGGTTGTATGGCAAGAAGCCCAATGCCTCAACGCAGTCGCTGGACTCGTTGACCGAGTTGAAAGACTGTACGTCCCCCAAGACCCCCCCAAGACTCCCGGAGCCTCTGCGCAATCCGTGCGCCAGATGGATGGGGCGTGTATGAGAGAGTATTGCGAGGGTAAATGTGCTGACCAGCGTCGCAGTGGATGAGGCAATGAAAGGTACGAGACGAAAGATCGCCAGCCATGGTCGGCGTCGCGACTAACCCCCGCGCAGCTGCCACCTACATTCTCAATGACGATGTCGACGGGGCAGAAAATGGCCTCGCCAGGGGCACGTCGACCTTTCACAATGTGCGTGGGACTCCGGACAGCAATGACAGACTGGTGCGAGGGACATGGGTGGTCCAGGGAGAGGCTGACAGGTACAAAACAGTTGGGCAAGGGCGTCGTCGCCTTCGTGCGGGCCACTTTGGGCTTTGAGCAAGAGATTATGCGACAAGGTAGGCCTACCGGATCTAGCAGGCCTTGGGAAAACGGCGCTGATCGTCACCAGCTTCTGAACGACTATACGAAGCCGAAACATCGGCCGCCAACGACCAATCCCGGGCGCAGCATAACTCTCACGCCCCCAATGCCTTCCACTCCGAGATCTATGCTCCGGGTTCGGAGTACGCATTGTGCCAGGCGATTGCCCAGTTGATGGGTGCCGTGGTGGGTGTGCTGAACGAGAGCCTGACGGAAAGTATCAAGGCATTCTATCGTCTGCGAAAAGCCTACATTGCATTGGATGCCATTTTGAAAATGGAAGAGAAATTCATGGAACAGAAGGACCCCAGTCGGGTTCTTCTCCCCAGCGCCGGCGATGTTGTCAAGAATATTGGCCCTCATGGCAAGTCGTCGGACAGCTCTGCCTCCTCCTCCAAAGGTGCCACCGCTGCCAGTAAAGCAGTCCCTGCAGATGAGAAGGATTTGTCCCGGTCTCTCTCAGGCTTGACTGTCACGTCGGAACCCGCCTCAAATGATTCGACTCGCTCCTCCACCCCGAGCGGGTCGAATGTGATCAACCACGACCCGGACTCCGACATCTTCCAAAATGAGATCGATGTCTTCGTCCACTCGGGTGCTAACTTCTGCTTCGGTATCCTTCTGCTGCTGATCTCTATGGTCCCTCCCGCGTTTAGCAAACTGCTCTCTATTATTGGGTTCCACGGCGACAAGCAGCGGGGACTGCGAATGCTCTGGCAGGCCAGCAAGTTCCATAACCTAATTGGCGGTATGGCCGCGCTGGCTCTGCTGGGCTATTACAATGGTTTTGTCCGCTACTGCGATATTATGCCCGATCCGACCCCTGGCGAAGATGATGTAGAAGGAATCCCTCAGGAAAGGCTAACGGCATTGCTGGCGGAGATGCGTCATCGTTTCCCCAACAGTCAGCTGTGGCTGCTGGAGGAATCCCGCATGAGGGGTGCCAACAAGGATATGGAAGGAGCACTGGAACTTCTTAGTGGCAACGCCAAGAGTCCCCTCAAGCAGGTCGAGGCATTGCGCATCTTTGAAAAGAGCTTGAATGCCTTGTTTCTGCATAAGTATGGGGTCTGCTCGGAGGCATTCATCGAGGTATGTCCGCTCCTGAATTACAAATCCGTTTGGCCAAATAGGTTGACAAATCAGTGCGTCGATCTCAACTCCTGGTCGCGTTCGCTCTATTACTACATTGCAGGCTCTTGCCATGTCGTGTTGTACCGCGACAACATCAGCGACCCTAAGAAAGCAGACGAGCATGCAAAGAAAGCAACGGAATACATCCGCGCAGCTCCCGGCCATGCTGGCAAGAAGCGCTTCATGGCCCGCCAGCTCCCATTCGATGTCTTCGTCACCCGCAAGATCGCGAAGTGGGAGGCCCGGGCGAAAGACTGGAACGTGCCACTTGTCGACGCTGTTGGAGTAGACCCGATTGAGGAAATGATCTTCTTCTGGAACGGGCATAGCCGCATGACTCGCCTGCAGCTTGAGGAATCCCTCACTCGCTTGGCCTGGTGCGAGAGCGAGGAAAATAAGACATGGTCCCGCGAAGGTGCCGAGGAGAAGGCGATTCTGGAATTGTTGCGTGCTGCAGTGTTCCGATCCCTGCGAAAACATGAGGAGGCCAAGCACATCATCAGAACGCGTGTCTTGAATCATGACAAATCCATTTTCAAGGGGCACTTGAAGGATGACTGGGTCCACCCCGTGGCGCACTTTGAAATGGCGGCGAACATTTGGATGGAGCGCCCGACCTATCAAGAGCTCCACGGTTCTCCTGAGGCGCCTGAGAAGTCCGACGAGGCCTCGACTGGATCTGGTAGCTTCAAGGAGGGGCAGTCCGATGAGAGGCAGCAGGTAAAGGAGTGCAAGGAGTACTTGGACGCCGCCGCCCGGTGGGAGAGCTACGAGTTAGATGCTCGCATTGGACTGAAGGTGACCGCTGCCATGGAGGCTGTGCAAAAGTGGGAGAAAATGCATCCGCAATAAATCTCCACCTGATGGCTTTGCAGGTATCCTCCTATAGTATCCTTCTATATAACCTCTTGGATAGGGTTGGCACACTCTCGTTGATGCCTACTTTTTCATATAGCAATTGTATGATAGAATCTTGCAAATCTATCTCGCGAGATATATAGACAGCATTGCATTTATGTGACCATGTTTGTTTTGAAAAGGGTCTGTGTGGCGAAAGTTCAAACTCAGCAGTGGTGAAATGTTGATCTCCGGCGCCGCTAGGGGTATAAGCTCCTTAGTGAAGTCTTGATTTCAATCAAGGTTGGGCGGATCTCCCAACCCTGCATCCGCGCGTCTTTTGACTTTTGCATGAAAAGAAGAGGCTGAAGTAAACAGTGCTCAACCCCAAATATTTTGATTCAGAGATAATATAATGTGTCGTTATCGTGGACTACTTTCGGGCACATGCTTGGGGGATCTGTGATGACGCCGCTCACACCGACGATCGATTGCGAACACTGCGAAAGGCAGCAAAATAGTTGACAGCTGAAATATTTGAAACTGATCAGGCCGGTGCTGCCCCGCCTTTCCCCGCTTGGCAGGGAGCAAAACAATGAAGTACGGAGTCCAGGAGATCTCTCTCCCCTTCCCTCTCCCTGTAGATCCCCGTCCCCTCGTCGTGCTCCACGTCAGCCATTATTTTCCCCGCAGTTCCGACTGTTCCAACCGTGTTTCGGAATTCCTTATGCAAGCCCAAAATTTCGACCCGAAGAATCTCCCTGCTCGGATCAGTCCCGGATCCCATCCTCGGGACAGGTGGCCCCCACCGTCACAAATGCGCTTGCCATTCGATCCAATATTGACGATATCGCCAAAGCATAAGTACTAGACGCGGCTGATCGACAAACGCGCGAGGGACCCTCCCACCTTCAACAATAGACCCACGAGGAAAGTCGGCCGAACACTGGCAGTCCTTCCCGGGCAAACCCCTGCGTTCGGACCAGCAGCACATTCCGCGGAGTCGTTTACCACATGTTCAAGTCCGTTGAAGGCATGCACATGTCAAGCCCACTGCGTCATGGTATCAGAATGAGTACGTTTACGCGAATCCACATCCACCAGATCCCTCATCGACATGGTTAGCGACGGATCTGAAGCTATAGCTCCTCACACTAATGATCTCCGAAGCCTGAAGAATTGTGGGTCCAGGAGGATCACCATGGCGAGACCCGAAGTGATCGTCCTGGCGAGGCCTACACACAATACATATGACTAAACGCCGGGATCATCTAGATCCTTCGTCCATGCAGACCTGCAGCGTACTCTTGTCATCAACGATGGGGTGGCGGGTGCAACAACAGCGACACCCGATATATCAAAACCCGAACCGCACTCAAAAAATTCCCAGGTACGGAGCCGCAAATTCGAGACGGGCATGTTTTTACTTCCAGCTTCACCCCCGACCGCTGGTACGAGCTCACTCCAAATAGTGGTCCATGTAGATCCATTCAGGTGTCATGGACATTCTTTATATAGATGTGGAACTCGCAGATTTAAAGGCTCCATGTGAAAGCGATTATTTGATTCAGCTGATGCGTCGTGCACGGCGAAAATGTGACATGAACCCCACCAGGACCCAATTGAATGGCGTCTTTCTTAAAAATATGCCCAAACAACCCCCTGTGGGCCACCCGACGGGTTCCCCTTCCCAACCCGGGCACCGTTCGTGGCCCGAACCCGAAACCTAACCCGGCAGTCGGCCCAGATCCTACCGGTGCCGACCCTGCAGGATATGATGTCTAGATCTGACATCCCGGGTTCAACGCCGTGCCTCTGCCGCGATGGCGATTCTTATTATACATACGATCCACATATGACTCAAAGAATCCGCCTAGTCTCGTTCTAGACTTGTGTTCTTAACTATGGCGATCTGTATAAAAAAGCTGTAGGGTGGATCACTTGCCACATCAATGGACCCACATCAGCCCTTACCTGGATTTTTAAGATTTCGGCCCTGGAATTGTGTAGTACCAGTAAGGCTTAATGACGACGAAAGCCTAACATGGCTATGAAGGCATGGGCCAGGTACGGGAGCTGACGCGTGCGACTGATGGCGAGCTTGCACCAGTGACGATCTAAGAAAGGGGAGTTGCACGAACAAGGAGTACACCTCGGCTTGGCGGGTTCTAGAAGTCCCTTCAAGCCTCTCACATGATCGGGGCATAGATGGGTCTGTCCCAGAGTACCGGAGGGAAGAATTTTATATACCCATCGGGTCCTTTTAGAATAATCTCCCGTCAGATCTCGTCGCTTTTCGGACAATTCTTAACAGGCCCCAATATGGGCTACTCGGTGGAAGAGCTGCGCACCTATGAACTGAACTCATCCGACGAAGAGCTCTCACGAGAGCCATCTCTCAATGAGAAGGACTCCGAGCCCTCGCTGCCGCCTATCGATGGCGGCAAGAATGCATGGTTGTGTTTGATGGGAGCTTTCTGCTTCGAAATGATGGTCTGGGGTATGTTCATTCGAAGTTCCTGTCAACACGCTGTCTGTTCTAACATGTCATGCTGCAGGTTTCCCCTTTTCCTTCGGTATATTCGAAGACTATTATTCAGAGCACGAGCCTTTCAAGCAGAATTCCTCAGATGTCTCTCTAGTCGGCTCTTGCTGCATGGTCAGTACCATTCGCGCCGAGAAACTCTTTCCCTGACAGTATATTAACATTTTCGCAGGGTGTCATGTATCTGGCATCTCCGATCAGCCTCTTCGTTCTCCAGCAGTTTCCCAGCACATGTCGGTATAGCTGCCTGGTCGGACTGATAGTCGCGTCGCTGGCGATCGTTGCATCCTCTTTTGCTTCCAATGTCTGGCAGCTCATTATCACACAAGGCTTGATGTATCCGTTGGGAGCTTGCATGCTATATTATCCAACATTTGTTTTCATTGATGAGTGGTTCGAACAAAAGAAAGGACTCGCATTTGGAATTTGCTGGGTAAGTGGTCATCTGCTCTGTTGAGTCTGAATCCCTTGAATCACCAGCTAACACCCTCTTGGCTCTATAGGCTGGAAGTGGTGTCGCAGGCGTCGCCTTTCCCTTCATCGTTAAATCTGCTCTCTCTCGATTTTCATTCCAGGTCGTCATGTGGGGATGGGCAGTCATTCTGTTTATTCTTGCAGCACCCTTTGTTCCCTTCGTCAAGCCACGAATTCCACGCGACGGTTCGTCGAGCGTACAATGCCAGCGACTTGGCTTCTCTTTCTTGCGCTCTCCAATCTTTCTCATTTTCCAAGCAGGGAACATTCTCCAGAGCTTGGGGTACTTTGTACCCTCGATCTATCTGGCAACATACGCCCGATCGGTGCTCGAGCAAAAGAGTCTGGGCTCGACAGCTCCCGTTCTGTGCCTCAACGCCGGAATGATGCTCGGTTTCCTCGGGATTGGCTTGCTGATTGACCGATGGCATGTTGCCAGCTGTATGCTGTTATCTACTGTCGGTGCTACTGTGAGCGTCTTTGTGATTTGGGGTGTCTCGATCTCTCTTCCACCTCTCCTTATATTCGCTATTGTGTATGGCGCGTTTGCTGGCAGTACCCCCGCTGCATGGTCAGGAATCGTCAAATTGATGCGAAAGACCGACGAATCCGTCCCAGCGGGCTTTGTGTTGGGACTTTTCGCAGCCGGTCGTGGTATCGGTGCTGTCGCTTGCGGCCCCATCAGCGAAGTTTTGATCAGTGCTAGCGAAAGCTCTGCATTGTCTGAATCATCAGCGATGGCGTACAGCACCAAGTTTGGCGTGCTCATTATCTTCACGGGTGTCACCTCCATATTCGGTGTGCTCGGCTTCGGCGCAAAGAAGATGAGATTCATTCCTTGAGATCTTTTTTTTCGGTTATTTTCGTTGGAAATATTTTGGGTGAAATAGTGCACGGCGCGGCCTTGTTGACAGCAACTGGATTGTCTGTTCAACCGCCCCTTTGCGGGCTCGATTCGTGTATAAAATTGACCTCACATCTTCCGGTCGGGCTTCTAATGACCTATGATCAGCGTGCTTTTTTATAGAACAGAGATAATAATATGCATCACAAGAGCGTTCGGTCGAATCACAATTGCCCAGTAAGAATAATCAAAAGAAATGTCAATCACCGCCGATCGTTGGATCGGATCAGCCCTGTAAGGCACCCCACCCCGCATGGTACCAGGTTCCTCAGGCCACAATTTCCTGCCTGGGGCAGTAATAACGCTCTGTCCTTCAACGACGAGCCTCTCCAGTTCGTCCATTAATAATTTCCTCCCATGACCCGCGTCCAGAATGCTTCGCCCTCGACGCGATCCGACAATTGGCCATCAACGACCCATATTAGCCCCATCAGCGCCCACTCAGCCCCTCTTTGGTCGCTCGGGGTTCGGCCTGCCCAGCGCTGTTCTCTGAGACGCCCTGACATGCATCCGATATGCATATCGCGCTCTTCATCCAGAACAAGCTCGATACACCGACAAAGCCGACTTCACAGGCACGAAAACCATCATCAACGCTCGCGCTGGCATATCCTCGCCTCCCTGAACCAAACAAAATGTCCCGCCGAGATCGGATCTAGGGCAGCCTTGACACGCCCCACATCGAGGTTGCGCGCCGCTCCCGGCTAACACGGCTCCCAGCTGTCGGAGGTCCGAAAGCTTGAATAAAAAAAATGTCGGCCCCAAGCGCCACCGCGCAAGAGCGTCATCAGATAAATCAGTTGAACCCTACAAGGCGCAGGCAGCAAGTCTCGGCGTTTGATCCTCGGCGCTTTACACTCGGAGACCGAGAGGCATGACGTCCAGCGGCAGACATCTTTTACTGGCAATATCTTTTTCCACTCGGCGCCGTCCTCGCCCAGGCAGAATTTTTATACGCTTATCGCCTTTTATATTAACTTACTCTCTCTCTCAACCGTGACTGGAATTTGCCTACGCTTGTCAACAGCGGCATTCTTCCCGCGCTCTCCCCCTTACACGCAGAAATCATGTCGGGGCAGAGGGAGCACGATCATCGCTCGAGCACTTCGAGCGACGAGAGCATCGAGACGCGCGATGGAAACAACGTCGACAATGGCGAAGGCGCAGGTCCGCTAGAAAAGCTAAGCACCGTCGCTTCGGGTCTTTCGGTCCTCGAGCAGCGCGCGCAATCGGTGGTTTCACGCATTCGGAGTCGCGAACCCGGCCAAATGGCTAAATTCACCCATCCGCTATCGCATTCGAAAACAAGCGAGGATTTCATTGTCGATTTTGATGGGCCCGATGATCCGTATAGACCTATGAACTGGGGGTTTAGGAAGAAGGCTGTGACAACAGTGCTGTATGGGTTGACTACAATGGGTGAGTATTTTCCGATTACCCCACACGACACACGGCTGCGGGGGAAAGTGAACATCGAGTCTAACATGCATGATGTGATGCAGGTGCGACGTGGGCAAGTTCGATCTATTCAACGGGTCAATCGCAGGTCAGTGAAGAATTTGGGGTTTCTATGGAGGTGTCTACATTGGGTACTTCATTGCTGCTGTTTGGACTGGGTCTCGGCCCGCTGATCTGGGCGCCTCTGTCGGAGGTCTTTGGACGCAAACCGGCTGTTCTCGCACCATACTTCATTGCGGCGATCATGTCATTTGGTACAGCTACTGCGAAGGACCTGCAGACGATCATGTTGACCCGGTTTTTCACTGGTTTCTTCGGCGCGGCCCCGGTCACAAACACCGGTGGAGTACTGAGCGATATCTGGACCCCCGAGCAGCGTGGCGCGGCCATCGTCGGGTATGCAATGGCAGTGGTTGGCGGACCTGTTATAGGTCCAATTGCTGGTGGTGCGATCGTACAGAGTTATCTACACTGGCGGTGGACAGAATACGTATGGCCTTCTCCTATCCCCATCCATCATTGACCAGCACTAATATTCACCCAGATCACCGGTATCATGATGATGTTCTTCCTCGCGATGGACCTAATCTTCATCGATGAAAGCTACCCACCAGTCCTCCTGGTCTACAAAGCGCGACGTCTCCGTTTCGAAAGCGGCAACTGGGCCCTCCACGCGCGCCACGAAGAATGGGATGTGACATTCAAAGAACTTGGTAACAAGTACCTTGTTCGACCCTTCCAGCTTCTCACAACTCCAATCTGCTTCCTAGTCGCCCTGTACGCCTCCTTCGTCTACGGTATCATCTATCTCAGTCTAGCAGCCTTCCCAATCGTCTTCCAAGAAGTCCGCGGATGGAACCAAGTGGTCGGCGCACTCCCTTTTCTCGCCTACCTGGTTGGCATCCTCTTCGGCGCAGTCGTCAACCTCGCCAACCAGCGATACTACATTAAACGCTTCAAAGCTAACAACAACCGCGCCGTTCCAGAAGCTCGTCTCCCGCCCATGATGCTCGGCTCTGTATTCTTCGCAGGAGGCATGTTCGTCTTTGGCTGGACAAGCCCTGCTGACATCCACTGGATTGGCCCTATCATCGGTGCCGTGATGATGGGTTTCGGCTTCTTCACAATCTTCCAAGCGGCGCTCAACTACCTCATCGACACGTTTCAAAAGGTATCTGCTTCGGCAGTTGCGGCAAATACGTTCCTCCGTTCGGTTTTTGCCGGAGCGTTCCCGCTCTTCACGAACGCTATGTTCCACAATTTAGGCGTACCATGGGCTGCCAGTGTTCTGGGCTTCGTCTCTGTTGCGCTGATTCCCATCCCGTATCTTTTCTTCACATATGGAAGAAGTATTCGGGCACGTGGGAAATGGTCTGCTGGGTCTCTTTAGATCAACATTCTAACTGAAGCTCTTTCAAGCGCCCGACCTAGTACAAAAGTCGTTGTCAATATTTGATTTTTCTTTGCAAATATGGGTCAGGTCTGTTTGATTTACCCTGCTGCGATTACTAGATACCCTTTGCATTACAACTACCGCATTATTCACAATTTACCAAGATTGTCTTATGTCCATGTACGTGAAAGTCATGAGCTCTTGATTCCTACAATATCATGCATTGATAACCACATATCCTCTGTCCTCATACTGCAGCATTATTCACAACTGACGAATTCGCCATCTGTGTTGCATGCGCTTCATACTCGACATGGTCAACCATCGCGGTTCCAGCAACTTTACCATCGAATTTGGTGAGAGCTTCACCATGCGCCATATCGCGCTCGAAAATAGCGCCGACTTTGCGCGCCTCGCGATCGCGGAAAACCCAGATAGTTCGGTCTTTCGAGAAGAGGAAATCTACCTCCTCGAGCGTTTTCTGTGCAGTTTCCTTTGTGGTTGTTAGCATTGTGGTTCCGAACGAATGGGTTAGGGATGCCTCTTACTGGGTAGAAGAAGAACACCACGATTGCCATGGTAAAGCAAAGGGTCATGAAGACCATGTATAGTTTCCATCTGGGGGTGACTTGTCAGTTTCTTCTCGCTCTGTGACACATGAAAGGTGCAAGGTAACGTACGAGATCTTATTCATCGCAGTCGGGATATAAAGCGCGAACCAGAAGTTCTATCATCATCAGCGACTGTTCACGCCTCAGTTCGAAAGCTGGATACTTACAACAAACCAATTAGTCGCTGAAGTCATGGATGTTCCACGACCACGCGAGCCTGTGGTGAACAGCTCTGGGGGATAAACCCAAGCCACGCAAGCCCATGTCAGGGCGAAGGTCATGACATAGACATATACAAATGCAATAGTCGCATTTGAGGCAGATTTGCTGGCGAAGTCGAAGTTTGTCTTTTGGGTGACAGGGTTGAAAATTGGGTTTCCTGATTCCATGTTAGCTTTGTTGTGCGGAAGATGCGAATCGAGACGCACCTTTTGTTTTCATTATTGTTCCAATAAGCATCATTGAGATTCCCATTCCCACGCCACCGATGACCATCGGAGTTCGACGGCCCCAGGTATCCATCCAGTACATGTTGGGCCATGTGAAGACGTTCAGAACGACGCCCTGGATTCCGTTGGCGAGAAGGGAGGCTTGGGTTCCGCTGATGCCGGCTTGTTGGAAGAGGAAGACGGCGTAGTACATGATCCTGAAAAGAGTCAGCTCAAAGTTAGCACATTTCCTTTTCGTAGATATGACAGTAGCAAGAGGTGGTTGGACTCACACATTAACGCCGGTAACTTGTTGCCAAAATTGCTACAAGAAAGTCAGAACTACCCTCAGGGCATTCAATCTTCAGACTTACCACTCCGATTCCAAGCCATGTACGACGGCGGTCACGACCAACAAGCAACTCGAGGTATCCCGGAGGCGGATTCTGTTTCTCCCACTGAATCTTCGATTCGATTTCGGCTAGCTCTGCCTGGACGAACGGATCGTTGATATCTCCGTTAGAGTGCATCTGAGCAAGAGCTTTCAATGCCTTCTCGTGCTCGTCGCGCTGAGCTAGCCAGCGAGGTGACTCGGGCATAAAATACATCGTCAAGTGGAGGGTAACGGTGGGGATCATTTGGAGACCGAGTGCCAGGCGCCAAGAGGCATCTCCACTAAGGTAGCTGGAGCCGTATTGGATCCAGAAGGCGACGAGGATTCCCAAGTTGATACAGCATTGTTGGAGGGAGACAATGCGGCCGCGGATTCTATAAAGAATGGAGTTAGACTTTTGGAGATAGGAGTGTGTTTAAGTTGGTGTACTCACTGTGGAGGAGAAATTTCACTTTGGTAGAGGGGAACCTGCATTGGAAGCAGTTTGTTAATGTCTCGCCAGATCGAAATTTCGGTGTCCTGCACTCACCATCATTGCCAAGCACCCGTTGCCTAGACCATTGATGACCCGACCAGCGACAAGAGCAGTGACATTATTCGCAGCCGTCGAGATAGCGACACCAATCGTGAAGATCAAAGATCCCAACAGGATAGTCTTTCGACGACCCAGTCGATCAGCTAGCAGCGCACCCGTTAGAAGCGACCCAGCAAAAGAACCCGCCTGAATCGACGCCGTAATTCCACCCTGCAGGAAATCGCCTGGGTGGTTCATGTAAGAAAGAAACTGTGGCATTGCAAGAATACCACTCATTGAACCAGTATCCTACACTCGTCAGGAAAATAACTTCAAAAATTGATCGTAAAGACATACATAACCAAATGCCACGCCACCCGTGCATGGCGCAAGACCGTAAATGTATGGTTTCTGCTTTCAAGTTAGACATGTTTAGAATCATTGCGCGTTCGAACTCACCCACGCGCCGCCCATTATGAATCAGGTTCACGCTGAATGAATTGCGACGACGGCTAACTCATGACGAGCTATCCGGAGTATTTATTCAACTCCTTGGATGTTGACGGCCGCGGATATTTTGCGGGTAATTTCAACCCCTCATGGGAGTGGATCCAATGAGCAAATATCCGGGGGACCCAGGTCCACATCCTGAAGCTTTGCGGGATTGCGGAGGAACGCTGTTAAGAAACGGGTATGCCGTGGTGGCCTCTTCAGGAGTCCACTCTGGGTGTCGTTTTTGGAGCTGGTCGGCTGCTGTCCCGGTGCGAGCAATACTAGTAGTTGCCACTAGTAGGATACCCCGGCGCGTTGACAGTCTGGCATTGTGAGAACCTTCAGGGGGGAACAAAATTGTGAGCTCCCACTGTGTTATGACATCGTTGATGGCAAGTGAAGTCGGTTGCTCAGCCGGGCGGCTTCAATTCATCAATTTGCTGGACATCGTATGTCCTCGCAATCTCGGGTCTCGCAAAATTGAACCAATTCTCGATCTCGATTCGAAATGGATATCATCGCGTCTTCCGTCAGGTTCGGGGTCCACCATGGCATTCGTGACCTTCTGTTATTGTTGGCAATGAGGAAAGGAGCACGAAGTACGAGGCACGATATATGACGCTGACGAAGAAGAGAAGCTCTGTCATCTAAGGTTGACTGGTGGGCTGTCACATGACCGGTTATACGCTTTGAGGCCTCCCAAATGCTTCCACACGCTTCCACACCTTGTGTCTCCTCTTCCTGTATCTTCACACCCTACGCTGGATTTGGGGTAATATGGCCATCGACAATGATGAGTAGGCTCGAAAGGATGCGCAGGAAAAGAATACTTGATTTTTGTGAACTTGATCAACCAAGCATAACAAAAACAAAAACTGACAGGAATTTCGCAAAGAAGGGCCTGCAGGGTTCAACACCGTATCAATCGGTTCCTAAATGACCTGGGCCCTGGCTGCCTGAGGCTTCTAGGCGACCCTCGCTGTACTTGCCCAGCTCGACCAGTTGAAATGCTCATGAAAACTGCAGGCTTTTGAGCCAGTACCTTGCTTCTGACCATCTATCATACGACAAAAACTGAATTTGTACCAATCGGAATGAGATATCCTGAGCCGATGAGGAACCAACTCCACCAATGGTATTCCATATTGAGCCGAGTCAGATGATCGGGACAAGATCGCATTGACTACTCACAAGCTGTGAATGTATTCCTTTTCGGGATCCCTCGAAAGTGAAACCTTCTTACACGGGCCGGTCTTGATGCGAAAACTTCACAATTCTTGGACCATATTCCATCTTCCTGATGTTCTGAGCCTTTGTGAAGAAGTTTCTCAGGGCTACTGCAGACCTTCGAATATGTGAATCTTGTCCCCGGGGGTCAGAGGGTGCTCACAAGCTTGAGGTCGGCCGGTATCAGGTGAAACCTCGACACCGGGTAACGGCGTGATAGCCCCGAGCAAGGAATCCTACCCTGCGGTCGTGATACTAGTGTGTCTGGAATCGATTAAGTAAACCGACCGTTTCGGCGTCCGATTTATGGTAGCGCCCCGCGAAAATACAAACGGAATTACACAAAGAAGCTAATACATACCCTCACCCAGCTAGGGATGTGATTTCTCGTTCCTGCATTGGCCTCGATATGGCGAAAGAACAGTGATTGCTTCCAGGCTTATCAGGGGCAACCCAATTTCCTGGATCCATGATTTGAAGCGAGTAGTGAACGCTTGGTACGGCCAAAGTCAAGATTATATCCTTATCTGGACGGATTGAAGTTTGCTACACCGCTAGAACAATCAATGAATCTTCTCTCTTTGATTTCCCTCCATATGCCACGTGGATCGGCACGGAATACCAGGGAACCGTTTTGAGCACAATGTTTGTCGATAAGGCGGCGGCTGCTCGGTGGCTGGGAGTCGCGAGTCCTCGTGACCCGGTCATGTCGATTCCTTCCGTGACCGGTCCGTGTTTCGTTCATTGGCGCGATAGACACCCTCCAGGGCATGTAGAGTTAGTTCTCTGGTGGTCAAATGGAAGCTGGTTGCCATCAGAGAATACTCATTCGTGGATGGAGTCACCCAATTGGCATCCAATGAAGTCTGTCATGTCAATGCGCCCCGTGCCGGTAGGCGGTTCTAAACAGTCCATGTCATTGTCGGATGTTCCATGTCGAATGTTCCAGAGACATTGCCAACTCCATCAAGGAAGATGGGTCTGTGACTAACAGATGGGTCGGCAGCGTCATGTATGACGGTTGGCTGTCCTGGTTCTCTGCCACCTCCTTGCAGGCCCTTCCCCAGACATCCGGCTGCGAGCCGCGACCCCAGCCAGTGTAATAATGACAAACATTGCCCGTTTCGGTATCTCTAAACAGGCCGAGTGGGACGGTGGCCTCGATCGACCCGGGGGGTAGGGCGCGGCTGCTCTATCTCGGTCGTTCTAGATGGAATTGGCACCCTGCCCCCACCAATGACGAGCGCTGCTCGGCATGATATCAGCTCTGACCTGGATGAAAGAGCGCCAATATGAAGGCCGGGGGAGCTCAAGTGGAGAGGGCTTGCCACACGCCGGGCCGGGCTAAGCCAGTTCGAGTAAAGAGCGGCCGATAACCTCGACGCCATTCGGTGTTGCCAATGATCGACCGATCACCTGACCGGTACTTGGGTATATCTCCCGTTGTCAGCCCTGGACAGCGCCGCCAACCTGGCCAGCTGACGCTAGGCAAGCCGGCTGCCAGAGTTCGAGCACCGTCCAAGACCGTCTCAGACCGTCCAAGATATCGGATGGGGCGTTGCGAATGCCGTGTCGACCTGGTCCGGGTCGCTGGCGACCATGGTTATATAGAAGCTGCTATCTTCACGTTCAATTGTAGTTCATCAGCATCCAGAGCAAAGATCAATCAAAAGCATCAAAGCTTCTCTCCCCCATACTTCTAAAATCCACAACAAAATGTCCTTCCTAAGGAATTTCTTTGGCACCTCTGCCACCCCAGTCCAGGAGGAGACCAAGGAGGGCAAGACTCCCGTCCGCGCCCTCCCCGCCTCCTGGTACACCTCCCAGGCCATGTACGAGCTCGAGCGCCGCGCCATCTTCTCGCGCAAATGGCTACTCACCACACACAAGGCTCGCGTCCCCAACGCGGGTGACTGGGTCCGATACGACGCCGCCGGCTACGAGTTTGTTGTCGCCAAAGACCACCAGGGCGAGATCAAGGCATTCCTCAGCGAGGATCTGTCGCCCGCTCACGTCCATCTCGATCGCAACGGTTTCGTCTGGGTGAACCTGGACTCCTCCGAGACCCCCGAAGTGGCCTGGAAGGATGACTTCGAGGGCGTGGATGAGCAGCCTCGATTCCAATACTACAACTTTGACAACTACAACTTCGACCACACCTGGGATATGGAGGGTGATTTCAACTGGAAGATTCTCGCCGACAACTACAACGAGTGCTACCACTGCCAGGTCGCTCACCCCGACATTCCCACCATCGCCGATCTCAATTCCTACTACGTGAAGACCAAGGACGGCCACATCCAACACTATGGTGCCCCCCGCGAAGACCAGATCGCCAAGGGCTTCCGCATTGCTACCACCTACTTCTGGCCCAACGCATCCTTCAACGTCAGCCCCAACTTCTTCTTCATGCAGCGATTCACCCCCACAAGCCCGACCAAGTGTGTCATGCGCTACGAAGTCTACCGCCACAAGGACGCAACCGACGAGGCCTTCAACTTGATCAGCGACATGTACAAGCGCATCATGTCCGAAGACAAGTACCTCTGCATCCACTCGCAGAAGAACCTGAACGCCGGTGTCTTCGTCAACGGCCTGCTCCATCCCGAGATGGAGCTCGGCCCGCTTCACTTCCAGAAGACGGTCCGCGATGTGGTCATGGAGCACCGCAAGAAGGAGGAAAATGTCGGCCGCGAGATCTGGCCCGCCGCCGAGCGCAGGCCGCAAGAGACCGTCGCCGAGGAGCCAATTGCCTTCCGCACGGGCACCGAAACTTACATGAGCGAGAAGGATGACTTGAATGTCACCGTGACTCCGCTTGTCTCTGTTTAAAGATTTGGACACCTGGAGGATTATAATGATGGATACGACTACCCCCCGCTTCACCTGTGATATATATATGGCATTGCATTTCTTTCTAGAACTGCTTGGATTATTTACTAGATTTTAGTTTGCTTGAGCGATTTTTGATCATGACAGAATGGATTTGATTCTACATCTCTTTAATTTTTTTTTTATCTTTTCAAGATGTTTCGAATAGTTGTAAACCTGATTTATATCACTCGCAGGGAGATGGGGGGATGATGCCGATGCCGAGCCCGTACAATGACGAAACGAAATGAATTGCATTTAAACATGCATACTCCGAATAATAGAATTGAGCACATTTCAAGGTAGCGTGGCTTGGCACATCGATTGGCACGGGTGAATTCAGCTCGCAGTGTCAAGCAGAAACACGGAGAAATGGGCCCGTTCTGGGGGGAAATAGTTCCGTCTCGGCGGGTCCAGGATGCGCCGTCAACACCTAATGACCCAGGCATCAACTTTATTTACCCGCGATGCAGCGCCTTCTTCTTCAACTGTTCCCCCACCACACTTCAGGCTATTTTGCCCAGAAGCTCATTAAAATCGAAATTTTCTTCCTCGTCATTTTCCTGTCTTCTCAACACCACCCTTCGAGAATAGCGACAGGATGAGCCTGCCTCTGATCCTCCCGCCCATCATTCTAGGCGGTGCCGGCTTTAGCCATCAAGTTTATCGGAATCCCAACGCAGCCCAGGCACTACAAGTTCTCAAACGCGCATTAGAACTCGGGCTACGAGCTATCGACACATCAGCATACTACCATCCCTCAGAAATTCTCCTCGGCGAAGCGCTCTCCCACCCAGACATCACCAATCTCTACACACGCGACCAATATGTCCTCATGACCAAAGTCGGGCGCATCGCCGCCGACAAATTCGACTATTCTCCCACCTGGGTCAGAAGCTCGGTATTTCGATCATTGCAGCGACTGCGAACTGACTATCTCGACGTCGTTTTCTGCCATGATGTCGAATTCGTCCCTGAGGACGAAGTCATCGAAGCTGTCGGCGTGCTCTTCCAGATGGCTGGAGAAGGCCATATCAGACATGTCGGTATATCGGGGTATCGCACCGATATCCTCATGCGCCTTGCCCATCGCGTCCGAGAAGAATTCTCCCGGCCTCTGGACATTGCACAAAATTGGGCTCAGTTGACGTTACAAAATGATGGACTTGCGGAAGATCTGGATGAGTTCAAGAAGGCGGGCGTCTCATGCATCTGCAGCTCAAGTCCATTGGCCATTGGTCTACTCCGCACGAATGGTGTACCTGTCGGAGACTTGGGCGACTTTCATCCAGCGCCGCAGGGGCTACGAATCGCGTCGAAGCTGGCGGCTGATTATGTTGCGGCGAAAGGGGACGATCTTGCTGCACTCGCACTACGTTATTCTATCCGTCGTGCGCAATCTTTGTCGAGTCCTGATTTTCGCGTGACGACGATTATGGGGATCACGACTATTGCGGAGCTGGAAGATAACCTCGCGACGGCAAGACAGGTCCTTCCAGTCACTGAGTCACAGTGGCGCTGGGTTGCAGAAGCTGGCCCCTCTACAGATGCTGTTTCAAGTCAGGTCAAGAAGGATGAAGAGTTGAGTGCGGGTGTGAAGGACATTTTGGGCCCTTGGTATGGATATTGTTTTCCCAGTCCAGGAGACGGCTGGGACGTGGCTACTAAAATGCCCGTCCCATCGAGGATTTGATGGCGTACTTCTTGTTCATAGCATACAAACCTCCTTTTATAGAATTTTGAGCATTTATGGAGCATCAATAATTACATTTCCCTACATTTCCCCTAAGCAATCAATCGGCGCAATTCCGATTATACCTGACCGTGCGTCTTTCATATTGAACGCGGAGTTAGTACTACTGTAGTACCTGCAGATCCGACCGCACTAGCACTATTTCGAAATACCCGAGCAAAAAGTCCGACACCTCCCCGCCATCTCGTTGCACTATGTACTCTCGTCCGTGTCGGGCAAGGGCCCCTGAGCTGAACTCCACACCTCCCCCGCATTTCCATCTCCACATCCACTGCTCCTCCTTTTTTTCCGCAATGACTCGGATTTCGGCCAATATGCCCCGTCGGAATCAATCGCGAGTTCTACGGGCCTGCGATGCCTGTACGCATTCTAAACAGCGATGCGACGGAGAGCGGCCATGGTGAGAACCTCGTGTCCCTTGGAAGCTGCGTTCTGGAAGCTAAAAACTGCATGAAGCCGTCGATGTGCAGGTACATCACCCTTCGCGAACACACAGATCGAACCGAGTCGTCTTACAATGTATACTAGAGCGCAAAGAGCCCTGTCACTATATCAAAGTCGTTCGTAAGCGCGGTCGTCGGCCGCGCTCCGACTCGACGCGGGAAACGAATCGCGAAGATGGAGGCTTGTTTACGAAAAGTTCTCCGCAGGGCCTGGCGAAAAGTCCGGATAGCACGATAGTATCTAGCAGCACGTCTGTTCCGGAAGCTCCAGAAATTGCAGATGTTCAGGAGCGTCGACCGTCTGACTTAAGTCCTACCACTCATGATGCGTCGCAGCTCAGGAGTCCAGCTGGGGATGCAGCATTCCCAACAATTCATGCCTCGTTCTCGCCATCGGAGAATCCCTTGAATTCTTCCTTTTCAAGCTCAATGATTGGCTCTCAGCTAGGGACGGACCATGCAACAATGACACCCGGTCAGGTAAGTTCGTCTGGTGTTCATCACTCCCGCAGGACAATATACTTTCGTATGTTGGCGATCAGGAAGCCTAACTTCGTTTTATGCAGGTGTCGATTGACTCTGGAGCCTCCCTACCTGCCGTTCACCAGCCCCTCTTCGACGTCTCCAATACTCTCCCCGACACTCTTTCGACGCGAAAGCCATGCCGCTGTTTGGAATCAATACTGCCGTCCTTGAAGGGAATTTTGACGCCCGATGAAGCATCAGAAATGCTTGAGGTATACTTCAATGATGAGCATAGTTCGTTTTTCAAGTCTACGTCACCATATATGCTAGCGCATGTCTTGCATCCCTCTTCTGTTCTCCACCCTACGCATACCCGCCCACACTCTCCTGCTCTTTTGGCTGTGATACTGTTTTGTGCGGCACAGACAGCGGATATGAAGATTTTCGACCCTCCCGGTGCACGAGAACGCACAAGCATCGACCTTTACCGTCTCTCACTTGACCTTCTCCAGTCCGAAGATCCAGACAATTTTTTCCGGACTTCAGGTTTGTCGTCCACAGCTCCTTGCGTTCCATGGCCGTTACTAATGTTCTTTGTAGATGGCTGGCAATTCCATCCGCACCCCAGCGGCATCCCCCCGAGCATCGACCGACAACCATCCGGAAAAACATTACTTCCCAAACAACTCGGGTCAACGGACACCATTCTCGCTGTCGCAATATTGACGATCACGATATCTGGAGGGCACTACAAGGCAGACTCGCTCAAATGGCGAGATAAGCTCGCACGATTAGTGAGAGCCAGTGGGCTGAGTATGGAGGATCAGGACATTGACTTGGGCCCCGTTTTCTGCGGTCTCTACAATGGCGACGCCACCTTCCGGCGATGGGTGATTGCAAAAGAGGAACGCCGGCGTCTCTTTTGGTTGATCTACTGTCTGGACAGACACTTAGCCCTCTCTTTCAATACGCGATTGAGTATTCCGGAAGGTACATTCTGTGTTCGGACACCCTTGCCAGAGAATCTGTGGCAATCTCTCGACATAATGGATCTAAACAACATCCCTGCTAGTCCGATCGGTCCCCCGTTTCAGATATCAGGGTGTGGATTCTTCGAATATTTCTTACCTCTCGCTAATGTGTTGGGCCATATTATCGACCTGCATCACTATCGAAGCCATCCCACCGTCGGTGCAATCATCTCTCATGAGGCTATCCGTCGCGTCGAAGCAATGATCTCTCAGCGTGAGCAGGAACTAATGGACTTGGAGAGCCAAATGGGTGTTCATTTTCCCGACAAATCACAGGTCCAACCCTTTCCCGGTGAAAATACCGTAGTTTCCTCGCAGGGCGTGCAGACCTACAGTACCCCTTCGAATGCGGCATCCACAAAATCAAAACTACCGCTGGTAAAGGCTTATAGCACGTACTTGCTACACGTCTTTTACATCCTGCTCCACGGAAAATGGGATCCCATCTCAATGATTGAGGACAATGATGACTGGATTACGTCGGACAGCTTTCTGACATGCGCCTCTCATGCACTCAGTGCCACAGGGGTAGTCTCCCAGATCCTGACTCTGGACCCCGAAATGGTCTTCATGCCGTACCTTTTCGGAATATATCTTCTGCAAGGTAGTTTCATTCTCCTTCTCTTTGTGGATCGCATGCCGGAGCTTGGCCCGAACCGTTCTGTGGAAGAAGTCTGCGAAACAATCATTCGTGCGCACGAGGTCAGCGTCGTGACCTTGGACACTACTTTTCAGGTATGCAAATCCTAGAGAGAAAACCAATGTTCATCACTGACAAAACAAAACAGAAAAACTTCCGCAAAGTCTTCCGATCGATGCTCTACGATGCTCAGCAGGCTGTTCCACATTCTTGGGACGAGCACAAGGCGCGACGGAGGGAGCTTCTTTCTCTCTATCGCTGGACACCTACTGCGCACGGGCTTGCGTACTAGGAGGGCTACTATCTACACATCATTCCTATTATGGTCACACAACTCACTCAGCATCAGAATATTCATTGGGATGTCTGCATGCTCTCACACAGCGACATCCGAGCCTTCCACGTTGACTAGCCTCAGCGGTTTCGATCGCTTATTCACAGTCGCCTTATGAACAACACCACTGTCATCCCAAGAAAAGTCAATGCTTCCTCCTCCGCGCAGCTGAAGGCCGCGAACCGAGCCTCCACTCCACGAGCTAGGTATCGCAGGTCCCAAGAGCACCGTGTGTATGCTATCATCATCATGGAATTGAGGCAAATCGCGAATCAAAATGGCAGTGAAGGCAGCAACAAATCCAAAGTTCGCATCGATTTGGAACGGAGCATTGTGTCCAGAATACTGCGACAACCCATTTTCGGCCATATTTTCCGAGATGCTGTATCTCAATTCGAAATTTGCTCGCTCTGTATTGTTAAGATGGGCCCAGCATGCCGACCGCCACACCTTCGCCCAGCCCGGGTTGTCTTCGGTATTCTTTCCATCTCCGCGAGACCAGAGCATTTTCTCCACGGCCTTTGTGACTCGGCTGTCGGCATTTTGAGAAACGCTGTACCCAGGGTACCATCCAGTGAGGCCGCTCAAATGACGATGCGTATCATTTTTGATGTCAATATCGCGCTTCCATTCCTGCAACTGTCCCCAGGATCCAATGTGTATCCCTCTATCCAGGCGATCCAAGGTTCGGTTCACTTGTTGGCGAAAGTCCTCGTCGTCATCACCAGCCAGAGACCACGTCGCAAGAATCCGATCAAAGAGCTCAAAGATTTGCTGTTGATGATTCGAGCAGCCGAAAGTCGTCGGCCCATGCTCAGGTGAATTGCACGGATTCACAACCAACATTCTATCATTGAAATATCGATCCTCCTGAAGCTGCGAGAGCCAAAATGACGTTGCACCCTTGAGAATCGGATATCCCTGCCTCCGGTACCACTCCTCATCACCGGAATATTCTAACCAGCTCGGAATATGCAGCGCCATCCAAGTACCCGCGAGAGGATAATTGGCCCAGGTCGCTTCATTTTTCATTCCGGTATACCCAAAGATGTTGATTTCGTCATGCACAACCCACGATCCATTTAGCGCCCCGTATAGCAGACGCGCGGTCTCTTGGCCGTATGGCACCCATGTTTGCTCAATATAGTCCCAAAGTGGCTGTTGCAAGGATCCCAGGCCGACCTGTGGTGCGGCCCAGTAGTTCATTTGCAGATTGATATTTGCGTGGTAGTCGGCGCTCCAAGCTGGGTTCTGGAGGTCGGCCCAGCGACCTTGGAGGTTTGCGGGGAGTGAGTTCTCACGGGATGAAGATATCAAGAGATACCGTCCCAGGTCGACGAAGAGTGACTCTAAGAAAGGGTCTCCCTTGGAGGTGTCGTAGCTTGAGAGGAGGGCGGATGTCTCAATGCGGCTTGAATTTGCGAAGTCTGGCAGCTCCAGCTCAAAGGCTCCGAAAAGTCTCTTATAGTCCTTCTCGTGCTTTTTCAGTATCTGTTGGTAAGAGCTTGATGCTGCTGCGGACACGGCTTTTCTCACTGCTGGGGCCGGATCAATTCCACGAAAGGAGTAGCCAGATGCCTTGTCTCCTTTTGTCGCGTCATAGTCCGTCCCAGCGCCGAAAACTACTGTGATCTCTCTGGCTTTGGCACTGGTCGGCAGCACGAGTTGACCTTCGCTGCAAATCATTCCTCGGGAGCGGACTGGTTGAGCTATTCCAATGAACTGCATACCAGGCTGGGCCAAATGACCCGATATCTCCATCCTGGCATTGGCGCAAGTCGTATTCACGAGAGTCGCGTTGAGAAAATTGTTGTGTAGTCCAAATGTGACTTTGGGCAGTGGCTCGCTCGAGGCAATTAGGTAGACGCAAACATTATCTGGGTGAGAACATAGGGCAGAGACGTTGTAATCTTGCCCATCGCTGGAAAACCGCACAGAGTGAACTCCAGATGCCAAGTCCAAGCCTCGGAAATATGAAGAATAATCTTCAATCCCCTCTATCTCAACAGTCAAATTCGCAAGGGGTGTGTAAGTGCCGTACGAGGATATTGGGCTCAGAAGACCGTCAACATCGCCCTCTCCATCGCGGAAGATTTTATCGCGTATTCCCGGTAAGAAGTGGGACCGATCGTCGGGGGGATTGCCGCCAGAATAACTTTTGTTTTCGAATGGTCCCCCTGTCCAGAGACTGTCTAGGTTGATGGTGATGGTTTCTGATCCTGGGTTTCCGGCAGGCATAAACCCCAGGCGTCCGTTTCCCAGGGGGTATGCCTGCCGCATTATATCAGATGTGCTGGCTGGAGAACTCGACCATAGCCACTTAGCAGCGACTTGATTGCTGGTCGCAAAGAATAACAAAATTTTTAGAAAGTTCATCCTGAAAGATGCCACAATGCACAATTCTGAATCGATGCGGGGGTGTAATCGGTGGCTATGGCTGCACTTATAGCAGAGGCCGATCGGAAAAATGCAACCCTAGACTGCAGATCTATCTTCAAGGCCCAATTCTCCCGCATTTACTTAACATCGGTCCTCGTCGGATCTACGAAAATCTGGGTGACACATAATGATCATGGATGTCGTCGATATTTTCCGTGCGGAATTATGTGATATTGACTTCTATTTTCTATTGTCTATTGTAAAATCAACCGTTTTTTGGGTCAGAGATTCCCAAACTACACATTTTTTCGAGCCAGCAATCTCTTCCATCCGACTAAGAGTAATATACTCTTGAGAACTTGTTCGTTTGTCCTCCAGGCTCTCACAGTCATCAAAGATGATGCATTTATCTTCCTCGTCAAGACCATGATATAATACAAGTAGAATGGAGGGCCTTCCATAAAGGCTTACCCTCTCCATGTTGGCTTGCGAGAATAGCCAAAACGAAATAGATGATTGTCAACATAAATACAATGATAGGCAGCGTCTTCCAGGACCATGCTATAAACACGGGTTTGGTTTACAAAGACTGTGCCAGCCATCGTATGATTGCTCTTTACCCACCACAACTTAGTCATTGAAGCAGCGATATTCACGTATCAAAGGGTCTCGGCAATGCGTGCGGTATTGTCTCTGTTGTCCGAATCATAAAATGCTTCGCCGGATCTATTCCATGTTGCAGTGGCACTCTCATAGCTCCAACTGACGCGGGCTAGTCCCTTAAACTGTCGGTATTCATCCCCCAGCTCTCAAGATTACTGGAATTTTGCCATTGCCAGGTGAAGGTGTCAGTAAGTCGGATCAACCCGTTATGATGTCTCTCACCGTCATCCGCAGACACAATATTCACTGACGCCATGCCATTGACGACAGAAACATCTTAAGCTCTCTTGCACAGGCTAATTCCGCACTCAGTAACCTTCTCAAACCCCGGCTTTGCATCTTCTTCCTAAGATATGCTACTGGGTGTGGCTATTTCAGCATAATACCACACTATCAAGGTACTCTTCTTGTCTCCAATGGCAATTTGCCTGCTAGGAATGGAAAGAAGCTTGTCAGGTGGCTCATACAGAGCTGACTGGAACCGTCTGGCGTATCGGGCGAGTAATTGGAAGACAGCCAGATATTGCACGACATTGTGTGCAATTCTTTCTGGATGGGTTTTGAAGGAGCGACCGCGCAATTATCCAATCTCACTGTAGTTGTCACATCTGCACAACTAGTGCACTAGCCTAGAGACCGAAACAAGGGTCAGGTGCAGTTTTCTGTAGCGCGGGGACTGGATTACAAGCCAAATATTCTGTCCAGACGCCAGCATTGAGGAATTGTAAGCCGTTACCAGTACGATAGCCCCATGTCACAGAGTCTGCACGCACTTGCTTGACAGTGGCACGATACAGCGGACTTGGAGCCTGTCTGGTCGGATGACTCAGAAATTGTTGCATGAATGGATCGAACGCAAGCACGAGAATTATAGTCAGAGCTCCCAGAGAGACCAAAGAGCATGCCTTGCGTTGGTACAAGATGGTAGTAGCCCTGAGAGGTCCACGAGTTGCACTATCAAACGATTACATATCAAACAATCGGTGCTTCTGACGATACCAGACCCATCAGAGCTAACCAATCGATTCGCTGATCACGAAAATCAAAATGACTGCATTTCCGCAAGTACCGAAACTATTGCGTTGAGAGTGATGGCTTTTGGCAGTCTCGGCGCCACTCTGTTATTGTAGACTGCAAAAATGGTGACAATGCCTGCAAAACAGATAGCGCTGAATGCCACAGAGAATATCTCCTAGAACCATGTGTCTAGGTAGAATGCAATGACTAGATCCGTGGACTCGATGGCTGCGTGCGAGAAGGCGAGAGCAGCTTTGGGAGCCCATTTCAATAAACTCATTCCTGGGGCCATTCTTTGGGGCGTTGGGGGGGTGGGGGGGGAGGGGGGGAAAGGAGGTTGCCGGACAGCTCAGGATGTCCATGGTAGATGTACCGGAGCGGTAGACAAATCGACGAAGTGGACATTGAAACGGCGGACCAATTCATAGGCCCAACGCATATCTTGAACTGGCGATACCCCTGATTGTGAGCTCTTATGAGCAGTGCTGTCGGTCTCGCCCCCAACTTGTTGATCGACAGAGCGGCTGAGGCAGCTAAGGCTTGCTCAATCCGTGACAAATCTGCGCCATAAACGCCCCTACACCGTGACGGTGGTGTCGGTGTTTGTTGCTCGTATTAAAACCGCGCCAATCCAAATCGGGATAAGTTGTAAGGAACCCCAATGTAACCTTCGCGAAAGATGAATGTTTTCAATACTAGAAATGTTGGCCAGAATGTAGAAAAATTCTTTCGCGAAAGACATCACATTCAGAGTCAGCAACTACCACCAGTATCTTTTTCGAAATGTCTTCGTCCTACGATGTGCTTGTTACTGGCTCGGCTGGCCACCTCGGCACCGCTCTAATGCTTCAACTTCCTTCTCTGGGCTTCCGGCCCTTGGGAATCGATATTCTCTCTTCGCCAACAACAACACTCGTTGGCTCTGTGAGCGACCGCACTTTTATTGCATCGGTGTTTGACGCCCATCCCATCAAGCATGTTCTCCACGCGGCGACTTTGCATAAACCCCACATTTGCAGCCACAGCAAGGAAGATTTTGTCTCGACCAACATCCTCGGCACTTTGATTCTTCTCGAAGAAGCCTCCAGATTTCAAACTCGGATCGAGAGCTTCGTCTTTTTCAGTACGACCAGCACCTTTGGCAAGGCGCTCAGTCCTAAGCCAGGGTCTCCCGCCGCTTGGATCGATGAATCAGTCGTTCCCATCCCAAAGAACATCTACGGAGTGACAAAAGTTGCAGCTGAGGAAATGTGTGCATTGATGCAGAAGCAAAGTGACCTCCCCGTCCTAGTTCTCCGCACCAGTCGCTTTTTTCCCGAGGAAGATGATGACGAAGACCGTCGCGCAGCCATGAGCGATGAGAATCTAAAGGTTTTAGAGCTGGCTTATCGCAGGGTTGACATTGAGGATATTGTGAGTGCCTCGGTCTGTGCAATGAAAAAAGCCAAGGGTATTCGATGGGGGACGTATATCATCAGTGCCCCGCCACCGTTCCAGAACGATGAACAGACTCTCGAAGCTCTGAATCGGAACCCTGCTGAAATTATCAGCAAGGCATTTCCTGATATAGACGTCGTCTTCAAAGAAAGGGGCTGGAAATATCTTGCGAGAATTGACCGAGTGTATGATTCAAGCAAAGCAGTGAAGGAATTAGGATGGAGCCCAAAATATACATTCCCAGATACAGTGGGGAAGCTGGTTCGAGGTGAAAAATGGAAGAGCGACTTGACGGCATTGGTGGGCAAGAAAGGATATCATGCCGTGAGCACTGGAGTGTATACACGGAGATGAGAGTATAAATGGCATAATCACATGTTGTGGAGGCATAATACAGTATTTTACAATGACTCATTGTACTAGAACATGGAAATAGTTAAACGTGGTAACGTTGAACAGCCGGAAAAGTCCGAGCTGCTACGACCAGTTTTTCGTACAGCCGGTGCTTGGTGAGTGCTAGATATTAAAGCTACAACTTAGTTTAAGAAAATGTGAAACACGCGGAGGAAATGCTGCATGAAGAGCTAACCAGATGCCATCGTTCAATAGAACCATGTCACGTGATCTGCTGACATGTGGTGGGGAAAAAAGAAAAATGCACACAGGGCGATTCGAACGCCCGCCCACTGACGTGGAACAGAATACACTTGTGTAAGCACAAGCAAGAAATCACGTGATATCTTGAGTCTGTCGCCTTAGACCACTCGGCCATATGTGCTGTTTATGTGTGGTAATGTCAGGGTAATGGATTTATGAGTAAGAATTTTGTTATTTCACTTTTTCGGAACTAGATTACCACGTTCATCTACCACACTCCCTCCATCCCATTTTTCACGTACTATTTGGTATTTACCTCGGAGGAAATTGTACTCCGGCTTCTCTCCGCAAGAAGGTTAATTGTCGCTCTGTAAAGCAGCCCTTTAGCCCTCAGCCCACTACTTTGCGTTAGGCGCCAAGGAGCAAGAGGACTCCCTGGTCTCGTAGGTGACTGGGTAAATTATCAGGAATTAATCGGGGTGAATTTATTAATACCCTTCAGGAAGGCCGATGTATGATAATATTCTCGCATTAAACACTTGGGTCATGGCCTTCCTACCGGCCATATGTCTTTTGTCTGCCATCGCTGATACATGGCATCAATCTGCTGCTGGTAGGTCTCCTCCTCTTTCTTTTTGATTATAGTCATTTTCAGCGTTCGCTGAAATGGCAACGCCCGATCGGAAAGCATCACAGTATCTCAAGGAATTTGTATCTCATCGTCGTTCTTGTCGTTGATGGGTCGAATCATTGGATCATAGATACTGTCAACAAACTTGTTTGGATCCTCCACGGCCTTGTGGTAACTAGGTTCAATAATGATATAGGGTACATCACTCTCTTCACCTCCAACCATCACTGAGTTGATTTAATCATGTTGAATGAGGGCGGCCCCAATGTGTGTGGCGTGGAATTTGGCAAGCCAAGATAGTTTTACCATGTCGACATTGCGTCCACGGAAGACCCATCTGATCGAGCCAAACTTATCAACAATCGGCGAGTAAACCTCCGCCGTCTGGATGGAGTCAAGATTTAGACAGGTGTAAAAGGCTCCCTTGAAGGTATCACTTTCCACAATTCGATCGACATGCAGCTCGTACAGATCATCGACAACCATTTCGAATCGAGGCCCAGACTCGGGTATGAAATCGAAGCTATTCCACGTACTCACATCCTCCGGCTCAAATGACAGGTGTGCTCCTCGCACAGTGGATCCTATCACTGGGAACAGGTGAGTATAAGGGGCTAGCATATCGCCAACCGAATGCTCTAACCCTGCGTCTAGCCAGCAAACATATTTCAAGCTTTTGAGGAATTCAAAGTTACCTCTTCCTTGTAAAATTCTTCAATTAGCGAAGGAGGTGTGGTGATACCGTTAACGCCTGTATGTTGGCATATTCGCAAGACTGACTGCCGATCGAAAGGAAACGTCATATTGCGGGGCGGCATTACTGTCGTCATGTCAATGAAGGCAGATGCATTTAGGGAAAATGTAAAGCCACCAAACCATTGAGGAGCACAGTTGGTAAGTGTGCGTGACTTTTGCAGGTGGCGATATGTGACTTTCCTCACCGAATGTCTTTTCAAAGCAATGCTCCAGTCCAAGGTAGACGTAAGTCCGTTTCGAAGATATATGGGCTTCGGAGCAACCTTCTCAAAGAGTCTGAATGGCAATTTCATAGTGCTCTGTCGCCATTGTACATGCCAGTCGTCCCTGACATATGGATGATGCACACGATCTCATTCTTTGCCTTTTCCCAGGTCTCATCATAAGGGTATGCGCAAAGGTCATCGCTATCATGCTCCAACATCCCCTTCGAACAGCAAAGGTCTCTTGCCTCTTTACTGAGATTTCTTGGTCACTTCCTGTGATCCAAGCGCTACATTGTATCTCATCCACTATACTGGTCAGGCCGTCCTGGGTGATGCGTCCGAATCTTCAGAATATTAGCTTGAAGCATAGAGGTGTACTTTTGCGGGGCATGAGGTCCTGACAGTCCGTTTCACTTTTGCTGCTGCAACCATAAGGATATAATATCGCGCATCATTTGGCCCTTGGTACGTGATCGTCTGCCGACCTGGGTGTTTTATCGGAATCATTTCGTCAAGGGAATGGGTCATCTTGTTGATTGCATAGGCGAATTGCTTCTAAGTAATTGTTTTGTATCCTCACTCTTGTTCCCATGAAGTGGTCTCGGCATATAAAAGCCATGGAGAATCGGGAATTGTCTTCGCTTTGGTCTCGATGACCTTGGCCACTTGCCTCGGCTGCATCTTCACTCGGATATCTCGAGAGTAAAAGTTATGATTCTTCTATCGAACCGGATGGTAACTAATGAAGAAACATTTCGATTATTCTGGCCGGCTGAAGGCATCACTTAAATGTCTAATGTCTCCACACGGTGCCCAGCTGTCAGGCGTTCAAAGCGTTCAAGGCGTTCTGTGCTTTGATGTAAGCTTCCCGTTCTGATCCTATTGCCCAATCACTGTAGAGATCCAGGTACTGTCGGCAGCTCAAAACACTGACACCTTAAACTCAATCCACAAGCGGCTGATAGTACTCGAGTTCACCACGGTCGGCGTTGCAGTTCCATCATACACGAGACCAATACTGCCATGTGACAGTTTGTCCTGGGTTGGACTATTCGGGTTATGGCTCGGTTGGGCGTACTGTAAATCTTGTGAGCTTGAACGAACGAAGAGCAGAGAGATCTGGAAATCCGAATCAACGGCCACTTTTAGCAGAGCCAGTCTTTCAATCAAAGACTGGAAAGCACCCTGTTTGCATTTTGCCAAATTCAAGTGCAGGCGCAGATGGTCGGACTCACCGGAAGAAATGCGTGGCAACTCTCGCTCTCATGAGTCGATGGAGGATATAAGAGACTCGGAGAAAATCTCCCTCGTTGCTAAGGCACTATCTGGTGGGACGGTGTTGTGTCACATGACCACCTGTTTATTGACCAGTTGCTGGTAACACCAAATAATACTCTTGGCCATTCGATCCAATCCTCTATTTTGCTCCTTCCTGTCACCTTAGATGTCTAATTCGTCGCTTCGGAACTATTCCCAGGTCACCTGGCCCACCCAGCACTTCATTTCACAATTTCACACCCCCTCCCTTATTGGGAAGGCCCACTCACGGCTCACGTAAACCTGCCGCCACAAACCCCTTTTCTCCAAGTTATTTACCTGATCCATCACCCCGAACAAGGCTTTAGATTTTACTGGATTTTCAATCAGAGCCATCTCTCTCCAAGGCCATATTGTGATAAGCCTGTGTTGCGACCATGATCCAAGACATTTGGGGGAGACAGGAAAAACGGGGGAGCTCTAGATGCCGCTACAATCACCGGTGATAAGTGGCATCTTCTATCAAGGCCAGTCAGCTCTTTATTCGCCCACGTATCATGTCTTGTTTGAACGGTATGCATATTCGCTTCGCTTCGCAAACAGCACATGATGGGCACGGACAACTTTCCCACTCGGCTAAGTTGCTTCGGGTTCTCTTGTCTCGGCCCGAGTGGAATGTACTGGCTGTGGATCGGGAACTTGTCGAGCATACCTGCATTTTTGGTGGCCATTTGGTCCAAATTTTTGCGCCTCGGAGATAATACGGGCACAGTGCCGCTTAGCGATGTTGGATGGGGCTCATCGTGGGTGCCGTGCTCAAGCTTATCTGCAAGGCGGGCTTGGTGGGACCCCCCTGCAATTGACTTGTTCATAACCCACTCACAAAAACTAGAAACTTGCAACATCAAAACGAAAATTAGAAATTTCTATCGAGCAGTCAATATGCAAAAGAAATCACGTCAACGTCGAAGCCATCTGAAAGTTATTCCATTGTCATCAAACATGTCATACCCTCATTTATCTAAATGTGTATCGTATAGTCTATATTCGAGATGCGTTCAAATAAAACAAAACTAGACCGCAACGGGCTCTCCGGTTCGGTCCTTGGGTCCAATCCCTCTTCTTCGGACCCCAAAAATTCCAATAATCAACCCCAGCCCCGCAATTCCAATGGAGCAAAGGAGACCAGTAGCATACTCCTGGGGAAGTCCATGTCCTTTCTTGATATCCACATCTTCGGTTGTTGCAGCAGAAATAGCCAGTGCAACACCAGACCCAATTTGGAATGCAGTGTTGAGCTAGTAGATATTTTGTCAGAGAATTGTCAAGCATCCTGGGGAACCGGGTTGGACTCACCATTCCCCCGCACAGGCTTTTGACGTTGACCGGAACACTAGTCAAAATTGTTGTGCTAGTTGTCACAAAAATAAGCGACACGGCAGTGATGCTGATGAGAGATGTCGCAAGGGTATTGACCCAACTGTGAGAGTTAGCATAGCTCCGGGCTTCAAATCTTTGAAACATGGCACTTACAAATCGGTCGAGGATGTCACAGTCAAAGCACTTGGCACAGGGGCCAGCACGGTAAGAACAAGACCACCAACAAGGAGGTATTTCCCATTTATGTACTCAAGGGCCTTGCCAGTTCCCATTGACGCAATGAAGCCAATCACTCCCATAGGCAGAAATCGAATCGCTGTGTCGCCAGCAGAAAGCTTGTCGACTTTCTGCGCGATCAGAACAATATAGTAAATGACATTCTGATAGCTTCCATAGCAAGCTGTAGATAAAATTAATACACTCGTAAGGTTTATTCAAAAGAGTCAACAGTCAACTTACTGAATCCTGCAATCCATAGTCCGGCAAAATTTCGAATCTTCCACAAGGACAGGGGCATGAGTGGGTTTCTGATGTATTTCTCCAGCAACGTGAAGGCTGCTAGGAGTGCAATGGACAAAACCAGAAGCACAATCACAAACGGTGTGCCCCATCCATATACACCTCCACTGGAGAGAACAAACTGAAGCAGAATGAGGCCGGCAGTGGAAAGGATCGCCCCGAGGTAGTCCATCTTCGCTCTTTCCTTGTCAATCGGCGGGTCTTTGGGAAGAACGATCATTCCGAGAGCACATAGCCCTCCGGTGATGATAATTATGATAAAAAAGATGTATCGCCATCCTAGCGAGGAAGTAAGGAAACCACCGAGAATTAGACCTGCACAGAATCCTAGAGTTCCAGATGCGGCATAAATTGAGAGCCCACGGGTTCTGTCGACACCAGTGAAGTAGGAACTAATAATTCCGATAGCAGATGGGACGGTCATTGCGGCACCGATGCCTTGAATTCCTCGGAAAATCGTAAGTTGGATGAAAGATTGGCCAAGCCCGATGGCAAGAGTCCAAACGCTCAGCCAGAACAAGCCGAGACAGAGAATCATTTTCCTTCCGTATCTAGGAAGAGCAAATATCAGCACTGTGAACCATGAGATAGTTTTTAGTCGAGATTTTCTTACCGATCGGACAAGGATCCTGCCAGTAACAAAAAGCCACCAAATGACAGGGTGTATGCGGAGATCATCCATTGTAGATTAGTGCTAGAAACGTCAAATTCTTCTTGAATAGACGCTAGCGCCATGTTAGAGCTTGTCATGAAGACATTGTCGAGAAATTGGGAGCCCGAGGTGACCAGCAAGATCAATGTTCCCCGCCATGTTGCCAAACGACCATATGCCTGCGGGACGCTTTCGAGAGCGAGAGCTTTTTCGTCGTCCGAGGGGAATGATAACTCGGTATCGGGCGAGTCAGCGGCTCTTCCAGAAACAGAGCCATCGACGGATTCGAGAACTTTGGGGAGGTTGTTTCGTGAGCCACCATCTTTTTCGTTCGATGTGGTCTGTTGGACTTGTAGCCGTCTAATCCAGTCGAAGACAGCCATTCGCAGCAGGAGTCGAAGTTGCTTGAAAAAGAAAATTTCTAATTAGAGGCGTACAATTCCTTACATTTATAGGCTCTCGGCTTGTACGCCTTCTGGATTTTCTGGTCTACAGTATGGAGCTACTCCAGTCATAAAAGTGGGTATCGCGACAGTCGGAAAACACCCGCTAAGTGAATCAAAGCAGAGCACGCAATGTAAAAGGATTGTCGGAAGACAATCCAAGTCAACAATTGGATCTTTTTTTACGTGCGGGCAAATAATGATGGATAGAAAACTGCTACATACCGAACTGTGGATAGCTGTGCGCGTTCTGCATGAGAAACCAACCCCTTCCAGCTGAGGCAACCCTTGGGAAGGGGGCTCCGACAAGATAACTGCCACTCGCCGGGACACGTAGGACCAATCAGAGCTCTTTCTCTAACTTTCTTCCAGGGACCGATATCCTGTTCCTATCCTTAGAATGGTATCATGGCAGTGGCAGTCACCTCTGTGGTTCGCTTCCGTGGGTCTTGGTTATCCCCAGCACTCTGTACTCTTTGGGAAATTTGTCATATAGCTTGGGTAGTCAGCTTCATTAAACAATCATTATGGCCAGCCACATGTGTATAGTTCTGTGACCAAGTTTTCAGACTTCAGCCTTCTTCCCCTTCGGTCATCGGTTTGTGGGGCCCCGCTGCTGTAATGCCTGGGTTCCAAAGCTTGGCTGTTATTGAAAAGTGTTTCGTCATACTCGACGCTAGGTAGCCGGGCTCTGGGTGTACTCTGCATACCAACAGTGGGTTCGGATGTTTGCATAGTATCTAAACCAATGAAATCACTTTGAGATCAGTAACTATGGAAGATCGACCCTGTAGATCTCCCGCCTCGAAGTTTACATATGAGCAGCTGCATGGGGATCATATGTACGTCTGATTGGTAATCTCTGGTGGATCTTCGGGTGAACATGCGCCTAAAATTTGCATCCTATAGGGATGATTGCGTGAACCATTCACATGAATGACCCCCTAGGCCAGGGTCTAGACCCAGCTACTCCTATTTCGATACGTACAGGCCTATCGTGGTGCATTTCGATAATATGACTGAAACAATTAACCAGCTCGGTTATTACTATCTCCGCTGTCAATTTGGCTCCAAGTCCTCTTCGTTTATCCAAATTTGACGGTCAGGCAAAAGCCCCTTGATAAGTGTGGGTCCAATCGTTTTTTATCAGGCCGCGCGCTCGAGAATGATCTACTTCATTGTGTTTCCGAATGCTTTACAATTTCCCGGTAAACATTCTTTCCTCGGCGAATTCCCATCCGGATTTGACATTTTTCTCCAGGTACGTAATCATCAGGCTAGTCTGATCAGGATATCGCTACTTGGTTTGCCGGATAGCTTATTCGGACTTCTGCGCTTAGGTATCGGAACCACTCAGAAAGGTCAAACTTGATGGGCACGAATCGAGGATATCAGCGATGCCTAATTATGATTACTCCAGCTCGCTTCTATCTCCATGAGGTACCTTAACGTGATACTCATGCGCTATGATATGTTCAACCATGCAAATTACAGTATCATGATTTTTTTAAGGCCGCATTATGGTCATGTTCCTGGTCATGTGATTGTCGGTAGGTTTTTACTTACCGCAGCTCGATTTGGTTCGAAGTTGGTCAGTGTTTGATTCGACCATCACATTGTGGCTGTAGTGTGATTTTTTCCAGCGATTCGATGTTTTATCAACTGCTGGCACTTTCCTATGGCTCGATATTGCTGCTACGAGAAATAATTTGTAGCAACCTCAACTTCTGAACAGAAAAAAGGGTGTGGCAACACAAGGGAAAGCAGCACCAATATATATATTGAAATTACGACAGAAAGCCATCGCTAAATGATGAGAATACTGCTTGAGCTGCTGGTCAAAATGTTTAGAGCACGAAATTTTCTAAACGCATTACTCCTTTTCGTGTTGATTCACTCTGTTTTGCGACCGCTGGAGTTGTTCGAATGTTGAGTCTCACGAATACTCGTTGTGATCAGAAAAGGCGTATAGTTCGAAATTTATCGAACCACAATATCAACCAGCACCAAGTGGTCGAGCGGTAACTCGACTATCTCATCTTCCTTGGTCTAGTGGTCATGATTTCCGCTTGTCATTAACACCGATAAGCGCGGGAGACCGGGGTTCGATTCCCCGAGGGAGAGATATTTTTTGCCCCCCTCACCTTTTTAAGGATGCCTGCGACGAAACCGTTCGTTCAAGTTTTCATTTTTATTTTTCACACTTTTATTTTTCTGCTGTGGTAGAACGAGAGATCCCATCTTCACTTGCTCCATAAGCACAGACAAATCGGGAGCAATTACCCGATACTGTTTGTATTCCTAGTGTCTGCTTCAAGCACTTAGCCGTCATATCTATGTGTCGGCTTGAAATACCTCCGCATAAGCAAAAACCAGCTCTCAATTACAGCAAGTAAACAAATGCAGGAAGAGGGACTCAGTTATAACAAGACGACCATTTGAAGCCCTAGGTTCTGCCTGTGAGCTGAGTGCTGCCACGAATGACCCAGTCCACTGGAAACCTAACAGGCAGGAGCACCCAGAGATCCGCCCTCTCCAAAGTAAAAGGACTCTCCCTCACTTAGCCACCTCACCCCGCGGCATTCCACATCCAACTCATCTCGCCGCCTCTCGCGCACTCCCCTCACACAACTACGCCCGAAGAACACAGTCATTTTGACACGTCCCGGGGAAATCGCTACCCACAGCGAAGCCAGCCACTATGAAGTTCTGGGTTGGCTGGGCGCTATGGGAGAAAATGACCACGGTATTTTTGGAGATTCTCAACAAGTGATGTGCATTATTGCTGACTTGAACCTATAGGTTCTGGCATTTTCAATCGTGAGACAAGACAAGACCATCACGACTGATTGCACCGCTGACCAGATCTACAGGCACTCGTTCTCTTGTACGCTTTCTGCGCCCTCGAATTGCGAAAGTGGAAGACACGAAGATTCGAAGCCGCAGAAGCACGCCAGAGAGAAGAGGATAATGAGCTTTATCCGATGCTGCAGCAGATGGATGACATACCCTTTGGCATCAGAGCTCTGGAAAGAGAAGTACGGGTCGAAGGCATCTGGTTCTTTGAGCCCAACAATAATCCATTCGAGATCCCTGATCTCCCGGGAGAGTCTACCGAGAGTCGGCCGTTAAGTCCAGCCAGCCGACCAGCATACTTCCTTCCTTCAAGCTCGACATCAGCATCGTCCAAGACACTCGAAGCCGTACCCCCGAATCGTTCGTCCCTCCCGTCATACAAACCGACAATCCACCTCAACGCGGATATCGTTACAGCAAGCCGCTACACATATGAGACTCAGAGGCCCGGCGCTGTTTACTCACCGGCGATGCCATCCAGCCCCCCAGATTCGCCCGGTAGGTTCCAACGCCGTAGCGATATTTCGACTCACAGCGGAAATCGTGCGAGCTTCCACAGCCGAGTCTATCGAACGAGCCATATGTTCGAAAAAAGTCCTCTTGCCAGCCCTCACGGACATCAGGATCAGGAAATAGAGATGGACTCAATGAGTGCTACTACATCTGCACCCAATCTGGGTGAGCAGCACCGAGCGTCTCGGATTACCCGTAAGTCTTTCCCCCCAGGCATGGCATACCCATGGACATCAAACTGGATACCAACTGTCCCCACAGGGTTGATCCGCCGTCGGTCATCCGAAGAGTTCAGACGCAGGATGAGCCAGATCTTCAACGAGAGAATCCACATGAATGTTCCTACCGATCAACTTCAATTCAGCCCGCAGGCACCGGAAAAAAAGCGACGATTTCGACAATCGATACTGGGAACTTTTCGGTCGGAGGGATAATAGAGACTATGGTCTTTCGGTTGCTAAAATCAAGAATCGCTGAAAGAAAATTATTTGACTTGATGTTCAGTTTCCCAGCATACCTTAAGATATGGGATCGAAAATGACGGAACCCAAAGTATTCTACTGAGTTTTAGACTCGGAGCTGGGGAAGTGGGGGTCTAACACTCAACAAGATGCCCAGAATGTATCTTTTACACAATTGCCAATGCAGCAATTACATGAAATTATGAGCCGCATACGTTGTAATTCCCACTGTAAAATGAGCCATGCCGTGAGGTGATGCCTCAAGACACGATTGTTGCCTGGTCTCGATTGGGAAAGAAGTCCACGTGACCGCGCGACAGCCTGGACGCGTCCAGCGCAAAGTGACCCGCCCAAAGACTGCCGATGTTGCCACAAACAAACCGACTTCGAGGACAGTGACTGCCTGTGACTCACACTGCTGATCCTACGCTCAAATCTTCAGTGGAATCCGCGGAGTCCTTTGTTATTTCCGGAAGTGTTCTTCCTGTTCCTGACGCGTGCTTTCGTGTTGACACGCGGTTGTGCACTGAAAACGCCAACGGCCGAGCAAACTCCTGCAGACAACCCTCGAAAAACTACCAACCAATCGAATACAGCGCAACCATGGCATCTGAGATGGAGACCCAAGGCGAACTCGATGAGAATGGACTTCCGGGTCCTGGAGCCCCGACCCCGCTATCCGCGCTGGAAGTGAGTACTTCCCGACATAGTTCGACTTTGGAGGTACATTGGCTAACTATTGCTGTGACACTAGGGAACTGCGGGTCTGACTGCGCGAGATATCAAGTTGTTTGTGGATGCCGGATACTACACCGTCGAATCGGTGGCCTATACGTGCGTGAGCCGTGATGCGAGAACGCCTCTTCCTATATTAGCCAACACTCGAACTGACATGGAGACTGACCTAGTCCGAAACGAGTATTGGAGCAAATCAAGGGCATCTCAGAGCAGAAAGCCACTAAGGTCTTGGTCGAGGGTGAGTGATTTTGTGGCACGGTTATACTGAACCTCAAGACTGACGTTTTTTTGAACAGCGGCGAAGCTTGTCCCCATGGGATTCACAACTGCAACCGAGATGCACGCGCGACGAAGCGAACTAATTTCTATCACGACCGGATCTAAGCGACTCGACACCCTGCTCGGCGGTGGAATCGAAACCGGATCCATCACAGAAATCTTTGGAGAGTTCCGAACGGGAAAGAGTCAAATCTGCCACACCCTTGCTGTTACCTGTCAATTGCCATTTGACATGGGTGGTGGAGAGGGAAAATGTCTCTACATCGATACGGAGGGAACTTTCCGGCCTGTCCGTCTGCTTGCAGTCGCCCAGAGGTTTGGTTTGGTCGGCGAAGAGGTTCTTGATAATGTGGCATATGCTCGTGCCTATAACTCCGATCATCAGCTCCAACTGCTCAACCAGGCATCACAAATGATGTGTGAGACTCGATTCTCACTGCTTGTTGTCGACTCCGCGACCGCATTGTACCGTACGGACTTCAACGGCCGTGGTGAGCTCTCATCAAGACAGACTCACCTAGCAAAGTTCCTGCGCACACTGCAGCGCCTCGCCGACGAATTCGGTATCGCCGTCGTGATCACCAACCAAGTTGTTGCTCAGGTTGACGGTGGACCCAGCGCAATGTTCAACCCTGATCCTAAGAAGCCCATTGGTGGTAACATCATCGCTCATGCCAGTACCACTCGACTCAGCCTGAAGAAGGGCCGAGGTGAGACTCGTGTTTGCAAGATTTATGACAGCCCTTGCCTTCCGGAGAGTGACTGTCTCTTCGCTATCAACGAGGATGGAATTGGCGATCCCAATGAGAAGGATATGGAGAACGACTAAGCCATTGTATGGCTTCCATTTTTTGTTGACACGATTTAGTGACTTACGAGCCTGACCTGACTTCATTACTAGCCTTTTGTATGTACCTACTTGGTCCTCGAGGAGTCAAAAAACGACTGTTGGATATCTTCTTAGCATATATAATACCTGGAAATTTTGTTTTCGTCATGATTTCCCATTGTAGTTAGAGTACCACTGTGTCATAACCAAGAAAACAGAATGCTCGTGGTAGGCCTCATAACAAATATAGTGGCAAAGTGCCCTGGTAAAATCGAGTCCCACAATAAGAAGCCATACGGAAAGCAAACTCACATATCGATCACGTATTGGAGGGATCAGAAGGCTGGCTGACAGTTCCGATGGCCCTACTGTAGAATGTTGTTAGGCAGGCTGGCAGAACCAGACCCGCCCGCGCCAAGACTTTTGTTTTCTCAGAGCTCCAGCTTTCCGCCCTTCAACTCTTTCCGCCTCCAGCCATGGAAGTCTGAGCCCCAACGAGCTGGCTTCTGGTGTGATCATGGCGAAAATCTACAAGGATACCCGAGTGGACCTCCGGCCATTCTCGCCGACCACGGTCGCCAACATCCAGGTGTCGCCCTACGAAAGCGCGTTCCGTCGGCCTCGCTTTTCTATCTCGTCTGCCCCCGACCACGACATCCCAATCGCAAAGGATGAAGACGAATTCGCCAGACGATACCTTGCGACTCAAGGCGCTGTGTACTTTCGCAAGCGCAGAACCTACCCCCGGACGTTCTTATGGAGGGTCGTCAACGATAACAAAGTGCTAGAGATCCAATGCGCGGACCTGGCGAAGAGTGGGACGGAGCATTTCGAATACAATGTCACTCTGCGACTCAATTTCCAAGAGGAAATCCTTCCTTCGAATGTTGCTCTGGCCGATTCGGAGGACCACGAGATCCTCAATGTTTTCGTGATTACCGCCTCCAAGCAGCTACATACCCTGGCGCTTCGTCCCGAATTCTTTCGCAGACCCGGGTCAATCGACGAGAACGTGACCGAATGGTGCAAAACTTGTGTCCCGGCTCCTCTTTCCTTCTCGCATCCTCACAGACTACACGCGAGCAGCCCATTGGAGCTGTTCATCTCTCTCGATAACGGTGCGCTTCTGCGACTGACCCGGAGAGCCAGTGATGATGGTAAGCCCTTGCCAAAAAGTTCCTCGTCAACTGTTGCATGAATTGATTACTGACAAATGAATCTCTCGAATAGGTTCACACTGGACTCCTTTGACCTTCGATGAACGGACGTGGGGGGCCTCCATCCGGGGCCTCGTCAAGTGGAACGCACCCTCCTCGATCAAACACCACGGACGCAACCTTGACCTCAATGCGGCCAATGCCATCGCCACTACATCTGACGAGACATATGTATTCGCTGTTTGCTTGAACCACACCCTGAAGATATGGAACCTTGCGACAAACAAACTCGCAGCTTCGCAAGATCTTCTGGGCCGCCCAATAAACCCCGATACCGTACCGTACACATTGAATCCTGCTGAAATCTCCTTTATCCGAGTATTCAATGCGGAAAGGGCAATGGATGGGGGTCATCGTTTCTACGTGGTCACATACTCTCCGTATGAAGATGGGCGCTTCAAGTTCTGGGCCGTCAAGGGCGGCTTGACCTCAGAGCTCGTCATCGAAGATATTTACGCGGATGATGTGTTTAAACCGGTGGACCCAGATACAACGGGTAATATGTTCTGGAGCATTGCGGACTTCCAAGTCAAGCCCGTGGAGGAAGGAAGGGGAATGGAGTTGTGGGTGTTGTGGAGAAACCACGGCCTGTACCAGCTATACACCCTTCATTTTGATCTTCAAACTTTAGTGTCGGACTGGGATACCAATTGGGTGTCTACGGCATATGAAACACACCGACAGGAATCGATGCCACCTCCTACGCTCGATGATGTTGTGGACCCGACCGAGAAATGGCTTGCATACATCTTGCACCCAAACCGATATCGCCCCGAGGTCCTTGAGACAGCCCTCACTGTTTACCAGGAAGCTCTAAAACCTCTTTCCGCGTCGTCATCAGGGGTTTTGAAGAAAGACGTTGCGCTATCGGAACGCCTTTGCTCCACCATTGCTGCAACTGTCTCTCTGCGCAAGTATGCAGATGATGAGATGGATTACGCCCGTTTCCGAGCCGACACAGATGCCAAATGGCGCCAGTTTTGGCAAGTTGCCGATGACCTCAACAAGCGCAGATTCGAACCGGTCTCCCTCGCGTACGATTCTTACTTCGACATGCCATGGCTGGTTCTCTCGGACTCATGTGCTGTGATTCGCGAATGTAACACCACGGAATTGCTCCTCCATAATTCTGCTTCTCGCCTGAGCGAGGAAGGATCTAAGATTGTGAGCCGCTGGAGCCACCGAAACGTTACTTCTGAGCTTGGAAACCTCTATGCAGAGGCATCTTCCTTGATGAAAATTGCGTCGGATTTCAGGAAGCGGTTTTCTGCCGAGCTCGATGCGGCTTGTCGGGCAGCTCTTGATGCTGAGCTTTTTACCGAACCGTCATCATCGATCACGGACCGCATGGACATCTTCAGAGAACGTTGCGAAATCGCAGACAAAATCTCCAACAAGACCTTTGACGGTCTATGTGCGGTCTTGAATGAGCATTTCGAGGCAGAGGCCTTGCCCAGTGAAGTTTTCGACGCGATTCTTGATACCCTTCCGCTCGGATTCAAGGGAGAAGATTCGAATTTTGTGTCCACCTATTTCGGAAATCGGGTTGGCGTCAGTGGTGCTCTTGAGACAATTACCCAGAACCGCCGGATACTCTATGATCTGTTAGTCCTGGTCATTTTCGTGGACACCGAAATCGAGCAGGAACCACACTCTACCTTCGATGCCGCCAGATTGTTCTCCACGCTCATTGATCTGCTACACGAGTATGAGATGATGTACTGGCTCAGCTCGAACGTCCGAAAATGCCCTGATCGTTCCACCGCAGCTGGTGCAGACCAATCGGTATTTACCCTCCATGACAATAAAACCGGAACCAAGAACCAGCGTACAGCCACAATTCTTGAGGATCTTTTCGTTTCAGACATTCGCCCGCGCCCCTCCCGTTGACCGGCCACAAACCTACACCCTGACATTGGGGATCCGGGATCTCCTGGCTTGGATAACCCGGCAAGGTCAAGTGGCGTACCCCAACGCATTGACTCATATCCAGTGCGACCTCATCGCTAGGAACAACATTGATCTCGCATGGGATTTCCTGCGTTTCCAGCCCAGCACCTCCTGGGCAACCTACGTCAAGGGTCGCCTGTATGTGGCGATGTCAGAATTCGACACAGCTGCCATCTACTTCCGAAAGGCCGCATACCTCCTTTGTAAGTCGCCTGGCCCTGATTGGGCAGAATTTGGAACAAGTACCGGACTGACTGATCTTTCAGCGCACGGAAAAGCGCTGGGTAACCTTCATGAAATGTCAGCCACTCTCCTGGACCTGGTGTCTGTGAATTGCTTCTACAACGGCATTCCCAAGTACTACCAGCACATTCTCTCGATCTTCGAGCGGGCTCGCTCCTTTTCGCATGTCGCAGACTTTGCTGGTCTGGCACTGCAGGCCCTCGACTCTCAAACGTGGGCTAAACAAGACCCGGAATACGACAGCATGCGAACCGATCTGCTTTCACGACTCTTCCACGCATCTCTCAAGACTTGTCAATTCGACCAGGCATACTCCGCACTGGCTCGATACCAGGATCTTGCGCTGCAGAGATCTGCGCTCAGTTCCCTCGTTTCTAATATCCTTTCCGTCTCCGGACCAGGCACTGCCGGTCTTAAGCAGATCCTTCGCTTCCCCGTCTCGCTCCTCCCCAACATCTCTTCCTACATCGACGAGATCCTTGTCACCCTCTCACGGAAGCAAGGCACTTTCTCTTCATGGCTGGACATCGACAAAAAAGATGCCGGTGATTCCCCGGATTACCACCGCATCTTGCAGGCGTACCGCATTGCCCGGAACGACTACCGCGGCGCTGCGGAGATTGCTTATCGGAATGTCCAGCGCTTGCGACAAGGAAGAGATTCCCCGTCCTCCGCAGTTGTCCGCAAGAGCAAGAAAGAAGCCGAAGAAGCCGGTATTCCAGAGGATGACGCCGAAAGCAAGGAGATCCGCCATGAACTGCTGTCTCTGATTAACCTCCTCGCCTCTGTCGACAAGAGCGAGGCGTACATCCTGGTCGAGACCGGTTCGCCCGCGTCCGGTGCAGCCCAGTTCAATCCACGGCGCCGTGGCTCACATGCAGACGAAGACGGCAACGTATTCATGGAAGATGCGGAGGCGAGCACTCCCACCGATTTTAACCGCCGCATGTCCACCGCCAGCAACGGATCATTCACATCCGGGGGTCGTAGAGGAAGCTTCGCCTCGGTGGATAGACGTGCCAGTACTTCCGCCAAGCCAGTCGTCGAAGCTACTCAGGAACGCGTCATCGTCACACTTGAGCACTTGCGACGGGAGTACCAGTCTGAACTCGATCGCGTCAGTCGCATTGAGCGAGGTGACTGGGAATTCGGTCTGCTGGGTGATGAGGAGGACGACGAGTTTGATAACGACGAAACGATGGTTCTGTCTTAGGTGCAAAATAAATCTATGATCTGGATTTGCGATGGCCCTTGAGTGTTCGGAGATGGAAGGGCCATGCTTTTTGTGATTTACTAGAACTTTTCTATTTCCCTTGCGTGTGGATGAAAGTTGATATTGATGGAGTTCAGCCTCATGTTTGAGAAGTTTTCTTATTTGTTGTTTCTTCATGGAGTAGTTCTTCTATGGATGGTGCCAAATAGGATCACATGTGTTTTCTTCTATCAATCTTACATTGCTTTTCTATGAGGCGGCTTTTTTTCACCGAAGTGTTGTAGTCTGCAGGGCATGCCATGTTATCCAGCCGCGTGCGATCACGTGATCCTCATGGGCGTCTAGATAGAATTTATGCTCTAGATGGGTTCGTTTATAAAAAAAGCCAATAGACACCACAATGAATTTGTGAGCAAAATTTAAACCGGAGTGTTTTAGGGTGTGCGCTGTATTCTGTATCGCCCTGTTCACACGGGACGAATTTCGATTGTCAGGATGAAACATTACATTCATGTAATGCAGTGGTCAAGTTTTCGAGATATATCCCGACAAGAACCAAACAGTAATACAATGTCTCATAGAATCTCAAATCGAAGAAACACATGCAATTGCATGTGGTATTTATTTTCAATGATAAATGTCAAATAAAAAGAATACTCAGTTGAGTATTATTATTGGGCATAGAAGTAATAGCAGAACGACGTGAGGATTGGATTTGGGTCTATTTTCCAGAGAGCAAAGACCCGTAGTGACAGACAACTTGACATGAGCCCAATGGTGCAATTTTGAAATTAAAAAACCAAGAATCTACATGAGAGAACGAATGAAATTCTTGTTTGAAATAATGTATTGATTTCAAGATTATTTCCCTTGATCAATATTAAGAGCAGGAATAGACAAAGCCATATATGCCTCTATAAACAACCAACCCCAATTTGCCCAAGTAGATCTCCCATGGAGCTCAAAAATAGTTAAGGAGGGTCATGTAGCAACCAGGCCAGAAAAAACCAAGAGTCAACGAGAGTCAAGAAAAAGCATAAAGATCGTACCATCTGAAGAGAAAAGGTGAAAATACAAAACGCCTGGCAACCAAACTCTGTATGTTGAGGGCAATTTTCGATATGTACCGCAAAGGAAAGACCAAACAAAAATTAGCACGCCAATGGGACGAAGGCTAAAGCTCAATCTGTGCAGTATGATGAAGGCAACTCTGGACAATGAAGGGTAAAGAAAAGGGAAATCATGAAAATGTCTTAGTCCGAGTCCTCGGTCTCCATTGCACTCGAATAGAGCTTGGCAAAGTGCGACTTGGGCTCGGTGAGAAGTGCATACGGCTCGCCCGTTTCAACAATGCGGCCGGCGTCCAGCACGACGACGCGGTCGTAATCGAGGATGGTATCGAGCTTGTGCGCCACCGAGATGATGGTATGGTTGCAGAATTTCTCGCGGATGACGCGTTGCATGATTTCGTCTGTCTTGGTGTCGATGCTGTTTGATTGAGATTAGCAAACGTTCTTTTCTTGGAACTTCGCTTGGCGTTGCTGAGGGATTTGCAAATGATCTGCAAGGGGCAGCCGTGGGGGCGATCGTGTGCGCCGACCAGTCGATCCGAGCGTGATGTGGCGCTCGGATCAAGCCGCATATGCAGGGGATGCTGACATGTACGTCAGGCGCGAAAGAGGAAAAACAAAAAAAGCAAGAAATAAGCGAGAAAAAAGCAAAAAGGAGACGCAACATCAGAGACAGGTGGAGCTAGGTGATATGCGAGGGTTGCAACGTCAGGGGGAAAAGCAATAATTTTGCGGGTACTCACTTGCTGGTTGCCTCGTCGAGGATGAGGATATTGCCTTGGCGAAGAAGCGCGCGGGCAAGACAGAAGAGCTGTTTCTGGCCGTGAGACAAGTAGATCTCGCCGATGTCAGTGTCGAGATCGCCCTTTTCTTCGATGGCAGGGAGGAGTTGGACGCTCCGTAGCGCGCCGAGGATGTCGTGGTCGGTGCAGGAGCCAGTTGGGTCGGCGTTTGTCCGGACGCTGCCCTTGAAGAGTAGCGAGTCTTGTGAGACGCCATTGATGCGAGCGCGGAGATCCCGTCTTGGTAGGCGGGCAAGGTCGACGCCGTCCACCGTGATGGTTCCACTGGTGAGCTCGATCATGCGAAAGATGCTCATAATCATCGACGTTTTGCCACTGTAAAACCATGTTAGATCAGACTGGCCCATACCAGAATACCACCAAGTAAGATGGATGCGGCTTGCATACCTTCCTGTTCGTCCACAGATGCCGACCTTCTCGCCACCTTGAATAGATAGGGACACGTCATTAAGAACTGGCTCAGACGGCCTGAATGAAGTTAGTGAGCATGTAGTTACCGGGGAAATATTGGTCGAGAGTCCATACCTGTATGCAGCAGAGATGGAGTGGAAGTTAACGGCACCACTTGAAGGCCAGTTGGGAGGGATGTCATCATCCTCGCCAGGCTGGTCCTCGGACTCGACATTTAGGGTGAAGTCCTTGACACGAAGGATCGAGCCAATGTGGGTTTCCAGATTGGTCCAGAAGGTGACCATGAGCTTAATGCTCTGGCTGAATTGGATGACGTTCAAGAGTGCGACACCGATAGAACCAGCACCGAGACTGGTTCCACGGAGAATAACGACAAGAACAATCAGAAGAATAGCAATACCGGCGACAATCATATCCAAAGAGAATGTCAACCATCGCTGAATAGCAAACATGAAGTAGAATGGACGCTGAGAATAGTCCAAAAGTTCGATGTTTTTCTTCTCCATGCCATGCTGCCACCCGAAGGCGCGCATGGTTACTAGGCCGTGGAGACAGTCGGTGAAGTGGGAATAGAGAGGAGCTTTAGCCTCAAGATCCAAGAACCGAATCTGGCGGGATGTGCGCAAGTACATCTTCTGAATGAGGAACAAGATACCGAGAACGAATGGGAAAGAGATAGCAGCATATTTGGAGCCAGCGCCAATCAGGGCCATCTGGGCCAGACAGAGGAAAAAGGTAGCGACAGTGTTGATGGCAGCGATTGGAAGTTCCATATCGATGAGTTGCAAGTCCTGACTGAAGCGGTTGAGGATGTTACCGCTATCGGTCGTTGAGAAGAACAGCATTGGGGCACTGAGGACGGTAGACAACAGCTTGCGGTGGAAGTTCTCTCCAGACTTGGGAACCATAGTGATAATCATCTGCCAGCAGCCAACAATGAGGGAAATCATGGCGATGCAGCCGAGCATCACATAGATACCAAGGTAATAGCCGATGTGCTGCTTAGGCTCTACAGTGTCGGAACGGGCCCACCACTTCACCCAGATGCTGGGGAAGGAGATGCAGAAGACGAAACCAGCCATGGCGACCATGAAGACCAATGCGGGAACCCAGCCGATAGCGTTGATGTAGTATGTATAGATGGAGAGGTCACCACCAGTGTCCCGCTGAACCGGCTCGGGAGCGACATCCTCCTTCTCCTTCTCGACGGAATCGATAGTGCTGTAGCTGGGAGAGGCCGAAAAACGCTTGGGCTTGTAGTCCCAGTCCGGGGCACCAAGACCAAAGCTTGCAACATATCCACCAGTCTTGTTCAAGGCGCTGAAGCTTCCTTGCTCGGCGATGCGACCAGAGGGATCGAGAACGACAATGTGATCAGAGTAGGGGAGACGCTTGACAGCAGAAGAAGACACGATGATAGAAGTACCGATTTCACGCAAGAGGCCGAGATCTCCGAACAGACTGTGGAAGATGTGGTTCTCGGTAGTGACGTCCAGACCGCTCAGGGCATCGTCGAGGATGATAATCTTGCGGCGAGCGTACACTGCACGTGCCAGTGCAATGCGTTGACTCTGACCGCCACTCAGCGCAACACCTTTGCTTCCAATGACGCTGCGATCACCCCGCGGGAACTGACCCAGATCTTCCTCCAGAGCACAAGCCTGGATCACCGTGGCGTACCACTTGGGATCATAATCCGACATGGCGACGATACTGTCCTTGATGGTGCCATTCATGTGCCATGGAGTCTGGTCACAGAAAGCCACACTCGCCGAATTCACCTCGACTTTTCCTTCGGTCGCTGGGATCTCTCCGAGAAGCGCTTTCAGAAGAGTTGATTTACCGCAGCCAGAGGGTCCAATCAGCATGGTGAAGCTACCACGAGGCACAGTCAGCGAAATGTCCTTCAGAACAGGCTCCTTTTCAGCATCCCAGGTGAAAGTTCCATTTTGAATAGAGGCGGCATTTGTCGTAGTGCTGGAGGTAGAGCCGCGCTTCAGAGATTCGACGGAGGCGGAGTTGCTGGAGGACAAATCGATGTCGCCCGACTTGGAAAGAAGTTTGGCTTCACCGAGATCTTCCAGGGAAGGAATTTGAGGGGTGTTGCGTCGCAGGTCCGAGTGGTCCTCTTTGTCCAGGAATGCTTGGATACGAGCGAAGGAACCGACAGAGCCAAAGAAAGACATCAGAGCCATCACCAGAGTCAACAGAGGGTCTGACAAAAGAGAGAACAACGAAAGCGAGGTGAAAACTCGCGAAATGGTCAAGCTGTTATCTGAAATAGCGACGTAAACACCGAAGGTGAAGATCGGGGCGAATATGCGAGTCAACCAAGCTTGGTGAACGTTAGGAACGAGGGTCTATCATTTACAATCAGATTCATCGACTTACCGAAACCCATGTTCCACACGAGAAGAGTACGGAACTTCTTGGAGATGTTCAATTCGTCAATTCGGAGGCCATGGACGAAGCTCATGAAGGAGTTCTGCAATCCCAACATCTTGACACCCTTGATGGATCCCAACATGCTCGAGGTCGACGAGATTCGCCGTTCGATCGCCTCGAGCCACTTAGCCTGGCGGGTCACTACGAACGACATCATAATTAGGGAGCCGACCAGCGCAACCAATGCCACGCAAACCGGGACGATACAGGAGATTCCTAGCTGACGCTCCAGCAGGTAGATCGCCAGGGCGATCTCAGCCGAGTTGCCCCAGATCTCGTGCATGGTCTGCCATCCCTGGGTAATTCTCTCAACATCAGCACTCATTAGAGTCAGAGAGTTGGCGGGGTCAGTCTCGTTGAGATTAAGACTGCTGGCCTTTTTGTAGAGCATGGTTACCAGGATGCCGCGGACCATGGTGATACCACGGTACGTATTGTGTTGGTATTGACCCATGGCGACGGCCAGACCGGTATACACCAGAATGTAAGCTCCGATGAGACCGTAGCCCACGTTATTGGTCGCGCTGTTCACGGGCTCGCTGAAGAAATCAAGAGATCGCGTCAGAAGCAGTGGTTGACAGAAGTTGAATGCCACGACGCACGCTCTGGCGGGAACTGCGGCCAGAAGCGGGAGCTTGGTCGCCTTGAACGCCTCGAGCTGAAGAGTGTTGGGAGACTTGGATTTCACTGCATGAGATTAGCAGAGCTTCTGACAGTGTTGCCCTTCAAATTACCTTTGCTCCATTGCTCTTCAAACAGTGCGAGGAGTCTCTCGGAGCTCAATTCCTTGTCGAGGGGAGCCAGATCCTCCACAGAGAGAACGTTGAAGAATCCATTCTTGAACAGAGGGTTCAACCACCAGAATGTTGCCTTGTTGTAGAATCCAGCAGTGGCCTCGGGTGGGTAGCCCTGGTACTCGGTACTCAGGATGCTTCGCTTCTCAATGGCTTCCAACAATGCCAGAACCACTTTGGCACCCACCGCCACGGTCGTTACAATGGCAATGCCATTGTTAAAGCTGTCCACTGATCGGAGCCACAGAGTCCTCGTCTTCGCAATGTCGAAAAGAAGACTACAGAACAAGTAGGCGTTGAGAATGAGAGACGGTTTTACGGAGCGGGTGTGTTCGGCATAGGATAGGACGCTGAGAAACAGCGCCCCGGCGGTCAGAACGGCGTTGGTCGCAATTGAAGCGCGTGTTCGGTCGGCACCAGGCAGAGCCCAGAGTGCGGTTTGGGCGATTTGAAGTCCAATGAAAAATACCCAAGCAGTCTGGAAGAGGGAAAAGTCCTCGGAGTTAGATTGAATCCGGGGTTATGGAATGCGGCGTCACATGCCCAATGGCTCCTAGAAAGGACATTTAGAGTGACTTACCAGCTTGAAGACAAAGAGGGACGAGCCTTCCACCTTGCGCCGCTTTTGCGCAAGCTGCCAAAGACGAAGAGGAACCAGAATTAAGATCAGAGCAATAGGAAGAATACCGAGGATTGTTTCTTCGAAGAGGAGGGAAAAGTCGAATCCTCCGCGACACGAGCCCGCATCAATACGCATCGTATTGTCGAGATCGCGGCACGAAGGCCCTGAAGCGCTCGAAGATGCCATGACTACTCTTCACGTACCATCCACGCCTGCTGGGGAGATGGGTAGGAAGAGAATTTGTCGAGGGGAGCACCACGAGTCGAGTGGTAGCTTGACAGATCAGAGGGAAGAGGGAAGGAAGAGTTCACGACATGAGAAGGCTTTGGAGGAGATGGAGGCGACTTGGGCGGTCTTTTGGTCTAGATCGGATTCATCCAAAATGCGCCATTCAGCTTCTGGGACCCCTCTAGGACGCATCCCTCCGCAGGAGCTTACTACTCTGCATCCAGGAGAACTGCTCTCCTCGGCTCCTATACTGGGTCCTGCAACCGAGTGGGCATCCAATGCAACCCTCTTACAATGTCATTACTGACCATGTCCTATGAGCACATAACAGGGCGACCGTCGTCCCGTCGCTAGCGGCGAACGATGGCACTGCGGGTAATTTTTTTTACTTCTTTCTTCTTTCCATGCGTTCTTCCCTGGTAATCGGTAGTTGAGCTAATCTGAAATTTACTTTTCCGGGCACAAAATTACTTTGGGAACATGTACAATGACCCAATGACTCAATTCAGATCTGGGATGAGCTTGCTCGTCCCCTGCTATTTTTTGGGGACGGAATATTTTGGATTTCCCCCTTGGGGATGTGGGGGACGCAAAGGCGTCAATAGAGCTTTGCCCCTCGAGTCACGGCAGGCTCTAGACAAGTCAATCGCCCGCCCAACACGAGGGAGTCGACCGCCTTGCATGACAGGAACAATTGCAGCCAATATGTGATCTATGATTTGAGGGTCGTAATTTTTCCCCAAAGCCGAGCGCAATAAAACCTGCCGTCATGCGAGGGCCTGCTCCATGGCCGTACGATGGACGCTAAGGTATGACCCTAGCAAATCATCTGGTCGATCCCGCTGACACTAACCTCCTTTTGGGGTTTTTTTGGAGTATTGAGAATTTCTTGTTCATTCTTGACGCGATGAGTGCATTGAATGCATACTGAAACACTGCAGTGGTCTTGGTGAACCTTCCTTGACCGCATAGAACAGAAGCTGAAGTCAGACAGAACGCTGCCCAAGGCCATTCGTTGTCCCGTACAACCAACGACTCGGTGTGGATCGGAATTATGTGTCAGGTGTATCCTCTATGCCGGAACAGCCTCAGCTCGCGTAACTCGCAGATACGATTTGGGGTCGGGCGAGGCTATTTCGGATGTCCTGCTCGTGTAGTGTATACGTTGGCACACACGTACACAATCGCGAGGGCGCGGTGGAGCTAACCCATGGCCATCCGAAGGACTACTGTTGAACTGGACCAACAACTACTCAAAAATGTATCGTGGAATATAGGATTTGCTTGTTTGTGCAAATTTTCATTGCCATATCTGCCTACCCTGCTTGGATGGGCTCCGGTCGGTCCACCCAGCGCCCTCCACCTGCTGTCAAGGTCGGGATTTGCTTTTCTTTTGTTCCCACATCGCGGGCAAGCTGGGGTGAAGCCGGCCGCTAATTTGTTCGCGAGGGATATGGGCCAATCTTGCTGGATTGCTAATCGGCCATGGAGGAACTGCTCTGGCCACCATTTTTGCTCGGACGAGACCGTGGGGCCAAAGTCGAGCTCACGCGCATTTCAATCATGACCAGGATGGCGAGACACCACGCATGCGAGACGGCGTGGAAGGCCTTCCCGTGGCCGCGCCGGGCTGCATGCCCAGGGTCTTGTACCTCACAGGGCAAGAGCCAGACGAGCTACCCAGGCAGTGAGGCGTCTGTCGGTCGACCGGGATGAATCCTGTTTTGTCCATCGACAGCGTGGTTGATGGGTGGCGACGAAGTGGGTCAACTACATGGTACTTTTTACCCCAGAGACAACATCCTTAGTGTGTCTGATGCAAGCGCAGTGGGTAGACAAGGTACCTCTCCTGTCGATGCATTGAGAGAACAATGGAGGAATGCAGTAGATTCCAAATCCTCTGTTATGCACAGCAGGCATTAGATAGTGCAGTCCACTTTATACTAGGATATAATATATGTATGGATATGGAGTCCTGTTGGTTCCCAGTGGCTTGGTCGACATGATATATATCCCTCTCTAGCTGCTGCTCCCCCGATGAGATCGATCTGACGGATCGGATTTGGACCTGTCAAGGCTGGATGCCTAAGGGGATCAGCACCATGGCTTGTTTTCTAGCGTCTTGTTGTGCGCGGGACCTAACTAGTTGCGGGCGCTACGAGCGTAGTGCGTTTCTCATCCTGCTGAGAACTGGACCCGATGGTTACTAACGGCCCCATCCAAGCCATTGAGTGGCTCTGCTGGCTCAGGATTCACCACTAAACCGGGCATCACCGGCAGCCCCCATTTCCCGTTCGCCTATGCGGCCCCTAGTGACTTTAGTTCCCCTTAGTGTCCTTCGTTCTCCTTCGGCGCGTGGCCCTCTTACTGGTCACTGCGGAACTCCACCGAACTTGATCCGACGTTGGTCCAGGCGTTCACCGGCTGTTAAAACAAGATGAGACGGGCGGCACCGTCTGCCGGACAAGGATGTGCAAGCCCTTAGCTTGACGCCATCTGGCCGGTGGGCGAGGTTAAAGCCTCGTTGGACGCTCTCTCTACCAGAACGCGGGTTGTGTGCCCGACGATCTCTACCGTAGCGAAGATAGAATCAAGAAAATAAAAATAACCAAGACAACAACAAAAGGGGAAAAAAAAGAAAAAAAGAAAGGAAAACAAAGTGATAAAACAAAAGAAAACAACCAGGTCGCCACATGGACGGAGAAATACCTGGCGTACGACAGCCCGTCCCCGTTTCCTGCATTCCGGGACAAATGCTACGTGCAAAAGCAATCATACGGAGGGTTCCTCGTAAGCGAGGTTGCGATCGGATGGGATTGTATTTCCGGTGCCTCGATGGGTTGGAGCAGACCAGGGGAACCTCCTTTTCCCCTGCTTCGATGGAAATTAATAGCAATGTTTGGTTGAGATCGCGTTTTCTGACGTGTATCATGAACTCGGGGAGAAGGTGAGTCCCTCGGGGAGCGCAACGGACCTAAGGTACAGTACCTCTGTCGGTCGACGGGGTCCCCCACCAAAGCTGGTGGTCCTACGCCGCGCGAGGTACCAGGTACATGTCCGCGACTTGGACCGATGGACCAGCCATCGCGGTCGTGGGGCTGCAATAGGTCGATCATAGTGGCTGCCCCGCCGGATCGACCCGCGATTATCCCTTGACGCCCTTGCAGAACTCCTTTGGGCACGACAGGGCTGCCAGTGTTGGCGTTGCCGGCGCTAGCGTCGACAAGGGGAGGCTCGCGTTCGACGGCGTTTGGCCTGACCGGCTGTATGTTTCTGCGCCACGAACCCCACAGGTCTCGTCGAGGTACCGAGTACGTCCGAGCTGCCCGCGAAGGGGCTTCGATCTGGGTGTGACTGACCCTTAGGACGAATCGTATCCATTGCCGGGCGTGCCGTTCACCTGTCGCCACTAGCTGGCTACCTTAGCCGCACGAAATACTCCGACCAATGGTGCCTAGCGCCGTTGGGTGCGAAAGGTGGCTGCGTGAGGGATGAGAAGAGAAGAGAGGGAGGAGTTGCGGGTAGATCCAATTCTGGACAGTGCGAGACCGCTGGACGACCAAAAGGGCAGAAAATATACCAAAAATTCCCAATTGAGGCAGCATTCAACCAGACTCGGCGGAAAGATCCATCTGAGGTAAGAAGCTGCGCCGCGTTTTGCCCACCGACTCTTGTACTGCAGCTGGGCGAATTTACTCACACGAGAGGAATGCGAGACAGCTCCACGCGCAGTATGGTCCTGTCGGCATCAGTGCGAGCCTCGGAGCGTCGCGTTCACCTGAGGTTCCTGGACTGCGCGGTAAATCATCCCGCGATCGACCCGTCTCATCGTGAACCTTGCCGATGCTGTTCAGTGCAGGGGTATAGTGTACAATGATGTAGCTGTAGCTCACAGCAATAGGAGAGGTGAGCGGCTGTGGAGCTCGCCATGTGTGCATCGTCGCAGTCGGTGTAACTTGATGACAGTCCCTACCTATGGGAAAGTTCGTCTTGTGAGGTTTTCGGGTGGGCCAATGCAGATGCGAAGACCCTGCTGATCTGGATGGGATGGGGATATCCGTCATCCTAAGGTGTTCTGTCTCGGCTTCGAGAATCCCCAAACTTCAAACCCTATGCACTTCCCGCCTTTCCTCGTCACCGGCCGATCCCCGGCTCAGATGATGTCCGACAGCACAGAGGAAGCAGGAGCTGAAATGCTCAAAAATACCGCGCCCTGTGATGACGGTAGCGTGGTCCCGAATGAAAGTTCGCATTGACAGCCTGGCGTCCGCCTTACTGAACCACGTTCGAGACCGCATCACAAGCCTGCTGGATCGGGAAATTGCAGGTGGCGGATGCCAAACAAGGAAATTCAAAAGTGGTTGGAAAAAAGAAAGTGAAAAAGGGAAAAGTATTCAGGATAGCTCGAAAAGGAATAGGCCGTCCCTACCCCTGCAGATTTGCTTTTTTTCTAGTCTTGTAGATATTTTTGTACAATTGAGTAGTATTTCGGGTATTTGCTCTCGCCCTCAACCGCTCTCAGTATTACTGCCGTAGCTGGATAGCTCGGAGGGCACCATTCGTCTCTGAGGGCCCGTTAGGGTAGATAGTACTTTTCCTAGTACCTAGGCAAGACTTAAGACGCTGTCTGACTCGGTTCCACCAGGGAGAACCGATCCACCCGGCGCACTGGCCGTGGCGTCTCCAACCCTTTGCTCATCTAGATCCGAACCCCATGCAAGGAAGATACATGGGGGATCCTGAATTGTGAATTCGCCAGAAACTTCCCCCGCAGTGCCATTGGTGGTCCGGTCGTATTACGGTAATCCCGCGCATAGTAGAGGTTGCCGAACGAGCTGGAGCATGGCCATGCAGCGTCTAGTCCCGATGACCGATAGCGTAACTATTTTGGCCGCAGAGCAGGAAAAAAATAATTAAAACCGTCTACTCTTTTAAAACCACGGAGACCATCCGATTTCGCGTGGCACCCTTTCCTGAGATAACCTTCCTTTTGGACCTACGATCCAGCTAATTCGAGGGCTCTCAATTTACACTCGCTTCATCGACTCCACGGCAGGATAGAACAACTCGAAAGAACGAAAACACCAGTACAGCTTACGACTTTGTTCTCCCCTCCTCCCAAAAAGTACCCGACCGAACTTGCTTCGAACCTCCGGCCATTCCCCTAGAGATACATCCCGACCACTATGGCCCAATCCTCTCACTGCTACCTGCCTCGCTTCGCCCCCGCGGTCGACGGGCCGAAACGCCCGGTTTCCATGAAGACGAGACCGACCTCTTCGCAATGTGCGCAGTTATTAACCGCCTGGCACGAAGGGCGTCTGGAATCCATACTGCAGGCCACCTGGGCGCTGGTCCTGCACTACTATATCCGCTCCGAGGATATCAGCTTCGGCTATCAACACATCGACGGTGACTCCATCTCCTCTCGACACCATGTACAGCGGTCGAATGTCACCACCCCCGACCCCGAACTGTCGGCCATCCGGTTGGCAATTGACGAGAACGACTCCATCAAGGCCATTGTAGATAAAGTGCGGAGCGGTGATGGAATCGAACAGCTCAGCGGTGCCGGAAGCGTAGAGGGCGTTTCTCAGGGCTACCTGCCTTTCAACACCATCCTGATGCTGCGCACATATCGAAAAACTGCCGATCCCTCGTCGGCACCCTCTAAACCCATGCTGGCCAGTGCTCTGCCAGGCCAGGTACGAAACCCAGAATCTCGCGATCATTGGAAATGGGCTCTGCTAACCGGTGTATAGTGCCAAGTACGTCTCCATGTAAAGGTGTTGCGCCGGGACATCAACATCTTCCTGGAATGGCGAAACGGCGACATGTCTGGCGACCAAATGAAGAGCGTGGCCCATATTTTCGAGCAGATGCTTGCCAAAGTGCTTTCTTCCGATAACACCGCTATTAGCCAGCTTAATTTGTTCTCGGAGAATGACTGGCAACGCATCCGCAAGTGGACCGCGCAGGTACCCCAGGTCCACGACCGCTGCATTCACGATGCCATCCACGAGCAAGCGCTGAGCGGGCCAGACAGGGAAGCTGTCTGCGCGTGGGATGGCAGCCTCACCTATGGCGAGCTTGACCAGTTGGCATCGAAGCTGGCCTGTCACTTGCGCATGCAGGGCGTCGGCCCGGAACGGCGCGTCGCACTATTGTTTGATAAATCGGTGAGTTTTGATTCCTTGCGGCTGACGATGATTCGGCCGCGGGTGTTGTCGAGATGGAATGCATGTGGCGGTGGCGCTGACAATCTGCAAGAAATGGAATATCGTTGCTATGCTTGGCGTGATGAAGGCCGGGGGTGCCTTCGTGCCGTTGGACCCAACGCATCCAACCTCCCGTCTGCAACGGCTGATCGAATCTGTCCATGCGGACGTTGCGCTATGTTCGGAGACGCGCGCCGACGCATTGAGACCTATTGTGAAGACGCTCATTCCACTCTGTAGCGAGACGATGGACCGTCTGCCCGCGCCGGCCGAGGGAGTCGACCTGGCATCGGGTGTGACCAGCCAGAATGCCGCATATGTCCTGTTCACCTCCGGATCGACGGGCGAGCCGAAGGTAAGTTTTGGCCACGCCGACCGTGATTCATGAAATTTGAGAGCTGACGACCGACAGGGCACCCTGCTCGAGCACCGGGCCTTCCTGTCCAGCTCCATGGCCCACGGAGCTGGGCTCTGCATCTTCCGCGAGACACGCGCCTTGCAATTCGCGGCGCATACATTCGACGCCAGTCTGGCAGAGTCGCTCACTCCTCTGATTCATGGTGCTTGTGTGTGCATCCCCAGCGAGGAAGACCGGTTAAATGACATTGTGCGCTTCATAAATGAGAAGCGGGTCACCCAGGCCTGCTTTACCCCGTCATTCATCGGCTTTATTGAAATCGAGAGCGTGCCAGGGCTGCAGAGTCTCGTCCTGGCTGGCGAGGCAATGTCGCAGTCGCAACTGGCTACCTGGTCCAGAATCCAACTTGTCAATGGCTACGGTCCTACCGAGGCCAGTGTTGCGTCGGTGCTGAACACTGGTGTCGCACGGAACTCGGACTGTAAAGATATTGGACTGCCGGTTGGTGTGAGAGCATGGCTGGCGAACCCTGAAAACCACGACGAACTCGTCCCGGTCGGTTGTCCTGGTGAGCTACTGCTCGAGGGTCCGACCCTCGCTCGTTGCTACGTCAATAACCCGGCCAAAACGAACGAATCCTTTATCTACGACCCTGTGTGGACCAAGTTCGACGCTGAAGGCGGCTCCAACCGCAGATTCTACAAGACTGGTGACCTGGTGAGATATAACTCCGACATGGGTGCCCTCAACTACATTGGTCGAAAAGATACCCAGGTTAAGGTTCACGGCCAGCGCATTGAGTTGGGTGAGATCGAGAACCAACTGAACAAGGACACCAACGTGACCCACTGTTCTGTATTCTTCCCTAAGTCGGGCTTTTCCAAGGGTCGTCTGGCGGCCGTCATCTCGTCGGTCGGACTCTTGGCTGAGCAATCCGATGCTGACTTGGAGCCCCTGCGCCTCATTCCCACTTCGGAGAAAACAAAGATTATTCCTGGCATTCGTGAGCGACTCTTGGCACGCCTGCCGACGTACATGGTACCTGCAGTCTGGCTTTGTGTAGAAGCAATGCCGCTCCTCCCATCCGGAAAGCTTGATCGGAAGGGTATCGCCGCTTGGGTGACCACGATGGAGACCGACCCTGATGTCGGCAAGTCTTCTGGAGGCGCTGTGACTGAGGCAGAAGTGCCTCAGCCTGCGAATGAGACCGAACAGGCTCTCGCCGCAGTCTTCAGCCGTGTGCTCAACATTCCCCAGAACCATGTCAGTCTAAGTGAAAGTTTCCTCGCCCTGGGTGGTGACTCCATTGCTGCGATGACTTGCATTGGTCTCTGCAAGAAGCGTGGGATTGGTCTTTCTGTGCAGGATGTCCTTCGCAGCAAGTCGATCCGGGATCTGGCTTCGCGGGCGAAGTCCATCGAGCATCTCATGACGTACCAGGAGGTGGTTGACGAACCATTCGACCTCTCTCCTATCCAGATTCTGCATTTCGGCGTTCGCAAGGAGGGCCAGGGCCACTTCAACCAAGGTATTCTCACTCGTCTGAACAAGCCTCTGGAGGAGCGTACTCTGCGCAAGGCAATTGAGACTCTCGTCTCTCGTCACTCCATGCTCCGTGCTCGATTTGAGAACACAGGCTGGTCCACAGCTTCCAACCAGCGGATCACTCGTGAAATAAAGGGCTCATACAGATGGCGCAGCAACATTGTCCGCTCCATGGATGACATCAAACCCCATGTTGCGGATAGCCAGTCTTGCATCAACTGCTTCTCTGGTCCAATGTTGGCAGTCGACTACTTCCGTTTCAGGGAAAAGCAGCACCCGCCTGTGTTGTCTATGACTGCTCACCATCTGGTTGTCGACATTGTTTCCTGGCGAATCATTTTGGAAGATCTTGAGGACTTGATCCTGAACCCTGGAAAGACAGGAAGCGAGGATGCCTCACTTCCTTTCCAGACCTGGTGCCAATTGCAGGCTGAGCACTCTAAGAACATGTTCGTCGAAGACAAAATCTCCAAGGATCAACTTCCTGCCCCTGACTTTGGATACTGGGGTCTGAAGACCCACTCGACTACCTACGGTGATGTTGATTGTGCTGCCTTTGAGATCGATGCGACTCACACGAACGCCATCTTGCTTGATTGTCACAAGGCACTGGATACCGAGCCCATCGATCTGTTCCTCGCTTCCATGCTCCATTCATTTGGTCAATCGTTCACAGATCGTGCTTTGCCAACCATCTTCAACGAGGGACACGGACGTGAGGTTTGGGATCCTTCTATTGATATTTCGCACACTGTCGGCTGGTTCACCATTCTGCACCCGATCTTCGTCAACTCGTACAAGTCAGACGACCCAATTGACACTCTCGTCAAGGTCAAGGATCTTCGTCGCCGAGTCTCTGATAATGGTCGCGCTGACTTTGCAAGCCGCGTTTTGCCCATCGAGGGCAAGCAGTCTGGTACCTACCCGCATCCCTTCGAAATGTCCTTCAATTATGTCGGTCAGCACCGTGATCTTCAGCGTCAGGACGGTCTTTTCCAGCTTGTCGATCAGATGGCTGGTGAGACTGGTCAGGGTAGTGGTGATGCAGACTTCGGTCGCGATACTCCCCGTTTCGGCCTGTTTGAGATTTCGGCCATGGTCACTGGTGGCAAGATCCGGTTCACATTTTCTTTCAACAAGTTTATGCAGCACCAGGATCGCATCCATTCTTGGGTGTCCAACTGTCAAGAGCAGCTTTTGTCTTTCTCGGAGCAGTTGACTGCCATGAACCCACGACTGACTTTGAGCTCTTTCCCGATGTTGTCTCTCAACTACGACAGCCTCGACAAAATGCTCAACCAAAAGCTGACTGCCATTGGTGTCACCTCTCCCGACATGATCGAAGACATCTATCCTTGCTCTCGCATGCAACAGGGCATTTTACTGGGCCGAACTCGGGACAGCTCTTATTATGCCGTTCACGATACCTTCGAGGTCCGCGGTACTGGATCTACCGAGCCTAATATCGACCGTCTTGTAGAAGCGTGGAAGACAGTAACTGCTCACCATGCCATGTTCCGTACCATTTTCGTCGAGAACCTTACTCCGGGGGACCCTTTCTGCCAGGTCGTATTGAAGGAGTACGATGCCAGTCCCGTGTTCCTGCAGTCTTCCGGAGATAGCGATATTTTCGCTACCTTCGACGCTCAAGAACCCAAGGATTACAGCGAGCTCACTCCGGCCTATCGGTTCAGCATCTGCCACACAGCCACTGGCCGCATCTTCTGCCGCATTGAGCTGAGCCACGCTGCTATGGATGGAAACTCGATCTCTATCATCCTTCGTGACCTGCAATTGGCCTATGTCGGCAGACTCGAGGAGACTCGCCGACCTCTATTCAAGGACTACATGCGCTATCTTCAGGATGCCCCCAAGAAAGCTAGCATCAACCATTGGCGCTCGTACCTTTCCGACGCGAAGCCATGCTTATTCCCTGTCCTGACTGATGGCCCGCCTCCTCAGGAGAAGACTCTGCGCTCCATCCCAGTCAACTTTGCCTACTTGTCCGAGCTCCAGACTGTCTGCGAGAAGAAGGGAATTACTCTATCCAACGCTTTCAATGCCGCCTGGGGTCTTACTCTGCGCTACTTTACCGGCTGTGATGACGTCAGTTTCAGCTTCATGGCATCCCTCCGCGACGTTGCTGCAGATGGAGTGCTGGCTGTTGTTGGTCCTGTCATCAACCTGATGGTTTGCCGGATGAAGGTCTCCGGCAATTCAGTTCTGAGCGAAGTTTTGGACCAGATCCAGGACGACTATATGGAGAGCCTGCCTTACCGCCACACCTCCCTCATTGACATTCAACATGCTCTGAAGCTCTCTGACACAAACCTGTTCAACTCTGGTGTATCCTACCGCCGTCTTCCCGGCGCCCAGGACGCTGTCAGCAGTGACATCGAGTGTGTGGAGGTCGGTTCGATCCATGACCCTGCCGAATTCCCTGTCTACATCAACATCGAGGCCATGGACTCCAAGGCGCGCATTGACCTCAACTACTGGACCACCAACCTCTCAGATTCCCAGGCGACAAACGTTGCTAACACTTATGTTCGCTGTCTTGAGAGCATCCTGACCCATACAGATAGCCAGATATGCCAGCTCGATAGCCTCAGTGAACAGAACAAGGCCGACATCCTTTATTGGAACAGCAAAAATCCCCAGCCTGTTGAGATCTGCGCCCACCAGGTCGTTCAGGATATGGCCAAGAAGCGCCCGGAGTCTTTGGCCGTGACTGCTTGGGATGGTAACCTCACCTACTCCAAGCTAGATCAGTTCTCATCTCGCCTGGCGAGCTACCTTGTTACTTTCGGCGTCGGTCCTGGAAGCTTGATCCCGATTTCCTTCGACAAGTCCGTCTGGCACATTGTCTCTATGCTCGCTGTCATGAAGGCTGGAGGTGGCTGCATTCCAGTTGACTCGCCGAAGACGATGGGCCTCGTCGACAAGTATGCCCAGGACAATGTGATTCAGGTCGCTCTTGCGTCTCCCGAGAAGGCTCAAGTCCTCGAGGAGGTTATTCCTTACGTTGTCCCAGTGAGCGAGTCCCTCCTCGAGTATCTCGGGGATGAGCCCCTGCTTTCAATGGCATGCTACTCCGATCCGGCATATGTCTCGTTTACTGCTGGGGCATCAGGCTCCGCGAAGGGTGTTGTCTTGGAACATGCTACCATTATCACCCGAGCTGAAGCATTTGCCGCATCGCTGAGGCTCACGGATTCTTCTCGTACCTTCCAATTCGCTCCCAAAACATCCGATCTCTTCTTGCTTGAGACTTTCGGTACGTTCATTCGTGGAGGCTGCGTCTGCATTCCGGCAGACATTGATCCTGCTACCATGGCCGCCTCGATCAATGTTTTGCACGCCAACGTTGCTTGCTTCACTCCAACGGTGGCCACCTTCATCTCCCCGAAGGATGTCCACGGCCTGAAGACTGCAGTGCTGGTCGGAGAAGCAGCAACTGAGCCTATTATGGAGAGGTGGCAGTCTGAGGACCTCCAATTGCATTCTTTGTTTGGTACGACAGAGTCTTCGTATGCCTCTTGTCATACTTCGGTCACCCGAAGCACCCAAAACAATATTGTTGGATTCCCCGTGTCTGGAATTTCATGGGTTGTCGACCCCAGTAACCATCAAGCTCTTGTGGCCGTTGGCTGCATTGGTGAACTGGTGATTGAGGGCCCCATCGTGGCCTCGAAGTACCTGGCGAATGCTGGGCAAGAGAGCAATGCATTCTTCGAGAACCCCTCTTGGATCGCCTCTTTTGCCAACAAGTCATATGAAATTACGCAGACCAGGAAGTTCTTCAAGACCGGCGATCTAGTCCGTTACAATGGTGATGGCTGTCTGGTGTACATTGGAAAGAAGGCCACAAGTCAAGATTTGGGCTTCTCAAACGACATCGCTCGCGTTCAGCAATCCATTAACAACTATTTGGGCTCCAAGAGAAAGGCCGTCGTGGATGCAGTCACCCTTCCCGGCGATGATTGCAACACTATCGTCGCTTTCATTGGCTCCTCAGCTGCCACACCGGCATCCTTCAACACACACGTTATTCAGAGCTCGTCGCCAGACATGAAGACGACAATTTCTGCTGTTCATGCTCATCTTACTAGCCGCTTCCCTGCTCACAAGGTCCCGAGTAGCTACATCCCTATCTCCTCTCTCCCACTAACCTCCCTTGGAAAGCTCAATTCACAGGCCCTCAAGTCTGAGATCCAAGGTCTGTCGCCAGGTGCTCTGCGATCATTCGATATCGAGAGCTGGACGGGATCAAAGTCCTTGAACCGCAACTCTCACCAGTCTTCTCTTTGTGGAACCAACCTCGCCTTCTGGAAAGAATATCTGACTGATGTCGAGCCTTGCAACTTCCCCTCTATTTCCCTCGACCCATTCAGCTCTGTAAAGTCGACCCGCACTCTCAACAAGCAAACCCAGAAGCTGCATGCATTCAGCAAAATGTCTGGTGTCTCTGTAGAGACCCTCTTCCAGTTTGCCTGGGGTCTGGTGCTGCGCTGCTACACCGGCTCTGACGATGTTTGCTTCGGATTTGCTTCTGCAAACTCGGATAATCTCGCTGTTGCCATCTGTCGTTTGATGCTCAGCAACGATCGCAAGCTGGAAGACTCTCTTCAGCACTCCAAGGCCGAGTTCGACAAGTGTCTGCAAAACTTTGCCGATCTGCCTACTGTCAAGCACCACCTTGGTTTGGACGACACCAGTCTTTTCAACACCCTCCTGACTTTCCACACCTCTTCTTCCCTCCCTCAAGGCCATGTCCGGGCATATACCACTGCAAATGACTACAAGTTCACCGTGGCCGCGGAAGTTAATAGCGCGGTTGCCGAAATTCACTTCAGCTATTCCTCGGACATCCTTACCTCTAGCCAGGTCACCCATGTCATTGATGCGTTCGATCATTTCCTGAACGATATCATGTCATCGAACCCCCGTTACCGCCTAATCGGTGATCTGGACCTCTTCCCTCAGCGTTCCTGCAGACAGATCCGTGACTGGAACGCAACCCTCCCTCCCCGTGTTGAGAAGTGTGCCGACGAGCTCATTCAGCAGCAGGCGCTACTGCACCCTCGTGCCGAAGCTGTTTGCTCTTGGGATAAGAACTTCACTTATGGCCAGCTTGAGATCGTCTCCAGTCGTCTTGCACGCTACCTGACAAGCCTAGGAGTCAAGCCTGAAGTATTCGTTGTCCTGTCTTTTGAGAAGTCTGCTTGGGCTGTTGTTGCCCAGCTGGCTGTCCTCAAGGCTGGTGGTGCATTCGTCTCCATTGATCCCACTCACCCGGACTCTCGTCTGCAGATGCTCATTAATGAAATTGGTGCCAACCTCGTTCTGTGCTCTTCGACACTTCAGTCCAAAATGGCCAAGCTTTGCAAGAAGGCTTTCGCAGTTTCCCAGAACTCGATCTCCCAGCTGCCTGAATCTCCTCTTGCTCTTCCTGGAACTCGTCCTTCTCCAAGCAACTCCGCCTACGCCATTTTCACTTCTGGTACCACCGGCAAACCTAAGGCAACTGTGGTTGAACACACTGCGCTCAGCACAACCGCCATTGCCATGACCGATGCCCTACACATGAACTCCGGTACTCGCTCGTTGCAATTCTCCAACTACACCTTCGATGTCAGTGTCCTCGAAATTATGATGACTTTGATGACTGGTGGCTGTGTCTGTGTTCCCAGTGAGGAAGAGCGTATGAATAACCTCGGTGGTGCTATCCGCCGCATGGAGGCCAACTACATGGCATCTCCGCCTGCCATCGTCAACACCCTGGAGCCCAAGAGTGTTCCGACTCTAAAGACCATCATCACCGGCGGTGAAAAGATGCCCTCCAACCACATTGACCGTTGGAGCGACCGATTTGTGATCAATGCCTATGGTCCCTCCGAAGCCACCGTCGTTGCTACTGTTGGTGTCAAGGTTGATTGGGATGGCAATCGCGTCAACAATGATCCTACCTCTATCGGCTACGCCGCAAACTGCAGAGTCTGGATTGTTGACCCCAACAACTACAACCGTCTCCTCCCCGTCGGAGCTGTTGGTGAGATGCTGCTCGAAGGTAGCAACATTGCCCGAGAGTACCTTGGCAACCCCGAGAAGACCAAGGCTGCTTTCGTTGAGGATCCGACTTGGAGTCACCACCCCGGACTGCTCGGTCTCTTCAAGCGCAAGGATCGCATGTACCGCACCGGTGATCTTGTTCGTTACAACAGCGATGGCACTCTTGCCTTCATCTCCCGCAAGGACACTCAGATCAAGTTCAACGGTCAGCGCATTGAACTCGAGGAGATCGAGCACCAATGTCTCCGTGCTCTCCCCGAAGGTTCCCAAGTCGCGGTCGACGTTGTCGTCCCTCAAGAGCGAACTGTCGCAAAGGGCCTTGCTGCTTTCTTCACTGTTCACGATCCCGATTCCGTCGAAGGTGGCACCAGCGACCACTTTGCCCCGACAACCCCCGGCGTCGACCCCCTCCTGCTGCCCATCTCTGTGTCCAACATGGATGCTATTCAGAAGCTGAAGAGCTCGCTTCCCGACCTTCTTCCACAGAGCATGATGCCTCGTCTGTTCTTTCCCTTGCGCAACCTCCCATTTACTTCTTCTGCCAAGATTGATCGCCGTCGCCTTCGTGCCATGGTACAGACTTTGTCCAAGGACGTCCTGAAGTCCTACATCACATTTAGTACTGGGACTAAGAAGGACGATACTTCTGCCGACGGCATTGAAGCCAAGCTTCGCTCGCTTTGGGAGAAGACTCTTGATCTCGAGGCCGGATCTGTCACCAACGACGACAGCTTCTTTGCCCTGGGTGGTGACTCTTTCTCTGCCATGAACCTCGTAGGAGCTGCTCAGGCTATTGGGATCTCTCTCAATGTGGCCACAATCTTCAAGTCTCCTGTTCTCATCGAGATGGCACATGGTTGCTCTGAATTTGTTGAAGCTCCTGCTCCCAAGAAGGCAGCTCTCGAGCCATTCTCTCTCCTTCCCTCCTCTGTCAACGTTAACAGCATTTTGGATGAGGTTATTGACAGCTGCGCCATTCCCAAGTCCTCCATATGCGATGTGTACCCTTGCTCTGCTGTCCAGGAAGGTCTTCTGACCCTCTCCCTCAAGCACCAAGGTGCCTACGTCGCCCAGCCAGCCTTTCGACTCGCCAATGGTGCCGACCTCGATCGCTTCAAGGCAGCTTGGCAGCAGACTGTTGCGGATCTCGAGATTCTGCGTACTCGCATTGTTCACACTGAGGCTATGAACTTTGCCCAAGTGGTCCTGAAGGAAGAGCCTATCTCTTGGGTCCATGCCGAATCGTTCGAGCAGTTGCCCAGCGACACCACCGAGCTTCCTAAGCACAATGGTGCTCCTCTGACCGGATATGCGATTGTTCAGCCTCGTGGTTCTTCTGCTCGCTACTTCGTCTGGTCCGTCCACCACGCCCTCTACGATGGTTGGAGCATTCCCCTGGTCTGGCGCAAGGTTGAGGAGAACTACAACGCAACACGCACCGAGGAGTCAGTTACTCCCTACGGCCTATTTATCGAGTACCTCACCAAGAAAGACATGAACGAGTCTGATGCTTTCTGGAAATCCTATCTCAAGGATCTGTCAAGCATCCCCTTCCCCCAGAACAAGAATTCCGTCCCAGATGCTGTCCGTGCTGGCAACACCCAATACAACACTCTGGATATTTCGCGTCCTGCGAACAGTGTTGAGTTCACCCTTCCTGTTCTCCTGCGTGCTGCTTGGGCGATTATTCTTGCTACTCACACTGGTTCCGGCGACGTTTGCTTCGGAGAGACTCTTTCTGGACGAAACATCGATCTTCCTGGTATTGCAGACATTGCTGGTCCCGTCTTGTCGACTGTTCCGACTCGTGTTCAGGTTGACAACGAGCTGCCTATCGTCGAGTACTTGGACCAGATTAACAAATCTACCACCGACATGATTCCTCACCTCCACGCCGGTCTCCAGCGCATTCGTCAACTTAACAGCGACACTGCAACCGGCTGCAACTTCAAAAACCTGCTTGTCATCCAGTCCGGTGAAAGTGAACTGGATAGCAAGATCTGGGTCGACGAGAAGCGTGAGACTAGCGAGGAGTTCTTTACACATCCACTGGTCCTGGAATGTTCAATTTCCAAGTCCAAGATCTCCTTCATCGTTCACCACGATGAGCTGGTCATCAATGGCTGGCAGACAAGGCGTATCACTGAGCAGCTCAGCCACGTCCTGAAGCAACTCATGTCAATCCCCAAGTCAACCACCGGCAAATTGGTCGATTTGGAAGTTGTCAGCCCCGAAGACAAGGCTGAAATCGCTCACTGGAACCGTCGCGACATTCCTCCTGTCGAGCGCTGTGTCCACGAGTTTATCTTGGAGAAGACCATGGAAACACCAAACGCTCCCGCTGTCTGTGCCTGGGATGGAGAGCTTACCTACCGCGAGTTCTGGGATCTGGCATCCTCTTTCGCCAACTACCTCGTCGGCCGTGGTGTCGGTCCTGAAGTCTTTGTCCCTGTCTGCCTCGACAAATCTGCCTGGGCGATGGTCACCCTCATCAGTATCCTCATTGCTGGTGGTGCCTACGTCCCATTGGATCCTCATCACCCTGTTTCTCGACACGAGGAAATTCTTGCCGATGTTGGTGCAAACATGATCCTTTGCACGCCCAACTACACCAACCGCTACACTCGCGTTGTGAAGACCGTCATTCCCATCAGCAAGGAGACTATCAAGGCTTACGGATCCCTCAATTCTTCTTCTCGGCCTCGCTCCCACCTGAAGGCCTCCAACATGGCTTACGCTCTGTTCACCTCTGGAAGCACTGGTCGTGCCAAGGGTATTGTCGTTGAGCACCGGAATGTCGTCAGCAGCATTATGGCATTTGGACCGATGACCGAAATGGGTCCCAAGTCTCGAGTCTTCCAATTCGCCTCCCTGACATTCGACGCCGCTATCATGGAGACACTGGCAATCCTCATGCTAGGTGGCTGCATATGCGTTCCAAGTGAGGATGAACGTCTCAACGATGTGGCTGGTGCAATCCGCCGTCTCAACGTCACCTGGACTTTCCTCACCCCCTCGATTGCTTCTATCATCGAGCCTTCGTCCGTTCCATCCCTGGAAATCCTTGTCTGCGGTGGTGAAAAGATGTCCAATGAGGTCATCACCAAGTGGGCTAACACACTTAAACTCATGAACGGCTACGGTCCTACTGAGACCTGTGTCTTCGCGGTCATTGACACTTGTGTGGCTACGAACCGTGATCCCGCACGCATTGGCTACGGTATTCCCAGCACCCTGACTTGGATCGTCGACCCTGAGAACCCAAGCCGATTGGCTCCTCTCGGTGCAGTTGGCGAGCTTGCCCTTGAAGGTCCCGCCCTGGCCCGAGAGTACTTGAAGAACCCTGAAAAGAATGCCGAGGCATTTATCAACAACCCTGCCTGGGTGAAGGACTTCAAGAAGGCATCCATTCCCTCTCCTCGCCGCATCTACTTGACCGGTGACCTTTGCTACTACAACGCCGATGGCTCTATCGAGTACATCAGCCGTAAGGATCATCAGGTTAAACTCCACGGCCAGCGCATGGAGCTCGGAGAGATCGAACATCGACTGCATGAAGACCCACTTATTCGCCACGCCGTTGTCATTTTGCCCAAGACCGGCCCGCTCAAGCAGCGCCTGGTTACTGTCATGTCATTGAACAAGATCGCTGCAGACAACAAGCTGATCTCCGACAAGCCATGCGAACTTGTGGATCAAGACGAGTTCAACAACAAGGGATTGGCTAGTCTCGTCGAAGTCCAAAAGAAACTGGAGACGCAGATTCCCATCTACATGGTGCCCCAGACCTGGGCTCTAATCAAGAAGCTTCCCATGCTTGTCTCTGGAAAACTTGATCGCAAGAAGATCACTGCTTGGCTCGAGAACATTGATGATGATTCCTACGAGCGGATCATGCAAGACTACGATCACATGAAGCGCGGAGCTCCCGAGAAGCCACAGGAGAAGGAGCAGGATGGATCCTTGAAAATCGTTCGGGAGATTTTCTCGCAGGTTCTCAACATTTCCCTGCAGAAGGTGAACGTGGATCGATCTTTTGTCAGTCTAGGTGAGTTTCCAACAGAGCCAAGTCTCAATCAGAAATCATCAGTTTTATTAACAATATAATCCAGGCGGCGACAGTATCACCGGCATGGCCGTGATCTCCAGGGCTCGCAAGCAGGGTCTGACCCTGACCCTCAATGACATCTTGCAAAGCCGATCGGTGAAGGAGCTTGCACAGACTGCCAGTGCCAAGGCACCGGTAACTTCTCACCGTGAGGAGAAGGCCGGCGAAAGCTTCGCTCTTTCTCCCGTTCAGAAGCTTTACATGCAATCCACGAACTCGTACAAGGGTGCTGCGCGCTTCAATCAAAGCATCACTGTACGGATCTCTCGTCGTGTTGAGGGCGAGGTCCTTCGACGTGCTATCAAGGCTGTTACTAGTCAGCACTCGATGTTCCGGGCCCGCTTCAGCAAGGTGAATGGAACGTGGCAGCAGAAGGCAGCAGCTGTATGTACTCCCCGATCATATCATGCATACGCCTCACTAACATCTCTTACAGGAGGTTGACGAGTCGTATCGCTTCCGCGCGCACTCTGTCAGCGATACACGTGCTATGGTCCCCAAGATTTCGGAGAGCCAGTCCTGCTTGGACCCTCTCAATGGACCAATATTCGCTGCCGACCTGTTCAATCTTCGTAGCGGAGGCCAAGTGCTTTTCCTTGTTGCTCACCACCTGTGTGTTGACATGGTTTCCTGGCGCATCATTCTCCAAGACCTTGAAGAGCTTGTTCTCTCTGGCTCGCTGTCTGACGAGAAGGCACTCTCCTTCCAGAGCTGGTGCGCTATGCAGCTAGAGCGAGTAAAGACACGCGATGCAGGTCTCGCTCTGCCCTTCACTCCTGAGCAACCCAACCTGTCCTACTGGGGCATGCAGGAGTCTTCCAACTTGTACGGCGATCTCAAGATGGAGTCTTTCACCCTCAGTGAGGAGAGTACCAAGTTCATCCTCGAGGACTGTCACGAGACTTTCGGGACTGATACCGTCGACATCTTGCTTGCTGCAATTGTGCACTCATTCAGACGCACTTTTACCGATCGCAAGCTTCCCACCATCTACAACGAAGGCCACGGCCGTGAGCCTTGGGATGCAAGCATTGATCTCTCTCGCACCGTCGGTTGGTTTACTACCATGGCTCCTCTTCTAGTCGACGGTCAGGATGGTAAGTTTCATTGGGTGTCGCTTTTCCAACATGCTGCTAACTTGGACCCAGGTACCCTGATAGATACCATCAAGCGCGTCAAGGACACTCGCCGAAAGATCACCGACAACGGCCGTCCTTTCTTCGCCAAGAGCCTTTTGGCTGGCGAACAGCAGCCCGGCACTGATGCTTTCCAACTTCCTCTAGAGATTCTTTTCAACTACCTTGGCAGGCTGCAACAGCTTGAGCGCGCCGACTCCCTCTTTCGTCACCAGGGCAGCGTGTTCGACAGCTCTGACTTTGCTGTCGCTGGTGACATGGGCCCCGATACTGCTCGATTCGCTCTCTTCGAGCTATCTGCAATTGTTGTGAAGGAGCGCCTCAATGTCTCCTTCGCCTACAATCGTCGGATGCAGCGCGAGGGACAAATCCGTCGTTGGATCCTCCACTGCAAGCAGACTCTGGAGAAGGATCTTGCTACCCTGAGAAACACCCCTGCAGAGCCCACTCTAAGCGATTACCCCCTTCTGCCAATCAACTACCATGACCTGCAGATTCTCATCAGCAACACCTTCCGCAAGCTTGGCATTCGCAGCAAGACCGAAGTCGAGAACATCTACCCTTGCTCTCCTATGCAGGAAGGTCTGCTGCTCAGTCAGCTCCGCGACCCCAGTGCCTACATGTTCCACACTATCTTCGAGATCAAGGATGCCCGCTCTGGCAAGGTGGATCCGGAGAGACTCGCACGATCCTGGAAGATGCTGGTGGATCGCCACCCGGTCCTCCGAACCACCTTCATCGATAGCAATTACAGCGGTGGGTCGTTTGATCAACTGGTCTTCAAGAAACTGAACGACAACATCCTTCGCGTGGAGTGCACCGATTCCCAAGTGGAGGAGAAGCTGGCTGCCATCTCTCTTCGTGATGCCAATGCCATACGCCCAGCAAAGCTTTCTCACCAAATGACCATTTGCAAGACCACCAGCGGTCGCGTTCTCGTCAAACTGGAAATCAACCACGCCATCATTGATGGTGGTGGTGTGGATGTACTGCTTCGCGATCTCACAATGGCGTATGACCGCAAGCTGGGCGAAGGCTCCGGTCCCCAATTCAGCGAGTACATCAAGTACATTCGAACCCGCAGCCAAGTCGAAGCTCTTTCACACTGGAAGACTTACCTGGGAGGTGTCCGCCCTTGCCATCTCGCTCCCAGTGCTGCTTTCCAGACTAAGCGAGAGCTAAGGGGCATCCTCATGGATTTCAACCGCTACCCTGAGCTCCTGAGCTTCTGTGAAGGAGCTTCAGTCACTTTGGCCAACCTCACCCTGACTGCGTGGGCTATGGTCCTTCGACAGTTCACTGCTTCCGACGATGTCTGCTTCGGATACCTGTCTGCCGGTCGCGATGCGCCTGTCAACGGTATTCAGGACATGGTCGGTATTTTCATCAACATGCTTTGCTGCCGCGTCAAATTCTCTGCACAGCAATCCCTCGCGGATATTTCTAAGCGAGTGAATGCCGACTACATTGCCAGCATTCCCCACCAGAGCTGCTCCCTCGCCAGCATCCAGCATGAGCTGGGATGGCAGGGACAGTCTTTGTTCAACACAACCCTCTCTATCCAAAACCACACTGTTGCCGGTGGCACCAGGGAGAAGGGTCTGTCTTTCGATCTCCAGCATGCTCACGACCCTAGCGAGGTAATTCATATGCTACCCAGATTGACACACGATCTGTACTAACTTGATACAGTATGCTGTTACTGTCAACGTTGACATTTCTCGCGGCCATGAGGGCATCATGCTCCGTTACTGGAATGATGTTGTCTCTGATGACCAAGCTCAGTCGCTTGCGGATGCCATCGCCAAAGTCTTCACCGGCTTCATCGAGTCGCCTTCCGCGACCATTCCGGCCACCAAACTCGAGGAGAGAGTCCTCACTGAGCAGTCCTTTGAGTGGGACAACTCTCAGGGCCCCATCTCTGAAAAGGCCAAGACCAACAGAAAGAGTCTGGATGGCACTGCCATTCAAAAGATCATTGATGACCGTGTTCATGAGATCATCGGTCAAATGTTGAGGGATGGCAAGCTGATGGTGCCCGGTATGGCGACCGACAGTCTTTCTGGCTATGGTCACCCCGACTCCGTTGGCTCGCCTTTCCCGTTGGATGGTCTCCAGGGAGGAGCAGATGATTCAGGTGTTTGCTCGTCAACCTCACGATCGAGCGAGGAGGGGATGTCTGCCGATGTGGAAAGGAGACTTTGGAGACTTTGGAGTACTGCCCTGGGTCTGTCACCCAACGTAGTGCGACATCAGGACAGCTTCTTCAAGCTTGGTGGTGACAGTATCACCGCCATGAAGATGGTCAGCGCGGCCCGCGAAGAGGGTCTTGTTCTTACTGTTGCCGATGTCTTCAACAACCCTGTCTTTGAAGACATGCTCGCTACTGTTCGCGCAGCCAACGTCACGCAGCAGATTCTCAACGCTGATCTCAAGCCTGTGCACAAGGAGGTGGATGCCTTTCCTGACAGCAAGCCGACAACTTTGGCTCCCACCCCTTCTTCCGAGAGCATTTCAGTTCTCCGTCCTTCGAAGGCTGTGGATGATGCCTCATTGCAGAGCGGAATTTGCCCCAAGATTGGTGTTTTCAAGGGTGGTATCGCCGACGTGCTGCCGGTGACTGACTTCCAAGCCATGTCCTTGACTGCGACACTTTTCAAGTCGCGATGGATGTTGAACTACTTCTTCTTGGAAGGAAATGGTCCCTTAGATCTTCGACGCCTGCGTGAAAGTTGCTTGAAGGTTGTTGATGCTTTCGATATCCTCCGCACTGTTTTCGTTTGCTTCCACGACCAATTCTTCCAGGTCGTTCTGCGCAAGATCCGCCCCAGCATCTTTGTATATGAGACCGATCGTGGACTCGACGAGTTCACTTCCACCCTCCAGCAGCGCGACCGTGAATATGGTCCTCGGGAGGGCGAGCAGTACGTGCAATTCTACGTTGTCAAGAAGAAGGAAAGCGACCAGCACCGCATCATGATCCGGTTGTCGCACACCCAGTACGACGGAGTGTGTCTCTCCAAAATCATGTCGGCCATTAAATTCGGTTACGAGGGCAGCCCTCTGCCTCCAGTGACTCCGTATGCCAGCTATCTTCGTCAACTTCCTGGCACCATTACTCCGGATCACTACAACCACTGGTCCAACCTCCTCAAGGGATCCCAGATGACCCAGGTCGTCCGTCGCAAGGGCACATCTATGTTCCAAAACATCGGCGCCTTCACTGAAATCCGCAAGACAATCGAGGTGCCGCCCACCGCCCTCGGTAATGTTACTGTCGCGACCGTCATGCAGGCAGCCTGGGCCCTTACTCTCGCGAAGCTCTCTGCGCAGTCCGATATTGTCTTCGGCTTGACCATCAGCGGCCGCAATGCGACCGTCCCCGGTATTGAAAACACGGTTGGACCTTGCGTCAACGTGGTCCCCGTCCGCGTCAAGCTTGAAGAGAAGTGGACTGGTGTTGATCTGTTCCGCTTCTTGCAAGATCAACAGGTCTCTAACATGCCATTCGAGTCTCTCGGCTTCCGTGAGATCATCAAGCAATGCACTAACTGGCCTGCTTGGACCTACTTCACCACCTCGGTCTTCCACCAGAATGTCGACTATGAGGGATCGCTGGAGCTCGACACCAACAAGTACCGCATGGGAGGTGCAGGCGTCAACGACAACTTCGCCGATCTGACAATGGTCTCTCGTCCTGCGGATGATCGCAACCTCAACGTCACCCTGGGCTTCTCTGAGAAGGGACCGATTCTTCCCTCGTTCGCTGAGCGCGTCCTCGACATGGTCTGCGAAACTGCCCAGGCCCTTGTCGCCAATCCATCGACCTCCTTGCCTTCGCCCAATATGCTTCGCTCGCTTCCTTCTCAGGTCATTGACGATCTTCCTCGTGCCTCGGACGAGCACTTCCTCAGTGCCCATCTCAAGTCTCGCTCTATTGCAGAGCTCCTGGTCCACTCGGACATCCTCTCTCGCTCATGGCACCAAGTCCTCCCCAGTCGCACTGCGCCCACTATTGAGGTGGACAGCGACGAAAAGCCCAAGCACCAGACAGCCTTCCAGCTTGACTCTTCTTTCTTCGACCTTGGCGGCGACATCTTCAACATGGCTCAGCTTGTTTGGCTCCTGGAGCAGGAAGGCCTCAAGGTTCGGCTCGAGGATCTTCTCGAGCACCCTTCGTTCTTGGGTCAAATGGCTGTTCTGGCTCTTCACAATGCCAAGCGCCAGGAAGACATGGCTCCTGAGTACGCCACAGGCGCTGCCTCGCCCGATCGCTCTGTTCGTCCTCAGGTCGAGAAGAAGAAGACATGGGACAAGGCCGTGACATTGGCGAGAAAATTGACTCGACGGAACAACGTGGTTTCCAGTCGAGCCTAATGAGTCTCTTTTGTGTCTTTCGATTGACGTTGGCTCATGAAACAAAACCAAAAAGAAAAGAAAAAATATTAACATGGAGACGCGGCGGAGAAAAACAAAAACATCCTTTCGTTGGATCTTTCCTATATTTCCTATTTCATTGTGTTTGTTACTATGATCATGGTGTTTTACTTGCATTTGGTGGCTGCTCTGCAGAACTCCCTTACTCTCTTTCATATGTCCTCATCACGGATTGGACGAATAGACGGACGTTATGTCAACATTTTTCCTCCATTACTTTCTTCTCTGCATCTTCCTTGTAGGTCATTTTGTGTTTTATCTATTGCATCTCTCCTCATTGTCATGCCAAATCTAATGGAAACTTATCTCAATCGAACTATCCCTCTTCGTAAGCTGTATCAAGCCTCCTCTACTTTCAAAGCGCGATAAATCCTCTTATGCTGCTCCAGAAGCACCAGCGTAGCAATCGTCTGAGGAGCCAATCGTACAAAGCTCGGTGTCCAGCCACGGAACAGCCACCGATGTCCCTCAGAGCGAATCAAGTCTCGCACAGCCTGATATACCGAAGCATTGCTGGAAGAGCTCATCAACTGAGTCCGGATGACATCCATCGGGCTTGAAATCGACGTAGCGACTAAACTCGCCAGTAATGAGGCGGAGAAATGTGTCAACGGATTATCGTCACTTTTTCCACTCAATTGCGTGAGCAATCTTTTGAACGAGTCATAAGAGGCCAGCTGGCTGGCTGTCATGATTCCGGAACGAAAGCAGTTGGGCCATAAGCCCTGTCGGAATGATCTCCAGCCTTCGTTACGCTTCATCTGCACCCATGCATCTAGCACATTTTGATAATTGCGACGCTGTTGGGGTGGCAGTGAGCGATCATTCTGCATTCGCACGTTTGCGATGTCTGATGGGGTGCCGAAGATAGCCCCTAGGAAACCCGAGACCGCGGCCATCGTGCCGAGAATTGGAGTCGTCAGGGGCTGGTTCGATGACTTTGCTGTCTGCTTCATTTCTTCGTAGAATGCGATGCGAGAAGTTCCGTATGTCACTGAAGGCATTAGATGAAAGTAGTAAACTTAAGTTTGGTACTTACATGAACGCATGACGCCAGCCGTAAGCTGTTATGACGGGACCCCGAAGATTAGTGAACGCAAGGGCATTAATGACTTGAAGATGTCATCGTAAATGAACTTTTATTACTACTCACACCGTGATAGAGACCTTTTACTCCCTCCTCCTGGATGATTCTAAGACCAACCCGAGCTGAACCTTGCTTTGAGCCGCTCGATACAGTTTGCATTCGCACCTTGACTGCGTACATCAGAACGCGAAATTTTGTAAACTGTTTCGGGAGGCACTTACTCAGATCAAAGGGATGCGAAACCATCACAGCCATGCATGATGCGGAGCCTCCAAACCATCGCGGGTAAGAAATGTCATCTGTTTGGGTTGGAGCTTTTGTTGTGGAGGCTGGGATGTGAACTATTTTAGCTGCCTCCATCTTGGATTATTGATAGAGAAACCCGGATCTCTATCGCAGTGCTAAAATGATCAAGATTCAATAGTTCATAAAATTCTCAATTGTCTTTATGAGAAAAGACGGAGGCATAGCGAATCGACCTCGGCCGGGTTTATGGTAACCCAAGCTACAAGACGCCTATATGCCTGCGGCGGGGTTCCCCACAATACCAGAATCTTTCTGACAACTAAAGGGCCAGGAGCCAGCAGCCCAGCCTATAGCATTGAAATAATTGTTATTTTATTCTGTAGACTCCGATAATCTACTACCAGGAACCAATTCTTGCACAGGCAACCGATTCTCGATGATGTCATCGGCATTCAAAAAGTCGGTGCTAGAGATTCGATGCTCAGCGGCTGCAACATCAGGTACAATCCCAGAAGCAACATGGCGCTTCACCAGTCTCGCGCGAGCAATCTCTCTATCTACCTCAACGAACCAACTCTCATCCATAAGAGCTGCAGCCGAACTCCACGGTTCACAGCCCAGGCTAAGGTAAAGGCCCTCGAAAATGACCACCCGCGACTTCGGCAGAATGGCAATATCATCCGCGACAGGATCCTTAATCGCGTGGTCAAAGCTGGGTGCATACACGGCGGGCGACGCTAAAGTCAGGGGCTCTCGCAGACGCTGGACCAGTCGGTAGAATGCTTCTGCGTCGAATGTGAACGCAGCGCCTCGGCGGTGAATCGCGGTTGCTGGGTCTGGCATGGCGGCTAGCTGGGCTCTGGATAGGTGATAGCCATCCATTGGAATGCAGACTGCGAAATCGTTGTCGGTGTTGCCCAGCTGGTTCACTCGCTCGGCTACGTCTGCGGCTAGTGTTGTCTTGCCGGAGCCTGGAATGCCAGACACGCCAATCAACACGCGTGAACCCTCATCTTTTGATTTACACAGATCTTGTAGAGCGCGAATTAACAGGCGCTCTCTTTATATTATGCCTTTCCAAAGCTCTCCTCACCTTGGACCTTCTGAGCCAAACGCTCGACATGCTCTGGGATGTTCGGGTTCGAGACGGTCATTGTCGGTATTTGGAGCAGACGAGGCCTTCCGAGTACCCTCAATATTATGCCAATTCTCGATCACTCTCGGCCTCGGAAGGTTGTCTCCGAAAATAAATAGGAGACCGGCGAGGATGCGAAGATGCCAAGTGAAGGAGTCGGGAGTGACCCGCCCGGAGTTACCCCACACTTTCCCCGTGCTGCGTCGGCCTCGACACGCCCCGAAGTATTCCCCCCGCCCATCCGCACTGGCAAACATGCCGCCAGAATCCGACAGAAAACTTGCGTAAGTCATACAATCCTTGCAGATCGACCTATCTGATTGGGGTCCGGGTACTGATTCAATATGCGCGATTTAGGTGCCTGGTCTGCCGCCACCGAAAGGTCGCGTGTGATCGGAGGCGTCCACGATGTGGGCTCTGCGACAAAAATGGATTCGAATGCGAATACAAGGCGCGCGATCATCGACCCGGTCTGAGAGCTGGCTATGTCTCTCAGCTGGAGAAGCGTGTTGGTATGTCGGTTATTCTGCAAGATGCCCCTTTGACAGACTGGCTTACGTCTCCGGAGAGGATCTGGAGAGGAAAATGGAGAAGGTCGTCGGACGATTGTCAGAGGAGCCATCGCATACACAGACGGAAACAAATAACGTTTCCTCAACGATTCGAGAGCCACCCACCTTGGACTTCGGTAATGCGGAGACACTGAGGACTCCGCAGTCCAATGCAGTCCGTATGGAGACTGATCCCTCGCCTCTGGTGGCATCACCGCAGGATCTTCTCATTGAGCCGCTACGATACGAACTGCAGATGGTGTGGCTTCAACGGTATCACCCCTGGTTTCCAATTCTCCATCACACATCAGTCAGTCAGGCATTTTCAGAGGCAACGTCCACACAATGTCTGCTTCGGAAGGCGATAGAGGCCGTCACAATCTGGGACATTCCTGGTATCACTTGGGAACAGAAACAGATCTCTTCTACTACGCTTCGACAAGAGGTCATCTCGAGCGCAATGGAGTCATTGAATCTTCGCTGTATTCAAGCTTTGCTCATCCTATCGATTCTCTTTTGGGGGGAAGGCAAATGGCTTCCGTATAGTAATCTCACAGCTATGTGCCAGAGGTATTTTCTTTTCGAGTCTTCCAATCGGGTCATGAGTGACTATTAACATAAAATAGACTATCGCAGCAGCTAAGCCTACCCACAGTGGCCGGCGTGGCAAGGGCTCAGCCGTCCAAAATGAGTACAAGGGACGCAGCAACTTCTCAACCGGAAATCGATCACGAGGAAAGGCTTCGAACATTCTGGATGATTGAGATGCTCGATAGCATTTTTGCCTTGGGCTTCACCAGCAATCTATCTACATCCAAGATACCACTTGGTGCAAAGTTCCCCTGCAGCGATAGCATATGGGCCCTGCAGGATCCTTTCAGAGAGGGCGTGTCATTCCAGAATCTTCGTTACTCCTCCGGTTTGTCGATGTGCATCAGTCTATGCACTGTGGAGCTAGGGGCTGTGCATCGATTTCAGCAGAGTGTCGCTGAGACAGATGGGGCAGCAGGAGGACTAGAATGGCAAAGTGCAGCACAAAGGCTCGACGAGCGACTCACAATATGGCGTGAAGAGTTTGTCGCGGCTGTTTTCCGTCTCATCAATACCGAGTCCCCGCAAGATGCGCGTGCCGAGATGGAGATATTTATCGTGCTGACCAATTGTGTTCTCAATATGTTCGTCAACCCTTCTCGGGGCTGAAAACCCCAACTCTTGCAGAAGCTAACTTCATACAGGGGCGTGATCACATTGTTACAATCGCAAACTTCATTACCGGATGGGGTTGGGTCGCAAACTGATTCAGTGAGTGAATCATACCGAACAGGCTTACATAAATCAATGCTGAATCTTTCTTCCTAGTGGCCGTACGCAAATCACCGTTGCATGTATGCTTGCGAGAACATGGCTGCCAAAATCCGTCGAATGGAAGAAGATGAGCTGAAGAACTGCAGCCCGTGTCTAATTCTTCCCATATTTGTGGCAGCGCGCTTCTACATCGGTACTGTCCCTCGATTTCTTGGCATCTATTCTGTCGGCTCGTCTAACATGATCCACAGTGCATACCAAGTGCTTGCGTGCCGATGTATCGGTCAATCTTCACTCGCTTGCATACAGTCTGCATATATGTGGCCATCGCTGGCCATTGGCTAAAATGTTCGAGTCGGTGATCCGAACCGCTGTTGCCGAGCACCGCACGCCTATTCCTCAGTCAGCATTGCCGATTGAGTTTTATGACCTCCGATTTTCTGTTGTTGAAATATGTCACATCCTTCAAGAATGGTCGGATAGCTACTCGTCGCCTGTATTACATAGTGTATGATCAATCAGAGACGCTGCTCAGCTCAATCTGCGAAAATAATCATTACTGCTTGTTGCTAATTGAGATAATTACCCTTGGTGACATTACCAGTGCTGAAAGATGCGCTCTGTTGACTGTATGTTCGTGTCATGGTAAAATGACGAACGTCATTAGGTTGAAGTTTATCTCCGAGCGCTGAGATTTGAAATTCCGGCCAAGGAAATCAGATTCTTGTTGACTCGGCTTGCAAGCCGACTCTCTTCTGTCCATATTTTGTATACCGACTCTTCGTCTGCGTTTAAATCAGCCGAGGCACCGGCATAGCACACCAAATCTTGGCGGATGAGGGAAAAATCGAGCAATTCAATCATGGCAGACACCAACGGGTCTAGACGAGACCCAGATACCGAGACTATCAACTATACTGTCCCAGATGCCTCTATTATGAGGTCACCTTACCTCTGGAAGTCGAGCTTCTGTGCGCTGCGCATGACTATACTGTGTGTCTGGACCCCAGTGTCATCTTTTCACTCCTCGTTCGATTCTCTTGCTAATTGTTACAGTCTCCACCAATGGATACAATTGGTCACTTCTGAATGGCCTTCAAAAACTCGATGTGTGGCAGTCCTCCAGGTATCAACCAACGGGTGCTTGGCTCGGATTCATTAACACCACATATTGAATTGGAACCCTTTTTCGGGGCGCTGGTTGCTGCATGGGCATCCAACCAATTTGGCCGTCGAGCAGGAATTTGGCTCGATGTCACACTGCTGGCAATTGGCGTAGCCATCCACCGGCTGCACCGAGGGACAGCGCCTTTATCGTCGGCCGATTAGTCGTGGGTGCAAGCAGTGGCCTTCTCAAAAACTCCGCCCCGCTACTACTGAACGAAATTACCTATCCCGTGGCCAATTCTCCCTTCATATGCGGCTATTATTTCGGCGCCTTGATCGCCGCTTGGGTGACATTCGGCACCCACGTCTTGGATCCCTCTGGGCTTGGTGCATTCCATCAATCACGCAGATTATTTGCCCGGCACTCACTCTTCCTGACCTCCTCCTTTTTCATGAGAGTCCTCGATGGCTTGTCTCGGTATATTGCCGATTATCGGACCGCTTTTACGGCTTACAAACGGCTGGGGGTACTAGTTCTTCAGTAGTCAATCACCAGATGATCAAGATCCAGCAAACGCTCGATATGGAAGAGAAGTATGTGAAGTCTTCAGGGTGGCCATAGATGATCTCCACGCCTGAAAATCGTCACCGCTCTGTATTACTGTCTCTGGGGTTTTATGCTCAGTGGGTTGGTAATGTGGTTTTTAGCTACTACCTGAGCTTTGTCCTTGACAGGATCGACATTACGAAGACTCGCGATCAACTGCTCATCTCAGGATGTCTCCAGATCTGGAATTCGGCACCTACGATTTCTATCCCGAGAGACGCGGCCATACACTGGAGAATATGGCCGTCATATTTGATAAGGAAGCTAGTGATGCCCGTGCATTTTCGCAGTGACGGACGGAAAGGCTGGTACTACCTATGGCAGCACGGAGCAGGTTGAAAGGGTTTAGGATTGGTCCCTAGGTATGGATTATTTTACATTTTATTTGAGTATAGAGCAAATAGAGGTCATCAAGATTCTTGAGGGCATTAATTCTCTATTCTTTCTAATTTATGCGTCTCTTATCATTATCACTATGCGGTACTGTGTGAGTGTACCTTTACTGGGATATACATCTTTCCATGGCTGAAGAAACATTTGGGACACTTCGATATGCAGTGTGCTCACATACGACAATTTTTTGACGCGAATAGTGAGTCTATCTGTCAAAATATGAAAAATCTCATATCGGTCACTCGGCTCTAATGTTTGGCTCTCGAAGGTCTCGTATGAATTTAATACAGATAGTCTATTTCATTAAAATTTTGTTTCATTTTTCTAAATACAATTACCAAGCACAATGTCCACCATCGACGCGCAAGTCAGCCCCAGTCATGAAACTGCTCCCATCGCCCAGCATGAAAAGAACGGGAGCACGGAATTCGTCCACTGTGCTCAGGCGATAAAGCATGTTGTCGCCAATCCACTGTGATTCCATTCCAGGCTTCTGCAAAGCCTCAGCCGTAGCAGCTGTGCGGATATATCCGGGAGAGAGCGAGTTGACACGAATGAGAGGAATCTCAAGCCTGGAGCCCCACTCGGCAGCTAGGGAGCGCGTGAGCTGGTGGACGGCGGCCTTGGATGTGTTGTAGCCAGCAGTATCGACACCCTAGTTGATTTTATTAGCTCACGATTTCAAGTCTCAGTCTGGTTCCAGAACATACCTTGTTCACACCGTATCCGCTCATGCTCGCAACCAAAACCATGCTTCCAGTGTTGTTCGTCCTTATCAACTCCCGAGCCGTGGCCTGCGCAATAAGGAATGTACCAGTCACGTTGATATCCAAGACCTTTCTGAAAGAAGATGCTGGGAAGTCGGTCGCAGGACCATTTCGCGAAAGCCCTGCACAGGTAACAAGACCCTTAACCGGATATCGCAGCGTGGGGATGAACTTGGCAAAGGTTTCGGAAACCGCATTCTCGTCGGTCACGTCGAGTTGGTAGTATGAGAGTCGGCGGTCGTACTTAGCTGCGGCACTTTCGACTTCGCCTGTTGACAGTTTTAGAGGTGTGATTAAGAGCGACACGGGTGAGGGTGTAAGACCTACCCCAGTTGGCCGCAATCGGCGTAGGGAGAAGATCCAGACAAACGACATCGGCGCCGCTCTCGAATATCGCGATGGCGAGTGTAGTTCCCAGGAACCCAGTTGCGCCAGTAACTGCAAATTTGCGATCAACGTTGGTTCGTAGCGACGTCAAATTTCATTGAAAACCCACTTATGACGGTGCGGTTATCAAGACGGAACAACTCCGACACAGGTCGCGACGGGCCTCCCTGCGAAGGCTTTGGCTCGCGGTATTGATTGGCGTGTACGTTTCCCTCACTGGTCTGGGGCATTGTGATGGCTGTGTTTTGGCGGTTGTCGGATCAAATGAGCGACCGAGTCGTCGTCCAGAGTCTTCAGTTTTTATAATTGGAAAAGCGACTGAGGAGGGATCCCGTGATCCCAAAAATATACATCCCACCTTTCCCAACCCCGCACGACTTTGTCCCGCCAGGTCTTGCGGAATAGGCCGCCCGTTCATCGAGCTGGTCTGGTCTGGGGCGAGCATAGGTGGAGAACGTGGAGATCAAATCTCGTGTCGGCGGCCCTTTTTGCGTCGGGCCGTCAGCACGCCGAGAGTCACGTTTGGGCGACATGCAGAAGTCCGTCCGTTTGCGATGCCGGATTTGTTGTGTTGGAAGCTATCTAATGTGATCGTACGTAAAGGAAAAGGCATTTACATCTCAAGCCTCCAAACAGCTTGCTAGTGTGTTAGCTTGGTAAAAAAGCTATTTCAATTGGTTACTGCTCTTACAAGGGATGACTACTTTCGGTGTTCATTTTGGTGTTCATTTTGGAACCAGACATATAATTTCATAACCTTTTGACCTATTCTTTTATCTAGTTTATGTTTCCCAGATTTCCGACCTTCTTACACGTAAGCATTCACCCAAAAAAAATTTTTTTATACAGTATGTGTAAAGGCACGACGAATCGGCGATAGTAGGGTGATGCCCCGGTAGAAGGAGATAGTCGAGATCGCACGTTTCACAATACCGTCCGGCATTAATTCAAACATCTTCAAACATCTCAAAAAGCTCATCGCAAGGACCAGAAGTCCCGAACCGGTCAATGCCAAATTGCTGGTGGGAATAACGCTCCCAGCCCACGGTCGAAGCAGCCTCCACGGACAGAATAGGAATGTTGTCGGGCCGTGCATCCAGCCTGTAGGATCCCTCTTGCCAATCAAAACCTTCAAAGCAGAAGACCATGGCAAGAATATTTTGCTTCTGCAGAGCTGCGGCAGCTTCAAGACAGATGCTAACTTCCGAGCCTGTTGAAATACGAGTGATTTGAGCATCGGTCTGCTCAAGCACAACATATGCACCGCCCATTGCTCTATCAATTGGGGGACCCGGGAAGTTGCGGCATTTTTTGGCGTGTAATAGCAAGAATACTGGGCGTCTCCTTTGCCCTGAGAGCAGCCAGGTAAGCCGCACTCATCTCATTTCCATCGGCTGGACGCCAAGCCATGCAATTCGGACCATTGCATGGTCTCTCACTCCGTACTAGGGAAAGCAACCAGACAGGTTCCCGATCCCGCATTCAGGATGCTGAAAATAGACCTTGTCATTTCAGCGAAAGTTGTTGGGACTGATCAAATTGGCCGATCCGGATATCAGTTCCGGAAGAATTTTGTTTATTCTCTCTAGAACAGTGTCAGAAAGCTTGCGAGAGGCAACTGCAGCATCTCCTGTAGCATAAAACGGAAACTTTTCTTCCAGGTTATCAGGAAGCTTAGCTAGAATGACGGATCAACTCAGCATGTGTCACAGGATAGCCCTGGGCGTATTTTTCGAGCTACTTGTTCCATCTTGCTCTTTGCTTCTGCCCTCCTCTGTATGCTCTTCATATAAATCATAGATTTGCTGTGGCGCCACATAGCTCTGGGCAGGGTCAAAGCCAATTGCTTCTTGACTTGATCAACATCATCCTTTTTCAAGGGGTTGCCATGCACACCGCTGGTGCCTTGAATCATGGAGCCAAATCCAACGTTGTAGCAAGCTGATCATAGAAGGCTTGTCCGTGACATCCATACATCGCTGAATCACTATCTTTCACGACTTCAACGTGCCAATTGTAAGCCTCAAATCGCTTTTGGGCGTCTTCGTTGAAAGTGCATTTGATATCGCCATCTAAGCTTTTTTGCCAGTATGCTTGAAGTTGGCTGTGGAAATTTGTGCACTTACCGATAGAGATCTTGTTATCGTCGTAGGTACAAACCAGATTTTTAAGCTTCAATTGGCCGGCACGGGAAGCAGCTTCACTTGCCAAGCCTTCCATAGCACAACCGTCGCCGAAAAAGCAGAAAGTGTGATTACTGATCAGATCATAGTCCGGCTTGTTGAAAATGCTAGTCGTGTGTGCTTGGGCGATTGCCAGTCCCACCGCATTCGCAAAGCCTTGGCCCAAGGGACCAGTTGTCACCTCGATCCCTGGTGTTTCGTGGGATTTTAGGTGGCCGGGCGTGATGCTGTGCAGATTCTGGGATGTTTTATCAACTGAAGTCTCATTAAAACACTTCTCTCAGGATGGCACTTTGGAACTTCTGATGTCAGACCTGCTCAAAGTGCCGAAAAGATGCAGAAGTACATCTTGAAACATACATTGGTAAATGTTGCTAGTTTTCATGTCAATGGATTGACATTTTGGGGTATATGACGCTGAGAACTCACGATAGAACAAATATATGTCTCTGTTGATCCAGCTGGGATTTTGGGAATTGAATGACATAAACCAGTTGAAGAGGAAAGACATGAGCAGCGGGAGACATACCCATTGGAACTCCGGGGTGCCCTGAGTTTGCGGGGAAGGTTGCATCGACCTAGATATCGGAGAACAGGTTAGCTATTTGATCAAGCCGGAGACGTTGCTGTGTTGTATATTAGATATACGACTGACCGCTAGAGTGCGGATCGTGTTGATCGCCAAGCAGTCAGTCTCAGAGTATCCCATCTTCGAAGCAACGCAAATGGACAGAAAATAGATATTCAACCAGAATCGAAGCCAAAGAGGTTGTAGACGCAAAAAATGTCAGCATGGTTCTCGCAAGCACTAATTATATACTTCAGGTTTCGGCCAGTCCTATCGTTCACGGTGGGTCTCCCTAGGGTAGGTCCCATTCCATTTCCACATATCGTGACTAAAGTCATCTGGAATCCACTCTCTAGCCAAATTCAACGGAACCTTAAGTGATTTGGAAGACAAACCGTGTCTTCGAACCCGTAGTATCACTGCTAACGGACCAGATACGGTCCGCTCGGTCGGCATCGCAAGAAGGTCTCCATGCGGCGTCGTGCAGTGTTCTAGGCTGCGCTGTGTCGAGCCGATGGAATTCCCGGCAGCCAGAAGGACCCTCCGGCAGCTGGAGCTTGGGCCGATCGGCAGCGCGGCTTGCAGCCGGCAGGCCGCCTTCCGCCTCACATTTGCGAAGAAAGCAGTTGACTTGCCAATAACAACGCCTTGATCTTGTTTCAACAAACCTCTGAACATTGCAAGTGACCCAATGGATAGGGTTTCCAAGACTCAAACCCCACCATGGGCGTTGTATCTGGAGGGGCAGAAAACTGACCCCGTGTCGCTGTGCTCCGAGGATTAAGTGAATAGGTATAAAAGTGTCCAGTCGCAGGACCAAATGATAGCGCCGTATCTCCCTTTTGCAGATTTTTGATTCATCGAATCTTCAAAATATCCACATACACCATGACCGTCTCTACCGCGAGACTGCTTGAGGGAAAGCTGGCCATTGTGACCGTTGCCTCACGAGGCAAGAGCAAAGCATTCTTTAATCTGCCAACTCGTTCATCGTTAACTCCGGCGAGATAGACGTTGCGGTGTTCAAAGATCGCCGATAAGGGTGCAGTGGGACTCAAGTCATATCACCCGTTAAAATTATTTATACGCACCAAAGGCGGAAAGAACTTGTGACAGAATCAACTTGACGAAGTGGATGCCTTTCGAATCTTGGTCTCACAGTCGATGCATGCCACAGATTTGTCTTTATCCTATGGAGGTATCGAACAGAGCTATTCTTCTCTATCAAGTTTGACTGCCATCAACCTGGATGAGAATCTTAACTCCTTCACCCTTGCGGGCTGCCTCCCAAGCATCAGGTGCCCGATGAAATGGGAATATCTTGCTAATGAAACTTTTCAAGGGGATTCTGCCTCGACTGACAAGGTTCGAGGCGAGCTCAAAATCACCAGGGCCATAGCGGAAACACCCCTTTACAGTGATCTCTTTCTCGCTCATGACGACCAACGGAAAATCGACCATCTTCTTTCCCAGTCCCACTTGGACATATGAACCACCTCTCTTGATCGCCTCAACACCCATTTGCACGCAAGATTCCACCCCCGTCGCCTCGACAATAACATCAGCTCCCTCTTGAAGGTGCTTCTCAGCGGCCAAGGCAGCGGCATTTTCTTCTACCGACTTGGTCACGTCAAACTTGTACGTGGAGACTCCTAGCTCCTTTTGGGCAAACAAAAGTCGTTCCTTATTGATATCGACCACGAATATCCGACCAGCTCCAAATTCTCGCGCCACTGCACAAGACAGCAGTCCTACTGGACCTGATCCGAGAACCAAGGCATCTTGTCCTGGCTTCAGCTTTGCGAGCCGAAGACCGTGCACCGCAACAGCAAGTGGTTCGAAGATCACGCCTTCGTCGAGGCCCATGTCGTCCGGAAGCTTATAGCAAAGATCACCTGGAAGGCGAAAGAATGTCGCCAGCGTACCATGCACAACGGCTCCAGGTCCGGGACTTGCCGCGAAAGTCATATCTGGGCACAGGTTATACTTCCCTGCCAGGCAAAATGAGCAGTGTCGGCAGGGAAACCCAGGCTCGATGGCGACACGATCGCCGACTTTAACCTTTGTTACGGCAGATCCAACAACTTCAACCACACCAGAGGCTTCATGGCCCAGTGTCACTGGGCATCCGGGTCGCACCATCTCGTTGATTCCTCCGTGTGTCCAGAAATGAACCTAGTTAGTGTCAGTGAGATGGCTCGCGAAGATCTTCAGAACAACTTACATCACTGCCACACACACCGGTATATGCGATGCGAATCAGAACATCTCGAGGATTGTCTTCGATGGAAGGTACGGGAATCTCCTCAAATCGAGCATCTCCAGCTCCGTAAAGGAGACAGGCATGGTTTTTCTCCATCGACATGTTTTGTCCAGACAGAAATGGGCTCGATAATATCGAATATCCGTGATCAGTTATTCTCGCTGGGAGAGCTCTGCTTTTATGACATCTGACATTCTCAGGCTCGGCATTCCCTCCATGGCTCAACACGGACCACCACACTGCATCTCCAATCGGGCTGATTGCGGCGACGGCGCCGACACGGCCCGCACGAGTCTTGTGGCCTGCGTGGGAAGAACGCCGATCCTCCGCGTACCAGCTCCGTGGGGAAATCTTGCTTTCATCCCAATACCCTCAGGCGGCATGCTATATAAGGCAGGACATTCCCTTCCGATGGCATTCTTGTCACAGTACATGCTTTCATCTTTCGCGACCAATCCTCGAGATTGAAGTGTTTTTTTACTCACCACTTTTATCCGTCATGTCCAACATGAACGCGCCGGATCTCGGCAAACGAACGTGGTACCGTACGACTTTTTTCAATGTCTCGGTTGTCGCAGTATGCGCCTTCATCGCTCCAGGCCTATGGGCCGCGATGAACGGGCTGGGCGGCGCAGGTTCGGCAGATCCGTACTATGTGAATGCCGCCAACGCCGTGATCTTCTGTCTACAGTTCCTCGTCTGCATTTTCGGCAGTTCCCTCATTGCGAAAGTCGGTTTGAAGTGGGCTTTTGCATTTGGCATGATCGGATTCCCTATTTACGCTTCCAGCGTCTACTGCAATATCAAACTCGGCAATAGCTGGTACATCATGCTCGCATGTGTGATTGATGGAGTCTCTTCGGGGATGTTTTGGTTGACGGAGGGAGCGATTGTGCTGGCGTATCCGGAGAAACACCGACGAGGAAAATACCTGGCTTATTGGCTGGCTAGTCGCATCGTCGGTCAGATGATTGGAGGAGCTGTTACTCTCGGAGTAAACGCAGACAATAAAGAGAAGGGGCATATCAGTGTGCAGACATACTTGGTCTTCATTTCGATCCAAGCTATTGGGCCATTTATTGCTGCGATGCTTTCTTCGCCGGAGAAAGTCCAGAGGTCGGACCGGTCAAAGGTGGTAGTCAATCTACCTCAAAGTCTCACAACTGAACTCCGGGCTATGTGGAAGCTACTCGGACGCAAAGAGATTCTCCTTCTCCTACCCATGATCTTCCAGAGTGTCTTCTCCGAGGCGTTCTTCTCTACCTACAACGCAACTTATTTCACAGTGCGATCGCGCGCCTTATCTTCTCTGGTTGCGAGCACTTGCGTGATCATCGCCAACTTTCTGCTGGGTTTCTTCCTTGATTGGCGTAAGCTGACCCTCAACACCCGCGCCGTAGCTGCTTTTGTCATCATCTACGCATTTGAACTATCGCTCTACATCTATGCGATGATCATCAACAAAGAATATGAGCGTGAAGCTACACCTCGAGTTCTTGACTGGACCGACGACGGTTTTGGACGCGGTGTCTGCGTGTATATTCTCATGCTCGTTGGATTCAACCTCATGTACGACTATCTCTACTGGCTCATCGGTACGATCAATCGTGATGGCGGTGATATTGTTCGACTGAGCGCCGTTGTTCGGGGTGTCGAGAGTGCTGGTCAGGCCATCTCCTACGGCATCAATTCAATCGATACGTTCAAACTCTCAGGTGCTGTTGCTGTCAATCTCTCGTTCTTCGCGGTCTGTATTGTTCCATCTGCCTTTGTCATTTTCCGAATTGGCATCATTGATGGTGTCAAAGTACACAACATCCAGCAGGACGAGGCGTTGCAGGATCCTATGGCTAGGAACGAAACTGGGGCAGGTTCCCCTGACATTGTGGATGCGCCCGGTGTCAAGGTCGATGACGAATCATGAATCTATCTAAGTACCTGAGAAGAATACAAGGCTTAGCCCTTCGGTTCATTTCTACTGCAACCACATTTGCCTCTACAGCATTTCAGGTCTCAATAGAAACAGTTTCCAGATGCATTCGTTTCATCATTAGTTATGTACATGAAAATCGTTCAAGCGCTGTTATAATGCTGCCCCAGTCCGACACTGTAGAGGTGTCGTAGTAGCCGACTATGAAGCTTTAGAGCATGCTTCTGGTCCCCATTTATCATTGCCTTTTCGACGTCCGTCGAGCCAATATCCTTAGCAGGACTTTCTTGCATAGGCGGCTTCAACTCAATTCGACTATCAGGAAGTCAGTAGAGGTTTTTCAGCATACAGAAAATTTCAACATACCATACTGGACAGCTCCAGCTCCGGAAAAGCCAATCTTGGATACAGGCCATATGATATTGGTGGTCGCAGGGCAAGACACGCAATATTTGATTCTTGGCGAAGTCCTCTGTGCAGATGGAGCAAGTAGTATTTCGCACTTTCTTCATTTTCTCAACCGCAAAATCATCGGAGTCGACGATGCTTGATGATCGCGAGTTGGGATAAGATTCTTCGCCGTCATATTGAACAACAGGGATGGTCTTCAAAATTGATCTGGTTTGATGTCGAGATTTGTTTGGATACCTCTTATAGTGGCGTGTACGAAGTATGAGTATTGCAACTCCCAGGATAATTGCAATGCCGCCAATCGCTGAAACGACGTAGAGTGTGATCTTTTCAGGTTGGGTGAGGCCAGCGCCTGATGTCGCTGAAACTGCTCTCGCAATAATATCAGACTCAGACACTGGGAGAGCGTCTGCTTGTGTCAAGTGCATGGTAAGTGACAGTATGCAGAAGGCGAGTCTAGAAACGCGTGGTTGAGAAGTCACCGTTGAGATGTTGGTGCGGACAGAGCAAGACGGAATGAATGTTGCACCTCGTTGGCGAATTTCGGTAACAACAAAATGAATTATCTCTCATTCTTTTGACACCGTGTATATAAGTCGTTCATGTGCATTGTCATTGTCGAAGAGGCAACCAAAAGGCGACATCAAATTTTCTCGCTCCTTTTAATTCCCACTGCGGGCGAGTTCGCCCGCTCACCCGCGCGCCAGCCCAAAAAACTCACCCGCACCAAAACATGGAAACCCCGCAGAACAAGCTGATTGTGAGTCAATTAAGTCGATCGGAGGTCTGATCCAACTGATATTATCCAATTCCACCTGATCTTTATTACGCCAGAAATCTTAAATGGCATGCAGACGCGAACATGGCATACTCGGATTCTCGGGCGGCGAAAACCCGGGAGCCGAAGAGCTGACACGGAGATCCACATTCATATAGCGTTTTTATGGGCTTATTCTGACTAACTAGATCATATCATTGATACGCATGGTAAAAATGCTCGTTCATTGTTGCTTGAAGGCGACGGCATCTGTGACTAACCTATGCAAGCCAGTGAGGGGACCTTCGAGGAGGCATTGTTGTTTCCCAAGCGCTCATGACTTTCACTAGCAGGGCGTCCTGTCCTCTCCCTGCCACGGCTGACATCCCAAATGGCCGATTATTGTAGTCCAAGTATCCAAGAGGCATTCCACAGACAGGGTATCCTGATGGTGCAGGTTAGCGAGTGACTCGACAGTAATACAAGATAAAACCTACCCCCAGCTGCAGCTAAAGATCTTAAGTTGCTGTCTGTCGGACCGATGATAACATCAACTCCGTGCTCTTGAAGCACTTTTTCAATTCCCCGATCCCTTGCGACCTCTCTGAGATGGGCCAGATGCCGCTCGTACTCTGCGGGAGAGGTGGTTTGGTCCTCGGCCTTGGTAAAGAAGTCTTGTCGTGGGTGGGCTAAATAAACGTAAATAAGACGGTCCACTTCTGAGGATATAATATCGTTGGCAAGCGTGTGTGTTGTACGTACTTGGAGGGAGTTCAATGTCGGCATGTTTGTTGTTGTACTCGATCACGTCCGCGAGCGATCTGACTTCGCTCTCTTCAAGGTCTTGCAGGTACTCCCCGAGGCTTCGCTTCATATCCACCACTAAAGCAACGGATTAGAACATTACTTTGTCGAATCTGTATTAATTCTTTACTCACGCCAAATCAACAATTCGCTGTTTTGATCGTCGAGCACGAACTCTTTGGTCGAGATTAAATCAACATTATCCACAAACTTCTTCGATTTTTGTTTGATAATATCGTAGGCTAGACGGGCATCCCGACTCTGTACTGGTATTAATTATGAAAACAATCAATAGTAATCGCGGAAGACGCTTACCATCTGTGCCTCCGTTTCCTCAGCCGGCTTGTTTTGAATGCTGTCAGATTTCCATACAGAAGGGTCAAGAACTGCAACAGAAATGTCTGACCACGATCCCGTCAAGCTTTTCGTAAATGACTCTTCAGGATTTTTCGAGGCTAGGATATCTAAAATATCAACCAGATCACCAACGGACTTCGTCATCGGTCCAGCTGAGTCAAATAGGTTGGATATAGGGATGATGCCCTCTTGAGAAACAAGTCCAATTGTCGGCTTGATAGTATACAACGCTGCTCGGCCAGAGGGGCATACGAGCGATCCATCCGTTTCTGTGCCGATTGAAAACGGTGCGTATCCGGCAGCCACGGATACGGCTGATCCTCCGGAAGATCCTGAGGGGTTCTTTAATGTTGATCAGCAATCAATCAGGGCCCTGAGTGCTTATTTACTAAGCATACCGAGTGACCTTGGCTTGGGTCTTCAGGGTCAAGCCCAGTTGGGACATAGGCGGGCTGCGTCTGTCCCCCGACGGCGGACCATCCACTTGGCATATCGCTGCCTCTGCTTTCTTGTCAGCAAGGGAGCATAGTGGCGAGAACAAAGTGTCGATCTTACCGAGCATTTGCAAATTCCTGTGCGATGGTTAGAACAAACCCGACTTTCACGAGGGCCGAGGGCTTTCAAAATAGACTCACGCTGAGATTCGCCTTTCCAATGATGATGAGACCCGCATCCACAAGCTAGAAATTGCTATCAGCGCCATTACTCTTTAACCCGAGATATTGTGGACACTCCCGTACTTGGTCGATGATCTTGGCATTTCTCCGAGGCTTGGAGCTTAGAAGCGAGAAGCTTCCGGCACTCGTCGGAAGGCCGAAACTCGGATGTGTTGCGATGTTGTCCTGAAGGAGACATCAGTGAGGTGGAGGTGGTCTCGTTACGGTCGCAAGTGGGCCCTCACCTTGATCGTGATGGGGATGCCGTGGAGGGGACTCCGAATCTTGCCCGATGCTCGCTCCTCGTCAAGCGATTTGGCTGTCTTCTCGAGGATCTCCGTAGAGGTTGTTTGGATCATAGCGTGGAGGTTTCCGTCGAAACGCTCGATCTGGGCGACGTAGCGTCTCACCAGGTCGAGACTGGTCACTTTTCCATTCTCCAGCAGGGTTTGAAGGGCTCTGGCGTCGATGCTCAGGACATCGATTTCTTCTGCTCCCGTCATAGTGTTCTTGGCCTTCGGTGTTCTCCTGCTGGGTCAACCTGTGGGGTGCGATAATCTTTTCGTTGACTGGAGAAGCGGGAGGCTGGCATAACGTCTGGACGGAGGTATTGCTTCCCTTTAAATGTTGATCGAAGGGCTGGTGGAGTCGGTTTGGGGTAGGTGGAACAATATGGAGGGCAGGTGGGGAGTGAAGGAGCCCCGCGGCCAAACATCGCGAGGCGGGCTTGGACCTAGCTTGATAAATGCAACCTTCCAGCGAAACAAACCCACCTGCGTAATCTGCGCAATCGCACGCTTCTCTTCTCTAACCTCGTCACCATGCTAATGGTGCCTTACTCCCCGGCTCGATATTATGTTCTCAAACAATTATGCGAATGGTGCTCAGCTATTACCCTTCGTTTGACACGCACTACCAGTATGCGGGGAGTCGTCATCCCACTTGGTGCTAGAGTTCCGATTTTCCTCATCCGGGAGGCATTTCCCAAACGAGATAATATATATACAATGACTAAGGGGAAAGCCGGGGTTGACCCAGCGATGGATGCGATTTAAGCTTCAAGTGTCAAACTCAACCCCGTATCTGGCACGAGCCAACTGACCTCAGTGTTGATGTCATCGCACGACCCCGACTTTTAATTACGAGCATCTTCGCATTCAAATTCATATATTCAAGGGACGGTATTTAGACCGTTCAAGACTTACAACAATATTTATCATGATCGGCCGGCAGTGCGTCGTGCGCTTTTTGCAAGGGGTGTGTGCTTCCGTGTCTGCCTCTGCCGTCTGCCCACAGCGACGACTCAAAAGACTGATTTCTTCACTAGCAACGCGGCCCGTTTCGACAGCAGCTACGAAGACTGAGTCTTCTGGAATACCGCTCGCATCAGCTCCTGAAAGATGTATGAGTGCCCCACACAATTCATGATAGTGGTGGTATTCTCATCGTGAACAGTTTCAGATCCCGGTACCCCAGGGATCGGTGGTGACTAGCCCTGAAGAGGCCAGAGATGTGGTATCCAGTATCAGTCAGTCAATATCGACCATCCTGCACAGCACGTGGCGCTGGTCTAGGCTGGTAATGGCTTACACTTCTTCGCAACCCGAATAGATGCCCCGTCGATGGTAAAGGCGCAAGTTCTTGCCGGAGGTCGCGGCAAGGGCAAATTCACTAGCGACGGCAATAGTGGAGTGCGCATTGTATCCTCGTGAGTTCCGCTCAAATAGCAATGGTCTTGATCTAACGTTCCCCAGGCCTACCCAAGCATTTGAAAGCGCCTCCAATATGCTCGGCCATAACCTGATAACGAATCAAACACCGCCCGAGGGCCTCGTCGTGAACAAGCTATACATCTACAAAGCCATCGATATCGCTGATGAGTTCTACGTGGCCATCACCTTTGACCGAGACCGGTATATGCCTGTGCTCCTCATATCCGATGACGGAGGAGTCAACATCGAATCGAACGCGAGTAGATTACAGCGTTTTTGGTTCCCCTTGCCTCACGGAATCGGCCCAGAGATAACTGCCTACATTCAAGCCCAGTTCGGCTTTTCAGACCCAGAAATGGCGCCAATCAACCACATCTTACACCAGATGGTGAAGCTATTCCAGGCAAAAGACGCGACTCTCTTAGAACTGAATCCGCTTGTGCGCACCCCTGACGATGAGTTCTTCTGTCTCGATGCCAAGTTTAATTTCGACAATTCTGCCAAGTTCCGACAGCAGAAGCTCTTTGCTATGGAGGAGCGGTTACCGGAAGAGGAGGATGAGTATGAAGCCTCCCAGTTAGGTCTTTCTTATGTCCGTCTTGACGGAAATATTGGGAATATTGTGAATGGAGCTGGTCTTGCTATGGCGACTAACGATCTGGTTACTTTATTTGGTGGAAAGTGTGCTAATTTCTTGGATGTTGGTGGTGGAGCAACCAAAGAGACACTGTCGAAGGCTTTCGAGATTCTCAACAAGGATACCCGGATTAAGGGGGTCCTCATCAACATCTATGGCGGTGCGTTATCTGAAACAGATACTGTGGGATCTCGGACTAACTTGTTAACAGGAATTGTTCGCTGCGATATGATTGCCGAATCTATCATCGCTGCCGCCGCCTCCATGGGAGGCTTTAAGGTTCCAGTGGTGGTTCGTCTGCAAGGTACAAATAGCGATAAAGGTTTAAAATTGGTAAAGTCTCCATGTCTCTACCCCAAGATACTTTAAGCGCTTCTACTAAGCTACTGGTGCCATAGATTGAAGAGTCTGGCTTGGAAAATTTGAATGTCGAACCCGACTTCGAGCTAGCTGCTGAAAGAATCGTCAATCTCACAGGTGATTCGTCGTGATTATTCGAATACAAATTCTCCTTATCACACTCCTTTCCACTTCAGTGATAACTATGCACAATGATGTCATCATCTACACGAAGCCTTTGTTCTATGCCACTGTCAACTGTAAAGGCCAAGACAACTGGAAGAATCTCGGCTCGCAAGGCTTTCGGAGTCGCCGTAGATTGAATGCCTCATTTGATTAGAAATCAACGCCAGAATATATTAATCCAAGCTGCAGCTGTGTATCTATTGGACGCAATGTGAGTGCCAATAGTGCCAAGGGGTGTTCAGGTGGGTCAGGCAATAAGCTTAGTAGATCTTCTGAGCACGCACCATATCCCGGCGGCAATTTCAGCTTTCATCTCTCCACCCCCTTCTCGTTTCACCTCAAGCCCTCCTTTTTCCAAGATCATCCCGGTTCAAAATGCCCCGGAACGAAAGCAGCATCGAAATCGCAGCCCCGCCGTCCAAGGTGCGGGAGGTGGTTCGTGATTTCTCAGCGTACGGATAAGAATCTAAACAAGGGGAGCTAACAACGTGATCTCCAGATTCTCAACTTCCCTGCCCTTTCCGAGTGGCACAAGGACCATATCCGACGCATTGCCGTGCAGGATAAATCCAAGAACCCAGAATCATTGGTACCCGGCGACAAGCTCGACGTCGACATCGAGGGAACGAAATTCGTGGCAGAGGTGAAGGTGAGTTTACTTGAATCGCAGGAAACATTCTCGGCCCTGCCCCCAAGAATCCAGCTAAACACCCATACCCAGGAAAATTCCGAGAACCTATTCGCCTGGCAAGGGCCCCCCGTCTTCACCGTCGCTGGTTTTCGCCAATTCAAAATGGAGCCCACCAAGGACGGCACGGCGACCATCTTCACCCAGTCGGAGGATCTCGAGGGCTTACTGGCGTGGCTCATGAGCCCATCGCTATTGGGCAAGAAGATGAAGGCTCACTTCGACATGTTTAACAACGATCTCAAGACTCGGGCCGAGTCGACTTGAGGGCGTAAGCTAGCTGCAGCGCCTTTGTCGATCGCGATCAAAGGGGGGTCCTGCATGCCTGTCGGCATAAATGCCACTCTTCGTCTTGTGCACTGTCCACGCACCTCCGCGGTCGCGATTCTAGTTTGCGACCGATGTTTTTGTTTTAAGATATCCCATGATGTACGTGATTTGAGAGTAAATTTGCCATGGGAATTTTATGTGTATACAAGTCATCCCAGAGTGCTTACGCTCAGAGGTGTTCATCCACGTCCAGTCGGGTTGCAAGGGATACAGTCCCAACATTTTTCTACTTTCGGCGCCCAAACATGGCGTGAGCCCAGCCGCTGCTCGGCCAATGGATGGACCAGTGCCGAGGGGAATACTGGTAGGGCTGTAGGCAGAGGGCAGGGGGAGGAGATGATGCTCAAGAAAAGACTTGTTAAGAAAAAGAGACAGGTCTGGGCTGTATTCATACTGCGACAAAAAGAAATTCATGAATTCAAAAAGGTTGTGGATGGCGTTTGTTGGGACGGAAGTGAAAAAAAAATAAAATAAAAATAAAAAAAGTAACCTGGAGTGGTGGTGGTGATGGAGTGCGAGTGGCTCCAAAAAAAAAAGAATTGTAGTTGTCACACCAAACAGCCAGCGTCCTGGTAACAGGCCGGTGTATTCTGGCGACGCCATCCCAGGGCGGAAATGTCTCTGCAGAATTTCTTCCCTCAAGGGTCATTTCCAGGACTTAATGCCTAATAGCGTCGGGGATTACTCGCCCGAGTATTAACGACATCCCCAGGATTCGTACCAGGCACCTTTGACCTGCTGGCATTGCTGCCGAAGCTAGGTTGCCGACTTGGCGGTGAGCCTTCCACTAGGTTATCCATGACAGATTATCGAAAACCTCCCCATTTTGTTTGATATCCTCAGCATTCTCAGTCTACATTCGACCACACAACACCGTTTTACACTTTCCATCTTTTGAATTGCTGCAGTTTCATCTGTGTTCTTGTTTTGATCTGAATTTCTCTATATCTGTTGGGCGGAAAACTAGAATACAAGCAAGCGTCCCAACACACCGCCTATGCCGGTCGCACCTGGACAGGCATGTGAGGTGATATATATCGAGTATGGATCTCTGCGATCAACTCACACTAGCTGGAGGTTTCTTTACTACATGTATATACCACTGCAATAACACCCGTGAGGTTTTCAAAAACTTGAAGGAATATCAAACGTCTTCGATTTACTCCGAAAGACGATTCGGGAACATAATATCCGCCATTTTCACCCGCGGCATTCCCTGTGCCATACTGAATCCATTCGTCACCGCGAGACTCATTGGCGCGCGACCGAGCAACATGTTCGTCGTGACCAGTGAACATGAATTGCTTCGATACAACCCCCACTCCTGGCTCCTCGAAATGGTCACAGGTCGAATTCGGCGCCTCTGTCCGGATGGACAATGGTACGGAGGGTCCACTCTCTATGTTTTTCTTGCTGCAGGTACATTTGTTCGTTTCCTCCATCTCGTACCGTATGACCTTTGGCTGCAGGAACAGACTATCTACTGGAAAGAAATAGCGGAGCTTCAGCGAGACGAGGACCGAATCCACGAACTCCTGAGGCAGGTTGTCTACCTGTGCACGCTCCCTCCGCAGACCTGAATCATTCAGTCAGGTTAGAAGAAGATAAAGGATACCGCCGCTAGTCTGTATGACAAGGCGGGGCCGATTTGATACAGCAAGGGGGCTGATCTAGCAAGCGTTGACTTATGCGGGCGCTTATGAATGGAGTTAAGTGGAAGGTCGCTTGTGCTGAAACGAGTGCTCCTCCCAAAGCCATGTGTATTGATAACCTGCAGTATTTACCAATCAGAAAATTCTTCAAGACTTCCATCAAGATAAGCGTAGGGATTTCCTTGGTTCATTATTGTTCCAGAGGGGCTCTAGAAGTCCGCCGGCGCCAGGGTATAAGCCAGGGCTACCGTAAACATCCTGGTGAGGAGAGAGGATCGAGAGACGTGAATGGCTCTAAGCCCGGAATCGTAGCAACTATTGGCCGTGGTTTGACGGAGAAGTATGTCGCACAGTCCTCTGCTGGACACTGCCACACCGGATACCCCAGGTTTGCACTCGTCCTTGTCCCTGGCGGAGGTTTGGTGGATCCAGGAACCAGCGAACCACGCATCGAACGAGTCCAGTTGGGCATGACCTCCTCAGCCCTAAGCGTGTCTCGGATTGGCCCGCTGCCCTGGTTTCTTGTCGGCGGCCATGGATGCGCCAGTGGGATCGATCGCGGACGTGACGTAGTTGGCAGACTGGGCGTCCAGTCGAAGTGGATGTGGTGCGAGTGGATCAGCGCACCTCTGAGGATTCAAATGCGCCGATCGGTGGCACCCTCCCTCGCCATCCGCTCCCTCGACTTCTTCTCCCCGTCACCACTCTCTGGAGGTGTTCACACCATGCCACCCTTCCGCAATCTGCTCAATCGAAAGAACCAGCCTAATGGGGCCGACGCCGGGGGTTTCGACGAGAATCACCTCTCACCCCATCCGCGCCCGGGTCCCATCCCGTCGCGCCGGAGTTGCGACGGCGAGCCTAATGAGTATAAACTGAGCGGTAAGAAAGAACCTCAAAGCCTCTTGCAGACCTACTGAGCCCTCCAGATCTACAATCGACGATCAAGTATACTGACTTGCTTACCAGTGGTCAACGATAGCGGCGTTTATCTCCCGGTACGGCCATACTTCACATCCCCGCGATCGCATCGCAGAACGCGAGTCATGTTCCTTGACAAAGCTCCCGCTAAACGGTGAACAGCCTTCCCCGCCAGAGAAGCAAAGCTTCTGGCACAGATATCCCGGATCCTCGCGATCCTCGAATAACCACCGCGACCTGGTGGACGAAAACGAACCCTTCTCAATATCCCGCGAATCTTTCGACTCCTACCGCCGTTCATTCGTACGTCCATCTTCCCAGCAGAGGGCCAACCCGCCAATGTGAAGGGTACAATAGCATACTGATCTCTGATCTTATAACAGGACATCTCCGCCCGATCCCCAATCCACCACCCCGACGCCGCCCCATCCCGTACCTCCCTCGACTCCCGCTTCTGCCGCATCAACTCCCTCGCGAACCGCTCCACCAGCTTCGAGAAGCCGCCCTCGATGGAAGAAGAGACCTTTGAAGAAGTAGGCCTCAACGACGAAGTCAAGCCCAAGAAAAAGGGCCTCTTCGCCCGATTTGGCGATAACTCCGGCGACGCGCAACACTCCGGCTCCAAGTCTTCGACCTCCTTTGGGTTCCACATTCCCGGTAGGAAGCGCGGGCAAAGCGGGGGTGGATCGGAACTGGGCGCCATGAAGACAGGTCCGCCGACATCGACGGCGGAGAATGGCGAGTGAGATTCTGCATGACTGATGACATTTCTCTTATGTTATTGTACCATTGCTTGGTACGGGCCGAGAGGCTGATTTATGGCGTTATGGGTTGGTTTCTACTTGGGTTGATTCTACATATCGACCGGTGTGATATCATCATGGCACAACATTCGCTGGTGGATGGCCCTGGAATGGGCTTTCCAGGTATTGGTCTGTTTTCCTTCATTTGTACATTTTTCTGTTACATTTTACCATTGATCACATGGACTGCTCATAATCACGAAGCGAGCTCAGTTCCCTGTTGTGGATAGATGAGATTCATCTTTAATCTACGGTCCACGATTCTACTAGAATTAAGGTAATCTTGTTACCACCTTTCTTTATTACCGTAGAACACACTTTTGAACAATATTCCAAGTTGTTCTTTAGTCGGCACCGCAGCGGCCCATCCGATTTGATCGTCCGCTTATCAGTGCAAACTGTGCAAACACCGGCAAAAAAGTTTCCTCCGCCCGCGGCCAAAAAAAAATATCCACCAGCACTGACGGGCATCTTCAGGTCGGAACCCCACCAGTCGCAATTCTATTCTCAGTGCAGGGACGCCAGCTCGGTCGCTGCCACATTTACTCAACATGGCTGGAGTGAAACGCCGCGTCGAATCCGCCGAGAACGGCAATGGAAAGCGGAGCAAGAGCTCCGCCGCGAAAAAGTCCCAGCCTGCTGCGCTAGTGAAGAAGTCCTCTTCTAAGAAGGATGTGAAGCCCTCCAAGGGCGACAAGAAGAAGGCTCCGAAGAAGAAGATTCAGGAAGAGTCTGAGGACGATGACGAGGATGACTTCGATATCGATGATGTTTCGGATTCCGGAGACGATCTTGATGTGATAGATGAACCTCCCGAGGATGTCGAGATGGATGATGTCGAGGAGGACGATAGTGAGGAGGAAGAGAAGAGTGATGGGTCTGAGAAGAAATCCGCCAAGGAAGTCCAGGCGAAGAGTAAGTTGATACCCCTGCGTCTTTCACGTCAATTTCTCTCCAAGCGATTGGGACGATCCAAGCGAATCAAACGATTCAAGCGACCAACAAACACTATCTTTAGGTAATGCCTCGCGCGAGTCTCACGCCAAGCAAAAGGTCCTCCAGCAGGAGCGCAAGGCCGCCAAGCCGAATGCCGCCATGATCGAACGCTCAAAGAAGCTGTGGGAACAGCTGCGCCGCAAGTCCCACGTCCCGCTCGAGCAGCGAAAGAAGCTTATCAAGGAATTGTTCGAGATCATTATTGGCCGGGTTCGGGACTTCGTCTTCAAGCACGATTCCGTTCGAGTTATCCAAACCGCTCTGAAATACGGCAACCTTGAGCAGCGAAAGCAGATTGCACAGGAATTGAAGGGAAACTATCGCGAGCTGGCCCAGAGCCGTTACGGCAAGTTTTTGGTTGGAAAGTTGATTGTGCACGGTGACACTGAGACCCGCGACATGATCATCCCCGAGTTCTACGGGCACGTGAAGCGTTTGATTCGACACCCCGAGGGATCGTGGATCCTAGACGATATCTACCGTACAGTTGCGACAAAAGAGCAGAAGACCCGTCTTCTGCGCGAGTGGTATGGGCCCGAGTTTGTTCTCTTTCAAGATGAGAAGGAAGTTACTGCCGACCTTCCCACGATTCTGGCCGCCCATCCTGAGAAGCGATCGTCCATCATGCACTTCCTCCACGAGCTTATCAACCAGTTGGTTCAGAAGAAGAGCACTGGATTCACCATGCTTCACGATGCTATGTTGCAATATTTCCTCAGCACAAAACCCGGCAGTACCGAGGCGAACGAGTTCCTGGAGTTATTGAAGGGTGACGAGGAAGGCGATCTGGTCAAGAACTTGGCTTTCACACAGTCTGGCTCCCGCTTGATGTGCTTGGCCTTTGCCTACGCCAGCGCGAAGGACCGCAAGCTGTTGCTACGATTCTACAGGGATACCGTCAAGGTGATGGCTGGCGATCTGTACGGCCACATGGTGCTTCTCTCCGCCTACGAGGTGATTGATGACACCAAGCTGAGCAGCAAATCGATATTCTCCGAGCTGCTGAACCAGAACGATACTGAGGAGGCCCGTGACAACGAATTGCTTTACCAGGTGACCGATCTGACCGCTCGTATCCCCGTGCTTTATCCATTCACCGGCGACCGCGTCAAGTGGCTCCTCCCTCCACTGGACCGAGAAATTCTGGCCGAGGTCCGCGAGATTCGGAAAGAGACCTCGAAGAAGGACCCGGCCGTGCGTCAACAGGAACTGGCCAAGGCCGCCTCACCCACCCTCCTTGCATTCATCGCGGCCCGCGCCGAGGCTCTCCTGGAAAGCAGCTTCGGCTGCCAGCTCATCTGCGAGGTGCTGTTCTCTGCGGATGGTGACAAGACCGCCGCCCTGATGGCCGTGGCCCAGGCTGCAAAGACCGACTCTGAGTCCCGCGACTCGGCGGCATTGGGTCGCGCGCTTAAGTCCCTCGTGCAGGGTGGACCATTCAATCCCGCGAAGAGGACCGTGGAGAAAGTGCAGCCTCTGCTGAACTTCCACGGGTTGCTGTACGAGCAGATCCGCGACGACATTATGAAGTGGGCGACTGGCCCCAACGTATTCGTGATCGTGGCCTTGGCGGAGTCGGATGACTTTGAGCAGAAGAACGAGCTGCTGAAGACACTCAAGAAAAACAAAAAGGCGCTGGAGCAGGCCTCGGCGTCGGGCAAGGATGGTGACAAGCTGGGTCCGACGGCCAGCGGAGCCAAGCTGCTGCTGGAGAAGCTGTAAGGGCTGTGCAGTACAGCCTTGTATTTTTCATTTTCACATTCAGGTGTTATTTAATATGTACCTTAAGGTAAAGGGAATGAATCAAAAGCATGTTATTCGACTCAAACTCGAAATTGAGACTGGAGCCGAGCTCCACCCGGTGGAGTCTTGTACCGGCGGATCTCAGGGGTTCGTTCCATCCGATTGCTCGATCCAGCGACACTGGCTCCTTGCCTGCACCCCTTGAGGTGTGCAGCTGATGCAGTGAGTCGATGTGTGCAGTAGATGTATGCGTTGCCATGTAGTGTGTCTGCCGTGCGTAGTGTGCCGTGCCGCGTTCGAAGTTGAGAGGAAGATAGTCCAAACCGGTGGAGGCCGTCATTTAACCTGACGAGCTAAAAAAGTCTATGAGCTTCTCGCCAACCACTATTGATGCTTCTCTCTCACCATCTGCACCCCAGCATCGACTCTCCACGACCGCTGTCACAGCTGTCAAACAAGCAATAGTCCGTGAAACTGCCATGGTCATTGCGAATCGCACGTTTATCATTCGACAGTGTAACGCCTTAGTTGATAGCGACACCCTCACGCGCGCCCGATCAGGTAATGATCCCTCGACGCTAAACCCCATCCTCCGTTAGGGGCAGCTTTTTCAGGGACCGTTTGAATTGCAACGACTCGCTCTTCTCTCCTGCTCCTGTCACGCCTCACACCCGCGCCCCAGGGCCACCGTCCGCATGCCCTCCCTCACCCTGACTGACCCGGACATGATCCTGCCATTCGATGGCAGCGAGCGCGAATCCCAAACGCCCTCCCCGCCCTCGCAACTCGTCTATCTGACCAACCTGAACGCCCGCTACAACGCCGCCGAACCCCATGCCGGCTCGCTGTCCAGCAGCAGGCCCAAGAAAAATTTTTCCCGGCACTGGACCCACGACGACCTGAGCACGAGCGCGAGTCGCCGGCTGTCTGATATCGGAGAGGAATTGTCACCGGCGCGCTCGACCAGTTTCGAAGAACAGGAGGAAGAGGAGCACATGCAGGAGGAGCAGGTCCAATCTCATGGCCAGCATGCGGGATACTATGCTGGGCATGAGCAGGGACTCGCGAGCTCACCTCTTCTCCCGGATTCGACCGAGAAAGACAATGCCAGTAGCTCGAGTTCGACGGTGAGTGCGGGGAGCGCACGTGGTAAGGATGTCTCGTCGCAAAGTGCGCACGAGCAGGTCTCGAGCCAGCAGCAACGCCATGAATATGTGCAGCCCAGTGGGCTGTCGGGCAGTGGAGCCGCCAGTGCAAGCGCGAATGTCAATGGGCACACGATGCCCCCCGGCGCGCCTGATTCCAGTGTCATCGCGTCCGCCGCAAAGGGCAAAGGACCTGGCGAGGAGTTCTCGTCGGCGATTTTGAGTAGCGAAGCAGAGAGGATTTTGGATAACGCGAAGAAGCGATTGACTGTGCGTGAACTATACACCTACCCCCGCCACGGTATTCTGGAATGCTGACTTTAATTCACCGTATAGTTAATGGAAGGCAATCTGAACCGTGCCCGTTCATCGGTGCGTTTGACACCCTCGCCCTCGCCCTCGGCGCCAGGGACGACGTCGCCCATGGGAATGCCAGCCGGAGGATTGTACCGTTCGATCTCCAAGACCGATCGTCGCGGCTCAATGCTGCGTCGACAGTCGCACTTGCCGTCCAAGGATGTGTCGACCAACCGGCACTCGCGCGTGCACAGCGAGACCAATTTTCCGCCCGAGTCGAGCTTGTCGACTGACACGAAGCGATTGTCTCGCTCGGTCAGCGCAATGGGCTCAAGTAGCTCGACCTACCATAACGACGACCGTTCGTTTCACTACGAGCCGACGAGAGCGTATTTGACCCATCGCGCGTCTATCTCTTCCATGAAACCACCCTACATTGAGCAGGAAGCGCCATCGCAGGAGCAATCACCGCAGTCTCCGCAGTCTGGGCGATCCCCGGTGGCTACTCATTCGCCAGTGTCAATCTCTTATGATGGAAGTGGCTCCTTGGATTCGCCCCAGGGACTGGGTATCTCGTCTGAGGACGAGTCCAAATCCACCAATGGTGGAGACTTCAGCCCAGTCTATAGTTCATATGGTCCACCGAGCCGCGCTCAATCCCAGCTGCAGGTGCGGGATCTCCAGTACCAGATGAAGGGCTTGCATATCAAAATTTCTTCTCTCAAAGTCCGCACCCAGGAGGACAATCTCCGCCGGCGCAGTCTGCAGAGCCTCCGCACACCCAGCCCCCTGACAGCCGCGGATCCTTGGTTCCAGAACGCCCTCGAGCTCCGCGAAGGCCAAAGCAGCCGCGGATCTAATGCCAGACGGGACGGTAGTTCCGAGTACGCTCGGGAATCTCGTCCCCAGAGCCAGAACCCGGCCCCCAGCAAAGAAACGCCTCCGCAAGAGACTGACGAAAGCCCCGTGGAACAACAACCCCAGTCCAAGCGCTCCAGCTCAGACTGGCAGTCCCAACAGCCTGTTTACCACCATGAACGAGAACAATCGACTGCACAGAGTATGTACGAAGATGCCGAGGAGGGTGAATACGAGGGCGAGATTGATCGGGAAGCTCTGGATGAGATCCTGCGCGAGCCGCTGGATGAAGATCTGGAGAGCTCTGTACCTCATGAGGAACGCGAGGACGCTTTCGATTATGAGCACTTCATTCTTCATAGTGCACTGGGAAACTTCTCTCATCAGCTTCGTCGCCCGAGTAATGCCTCCCACGAATCGGCTGAGACGACTCGACCAATGCGGCCGGTCCGACATTCGCGCAATAACAGCGCAATGTCCGACTCCACCGTCGCTACCTTTGCTACTGCGACGGAAGGTGAACCCATACCGGAGGAGGGAGACGACATTGACGATATGCTATACTGGGATCGCCGGTTCAACCATGGTATGTAATCCGTTCTTAAATGACCAGAGAAACCGTCGAACTGTTGACCCTAACCACCTCCTAGAACTGCGCCATCGCCACGCCCACGAAGAAGACCCCATCATGGAAGAAACTGACCGCTCCGAAACCCCCCGCGGGCCCCGAGGAGACGACGACGGCGAAATCACCCCCGTCGGAAGCCAGTTTTACGACGCGAGCGGCCGATCCTCATCCGCCACAGCAGGCTCCGCAACCCCGACCTCTCTCGTCTCCTCGCTCGTCTCAACCGTACGAGCTGCCTCCGCCTCAAGCCCACACCAAAGCTCCACCCCTACTTCGGGCGGCATCAACGACGATGACACCCAGATGCTGGAACAACTGTTTCAGAGCCTGGGCAATGTCTGCATGGACCTCCAGGCTATCACCACCTCCCCCGATCCAGATATGAAGACAGCACGGGTGCTGCGACGACGATTGGATGCGGCGAGGAGAGTGCTGGATGGAGAACTTGATACTTGATGGCATTTGGACATTTTAGACTTGATCTGCGCAAGATGCATTATTTCCTTGGACCTGATTTGGTCACTCCTTCCTTTCTCTTTCTTTTCTATTATGATACCCAGTCTTCATTTTCTCTTCTTTCTTCTCTTATGCTCTCCTTTGATCGATATGATTTCTTTCTGTGCATGGTTGATCCATTGAATGTTGGCCGGGATGTCCACTGCCCCTTATCTACATATGAAATTGAGGATGTGAAGTTGATGAGCCACTGGAGCTGTAACGGCGCTTTCCACTTGTCGATTGGCCGACACTATCCGTAGGCATGAGGTCCACCTGTCTCAAGGCTGATGGAGATCTTCGGCTAATGTATGAATGTTCATTTCCAAGCTTTGAAACGCATACAAGGTGTGCATATAGAGCTCGCCCACCAGAGGCCTGCTGAATGACATTCGTAGGGCATGTCAGCATGATACTACGATGTGGCTGAGTGCTGAAGAAGATCGCCGGGCTCACCACATCCATGGATGTGATAGGACGTGCCTCAGGAAGAGACCCACCTTCACGATCTATAAAATGCCCCACCAAAATACTTCGAGTGAGAGAATCCTGATACTGTAGTGAATAGACTTGAACGTATAGCGAAATGCCACTAAAGAGACTGATTTAAACTGTTGGAAGATGGTCAAAGTAACTTGAGTCCAGCAAGTTTGCTGTGAGGCCACGCTGAAGCATTCCTGGATTACGGAGATCAATCGCTTTTGAAGAATGGAAAAAGGCAATGTAATACAGCTTGTTGTGGACTGGGGATCCTCACCATCCTCACTGGACTTATTCTACTCTGAGGAGTCGGAGACGGAGAGCGTATTGTGCTCCAGTATGGAAGCGTACCGGACGCCGCGCACCAAACACACAGCCTGCGACGCACTCACATGCCACTACCGCGTACGAGGGAAAGAAAAAGTGGCAAAAATTCCAAGTAGAAGTTCAAGAGTGTCTCCAGCTTCCAAGTAATGACCCACTTCAAGATCATCAGTCTACCCACGGACAGCGCTCGCGATTATCGAAGACCCAATCCTCCTTCCCTCGGTTACCACACACCCTCCCCCCCCCACCTAGCAACTGTCAACCGTAGAACTCCGTAGAATTATTTTAAAGGAAAGTTCCGTAAAAGTAGTGGCGTGACTCGCCTCGCAGGTCTCGCTTGGGCACGTGCTCGCACAATGGGCGTTTAAAAGGGAAGGAACTCCAAGGCAACCGTACCCCTCCTCCCGCCATCTCCTTCTCTCCTCTCCCACTCCCATCTTCCACTCTTCTCCCACTCTCATCCATCACTCTTCTCCCACTCTCATCCATCAACCCACCACAGGTAATCCTGTTCATCCATCAAGGCTTTGCCCACCATGCATTTGCTTGCTCATCGGCCCTGCATGCGGCCACTGAGGCTTCACTCGCTGTGCCTTCCCTCCCTGAGGCCTTGCTCACTTGGGCCTTCCTCCATCGAGGCTCGCTTCACTGAGCCTTCCCCCCATGAGCCTTCATCCACTGAAGCTTCCTCCATCGAGACCCGCATCACTCGAGGCTTCTTCTAGGGAGCTTTACTTAACTGAGCCTTTGCTCACTGGCCTCGCTCACTGAGCCTTTCTCACACGGGCTTCGCCCGCTGAGCCTTCCTCCAACGGAGCTCACTCACTTGAGCCTTGAGTATGCTCTGCCTGTGGTACTACCACAGTTTGCCAGGACAAACATTCTCTGCGTGCAGCAACTTCCAGAGCTCATCAAGGCTTTTGACTGTGTTTCCGCGTTTCTGTGGCACTCGCCCACATGGTCCACAACATCTGCCTCTCCGATATTGTCTCGCCCAGGGAGCATGGCTTCGTTTGTCGTACACGTCCCCGTTCAACACATGGGAACTCATCCACCATTTAGTACGTCTTCATTGATGCAATCTCGAAGACCCGCCTTGGGGTTCTACAAGAATAGAAGTCTGCCGGGGCTTTTTTGCAAGGGGCTACTTCTGCTTCGAGATCCACCGGTGACGACGTGAAAACGATGCGAGCACTCATGCAATGGAAACCACTCCATCTTGTGTTGAGCAGACCCTCATCCACTGTCGCACATGGCTTCATTGATGCGATCTCGAAGACCCTCCTTGGGGTTCTACAAGAATGGGAGTCTGCCGGGGCTTTTTGCAAGGGGCTACTTCTGCTTCGAGGTTACTACCAGTGACGACCTAAAAATGTTCGCGAAGCCTCATGGAATTGAGACCACTTCGCCTTCAGGCTCTTCACTTATCGCCGACCGTATGCCTCGTATGTCCATTCCGATATTCGCAAACCAGGACGAACTGAATACGAGGATTCATGCCATGAATGGGGCTCCATTAATCCATAACACTTTCCACCGTTTTCGCTTGTACGACAGAACCTTTTGTCTTCCACAAGATAAAGACAATTTCTCCATCGATGAAGATTACTCGGGTGTTCTTTGAGCTCCAACAACCATCTGACTCTATCCACCATTGAGTCCGTCCATCATCGGATTTTACCTCGTCCACATACTCTGTGTCCACCGCGGTTCATTCAATTCGTCTGCCAGGTATCGAAGACCCACCTGGGGTTCCATATTTGGAATGGGAGTCTGCCGGGGCTTTTTGCGAGGGGCTACTTCTGCTTCGAGATCTACAGGGGTGACATGAACAATAAGCGAGGATTCAGGACACCAATCCGTTGATGCACTGTCCCTCATTGCCATCTATTTCCTTCGTCTCTCGTCCGCTTACAGAACCGCGAGCAGATACGAACCCATGACATAAGGATTGTGCCACGAATATGGCTTAATTCATACAAGCTATTTCCACCACCACCACCATCATCATCTCTACGGACGATTTGCCCACAGCCGATACCGACAATTTGTTCGTCGCCAAGATTACTCCACTCTTCATTGGGCCTCCTCAACCATCGGACTCCATCTCGGAAATCACTTCCGTGCGCTATCCGTCCATCTACCACCGTCCATATCCTTCGTCTGCCGGATATCGAAGACCTGACTTGGGGTTCCAAATTTGGAATAGAAGTCTGCCGGGGCTTTTTGCAAGGGGCTACTTCTGCTTTGAGATCTGGCACAATTTCGAGGATGTGGACAGGACGTGAGAATCCACGCCATGAACACGGTTTCAATTATACATACCTTCGACACCTTCGATCATCGTCGTTCATACAGACAAATGGCTTATGGCCAAAAGATTTTCACTCGTTGCCGAGCTTTATCATTGAGCCCCTTCATTTACGACAAAAGAACACCAGATTGACATCAACCACCCGGATATGGTCAATTTTCAGAGCGTTTCTCGCCATCGGACTATGTCTATTTTCAAGCTCTGAGTCCACCACCACTTCATCCCTGATCAAATTCTGTTCACCACCGATCACCGTTCATCACGAACTTTCATTGTCCATACACTTTGTCTGCCGGATGTCGAAGACCCACTTGGGGTTCCAAATTTGGAATGGAAGTCTGCCGGGGCTTTTTGCAAGGGGCTACTTCTGCTTCGAGATCTGCCAGTGAGATAGAGTGTGGACATATCATGAGAAATCACGCCATGAACATGGTCTCGCTCATACATACCTTCACCCATCTTCGTTCATATGATCGACTGGCTTATGGCCAAAGACTATTCCACACACTGCTGAGCTTTATCTTTGAGCTCCGTCAACCACCACGAAAGAATCAATAACCAGACATCAACCGTCGGACATGATCAATTTTCGGACCCTGCCCATTATGGAGTAATTTTCATTTTCAGACTATGTCTGTTCTTAAGCTCCAGGCCCAACATCATTAAACTTCGTCCATGGTCAAATTCAAGCAGCCGCCAACTCGCTGTCTGCATCGGATGTTCGTCATCTGTACAATCTTCACCCACCACCGTCCATACACTTCGCCTCTCGGATGTCGAAGACCCGACTTGGGGTTCCAAATTTGGAATGGAAGTCTGCCGGGGCTCTTTGCAAGGGGCTACTTCTGCTTCGATTCGCCCGTGAGGTCCAAGTTGTGAATGGAGTATGAAAACCCAAGCCAAAATTATGGGGTTGCTCATACCTAATTCCCACCATCACCGTCCATACGGATGACTCTTTCATCGTCAAACATTACCACTTCATCAATTATCGAACTCAGTCAATTACTGAAACCTGTCCATCAGACTTTGTCTGCTATCGAGCACTATCATAGTGGAGCTCTGTTCACCAACTCATCGGCGCCGCCACCCACCACTGAACATTCTTCTTTCACATTCTGTCCATAACGATCCACACAACGCCTCCACAGATATCGAAGACCCAACTCGGGGTTCCAAATTTGGAATGGAAGTTTGCCGGGGCTTTTTGCAAGGGGCTACTTCTGCTTCGAGAATCGCCAGTGAGGCCCAAATTGTGGACGGCACATGAGACCCAAGCCAAAATCATGGTGTCGCTTCTACATATTTTCCACCGTCATCGTTCATACGGAAGACCTGTTCATCATCGGAAATTACCACCCATCAACCATCGGACAGTATCTACCAAAACCTGTCCATTAGGCTCTGATATCAAGCTTAATCATCGTCGAGCTCCGTCTACCACCAACTTCAATTATCGGACACGGTCAATTACCGAAATTTGTCGAACAGACTCCGTCATCGTCGAATTCTGTCCACTGCCAACTCATCGCCTACCATTAAACATTCTTCTTTCATACACACTCTGTCTATAACAGTCCACACAACTCGCCTCCACAGGTATCGAAGACTTGACTTGGGGTTCCAAATTGGAATGGAAGTTTGCCGGGGCTTTTTTGCAAGGGGCTACTTCTGCTTCGAAAACCGCCAGTGAGGTTGTGGACGGAACGCGGAGATACAGGCCATGCATTGATATGGTCTCGTTCATACGTACCTCCACCATCATTGTCCGTGCGGATGACTTGTTCATTTCACAAATCACACCTTTGAGTTCCATCCATCATTGAGCTCTCCCAATAATTGAGCATGACTATCAGGCTCTGTCCACTGCGAAGCCTTTTCCATCATCACACCTTTGTCTGTTTTCAATATCCACCACCGTCAAACTCACTTGTCGCCAAATTTTGACTACCACCAACTCATCGCCCACCGTTAAACATTCTTTTTCCCTACAATCTTTGTCGACAACTGTCCGCACACCTCGCCTCTCGGATACCGAAGACCCAACTTGGGGTTCCAAATTTGGAATGGAAATTTGCCGGGGCTTTTTGCAAGGGGCTATTTCTGCTTCGAAATCCGCAAGTCGGGCTGTGGACAGGACGTATACCTGGGCTTACTGCGACGCCGTTCAACCACGCAAACTTTCATCGCCAAGCCCTCGCGCTCTCATCCTTCATCAAAATTGCTATATTCACCAATGCTACCTCCTCATCGATCAATTCCACATCTACCTCCGACCAAACTGCCGCGCTGTCTTCTACCACCGAAGACCTCTCCATCAGGCCCTTGTCTACCTTCGGCCAGGCCATCGTGTCTCGATTCATTACTGATCAAGAACATTATTTACCACCATTCAAGCCATCGCGCGTTCTCCTTTCGTTGAAAAACATCTCGCGCATACAGCCTGTCTCCATTCTTAATAGAGCCTCTGCCCAATTCTTAACAGGCTTGCCTTCATGATCGAACAAGGCGTTATCTATTACCTTTCTTGCGCTCTATCCACCCTCGGGCGTCCACCACCATACATCCACCACCATCAAATGTTCACCACCGACCATCCATTGCCAAACATCCACCAAACCCAACAAAAGAACCTCATTACCAAACATCCACTATCAAAATTCTCTTCTTGCTGCTTTACTCATACTCCAATATGGCATTTTTGCCTGCAGTCCGAAGCCTTCGCTGCTCATCTTACCATCTGTCAAAATTAAAAACAAAAGAAAAAAAGAAAAACAAAGAAAAACAAAGAAAAACAAAGAAAAAAAAAGGAAAAAGGAAAAGGGAAAAGGGAAATAGAGGAAGACGAAGAAAAGGGGAGAAAACAACAAAAAAAAAAACAACACCACCACCACCACCACCATCACCACTATCCATTACCACTACCAGACTACATCTCGTCAGCCATGGGCACACAAAAGGTATTGTTGACTTGGCCCCCATCTGTCGGATTATTACTGACTCGGACCCAGCTCTTCTTCAAGTCTTTCAATCTTCCATACTCCCGTCCTCTTCAATGCGCCGTCTGCCTATATTCCCAGCACGGTCTTCCGACATGACCATCCATTTATCTACAACCGATCCTCGCATCACTTGTCCACGCCCCCAAACGGTTACAAAGAATTTCATCATTTGTCTTTGCTACGATCACCCTGGCCCTCAACAGCAGCTACGGAGACACCCATCGAATTAACTGATGAGGTCCGAAGTCGCAACATCAACCTACCATTGGAGTGTACATATCCTCTCCAGCAAGCTATTCAGCTGCAACCAGAACAGAATACGGCGTCTACGAACCAAATCGCTCGAGCCGCCCAGAACTCAGGCATCGTTGCAGGCCCTTTGAAATAGAATATGGCCTGCTCAGAATCAATACAAGGCGACATACGCAGCAAACCCTACCGCTACAATACAAAATCTATTCGACCCCATTAACCTCGGTGAAAGTTGGAAAGAAAATTTCTTTCAGTCCACTTAGTCGCTCGCTGGACTTGCCACGAGGAGACCTCCAGTGAGCGGAATGCTCCGCACAATAACTTGATGTACTCCGTCGCGATGAATGCTCCGTCACGTACCAATCTTTTCTTTCTTGGTTATACAACTGTTTCTCCGTGTATCTAACTTGCCAGTCGGATTCCAACTCGGGACAGACACGGCATATTTTCCTCCTCGCTGCTTGATTATACCAATACCGATTCTCTGGTCCACAATGTGTTCGCCAAGGGTCTTCAACGACGCCGGGAGTGAACCGACCCTGGATGTCAAGCTGGTCCACAGCTTCTGTCCCTACGACAACCTCTCAGACAGCCATCCACAGCCACGCAAGCAACCATTTCGCCACCGAAGTTGAGCACATCATCATTATCGGCACCGGAAGAGTTGGAAAGTTGTTTTACATGAAGACATGCCCTCCCTGAGGGGCAACCTCACTCATTCACTGTTTTGCAATGCAAATATCGCCAAGGGTGTCACTGGAAGCAATTTATGGGTTGATTATGTCAACGAAAGAGCTTGTGAATATTATGCGTCGCCTGACGCCGGCGCTCTAAAGACAGCTATCTTGCATGCGCAATTAGACGATCGTGTCACTTGAATTCTCAATTAATATTTTGATCTCTCAATTGTCCTTGTGGTCCCTTAGCAATTCGTAGCTACAAAGTAAATGACCCAGGTCATAGATTTTCCTTCTGATAAGGACCTTGATAGAACTTCTGTTTTGTCAAGACCCTCGATGATTCTGAGGACAACCGGTGAATTCCACGTGACCCCGATCCTTCTATATCTACACGTGACTAGTAATCCCTTTGTTTATCCACGTGACCATACTGTATTGCAGACCCAGAGGCCAGTCCGGAAACGAGGACACGGAGGGGAAGAAAGCCCATCCATAGTTTGTCATACGGATACCGTTATTCAAGTGTTCGATGATGCGACCATGTTTACTTGTAGTGTTGTTGGTGGAAGGTAACTAGATCACCCTGAAACCACAGAAGGGAAATTCGCAGGAACGCCATTTTGATCGTAGCTGCAGCACCCATGCCCTCTGATACATAATTTTGAGCCTGCCCTCCAATGATTCAGCTGCATGAACAAGCATCTGCAACCCCAGATCCACCAAGCAATCAGCACACAGAAACTTCCACATTCAGCTGATCCTCCGATCCCCACTTTGGACCAGCAGTCACCATCCACTCTTCAAGATCGACCTCAAACCTCGGGCTCTGCACTCAATCGTCTAATCCGACAATCATCCGATACAGCTGGAAGCCCATTCCAGCAACGGTCAGGGCATTCGGGATTGTGGTGTTGCGCAGGACTGCGACGGGTCCGCCGATTGCTCGAAATTGTTTTCTGCCCCGCGGCCCAGTTTAATCCCCACGAGACGCGATAAGCGTGTCGCGTCGCGAAATCGCATCGAGTCCGCCGTCGCAGTACGCATGCCCACGACCCCCGGCCATAGTATTCGAGTACAAGCTGACAATATACATGCAGATAATCTCGAGTGGGGATAATTCATCCCACAAACCACTGCTGCCACTGCCCTGCCAGGGCTGCGTCGCACTGTCGCCAACAACATCGTAGCAGCACCGATGGACACATCACAGGACTCGACCAGCCCTCTCCAACCCCAGCCACAGCCTCATTCCTCGCAGCAGAAGCATACAAAAACAGCGATGACCCGATCAACCCAACCAGTCCGGCGCCTCCTGATCTTCCAGGAAACGCGCAACCCACAAAACACCGCCGAAGTCGCCTACCTCCCCGTCAACAAACTGGGTCTGCCTATCTGCGGCAATGGCCCCGATCTCCCAAATATCCTGGAACTACCTCTGCGCGTTGTGAAGGCGTTCACGGAGATCTTCAATCAGCCAAAGTATAAGGGATGGTATGTATATTCTCCTTTCTTCTTTCATTGGTTATTCTCTGTCGCTAACCATGCCAATTATGTTAGGTCTGTCCTCTCTGCTGGTCCATACCACGATAAAGTCGAGGAAGGAAAATTCTACGCCGTTGTTCTCGAGCAGACGCAAGGCCATCAGGAGATGAGTTCTGGGACGTAGTGATTGACATGATTGCTTACTTTTCTTCGATTCCATTTCATTTTCTCCGTTTTCCCTAGCCCTTCAGGCTTGTACAGTGTATGTCTTTTTTATGTGGTAATGGGTGACACTTAGGTTGACTCTTGAAAGAATATGAGGTTAAATAAATACCCTGTCGATGTGGACAGAAAGACCCCACCGAGACCGGATTCATTTACAAGGCGCGCGACTCGCAACTGGCTTCATTCATCATCTATATTTTGTTTCTTTTCCGAAATAAACATCGGACATGGACAAGATGCCGACAGCTTTTTCACTCAGTCAATTTAGGTCTCGCCTTTCGCATACCGAACCTTCCACCAAAAGTCCAATTTGCGTTGCGACAGATCCTCAAATACTATCCACTCAGCCATCCGTCCGTGACTGAATCCCACCGGAGCACACTTTAATACCGAAGCCAAAAGAGCAGATCTTGAGGGTTGTCAAGGTCACTGGGTCCGGTGTTGGAATGTCGCTGGGTTTTGGGAAAAGCCTGGACCCTCATCCTGTTTTCGATAACCCGCTTCATAACCGTAGGGGTTATCGAGGTAATTAAGGTTATAGATTGCCCATTTGATATCCTTCAGATGCTCAATGATATCGAGGTTTAGGCGTCTAATGAAAGCAAGCTGCCCCGGTTCGGCTCTGGCGACAGCTTTTTGGTGTTGCTCGGAGATCCATGTCTCAAAGGATCGCACCCGCCAGTTTCTGGACACTTCACTGAAAATTGCCTGCAGTTTTTGTTCAGTGGCTGTGTAAATGTCAATAGTTTCAGTTGCTGGTGTCTCGCTCTGACGCAGTGTTTCATACCTCACGGTTGGCAGGGATGTTTAAGCCACTCCGACACACCGGTGGATTGGTTGGTTGTCTGCGGTCTCTGCCATTCTGATCGCCTGCTGAAGAGGGGCTGATGGTTCCAGTCGGCGGGACGTTTCCTGGTGGTGATTAGATCGGGTGGACAGCAGTTGGTAATAGTGGTTACGAACTGTTGACCTGTTGACATTCCAACTCTACGTACTCAGTATAAATACTCATGTCGCCTGTGTCGACAGTTTCAGCCTTATACTGAGACTGTGGGGTATTCTCAGGCATGGCGGGGCTTTTGGCTAAGTGATTATCATGGTGTTAGTGAGTCTGTGGCCGGAGAAGGGCGTGGTGGACTTTATGAAACCTTGCGGTAGATTTTATTGCAGTATGGTTTTAAAAGATGGATTAGGTGATAGTAGTTGTTGAGGAAGGGAGATTTTCAAATGATGAAAACCTAGCATATAAGCGTTTGCTGTAGAGTTGCATCTTCCAGGCTCGTTTGATAACTAAATAGTTGTTGCTCGGAGTGGGTTCCTGAGGATGACATCCTGGAGGCTGACTTCCATTCCTTCCCGACGTCCTCGTCCTAGACCGTGCAGCCCTTATACGTTCGTCTCTTCAGTGCCCGTTGACCTGCTTCCCTTCTGCTCAGTCCAAGCCAGCAGCCTGAGCATCGAGGCATTGGTCGGACTCTCTAGCGCCCGAGTGCAACCTACAGACTCTGAGTCGCTCTCGAGCAGTCTATATCCTCAAATGCAGACCGTCGGCGCGATAACCGGACAATACAGCCCGCGGCACCAAAAGCCCTCTCCTCTCGCCTCATGCTCTATTTATTCCAGACTATCTCAAGGAGACATACCGCTGTGAGATTAGAGTCACAAGGGAGTTTGAAGCAAAATGTTCCATCTCTCTATGTCCCTCTTCTCTTCGACAGTACTTTACGGTATGTAGCCTTCGCTTACCCACCCCTTGTCGTCACAAATCTGAATTAGCATATTTTCCACCTAGAAGAAATATGATGGATTCGATCAATATCTTCGCAAAAATGCGATCATAGAGTCATACCTTGTATGCTACCTCTCCGGTTTTCGCACTTGCGCATTCGGTTCGACGCCTGCCCTTGATAGTTTCCTTCACCAGGGCAAATACAAAACAGTTGTTTCGCCTTATGTCCACCATTGCAATGATGAGCAGATAATGACACTTGATATATTCCATTCTCTGGTGTTGCCTTCAACATCAATACGTTGCAATGAACTGTTGTCAACCTTCTCTATCAATGACGCTGTGGACATGACAGGATCATCAACGCACATTAATCATCCTGAGCTGGTAGCCACACCCATACTAGCTTGTCTCCTCATTACTGCTCTTCTGGCTGCACGCCATATCTCCTGCTCACTTCCTCCTCTACATGCGTCCACCTCTGGACCGGATCCTATCTATCCTGTTGTCCGTGAGACCTCGGAGTAATCAACATGTACTCCTCAAGTTGTATCACTCGCTCATTGCCCGAAATCGAGCACCTCCATCTCCCCACTTTCAACATCTCACTTTTATGACTCCCCGCCATCTCCAGCTACCCGACCTCAGCGGATAAAGGCCCATCTTTTCGTCATCAGCCTTCTCTTCGGCAACCACCCTCCACCTACCCCTCCGACCTACAGCCAGGATCATCTTCGGTGAACTACTCATTTCGGAACCAATGGAGATCCATGACAGAAAGAAAGAGGATTTTGGAACGTCATGGAACTTTAATTCAGGTCCACCTCTCTTCCACACTCGGAAGTGAAGATCTTTTGGCAAGATTCGAGCAAATGCGGAAGCCTCCGCCGACGCTATGAGCCATCGAGATTGAATGTTGCGTCTAGACGCATAACTCTCCAGGGTTGATACTAGTAAATAGAGGGAAGGACTCTGTCACCAACTCCACATGTGGACGGGGAGAGGCAGTGGTCAAGGACAAAGGCGACATACATTCATGCCGAAGCGCAGGCGTTCCACAGCTCGTTCTCAGCAAAAGGACACCCATCACTTTTCCCATTTCCGCGCGGATATCGCCGGGTTACGGACAAAAACGCCCCGTAAGTGGGCGGAGGAAACGCTTCTCGCTGTTCAGCTCGCAAATGTGTTAAAGGGGAATGTCATGGTTCGTCATGAGCGATGCATCTGCGGGGAAAGGGGCCTCAATTCAAAGCGACACACACGAAGAAATTGCGACCTTTCGTGGTCATATTCGGGAGCTTTCGCAGAAAGCTTTCGAGAAATGAAGATGGTAGAAAGCTGCCGACTGGCTGCCATAAACCAGTCTTTTCTGCGAGTCAATGACAGTCAAGCCCACAGGAAGGGCAGAAGAAGCCTGGCGATTCCGAGCTTCTCTACAGCAAAACAGAAACAAGGTCTGTTACAGGAGTCGCAGCGCGAAACGATATAGAGGCGTTTTACCGTGCATAGACGCCCGGCCAGGTCAATTGGCTCAGAGAACTCTCTGACTATTGCTGTATCCTCTAGATATTCCTTGTGTTGCACTCGTGGCCCCGAGATGGCCAACTGGAATGGATGAGCAGAAGTCATCGACTTTTTAGCTGGGGTGTGTGGGGCGAGTGATCGTCCTGGCCGCGACTGAGGCGGAAACAACTGTGGTCTCAATGGTGCCTCCCCTCCTGCGTTGAACGTCTGGTGGCACCGGATGAGGAGAAGGAAGATGTTATTCGGCTCGAATTCATGACAGTCCTGATTGGAATGATGAAATCCCGAATTGATGGGGACAAATCCTTTTCTTTTCCGCCCTTTAGCCGGGTTGCCAGAATTTATAAGGGGAATTTTGTTCATTTCTACAGGAGGCAAACCGGGTGAGATTTTGGGGCTTCTTGGAGATCGCAGTTCTCTGAGCGATCTTCTCCCCGGTTCGTCACAACAGGCCCAGCAACCGTCAAGACCCAATCCTATGCGATTATGGTATCCAACTTGTACGAGTGGCTCAAGGTTGCCAAACCACATGGCAAATCCAAAGCTGGCTCTTCAAGTCCAACAACAGACCTGGGACACCTTGGACCAATGCAGAAAAAACTGATGTGAAACCTACGCGAGCCACATCACTCCCAGTCGAAGCTAGCCTGAATCAGGAACACATTGATAGGACAACTACAACCAGATCCAGAAACCGCTTCCCCTACGCCTGAAGCTGGAAGGTCGTCCGAATGGAAATCATCAGAACGGGTCACTTCGACGCGCCCGGTTCGGCCCGAAGGCGACTTAGAACGGCGCAGCACTGAAGACGAGGAAGAAAATGGTACAGGACTTAACTGAGCGATGGGTTCTTCTTATTGGGCATCTGGTGGTAGCGGAAAACGCAACTTCGGGCCGAACTGTGAACCGTGCTATTGAAACCGCAATCAAATATCCCCCAGCCAAAGATGCACAGGACGAACTGCGCGCATGCCTTAGGCAGCTGAAGAAAAAGCTGGACGCAACGTAATTTTCCGACGATGAGGCGGGTACAACTGAGCCACTCAAAAAGAATAACGCTGTACTGGGTGAGCCCTTATGTCGAATGCGCCTGATTTTATGTGGTCTTATGTAAAGCATACTTTTACATGGATTCGTTTACATGGTTACAACGTTTCGGTAGTCGAGGGCGACGGTCTTCTTTGAAGTGGTTCAAGGTTGCTATACTGAGAGCACGGATCATGTGGCCAGAAAGATCTTTCATCAAGAGGTTTTGAATGAACTCAATATCGCATACGAAATCCACCCTATATTGAGAACCCTCTTCCTGTGAGGATATCCTCTGACCAGTGGGTATTTCTCGTCCATCTGTTCTTACCCGTGAACGCTAGAAAGAAGCGATGGCCTCCCGATTTCGATGCCGATGGAAATGAAAGCTCAACCAGACAGAATATTGGTAGATCCCTAACCGTTCCCTCGCGCGGAATACACTCTCTACCTATCCACCGTGGATACTATTTTCTATAAAGTCCGAAGAGAAGGGCGTTTGATCTCACTCCACAAAATGTAATTCTTCGACGTCCAGCCCCACAGAGTCTCAGTTTGGAGGTGAGCTAGCACAGCGACGCGAACTACTGGTTGGATGGCATTCAGTATCATCTACAATTGAGACGAAGTGTGCCGCACGTCCTAAGATCATGAACATCGATGCTTCTTTTCAAACGGAACGGGGAACAGGCCTACCACCTGGCGATGGAGGAACGTGGTGTCTAGGCATAACTTGAATTTTCTGTTTTCTGTTTTCTTTCCTCGGGGCGAGGGCGTTCCATTTTTATCAGGAGGCAATTGTTAGACAGAGTAGCTTAGTCAGACCTAATTTTATTGCCAGAGAGGAACTCTCCTACCACAGGCCTTGTTGCCCAAGTTTGACGCTACAGGCCTTGATCTGACGAACGTCCACTATTCGCAAAGGACGTCTCTGGTACTGTGAAACGAGGTCTACATGGAGCGGGGCTAGAAGCCCTCGAGATATGCCATACATAAACGAAAGGCTCAAAATACGCTCGATGACACGACTCGAGTCATTCTACATGTGACAGACCGGCGTGTGACAACACAGATTCAGAGGAGCAAGAAAGATGAATACTTCAACTGAGACTCCAGCAGGTAGCGGAAAAGCGTTCAAGCCGCTTGTCATTTCTAGAACAATTTTAGCGCGGCTTCCTAACCTCTACTTCCAGAGAAGGCTTCTTTTCGTAGTGTGCGAACCCAAGATGCATGTGCAAATCCAGTGGAAGATTCTCAGCCCCCGGTGTTTTTTCACTTTGAGGGGTGTGGCGCATTTGTGGGTCTCGCCGTGGACAGCGACCCCACGTCGCTGCTACTGGCTTGAAATTTCCTCGCGGTCACATCAACCTCTGGCTAGGGAGATTACCATATTGACTATCTCAAGCTCTGCTCTTTTCGATACGAGGATGCGAATTGGTAGTATAAAATCAAATTGCACATGCTTGAGGTTGCTCGGGAGCTGTGACGTGATCTGCATGCCCTTGCGGGAGGCCCGCCATCCGAGACGCGCTAGGCCCGGAACGGCAGGCTTCGAGAAGATCTGCAGGGGTATACTTCACTTGCATTCAAATCCGGGGGTATGGGTCACGGTTCATATGCTCTGGAATTGCTCATTCCGAGAAAGTAAAATGGATATAAAAGTAAATGAAAGTGATGTGAATCGAGTAGAATGGCTGCCTTCGCGTGCCGGCGTCGAGGGTGGTGCGGCGCCGGAGATGTGTTTGCAGGCACCTGCGGCACCTGCCATGTTGGTCAGCGTCGACACGCCCGCCTCGCGAGCATAACAACGCCGTCCTCCTCTCCCCTCCTCTCCCCTCCTCTCCCCTCCTTCAACGCTCTCAAGGTCCACATCCCACCCCGATTTCTCCACCAACCCCAGCCTTCTCAGAGCGCTTCCCTCCCCCTCTGGCATTAAAAATGCCTTCCGACGCTGGTTCCCGCGCCGAGGTATATCCCCCACTAACCCCCAGTCATTTGAAGCGCAACAAGCTAACCCCCACCAAGGTTCGTGGCTCTGACGCCACGCGTAACCTCTGGCTTTTCGTCTACGACCTGCAGGGCAGGGAGGACGTTTACGTCCTCATGAATGCTCCTGGCCTGCCCGTAGTCCCCGACTCGCCCTTCTACCGGGCCCTTGAAGACCTCTGGGCCGAACACGGCTCCAGCGATGCCCGTCCCACTGCGGGACTGATCCAGGCGGTCTCCGCCGACATCCACCACTCCCCCGGTCTGGCCGACTAGTATGATGTCCCTTACTCACTCTTCTTGATAAACAAGGACTGACCTGCCCTACAGCGCCGTCTTCCGCACCTGGCGGGACGAGGCCGCTGACCTGCAGTACGTGATGCTGCAGACTCGCGGCTGCAACGCCGACTGGGCCAACGACGGCAGTCGCACTCCGGTTAGTACAGGCAACAGGCCCGAGGACTATTATTACGACGTCTAACCTAGTTCAGTATGCGGGCAGTGACCGGACAGTCGGTCCCTGGGGTATTGCCTGGTATGATGAATGGCGACACAACCGTGACCGACGTGCCCGTGCCGCTGTATCCCCCCATCCCCCTTCATTTTCCGATTCCCCTGCCCCCTCCGTCTCTTCATCTGTCTCTTCCTTCGCTGCCCCTCCCGCTTCTGTTTCTTCGCGCACCGTCGCCTCCGGTGCTTCAGCTCCTGGTCCCTTCTATTAGGGGGCCGATATCTTTATGCGTCGCGGGTGCCAAGTGCACTTGGCCCCGGTTATCTTTATTTTATTTTATTTTATTTTTTGATTTGTAGTTTCGATTTTTAAAATTTACGGGAGGGGGCTTTCTTTTCCTCATTATTATGGCACATAGATTGTAAAGGATACCAAGAGTAAACGATATGAACGATGTAAGCATCAAGCAAGGCGGCGAATCCAGAAGCCCAAGCGAAGAAAGAACCCCAGAACACCCTTTTAAGTATAGGAAGACTACAAACGCACGTAAAAAGAGAGCATAAGGATACCAAAAACAGGATGAGCGCTTTCAGCGCCCATCTCCCTACTAATCTCTCAAGGAACCCATTTCTCATTCGAAAACGAAATTGCAAAGCGTTGGCGCAGCAATCCAATATTTCTCTCCTAAAAATGCAAGATACCAATGCCATGGGTCCCGAGATAAATAGATCAAATAGATCAAGCGTTTGACGACTGAAGATCGGTGCAATGGCATCGAGAGAATTTGAGCGAGTGGCGTCAATCAGGAGCTCGACGGCTGCAGCAACCCGGCGCAGTGACGAAGGTCGAAGGAGCGCGAGTCGGAGGGGTCGAAAACGGCGTGTGCGCGTTCCTCGAGGTAGAAGGCTGTGGCATGTGAGTGAGAAGCCAACCAAAGAAACAAGGGAAGGGGAGGACTTACGTGAGATTTGAATCGCGTCAAACCAGCGCATGGCATTCTCGTCGCTGCCCTCGACAGCCTTCAGCGTACCCTCGGGGCGGATAGTCGTCTTGGGAGGGAGACTGCGCATGCGGAGGAGCATGTGGAGGATATCCGCAAATCGTTCGGACTGGTTGTAGTAGTAGGGAGGACGCTTGTCGAGAGGCCACTGGAAAATGTTAGCAAGTGTGCGGAGCCCAGGGTATGGGTATCTACTTACGCGTTGTGAAAAGGTTTCACTGTCCCATGATCGGAAGAGCCAGCAGGTGCGCTCGACGCAGTTAAGCAGGATGACGGAGGCCAGAAAGGTCTCGAACCAGCCAGTCTTCTGGCGCTGGAGCAGTCGACGTTCAAGATCATTGATGACCGACTTGCTCAATTGCATGGCGCGCTTCTCCATGCCCGCTCGAAGTTGGCTGCAGAGCAGGTGATACGACTCAGGATCCGAGACCTCTTCGATCGGGAGACGGCCCTCGTCCGAAGGCTGCGAGAGGGAGTGCATTGACGTCGGCGGGAGAGTCGGGTTGCAGAAGGTCTTCCATGCGAGATCAGTGTCCACAAGAACATGGGTGGCGACCCACAACTCGACGGCGCGCTCCAGTAGAGTGTCCTTCTTGGACTGGCTTAGTTCGGAAGCCAGAGACAGAGTGGACTTCATGAAGAGAGACACCTCCCGCTCGATGAAGAAAGGAGCAGTCTTCTTGATGTACATCTCGAGCTTGCTAGGGACGTCGTCAGAGTCGCTATCCAGCAAGTAAATTTCCTGCGGGGGCCCTGAAAACTGGTCATCGCCGAGGCCCTGGAGCTGGGGGTCTAGGGCAGACACCGAGGCCCGATGTGCCTGGAGACCGCTGAAGGTCACGTATGTCATGCTCTCCTCGATGTGGGTCACTTCGATACGACCAGCGTAGTGCTCGAACTTGACTTGATTCTTGATCGCACTGGTGTCGTGATAGGCCAAAGTTGCATGCAGGTCTGAAATGACGAGTTAGTCTCTGAGCAAATGGGTAATCTTTGTTTATTCTTTTTTCAACACTTACTGGCATTGTAAAGTTCGAACTCTTCAGAAAGACGAGTCCGAATGCAGGGGTGCTTCCACAAACGTGCACTTTCTACACTAGCGCAGGTCGTGCAGGGAGTGTCACCAGAGCACTAGAAAATTTTTAGTAACGGCATCTGCAAAAGAGTATCAGGGATGGCGGGGTGAAAGGCGAAGGGGAACTTACAGGCTTCTTCAGCATGCGGCAGCGAATACAGGCACCACGCTTTCGCACTTCTTGGACTTCGCGACGTCGCTCGGCCGTGAAACGACCACGCACCTTGGGCTTGGTGGGCTTGGTTGAGTTCCCGAATTCATTGACAAACCCCTTGGCTTGCGAGTTGGGGTTCATTGCGATCGGACGCGGGTAAGATGCAGCACGCTGAGTTGCGGCAGTCAGAGAAGGATCGTGCTCCTGAAGACTTTCGAACAAGAGCTGATCGTGGGTGGACAGCTGGTTCCACTGGTTCATCTTGAGACCGTCGTCTCCGTCCATTGACGGCAATCCATGAGGGACCATCTCGTTCGCAGAGGCCGCGATCAAGGACAGGTTTTGGCGCGCATTCGAGGTTGAATCTGGGGTGAGCGAGTGGTCACCGAGAGGTGGTGACATCGAGTTGTGGTGTTCCGAGGTGTGACTTGGTAGAGCAGGAATCGTGGGGGTTCCCGAAGGTTGAGATGTTCCTAGGGTTGTCGGTTCAGTCCCCGTCCAGTAAAATGGATCGAGATGCCACATGGCTGGGTAAGGGCTCTGATACATACCCGCTGCATTAGATCCATCCCCCTCTTGCTTAATGTCCTCCTGCTGAGAGGCCGATCCCTGGAAATCGGCCTCTAGCGCCGGGTCAACCACGACAGTCTTGCCGCCCACGGTGACGGACTGAGTGTATTGAGGGCCGCGTTTTGAGGTATCCGAGGCGCCGACCTGGCGAGAGGCCTCTGCGAGCACATTCAGGCCGTCGAAATTAGGGCGATTGAAGGAGCCATCGGCCGACTTGCCTTTGCCCGGCGTACTGGGGTCTTTGTTCGCGTCGCTGTCAGTCAGATCCGGGAGTTCGTGGAGGCGGAGGAGCACGCGCTGGCGATCGCGGAGGGGAATCGCCTGGCACTTCTTTACCAGGTGGTTGGTCAGGCTATCGATGCGACCCTTGGGAAACTTCTCGCCACAGGCCTTGCAGGTATGTTGGTAACGGTTACTGGAGTCTTCCAGCTTTGGTCCTCGGATGAAGAACTCGAGGATGAGTTGGTTGGGCTTGCGTCCCATGATGGCGGTGGTGAGTGGATGGGGAGATCAGTGAGAAGAGAAGAGAAACTGTCGACGCGTCGAGTTAAGGCTGCTCGAGAGTCAGAATCAATTGTCCAAGTCACGCACGAGCGAGTCCACGATGGCTGCGGGTCAACACCGGCAGCGACACGCGATTCCCAGTGGCGCGCGACGGGAGAAAAATTCAGGAGGGGGGATACTCACCAGAGACCAGCGTGGCCGGTACCACGGCTGGAGCAGGAGCCAGATCAAAGAGAGCAGGATTCGTGAGGTGGACTCGCGATGGATGGGAATTATCTCGCGATGTGCGGCAAAACTGGGGGGCAGAGGGAGGGCGGTCTGGCAGTTGGCAGAGGCCGACGAAGACGGGAGTCTCACCGCACACAAGGCGGTGATGGGGGAAAAAGGCGGTGATGAGTCGACGAAAGGCGGTGTTGGCGGTGATGGCGGCGATGGAAGATGAGCTATGGCAGATCTGGCGAGGAGGGCGATGGAATGAGGATGGAGACGCCGCACGTCGAGGGGGGATGAGGATGGGTGAGGAGGGAAGTTGCAAAGTCTGCGAAATATGCAGCTTTTGTTCTCATTTGACTTTGGCCTTGGTCACCCTGTGCATTCCGACATCATTACTACTGTGTATACTGACTACTGGCCACGACCGAGCCATGCAGCCCGTTGCCTACCTATTCTCACATCCTAAGATTTAATTTTTACTTATTTCGCTTGATTTGAAAAACCTCGTGGACTTAGCAAGTTCGCTCCTCCGATCGCCGCCACGGCACCCCCAGCAACTCAAAGATCCGGCGCTCATCACCAGCTTCCAGTAAGCGGCCCGGGTTGGTCTTCACCTGGCCATTCCGAAGGACATCGGTGAACAGCCCTCGCTGGTTCAAACACATCTTCTTCTTTCGAGCCAGGAGGCGCATGCTCCGGTTAAAGATATCATTCCCCGTAAAATATAGCAACGCCGCGCCAATCTCAGGCCCCGGCACAAACAGCAGGTCGATACGTCGCCACAGATCAATCCCGGGCAGGCTGGACGCACCATGCCATTTGGAACCATCCTTGTTATGGCGAGGTGTAGCCAGTCCGGCCTTCAAAAAACCTTCTTCGAACAACTGGGGCACTACTACATTCATCACCAGTGATCGGATCGGCTCCAACGGAGCCCCCGGTTTAGTGATGAGGACGTCGATGTCGCCCGAATCCTTAGCCCCGCGGCGGTAAGAGCCTACAATGATCGCTTGCATATCCTTGTCGGCCGCCTGAACGACCCGCCGAACGATCGCCCCGTGAGCTTCCACCTCCTTGCGTGGAATGCGCTGCGCGAAGTCGTGGTAGCGCTCCACTCCGATGCGTTGGTTTGGCTTGAGCGTGGCTTTGTCGCGAAGATCGTCGAGAGACCGATAACCTTGTGCAACCCACTGAGTTGCTTGGGCAAGGCCAGCTCCATAGACACCCAGGAACAGCTGGATGACGCGATCCTCCGGGGAGGAGTTGGTATAATCCAGTCGACGAAGGTGATTTGTAACGACAATTTCCTCAATCTTGTCCGCCAGTCTTGATCCGATGCCGGATATAGCCAAGGCTTCACCTCGTGTCATGATCTTCTTGGCCTGGTTGCGCAAGGCATTGATCGCCCTACGATAAGCGAAGTCTCGCCAGTGGTCAGCTGTTTTTGTATAATATTCGAGCATTTCTTGCAAAACTTCGATCGTCCTCGCGTTCGGGTTATCGCGGCGTGCCTCGATCTTCTGCATGCAAGCAAAGCTTCGTGTCCAGGATTCAGCTGCCTTAGGTTTCTCTGATAAAACCAAGCGTGCTTTCTTTTTTTGCCGGGCTGGGCTCCGGCGAGTCGGACCCATCATCAGGCTCGGCCGAAGAGTCTTCGTCTGGCGAATCGAGTGGCTGGTATAGATGTCAGTACCCTCTTCGAGCTTGCTACTAAGGCAAGCGATAACACTAACCAAATGACGAGCCGCCTTGCTCTCATCAATGACATCGTCCAGCGCATCCCGCTCGCGGGGTTCGACGATCCCGGTATCAGCCCCGACATCTGTATTCTGGACCGCTTCAGAGGTGACTGCTTCCGAGATCGCAATTTCGACTGGGGCGCTCTCTTCGTTTTGACCCTGAGATGTCTCTGGCGACTTCTGGTGATCCTGTCTAGATGGTTTCAAGGGTAGTGGATCCGTCGTCTTTTGCTCAACAACGGGCGTAGGTTCGATGATGGTGGGTACCGGGGTTCCGTTAACTCGAAAGCGCGCCTGCAATGGGCTCAGAAGCGAGCGAAATCTGATGCATTCCGATGGGTAGGACTCGTTAACTAACGCAATGTCATCCTGCAATTGAGTTAGCAATGCACCGATAGCCCAGAGTAGATCTGACGAACAGGGAAAGACCGAAGTTTGAGGTAGTCTATGAGGTGCTGATACTGCAACCCTTTCTCGACAATCACATGGGTTATATGACTTCCCCATTGTCGAGTCCACTGAGCACCGTATTCCCGGGCACGCTGGATACGAAGACGTCGCGCAGGCGCAATATCGTCGTTGGGCACGAAGACTATAGCAGCTGTCAGCGGCAGGTTCGTAGCAGGGTTTTGAAGTAGGTGACTTACAGAACATAAGGTCTTTGAAGACTTGCTGTGCTTCAGGGATAGCATTAATTGCGTCAATCTTTCTCTTCTTCGCAGCTGGGCACCTGCCTGCAGTTCCAGGCATAGTTCCGGTCGTATGGGAGCGCTTTATGGGTAACACTTGCGGTTCATTCGATAACCTTCTTTGGCGATTCAGATGAGAGTTTCTCTGTTCTCCAGGTGCTTTGTTTGACGATAATGTCTGAGGATCGGTATTTGCTCGCGGCAAAGGTGTCCCAGGCTCAGGGCGAGACGGTCCAGGAAAGACAGTCTGATTTGAAATGTGTGTTGACGGCCGGGAAACTGTGAGGATTTGCTCGAACTCAGCATCCTCTTCATTCTGAGAGTCATCTGGGTTGTCAAGATGCTCAAGAGCGGCAAAAAAGCTTGCCTTGCTCGTAGAACGTGACCTCCCCATTGATCCTGCCATTCTGAAAGCGAGAGAAGTGCTATCCGGGTGTCCAGCCCACGAAAACGTCACTAGGCCATGGATGAAACATCTCGGTTGCCGAGGATAGTGAAGTGATCAGAAACTGAAAGGTTTTGGGTCCCCGTTACTGTGGTTTCCGGGCCACAACCGCGGGCGAGGCTTCCCACGGAGCGACGCGGGGCGCGAAAGTGTCACCAAGTCACGGGATTCTCGCCCATTCAACCCGATAGAGCGCCCAGAGTTATCCCAGTAGATACTTGTATTCAGCAAAAGGGAGCCCGTTGCTAGTGTTACGCCCAAGGGAAGTTTTCAACTCACTATTGGGTGAGCTTTTACAAGGCTAGGGTATTTTATTTTGGCAGCACTCCTTTTAAGGTCTGCAGCACAGGGGCAGATTTATTCAAGTACACTAAATGCCAGGGATATAATCATCCGCTAGACTTTTCATTACAAAGGCTAACGGAATCAACACATTCGCCCAAAACACCTGAAACCCATAGATCTACAGCGCTTCAAAAAAAGCAAAACCGTTGGACTAGACAGGGATCTTGAAATCCACTCCACATCATGTGACACATCATCTCCGAGGCTCACGAACCCAATTTGGCCAGCGCTCATCCGATCTCCAGCTTACCAGCCCACCATACACCCTCACTTCTCGCCCAAGATGTGGAGGCAATCTTTGTCCACCACACTGACTCCAGAGCTCCCGCTCCTCTCGACAGGACGCTGTCCTGGCTGCCAATTCCGCAGCACCGCGGCTCTCTCGCATCTCCGCGCGAACACCTCACTCCGCAGCTATGCGACCAAGAACAACGCCAAGAAACCAGTCAGCGCATCCAATAACGATGCTCCCACGATCTCGAAGCCCCCGCCCAGAGCCTCTGCTCCCTTGCGCCGCCAGGTCCAATTCCAACAAAACCAACCCGCAAAGCAGGCCGCGCAGCCCGGCGATGAAGAATTCACGCCGCCGACACTAGACCGTCCGATAGGCACCGCTGCCCCTCCGGAAGCAGGAGAGAACACAGGCGTGGACCATCGCTCTATCCGGCAACGTCGAGACGATTTTGTTGACTATGACAGACACCTTGCGCGGAGAAAGGAACTGTACGTTGCCAGCCCTCATCTCGAAAATGTGCAAGTCGAGGATAAAGAGCAGCAGCTAAAATATGATCCCTCTTTAGGACGAGACAAGTCGCCAAACCCTACTTCCGCGAATGGTCTAACCTCCGTTTCCAAGAAGGTAAAACCTTCAAGTCGAATCCGCGCCTCTTCCGAGCCGACAAAGCCCTATACTTCCCCAACATGCACGGCGTAACCCTCGCCTCGCCGAAAGATACGCAAGATACCACGCCCATCCTGGAAGGCAAGATCAGCGTCGTGAGCCTGTTCTCGAGTGTCTGGGCCGAAGGCCAGGTCAACTCCTTCACCGGACAACCATTGAACCCCAAGCTGGCAGAAATCCTGGCAGCTGGCGGACCCTTGGTCCAGAAGGTTGATATCAATGTGGAAGAAAATCGCATGAAGGCATGGCTTGTGAAGCGTTTCATGTGGCGTATGCGTCAAAAGTTGAATGAGGCGCAACACTCGCGATACTTCTTGGTGCAGAAGGGCTTTGGCGAGTTGTTGAAGGAGGCAATTGGCATGATGAACTCCAAGGTCGGATATGTCTACCTTGTTGATGATGCGTGCCGGATTCGTTGGGCGGGCAGTGGTCCTGCGGAGCCGGAGGAGTTGGAGACTCTCAATAACGGTCTGCAGAAGTTGATTGCGGAAAAGAAGGCCAGTGTCGAGGCTGAACGGGTGGCCCGTCTCTGAACACGACGAGCGCCGACAAACTACAATTGAGTTTGGATTTTCTGGACACGATATATGCTGCGATGCGGCTCCCCTCTCCATTGCATTTGTACATGTATAATAGAGAATGTGTATAATAGAACATGAACGCCATCACAGGCTTGGTGTGTATAAGAAGTATTATCGTCATTCCCGTCAAGCAGGAGGGAAAGGTTCCATAGACATAGCCGAACCCCAAAACGCCCTGTTGAATCAAGCAGATGAAACTCAAAAGTCGCTGGCTGCAACGGATATGAGGAGAAAGCAATGAAACGCACTGCAGAAGGGGAAAGTAATGAGAAAAGAAGAACGTTTACCTACCTGCCACTTAACGTACCTTGTAGAGAGAAAAGTAAAAGGCCCAGCCCTCTACCGGAAGTAAAGCAGCATCAAGAAGCAAAATCCGATGAAGCATCCTAGAATGATAGCATCACGTCTCTTCTTCGTCCCAATCTTTCCAATGAGATAGTTCATCCCAGGTACCTGGCTAGCAGCCCCGACAATACGACGATTGATACCAGCAAGAGTTTCACGCTGCATGCCGAAATTCTCGTTGATAGCATACGCTTGGCTGAGAACGCCGTCCATCATGCCATGGCTGTTTTCCACCCGCCCACGCTCTTCCAGCATGTAATCCGCCTCCTCGGCAGTAGGGTTGGAGGCGCGATAGGCGTCAATGTCGGAGCGGACATTGGAGAGAAGGTTGGCGCGATTGCGGGACTCGGCGATGGCAGATGTCAGGCGCCGGAGTTCACGGCGGTGGTCTTGCAGGATTTCGCGGTGCCGGGAGAGGTTGTTTTGTTTTAGGGCGGAGGAGGTGAGGGTTGCTTCGGAATCGAGGAGGCGGGTAAGTTGAGAGATGAGAGAATCACGCTGTATTTGTGTAAGCCTGTTGTACCTAGGGTATATCTCCGAGAAATGCGATGGGAGTGGGCAGGTGGTGGGCAGCAATGTACCTGTTCAAGGAGGTCTTTCAACTGCGACTCGACCCGCAGCTCCTCTTCTGTGGGATTTGGTGGAGGTTTGTTGAGAGAGGCAAATTGTGCGTAGGTGTTGAAGAGGTTCTCTGTCTGTTTGAAGAGCTGTCAGTCTGGCTGTCCGCGACGAGGACCGGGAGGTTTGATTCCCCGGCGAGATGCCTGTACCTGTGTCTCGAGCGAACGGGCTTGCTGCCGGAGCTGCGCCCATCCAGAGCCGGTGGATGTCATGGCGGGCAGATGTTGCGTGGAGAACGAGGTTGTGATCAACGACTCCGAGGCAATCGGCGCTGGTTCACCCCGGACATTCCACGCAGCCCGTCGACGTAAGTGCTGAGGGAGGCTAACCGAATACGGCAAGTCTAATGGTGCCTGACATTAATGCCTTATTGCCTTACTGCCTTATATTGCAGGCTGTAGAGCCACACAAACAGGCCCCATCACGTGCACGCTTAGTGCGGCCAACTCGCTTAGCCCTAGTCCCACAACCACAATTTGACCCTCGGACATCTTCAATTCTCAACGCCGACAACCAGCACATACAACAACGCCGCCACGATGGTATGTTCGCCCGCCACCGATACGATGGACTCTCGTACTGACGAAATAATTCATAGTCGTCCAAGGTCAAGGCTGGTCAGCTCTGGGGCAAGAACAAGGAGGAGCTCTCCCAGCAGCTCGAGGAGTTGAAGACCGAGCTTAACCAGCTCCGCGTCCAGAAGATCGCCAACGGTGCTTCTGCTAAGACTATGCGCATGTTCGTATTCGATTCCGATCCATTTCCATTTCTACACAGTCGATTTTGAGGGGAGAAACTGCGAGATACGGGGAGATGTGTGATTGTGCGATCGGGCGGCAACAAACACGAAAAAATTTAACACGACGACAATTCGACCGACGATGACAACCAAGCGCTCACCAATTGTAAAATCCGACATCGACGCCAACAATAATCACATTGCACATTTTCCACCGCATCCGCAGTTTTCCAGAAATCTCGAACAAATCCAAACCCACATCTGGCTCGATGAAAATACTAACGTACCCGATCACAGCCACGATGTCCGCAAGTCCATCGCCCGCGTGATGACCGTCATCAACGCCAACCAGCGCGCCCAGCTGCGTCTGTTCTATAAGAACAAGAAGTACCTGCCCCTCGACCTCCGCCCCAAGCTCACCCGCGAGCTGCGCCGCCGTCTCACCAAGCACGAGGCCACCCGCACCACTGAGCGCCAGCGCAAGCGCGCCATCCACTTCCCCCAGCGGAAGTACGCCGTCAAGGCGTAAGTTAGATGCATGTCGCATGTGCATGGTTGAGCTGGGAGTTTGCCCTTGGACTACATAAAAAATTCTCTTTTCTAAAAGGAAATCCGAGCGGCCGGGGTCGTTTTTTATCTTTTTTTGTGACAATCCAACAAAATGGGATTTGATTGTGTATCTTAGAAAGATGCAAATCGACTCTTTATGACATGACTTGATATTTTCCATTGGGTTTGGGAGTGCTGTTGTGCAATGTGTAGTCGATTGTGTAGTCGATTTCCCCACGCTTGATCCGTCTGCAAATATATTGCAGCAATGGCCTTGGAACAGCTACGTAGAATGTTGCCTCTCCGTAACCCCTCAATCGTTCGTCTGGACTGATTGTGATTGTGCTAAATCATCCTAATGACAATGATTTGATTTGATGTCATGCCCATCTACTCCATGTCGCTACAGATGCTCTACTGCTGGTGCTTCCCCGATTGGCAAAAGGAATTGATACAGCCACGCCCCTTTTGTCTCAGACCACACCCCTCTCTGGCTTTCAAGGTATCTGCTACTTCCTCTGCTTGGTGTCCTGGGTATGCGAGTCGAATAATGGAAACTTTTGCTCTATGAGGGAGAATTTTTATGCCCGATCCCATTCATTTTGCATAGCGCATCACTCTCTAGAATATCTATCCAGACAGCTGACCACTTAGGTGACGAGTTAGGGGACTGGGCAATGAAACTTGTGGTTATCAAGACCACAGTCGAGGGGGTATTCGGCATTAAAATGCCCAGCACCATATTCGACCAAGGTTCTAGTTCTGTATTATCTGAGCGAAGCTATGACGGGGGTGTGGTCTGAGAAAAAGGGGATGTGGAAGCATCAGTCTCCTAGGAAAACATTATCAAGGCATGCATTTCATAATACACTAGTGTTGGTCTTGAAATGCTTGCAACAAAGCACTACCCAAAACCATAACAATAGGTGCCGCTGTCGTAAAACAAAAATCAAGTCCTACTACGTCGAAGCATTCTCAGACATAGTCACAGACCCATTCCCATTCCCATTCCCATTCCCAGCCCCAGTCTCCATCTCCAACATCCACATCCCACCACAAGGACAAGTTCGCAAAAGACTCGACTTAACAAGCATCTTGAAATAAGGCAATGATCTGGGCAAGGTCGTATCCCCCGTAACCTCACAGCACCGCACACACCGCCGTCTCCTCTGCGGCGCAATCACCCTCCCACACCGTCCAACGCTCTCCAGACGAAGCGGGATCTTCTTCATGATGTCCACATCCCGCTGTCTCCGGTACGCCACTGTGCGGGTATCAGCGCCAAATCCAAGCCAGCTGTAGTCATTCAGGAGGATATCCTTGCGGTTGATTTCCGCTTTCAGGGCGGGCACTGTGTGACGCAGGAGTGTTGCGACGGCGCTGACGAGGACGGGTGGAATTCGTGCGTTCACGAGTAGTTCTTTTTCAGGTCCTGGTCTTTCTGCGTCGCCGAAGCCGGCGCCTTGGTAGGCGTGTTTTACGGCGGAGTCGACGCCTGCGAGGAATTTCTCGTAGACGTCGATTCGCACTGGTGAGGATTCGAGTGTTTTGCAGATCTCTATATAGTAAATTTTTGAGTCGCCCGATAGTGTGGCTGGGTTTGTGGTTGCAAAGCCGGCGTGCACGCCTCGGAGGCCGCGGCAGATGAAGCGGAGGAAGGCGCGGGACATGCTGGAGAGGAGAGTAAGGAGGGGGATGGAGGTCGTAGATTTGACTGTTTCGAATGTGAGTTGGTGAGCGAGGATATGAAAAAGAATAGATTACGTACGCTTCTGGGTGAAAGCCTCTTGGTCGTTGAAGACGCTTTCGAATTCGTCAGCTAAGTCGAATACTTCACTGAGGACCCAATGGGAGAAATCAAGGGTCCATTTTGCGTTGCCCAGGATCATGCGTAGAATTTCTGAACTCAATATTAGAATATGGCTCTAATGATAATAATTCCCGTAGAGTAATACTCACCAGGGTCATGGGCTTCATGGGGTGATCCCTTGTTGCTTTGGAAGAAGAATGCAAAGAGGACCGCGGCATGACGAAGCTGGATGACGGCCCAGGGTACCAAGGCTGGAATACTGCGACGCTTCAGTCTTCCATTGTAGCCCAAGGCGGCCTGTAAGCTCAAGCACTTGGTGATGTACGGGTGGGTCATGAGTTTCTCTTGGTCCGTAGTGAAGTTGCAGTTGACTGGCAATGCACGGAAGACTTCAGTAATGAATGTTGCTTGATTCTCTGCTACCGCGGTTAGAGGTATTTCCTGGAATATGAATGGTCATGTGTGGGAAATCACCAGAAGAGAGCTGCCTCAGAGCGACCATGAGAATATCATCGGTGTTCAGGTCTGCTCCACATCCACGGCTAAAGGCGAGTGTCAAAGCCGCAACTGCCGAAGAGAACTTGTCTATTATTTCCATATTAGCCCGGTTTGCTATGACGGTGATGATAGGCGTAGATCGTACTCTCGTCATATAAGCCTTGTGCCGCTCCAAATGAGTGCTCCATCAACCTCAATTGAGTCTGACCCTCGGAGTCCAGCGACACCGCAGCGCAAGAGTTTGGAGAGAAACAAATAGCAACACCTAAAGAAGTTAGCGAAAACCTCATTAGTGCTTGGGACGAGGGTAAATACCTGGTGTTTCCATTGGGTATTGATACCCGGCTTGAGACAGACAAGTTACGGTGCTGCCATCGTCCATGCCGTTGAAGAGGGTCATTCCCCTTGTGTCATAGAAAGAGATCGAGCTGTCATCGTGCGTAATAGCAATGGCTGTACCATGCTCAATCAAATCCACTGAAATGATATGCCGATGACAGTGGATATCTTCCAGTCGGCGGAGCTCCATTTTCGACTAGACGATATGTCAAATGATATCCATATTTTCATATGAAGCAGATATAACATACCTTAGCCTGAACATTGTTCTTTTTCGACGCGACCTCGTCAAATTTGGGGTGCAAAGCCTGGTTTCCAGACTCCAAGTGCCACCGCGCAATCACGCTCGGCGGACCTTGCTGGTCTGCGTATTCAGGGGTCGCATGGAGAGGCTTAGAAAAGACCGCCAAGATCCACGGACTCGAGGTAGATCCCTGAGGACCGTCCACTTGGCCAGGCATGACGTCCAATCGGGTCAAAGAGTAGATGGTGTTGGGAAATGGTAATGATTGGGCCACTTGCTCATCAGGCCCCCGGTTCACATTGAAGACCGGGCTGGGCATATCGATTTTGCAGTGGAGAATGCGGAAGGAGGGAATGGGGAATTGATTGGGGTGTTTGGCCTGGGTCGGATCCCATTGCGGCGGATTCCAGTTGATCTGTACTCGATACAAGCAAATCTTCTGACAGACTGAATAGGTAGCGATCAGGATCCCAGCTATTGTTCAAAATGTTAGTTATTGATAGCAGCAACGGAGCATGGATCTCAAAAAACTTACCTTGGGTTGCCACCATCGAAGCATGGGTCAATAGTCGATCTGAATAGCCGGTGTTCTTCAGCTCGGCCGGGAGTTCTGCCCACTTGCTGTCCGGGTTTTGATAGATGAGTCGAATCTGGCCCGCTCGGGTCACACAGATCAGAGTCCCCTTGTTGGCCGGGTGGAAGGGGCCAATTGGGCGCCGACGGAATGGTGAATATGTCCATCGACCACTGACCTTGGTGGCCTGGTGAAAGGCATGGACCTAGAAAAGGGTGGTTAGGGGATGCACGGAAAACGTCGTTGACGCTAAATTGGGACATACTGAGCGGGATGTGTTGAGCCACATCATGCCGACAATCTGGTTGCTGTCGTCACTAGAATCAAAGGACGCCTGTCGCTGCCCGGTGATACTGTTCAGAGCCATCGAGATGGAATAGATGGAGACTCGACCGAGACAGTCGACGACGGCCAGTTCCGACCCGGTCTCGTTACAGGAGAGATGAACGAGTTGGTTGCCATTATGCGCCTCTGTGACAGGCGGCAGCGGATATTCATCGCTCAATCCCCATTTGCCGTCTGAGGGACGGCATTGGAGATGGCGGACACTGACCCGAGTGCCGTCCGGGGAGATGTATGCGACACATCCCAGGCGGGACCAGGAGATTTTTCTAGAGAATGTCAGTTCAGTTCAACCCGGGCAGTCCATGTTCGGCGTCGCTCCACTCTGGTTGGCCCTAGTCGAGCGACGGGGGTCACGTACTGGCGACAGCCCAAGAGGCGCATTTCATCCAGGCACTGGGCCAGGCCTTTGGTGGCCGGCGCAGGAGACAGGCCCAACTCCAAGGAGTTGGGCTCGCCGAAGAGGTCGTCGACATTAATGCCCTCCTCCATCATCAATGGCATGCCGGGGATGCACAGCCGGGAGATCAGTTGATGGCGGACTCAGCCCCGCATGGCTCTCGAATGTCCGATCGACGGAGTAACGGCGGTGTTGATATGGCTGGGCCCGGGGAGACGGGGGGATCCGCCGGAGACCACCAGTACCTTACCTGTGTTATCCCCCGGGATTATCAAGCACTCGGGAACAGAACCGGAAGGCGGAGTCTGTCTGAGCGCTGTCGTTATGTCTGTCGTCCGTTTTGAGCTTCGGACCGTCCAATTGTTTGCGTCTCCCACGCGCTGCAGACCTGCCCCCATTGTGCAATTCTTTGTTCGTCGTGCTGACTCATCCGCAACAGAGTGCGCACGTGATACGTAGCCCTGCCAACCGCCGCCCGCCAATAACACGCAGGTATTTCCCCCACATCCCACCTCGCCAATCAGACCCGCCGGCATCGAAGTGTCCGAACAGTCGAGCAGCAACAACACAGAAAACAGTCCAGCCGGCAAAACGCGCAACATCAGGATCAGATCTCCGCGATTTTGAGTGTAATTCGTAGATTGTAATGGTCAAATTGGCGCATTTCCGCGCCATTCTACATCATTAAACCCGTAGCCATTCATCCAGGCTCCCATCTGCTGTCCCGAAGCCCCTCGACGTTACTTCGCATCCCAAACACGCGCATCATCGAGTTGTCCTCCCACAGTCCCGCGCATACCTTATACCACCCCGTCTTTGCTCTTTTTCCCCTCGCAACAACCGCATTCCTCGTCCCGCAACTCGCAACCACTCCCTCCGTGGGTCATAAACACGCCCTGCCGCCCGTCCTTTTTTTTCTCGGGATATCAAAGCCTCTCTCCCTAACTCTGCTGCGATTCCGCTGACCTCATCGTTTGCAACTCTGCAACTCCTCCCTTTCCATCTCCCATCTTTCCACCCCTACCGGTTCAATTCACCCTTCTACCTGTCTCATCCGGTCGGAGGAGTTAATTCTTTTCTTCTATGGTTTTTCCGGTCGCCCCATCTCCGGTCTGTGAGCTCTTTCAAGGCGAATAGACCCCTCCCGACTGCCAACGCAGTCTGCGACCTCATCGGCCCCTGGCTGGTCTCATCCTTCCTACCTCCTTTTTGTACCCGACCACCACCCACTATCCCATCACCCAAACTCCACCATCACCATGTATTCAGACATATCCGACGTCTCCGACGTCTCTGATCTGAGTTCTGTTCCTTCATCAAGAATGTCTACTCCGGAGCCGGCGACCCGGTACCTGACGCCGTCCTCGCAAGATCCGGAGGATTTGGTCCAAACGCGGGAGGACTGGCCGCCCGCAAAGAAGCGCCGGCGCAACCCTTTGCCCAAAGAACGCACCACGCAGCACTTGTCGCTCGCGCGTTCCTCCTACGAACAAAAAGACCAGGTCCGGTTGCTGGTGGAAACGCTCCGCCACCAAAAAGACATTGTGGTGGTCGCAGGTGCGGGCATCTCCACCGCAGCGGGTAGTAAGTTTTTCATGTGCCGCCTTTCCCACTTGGGGCATCTCCAACTGACCTCATGCAGTCCCGGACTTTCGTTCCACAGATGGCCTGTTCAAGTCCCTGCAGAAGAAGCACAACCTCAAGGCGTCCGGCAAGCTTCTGTTCGATGCTGCGGTCTACCAGGATGACGCACTGACCGCCCCCTTCCACGAATTGGTGCGGTCGCTCAAGCTCGAGTCCGCCAATTGCAAACCCACCAAATTCCACCAGATGCTCGCGCGCCTCGGCAAGGAAGATCGATTGAAGCGACTCTACACCCAGAACATCGATGGCCTCGAAACCTCCATGCCGCCCTTGCAGACCGAAATCCCCCTAAACGTGAAGGGTCGTTGGCCCGTCACCATCCAGCTGCACGGCAGCATCACCAAGATGGTCTGCCAAAAATGCCGCCATACCACCGAGCTGGATCCCACAATGTTCACCACGGCCGAGCCCTCCGACTGCTCATGGTGCAGCGACAATGACACCGCGCGCCAGAGTGCAGGTTTCCGCAGTCACGGCGTCGGCCGCTTGCGACCGCGCATCGTCCTGTATAACGAGCACAACCCGGACGAGGAGGCTATCACATCCGTCATGAACGCCGATGTGAAATCCCGTCCGCGCGTCCTGGTTGTCGCCGGTACCAGTCTGAAGATCCCTGGAGTCCGTCGCCTCGTAAAGAGTCTCTGCGCCGTAATCCGTAGTCGGAAAGACGGTGTGACCATGTTCATCAACAACGAGCCCCCGGTCGGCAAGGAATTTGAGAACTGTTTCGATCTAATCGTCGAGGGATCCACCGAACAAGTCGCCGACATGGTCCACCTGAAGCAATGGGACGACGAGGAGAAATATCCGATGCAACTCCTGCCCGACCCGACATTCGGAAAGCCCAGCCCCAGCCCCGTCTCTGTCGTGATCAACACTCCCTCGAAGAAGCGCGCACACAGCGAGACCGAGACCGGCCTCTTGACACCCTCGTCGAGTCAAGACGAACAGTCCGAGCCAAAATTCAAGGCTACGAAATCGACGAAAACGGGCAAGCGTGCGCAAGCCAATCCCGCCAGTCGTGGTCCGAAGATCGAGGACCTGCTCACCAAGGGCACCAAGGCCAAGGCCGCGCCTGCCAAAGCGGTACCAGCCAAGACTACCGCGTCGAAACCCACGACGACAAGGGGTCGCAAGCCTGCTACGACGACAGCGAAGAAGCCCCGCGGCAAAGCAGCAACTGCTCCGAAGAACGCCTCGATCACTGCATTCGGAAGTTCGACCAAGTCAAAACCTGCCCCGACAGCAGCAGCAAAGATGTCAGCGGACAAAATCCCGCTCGGCGACGCGCGCAATGCCAGCGCCATGTTCCCCAATCTTGTCAAAGATGCCAACGCGAAGCTTGGTGCGACAAACATCGAGTGCGCCGTGCCTGTTCCCGAGGTTGTCTCCTAACGACATCTTTCACGATTTCCACCTCGTATCTTTCTTCCTTGATGAAACTTCACTTCTCTTCTCGTCATATCATGATGCATGGTCCAGATGGCGCCGGTTTATTTTTTATTCTTGTATGATTCCCATGTGGTTCATGGCTTCTCTTCTTCATGGTCCGCTGTCCTTGAACTTCTGGATATTCTTTTTCTATCTGAGCTTCGATGGTTCAGCGTTTTCGATGCATCCGTCCTTGTGGAAGATACCAACGTTAGACTACGGTTTCGTTGCATGGGTGGCGTTGGCGTTTGAGAGCCTTGGGAGGCTTACTTATGGTGTTTATTTTCCTGTATCGATATTTTGAAGCTGATGTTTCTCTGACGATGCCGTGCATGGTTAGATTACTAGTAGTCTATCACCACTGTATCAGTGGTATATGATTAATTCGACTTATCTAGCATCCTTATGTTGAGCATATGTGTCGTAAACCTTGATGGGTATATATTTGTCGTATCATGTTGGTGCAATATTGACCTTCATACCCATCGACGTGATGATGCAGCATCGAGGATCAAAAATACCGTGAAAGGATCATAAAATATGTGATATGGACTACGGGAATTGACCTTGTCAAGAACAGAATAAAGCGCATGAACCATTCATCATTATTTTGTATGTTACAGCAAAACCAAACAGATCACGGAAGCCAATATCTTCCAATGTCCTAGCCCAATCCCATATTGTCCCGCAACTGACTAGCCGGCCCATCATCGTCCTCCGAGTCCTCAGCATCAGGATCCATAGGCCGACGCGACTCATCCAGGTCCTCAACGCGATCAATATCCTCGTCCTTTTCCCGCTCATCCGCCTCGGGTTCCTCTTCTTCCTCCTCCTCTTCCTCTTCCTCCTCCGCTTCATCCTCAACTTCCTCCTCCTGCGTCTCATCCCCATCAGCCTCGCCCTCATCCGCAGGCGCACCAGTAGAGTCTCTCTTCACGCGCTTTGCAGGGTTATCCACCATCTCGACGTCATCGTCCTCATCGCGAACGACCGAATCATCTGCGCCGTCACCAGTCGCAGGGGCAGAACCATTCACGTCAGATTTCTTGGACTTGCGCTTGCCAGCCTTGATTTCCGTGTGGGCTTCGAGTTCCGCTTCGATGCGGGTGCGGAAGGAGTCGAATTCGAGTTCTGTGAGTGCGGCAAAGACGTCGGCTGGTGCGACGGTTCGTTTTAGGGTTGATTCGTTGGCACTGGGCGTAATGTGAGCATACTCTTGCGGGCAGTAGATTCGTCAGAGAAAGAAAGGCATGTAGACGTACTGTGATGAAAGGTATGAGACGAAGACAGTCGCTGCCTTTTGGATAGCCAGCAGAGCATCCTTCTGGATTGTAGTGTTGGGAGGAAGAACGGCTTTGGCGAGTCTAAGCGTTAAAGAGCGGGGGAGCAGGTAGTCCTGAATCATAGGTGTGTTCATCAGTCTTGTCCTTCTGTCGTTTCCTCTTCCCTTTCGAATTGGCTGGGCTGGTTGGTTGCGAGTGCGGAAGGAAGCAATCTTACCTCTACGCTGACGCCCGCCTCGGCCCGCGCCTTCAGCTGCTGCTCTGTCGCAGTGATGGGCTTGTCGAATTGTGTCTGAGCCTGCGGCGACAGTTGGAGCGATTCGTCCGGGTCTGCGGGCGTCACGGAAGACGTGGACTTTCGCGGTGGCATTTTGAGATCCCCTTGGTTCGGCCGTGGTTGATTGGTTGAGAAGGGAGCCGGAGGTTGCTCGTGGATGGACACGGTGGTAGGAAAGGAATACCAATGTGATGTCCTGTGGCTGAGACTGTGGTGCGATGTGGTCGATGCTGGGAGTGTCGTTGGTAGTGGCGAAGGAGAACCGCGAAATCCGCGACGCGGTGGGTGTGGTGGGGACGGCTGTATACACCGCATACTCAGCCAGCTACGACATTACCCCCGACATATCAGGCCAATCTCACGAATGCACTTCACTGCAGAAGGCATTCGAATAAAACTTATTATACTGAAGCTTAAATATTGAATACAACTATTATCCTTCTACTCAATCGATGCATCTTTCATCGCATATTCCAATAACTCAAGCCACATGCTCTGCGTCTTGCATCTCGGAAACCACCGCCAGCGCCTGGGTATAGCCCTCTGTCCACCTGTGATCTGGCCCATATTTTCTTTTTGGCCGTCTCAAATGCCATAGTCAGAAATTTCATGGCTTTTTCCCAGTGCTCTTGTCTTGTATAGATTTGTGCCAGACGCCACAGGCTTCCATCATCCAGTTGAATAGGGCCGCCCTCTTCGGAGGCGGAGGTCCCGTTATGTATATCAAGAAGTTGGGACGCAATTTCTTCTACATCCGTCTTGCGACCTTGCAAATCATAGATCTCTGCGAGGCGAGTCCTCATGTCCAGCACTTCAGGGTGATCTTCTCCAAGACGACGCGTCAATGCCAGTAGAAACTCACCCTGGACTTCTTCAGCTTCTTGCAAATGCTCCAGATGCATGCATATGAACACCAATGATTTAGTGCCGTCAATTGTTTTGTCATGCTCTATTCCAAAGAGACCACGTGCAAGATTGAGATACTGTTTACTGAGATCTTTCGCTTTTGCCCATTCGCATTGCTTCTCGTATGTTTCCACAAGCAGCTTCATGACAAAAAAAGTGAAAGAGTTGTTGTGACCGAAAGCCCTTGTACACTTTTCTAGGGCATCAAGACCAAGTATTTCTGCCTTTTCGAACCGAAATTGCGTCAAATATACTTTCATCAGATCCGTTTCCGATTCAACAATAAACGGGTCATTGTCTGGAAGAGTTTTCTCGCGAATTTCCAGTGCTCTTAAATACAGCTCTTTGGCTTGTTCTGGCTCAGACTGATTCATGAGCAAGGTCGCAAATGTCTCCATTGAAATTGTCGTTTCGAGGTGCTCTTCCCCGAGCTTTGCGACACGAGTGTCCAAACCCGTCTCCAAGAGCAGACTTGCTTCGTGAAAGTGACCGAATGTCGGATAGATCTGACCCAAAATTTGCTTTGCTTGCAATGTTGCCTCATTATCGGCCCCAAATACCTCCGTATAGCCGTCAATGGCATTCTTTATAAGACTCACTCCCTCATCAAAGTGGACCTTGTTATTGCTGCAGGATGACATGCCCACGGCGAGTTGCAAAAATAATGTAAACTTATGAGAAATTCCAAAAGTGGCTTCACAGAAATTCAAGTGCTTCTCGCAACATTCGGTTGGATTCATGAGTTTTTCCCGCCATCCTGCTCATGAAAGGTATGTGTTGTGAATCACCGTAACCCAATCATCAAACGAATCCTCTGTTTCAGGGGGCTGGGTCAAGGCAGATCGTGCATGGGGCAAAAGGGGCTGATATTGCTCCCAGCTTTCATTTTGCCGTAAAGAATGGCCAGCGAGGCGTGTGGTAAATTGGGATTTCCATTTCCCTAGTTCTCCAAGAATATTCAACCAGCTTTTTGTTGCTAGCTGCACAAGCGCATGCATCACGAGCGTCTTCCCATCTGAACCCAGAGAAACAAACAGAAAGTCTCTCAGGACCTGGATGTCATCTTCAAACTCATCACTTTCGACTGAATCCGTTTCATCTTTGTCCATCGAGGGCGCACGCAGCAGAGTTTCAGGAATACTTTGTCTGTCATAAAAGCTCACCAGAGAAAGCAGATCTGCAGCCGAGGGCTTCATCCGCCGAATATGCTCAAAAGACATCTGCCAAGTATCCATGATCCGATTTGAAGTCTCGGGGTCAAGCAGTGGATTATTCGGCTCGTTTTCCAGTAGTTTCATTCTTTTGCGGTTATTTCGGTCAAAGTCCTCGAGGTATTGCGCAATGGAACTCCTTCGACCTCTGTTGTTGAGATAAGCTACTGCTTGCGCAATAGCAAGAGGTATATATTCCAGCTTCTCGACTAAGCGCAAGGCGTCTTCTTGTACCGCTGAGGCCTGAAGCTTCTTCTCTACCATGGCCAAAGCATGAGGGTTTTCCATCGGTTCGACGAGAATGATATCCCTCTCATAAACGAGCTTCAGGACAACGTCCCTATTCCGCGTTGTGATTATCGTCGAGCCATTCCGAAGCGAAGGCAGCAATGACAAATATGACTAGGCGGGTGTATTTGGGCTATCCGTTGAAGTATCTGCAGGCGACGGTACAGGCTAATTGAGAAAATATTCGTCCAGGTTGTCAATCATAAGAATCCATCCACCCTTTCTCTCATCTTGAAGCCAGTCACGAACTAGTTGGAATATATTTGCCTGCGGACCGTGGCGCCCAGGGATCTTGAGCCTATCTGCTAAGGCCTTGTAGCTCATTTCGAATCGCCCGTCATTGCTCGCGTGGATCCAGAAGATCCATGTCTTTGGCTCGATTTCTTGGATTCGATATGAGTATTCGACGGAGTAACTGGCTTTTCCCGACTCCACCCAGACCGACTAGTGCTACACGCGGTGATTGAGATGCTTTCTCGTGGATCTGGGATAACAAGGTACCTCGATCGATGAATTCTGGGTCCCGGTTGAATGGGACGGTGGAAAGAGGCTCTGGGAGAGTCTCGGGTCGTTCTGAGAAGAGATATCAGCTTCACTCCTCTGATTTCATGGATTTTTGGAATGATGTAGCGTACGCGGGGCCGGATGGAAGTGAGCATTGACTGTGCCATGGTTGATCCCAACTTGAATACCATTTTGCAGATCTGAGAATGATATTGCGTTAGCTTTCGCCGCAGGGTCCATAACTGGAGGCTCCTAGTAGTCGGATCTAGGGATCCTGGGCGGAGAATACGTAGAAAAGGAAGAGCTGGCGATGAAAGTTGATTCAGGTCAGCATCGGGTCACAATTTGGACCTCACGCTAGCATCTGTGACACAAGCTAGAAGGTAAGGTACATGCAGGGATTACGATGGGTCATCTGTCTATAGAGGGTACTCTAGGGTATTACTGCACAAAGATACTCGATATAATCAACCTCGGAGAACAGAAATAGTAGGTATGCTTATTTAAACTCGCTGTCTCTGGATTGAGAACTAGAAACATGTAAACGCCCACTTTTTGGTATCCAAATCCAAAACAAGAACCGATGACTTCATAACGGTGAATTCAACAGAGGCTTTACTCAGCCATCGCATCATCATCATCACCCTCGCCATTGCCCCAGAGACCCTCGATCTTGAATTCCTTCGCCCACTCCGTAACAACCTGGGTAGTATCAACTCCAGATCCGGGGGCGGTGGTCGCGGCATCGGCGGCAGCAATGACAGGCAGAGCAGGGGCGTTGGCCCAACCCTGGATGCGACCATCTCTCCAGTCGTTGATGACGGTCATGGCGGCGCTCTCGATGTTGGGGATACCGCCCTTTCCAAGACGACCGCGCTTACGGGCAACCTGGATCAAGAAGTCGGTGGTCTTGTCGCCGTTGGTGGGGAAGAGGGTTTGGATGCCGTAGACTTCGAGCATCTTGGAGATCAAGTTCTCCGAGGATGATAGACGCTTGATCAGAAGGTTGACTGCGGGGATGGGGTCCTCGATCTGCTTGGGCGGGATGGCGTTCAGCAGGACCAGGCGGGCCTGCTCGTTCTCCTTGGATTTCTTGCCGGTCTTGCCATTGGCGCTAGGGAAGACGATACCGGGCGAGTCGATCAGCTTCAGCTTGTTGTCGAGCTTGACGGAGCGCATGTTGGTAGTGACACCGGCCTCAGCGCCGGTCGGGCAGGCGTTGCTGGAACCCTTGTTGAGACGGGCAGTCAGGGCGTTGATGACGGACGACTTGCCGACGTTAGGGTAACCGATGACACCGACGGAGATGGAGCGTTGCAAGTTCTTGCTGTGGGCGTAGGACTTGAGAGCACGGAACAGGGTCTCGGAAGTACCCTTGACAGTCAATTGCTTGTGGTCGAAGCTGTGGGCGTTGCCGCTGCCGTTCGAGGCCTTGAGCGGGAGGGTAGGGAAGTATCGTCGCAGGTGCACCAGCCAGGCCTTGAGAACGGGAGGAGGAACGAGATCAATCTTATTGAGAATGAGGATCAAGCGCTTAGAGCCACCGTCGGCAGCCATAATCTCACGCTCGACCTCCTTCGAGCGAGTGCCTTCGGGGTCACGGGCGTCGAGCACGTACAGCACCACATCGGCAGCGTCAGTAACAGACTTGAAGACCTTGTCAAATTGGCGCCGTGAGCTCTCCTTCACGGGGTTCTGTGCGTCGACCAGAGCAGGCGCAGCGTCGAACGAGACACCGCCCTCCTCATCGTCCTCATCCATCTCATCGTCGTCGTCGTCCTCTTCCATCTCATCCTCGTCTTCGTTCTCCTCGTCGTATTCCGTAGCACGGGCCCGCGCAGAGGCGAGAAGTGCTGCCATGGGGTTTGAGTCATCACCACCACCCACCATCTCGTCGTCCAGCATATCATCGTCATCCAGATCAATATCCGCGGCCGCTTGCTCGCCACCCTGGGCTTTCTTGGCCTCGATCTTGCGGGCCCGAGCCTCTTCGCGAATGCGCTGTTGCTCCTCGGCCTTCAAGCGCTTCTTCTCCTCGATGTCATGGAGCAGCTTGTCCTTGAAGGGGAATAGGCTGGGAATGCCGGGGTCCTTCTTGAGCTTAGACCGCCATTCGGGGTTCTAGAGAAAAAGTTGTGAGAATTTGTCCGGCACAGTTTGAAAAACGTTTGATATCACAGGAATTGGTCGAGCATACCTTCTTAGCAAGCTTCTTCTGCTTCCTCTGCTTCGCAACAGAAGCCTTTTCGATTTTGTGCCGCAAGCGAACGGGAACCCGCTTGGAGCTTTTTCCAAATCCTGCTGCATATTAGAACAAGACTCGAAAATTGGCAGTCCAGAACGGAACGATTAAAGTGCCTACCTGACTTGGTGACCATCTTATCCGTAAACCTGGAACTGGCCGAGACGAAAAGAAGCACCGATTCGCAGACTGCAGTCTCGCCGAACCCGCACTCTCGAAAAAGTTGAGCGCCAAGATTTAGATAAGCGGATTAAATGTTTCGCCGATCACCGGGCCGGGGAGCGGGTCCTCTACGCAATTCGGCAGGCGAGCCGACGAGCCCATCGCGACATCCGTACAACCTCTGACATTTCTTTGCCTCTGTTCTTTCCTGTTTCATAGACTTTGCATTGCAATAAGACGGCCTGACGATTTTCTTTGCGACTTCTTCTTTGCTTCGCTCTTTTCTTTATTTCAAGTTGAACACATTGTCAGCCATCTCCCGCATCACCCTCCCCCGCCATGTCCACTACCGCAACACAATCTTTCTCTGCGCCCACGGAGACCGTCACCTTTGATGGTATTCTCTCTGACTTTGATGGAACAATTGTCGACTCGACTAATGGTATGTAAGCCTTGGGATCGCCTAGTGGCCTGTGGTGAAATTGGAAGCTGATTATATATTTCTGCTCAGCCATTGTCAAGCACTGGCACAAGTAGGTTGCCCAAGATTGCGAAAGGACCTTCCCCTATATTTGTTTCCTGACATTTGCATCATTCAGGATTGGTGCCGAGCTAGGTGTCGACCCGGAGGTGATCCTGGCCACCTCTCACGGCCGCCGAAGCATCGACACAATGGCCCTCTATGACAAGAACAAGGCCAATTGGGAGTGTACGTTACTTTCTTTTAAATATTTTGAGCTCTCTCCGCTTCTTTACGATCCGCATGCTTTTATACACTATTGACGCAAGATATAATCTAACAATCCACTCAACTAGACGTCAACTACATCGAAGGCCGCATCCCGAAAGAATACGGCTCGGACGCGAAAGAAATCCCCGGCGGCCGCGACATGCTCAGCGCCCTCGAGACCTCCGGCGCAAAATGGGGCGTTGTCACATCCGGCACCCGCGCCCTAATCGATGGCTGGCTCGAAGTCCTCGGCCTCACACACCCCGACAAGCTCGTCGTCGCCGAAGATGTCGAGCTCGGCAAGCCTGATCCCCGCTGCTACCTACTCGGCGCGAAGCGCATTGGGCTCGAAGACTCGAAGTCGATCGTTGTGCTGGAGGACGCACCCTCGGGAATCAAGGCAGGCAAGGCTGCGGGATACAAGGTGCTTGCGCTCGCGACGACGCATGCGCTCGAGAAGTTGCGCGAAGCTGGCGCTGATTGGATTGTGGAGGATTTGCGCAGTGTCTCGGTGAAGGGGGTTGTGGATGGGAAGGTTCAGATTGAGATTTGCAATGCGTTGCAATAGGCTTGCCCACTCTCAGTTGTTGTGTTTTGCTCTCCATCTGGGCTGGACCAGCTTGGAGCGTGTACTGTACCATTGCTACGACCTGCATGGTTTTACAAGGTCTGGTTTGGGTATGGTTGGGACCAAGCTGCAGGGGTCAGGGATGGGGCTAGATTTTATTTGAGGTCGGGTTGCACGGCATAGACAGGGTTGCGAGGAACTGAGATAAACGTGCGCACAGGTTGTACAATCCGCGGCTTTTTTAGACTTGAGGGTTTATTGGTGAATGAAGTGCCGCTGTACTTTTGCCTTGCGTTGTGGGTGGTACCTTTACTATACCCTAAGGCACCTTACCTAGATAGAGTACTACCTGAGATGGTCTCCATATGACGAACCAGCAGATATCAATGACACCTTGGTGGACGAGATCGTCATTTCGTGAAATGGAACGCAGCAATGCACATTACAAAGATCAAAGCGCCCTCCCGAACCGGGATTTCAGTTTCATATGCTTGTTCTGGGGTCGCACGATGATGACCTCGAGGGATCGCCGAATACTCTTGATTTTGAATTGCCAAGCTTCCCATTCCAAATCTCGATCTATACAGATGGCCTTATAGATCGGGATTGGCGATAGAGCTAGAGCCATGACCAGCGCCGGGATTAAGGTACGGGAGCTATTTCTGCTCCAGGCAGGAGACTCAATATAACTCTCTGCAGGCGTAATAATAAGACCCTGACAAGGATGCAAGCGTAAAAGCGGTCCCGTGAGGCTCCAGTCCGGTTTTCTGTTTACATGTACATATAGTGAGGCGTTCATCTACGGTTCATCCTATAGGACGCCCATAACCACTGCCATGGGCGTGTGGCGTGACCCTGTTTTATTCAAGGCCGTGAGTAGTGAGCGTCCGATCCCGGCTCATCCTTGCAGGGACCGAGCCGGGCCCGACGACGAAAACTGGCTGTCATAGCCGGTCGTTGACTCATTTACCTGGGAGGGGGTCGGGTCTGGTCTTGGCCATGCTGCAAGACCCATGTTGACGCGGAGACTGGGAAGACCCCTGTCACGACCTGCGAACTGCTGTTCATGCACGTTTGACCACCGGCGACACCGGCGACACCGGCGACCGAATCGCATGACCTAATGATCCCGAATGGATTCCCCGAGTTTAGATCCTGACTGTCCACCGAGGTTCTTATCGGGTCCTACAGTCTTACATGCGTGGCGAGAATCAAATTTCTGCGTTGCGCGAGATGAGAATGCCTCAGATCCCGACGCTGCAGGAAGCTGCAGACCGGCCAGGAAGACGCTCACGAGGAAGTTTATGCCCTGGCAACAAAGAGCTTCCGATGTGCGTGATTGGTGCGTCGGAAACCGTAATTCATATGGTACAATTCGGTACTTTTGGTACGTTTTACGACAGTTCTGGCCAACAGGGCGTGCGGAGCCTTGGGGCGCGAAATGGAGCCCGCCCATAGGATGACCGGATTACTGGCACGCAGACGAAGCTTGGAGCTTTCGCCAATCGTCTGCTGAGGTAGAGCTTCGGATGCGATGGTATGCAAGGGGGACGGATGAGATGAAGGAGGATGGGAGGAGGAGCCGGGTTGCACCTGCGCACGGGTCCGACAATGCTTCGCCAACACAGGCTCCTGAATATCGCAATCAAGTTGGACCAAGGAAATGGGTAAACTGAAAGTGAGATACCATTCTACAATTTTCTTCTTTCCTGTCCGTGTAAGTGTTGAGGGCAGTGATCTGCCCAGGGTGTGCGTCTCAACGGAGGCTCCCATCTCGCCCCAACGGTATGCGTGATGGCGACTGTGGCTGATGCAGCTTCATCACGTACATCAGAGTTCAGGATTCTGTCTGTTCGAGGGCTCGTTGCTTTTGCGAGAATTCCGATCTGGCCCACAGCATCGGGACGGCTCTGTATCGAACGGCAGTGTTGAACGATCCCTGCCGGTAGCTCTCGAGACCTTCCTCTTTGTATGTACGGCGTAGTAGATCAGATCACCCGGTTGCATGCGAGCCACTGGAAGTGAAGTCCCCCGCAGGACTGGCCCACTTCCTTGACAAATACTGTCGTCAGCAGTGGGCTGCAAACCCCTGGTCCGGAGCTCTGGAGGTGCAGTAGCATGACTGCAGGAGGATTCCTGCGCGGGACATCACGCACCGCCACAGCAGGTTCAGGTGAGCCACACTCAGCAGGGAAGGTTTGCAACGAGAAGACTCCCCTCGGGTACGGTAAGTTTGGAATCGACGAGATGGTGGATCTGTCACATTCACGTCGTGGTTGCTGGTCCCGCCGGGAAAGACGTCTCAGCCACCGCACACTATTGTCACCGAAATACTCCGAGCCCGCTGCAGAAAGGGAGAAGGAGGTGACGAGTCAGACGCGGACGGGCCACAGAGACATTTGTACATGTGTACATGTACATGAAGGTAGGGGCTCGGGCGGGACGATCCTCGACCCTCGACCCTCGATCAGGCACCAGGTTACTTGCTCTGTACATAGCAGCAGGTATCGTCACAGTCCCAGGGCGCCCGCACGCATCGAGATGGACGATCGTTTCTGCGACAGGGTCGATCGGGGGATCCCCCATGCCAAGCCGCCAATCTCATCGGACCCGGGAGAGGGGAAGACGGGCGCGAGGTTGCTGTTGTCACACCCTGCTGTCGATCACATCGCCGGGAAGTTCGGGGAATTTGTCTCGTCTGCTTCTCCCCTTGGGAACCTCTTCGTCAGTGCTGAGATTAGCCGAGTCGACGACCCGATATTTGAGATTGCAAGTTCCGTCACAACGGTTCACACCAGATCCAATCAATAGTCGGATGGGGCCAAGAGAACCGTGCGGGCGCGTTGCAGATCAATACAGGGGGACGTCAAGTGCAGATCCTCCTGGACAACGGAGATGACGGAGATCCAGCGTCGACAGGACCCCAGGGTCTGGTGGGGGAAGCCATGCACGCCATGGGATCCGCAGGGATTTCCATAGCCACGGTGGAGGGCTTCATGAGGCATACTAGTGACAAACTGAAGGTTAGAGACTGGGGCATTCCCGACGTGCCTTGAACATGGGTAGCCGCGCTATAGAATTCATGGCTTGGCTTGAACAGGACGACCCCAAGCGTTCATGTTGTGTTTGGCAGCGCGGGTAACCATGTGCGCGGTGGAGTCACCCCCTTTCCGTTCCCATGGTTGGGAATGTGCATAGTCCGTCGCTTTCGCTCCACTGGGCCTGACACGACCCTACCTACAATATCTAAGAGGTATAGGTAGCACTGGCGCCGAGTCTAACATCCACCACTCCTCCCCGTGACGAACAAAAAATGTCCAGATGTGATTCGCAAACTGATTAGGCGCCCTGCTGCACGTGAAGCTTGAATAGGACAAAAGGCGATTATCCAGATTCAATCGCGTCATTGCCCTTCACGCGTTGCCGCGATCGCTACAGACGTACAGGCAGTGCAATGCACAGCTCCTCGTAAGGTATGGACTAATGTGCTGGATAGAGTTCGCCATGATTTTCGTGGGCACGGAGTCCCGTGGCCACGTTGTTGCGTGCTCCATCGGATTGACGTGGATCTACCTTTCCCAGATAGGATCCTCTTCGACATGATTTTCTCCGGGGAGGAAAAAGAGTCCGCACCCTGTTCATGATCCTCGCCCCCACTCCAGGTCCCCGGCCTCCTGCGAGTGGTTCGTCGTCTCGATCAGACGGGGCCCAAGGAAGCATCGGATGTGCTTCGGGTAGCGAAACGAGCAGATCATGAAGAGGATCCCCCAGGGAGGAGCCACAGGAAGAGATGGCGTGTGCTCTATGGTTCTGGAGAGGAGCTTCCGCTAGACCGGGTGCCCCCCTTTCTGTCTCTCGACCGAACAAACACGAAACCTTCCCAGGTTCGTCGGCTGTTGCACATCCAACTCTATCCGAAGTGGACGAGGGCCAATCCGGAACTTGCCCCAACTCCATTCTTTAGACTTTGCCAGCACTGGGATCCTGTGCAACGTTTTTATGTCAAGAAGCAGATCGTGACCAACGGTAAAGTGTATTCGAAGTCGTTGCCAACGTTTTGCCGATGGAGTAAATTATGTAATATATCTAGGAACCAAAGTATATGCGCGGAGAAGAAAAAGGGGAGAATCAAGCGACCGTTAGGGTCAGGGATTGTTCGGGAGATGAGACATTGCAGCGACGATGCAGACTCGAGCGTTTTGGCGCGCGATCCACGACGCACCTGATTTCAGAGCAGCCGGTTTCAAGCTCCATCACTTCCGCCATCCCGAACAGCAAGCTCGAGTGGGTTGCATGTGCGCCGTGCTGCATGGGGGAAGGGGGGTCAAAGGAGAGCAAGAGCCAAGTCGGGGACTGCGGTGTCACCCTCGTGATTTGACTTGCAGGGAGCCTCTCGATCCAGGACGTTTAGCGCCGGCTCGACCAGACCACCCACACTGCTGGGACCAGCGTGTCGAGATTGTGTCACTCTGCGGATCAAACAATGGAGCCTAGCGAAATCGGGGGAGGGTCGACCTGCATGGGGAAAGAGGAGCAAAAGAGGGGAGGGGAGGGGAAGCAGCACCAACAGAAGGAAAATAAAACCAGCAAAAAACAAAGCTCGGCAGATCCTGGAGTGATCGACGGGATCTGTCGACTATTGATGTTTAGCTCGGCTTGGCGCCTGCCACGGTGCCCTCGAAGGGCTGTCTCAAGGGCTGAGTGGACTTGGCTGACAGAAAGCTGACAGACAGGCTTGCCTCAGGGCTCAATAGTGCGTTCGGGGCGACATCATCGATCCTCCGCACTGGGCGATCGTCGAGCCTTCATCCCACATCCGAGGGTAGGGTCGCGCCGAGGGAGACAACCCGATCTCGTCAGACCCAGCCGGGCGGTGCCTTCTGGTCCTGTCCGGCATATTTCAAGATAAGTCCTCGTACCCGAGAGAGACGGGGACGCCCTTTGCAGGGAGCATAGGCAGATGGATCATGCAGGCAGAATCACGGTGACAGGCTTGGATCTGGATCCACATCCACGGAGGGCTTGACTCGTCTGGACCAGTCTGCGCCTAACTCGCGCCTGACTCGAGTCGACTTGTGATTTGACTTTGGGTCTCTTCTTTCCCACCTGGTCCTGGCACACCCGCACTCTCGGGGTATCCCACACTGTCTGTAAGCCGTATGTATGTATAGTCCCACCGGGGAGGACCCGAAAAGCAGAAAAAAAAGAAATTCGACAACGGATCCATGCCCCACCTACCTCTCCGCAGCGTACCTGGACGTTCATCAGAGATCGCGGACGTGATCAGACACTGGCGCTAATGCAGGAACTGGCCAGGGATGTGTAATGAACTGGATTACGCCCTGCACCAAAATTACCGCGGGAGTCACCCACTCGTCCCGCCCTCCGAACGCAGAACCATGGGACGAGTGTTTACGTCGTATACTCTGGTATACTCCTGGTAAACTGTGTACTCTTCAGGCTCTACACAGGGCCTGACAGTCCCTGCAGGCCAATCTGAGGTGTGCCGTTTAGGCGGGACGCCTCCGGATCGCAGGCCACGACATGGTGGACCACCCGGGGCACTCTCAAACAGCGGTTGATCGTAGCGTTGATTGGCGTCAGCGATCCCATTTTGTGAACCCCGTCGCTGCGTAGAGGGCCGACGAGATCGGATCCATGTGTAGTCCAGATCAAGACGCGTCTCAGCTGCTCGTATGTCAGTACTACCACAATCTCCCACATGAGGGTACATACTATGTACTGTTCTGGGTGTATGTACTTCTGCAGTCCGAGCCCACAGGCCGCCACCCCCTAGAACCGCGCGGGCGGTAGCGCGACTCCACGGGCTTAGGGGCTTCGGGGCTTAGGGTAGTGGAGCAGCGTGTTTTCAGCCCGTTTCCTGTGCGTGGCCCTAACTGGGAAGGACGATCAGATCTCCCATCCCAGAAATCCCCGACTCTGGGCGAGAGGGTACTTGGCTGGCTGTGGGCAAACACGCGCAGTTACAAGTACTGCCGCCTGCCCAGAGTCACCTGCCCAGCCTGTATCGTACCCAATACCCACCAATACATATCCCAGTACACGCAGACAGCCTGATCCCGGCCCGTCGTCGTATCGCCATACACTTCCCGGCCAATCACATCCGCCTCCCCGCCCGCCCGTACCGCCCCCTTACCAGCCTCGATCGCTCTCTCCCCCGACTTTCCTCTCGCACTCTCCTCTTTCATCACCTCGTCCTTTCTTTTCTTTTTCTTTGCGCGCGCATTCGCTCCTTTTGATTCGATCGCCCCCGTCTCTCCTTAACTACCGGGTTTTATATGCTTGTTCCTGTCTGATTTTCGCTGCTCCGACCACATCTCCGTCCACCACCGCGACACCACCACCCACACACGCCTATGATATAGCCTCCCTCCTTCTGCGCTGCCCTCTCCTCGTGCAGCCTCCCTCTTCTCGCTCCTTTGCCTCTCTGCCAGTATATACTACCACCACATTCCTTCCCAAACTCCCACCATGAGTTACATCCACCCCTCATGGAACTATCCCGCCCATTCGGGTCTACCGATGGACCACACCATGGCCTACGACCCGACCATGATGCCCCCGCCGATGATGCACCCCATTGATGGCTATCTCTACCCGCATCCGCCCATGGAGATGATCGACTACTACCACCAGCCCATCATGGACTACGACGAATACACCGAGAACCTGTCGCGGCCGCGTTTGACCAAAGAGCAGGTCGAGACCCTGGAAGCTCAATTCCAGGCTCACCCCAAGCCCAGCAGCAACGTCAAGCGCCAATTGGCGGCTCAGACCAACTTGAGTCTGCCGCGCGTTGCAGTATGTCCCTTCCTACGTCCCACCGAGGCCCTGGTCAGGATGAATGCTAATGAATTGCGTCGCAGAACTGGTTCCAAAATCGACGGGCCAAAGCTAAACAACAGAAGCGCCAGGAGGAGTTCGAGAAGATGCAAAAGGCCAAGAATGAGGCCGAGGAGGCCGCGAGACGAAAATCCGAGACCCTGGACCAGCTGTCCGAGTCTCGACCGTCGTCCTCCGCGCCCAAGGAGGAGCCCGAGAAATCGGCCACCCCCGAACAAACGTCCGCCACTGCCGCTCCCGCTCCAGAGAATAGCACACAATCCGAGACCCCGTCCAAGGGGAAGCATCACAAGACGAAGAGCGAGTCGGCCCGCGAGGCCACTTTCGCGTCCCTGCAGCGGGCGCTCAATGCTGCCTGTGCGGCTCGCACTCGATTCTCTCGCAAGGGTTCCCGCAGCGGCAAGCAGGAGCCCGCCGTGGAAGAGGAACCTATCTCGCCTACTTCCATGGCCCCGCCGGCCACTGCTCCCAGGCAACACGAGAAAAAGGGGCAGAGTGCCTACGGATCTTCGTACCCAGAGTGGTCGGATATCAAGGAAGAACCCGCCTGGGAGTCTTCCCATAGCCAGCCCGAGGCCACTTCCTTCCACTCTACCAGCCAGCCCATCCCCGAGGTGCCCAGCTCCTCGCACTCCGTACAGCAAAATGTGAACACCTACTCGGGAGCTCAATTCCCCCCGGCCGAGGAATGGGCCGAGACCCCCAAGGACCCCTTGTCCGCACACAATATGAGCTCTGACGCCGGTCTCGGATATCACAACATGCAATACCCGATGCAGGCACCAGACATCTCAGTATCCCGACGGGAGTCGGCAGATGCGCTGTCGACTTCTCTGAACGGCATTGGGATCTGTACGGCCGAGTCTCCGAACATGCCCTCGCTGAACCGAGCCACTGGAGGATCCTGGAAGGAGCCGGGTAAGGAGCTTGATCTCGCCGCGAGACGTAAACGCCCTCGCCCTGCTGCCATTGGCACTTCCAACGCGCGGTCCTTGGCCAATTCCACGTCCATGTCCTCTCTCTCGCCCACCAGCCGTATTCCCAGCTCGGGTGCCGGAAGCTCGATGAGGCATTCCAAGTCCACTCAGAGTCTCAACTCCCGCTATGCTGGTGTCCGGAAGGCATCTGTTGCTCAACGCTCGCCGCTGAACTTCACATTCGCCGAGTCGGGATCCATGAAGTCGAGCAAGGCGGAGATGCTTCGGCCCTCCGTCTCATCCACCACCTTGGCGCCGCCAACGCCCTTGACCCCCCAGGACTTCCAGCACTTCATGCCGGCATCGCCCACTGACAGCAACTACTGCATGTCGGCGCACTCGACCACTCAGTTCTTCCCAACGTCTCAGCCGATGCAGGTCAACATCGCATCTCCTCCTACCACTCCATTGGACATCTACTCTCCATTCACATACCAGAACGTCGCTCCACCCATGTCGGCTCCGGCCCAGGTTGCCAATTTCCCGGAGTACGTCACTTGTGATCCCGTGCCTATGTCCGCTCGGAGCTGGGCCGACACTGGCTCTCTGTCTTCGCCAGAATTCCAGAATGGCTTGCCCGTACAACATTCCGCCACCGTCTCCCCGATGGGGTACGATGCGACTGTGGATCACAGTGGCCAGGCTTTCGGAATGGAGCCGGTGTCTGGCTCCCCGTCTCTGATCTATTCCATCGAAGACGCCGATCTATCGGGCTCGGCGGACGAGAGGAAACAGGCTGAGTTCCGGATGCACGACTTTGCGGAACATCAGGACCCGCATGGCTATGCCGCGCACCCCATGTCGGTTCACAAACCCAAGGCGTATACGTTTGCGAATAACACGACACCGACCAACTATCCCTCGTGAGAGAGAGATCTCGATGGAATATGAATGAGAAATGTGCCGCGATAAATATGCTTTTTGTCTGGGACGAACCGCCACGCATCTTCTCGTCCTTGCGATTCTTCGTTTTGATTGCTGCCTCTTTTTGAACTGCCTACGGGCCCTGTCTATTTGTCTATTCCAACGCTCCGCGCGCGGAGAAATACTGTGACTTTCCCACTTTTCCCTTTTGACCTTTCTTACATACGCTTCTCTTCTTCTGTCTCTCTATTCGGTGTGGTTCCACCGGGGTTTTTTACATATTCGGAGCATTCTTTGCATTGTGTTTATTGGCCTGGGATTGATATTTGGTGTCCGATACGACCTTTTAATTTCGCCGAGCCCGCACTGGCTCGAGACTTTTCAACTTCTTCTCTTCTTCGTTTATTTTTTCTTTTTATATTGGAACGGACTCGGTTTTTGGCTGGGATTTGGACTTGCATATCAGCATTTGGCTCTTTGATACATACAGTCACGTCTTTACCTTTTCTTTCATATTTATCTTTTTCCATGTTTCATAATCCAAAAAATGGGGGTGATGTCGCAATCAATAACAACTGAACTTGAACTCGAATTTGAATTTTCGGCCTCGGCTCCTGTAGTGCCTCAGACAAAAGTGTCGACGTAAACCCTCTCTAATCGGCACGTAATCTCCGAAATTCGTCCAACCGACCCCGAATGCCAGGCTAGCGGCCGCCCGGCGAGCGTTGCAAAGGACGCCGTTGTCTGCCCGTTCAGACAGCCCTCGGCACGTGTGCCGCTCGATAGGACTGGCGGCGTCGGCGTGCCTGCCGCCGAGCTCCACTACGGGGACTGCCCGTCTCGTCATAACAACACTGGCACTAAACACGAATGCAACGGTATAAAAGAAATGAAGACGCCGATCGCCAAAACTCAAACCTTGCTTTTCCGCTCGCCTTTCGGACTCTCACCTGTCTTGAGACTTTGCCTAGCTGCAATTAGACCTACCTGAGACAGATAGGAGACACTGGAAGTCTTGGTTTATACTCAGCCTGATGAAGTTTTCTACTTTGAGCCCGGCCCTGCTGGGACTGGTTCTCTCCGTCCAGGCTTATTCTGTGGAGTATACTACTGAGACGGGATATTTTCTGCAAGATGAGAGGTCGACTGATGCGTCGACGTTTGACTATGTATGTCTGCCTCTACATTTAAACTTAAAAATTCTTCTTTCTCTTTACTTCCCTTCAACTGTGCCTATTTGTTCTAATCTTCATTAATATAGACGGCCGTCAACTTCGGTCTCATCAACCGAACCTACCCCGCAGATAGCCACCTGAAGAAGCACCGCAACTATACCCAATGGGAACGCTTCTACCATCAAGTTCAGAAACTGAACGAGGACTCGCCCAAGAGCGTCGAATACAAAGTCCTCTTTCTTGGCCGCCATGGTGAGGGATACCACAATGCCGCCGAGACCTTCTACGGTACCCCCGCCTGGAATGTACGTCCTCTCGCAATCTCCATTCCGCCACATTCGGACGCCCCGCCGACATGCCACATTCTAATCCCAATTAACCCACCTATCGGATAATTCCATATGATATCTGTTTCTAATAACATACTTGACACTCAACAGTGCTACTGGGCTGAACTAGACGGCAACAGCACGGCAACCTGGAAAGACGCAACCCTCACATCAGCCGGCATCGCCCAAGCCCTAAAAGCAAATACCTTCTGGCAAAAGGAAATCACCGAACAACGAATCCACACACCAGACAACTACTTCGTCAGCCCTTTGACACGAACCCTCCAAACAGCCAACTACACCTTCACCGGGCTAAACCTACCCGACGGCAGCGCCGATTTCAAACCCCTAATCAAAGAACTCTTCCGCGAAGGAATCAGCATCCACACCTGCGACCACCGACGTAGCAAGAGCCACATCACCAACCTCTTCCCCGACTGGCCAATCGAAAACGGCTTCAGCGAAGAAGACGAGCTGTGGAACGGCGTGACGGCCGAAACGAGCAGTGCACAAGACGTGCGGAGCTCGACGGCACTGAGTCAGGTGTTTTTCACCTCAGCTTCGAGCAAGAAGGAGGCATTTGTATCGGTGACGTCGCATTCGGGCGAGATCTCGTCCATCCTGCGTGTTGTGGGGCATCGGGCGTTTAGTTTGAGTACCGGGGCCGTGATTCCGGTTCTTGTGCGGGCGGAGAGGAAGGGAAGGGGTCAAAAGCCGGTGGCTTCTTCGTCGATTGCTTGGACGGCTAGTGCGCATTGTACAGCGCCACCAGTTACGTCTGTTTCGGCTTGTGTTTGTCCGTCGAGTGCGGTGCCTGTTACGACACCTCTTGTGACGGATTTATAAGTAGTTGGTTCAGAGGTTGGATGAATTTAAAATTTTTTTTTTTTTTTTTTTTTGCTTTTGCTTTAATATACTCGACTTTTCTGTGCTTTGCTCTCCCATGTTGGTTCTATAGTCCCGAGTCCTGGTCTTTGTAAGTGTGTAAGTTTATCACTGCGTAGTTGCCATTTGGTGGTGGCATCCCCGCAGCGACCCAATTGAAGCCTAAAAAATAACGGACGAGCGGGCCGGCATCAAATTTAAACTCCCTATCACTTGGATGATAAACATCATCTTGAAAAGATCAGATGAAAAAAAAAATTTAACAGTTTGAGGAAAAAAGAAAAAAGCGTCCCCGGGAAGGCTCGAACTTCCAACCTCCTGATTAACAGTCAGACGCGCTAGCCGATTGCGCCACGGAGACTTGCTTGTTGAGAAACTGACTGAGCTTTGGATATATAACCCAGGTATCCTGATGCGACACATCGAGGGAATTGTCAGGGAATTGTCCTCTGCGATATACAGCACAACTACATCGAATCAGGATTTTCTTTTTATTTTGACATTGCGTGATCATTAGATGAATTTTGGAGCCTTCGGGGCTAGGTAGAGAATTTTCCGGGCGGTCTGTGGGCGGGAGTGTCATATGTGAAATTCTTCGTTTCGGCCCAAGTCTGAGGTAATAGGCATAGTTTTTATCGGAGTTTCATCAGTGCTTATTTAATGTTGAGGTCAATATACGAGCTTGTGAGCGGAGGGTGAATGCGTAGAACCTATCGCTATGATTGTCCTGGTCGGGGCTAATGGTCTTCGGTTAGGGCTTTTCGGCTAGTGGTCTCTATTATTCTTTCCGAGCCTCCATCCGGTTCTTGTAGCTCAATTACTTCTGTAGTCAATACATAGGACGAATATCTAGCCTAGGAGACGGTAGCCAAGAGCCCTCCAGCTACTTACGTTCGTCCCAATTTGAATGGATATCTGACTATATGAGAGACTAGAGTATGAGCTGCTGGCTCTCTGACTGAGACAAGGGACGTTGAAGTCTGAAATGTGAGGGTCTTATGGTACCTATCGTGCGGATGGAATTTCCTATGATTTCCTCATATCGGTAGGTCTATGTTATGCTGAATTGAGATGATGCGGAAAGGGGGTCCAAAACGTCTGACCGTGTCTCTTCATTCAAAAAGCCTGGCTTCTCACAAGTCATCCAGTGTGAGATACTTCGTAGCTTCCAGTAAGTGTAATGTTCGCCTCGAGGGAGTCAAATAGTGTAATGCGACAAGATAATAGAAAAAGCCGTGAAAAATGGAGAAAGTGCACTCCATCACACCAGATACCTCACACGCTCCAGCAGTGCGCCACTCTTCATTTTATTTTTTACCCAGAGGTCGAATTCGGAATGGAAATGGCAAACTGAAGTTCAACTAGGCTTCATTCGATTGATTGACTACTGGTATTTACTATTTACATAGAGATGGTGTCGTCCAATCACTTCATCCAGTGCCTATTTAGTCCATTTCATACGAACAGACTGCAGACCTTTGCTGGGCTAGAGCCTTAGCATTGACAGCTGATTCGTACTCCCAACCACAGAGGGAGAATGCCCACCTTAGCCGAAATGACCTGGGTATGTGGATCCAAAAGTCGGGCCACCGTTTCAATAAGCACGTCTCCGTGGCGCAATAGGCTAGCGCGTCTGACTGTTAATCAGGAGGTTGGAAGTTCGAGCCTTCCCGGGGACGCTTCTTTTTTCTTTTTGCATTTTATGTTCGGTGTGTTGATGCAAGGGGTGGAGTTCGGACCTGAAAGTATTTTTTTGGTCTGTGTGCGGGTGGAAAAACCTAATTGGCGGCGTCGCTTACGGATTTGGTTAGGCCTATCACTCCAATCGTGAGGGTGTTTTGGTTGACCAAGCAGGAACCATTTGCGGGAGAGGGAATTGTGTCTTTGCCACGAGGTCAAGGTCGTCTCCTCTGACTTTAATATTTTAAATGACGTATTCAAGGCAGTAATGCCCACATGGCTCCATTGGAGTACGACTGACTTCACTGGGTTTCCCCAAGCAGAAATCTGACAGGCAAACTAGTTTCATAGCCCCAAAGCTTAGTCCGTTCTTATGTATTCGTGGTCAATTGACTCCCCAGTATGTCCCAGGGTAGTTCAGCCTGGTCAGATGCAACAGAGAAGAGACAAAAAGGAAATAAAATCACTCGATCGATTGCAATTCGAATGCGACATATGCTGATGCTCATTAACCGTATTATAATGCGTGACTGATGATAACCGCTCCAAAAAAATAATATTATACAATGATGTTGACAGCGCGAAACGCAGCATGCCATAATTCTCTAGCCGGCTCATCTTTCGGCCGACACACAAAGAAGAATTTCTCCAATACCGCAATCGCGCTCTCCCACCCTTCCAATAATAATTGGTCCGCGGAATCCATAAGTTGGGCCAAGAACCACGAGTGACACTTCATTCGCTTCGATGCCAGGCTGCCGATGAACAGGATCCAGAACAGCAGGTCGGAGGCCGTGCTCCGAAGCACCGGAAGACTCTTATATAGGCTCTCCTGGAGCCGTTCGACCAGGGCTTCCAGACAGGGCATGCCGTAGAAGGTCCAGATGCGGACAGAGGCGTAGACCACGATGGATAAGCGGAGGGTTTCTTGGAAGGGGGTGAGCGTGCATTGTTCTGGAAGCCACAATAGTCGATATGAGAGGTACAATAAGCAATCATTCTCGACCGACATCGGCTCGGCGACCGAGATGTCCAGGCTCTCGTAATAGGCCACTAGCTGCTGAAATAGGGAGATAATTGATCTGAATGACGGAGGGAGGTCTCTTGACCAGGAAGAGGTGAAGAACCGGGTGCCGATTTTGGCGAGTTTCGTAAATCGGTTATTCGCTTTGAAAAAGACGGACTCTTTAAAGACTCTTTCTTGATATTTCTTGCACATCGGGAGTGCCGGCGGAGCGTTTTTAATCATGCTTCGCAAGAACACGCAACTGAGAAAGGTTGAATAGGTGTTTATAACAGTCTAGTGAGCAGCCCTTACCTATAGACCATGGCCAGTGTGCCAAACTCCAGCTGGTCCATACCGCCTGTCGCGACAATTATTTTTTCCATGCCATTCATATGCGCCTCGACGGCCTCCACATTGCCTTCCACTCCCTATGTGATGTGAGTCTCCGAGCTAAAGAGATAGTCAGGCAAAAGTCTTACTTCTGAAACAATGAGGTGGGCAATAAGAAAGACGGTCGACTCGGAGTATACCCTGGTCTTATTTTGTAATATCTCTTGAACCGATTTGATGGTCCCAACGCGGAGACGCAGTGCATCTTGCGCGGGTTTCATCACGGCCTCTGCAGGCGCACCACACGCCTCCAGAATGGCAGCTCGGTGCGAGGCACTGATAGATAACTTAATCTGCATCAAGGCAGGGTCCTCAAGTGCCTTTTGCCAGAACCAGACCACTACGCCGCTGGAGCAGAGCGGGAAACATGATCTTGAGCTATGGATTCGATCTATCACATTGTGAGCTTACTAGCATCCACAAAAAGCAAAACAGGGAGATGGTAACATGTACTCACAATGTTGGAAATAGAGATTGGGATTTTGGTTAATGGCAATCGAAAGGGCGGGCGCCCCGTCGAGGACTCCTGCTTCGAGCGAGGTGACAAAAACAGGCGGCTCCTGAACCCGAATGAGCTCACCTTCATCGCCCTGCGGCTCTTTCTTGGGCTGCCGCCGGCGACTTGGCTTGGACGAGGGGGCGGCCGCAGGATCCGAGGCTGGCGGGCAGTGCCCGCTGGGAGCCTTTAATTGCTGCAGCTGCTTCTCCCTACGCATGCGATGGTGTCGCGTCCGGACAAAGGCCTGTTTGGACCGGGACAGCTCGCGGCCCTGTGATTTATCATCCTGGTAGTCCACCCAGAGGAAGTCCCCTGGCGGGCGGATGACTAAATTCTTGGACTCTGGGGCTGATTTCACAAATTTGGGGTGTGGAACCCGGCTCGACTGCTCTCGGGGCTGATCGGATGGCATGACTCGACGCTGGGGGAGGTCGACTGGCAGAGCTTCCAGCCCGAGGAGGGTGGCTGTGATAGCTGGCTTTGTTCTTCTGGTGGTGAAAATTTCCCCTGACCGCTCGGACCCCTGCGTGAGGCGTTCCAACGTGTGGTTGTTGGTCGTTGGTTGTTGCATCGATGTGGGGGCGGTTGGGATTACCCCCAAGGCGGTCGCATCGACATCCGAGTGCTAACTCTTCCTAGTAACTACGTCTGACTGACTAAGGCGGTTATACCCCGGCTGAGTATCATCCAGCAAGGAGTACGTATGTCTTGTATGAATACCCTATGTTCTGCATTTCACAGATTCCCAAAATTGCACATTAGACCCCGATCAACTGCTCAGCGTAGGATAGGTATCATGTACTTCCCCATCAGGAACCTCCGCACAAAGCTGAGCACGGTCATCTCGTTCAGTACATTCTTCTGTACATAGTTTTCCCTTCTTGACAAAAGTCATATACCAAGTAGCGGGGTTGATATTTCCCACCCTCCAAGCTTGGGTATTGTTGCCGCCTTTCCTGGCTGGGACACAAACACGGTTTTTTTTTTTTTTTTGGCGAATTCCGTGCAACTGGTTCCAGAAACTGGACCTCGTGCACATTCCAAGAGCCCACACTCGGGGCGAAAAGGGACAGGGCTGGAAGTGGAAGTGCCGGTTGTGATCGAACTGGTGGTCATCGTCGTCGAGCTGGTAGGCATGGACGTCGTTGATGGGGTCGTGATGAAAGTGGTATTGGAGCTAGCGGTGGTAGTGCTTGTTGTTGATGTTGTGGTAATAGTGGTGGACGTAGAAGAGGTGGTCGGGAGAGTAGTAGTTCTGGTTGCCGTTGTGCTCGCAGTAGTGGTAGTGGTAGTGGTAGTGGTAGTGGTAGTGGTAGTGGTAGTGGTAGTGGTAGTGGTAGTGGTAGTGGTAGTGGTAGTGGTAGTGGTAGTGGTAGTGGTAGTGGTAGTGATCGTAGTGGTGGTACTCGGTGTGATGGTGGTCGTAGTTGTGGACTAGGCGTTGGTGGTCGTAGTCATCGTCCTCAGGGTCGTAGTAGTAGTGGTGGTAGTGGCAGTAGTATTCAAACTTGAGCTTAGTACTTAGGTACTGTACTTTTGATGGACAGTCGATATGTGGACGCAGGTCCAATAGACCCCCGGGGATTCTAGACCCGGCACGGTCAGATTGGATGCGACTTGACTCCACAAGGCTTAATGATCCTGGGCAGAAAGTTTTGGTTCGGTCGCGGTGTCGGGCCGCCCGAGAGTGCCTGAGGACGAACGCCAGATCTGTGAAAGCCTTATCTGCTTGCAAAATCCGGTGACGACGATGAATTTTCGAGGTTTGATGAATCAGGAGACTTCTGCGGACCGCTGCATAAACATGGAATGATTCATTCAATGCTGTGAATCAATTATGCTCTACACTATTATTGGATTTGACCAGCCGAGCCCTCATGCCATCCACAATATATATAACTGGAGCAATTTACGTTTGACGAACGTAAAATAAGAATTTACTCTATTTGTTTTCATCGCAATGTATAGCAAGCGATTGAAAATTGATATCCGCTTAAATTGTATTATCAGGATATGGGTTTGTTTGAGAACTCTGACCTGTCAACAAAGGCGACAGATTTGTCTCCAGTATGTAGGTAGGTTTAGGCTTATATAGTACTAGTTCCCGCCACTCTTCAACAAGAAAGTCTCCGTGGCGCAATCGGCTAGCGCGTCTGACTGTTAATCAGGAGGTTGGAAGTTCGAGCCTTCCCGGGGACGTTCCTTTTTTTTTCTTTAAAAGATTATTTCAATTAATCTTTTTTTCTTCTATCATGCCGTCAATCCAAGCAGTAACGAAAACAAGCATTTTTTTTATCTCAACATTTTCCAATTTTGAGTTTTTGCTTTCCTGCCATTCTTGCCTACGACTAGTCGCGTGGGCTGCGTGGCTCAACTGCCAGAGCGGAAGAAGCTGCCTAATCCCCCTTCGCCGACCAAGTCTGCCCTCCACATCGAATGAGGGGAATGCAGAAGGTTTATTCCATCTATATACTAAAAAGACACAGTAAGAAACAGAGCAAGGTATCACTGTCAATTTAAAGCTATCAGGGGAAGGAGGGGGGGATAAAGGACAGAACAAGCACGAACCCAAGTAAGCCATGCGTGCCCAATCAGAAAAACTATCAACCGACGAGAATATTGACAACAGAAGGAATCGTGATCAAACCAAAAAAAAGGATGAGAAATACACAAGCAAAAAGAGCAATGGGGAATCCAAAGAATCCATAAATCAAAACAGTAATACACAAGCCAAAAAAGCAACAAAGATCACAAGTGGCAAGTATCAAATCTGAAATGCAAGGGAAAAGTTCGCAGTTGTCGATCGGGATTGCCAGTGCATAACGAAAGCAACTCAATCCAAGCTCTTTCGACCTGGGAACAGACCGCAAAAACCTCGGTCTCAACGGAAGGGGAACACCCACTCTATGTATCAACGGCCAGGTATGGGAGATGAAACAATGAAATATGAGAAAAGGAGATTTCAACAAACGTACATACTCATAGTAATCCTGTAAACCAATCGGCTGTATCATGAACGCCGGATCAAGGGAAAACGCCGAATATCACGCGTAAAAATAGGCAAGGTAAACAACAAGAAGTTTCAAAAATAGAAGGATAAGCATCGAGAGCTGAGCAGCGAGAGCTGAGCACAACCGGGTACAACAGTGGGTATAGGAAGGTTGGTTCGGATTAACATTATCGAAGAACCCCCCTCTTCAACGAGGTGCACACAAGCAGATACGAGATGCAAGGGGTACGAAGAGTAAAAAAAAGCACATACAACATGAACATGGCCATAGAAAAAGGAGAGCAGATGGGGATAGGGCAAGCAAAAACATCAAAATAGCAACAAGGCAAAGGAGTTTCTGATGCTGGAATCAAATGAAATGACAAAAAGTCCCTGGAACGCCCTTTCTAGATAACGCCGATCCGGAATCTAGTATCCTGACCATCCACCAAGTGGGCTGCTGGACTGGCCTGGTTGGGATTGACCGGGCTGCATGGGTCCACCCGGCCCAGTGGGCCATCCAGGCATGCCGGCTGCTCCCATATTTACCGCCATACCGGAGTGTTGCTGAGGGGCGCCCATGAAAGCTTGACCGCCGGCGCCTTGAGTCGAGGGATACATCCCCCGCGCCATGCCGGGGTACCCAGTAGGACCGCCGGCAGGGAAGCCCATTTGTCCCTGGGCTTGGGCTTGTTGCTGCGCCTGGAGGTGCTGCATCTGGTATTGCTGCGGCATCTGCGGCACGGATGGGCGGTGTTGGTTGCGGGGGGATTGGTGAGGTTGTTGGCCGTGGTGAATAGGTGATGGGGTCTGCTGGGGAGCGGCCGCCATCTGCTGGGAATATTGAGGCATTCCGACACCCTGCGGACCCGACGGCATGGGGGAGGGCTGCGGTTGTGGCGGAGGCTGACCCCACATCTGCTGGGGTTGCTGCTGCGAAGGGTATCCGTAAGGAGGTTGTGCCACACCGGCCGACATGGAGGGGTTGGATCGTTGATGCATAAGGTCGGGTCGCATGCTTGGTGGCATCCCTCGGACGGGTGATTGCCCGATGGCTTGTTGGTGGGGATGCTGTGGGTATGCTTGCTGGGGCGCCATCATGGGTTGGTGATGGTGGCTCATCACGGGTTGCGCTTGGACGGGGTTTGGCATTCCCTGAGGAGGAATCTGGGCGGTTTGAAGAGGTTGAGATACAGAAAGTCCCGAGTCAAGAGCGGTAGTCGACTGTGGCTGATCCGTCTCAGGCGCCTCCCGGGGTTTGTTGTAGAACTCTTCCAGTCCCTTCAGGCGAAGATTTCGCTGGGTGGTCAGGGCTCGGTTGAAGTCTGCCGCAGTCTGTGCCTGGTGGATGATTTCGGCCCCGGTGCTGGTCTGGGTTCGGTCTGAGTAGGGCTGGCCTGTTAATTCCTGGCGTGACTGCTGCTGCGACATATAGTCTCGTAGGCGTTGGTCGTCCGTAGTGGCCATATGGATCATCGGCAGCTGGTTGAGCGCTGAAGTCGAATCTGTCACGTCCAAAGAGAGACCCGGAGGCAGAGGCTCGATAACCGTGCTGAAGATCACGTCGTTATGCGGAAGTGCTGGTAACGTATTGTGACGCTCGGCCTCTGTGGCTGTTCCATCTCGAGCCTTCGCAGCACCCGGACGCTTCTCACCCGCCATATCATCCTCGGTGAAGCCCTGTTTCCTAGCCTTGCTTTCCCAGTAATCGTCGCGAACCCGGCGACCGTTGACAACCACGCGACTCCCAAACTGACGGAACATCGATCTCGCGGACACGATTGCGATTTGGCGGGATCGGTAGGAATACGGCAGGATATCTTGCTGGATCAAGTCGTCTTTCTCAACCTGAGATGCGATGATCTTGTGCAGGGATCGATTCTTGTTGAACAGGAGGTACGAATCGCGGTAGTTCAATACTCTTGCGCACTCAGTCGCCAGCATGAACAGTTTGGTACCTCGGTTGGGTACACGGAACGTTCGACACTTATATTCTCGACCACCCTGCGGGTATCCCATGGCGTCCACCTTCTGCTCTCCTGCATCATCGAATTCTTTGGCGATATATTCGTCCCCTTCATCGTTCAGCTGGTCGGAGGTGTGATCGCGCACAGTCGGAAGGGCCTTGACAAGTGTCTTGGTCGGTGTTGTCTTATCGGGAGGCGATGCAAGAGGGGGCGATCCAGCTGCCTGGTGTGGGAGTGGGCGAGACTGCATTTGCGGCGTTTGCACTGGGGTACCTATAGTCGCTTGGTCATTGGAACCTGCTCCTGCTCGTGGTGTCTTCGGGGGGCGACCGCGCTTGCGCCGGCCTTGGTCCTCTGCAACGCGAAAGAAACAGATGTGTTAGTTCGGTCTGACTACAAAGCCGCAAAGGCAGATGCGACCGGACAGATCATGAAGTAGGATAGGAACAAAGCCACGGGAAGCGGACACGAAGGCCTTGGCGGACAACATGACGACACATTCCTCGTCCATTGTGCACGTACCATCATCCTGATCTCCTGTATGTCCGTTCCCACTGTAATCTGGGGTGCGACTACGCTTGACACCACGGGGACTTGGTTCAGCAGGGGATGGTACCGGCAGAACCGAGACTAGCGGGGGCATCAGTCTCGAGGCAGATGATGAACAAGGAGAGTAATAGAGAGCAGAAAAGTCAAGGGTCTTTTGCGCGTGCGATACAGAGGACCGATCGCGCCTGCGCGGGGTTTGCGCCAGAGATAGAGAGCGTCGCGATAGAACCAAGGCCGAGCATGAAGGCCGCGCGGTCACGACGAACGGATAAACCACAATATAGGGAGGGGACGTGACATACCGGAGTTGCTCAGATTTGCCGGGTCGATGGTACCCGAGCCATCGACAACCTCTCCTCCCATTCCGTTCATCGTGGTGCGGGAGTGAGGCGTGCCATACATAGTCAGAGAACGAGATCGGGACGGCAGCGAAGGCCGCGAGAAGGCGCGTCGAGAGGGCGCGCCTGGCGAAGTCGCGATGGAGCGACGAGAGGGTGACGGTGGCGCGCAAGAAAGCGGGTAGACTAGGCTTGCATGCAGATAGGCTCCAGCCTCTGAGGTCGATCAGCGGGAAAGGTTGGAGGTCGAACTGGAGCTTTTGGTTGATGGTTTGCGTTTGAGAGGGGCGAGGCGGTGAGTTTAGGTGCCTGAGGTTTGTAGTGTTAATGCCTGGGTGCCTTGACCCCGACGGAGGGTGCCTGACGGGAGCACGTGAGTATAGTTCGGAGGCAGCAGGGAGTCTGGGAAAAGACCGACGCCTCCTTTCTGGCTCTGCAGAAGAATGGAATTATACCACAAAAGCAACGCCGCAAGTCCACAGAGCAAGGAAACTAGCCCCGCCCTTGCACAGAATCAATGCGAGGGGGAAAGTGGGCGCGTCGCGTGATTGGTCACAGGGCTGGAAGACTGAATAATGGCTGCGGCAAGTATGAATAATGTGATCCTCGAACCTAGTGAATATTACCACGAGCAATGACCTAGGCCATCGTTCACAAATAGAGACAAGACGAGCAAACGCGCAGAGGTTCGGGAAGTGCCAAGCCCGGCTTCATAGGCAGGATCGGATATTCAGCCTTGAAGGATCAGATCTGGGGGCAACTTCCTTTTGTCCTGGCAGCGTTCGAGTGCGGGTACGGCGCGCAGTGTCGGGGCGTGGAGGGGGAGCCAAAGACAAACCAGATCGCCGTGGAACCGGGGTTTGTACCGCTCGAGTCGGATTCTGCTCGTTTGGGCCGTTTCTTTTTTGGCGGCCTCGATTTTCCCCTCGATTTTCCCGAGGTGACACCGCGATCGCAGATGGGGTTGGCAGATTTAGGACCCTGCGTGGGCAAGGGAAAAGGGGAGCGTAACCGTCGTACAAGTAGGATTGGAAATCGCCCATTCCTCGAGGGGCGGCTGGGGAAATAGGACTACTAGTACACTTAGTACACTAGTGTAGTGGTAGTTGTAGTCGCAACGGACTGGGGAATGTTGGCGTTCAGAGAAAATCCAAATATTGTACATAAATAATACATCTGCGAGCAGGATTAAAGGCTAAATAAGGCTTTCCGGTCCGTGTGTGCCTTACAAAACTTCCTATTTCTAAACGGCACCGAGTTCTAGACTACCACATCGGTATAGTATATGATAACCTGGACCCTGTCCTTCTTTTTTTTTCTCCATGTCCAGGTCGTACTTTTTTCTCTTTTCACGCTCACATCACACAGCGAAGGACACCGCTCGCTGTGATAGGCCTTCCGGGACTATGATCGAGCTCGGCCGGCCTGGGTTGTGTAACTTGAGGTGTCTTAAAATCCATTCTCTAGGCAGATGTGAAGACGCGAAAGAGCAAGCCGACACAAAACCAGAGAAGACGTGATCGACCGCCATCGCCTTTAGATTTCCCTGGGGAGAACCTTGGTACGGACGATATACTCTGACCGCGACAGCCATGCATAATTCGCAACAACTTGAAGCGGGACATGGGCCCTTCGTTTCTGCAGCAGCGCCAAATCATAGCCAATCCGCATAAACGATGCGAGTCGGACTACATGGGGTGGAAGACTAGCGGTAACCATCAGCCTTGAGGCAGATCCATAGGATGGTATAACAACTATCTACTAATGCTAATGCTTGGTTAATGCGAGACTGTTCCCACTCGACCACAACCGCAACTACGAGACGAAGCTAGCACTAGTAGAAGGACAATTCCTGTTTTTGCACCGACTTCGCTTTACCCGGGTGATAATCCCCCGGAAAAAAGAAACAGGAGCAATGGGGTCCATCGAAATTGCCGAGAGGGGAGCTCAGGCCGCATCTTGTCAGCCGGACGAGACGAGCTAGCGACGATTTCGGCCTAGCGGGTGATGAAATGATCCATGGCGGTGATGCTCCTGCGTGATGCCCGAGGACCGCGGTCGATGAGGATACCCCTCAAAATTGCTGTTGTAGTATATTATAGACGGGAATCTCTCGAGCGGTGCGATGCTGTTGCGACATTTAGATGCTCCACGCATCGCCAGGTGTTCCCCTGGAGGGGGATGGAATGGTCACGTTCGCAACCTGCCCCGCGATCGAAAGAGGCAGATGACCTCCCAAACGGTCACTTGAGAGCGATCAACGGTCCATGCGCCCGAATTTCAAATACCATACCCTGCTAGTGGGTCCAAAGTTAGGCGCGAGATTTTCGTAGAACAGCCTTGTCACTCGCATCCCGAGAAGAATTCGAAAATAAAAATAGACAAGACCCGACGGCTGTACGAAGGCCGGATGCACCGCGCCGCCCAATAATGATCACAGGCCCGCTGGAAAATATTCAAAATGCGCAAAGTCCAAAGCGGCAATCATCCTTTGATCGACCTCGCCGGGTCTTACAGCAGGCCGGCCTCCTTCGCTGCCGCTTACACGCTCGGCTCCGGTCCAGCTCCTGTTGCTGTTGCACAAGCGAAGGCAATCCGGGGCCTTCCAAGGAACCCAAGGTGACTCTGCAGCGCCCAGTTAGGAAAATGATGGGTCCATTCTGTGCTTCAATTTCTCAGGGCATACTTGGGCGGGAACAACGTGAGAAACAGCTAGGGCCTTTGTGATCCACGGCTTCGGATGTAACCCGGGGAACTCGAGACTGGATGCAGGAAATTATCTTTGGAACATCTGATATGAGGAGCGGGTAAACGTGTTCAGAATAGTGTACATGCACTACGTAGAGTCCGGGGGGACTGCGAGGGTGTTAGTTTTCGTCATCGTCGATGATATACCGTATCAAGTAGTATTCATGGGGTCATATAACCACACATCTCCCCGCCAGATGATATGCATGCCGAGGATTAGTCGTATGTTCCTCATTTGATACCCTGCGGCGCAAAGCCTTCATCGAATCTGCGGATTCAAACTTGGAGCATTCCTCCCTAAGTTGACCTTGATCCTTGCTGTTCTTATTCAGCGGGGCTTAGGCGGCCCGTTGCGCCATTAACCTACAGAATGGGAACAACCACATTCGGCCAGCGCGATGTGATCCTGTCTCAACGATATGACAGGTCGACACAATCAAGTCGAGCATTCCAATCCTCTGGCAACCCCTGTCCTGACCAGATCTAGGGGCCGCAGAATGAGAGAGTTTCTGCGTCGGTCACTTCGATGCAACGGCAGCAAACCAGGCGCCAATCAACGGATACGGCAACATAGGTCGCGAACAATGAATCTGCTCATCACAAAGCTTAATGGGACAAAACACCCCTTCGAGGCGCTGAAGAGAATCGGATCCAGGAAGGCGGCAGTATTCTGCGACGCGGGGGTAGAAGAGGGGAGTCATCAAACCCTGGTCTGGTCGCTCATCCTTGGCTCCCGAGGGACACCGAATGTTGCCATGACAGGCAAGTCAAGAAGCAGATCAGGGCCTCCGATTCGAGTGGAAATGGTATCCCCGGTTGTGACTCTGTGGCATGTGGACACCGAGTCATCACGCGCGAGGAGCGCCTCCTGGATGTTTCGCTTCGTTGATGATATTTAGTCAGAGCTTCCATGGACAGCGACGAAAACGTTCTAATTCGGAGCGTTGCGTGTCGGGGTCAACGCCACGCGTTGCACGGCTGGCGATGATGAAAAGGCTAGAGCGGATCTATCACAGTTCCTCGGCGCCTAGGGTCTTGGAATAGCCTCAACTGCCGGTCCTAAACTCTGTTCTTCGGTCTGAGCTCTGTCATGCCCTGGTCACAATTGAGACATCTCTGAAGATGTCCAGACCCACCGGATGCGAACATCCAATCGTCCATCTCAGGTTTGCAGATCGTGTGAATTTCATGGAATCGGAAGCAGGGTCAAAGCCTTCTCGAGAAACCAGGCAGAAGAGTCATCGCAGTGGCGCTCTTCCATTGCCATTCCTGGAAATGCTGGATGTAACGACATCGCATCTCTCGGAGTGCTCAGCTATATCTGACAGGGCTCTCTGCCAAATGGATTGAGTTCTTACATCCGGAAGGACGGAGGATTCAGCTTGGCCCACGGCATGCCAGTTCAAACCCTCAACCCTACTGTCGAATCGAAACGTGCCAGGGGTGCCTTTGTCCCGATAACTGGGATCGTGCAAGGTTCCAAGGCGGGCCTGCAGAAGAGTCATGTCCGTTTCTCCTCCCGGTGTTCCAGAGCTCTTGTCGGTCGCGCTCGTGCATTAGCGGGCGCCAGGAATGTTTCAGGCTGCAGTTGGAGCCGGCAGGCGACGTGCGTCGTTACGCACGGGGCAATTGGAACCCATGACCCAACGATCGGGATCGGCGGTTGGAGAATGTCATCCGGTGATGTGCAGTAGTGTCCGAGAGTGTGAGTGTGAGAGTTGCTAGGAGAGTGAGAGGGGAGGGGCGGAGGTGGAGGATGGGAGATACCCAGGGGCGCGGGTTGCGAGCTTAAACTACCCTAAGGCATCGCTGATTGTAGTTTGGTCTGGACAGCTGGTGGACCGCCTGCAAAGAAGGCTGCATAACATGGAGCTAGCTTTCGAAGCTGTCGAGGATTATCAGATGATTGATAACCCGGCGGGTCATTATTGGGAGTTGAGCATAGTTGCAAGATGCACTTATTCAAGATGCATTTAATCTAGGGAGATAGCTCACTGACATGGTACTTCTCACTGACATGGTACTTTGGCTCCATGGTCCCCATACTGGAATCTAAACTTGGATTAACCCATGCAAATAGGATGCACTCGTCGCTTCGAGCGAATACAAGCTTAGCCGTTATATCGAATTTCTTGCAAAACAATCTAGAATCCAGAGAACATTTGCGATTCATGCCTGGCAAGTACCTCCAGCACGAGCAATCCGTGCCCCAACCGGTCCAGATCACCCAAATAGACATGCAGGGTCAGCCATGCCTGACGTGGACCGGATCTGTTTGTTCCGCCCGGCGACCATAGCAACGGGACAGCACATCAACACGACCTGCATCTACCTCTTCGAATGGAAAGACAACCACCAGTAGCTCACAATCTCGAGACCGAGCCGAGAATTATCGCGGCATATGTGGCTTCTCCGATTCTAGAGTAGATGCAGACATGCTACTCGAGCTGAGAATGCGAGGAGCTCTGGATCGGACAATGTACCTCGAGTCAAAAGATGCGATCCGTTGATACTGTGACACCCATGCCCAGGGGACTAGATGTTCGATTTGCGCCACATAGCGCTCAGTATCCACTGCTATTCTCGAATATCGACACAAAATGCATCTCTATAGCGAGTTGTAATGGATACTCACATGTATGCGGAAATCAAGTCTCGCATCAGCTGTTCACCCAGACATCGTATGCGATCGGGGCGACTCCTTGCCATCACACGATGCGTTCTCGTACCATCGTGCGCTCGACGGGCCCGTGATCGAGAGATAAAATGAGCGCAGAGCGTATATCCGATGCGAGCTGGCAGTAGCAGCTGTTCAGGAGTGGCAAATATAAGCACAGCGGATCTTATTTTCCGTTCCTGACGCGGTCAAATCGGTCCATTGCATGCGCCAAGAGACTCATCTCCGAATTGCAAGCACAACTACCGCAGGCCCAGGGCGTCCTGCGACATCGCGACCGGTGTACTAAGTGTTGCCGTACTTTCTTTTGTTTCGACCTGCTCGCATCCCGTTCTTCGCCCTGCAATATCAATCTTTCCAATCGGCCTCTGAACGAAACGGCCGATCACGCAATTGAGGGATGCACTACGATCCACGTGGTCCACTTTAAAAAAGAGTAGCGTACCATCGTGATGCGATGCTTGGCTGGGTGAAGAGGTGAGCGGGTCCTACTACTGAGCAAGTGCCCGGGAAAAAATCCGCGCTGGCTTGGAATTTTGTTCGGTGGCTGTTTTCAGACCGATAGAGTGGGGGATCGTCGAGGCCACGATCGTGACATGTGTGAGGAGCGGCGCTGGGCGAGGGCGAGGCGAGGGCGAGGCGAGGGCGCCGGGGGCGTTTGAGCCCCGTCGGAGATGGATGGTCAGCACGCCATTTACGGTGATTCCAGAAGGCCTCGGGAAACACGGAGAAGATATATTATGTATTCCAATATGTAGAGTACATGGGGCAGTACTTCGTAACTTGGAATTTCTTAAGGGTCGACTGAAGAGGCCGGCGGTGAATCTCGGCATTCCTGCCTCTCGCGTTGCTGAGTCACCGCTTTCAGGAACTGTGGAGACAAGCGATTCAACCGCGGCAAAATGGTGAAATCGTGATGGATCTGCTATTTTTTTTAAAAAATTTATGAATTGTGGTGAAGAGTCGAATCAAACAGTGACGACTCTTCGCATCACGATGATTCCTCTTCGCATCACGATGATTCCGGATGCGAGTGAGGTGGCTCGGATTTCCTGACGCGGTAATCCGTGGGGATCGTGAGTTCTATTCCGGACGAGCAGATAAGCTATGGACCGCCGACTTTTGCACGGGGCTCCACCGAAAAATTTCGAAGCATCAACTGATCAGCCTTCTCCACTCGGCCTTTGCCTCTCACCCCCCGTGTAGCCGGCTAAACGTGAATTACACATTTTGCTAATTCTTTGCTGGGGGGCGAAATCAAGCCAGAACAAGTTGGAGGCGATCCCGCCAATGAGAAAAATTAACTATGGATGTAAAGTAATGGTGAATCATGGGCAGAATCTTGGACTAGAGAGTTTGGGAATCAAGAAGGGCGAACCGCCGAAGCCGGCTGGCCGGTGCAGAACCTTTTGAAATGCGCTGGCGATTCTAGAACCGCAGAAAGGGTGACACGGCCACCCAAGCCCCGTTCCCCACGTCGATCCGCCCGTCCTAATCGGGCTCGGCACCTTTTTTTTAAAGCCTGCCCTCCCTTACTCTCCCCTCGACTCTCCACGTTTCTTTGCTCCAACATCGTGACTTCGTTTCAATTCTTCGAACGAAGTGAAAAAATCTCCACTGCACAATTTGAAGATCCCACCGTCCACCACATAATAAATCGGTCCTAATGACCGTAGCCATCGGCGTCGAACCTAATTCGCCGTCTCCAGCTCGTGCCGAGCCTCTCTTCCAAAAGAACGCCAACAAACGCTGGCCCCCAATGGCCAACCGCAACACCCTCCCCTACAAGCTCACCGTCATTTCCAAAGAGAAATTGACGCGGGAAGCCACTGCGCCAGACCCTAATCTGCGCCGCTGCGTCGCCCACTTCCGCCTGCACTGCGGCTCCGTCCAATGGACCGAGAACGACATGAAGTCGCGCATCAGCTCCTTCGAATTCGAGGAGACCGACGACGAAGAGGAGTCAGACGATAGTCCCGCCGATGAGAAGGAAGATCTTATCCAGAAGACCATTGTTCGTGTCCAGGTCGCCGAGGACGAGAAGAACGACGCTTCCACGCCGCCTCCTTCCCAGATCCCGGCCGATAATGGCCCGATCTTGGTGCAGAGCCAGGACTGTATCGATGCTCCCAAGAATTACTGCTGCGTCACTGTTACGCCGTTGGCTGGTTGAGCTGGACTTGATTCAAACTTGTCCTGGTATTTGTCATACTACACCACACCACCTCACCTCATCTCACGACGCCACCACCTCTACTCGATTCACCTACTTCATCTTCGACCGATAATGATTCACGACTTGACGACCAAATAACGATAGACCAAAACCGAGACCTGTATATAGCTACTGTCCTATATCTAATTTACCGAGAAACTATTTGCTGGCCAACTTTCTCTATTCACTTCGATATGGGCTTTTCCTAATCATAATTACTATGTAGGTTTATAACAACTCCTACTCTCAAACCCATCGCCTAACTGCTCGTATCTCACGATGTAATATGACTCAGACCGATGGGTGGGTCAATCAGGACACCCATAGCCGAATCTCGGACTAAACGATGATCTCGCCAACGCAGAGGAGAACACCACGATATCAAATTTGGGGGACCCTGCAGCCCCAGTCTCATGTAGCAAAAGTAACAACACAGCATAACGGCCCCGTGATTCGTGCAGGGTGTGATCCTCAGGGCGGTGGTGGCGAATCCCCGGCGATCCATTGCCGCATGAGACTGCCAATGTTTTGTCGTCTCCACCCCGTCGCGGTCTCCATAGTAGCGACGAGAAAACTATCGAACGCCAGGTACAGTCATGTGTACACTAATTTGGGGACGGTGATCGGCCGAATATTTGGCCTTGATGATCATCGACAGAATGTACGAATGCTCTGTGAATAGTATGTAGTAGAAGGCAATTGACTTTCCTAGCATTGGTGTTTAACCCCTTGAGGTGGCTATAAGCTCTGACTGGGCATAGACAGGAACATGCTGACTGTATACCGTGGTCGCGGAGGCAAAACAAGATGGCTGGAGCTATTCTTGTCATGAATAGCTGAGTTGACATGGGCATTTGGTCATCTCTCGAATCGAATCTGTAGAGAATCCTGCTTCGGCCCAGCAGGCGGAAGCAGGGTTCTCCACGCCACTAACGTGTTGTTGGATCTGACTGGTCGGCATCTCACCCGCGTGCTACCCCGGATTTCCTGGCAGCTATTGTGTCATGGTATCGATTCTATGTATAGTGGGCATGGATCGAACGCTTTAACGTCATACATACGTTCGCTTTTGTTCTTATTCAAGGTGCTCACCTCGCTTGGCGGGATTTCCTAAATTGCTTATCCCTTGACGAGACTCGAAATAGTAAACCGATAGAAATATTCCACAGGATATTGCGACGCTTTGCCACTACAGTATGATAAAATGTGATTGATATAGGTAGTGCGTCAGAAACAGGGACTTTTGTCATTGGGAAGCTACGAATAAAGGACAGAGCAAGTACAAGACAAAAAGGGAAATGTACTCGAATGTGATCAATGCGCTGCTCTTGGACTTCCATGAACAAGTATCGGTAGTTCATGTCGAGACCCTAGCTGATTTCTCGTGCCAATTTCTAAACCTACTTCCTCTTTTCATCTCAAAATCCTCTCAAAGTTAGGATGCTGGGATGGAACACCGAACTTTCATTTGGTATCCAGAGTCTTTAGTCACATACTACACGCTTTACTGAACTTGGAAAGTCAGCTTTGGTCGTATAACCTTCCGTACTCACTGATGACTCTTACTACTGCCTAGAAACGGTAACGTCTACCTCCCCATCCCCAAGCTCAACCTGCCACCCACCCCGCACCCTCTGCACATCCCCCGAAACATCAAACTCATCCTCCGTACCAGGCATCTCAACCCAAACAACCACCTTCTCCGCGCCAGCAGGCCCAGAAACAACCCGCAACACCACATCACCCCCACCCTTCTCAAAAGAAACCCTCTCAATCTGCCCAGCACTCATACTAACATAAACACCCATGGAGGCGATGTACACACGGCGCCGTACCGCATCTCGTGGATATACCGTGATAACACCACCGCGATCCTCCAAGTTCGCTCCATACGCCAAAAGCCCGACATCGGGATCCTCAACCACATAAACACCCGACCCCAGCATGACTCCGAGGAAATTAGGACCGTAGTCGCCGGAGTAGTCGTCGCCGCGGAGTGTGTCGGGGAACGAGTGGAAGCCATTGTACACCGAGCCGTCGGCGCGGATGTTGCTGAGTGGACCGCTGATGCCCCCGTAGCCGACGCGGAGGAGATAGGTGTCGTTGGGGGTTTGGCGGAATTGCGAGAGAAGCGGGAGGGCATTTAGTGACGAACCGTAGTGGTGGATCATTCGTTCGATGCGTTGGAGTTTGCCGCCGTAGCTGGATGGGGGTGGTTAGTTACATTGATATAGGAGTAGTGTTCGGGGATGAGGTTCCCTACATAAAGTCCCAGTATCGTCGTGCATTTCCATTCCAGCCCCAGTGGGAAACAGTTGGCATAAAGCCAATGATGCTGTTGATGGTTTTGGTGGCGGTGTTCTTGAGGTTGAAATAGCTTGAAATGTGCTTGATTAGAACAGAACCCGCCTAACTAATCCATCGATGTCGACGACTTACTTGCTCCAGTAATAGATCCCCTCTTGACCTGTCGAGTCCCAGGCCATTTCACTCCCAAACGGCTCAGCCTCAGAATCCCACCTCTCAGCTCGAAGCTTCATCGCCGCTTCCACGGCATCCGCCTCATCGGTCCATCCCTCACGGCGGAGATCAGCAAGCAGCTCCCCGACAACAGTCTCGCCCATTAATCCCAAACGCGAGTAGCCGATCAGTCCTTCCCCATTCGAGTCCGTCGCGAAGCAAGTGACTGTCGTATTATATGCTTGGCTAAGATACCATTGCCAAGTGTGGACATTCAAGACAGAGGCATCATCCCGTCCGGCACGGTAGAGCGCCCAGTATGCGCCAATCACATGGATGTAGTCATATGCGCGATCTGTAGCGTACGAGGCTTCTTTGTTCCAGGACCACCAGTTGCCCCAGTCGATTGATTGGTCGTATTGGTAGCCGGGGATCTTGGAAGGTTCGTAGAAGAAAATGCTCTTGCGGACGGTGAAATCCGAGTTCTGAATATTCTTCGACAGGACCTCGTTGGCGAATTCTTCGAGTTTGGCGATTTCTGAGCGATCGGCTAGACCGAATTGCTTTATTGCTGTTGCGAGGTAGATAACGCCGCCCTCGTCGCTTAACCCTGAAATCCAGACTCGGGGTTCCTGGAGGACTTGTGCTTTGCTGGCATGATCCCATGTTATCACAGACGGAGACCGACCAAAGGGATCTTCCGTGTCATTGTACCACATCGATGTGGTCGAGAACTCGCTCAACTTGCTGATCACCGACGGCAGGGACTCCGTGATAAAGTAGTGTATTGTTTGGATCTTGCCGTCGTCATAGGTGATGGTCACCTTTGTTCGTCCCCAGACCGAGCCAGTAGGCGTCAGCAAGAGTGTCCCATTCTGGTTCTCGATCTTAAACGCATCGTCGTCCGACGTGACCTTGGAAATGCCCAAATGAAACACGTATAGTTGAGCCGTCAAATCGACCGGCACCACATACCCAGGAACTCCAATCGTCATCGGCGTATTGGTTGATTGAACCGCTTTCTGGATCCCGCGAGGGCCATCTTTAACAACAGAGAACCGAAGCCCATACGTGACCGACTGATCCGCCTTTAGAATCTTAGAGCTCGGCTCATTCCAAGGCGTGACGTCTGTCCATTCATCTTCAGCGTAGGCCTTGGTATGAACCTGCCATTCATAGAAACCCTCAAATGTCTGACTACCATAGTAGAGGGGCTCTGTACTAGGTTCGTCCAGATTTCTCCACGCCTCAAAGGGTGTGCTGGTATTCAGTAACGGCGTGACGATCAACGCCGCCCCTGTCCCGGATGTCGGTGTGACCTGGATATACCCTGCGTCTAGACCGATATAAGGATCGGCGAGCGAGCATTTAGCGGACATCTCTTCTGCCGTCCGATTGCTGAAGATGCTATTGAATTCGGTCGGGAAGCCGAGGCTACCGATCTCTAAACTGCTGTTCCCGATGTTTGTGATGGTGAATGATAAGGCCAGGTCGCCGTCGATATCTGTCCACTTGCGCAGAATGTGTAGTGGGGAGTTGGCTGGTAGTGTCGAAGTAAGATCTGCCGCTGCGAGAGCTGCATTTTTCACTGCCTTGATACTCTTTCGAGCGTTGGAAGAATCACCTGAGATCCATTGTGTATCTCCCAATTTGCGATAGCGGTATGTGATGTCTCCGTTGTGATATTGTCCATTCCCTGCCCGATATGTGATATCGTCAAACGGAAGGAAGTCAAAGTTGTCGCCGGATGGCTTGAGAGACGCAAGGGTTTGGGAGTCTTTCACCAGTTTGATGTCGAAGTTTGCAGTCGACAAGGATGTGTATCCATCAGCAAGACCGAGGGTATCATTTTGGGCATTCGCTCCAAGGGCAAAGAGCCCGACAATATGGCTGATCTGCAGTCTCATAGAGTGGGTTATGGGGCTATCTCAAGGATAATCGATCATTGCATGGCGTCGTCTCAGTTAGTGACAGTACTGACGTGCCGCAGAGGAGACCTGGTCTTAAGATAAGTGATGAACTCATTGAGCTCATGTTTCGACTAGAATGGCCGGTTAATTTGCAGCTGCAGCTGTTGTTTGGGGTCATTTTCCTGTGGAGAAATCAATCTCCGTTGTGTATTAACCGGGTTGTTGATCAGTTACCCCACACTTGCTCCGTAGCGTTGCATTGAGAAATTGTCTCCGAAATGAAGACTCATAAAATCAGACAATGTGCCTGATCCTGATGCAAGGTCATGCATGGTATATTGTCGGGTTCTGGGAAAGGACTCGGGGAAATTCTTGAGAAGCGGTAGATGATTTGCTCTCGAGTTGCAGTGATGATCCTCGGACAATCTGATATTTGATCCGCTTCACTGGGGAACACGACGTGGTTGAGGAACCCCAAGCCACTGGCCAGAGGGCATATCCACGAGCCTGAATGACGGTCGATATGTGGATGGTACTTTCCCCTAGGGTATGCCACTTCTACCTGAGGCCACAAGAGGCCCCCTCCCTGCGCCAGATTGGGACTAGCGCCGCCCCCAAATGTACAGCCCTGCTCGTGACGACCGGAAGGACTAAATGTCTCGCAGCTTCCTATGACTTGTCTTACTCCTCTGACTTGTCCTCTTGTTTCTCATTCTCTCTCCTCCCTCCCTACTCCAGTCAACAATGAGCCGCCACACTTTTTTACGACGGCACCATCGTGGTGCTGGAAAGCATCCTCGACTCTCTTTCTCACATCCTCAAACAAGCCGAGGAGCGCCCCGATGCCAATGCCCTGCTCGGAGCCCGGCTACATGAGGATATGTACCCCTTGACCGACCAGGTCCGCATCGCGACTCAATTCTCAGAGAACATGGCGGCCAAGCTCACCGGTCGGCAACCAACTGTGTTCGAAGGCTCCCCGATGACCTTTGCCGAATTCAATGAGCGGATCGAGACAGTCCGCAGAATCCTCAAGGAGGCTGATAAGGACGTCGTCAATGAAAACTGCGACAAAGTTGCTCCCACTCCTATTCCCCCTGCGAGTTCGATTGATATGAGCCCTGCTACCTACGCCCATCGCATTGCTCTGCCGAATATCTATTTCCACCTTTCTACTGCTTATGGGATCCTGCGGAAGGCGGGTGTTCCTCTTGGCAAGCGCGACTACTTTACTGGCTTTTACCAGCCCAAGATGGCTGGAGGCAACTAGAACCAGGCATTTATGGATATACCACGTCTGCTCCCTGTGTGATTGCGAGTCTCCATGCTTTCTGGGCAGATAATGGTGTCTGGTTCCTTCGCGCAACGGAAGCTCTGCCTTGGTCAATCCAATGATATTTGCACACTCTACTCATCTGTACGAAACATGTGAATACGAATTTAGAAAAATTGAACCTATAGAAGTCTTGATTCCATGGATATCTGCTAATCAATAGCAAACTGAATTTGGCGTCAGATCATTAAACGAAAAATACATACAGGAATCAATTGCCGAAGAGAGACCTTATCGGTGAACCTCAAACAAATTTTTCTGGGACCCCGGGCAATAAGTTCACGGGTTCTCAGCCAGAGGTTTCTGTTTCGAAGCCTTGACAGGGCTCGGACTTTCGAAAATCTCCGACAATTCCTCCAGAATATGATTCTTAGTCTCAACCGAAACAAAGTAACTCACAGCCGCCTCAAAAAGATCCCAAACAATAAACACGATGTACGTATACCAGCCAATCCTTTGCAAAGCCACTGGAAAGCAGAACTGATTGAGAAGGGTAAAGCCGTGGGCAATCGAAAAGGTAAGCCCCACTCCCTTCCCTCGTGTCTCGTAGGAAAGCGCCTCAACTGGATACAGCGCCTGCAGGGGAGTCATCCCAAAATTGTAGCAGAACCCAAAGACGAAGATAGATGCAATCCCGGCGGACGCGGCGGAGCTGGCGTGAGTATTTGCGAAGATTCCGGACCCTATTGTGATGCAGGCGAAGCAGATTGAACATGCGACGGCTGTCCAGATTATAGTGGGTCGACGGCCCATTCTTTCGATCTGGCTGGCGCCGAGGTACGATGCCATGGTGGAAACGACAGTATAGCCTAGATTGACGTTCAAGACCTGTTCCGACTCCGTGATACCAGTCGTGAGAAGCATGGCTGGGAGGTAGTACGTGACGACTGCGTTACCGGAACATTGGCCCCAGATTCCGGTGATGAGAGCGTTGATAAACCGCCATCTTCCTGCTTTGGTCTTGTAGAAGTCGCTAAAGTCCCGCCAGCGCTTGCCGGATCCGGAAAGGGAGATGAATTCTCGATACTCTTGCAGTTGGAGTTGCACGAGCGGGTGATCGGGATTTCCTTCGCCATGGTAGTAGGTGAGGAATTCCAACGCCTTGTCTTCTCGACCGTGAGAGAAGAGCCATCGCGGCGACTCGGGGAAGAAGAGAACGGTGATTAACACAATTCCGGGACAGATCATCTGACACCATAGCGGAATTTGCCAGGATTTGCAACACTGTCTGAGGGCCATCCCGCGTCTGTGTGGCGGATGAGCTCTGCTGTCCTAGCCCACACCGAGCCAACCCATCCAGACTGCAATGGCGCATTGGAGTTATTGTGGCCTTTGATAGTCGACGAATACGCATCCATGATCTTAATAGCTTGTTGAGCATATTCCGTAGAGCCGCTTATTGCCCAAGCTAACGCATTCCCATAGGCAGCGATTGAGTCGTTGCGTTCCACGGTACATCCGACGTCTGGGTCCGAATACGGGCCACATTCAACGATAACATGAGGCGATGGATCCTTGGGATTTACGAAGCCTTCGTCGGCCAAAAGTGCGTTATAAGCGTCTGCCCAAGGCTGCTGCTCCCTGTTCATTTTCTCACGAATGAAATCTAGTTGAGACTGACTGATCATCGCCCCTGGGTGCACCCACTTCGAAGGAGCCGATGCAGTGACCGTCGACGGACTATCACCATAGCAGGAGGAGATGAAACCCAGCAGGTGAATAGTGGAGAGAAAAATATTGTGAAATGCCATGATGAATTGAATGTAGAATCTTTGAATGGGCTAGCACATCTGAGCTAAAAACCAAGAATCACACAATAGCTTACAGTTTTCTTGGTCAATAAATATCCAGTGTCCTGATTCATGTTTTGCCAAATATGCGTTGCAGATTCTCGGATGCAACACTCACATGGATCGGCATCAATTCGAGACTAATAGATGTACACGGCATCAGTGCGGAGTCGCGGGGTAAGAAACCGACCGACTACCGCGCATCGGACAAAGGAACAGACCGCGATGATCACTTGCCCTCTTCAAGTACCTCGGCAAATCTATTTAGAAACCAGGCGGCTTCAGCAGAATGCAACTTCCCAAAATGATATGATCCTCACGTCCGAGGAAAACCTATATCTAATATCTCATTTGATTCCGAGAAGCGAACATTGACAGCGCGAAAGGCTTCGCCTGGAAACAAGACGAGACCGCCAAAGATGACCTCGAATACTCTTCGCTTTACTCGCAGCATTGCCCTCTTTGCAGCTTTGGCGCAACCTTTGCTCGCCAAAGTCTTTTATCTTGACTGCGGGTCGACTACATCAGGCGATGGAAGCGAATCGCGTCCCTTTTCAACCCTCATCATTGCCAATCACGCTGTTTTGTGTCCTGGGGACTCACTGAAAATCAAGTCAGGGACGATTTGTGCCGGGACACTATCACCAAGGGGCAGTGGCACCAAGGAGAGCCCTATTACCTTGACGAATTATGGAGATGGACCGCTACCGATAATCAATGGCTCCGGAGTGGCCGAAGCAGTGAGCTTAACGAATCAAGATCACTGGGAGATCTCAAATATTGCAATTATCAACCCTGCGTATTCAGTGGCTTGGAGGCGTGGCATTGTGGGGACCTCAAGTGATGGAACAGCTCACCATGGCCTTTATATCCACGACATTACTGTCTACAATGTTGCCGGACAGACAAACAAAGCGACGCAATCTGACGCATTTATTGCTTCTGGCGGCATCCTCGTGAATGGCACCGAGAACGCCAGTCGCTATGACGACGTGCAAATCTATAACAATACCATCTACGATTGTGGCGGTGGCGGTATCAAAGTTCGCGTCGGCCAAATGGACAACCGCGGCAAGGGTACACACGTTTGGGGTAACAACGTATCGCACGTTGGTGGCGATGGTGTCGTTGTCTCGTATGGCGAATCATCCATAATCGAGCAGAATACAGCTGGGTTCCTTGGTCACGGCAAATACCCATGGACTGGGGGAAACTTCGCAGGCATTTGGGTGCTGGGATGTCAAGACGCAGTCATGCGGTTCAACGTCGTTCACGATTCCCTCATGTCACAGATCGACAGCGAGGCATTTGACTGTGACTGGGGAAACGAAGGCACGTGTACGGTCGAATACAACTACAGCCATGACAATGCAGGTGGAATATTCCTAAATTGCGATGGTTGTGGAACTCCCGGCGGTGCACGACAGATTGTTCGATACAATGTATTCCAAAGCGACTGCCGAGTGTATAGCAATGGCGATAACGTGCAGTTGGACTTTTATAACAACGTCGTCTACTGTCCACACAAGGATTTCGAAATCGCAGTCCCACCTCACACAAATATGTCGAACAATATTTGGGTCGGAACTGCAAACTCGACTCTGCCGAAAGGAGACGGGATTGAATGGAACGCAAACTTGTTCCAGACAGTGCCAAAACCAATGGATACTGCCGGTAGCACGGGAGACCCTCAATTTATAAGTCCCGACACGGGTCAGAATACTCTCGACTCAGTGAGTGGTTATAGGCTAAAGTCTGGGAGTCCTGCATTGCGCCTGGGTGTTGTAATCGCCGATAATGGAGGTCGGGACTTTTTGGAATAACCAGGTCTCGCAATTGAAGCGACCGAATACCGGCGCCTATAATGGCAAAGGACTGTAATCAAGAGCAGACTGGCATACTAACACAGTATGCAAAATTTCATTTGTATCAGATCATCAGTCAAAGTCCATGAACTCCTTAGTAAATATGCATAACGCCATGCCAAGCCTTATCCATCCGATTTGGTCGTAATAATCTCATGAACCGTAATTCTTAAGCATCATTGCTAGTGTGTATCTCCGTCGTGTTTCCAATACAATTTCCAAGCCACCATCGGGTAAGGTCTTGCAATAGCGACTCGCCTTTCTCTCTCAGATCGAATAATCTGGTCTTGCGTACGACAAGCTTGCTCCCGTCAAAGTATGCTTCCAAGACACGAATATGCCATGGCGCCATGATAGAAACGAGCATAATTTTGAATGGACAGTCGTCAGTAATGGCTTTGTCTTGCTGGATTTTCATTGCTGCTGGTGAAATCTCACTTACTGTAGCCGTCAAGTGAGGACGATAGTACCTCCAGAATTCCCGGGGCTCTCATAATCTGAATGGTTGCTTTGACCTCTTCCCGACTAGCTGGTCGTCTCCCATGACTGTGCTCAATATTATACCTTTGACATGCGGCAATGGAGGGTTTGGGTTTTCTTGCGGACGGCGCCGTTCCAAAGGGTATCACTGCAAGTCCACCAGATAACACGATGCAGAACTGAGTCAAGTGTCTGGAAGCGACTTGACAATCCGCCCGAAGATCTCCAAAAGTCCTATGATGAAATTTAGGATCAAATTTTGAGCCTGGAAGATATCGACAAGGACTTTGTGAAGCGTGCCTTTAAATGGGTTATGGCGACGACCGAGCCCTTGAACAGCACGAGCCTTTGTCCTAGGACTTTCCGGTATCGATATGTTTATCCCATGTGGAATCGAGATTGCGTTTATTTTGTACATATTAACCTCCATTTATATGAGCACAATAATGCGAAGAATCGATTCATTGAACAGAATTAACAAGCAACAGTTTGTGGTAGGGCCTAGGTCGTTGGCCAGATAAATCGGAGAAAATGGCTCGGATTTGAGGATGAAGAATGGCCGGGCATACATTTCGGCTGTAGACGGGAAAATGAAAGACGGAAAAAAGGAGTAATTGCGGCGAAACCATCAGAAAAGGTAACACAAAAAGCGAAAGAAAAGAGAAGGAGAATTAATCAAGGAAATTTTTAAGGGAAAAAAAGAACACGAAAAAGAATCTCCGATAGGGGGAATCGAACCCCCGGCTGCCGTGTGAGAGACGGCGATGTTAGCCACTACACCATATCGGACCACTACGGTGGAGCCTATTCCGGTTTAGTTTTTATTGTCTGAGTTTAGCGTCGTGTGTCCCTGTCCCTACGCACGCCAGCGCGTGCGTGTATCACTTCGCGCTCTCCTTCCCCTCCCCATCCAACAGCCCCCAAAATCCGTTGCCTTCTGTTGCCTTTTCATCCCTGCTCTTGCAGCTACTCTACGCGCCCTCTTTGCCAATCGATTTCACAGCCCCCGAATTTCGTTTTCTTTTCTTCCCTGCTCTTTGCAGTTGAGGCATTTTTGCTATTGATCGGGGTCTCCGAACTGTAAGCCTCGCCATCTCATCGTTCCAGACGCTGTGCAAAACGCATTTCGGAATGTCCATATCATCACATAATCCAGGGTATTTGCCGTTCACTACATCTCCTGAGCTGCTTGCCCATTCCTCATCGGTTTTGGGCAATTAAAGCTGTCACGTATCAGCTCGGGATATGGGTAGTTAACTACGTCACAATTTCTACATCAGTTAGGAAAAAATCATTCTCAAAACGTAAGCATATGCGTCCGTGTTTCTGCCTCTGAGTACGCCTTGTTGTCACTGGACCCCTGTGAGTGACATGAACGATTGGTTGAGACCGGAAGAAAGACGCACCAGGTACTATAGCAGATCTAAGACGTGGCCCGCAGGAACGGTTATCAGGCTGAAGGCAGAGAAATGGCGGTTTTACCTAATCTGGCACGCCAGCGGTTCAGGGTGTAGAGGATATTTCAGTGGTAAAAAATAATGTGGCACCAAGGCGTCTAAGTTCACTGGTTAAAAGGCTGCAGAGCACAGTAAATAAGGACACTTACGCCAAATAACCAAAGAAGTATAAATGGTAATTCTTAGCCACCGTAATACTATGTGGCTGGCGTGTGGCTTAAACTCGGTCAGTGGTCGGGTATGGGTGAGCACCGTTTCTCGCCTGACACCTTAGCCCACTTAAGTATTCACCTCCCATAGCTAGAGAATGCATCTAGCTCTTAGCAAAGGGTATAAACATCTCATAGCACCACACAAGCAAATCAAACCCATCACACAACACAAAGTGGCACTCATCCGCGACCCCTATTTCTAGAAACACTTCTCAAAATCCGTCCACCAAGACAACGAAGCCAAAACTACAAGCCAACTCAATCTTAAACAAGCAACAGAAAAGTACATGCCCTCTTCCCCGTCCTTACCACGTCAATAACTAACATGACCCCTGTCCCAGACACCCAGACTCCTAGCTCGAACATGAATGCCAGAAACAGTGATGCTCGCTGATCTGTGGCTTTATCATCATCTTCTGTATCATTCTTCTCGTCACAGGAGGTGTTATTATCTGGTGGCTTAGCAAGCATAATTAATTACACCCGCCGAAGCCATGAATTATTTTGAGGGCTAAAAAGAAGCCTCACGATATGGGAAACAAGTGAAAGGAATTATTTTGACTGAGCTCATTTTAACTGACGCAATACGTTTTAACGAGCGCATTCAAAGAAATTGAAAGAATAAAAAAGGTAAAATAACGACGCGCTGTATCTAAACTGTTTCTAAATTACTAGAGAAAAAGCGGAAGGAGAGGAAAAGAAAGGCAGGGGGTAAACGCAAAATATGAAAGTACAAGGAAAAAAGTTGAAAAGAGGAGCCAAGAACAATTGTCAGCAGCATCACGAAATCCAAAAATCACGCTTATTTGCTAGATCCACGCGCACTAAAAGGGATATTTTCATCACGGTGGCGCATCTCGGGGGCTGGCTGGCGGATGAGGGACTCGCCTATAGCAACTCCAATCGGGGGGATGACGAGCGCGGTTGAAAGACTTGCCCACGTCTGCCAAGTCATCCGAGCCAAGACGAGGACTGACCTGTCCGTTTTGAAGGCATCGATAAGTTTGATTTTGAATGGCTCTGGGAGCTCGTTGATCATCTTCAGAAACTCAGTGATGGCATTCTCCTCAGGACCGGTCAGTATCAACTTAACCACGACATTTTGTTGTTCAGTGCGGTTCGGGGGAACAGGCCGGGGAATACGGGATGGCGAGGTCGCTTGAGCCTTGTGTGGGTTGATCCTGAGTACGATAGGTCGCGTTCCCCCATACTGGATAATGCGCGGTGTGGGGGAGTCTCTAGTTGTGTGGGCTCTTAATTGCTCGAATAAAACGTCAGGCCGGATAGCGGTCTCTGAGTATTTAGCTACCCGTTCAATCTTGCCGCAGAGTCGCTGAGTCAATGTCACTCGAGACTGACGGGAGCGCGCCCTTTCGTTGGGTCCACACGCGGCCAAGATCTGTGTAGTCTGTTTCAATCCGGTTGGGGGAACCTTGAGGCCGGAAAAACAGCAATCAAGGATACCAAATATATCAACGTATTCGTCCATGAGTGTATGTCGCAGCTTCTCCCACTCGATAACCTTGTCACTCTTGGTCGATGTAAATACCAGTTGGGATTTTCTTAACTCCTTATTCCACACAATGTCGGCGTGACCGATATACGCGAATATCATCAAGGTTTGATCCGGGTTGTGAGCGATATGCACGTTCACAAATTTGTTTGAGATGAAGTTATTGGCGATGACAGACGGATTGACGGTACTGTCCACCTCCAAAATCTCCGCAGAAATGCTAAAGACGTCCAGGAGCGTTTTCTGCAGTCGGTTCGCATCTTTGTTTGCCCCGGTATCGTCGTCAGACCACAAAAGGATCATCGCCGTGATGCACGCGTATCCAATCTCTCGTTGGCGGATTGTATTTTCTAGAGCTTCCCTGAGTTCTGGGAGTGGGATTCGGGACGCTTTCACTGGCGATCCTGCGGGCGTAGGCGAAGTGGGGGATGTCGGGGTGGGGGATGTCGATGCCGGCCGGATTGGGAGGCTGCTGGAATTTTTCGGCGAAACCATTTTTCTGGGCAGGGCGACTGGTCCTAATCAGCGGGTTAAGTGACGACGTGAAGGTTCAAGATAGAGATCGAGTGGCGGTTGTCACCATATAGACAGAGACGAGGATGTGGGAGAATGCAGGAAGATTGGAGCAGATCGTGAGGGTGGGAGCCCCTTCCGGTAAAAGTAGAGAGGTCTTGCAGAATTTCGAGATATTTGGTGGATCCGGTGCCAGGCGGCAGATGAAACTCGAACCCTAGAGATTCAGAAATGATGTTGTGGAGGACTGGTCACTCGATGGTAAAAGGTGGGCTAGTAGGTAGGTGCTACTACTTGGTAGGTACAAGAAGACCGCGGGTATAAAAGGCACTAAGCCTAATTGGGAAATCGATAATATGTAGACGACTATTGTTGAGATATCAATTCCCGTAACCGCTTAGGTGACCGCCCTTATACACTACCAGGCACGAATTTTATAACCGAGGCGTGAGCGTCATTTCCGATTGTATTAAAATCGCGCTTTGGCCGGTATACCAATCTGTAGATGCTGTTGTTGATCTGAAATATAAGGCTTAGACCACAAAAATTCATTGCACACAGTTCCACGCCCCCTTCCGAGGTCATACATAGATCTTCATAACTTTGTACCTTTGCATATTTCTAGCCTGGCTCCAGTCTACCCAAAGTGTGTAGTACATCCTTTTTGTCATACCCCATGAAAAATCCGACAAAAGTATTCATCTAGAAAATGATTGTACAAGAGCTAGAGATGTATTGACTCTAGGCACTGGAATAAAAGCAGGAAATAAAATATTTTTTCAATTCGAACTTCCTAAAATTTCAGGATCATTATATGAAAGAAGGGCTTGCGGTTGGCATTTGAACCTCAGAAAGGGTAACTTTGTTCCTGACCTTACGTGTTCTCCACCTAAACCTCAGGCCCGTGCATTTCCCAATAGTCTCGCACCCCCTCTCCGGTAAGACATTGTTCTAGCCTGTTTGTAAGAACAACTGTGTGCATCTCTCTGCTCTATTTTTAGCCCTCGGGCCAGAGTGGACCACTAGAAATAGATCACACCTAGCCGATTCTGCTATTGGAACCTAAGAGGAATAACGCTCCTAGGCTAACATATTCTTGCCCAGAGCCCAGGGGGGCTATCTCAAGGATTGCTTGCAGTGTCCCTATGTTTAGTATCAGGGATACACAGAGCACTAGTTGTATAGAGACCAGAAGAGTCGTCTAAGTCGGCCCTGGGAGCTTTGCTGGTATTGGGACAGTTCCCAGAGAAACTGTACAGGATATAGATACGGCATACACGCTGAACAGAGGATACACACGCACAAAATTTATCTGGTTCCTCTTAAAACAGGGAAGTTATCATTCTTTTGCTTCCTCACGCTGAATCTTATATCTAGAGTCGATTATGGCTTTCTTTAAATTTAATATCAAATGAGGTCAGGATATATGTTGCAGATCTTATGCCTTATCAGATGGAGCTGTTGGAGGTGACGCACATGACTGAGCAAGCATGCTGGCTGCCCCACTTACAGCTAGTAGGTCATCTTCCCAATATGTTATTATTGCTGTGATATATGCATAACTAACTTCTCGGACATTGATGGCTTTTTTGAACTGTCTCTTTCAGCTTCGGGAGTGGGACCTTTGATGACCCTGAGGATGAGGTGGATAATGCTGGTGTGGACGGCGGATTTGAGGTTTCTCGCTTCTTCAGACTTGTCTGCTTGGAGGTCGCCGACATCTTGTCGGGTGGATGATGAAAGAGATGATAGTTTGGACAACGAAGATGGTTCTGAGTGGTTTAAAAGACGATGGCGGGGTGTCTTCGCTTGTTCGTGGCAAAGAAAACCTAGAAAGGAGAGTCAGTGTTCAAGAAGATTTGTGGTGACGGTGGGAGTCCATTTGATACCTTTTTAGTAGAGAGGTAAGTGGAGGATTTTCGAGATATCTGGCGGATACCTAGAGTTAGAGTTCAAGGCTTTAGAGTTCAAAAATTGTGAGACGGAAGGCTTTGAGACAGTAGAAGAAGGCATAGTGCGAGGTACCTTGGGGTAGTTGGTAGATTGCAGGTACGGGAGGGCACACTAAGCCTAACCGGGAAGATACCACTACTATACAAGATCGGTACTAACTTAGGGGTCCAGGTCTTAGATGAAAGCGTTCCAGTCAATCTTCTTCGTTGAACATGAAAATACCGAGGCAAAGAAGTGGGAAGCCCAGCTCCATTTAAATAATATACATCTATCCCCAAGGTCGCCTTGAAACACTTTGGGCAACCACATGTTATCGATTTGACGCTCCTGATTAGGGCAGATATAAGATCCGCATACTTGCTGTGCACCCAGGTGGAGCCCCAGCGCCAAAACCATGGGCCGCACCAAATCAGGCCAAAAATCCGTGAAGTGGGAAAGCGTCGATTTTTTATTCTTATGCGCACCGAAACTCGTCGCCATTCCACCGTCATCTACATTTACACCATATCGGACCACTATGATGAAGCCTATTCGGGTTTAGTTCTTATTGACTTGGTATAGCGCCATGTGTCCCTAGGCACGTCTGCGCGTGCGTGTATCACTACGCGCCCTCCTTTCCCTCTAATCCAACTGCCCCCAAAATCCGTTGCCTTCTGTTGCCTTCTCATCCCTGCTCCTGCAGCGGTTCTACGAGCCCTCTTCGCCTATCAATTCCATAGCCCCCAAATTTCTTTGTTTCCTTTCCCCTGCTCTCTGTATTTATGGCATTTTTGCTATTGATTAGGGCTTAATGAGAGAGTATTTGCTCGACCATCGACCGGTCCGGAATAACTATTGATCCGCACTTTCGCATTTGGATGGTCCGTTGAGCAGCACATTCCCCTCGACCCACTTGCACAGCTGCGCCACCAGCTTACCCACCTTACTCTTTACGGTTCCCTTCTTTCTCATCGAGAGGTTGTCAGAAGTACTATACTATTGCCGCCCTCACCTATATCCTGCCCCCACCTCGCCATGGAATCTGCGGATGATGCCGCCGGCAACCACCGCCGCCCTCTACCTGAACTCAAGGCCGCCTTGCAAGCAACTGCGAACGCCCGTGGAACTGCATATAACTCTAGGGAGGCCGTTATTTTCTATTTTGAAAATGACAACACTGGAGCCAAGAGTGATGCAAATTCGCTGGTCTGGTGCCTCGAAGATGTTTTCGGCATCCACACGACTGTGATCGAGTTAAAAGCAAACGACCAAATGCCTGGACTTACTCTAGCATCGACTGTTACTGATATCGTCATGAAAATCAAGTCACCTCCTAAGCGTCTACGGTCCTTGCTTATCCTCGCATATGCTGGGCATGGAGAGCTTGATCCTACTACTGGCTTTGTTAAACTCATTGCTGGCGTCGGCCGACAAAATATCCAATGGTCGTATCTCCACAGTTCTTTCTTCAGTGATACCAACTATATGTTTAGTAACATCGACACCCTTGGTATTCTAGATTGTTGTTATGCAGGAGCAACCCGTGATAAGGGCCAGAGGTCATCCCAAGTCCTTTCAGCTTGTGGCAGAGATGAAAAAGCTCGCTCGCGATCTGATGGAGTACGATCATTTTCACAGCGTCTCTTCCGTGCAGCAAGAAACCTAAGCAAAACAGAAACGTCATATATCACTATTGAAATGCTCGTTGCTGAAGTCAACCGGGAGAAACCAGATGGCGCTCCTGAAGCAAAGCTGACCAACCATGGGGGAACATCACCAATCTCGCTTCCCCTGAAGGATACCCAGACTACGCCACACCAACGCCCAACGCCCAACACACTCGGTATAGACGCTACAACGGAGAGCATTCTAGTTGAGCTGACGATACCAGGTGCACATTCCCAAGTTCTCGAAGAATTTAAGGACGTTATAGCCGCGTTACCGGCCCAATTCCAGGTTGAAATCGTGGACGCCTATCAATCGCGATCAGTACTGCTCTTGCTCCGTATGTCCGAAGTGACATACTGGCGATTGTCTGCCGGGGTTGACTTCCATTTAATCGGTAGGATTTCTGGCCCATCGCTGATTAAACCACTGGCAGGTAAGTATTGTTAAAGACTGACCGAGAGCTGACTTCACTGAGACTAATTATTTATAGATATCCGTCCTCAGCGTCTTGGGGCTAAAGAGAATGTGCGCCCCGGCCCAAGTAAAGAAGGGGCGTAATGCAGTTTCATTAGGCACTGGAAAGGGGGTTGAGGAACTATTTTTACTTATCCAATATTGCTTTGCTTAAAGCGACACCACATTGCGAGAGCACTACCCTATGAAACACTACAGAGGGGTTTCGAGATTGCGCTCACTCTTTGCGCCCGATGAAGGGATTTGCATTGATTCACATCCGGTTTTTTTTTTTTTTTTTCAACAAATGCCCTTAAATTGCTGCTGGTAGTTATGTTACGGACCCTGCCACACGAGGGGCCGCAGCCTACAGATGGGCCACCGAGAGCCAATCATTCCCAGACAGCTCACGCACAGCTACAGATCACGTGAGAAACGCAGGAATCGGCGTCACTTTTACCCGCACCGATATTACGCCATAAGTACCGGGTTAGAAATTCAACCCATGAGTGGGTCAATTCACGTGACCTTTCTAACCACGCTCAGCTATGCGCCCGATTCCCTCATGTAGCTCCCTTTTTTCTCCTTCCTCAGACTCGTTTTCTTCGTTGAATGGAACACTCTGCTCTGCATCGCGTGGCCTGAGTAGTTTTCGTAACATTAAAACGAGTCTCACCTTTTTTTTCTTTCTTTCTGTACATCGGCGAGCCAAGCTATGTTAAGGTACCCCACCGATCGACCGAACCGAACCGAACGAATGAACAAACAAACTAAGATGGCCTCTCGACGACAGAAGCGACCCTTTTCGGAAATTCCCGATCCGAACACCCCAGAGAACGCGCTAAAACGCCCGCTGTCGAGAGTGAAGACAACCCTAACTAAGCTTAGCCTTAAATAATAGAAGTGACAGCAGACCAATGATGATGGCTAACTCCCCTGATGTCTTCCTGGATAAAGCAGCTTACAGGCATTTTTCTTGACTAGATTGCCCGATCTCTGGTATCTAATAGGAACAAATATATTAAAAAGAACAGCTAATTCTTCCTATATATAATAAGGGTGCTAGTAATGAATAGACCTTTCCCTTGCCGCAGGTCGCCCTCATTTTTGTGGGCAGAGAGAGGGTCAGTAGCTCCTGCCTGCAGGCCCTAATTCCTCTTTAAAATCCGAATCTTAAAAACAAAATACTTAAAAATATAGCTAACTATAGTCTATATATATTTATGCAATCCCAGGACTCTGCATATTTATCATATTTATCGGCCCTCAAAATGCCTAAAGGGCCACCCTCAGAGGGCGGCCAAAAGACCCACCCAGCCCGCCACCCGAAAAAACAAGGGCGGACGACCGGCCCTCAGAGGCGGCCTGCACGCAAGGGCGAGGTCTAGATCTAGCTTTAATTTATTTATAGACACCCTTCTTAATATAGAAGGGTATTTAAAGTAAGAGTCTAGATCTAAAGTCGACTGCGTGTTAATGCCCTGAAACGAACGAAGTGAGAGGAAGGGGAAACGGATGCACGTGACACGAACTATATATTTTCGCGACTCAACAGACTGCCAAAGGTCCATACAAAATCGTGGCGAAAATGGACCGAAATCGCGATGATTGGCTCGCCGTGCTTCGGTATCATTGGACGAAGGCTTGAGTGCTATTGGACAAAGGCTTCCAATGATATTGGACGCATGCTTCCAGTGATATTGGACGCATGCTTCCATTGATATTGGACGCACGCTTCCAGTGATATTGGACAATAATTATACCGGAAACGACTCTAGTTTTCCGTTCTTTGTCCAATCCGCTCCCCTGCTGGCGTTTTTGTAGCTTTTCAGTGTTGTTGCTCACTCTGACTCCATCTGCACCATTGGGTTTTTGCTGCTATTTTCGTTTCGGGGATGGCGTTCGCGCTAAAATCACTGAAAGGATTCTTATTGGGTTCGGCTTCGCGTTTCCGGAACTTTAACACGTGCTAGCACCCATGCAGCCCCCTTTCGTCGTGGACCTCGTATCCTTGTGATGGGGACCGTTGTCTACGTTCTTGGCCCAACATTGTCGACATCATCACTCTCTTTTAGTGAAGATATTCTGGCATTATTATTGGTGTTGTGATCATGCGCTCTGCACTTTTACTTTCCCAAGCCTTCTCGCTCGCTATATACGATCAAATCTCTCCGTGTGGCTTGGAAATAATACTGTAAAGTTTTCCGTTTCATTGCATTGCCAATCTTGTATCAATTTGATATCCAGACACTAGATGTTTTTTACACATATATTTCATATCTCTGTGAAAGTCTTGAATGCCACTTCTTCTTGTCCATCACCCTTCGGCCTTGCACTATCTCGGTCTTTATTTCCTCCCAGATCGTTGCCCTTATGCCGTCTCAGGTTAACTCGCCCGCTATTCTTCACTTGAGGGACTTCATAGACAGCGTGGGACCCGACCCATCTCGGCCCAGCCAGGGACTTGCTCTACAAATTGAGGCGTCCTTACATCTTCCTTTCCAACCGGATCTCTACTCAGACGATGTTGAATTGAATGAGCTTCCGACTACCATACATTTCTTTGCCTCGCCGCGTAACCCTCAATCTTACGAACCCAACAAATTCATCTATGCTTGGGGCTCGTTCTTAACCTGTGTCGACCCGGAAGGGTCTCTACGTTTGATTTTACACGCCCATGAGGTTGACTGGTGAGATCCCGTATCACAACGCCACCCTTGCCTCCCCACCGCAGAAGGTTTCCTTAGCCATCCTGGTGACCATTCTGATCCTCATGCATACAATATGCACTGCCCAGAGGCCGCTCTCCCTACAGTTAGCTTACTGGGAATAGTCCGAGGCGGAGGGGGGCAGTTGAACAATGGGTCTAATCTATTGCATTACGACCTCGAGGCTAATGTCTATGACGTCTCCAACAAAGCGTCCGTGACATTTACGGTTTCTATTTACTTCAGAAACGGAAACCGTTGGACGAATTTTCCTGTCCTTGCTGCGCAGTCTCGCGTATTTATCGCTGGACGCATTTTCGGTATTACTACGAACACGCCTCGGCTCGCAATTGGCGTGGATGATGTTTATTTCATTCCGAATCTCGGCTCCATTACGACTGCCCCCGTGACTCCTGCCTCATCAGCGGAAAAGCAGAACAAAGCAGACAGATGGAACAGTCGCGCCAGCCCACTGACACCGATGAAGAGGCCTCAGAGGCTAATATCCGTCTCTGATTCCCATGGCCTAGACGAAGGTCAGCAGACTGCTCAACCTTCACTTACTTCAGCCACCACTCCATCCAGTGACGCACATGTTCCCATACAAACTGAGCACCCCAATGGGCAATTCAGCAGGGATGCAACTGTTGAGCACCTGACTCCCCCGGAAAATAATTCATCAGCAGACACAATTCTCAGTGGCCATCGGCCCCAGAGGAGTCGTAAATTCTCGAAGACCAATTAAAGATCATGATACTCAGAATGGCCGGTATCCGGTATCAAAGGTTCTAAGTTCGTTTCTTACTTTTCACGTCTTTTTCCTTCGTGGCCACGGTCATAATCCACATGCCGAGTACGTGTTGTTCGGCACAAGCTTATTTCTCAGTCTCGAAAGTAAAAATTACACTTTATTTCCTAATAACTAACCCTTTCCGTTACGTCATAGTTGAGGATGAATCGAATGATTCTACACCGTCAATTACAACTTCGTCAGCGTCAATCTTTGGTGGCTAAGGCAGTATATTCGCGCTATGACTCATCCACAAGAACTGCAAGGTACTGTAGGAGAGGAAGCCTGCACGTATAAAGTTGGCGACACTGCTCCTGTGAGCTTATTCGACAATTATAAATGGCGAGGGAAAAATCTGGCCACTCTCACGTTTTTTGAATATTGCATGCTAGTACGAATGAGAGATAAACAAGGCGCGGCCACCACCGACCTCGATTTCGACGCGGCACATCCGAGATACACCACACACGTACAGCATCTCGCTCAAAAACCTGCTCACGTGGCTACTGTTACATTCAAGGGACAGCTAACTCAGTTCCAAGAAGCCGAAGATGCCATTTCTGGAGGACATCCCGCAACAGAAGCCATTCTGAATGATGTCGCCCAGATCCTATTGGGCCTGTTTGTTCCATGGCATGATTTATCTGCGATCTTGAGCCAGTTTACATCTCAAGAAAACATATACTCCATAGTGTGGACCATTGCGCAACCAACCCTCGCACCGCATAATCGAGAATTCGCTGCGAATATTGAGCTTCTTCGCAAGTCTAAAGAAGACTGCCAGGCAGATGCGAAGTTACGTGCATGGACTCATCTGGACGACGATTTTTTTGACCGACAGATTGTTGATCTCGACCAAGGAAGTTTCGATTCTGATAGTGATGAGCACGATGACGACTTCCAGGCTCAGAGTGAGAACTTTACCGCAGAGACTCTGATCGCCGCCTACCACACAATCAGACAAGTCTGGAGCCGAGAGTCAACTATCACAGCGCACCGAATCCCTGCATTAGCCCGCGGAACAACACCAGGGCGGAATATCCAACACTTCAACCCGCGACCAATTACCATTCCCACTTCCTCTGCCAATGATATCTTGGGTGTCAGATTTCTTCCACCTTCCGTACTACAATGCTGGGAACGTCGTCTCAAATGCCTTGCGAGCACGAAAGACAATGCTTCCATCGCTGAACAGCAGAACTCGTCCTTCCAGCTAGATGATTTCGACCAAGATATTGGAGATGGCTTCCTACAACCTATGCTAGTAGACTCGGACGTGTTCCACTCTCTACAGGATCGTCGATTTCAGCTTGGTGAGAATCCAACAGCCGCCTCTCTGGTATCTTCAGTTGGTCAAGATATTCCTCTCAACAGCAAGCAACGATTGATCGTGCAAAAAATATTAGCCGAAGCTTTGGCATGCGCAGACCATCCATATGACTCTTCTCGACGGAAGCAACTCCTACTCTGCATCACAGGAGAAGGCGGCACAGGGAAATCGCAGATTCCCAAGGCCATTGTCGCCGCCATGGACCTCCTTGGTCGCAAGGATGAGATTATGCTGATGGCCCCGACAGGAGCTGCTGCAGACACCATCGGTGGGAATACGTATCATACATCTCTGGGCATCTCTATCAATCGCCTGCAGAAGAGCTCAATGGGCTCCCGTGTCAGAAGTCTCTGGGCACACAAGACCATTATGTTCATCGACGAAATGAGCATGATGGACTTGACCATGCTCAGTGTGGTTAACAACCATTGCAGGATTGCTCGTTCACTGGACAGGTCCTCCACTGAACTTTTTGGGGGACTACCCGTGGTCATTCTCATGGGAGACTTCTTCCAATTCCCTCCAGTGCGAGGTCCCGCTCTGTGGAAGGAACCAAGAGACGGCAACGATGAAGATGTGAACGGCCAAATGATTTGGCATCAATTCAAACAAGTCATCATCTTGGACGAACAAATGAGACAATCAGAAGACCCTTCCTTCCATAGCCTTCTCACGCGAGCGCGGCGAGCAGCTCTCACACAACGAGATGTAGATCGACTCAATTCCAAAGCCATCAGTTCACTTCTAGAGCCTCGGTTGGAATGTGCCACTGCCATAACCAAGCTAAACTCCATTCGACATCTGATAAATCGCACCCAGATAGAGCATTTTGCAATCACCAGATCTCAGCCCATTTGTGTCTTTCCTGCCGAGCACAGCCGTATCAAAACCAAAAACGCCACCAAAACGCGGCTACGGGCCGAAGACCTGCTCCAGCAACCTGACCAAGGGACAAAGATCCCATTCCCTGGTCTCTTTCTCTATACCCGAAACATGCCAGCCGTGATACTGACCAATATTTGTTCCCGTATTGGCCAAGTGAATGGCGCGTTGGGAACGGTGGTGGGTGTAGTACTAGACCCGACAGGCAAGTCGTCTTTCTCCCGAAAATAGTTTGCGCTGACCCAAATTTTCCAATCAGCACAATTATTTGAACTCAACAACCTATACATGTTTTGCACCAAACCGCCCGCATGTCTTTTGTTGAGATTGAACCGACCGCAATCCGCCGAATTCGACAACCTTGAGTTTTCGGTAATGCCTGTTTTCCCATTAGAACGATCTATCTCCTTCAAAGGCTTCTCTGTACGAAGAAAACAAGTACCCATATGCCCAGCGTTCTGCCTAACCGACTACAAAGTCCAAGGCTCAACCTTCACTGAAGCCATTCTTGACCTCAAGAGCGATCCCACCAGACGGGGCTGGGATGCTCACAGAAAATATTGCTCCACTTATGTCCAACTGTCTAGACTTAGGTCATCCAACGGACTTCATCTTCTCCAGAAGATTTCTGTGGAAGATATTGAATTTGCACCTGACGTTCGGCTAATATCTGAGATGAAACGACTCGAGAGGCTTCAGGAAGAAACTATCGGTACCTGGAATAAGACCAACTTCCAGCCTTGTTGAGATATGTTGCTGGAAGTATTAGAAGTATACACAGACACACTCGAACATTACAAGCACTTGCCAGTTTGACCTACTTCATTGCTCTTTGGAAACACAGACCTTCCTATGTAATTTCCAGTCCGCCTTCTGATGATCTCTTCCACAGTACGCCACCACCTTGCAGCGCCCGCACTTCTTCGCACCTTCTCTTCTGCCACAAATCTTACAACACAGTATCTCCTCAGGTCCCCAGGTGCTGTTGGAATGGCTTTCTTGTGCGACTTCGGCCATTATAATCTCGATTTCCTGCCTGGTCTGCATTTCACATTTCTCTTTCTCGCATATAGGATGGACAAATACTGAAACGAAAGGTTCGTCCACATGTAGAAAAGACATCGGAGTTTGCAGGACTCCGACAGTAGGTGAGCCACAATTTCCACAGTGAGAATCTGACGCCCGACGACAATCCTTCTCATGTGCTTTCATAATAGGCGTTATAGCATTGAGAAAGCTATTCACATATGCAGGACGGTACTGCAGGGATTGAGATTCGACTGTGATCAGGTGACTAGGAATATTATGGTAGAACATAAGTTTGTTGCTCGTATTTTCGCAGGTGAATTCAAAGCGAACTGGACGTGTAGCCATTACGATCGAATTCCTTCCTTGGAAATTTTATTTTAGGAGGCCTACTAAACTGAGTTCCACAGAGATCTTGGCCTATATATATGTTCAACTGATAAAGTTTCAACAAACTTGGGCCTTACCTATTCCGGACCATATAAACCTTCGATTCTTTTGCCCCTTATGGCTGTATCCAATAACATCACGTTTCTCCTATACTAACCTTCGTTTCGTTTCGTTTTCCTTGTCGTTTCAGGGCATCGGCGTGCGAAGCTTGCGAAGCTTGCGAAGCGCGCGTCACCAGTTAGCACTGAGTGCTTAAAACTATGTTCTGACTGTGCTAATGATACGATCTGTATGGCTGCGCGGAGCCCCACCAGTTGGGTGGGCAGCGGCGCCAACACCATGGCCCACACTAGTGCCACATCATTCCCATTTGCAAGTCAAAGCTTTCGAGGGCTATCCCGGTTCGCCAGCCAAGAGAATAACATCATCTTCTACCACGGGACTGATTCATTCAGTAACAAGTGGGGAAGGAACGCCCTGCTGGATATCATGTGGATGGATGCGAAATTTGGACCCTGATTAGCGCTTTATTTGCGTCAGCAAATCACGGACACGGTCTCCGGGAGAATCTTTTTCCGGTATGGCGTTATTGCGGCCGGTTTGTGGTTTGGTCAATCGCGAAGATCAGAATGCAAAAGTACAAGTGTCGGTTTAACGAAACTGTGTACACGGAAATAGCCATCGAAAGTGCCGAGCTCTTGACGCAAAGAATTCGTAACCCTACAAAGGCTGCCTTGATGAATTCACGATGGCTTAGAAGGTTGCCACTGAGCGCTTCATGGGTGAAGCGGGCAACGGACTCAGCCTCGCAAACCAACGATAATGCCGTCTGCTTCTGTTGGAGCCGGGGAAGTCAGACCAAGGGAATATGCGCTCGGTGTAAAGTCAGCTCACTGGGTCGGTCGCGTCTCCCTGGTCGTGAGGGTCGCATTCGTATCCTCCCCTGAGTACTTGGGCGGGCAGTGTTTGAATCGCATTTCGGGAAATGGTTCAATCATGCTAAGCAGGTCGGTTATCGAAAGCGAGTGGATTGCGAATTCTGTATTCTGCATGAAATAATTATGATTTGCATCACAGGTGCAGGATATGTGGTGCTGCAGCTCTAACTGTGATTGAGCTACACTTCCTCCCGAGGTGATTTGCATCGTCAGACATAAGTACACTACTAATAGTACTACCTACTAGTCTGTAAACCAAAGGGTAAAATATGTAAAATTGTTAAATCTCTGATTCAGTGTTGCTTAGGACACCCGACCCAATATCCTGTTTCGGGCCTTTGATATAATGCGGTATGATTTTTCGTCTAATGAGACTCGAGATGAGTAGCATGGGATAATTCATTAGGATGGATGGGATGCTAAATCTCAATCATCCACTGGAAACCTGCTCGGGCATCTTTTGAAAAGAGGGATGCGGCTCTAATTAAATCACACTTCCCCTGGCCTCTGAAACTGTGTTTTGAGTTGGGCTAGTCCTTCACCCGGGCGTCATGCATTTCATCCAACTTTATCCCGTGGGGGCAACTCCACTCTCCACGCGAGCGGAAAGAAAGCGACCACGCGAAATGTGAATGAGGATCGGCTTTGATTCTGTAGATCTAAACGTTCCCCATTCGAGTCCGCGTTTTGGATGAGGGTCTCTCTCCGAAGCCGTATCTATTTTAATTTGAACCGGGCTTGCATTAAGCCCACTCCTGATCGATCTCATATTGGTCATGATCTGCATACCTGCATACAGGTCCCTATAACCGAATTGCGCCGCCCCCAACAAGATCCCTGTCCCAGTGCAACCTTTCCCCTTTTCCCCGCCACACGAGTTTGCACTTGCACTTTCCTTTGCCTTCTTTCCAAGAACATTTCATACACTCTGCCATACTCCGTGTTATGCATACGCCTTTTGGTCTTTCAAGTCAATAGGTTTCACTGCTGTCTTGTCATTCTGGTCTTATTTGGGCGGACTGAAATGGCGGAGCCAGCTACCACAAATCAAGCGGCGGAATCTCCAGCCCAAACAACAACAACAACAAGCTCGTCAGATGTCGTAACAACAATCACCCATGCTGCCTCATCCATGTCCGAACATTCGACAGTGGTCGTCATAACACAGACCCAAACCGACAGTTCCCCGACCTCCACAACAACCAGTCCCACTCCTACCGCTACCGATGCCACTTCCTTGTCAACTCCAAGCAGCTCCGAAAACGGAACAAACAAGTCCTCACAGCCAAAAGGCTCAAAACAGACAGGGGGGCTTTCCGCAGGCGCCTCAGCCGGAATTGGGGTCGGAGTTGCATTGGCTGTACTCCTACTGGCGTTTCTGGCCTTTTTCATATACCGTCGCAACCAGAAACGTCGAAGGTTGGCACGTGAGGGTCAAAAGGATAGACTATCAGGATTGCCGGAGCTTGGCACCGACGGACAGAAACATGAATTGTCGGCTGAAGAAGTTCGACGAGCGGAGCTTGGTGTTGATGGACAAAAGCACGAGCTTCCTGTGAATGCGAAGGAAAAGAATGACACCCAAGGGACTAATGTGCATGAGCTGGAGTGATTTTATATTAGTTATATACCCATATGTTTCATCGTACAAAAGACTCTTTTCACACCGCATCACACTATAGGGGAAAAGAATCTCTAAGGGTCTATCTCGTTGTGGATTGATTTGCGTGTAAAGTTAGGATGTTATGCATAACATTCAGGGTCACCGTAAAGTAGAGTGGAGGCATGCCCGGGGTATAATCTCTAGAAATTAGCATTAACGTTCGTGTCCAGTGAAACAAAGTCTTTCTGAAAACACTCCATCGACAATTGCCTATTGAACAAATGCCACATGAGCTCGTCCGTCGGTGGGTAAACCTGATCCCCAGGGGCTTGGGCTTGCATCTGTGGCATCGCAGGTGGAACCGAGTCGGAATATGAAGTAAAATTTATCGGATAGCTGCTGTCATCTATGGGTGCCGAGGTATTTGGCAGTACCCCAGTCATTGATGGATACCAAGGCGCAACTCTTGTCTTCGGTCCCAGGCGCTCCTTGGCTTGAATCAGTGGGGTACAGATTTTTTGAAGGGACCCCAACAGCCTCAACAGCTTGGAGATGTACGGGCTTGCGACAAACGGAGCCAAGCTTTGAGTGATCTCTTGAATGAGATTATAGTCGTTTTGATCAAGCTCCCTAATTATGTTACAAAACAGAACGAAAAAGGGGCTCAGAGGGTAGAGAAATATAGTCCTGGGTAATGTTAGCTAGCCCACATCGGGGACGAATTGGAACTCACCATGTCAAGAATGTCGGATATGGGTCAACCAAGCCTGGGCTCTTGGAGGGATTCTTCTGCAAATGATGCAGTGCTCTCAGAGACTTGCGAGCGTATGATACGCATTCTTTGTGTGCTAAGGGGGAGAAGGAGAACTTCAATCGTGAGTGCAAAATGTCCACTTGGATCGCATAATAGCAAAATTCGGCCGCAACCCAGTTACAGGATAGAAAATCATCGACAGATTGGCGCGTCTAGATTATTCCCCCGTTAGCGATAATAAAATCAGCCGCGAAAAGTCACAGCACTCACAGATTGCAAACTTGACTTGATTGTTTCCATTTTATCCTGTAGTTTAGAGTGGTTGGCGAGTATTTGATGGGTACTGTCTGCTTTCCCACAATTGGAAAGATCGCCTTGTATCCGTACCAATTCCAGCAATATCCGTATTAACGGCATATGTGGAAGAGATTTATCTGGAATGACGAGTTCCGCAGGAGACATCTGAGGCTCGGGTAATGAAAAGGGGCGGAGGAAAAGAGCACTGAGTGTGCGGTCGAGATAATAGCACCAATATAAGGAGCTGTGAATTTCGTCGTTCAAGTCTGATCACTGAACGGGATTTCCGATTTCATGATATTTCAGAGCAACGATCTGCCGAGCGGCGTATGAGTTAATGACCCAGGCTTGGCTCATGTTTCCGGTATATTGCATCAAAAATGCCTGGTTTGGAATGTCTCGTCAGCGATTGGCTTGGGGTTAGAGCGGTGGCAAACTCACTGCAGATATGAGTGACTGAACAAAAGAAAGGCTCGGACTGCTCAAAAGGTTGAGGTTTCCCAATGCCTGAAGGCTCGTATGATCTCTTGGATTTGAGAAATTGTTGATTGAGAGTCGGGTCTTTGTACGCCCTTGGCATCTGGCCTAAATCGAAAATAGCCTTGACATAGATGCAAATGGAGTAATGATAGACGACCTGGCTCGGAGGATCATTGTTAACTATAGCGGTCACCATTTTCGGCCGGGGCGGGGTGGGAGGGGAGTCTGCTATGGTAACTTCCTTCAAGCAAAAAAATCGATCTATTACAGGCCCACTCTAGGGACCCGGAGGGTAATCATTTTTATTTCTTAAAATTACTGCTCCCGGATTCCCATGCCTAGGAATATCTCTCTTCGATTGGGGCAATCCGTCAGTGGATCGTTGAGAACAAAGCGAGCCACTCCCACAGGCGATGGGTCGTATGAGCCAACAATATTCCTCCTTAGGCTGCGGAGGTACTTGACAAGGGCCACTGCGGCGCTAAGCTGAATGCTGGACTGGTACCCCACCACACGGCTACCGTCCTCTCTTGGAACTCCCACCACAATCCAGAAATCTCAACGGCCCTGTGCCCGCATGCGAGATGATCGCAGTGACATAAACTCGACCTCTTCTACCAACTGTTCACTTCCTGGGATTTGTGTAGGTAAATCAAGCGTTTTTCGGAGAAGCTCCAGTGCGTCAGAGCTTTCGATCTGGTTTCGATGAGATCTTCATGATTCTACCATCTTGAGTGCTACCTCTTTGCTCCGACTCAGGTCGATAGAGGGCTAGTTCATGACAGTCGTCGAATAGAGACGGAGGTACGGAAGATAGAGATCCTGTGGATTGTGGAATGGAGCAGTATCGTTGAACTAGAGCTTATTCCCGATCTCGAAGGGCACGGCGCCTCCCTGACGGCTAATCACGTCCTAGGAAGCTTTCAGCGGTCCAAACACAAGTCGTGGATCGGGGACTGCATTCAGCGTTGTTTGGACTCGGCCGACAGCTGAACTTTGGCTTCAATTCTGGAGGGGTGCAAGCCTCGGCGAGTTCGGACAGCACAGGCACAGCTCAGCAGCAACTGGGGCTGGATGAGATGGGAGGATTCGATGTACGAGCTTGAGGCGTCCCAACGCATCCCGATACTAACGACTCGCGGATTTTGCAAATCAGGAGCTACTGTCCTGATGCTCCCCAGGAGGCCCAGGGGTGATTTCCCCAACCAAGGCACATTCAGTCGCTGTTTGAATTTGTAGTGATATGTCGTATCGTAACGGAATCAATTCCTAACCTCACGGAATTACCAGCTTTGATTGGAAATCAATCTGGAGGTCGCATGTGTATATAAACCCTCAAGTTTTCTGTCCAGAAGAAATAAGCAATCTTCCTTTGAATTACAACAGTAACATCCTAGAGTCGGACCGCTTAGAAGAAGATATAATAGCGCCCCTTCTTCGGAGCAGTTTGACAATCTCACGATTGCTGCTCCTATAAGCAGCATACAGAGCGCTGCTGAAGCGGCCACCTTGCGCGTTGACGTCTGCTCCCTTATCTAAGAGCAGTGTGACAATTTCTTGATGGCCTTCCGACGATGCGGCCTGGAGAGCATTGCCATACTCGCCGCCCTGCGCGTTGACATCTGCTCCCTTGTCCAAGAGCAGTTTGACAATCTTTTGATGGCCTTTCAATGATGCGGCCTGGAGAGCGTTGCCATATTGGTCACCTTGCACGTTGACATCTGCTCCCTTATCTAAGAGTAGTTTGACAATCTCTTGATGGCCTCTCTCTGAGGCGGCATATAAAGCGTTGCCGTAGATTCCGCCCTGCGCGTTGACGTCTGCTCCCTTATCTAAGAGTAGTTTGACAATCTTTTGATGGCCTTTCAATGATGCGGCCTGGAGAGCGTTGCCATATTGGTCACCTTGCACGTTGACATCTGCTCCCTTATCTAAGAGTAGTTTGACAATCTCTTGATGGCCTCTCTCTGAGGCGGCATATAAAGCGTTGCCGTAGATTCCGCCCTGCGCGTTGACATCTGCTCCCTTATCTAAGAGTAGTTTGACAATCTCTTGATGGCCTCCAAACGAGGCGGCCTGGAGAGCGTTGTCGTAATTGCCGCCCTGCACATTGGCATCCGCTCCCATGTCCAAGAGCAGTTTGACAATCTCTTGATAGCCTCTCTCTGAGGCGGCCTGGAGAGCGTTCCCATAGCGACTACCCTGCACATTGACATCCGCTCCATTGTCCAAGAGCAGTTTGACAATCTCTTGATGGCCTCCAAACGAGGCGGCATATAAAGCATTGCCATACTCGCCGCCCTGCGCGTTGACATCTGCTCCCTTGTCCAAGAGCAGTTTGACAATCTCTTGATAGCCTCTCTCTGAGGCGGCCTGGAGAGCGTTCCCATAGCGACCACCCTGCACATTGACATCCGCTCCCTTGTCCAAGAGCAGTTTGACAATCTCTTGATAGCCTCCAAACGAGGCCGCCTGGAGAGCGTTGTCGTAAATGCCGCCCTTCGCATCAACGTCCATTCCCTTGCTAATAAGAACTCGTACAGGTGCCACGAGCCCAGCAAAGCAGGCATAGTATAGCCTGGAACCCCGTGGAGGACCTGGGTTATTTTTCCAACCCACATCAGCCTGGTACAGACGAGCCCATCGTTGAAATGTCGCTTCCTTTTCTAGAAACCTGACTGTTATTCGAACTATATCTTCCGAAGCCTGAGCCAACGCAGCATAGCCTGCCCAAAATTCCGCTGCATATCTTGCCATCGGAAAACTCTGCTCGATACCTCTAGGGCTACCGCTGATGTCCGTCAGGTAAGTCAAGCATGTTCTCGTGATGGAAATGCTGGCGGTGGTAATCTTAAAATGGCCCTCTCCAAGAAGGTACTCTTTGACAGAAAAGTGGGCAAGATGGAGCTCTTTATCGGTGGTATGAATGACTGTGATCAAGCTTGGACAGTAATCCAACACATCAGTCTCGCAGAACAGTCGACGTTTGGTATTAAACCCTTGTGACTCATTTCCAATCTGTGTCGCTATTACTTCTTTAGCCTCGGCCAGCGTAAGAGGTCTTTTAGAGTGCACCAGAAATTGTAAGAGGCGTATTGCGTCACTCTTTCGCTCCACCGGTATACTATCAAGCATACGCCGATATGTGTCATTGAGATCCAGTGGCAAAGATGCAAGAGCCTCCTCCATAGCTGCCTCGTGACGACATCGAGCCAGGCTGTCCAATTGACAGAAGGCCCACCTGAACCTAAGCAAGGAGTCAGCAATCCACCCACATATTGATCAAAGAAGCAATATCTCACATCCCATCCGCCCCATCCCCAACTTTACTTCGGATTTCTTCGAGAAGATCCTGAGATAAAGGCTTTTCTGTAAAGTCATGCCGTTGAGAAAGTTGTGACGTGACCCACAATCGGATATCAGAGTTGACAGTCTGCTTATCAAAGGGTAGACAATTTTCCTTTCCTATCAGAGGGGGAATGTGTCGCAGAAATTCGGATTCAGGTCGACTGGTGTAAAGCAACTGGACATGGTCTAATTCTGGCCTGGAAACTATTTCCTTGATCCACCGGAGGACACCAACCCTTGTTTTTGACTCATCTAAGGCGTCCAGAACAATAAAGACCTTCCTCTGGGTCATGAGCATCTTGAAAACAGTATCTGAGAGCGCCTTTGTTTCAGGTTGATTGCGGCCATCCTGGTGTGCTTCAGATAAAGTATCAAGGTGAACTGCAGAATTAGTCCCGTCCTGATAAAGTTGGAAAGCAAGCGACCGCAGCATGCCATCCAAGCTCTGCTTCGCGATGTCGTTAAAGTCAAAGAAGAAGCTGAGGATAAGGGCGTCATTTCCATGCGTGACATGGTCAAGCACAGTCACACTAAGAACCGTCTTGCCACATCCAGCGAGGCCGTGGAGCCATACATGTTGATGCGACCCTAAGTGCCATGATTGGAAGACAGAGTTTTCCAAAAGCCATGCGCCTGTCCCTTCATGGCGAAGTGTCCTTGCATGGTTGGCGTTTGTAGATGGATCTGGGGGATTAAGCCAGCGCCTGATCTTATCAGTACGTTGGCCAGACCTGATAGAATCAGCTACAGTCTTTGTTGCAAGTGTCGTTTGTTGAACTACTCATGGTCAGGATGTATGCCAATTTCAGATTTGATTCAGTCTCAGGTATTTGCTAGTCTACCCAGGGAACAAGATAAGAACTAACCTGAATGGAGCACATCTAGTGCCCTCTTGGTCTCTTGGACCTCCGTAACCGGCACATACGCCAAAAGTTCCTTAGCATATGCAGCAGCAGTTGCCGAGGCATAGCGTTGCCATCGATCATTCTTATGAGAATCAGCGTAGTCACAAATCCCTCGGATCACAAGACAGGGAAAGTGATTCATCAGGCCGGCTGCTTCCATCTCAAAGCAGATACAATCCCCACCGAGGTCAGCAACAATCCGATCACGCATAGCGGCATCTTTGACAAGTGTGTTGCCAGATCCGATTGTCCCATAGTGGATATCGGGGTCGGTAGTGTCTCGAGGATCACGATAAACCTCGTCAGTTGAGTCACATCCCTGACAATCTGGGCCAGGTATATGGTCACAAGAAGCTTTAAAGAGACGGTCATTATCAAAGCCTTGGTGAGCATAGCCGGGATTTTTCTTGGTTCTCTTGCCCATCTTCGGGTTGCTCTCCAGCATCACTTGAAGGAGGTAGGGAACATCGGAGTTTTTCCGCTCGTGGCGGGCCTGAATGCTCGTAAGCGCATTCAGGAGGACCGTTGGAGGGCGTCCGAGGAATCCTTTGCGCTCACACTTGTCACCCGACTTGGCCTTAATCAAGTCGTACTGGCAGACGCCGCCCATGGTCCCACAGGGTTGGCTCACGACAACATCACCAAGCCGTATATCATGATCCTCGTCCGGACGAGGGACACCGCCGCCTATGCCGACCAATAGACCAATACGGATAGATGGCAGAGAGGCAAGAAGGCTAGAGGCTGTGGTTGCAGCAGAGGTAGTTCCATAAACACCGGAGGCCAGAGCGGCAATAACGATGTTGTGCTCTCCCACGCGACCCCACGTATAAGCGTTTGTGTCGCTTTGGTGTCTAGTGAAGCCGGTTGGAGCTGCATGTTCCTCGTCGAGCATCGCTTCTGCAGCGGCCCGCTCGATGGGAAGGGCAGCGATCCAGGCGATCGTGTAGGAGTCGGGGCTGTTGAGGACTTTCAGGGATGCCATTTTGCAGAGGGGAGCATGCAAGGCTGTCAGATGTGGTTAGATGGAGGAAACCCGTAACTGCAGAATATTGTTTATCGCTGTCAGTCAGAGGGCGCAACCGTGTCAGTTGTCATATAGGTCTATCTAGCTGGGAGGCAAACTGAAGGTCGGAGCTAGGTCACAACACCAGGCTCTCGCCAATAAAAAACTCAGGTAGGAGGATGTGGACAGTGAGCGCTTACATGCGAAAGCCTCTTGCTGGCTGGACGACATGATTGGGAGTGGTCAACGCCAAGAAACTGCCTCCCACATTGCTCAGCGTTGTTGTGGGCCTGCAATCCCGGAGCACTACCGTCGTTCCCAATTACCTCCTCGGTAACAGGTATCTTGGTGGACAATCCGGATTGCATGCAGCTTAATAGCCTCTTATTTGATGTTATTTGCGGCTTTTGATGCTCCTAGAGAAAATTTACATCGTCTCAGGAGCAGGTCACCTGATCATGGGGCTGAGAAATCCCCCACCCCGCTTCTGAGAGTTGGGCCATCACTAACACCATCCTCGTATGCACCACCTATTGACTATGAATCGAATCTCGTTTGGTAAAGACAGCACAGGTCCTCAGTTTGAGATCAACTACGGAGAAATCAATGTTTTATCCGGTAAGTTTCTAGAAGCCTTATAACGTAATTCCCGGCCGAGCTGCCCACCCCAAAACACATAGTAAATGCGATAAATTACAACTTCATATCGCAACAACCACAACTTGATAAGATATATTCTTGCAGCTTACTGAGATAGTCATAGGCTTTAAGTATACTATCCTACCTAAAATTCAAAATTTCATTTTAAAATATATGATTATATATGTGAGATACAATTCACCTCTTAATTTTGTGTAATCAGAGGAAAACAATAATAAAAATACTTTAAATAAAAATATGTTGCTTTTGATGATTAGAAGATTCGTGGCGAAGATGGGTGGGACGGTGTGATTAATTTGGACAGAATGACGGTCTGTGTTGAGAAACTGGCTGAGAGCGCGTGGTTCTCACCCTTCGGCGCGCCACTTGCGCACGGATTCTCTCTGCTGAGATCATAATATTATTGATTCACATCCACCCTCATGAAACCGCCATTGAATTTACATCTGCATGTAGTACTATTGAATTCTGCCGATCTTACGGTAAGCCCAACCAGTACGAGGGCGACCCTAAAGATGCCTCGGTTGAGGAAATTTGCTTGGCACTGGCCATGTCGTCGCGTTGCCAACAAAATACTGTGGGTCGGGAGGCGGTCAGGTAACGAGGCTGAGAATAGCGACTTTCACTAGCCCAGGCACAACACTGCCCTCTGAACTGAAACAGTGTCGGCAGCCGCCAGTGGCTGGGCCTCACATGGAGTCAGCGGCTACCTCTCTTCCTTCAAATATTAGGGGAGACTGATCTCTTGTCTCCAACGCCCTGGATTCAACCACCTATCCAGATTACCTTGAGACCTACAATTTAGGATTCTAGATGGCAGACCCATTTTCTGTGGCCGGGAGTGCGGTCGGGGTCATCTCCCTTGGCCTCGCAGTTTGCCAGGGCCTACTGGCCTACTATGGGCCACTCAAAGCTTATGATGAGCAAATCCACGACGTCTCGGACCGCATTAAAAGCTTTAATAGCACTCTAAAGGCGTTGAAAGTCGTGCTCGCTAACGCCGAAGTTTCTTCTTCTACCCTTACGGCTCGACCTGCAACTCAGGCACTTGATTGCATTTTCAATTGCCAAGAAGGCTTGAAAAGATTGAAGAGCATGCTGGACAAATGCAGAGGCTCTCCATCAACTAAGAGCCTTTTGGGATCTAAAATCCAGGTGAATAGGATGCTGTACCCTTTCAAGCGTGACACCCTGGTAACGCTTTTGGACACAACGAGTTGGCTACAAGCTGATCTCAACACCTCGTTGCAAATTTTGACCATGTGAGTGTATAAATACAAGAGCCCAAATATGACCGCTGACAATATATCGAGGGCTATGGTCATCCAAAGTCAAAAGCAAACAGAGCCAGTCATCACGTACTCGGCCTCGACCGCCACTAATACAAGTCAGATGCTAAGCTTGGCTAGCATGTCTGATCGGCGCGGCGTTCATATCGAGCAAAAGCTAGATATGATCGAACATCACCTCAAACAGATGGTATGGATCTTCGTTCTGGATATTTGTTCCAGCTCTGGAGGAACGCTTATCGAGCCTTTGCTTATGAGTTCACTTAGAAAAACGACAATACCCGCGCGAAAACCCGACCCGCTTATACAACACACCTACTACAATCTGCATTAGAGATCCAAAGAACTCTGAATGAGGAATTGGATGATCAGAATATAGCAATCATACCTCAGCGAATTCGTCGAAAAGAATGTTCGTGTCGTAGTCGGACGCGCACGACATATTTGGGAGGAGACCATACGGACACTTCAACTTGTGAACTTCACGGCGAAAGCAAGTCCGTTATTACTTTACTACATCGTCGAATATTTTGCGGATGGGCTGTGCGCATATCACTTGAGGCTTCGTTCTCGAGTACAAGAGGAGCAGGAGGCTTTTCCATCAGCCCCAGACTTGAATTTCGAGCCATTGTGCCAGCCAATTCCGAGATCTTCCTTGTATTGTCCCGTGCAGAAAAGAGTCTGGAGACCCAAGATGTCTCTGGTATCATCAACGATACCCAAAAGGCCCTGTTTGGAATAGTTCTTAGAGGCGACGGTTCAATGTCAGATGCACTTGGCAACGGCAATACGATTTTACACGTAAGTAAGGATTTGTTATGTATATTTCCAGCTTTCCCGGTTCGAACAACAATTTGATGAAGAAAGATGGCTCTAAGTCCCTGAACTTGCACTAACTATAACAATTCACAGATAGTGACATACTGGCAACGTTACAGTTTTCAGTGGGACACACGTTCACAGCTTACCTGGCGTTCATTTATCAATGCCATTCTACAGACTGGGATATCTCCTGATCGTACCAATGATCGCGGCGAGACTCCTGCTGATAGCATGATCCAACGGTTTAATAGCAGACTTAGCGACCTAGATAAGCACCAGGTAACAGTTGATATCTGTTCAGACCTACTAAAAGCTGGGGGCTACATGACTCGATCAGCCCTTGATTGGAGACATCAAGAAAATTGGTTCAACCCTGCTTATTATGGTTTTCGAGGGGATGGACGAAGAAATGATAATCTGTTCGAAGATTTTACCTTCCGCCTCATTTGGAAGATTGCTGATGAGAAAGGGCTTCAAGGTAAGAATACATTCACAAGATCTTAAGAGGAGTGGTGAGCTAAGTTGTCGATATGAGACATCGATGTCCCAGAAAAGCTTGAGCCTCTTGCGTATAAATCAACGAAGCTTCTGGTCGCGAAGCTGAGAAGAGACAATGAAGTATATCGCTGGATCGAATCCTATACTCGGTGGCCGCTTGGTCTTGCCTTACTTCTTCAATCTGGACATGCATCAATTGATGGTGCACTCAATGCCGCATGTGAAGCGAACTGCGAGGAAAGCGTGAGACTATTGATCCAGGATTACAGCTGTTTTATCGGAAAGGAGGATCTAGAGCTCGCTAGTTTCCATCCTAACCCTGCTATTGTTGATCTAATAGTCAACACATTCATTGATCGCAGAAGACGGTTACAAGCTCTAGCTGTGGTACACTTGCCAAGAGAAGTTCAATATCAGTTAAACATCAGATCTGATACTCTGCTAAACGTGCATGCTTATGAAGCATACGCACTACTCTCAGCGGCTTCTGTGGATCTGGAAACTCTTTTAGAGCGTCAAACGTGGTCAGTCTTTGACTGTTTCGGGGCCAATCTTGAGCTGGCAGGCCGGCTATACGAAGCCGGCTTCAGAGACCTGAATGAGATCGACAAGGATAACGAAACGTGCCTGACAAATTTGTGGCGATCTACACCACCATGTACACTGGAAGAATTTCTCCAAAAGGCTTATTGGCTCATCAGCAGGGGTGCTGATGTCCACCACCAAGGCCCATCCGGATCCGCTTCGCATACTCTGGGAAACGGCGTGGGATCTATTTTACGATACACTGGCCAAGAGGAAGAGTGCCGATTGGAGATTCAATCTCTGAGCGGTAACTCGAAGGAATTGCTGAGGATAGTTCTTTTCGACAATGTTCGAGATGACTGCGAGTGTGCATGCTCTCTGAACGGATGCTCTCCGCTCTCGGCTTTTCTGGGCGGTCTTTTCCCAACACGAACCTACGGTGACACCAGAGACCTTGTTCAGATGCTCGCAGATTTATTATCTGTGGTACTCGATGGCTTCGAAGCTGTGTCTCCTGAGCACTACAAAAATCACTTGGGGGCAGGCATACTTCGTTTCATCACATTCAGGAGCCTGGAACTCACTCATACTTGCTCGCATGAGTATAGAAAAATCGAGCCAGATGACATAAAAGAGATTCACGACGAAGAAAAACTATTAATATTGGATCTCGTGAACCTATTGAGAGAATTATCCGAGGAGTTCGAGGAGCACAACTTGCAACTTTCGAGTTTCATAACCGGCCCGTGGCGGGCACACATGAATTCATTTTTATCATCGTCCAGACCACAAGGCACACAAGAAGCAAGTGAGATTCTACAGGCAGGTGTCATTCTTGATAAGATCATCTTTTCGCGTTAGCATAGATCATGCGAAAGCAATTCGTTCGCCCAAATCTCAAATCTCAATAACAACGTATCTTGTCTGAAGAAGCTTTGCAAAGATGTGCCTTATAAAATCCAAGCCCGTCGATACAGTAATTTTCGAATTCTACCACTACGCCCTCGCAATTTTTCCACGGAAACTGAGTTTGAAAAAGCATGACCTGATTGAATAGGATAGTCAGCCCCGTTATCTAGACCGCCTGTTAGAACGGGGGAAGAACATAGTAATATATCCCAGGGAGGAAGTCTTAGGCACTTTTACTTCAACACATTTCGCCCTAAGCCTTTTTGAAGTTTATGAAGGGAACTTACATGAAAGGACTTGGGCATGTTTGACTGATATTTCAAAAGTGACTAATTTAACGGATGCATTCAACCGAAAGCTCGACCGAGGCTAGTATTAGGAAATCTGTGGCATGTTCAAGCGCCTGACGTGATAACTGCGTACTTAGTAAGATGGAGGCCAGTGCATGGTGACTATTCCCTAGTAAGGGATGGATCGGGATGTACAAAAAAAGTGTATAGTCGCAGGATCTAGGATTTCATAGACCAACGGTCTTGGATGGATCTAACTCATGATGGACTTCTGAGTGTAGCCAAGAAAAACTGCTGCCAGCCGCTCTGAGCGTATACTTAAGTTTCTGATTTCCAGATATGAAAGGCACCCATTGTTGAAATTTACTCCAATCCATGAATTTCTGTGGATACTTCCAATGCTTCGGATTTATGAAGGTTCAAAATCTGGGATCTCATGGACCCTTTGATGACGCTAATGCTTTGACCAGGATCGTTCCGATTCTGAAGAATGGAACGGAACCTTCGGCGAGGAAGAATATGACCGTCCCCACCATACCGGCCCGCTTTCAGGGTTACCGACCGAGGCCTCTATTTGTGCAGCGAGCACACTGGTTCGAAAGCAATATCAGCGGAAACATATCATGGGGTTGGAAAACGCTGGCCACGGGCATAAGAGAATACTTAGAGTGCGGACTATCCATCATAATGTGGGAGAGGAAAACGGCAAGCCATATTCCACTGTTGAGGTTGAGCTCAGTCTGGACGGTGAGATAAAAAGACCCACTATGAAATATGCCGAGGTCATGGACACGGAAGGAGGAAGAAAGAGTGTGCGCATCCTATTATATCCTGTTTAGCCGCCTCAGGTTTGCTGATATGAAACAATGAAGCATCCTCCCCTTTTTTGTTAGAAAGTCGGAACCGTCTAGTTATTATCTAGTGGGGCCTAGTTAACCGCCGGACTGAGGAGCATCAATCCACGAACGCCTGTGCGATAGGGCAATAGGCGTCTCATGAAACGACTCATGCTAGATTAAGACAATTAACATGGGCCACGATTTCGGATCTATGGGTATTAAAAGGACGCCTTGCCTCATATTTCTGGTGCTTCAAATCAGCCTGTTCTCTCTCGCCCGGCAGGTCTTATTTGCGGACTATACAATTCCTCTCAAACCCCGTGGGGTCTAGTTTGATATTTCATTGTTAGTTTGATCATTCTGAGTTCTGACTTGCCTTTTTAGTCTTGTCTCGTTAGCTATGTCTGGTTTTCAGCCTGTTCACTATGTGCCCGCCAGTCGCCAGGCTCAAATGTTGGCTAAGCCAGTGAGGTGCATCCTCGCCGTTCCACATCGAAAGGCAGGGGGTACTAATCACTGGTGCCTCTACCTTTCGTCATCCCCCACGAGCTCGGTTCGGATTGATTGTCAGCCATGCCACACTTTTCCGAGCTCGGTCCTCCGGGGGGCTCCAAGGCCAACCTGATCATCTCAGAATTGCCCTACGAAATCTCTCGTGATGCCCAGGCCTAATTTATTCTCGATGTTGCCCCTGGACTGTTAGTAGGGTAAGTTGTTGGGGAAATTACTCGATATGGGCGTCACAAGTACGAATTCGATGCGAATGGTGTTGGATGCAGGTGTTAGACTACCGATCAGATTAATCTTTTAGATCAACTTCAATTTGTCGTCAACGCATCCCAGGTTGCGGGGGCAAAAGCAGGGATTCTCAAGCTGTGGCCGGATCAGACACCACTTCCCCTTGACCAGGGGGCTTACTACCAATGAGCCTCATTTGCCGATGATCTAATTCAAGGGAAAGGATTTTGGCTGTCAAGATTTATTGTTCCGAATGCTTCCGTGATCATATATTACTCTTAAAGTTTCAATTGTTGTGTTGAATCCGTTCTAAGTCGTCTTCTTCGTCCTTCCTCGTTTCCGAGCGGTAGATTTCTTTACCCAAGTTTAGATAGTCTCGCACCAGGGGGCAGCCTAACATTTGGACCGGCAATTAGGCCACGGCAGGCCTTATCGGACCACTACGGTGGAGCCTATTCGTGTTTAGTTTTTACCAACTGGGTTTATCCCCATTTGCCCCGAGGCATGCCCGCGTACTTGTATCACGACGCGCCCGCCTTCCCATCTCGTATCCAACAGCTCCCAAAATCCGTTGCCTTCTGTTGCCTTCCCATCCCTGCTCTTGCAGCTGTTCTATGCGCCCTCATCGCCAATCGATTCTACAGCCCCCAAATTTCTTCGTCTCCTTTTCCCTGCTCTTTGCAACCGAGGCAATTTTGGCGGGAGAGTAGGGTGTGTGCTTCTCGCTGTGTTTTTGGCTGAGTCAACGTCAGCGTCGCGCAGCCGTGGGGTTGGTAACCCCTTCCACTCCGTTCCTCCGTTTCAGGGCAATCATCATCATCATACTGTAAAGTAATCTGGATATGTAGCCTTTTGTGATCACTGATCATGCTTAAAAAAGTCACGTACATAATGACAATACTTATCAGTGAGCAACTCTGACGCACTCAGGGGTATTCCCCGGCGCTTAATCAAAAGGAAAACCTAATTAACCCATACGGCCGGGTAGCTTATCTTGGCGGCTATTCCAGAATAGGACACCGTTAGACGAGCGGGCACCTTCAGTCCAATACAGATGTTGGTACTGCCTAACTACGTATGGATAAAACTAAATATATTGTAATATCCATGGATTTAGGCAACCAATGAGTCATGCTCTTGCTGTTTCACGTGATCTACAATGAACTGGATTAGTTAGTTAGTTGTTAACTAGGCTCCAAGATTCCTTAGCGGACTGATTCAAAAGGCTGCTCAAAGATCCTTCACCACTTTCAAAATGGCACCGATAGCTTTCCCACTCTCCAGTGGCTTGCAAGATGATTTCTGCGTGGTTCCTCAAATTGCTGGATGTGGTAGCAGCGGTTGTCACCGTGCTATTTGTTTTTGGCTCTTTTCTCATCAATTATAAGCGGGAAACACCCAGGAAGACTTCGGTGCTACGAAAGACGACTCTTCGAGTTGTTCCTGTGCTGCTCGCCTCGGTGTCTTACGTCGCCGAGGTGACCATCGTCTCGCGACAGGGCCATAAACCTAGCCAGATCCAAGATCATCTACTCGCGACACTCATTTTCGCCTTGGCATGGGCTTCAACCTGCATCCGCAGAGAGCTCCTCATTCCTGAAATTTTTGGTCTTTCCTCGATTTCGCTGCTATTCGGCATCCCGGTCCTGATACTACATGCAACGTATCCAGCAGGGTCCTCTATGCACGAAGCATTGTTGGCCATCGAGTTTGTCCGACAGTTTATTGTTGTCGGTTTGCTGATTGACTGCCTTGTTCGCTCCCTTTCATACAGAAAGAAGACGAAGCAGGAAGAAGAAGAGGAGGAGGAGGAGGAGGAGGAGGAGGAGGAAGCGAGACCTCTTTTCAACAGCTCGAATAGTCAAACCAATCAAGTCTCGTACGGCACCAAGCCCCAAACATCTCGACCCGCTAGTACTAGCGATTTCTCTAGTGACGATTGGGATTCCGACGGTGAAGAGAATGAACCCGAGAACTCTCAGACTGGCCAGCTTCGTAAGAGCGGCAGCTGGATGGTCTATATCCACAACTTCAAAGTCTTCCTGCCGTTTTTGATCCCCCGGAGGAACCTCGAAGTGCAAGCCTGTCTCCTAGGGTGCGTCTTATGCCTTGTTGCAGACCGCTTTCTCAACATCCTGGTTCCTCGTCAGCTGGGTATCATCGCCGACAAGCTTTTCGCAAGACAGCAACCATTCTCTGACCTGGGGATTTACTTCGCCCTCGCTCTGTTGCACGGCGATTCGGGCTTGCAGATGATCAAGTCGCTAGCCAAGATCCCCATCGAGCAATTCTCGTACCGCCAACTCACAAACGCGGCCTTTAACCATGTCATGGGCCTAGAAATGGAGTTCCACTCTGACAGAGATTCCGCTGAGGTGATGAAGGCCATCGAGCAGGGCGAAGCACTAACAAATCTCCTGGAGACCGCTGTGTTAGAAATTGTCCCCACGGTCATCGACATGGTCGTTGCAATCGTCTTCCTCTATATCAAGTTCAATTCGTCCGCTGCGCTTTGCATGCTCCTTGCATCGCTGGCATTCATGGTTCTCGAAGTCGTCACCTCCAGCTGGAACGTGGAAAACCGCCGGCGACTCACCAAGGCCGAACGAGCCGAGGCGCGGGTGATGCACCAGGCCATCCAGGGCTGGCAGACAGTTTCTGCTTTCAACATGTTCTTGTATGAAAAATTTCGTTTTCGGGGCGCTGTAGACAAGCATCTTCTGGCAAAGAAGGATTGGTCGCAGAGGGATGCGTATACGACTGGCTTGACAGAGACACTCGTTCCGATGACATTTTTTGCCCTAGCGTGCCTCGTCGCTCGCGAGGTCTGTGAGGGCCGTGCTTCTCCGGGAGATTTTGTCTTTCTGACCCAGTATTGGGAGTATCTTGTCTGGCCGATCAAGTATCTGTCGCACGAATACCGCTACCTCATGGCTCACCTCATCGATGCGGAACGGCTTCTCGACTTACTTACGACGCAGCCTACCGTCAAGGATAAGGAGGGCGCCCTGGAACTGGGTCTCATCAAAGGGCAGGTAGAGTTTGAGCACGTCGGCTTCTCGTATTTTGCTCGGAAAAGCGTTATCAGAGACGTTAATATTTCTGTATTACCCGGCGACACTATTGCACTAGTTGGTCCCACTGGGGCGGGGAAGACGTCGCTTATGAAGCTTCTGCTCCGAAATTATGATGTAACCTCCGGGAGCATTAAGATTGACGGCTATGATGTTCGCGACGTCACCCAGGGCTCGCTGCGAAACGTCCTCGGCGTGGTTACGCAGGATCCTGTACTGTTCAATACATCGATAATAGAGAACCTGCGCTATGCAAAGCTCTCTGCTTCCGATGAAGAGATCTATGATGCGTGCCGGGCTGCCGCCATCCACGACAAAATTATGTCTTTCCCCAAGAGCTACCACACCAAGGTCGGAGAACAAGGCGTCAAACTGTCTGGCGGGGAGGTCCAGCGATTGGCGATTGCAAGAGTTTTTCTAAAAGATCCACCCATCCTCGTTCTGGACGAGGCAACCAGTTCCATCGATACGGAGACCGAGTCGGAGATTCAAGGTGCGCTGAAGCGGCTGAGCAGAAAGAGGACTACTTTTGTCATTGCCCACCGGCTATCAACTGTTGTGCATGCGGACCAGATTCTCGTCTTGAGCGATGGCATGATTGTCGAGAGAGGCACACATGCGGAGTTGTTAGAGAAACGGGATCGGTACTATGGTCTCTGGCAGAAGCAGTTTCTGGGGTCAGGGGAAGCGCAGTTGGTAGAGACGTAAATGGAAGAAAGCGGTAACGGCATAAACCATAACTTACTATAGACTTATCATTGCTAGTGTTATGGAGTACCCCTGCCTTTTCACAGATTAAAGTGGAAAAAATAACAGGACTGCACCAGTGACACTCAAAGCCTGGAACAATCTCAGTGGAGATAATTGTGTATTTACACAATAGTGGTGGCCTGTATATCTCCGAAAGTGTTGATCTCCCAGCTAGACTAAAATACGAATCCGTACCCAGCCTAGTGGGATATGGTTTATCATCCAACTGAAAGCGAGGGGTCAGGGTAAATGAAATAATCCATCCACATGTGGACCGTTAAACAGCTTTGGTGCTATAGAGTTTTGTAGTGTAAATGCACTTTGCTTTAGCGTATTGGATGCAACGGAGGAATTTATAAGTTGCCCCTTGAATAGGGTTGGAGCTAAAGTTTGGTTCTTTTGGTAAGTTACCAAGCAATTATATATTTCATGGGAGTTTCTCCGTATACCTCCCGTCCATCTTTTTGTTAATCGAGTATTAGTTGACACGGTGAGCAGGCCGCCAGAAACGGCTCCCATTGCACCGCTCTTCTGCCGCCGCCGACCGCCTGCCCGCCTCCGCCTCCCCCCTTCCTTTCCAGGTATGGTGCCCTCCCACTAGCCCCCGTTCGGGCCTAGTGCCATCCCTGGCCGCTTTTACCGCCCTGGACATCTGCCGTCCATCTATAAAAGACCCCTCGCCCCCCTCTCCTTCTTGACGACGCACTTCTCTTCTCTTTTTCCCTCCTGCCCCCTCTTTCCCCTTTTCCTTTTCGCCCCCACCGTCGCCTGCGCATTGGCTTTCAGCCCGACGCACTGCCCCTTTCATTTCGCCGGAGAATGCCGTTCCATCCGACGCCAAGGTCGTTCTGGCCAGCGCTGGGTTGCAATGCCATCCAGTCACGCAGGAGCAGAAACACTGCAGTGATGCGGCCCTCCCACCGCATTGTGTGATTGCGCGTCAAATCATTCTTCTCCTAGAGAGTCACCGTGAATCTTGCTACGGAGCTATCTCGATCCGATGAGGCCTCCAAATTGAGGCCTTATGAGGCCGTTGAGCGTCTCCGTTCTTGCAAAGTCTCCCCGATTGCCCTTCTCGATTCCGCATGCTCCCTTTCGCCCGCCCAATCGGGGGTTACATTACGCAGGGACCCTGGCGTCGCAGATCTACTCTTGGCCGCTGGTTCGTAAACGCCCTACCTCGCCATTGTCGTCACTGTCGGCCTCTCCGGTCCCACTTCACCCAACCGATGAATCACGAATGCACGCCACGGTGATTGCGAGCCAGTAGCGAAAATACTGCACTCTCGCCTGATCTCGGTCGATGCCGCATCATGAGGTCAATGCCGGCCTGCGGCCCACGATCACACAGACTAGCGAATGGAGACACGGCTGATGACTACCGTGGGCATGGATCATGAGGTTCACTAGCGAGGAGTGGCAGAATTGTTGCCGGTGACTTACAGGCCCCGGTTGCCTGACGTGATTGCGCAATTTGGACGATGTAGAGAGGGGGTCTTCTGCGTCTTCTGCGCTGTGCAGAGGGCAGATTTTGCCTTGTGGTCTATAAAAGAGACCACGCTTCTGCCCAACTTGGTATTCAACCCTGCCAGATTCTCCTCCCCTTCCCACCTTCCCTCTTTCGCACCACCCCATGCCCTTCCCTCCCCCAAATCCCAAGCCCCCGTCACTCCGCCAATTTCCCTATCCTAATCACCATATCCCGTGAGCTTGTGCTGGCTTTTTTTTACACAATATGTCAAGCGCCAGTTTTCGCCTGGAATCTTTCCGGCCGTGGAATCCTTTCCGGGACAAAGCGCAGCCTGTACGAGATTCTCCCGATATTTATCGCTACCCAAGTCCTGTCTCTATCACTACCACGCCTTCTCACTCCGATTCTAGTGACTCAGCCTCAAAGAGCCAAAAGAATCATTCCCACAAACCCGAGAGGCATCCACTTCCCGCCCGGCCGCCAGTGGAGGTTTGCTTGGATGGCGGTCCCCATTCGGACCCTCAAACTTCTCGACGCGAACCGGCGGAGTTGGGGCGAACGGCCTCCGCCGACATTTACCGAGGCAATTTCGACTCTGACGAGATTTTGCAGTCGGAAGGCTTGTCAGCCGCCGAAGACGTCGATTCTGCAATGATATCCGCGGATATTCGTCTGGGCGCTGAGCATCAATCCCTCGGCGTCGAATCCGGTGACTTAGAGCCTGCTGCTATTCCTGGTCAGCATCCTCAAGCTCGCGATTCCGGAAATCAGACTCAAACTGGAAGCGTTCCAGGCAATGAAGCCATCGTTCCCGCAATCCTGAACGATCATGACTTTCCGGACGCTGAGCAGATCCAAGCAACGGAGGATATCACCGGCATCACAACACGTCCGAACCAACGTTCCTCGAACTGCACTCGCTCCTTGAGTAAGGACTCCACCTTGCAACGCAGGCGCCGAAATGCAAAGGGGACAGTGGATCTTGATCGCCAGTCCTCCAAAATAAGGAAACCTGCAGGTGCTGGGAACACAAATACAACACGTGGTTCCGGTCGGTCCAATAAAGGGCCCCGTCGTCGCAAAAGCGTCTTGTTTCCTGACGTTCGTGCTCAATTCTTGGCCCTTCCAGTTGAAGACCGGCTCCAGTTCCTGTCCTGGCTGTTTGAGGGCGCTCTACCACACTGCACTTCTACGCGTGCCAACACAGATGTCGCCTCTATGTCAAGATGCATCTCTAGCCAAGATGCGGACATCTCAAACGACTGTGACCAGAGCCTCAACACCGACCTAGTTGACGAGCAGCACCCTCATACGAGAAAAGGCTTACCATTTTCCATGGAAGAAAGTCGTCTATTAGTGGATCTCAGGGAAGAACAGAGACTTTCTTGGTCAGAGGCGACGAGACGGTTTGGACAAAAATTCCCCGGGAGGAGTAAAGGGTCCATACAAGTGTACTGGAGCACGACTCTCAAGAAACAGCGGCAATCTCTACTGGAAGCCACATAGAAAATGCTATCTGTCTGGTGGTGGAGCTCACGTCGCGCGTGGCTTGTACCTCGTCGGAGTATACATTGATCGTATCCACGACAAAGCAGTATAAGGATGATTCATTTTTCGCGAAAGAGCCCAGGGTGGGACGATGTGTGCTCTGTAGTGTAGTGTTCAAGATGGTCCGGCCGGACTAGAGAAGCCTTATCATACCAAGAATAAAGCACGAGTCTCTTTCTGTTTCAACCAGGCGTCAACTACCCTGAAGCCTGAGTGAGGGCTCGCTCAGTCCTTAAACTCCCCTTGCGTGAGGCTGTGAAGCTTGTCCAAGCTTTCTCGAAACCATGCTCTCGTGACCACATCGCACGGATTTCCTGCACGGTGCATCTTCGAAAATTCTGCAAGATATTTGCTCTGTATTTCCATATACCCGGGGAACTTTGGCGAATCTTCATAAGCCGGTTGTTGCGCGAGTATAATCGGATCGTCGTTGCTCAGCGGGATAAAGTTGACCGGTCCGTACGCTTGACGAACCCTCTCGACACCAGTCTCGAGGACAGCCAGGTCCACTAGAATTGCTCGTTCCGCTCCCGTACGATAGCCTTGAAGAGGGACCGTTGCAAGGACCACATCTTCTAGGCCTTTCTCCCGAATATCATTCATTGGATTGGATTGGTGTTTGATGCAATAGATCCGTACAGTCTTCACAAATTAGAATGCGGATGAACCCCGGAGGAGAGTCTCTTACAAACACGCTGAAAAGAAGTCTGAATTGTGTGTCTGGCATTGGCAACGTTGAGTAATGAATGTCAGAGAAAGCAATGGATGGCTGTCTTTGAGGTGTAGGTTTCTTTTGGAGTTCCCAAATCTTCTGCCGAGCGAGAGCATGATGGCTTTATAGTTTGCAATACGACTCCGATAGTTGGTAAACGATGGCTTCTAGCTACACTTCGCGTGCCAGTTATTCGTTGCCAACCTTTGCACGTCACTCTGACCCTGGACCCTGCCGCTTCGAGAGGTCCATTTGCTCTCGCTCTATCCCATACTCTTGAAGATGCGCTCCACTGCATAAATTTGATTTGAGAGTCCTTCGGCATGAGACGATCTCATCTCCATAGTTGCTGTAGCGTAATACGGGCCACTGGAACGCGGTGCCCTTGTGAACCGAATGAGGCTGTGATAGCTGGATTGTGGGATATAACGGAGATTGTCCTGGCTGAGGGTATTGGTCGTGCGATTATGAACACTAGTTTTCGTATAAGTCGTTGCCGTAGTTTCATTAGGTATAACGAGTACCTCTCAGGAGAGTTTTGAGACGAAACTTGAGCAGATGTATTCCCCGTTCGTGTGGAGTCCATGGCTTCTTTGATGCATTGATCCTGATTATCTAGGACCCAAATGAAGCTAGGTCTTTATATACACAGGACAGAGTCGGTCCACAGAGTCGGTCCTATGTGAGGTACATCTAATTACAGGTAGCGCACTTGAACTGCCTACAGAGCACCCCTTAACTTGTGAATCTTAGGTAGCTAATGTCTTGATATTCCGAACGGAGTAGCTATTCCTTTCTCAACTTTCGGCCACGTCAATTAAAGGTCGGCTGCTCGGGAGCCAAAACGGAGGGTTATTTCCTTGCCCTTTTCTCCTTGCCATTTTTCACTGCCCACGCAATACGCAGCATGTTCTCTTCTCTGATTCGCTTCATTTCCCATAGCAAGTCCCAAGGCACCAATTCTTTCGCTCGACAAATCTTTATACGTAACCAGAAGTGGTCTCGTATACACCTCGGTTCTCCATCAATCCACGATCCACAGCGAACGACGCCGCCATCCCCTTTATAGTATTTGACCAAAAACAGAATATCCGGACTGTCAACTGTGTTGTGATTGTACATCAGGCCCCCAAAGTGCTGAAACTCTTGGGATCTGCTAAAAGGGATCTGCTAAAAACACACCCCTATTACCCAAAAGGGTAAAGCGCAGTCTCTGTATTTTCTCCTTTTGTGACAGCGGTACGTCCTGCTACAGCCAAATTACTATGGCAGCAGATGAAGATCTGTTGCCCGATAAGCACCCTGGGAGACTGGAGGTCTGGCATGATGACTAATGAACTTCCGACTTCCAACATTCCAGTTCACATAGTAAAAGCACCCTTCTACAACCCACCTTTTGCCTCTGCTTTTGACCTTCAAAACACTCGATTTGAGCTAATTTTGACTATATCACAGGCCCTCCACCGTCCGAAGCCCTTAAAACTCGATCACGCCCGTCATATTAGCTGGCACTGCGTCATACTAACCACGTCTCCGCGATCTCCCACGCTCACGTCCTCCACGGCTTCCACGGCTTGATACTTCGTTGTTGCTTTGGCTGGTCTGTTGGCTGGTCTGTTGGAGCTCTCTCCGAAGCTGCACTGAAGCTGCACTGCTACTGCAGCTTCGGCCCGACGCTCGTGCTCGAAGCCAGATAAATCCCGGGTTGTGGAGTAGTCTGGCCGATTGCCTGATCCTGCTGGGCGGCCCTTTGGGCGCACTGGTAGCGGAGCACGCACTAGCATGCGAGGGTCAATCGGAGCTGCGTCGGTGAGCTCCAGCCACCAATGTCGATGGAATTGATGCCGTTGCAATGGCTCGTTTTTGAGCCAGTGATCGTGGATCACATGGAAACAAGGATATCCTTCGCCCCAGTGGCTATCGGGTCTGGTGCAGGTAGCGGGTATTAGGGGTTTTTCATTAGCAGAGACTGGTAGATAGCTATCGAATAGCTTCTCAACCTTTGAGATAGCCCTTCGTGAGACCTGCTTTGGTAGAAGGGTGAAGATATGACGAGGGCGTATAGTAGGATGCCTTGAGATCTCATCAGCGATAGTACCTTGTATCTCATGATACTGGCGGTTAACCACCAGCTTGAAGCTTTCCAGGGCATATAACAGATCTTTTTGCGATGACTGCAACCCTCGTTTTAAGCCCCAATGACCGCCCTCAGCGCGAGATGTCGCCACTTCATCTAGATGAAGATAAACACCAGTTATATAGTGTAGAAAGTAGCGCCCAGAGTCATTAATCCACTCGGATTGGATATAATCAATGAGCTCGTCGAATGCGCCACTGAATTGAGGGTCCTGGTACGTTGTACGAAACTGCTGCCAGCGTTCTGTGAAGCCATCAAAGGTCTCAGCATACACACAGCGATTCCAACGGGTGACCATCTTCTTCCAACGAATATCGATCTCGGCCTGGTATTCATCCTTCTCCACTATACCGTATCGTATATCCTCCTTCACAAGATCACCGATTGCTGGCCGAGCTTTCTTCGATATGTTTTGGTTGATATGCCAAAGGCAGAGGATGGCATCGGTGGACGGAAGCTCGTCGATCGCGTTGATAAGGGCTGGCTCTTTATCGACAAAGATCGTGTATGGTGCGCTAATTGGAAAGTCAGCGTCCTTGTAAATCTCCCGAAGACAGTCAAAAATGAAGCGATAGGAGGCCTCTCGCTCATTTTGAAGAAACGCAAAACCAGCATAGAAGCTATTCCCAGTCGAGGTTGCACCAACAATATCAAGCAATGGCATTTTATATATGTTAGTCTTGTATGTGCAATCCATCCATAAAACATATGGATATCTTCGAAACATCGCGAGAGAGGTCCGATGTATCGCAAGAAGCGCGAATACTGTCTGATCTTCACGAACTGAGTGCCGAAAAACCCACTCTCCATCCTTTGGAAGCCGGATCAAGAGAGCCTGTATTGGTGTGAGGCCTCCTAATAGCTCTAAATAGAGCTTTTGGCGGATGTTGTAGATATCCTTGATGCGGGCGGAGGTGGCGCCTTGTTGATATAGACCTGTGAGAATCTGCTGAGGCGTGATTCCTTGCGAGAGCTGGGTCTGAATTTGCGACTTGAATCGCTCACGCTGGCGCCGGCGATGAACTGGCATAGCTGAGAGTGGAATAGGGCCATGATTATGCTTGGGCTGCTCGCCGTAGATTGCCCAATCTCCAGCAAGTAGGCGACGGATGACAGTGCGCCATGGGCACTCAGTGGCCTTTGTGTAGGACTTCTTCTTTAGATGATCTCGATCTCGTGTTTCTGGTCGGTCATATCCACGATCGCAGCGAAGATACACCGTCTTCAACGTGCCATCTCGCCTTTTCTTAGAGTTCTTGATCACCGCTCCGAAGCCACTGCCCGACTGGCAGCCTTGTTCGTTGATCCAGTCGATAGCAGCTAGATGCGTAGGCCAGGTAGTAGTACCTGGAACGATCGTATCCTGGGGGTCATCGGGAGCATCGCCGGGGGCATCGCTGGGGGTAGCAAGGTCGATCGATGGCATAAAGATGGCCATATCAAGCTCGCCAAACACAGGCAAGAGCTATCGTCGAATTGCGTGCTTTCCATGACGATTGAGGGTCAAAAACAGAGGCAAAAAGTGGGTTGTAGAAGGGTGTTTTTACTACGTGAACCAGAATGTTGGAAGTTGGGAGTTGATCATCATCCAGACCTCTAGTTTCTTACTAGGCGATAGATCTTCATCTGCTGCCATAGTAATTTGGCTGTAGCAGGATGTACCGCTGTCACAAAAGGAGGAAATACAGAGACTGCGCTTTACCCTTTTGGGTAATGGGGGTGTGTGATTAGACCCAGGGGGTGTGTTTTTAGCAGATCCCTAGATCAATGTCCCATGGTTGCTAATTTGGGATCAAGGGGCGCTTCAGGTACATAATTGGCTGACATCTGTCAACACCCCACCCAGGGTGGCTTGGCTTGTCGATCCGTCGGCTCGAAAGTTCCAGAGTATTTATTATTCTAGATAGTCCGCGCATTTTCGGCTCGGCACAGCCGAATCAGCCGTGGCCACAAGCCTGCGACACCTTTCTTGTTCATCCAATGATTGGTTCAAGCCCGTGTCTCCATCTTCGCATAGAGTGGCTATATATGGATAACTGATGGAATCATAGCACAGAGCCTAATGTGAAATCTCGTGCATTAGCGCGAGGCTGTGTTACGGTTCTCATTAGAAACCCCAAGCCGCATGCTCAGCTATGGGGCCGAATCGAATGTGACAGGAATTCGCTGACGTGGACAGCAGCTTGTACCGTAGCTTTGCGTGCCAATTTGGATACAACACCGCCCTTGATGGCGAATATAATACTACCTCAACCCAAATCAACCAGAAAGCAAGTTTGGAAACAAGAATGGAAAGTGACGGAGAGAAAGTGAAGGGGGACCGAGAATCTCTCAAGCGAAGCAGTGCGCTCTCCTTCCCTCTCTAACACCAAGGGAGCGTAAAATCCCAAAAGTGTGCGAGCTATACTGACATTTCCTTGACGACCAGGAGTGGAGTTCGAAGACGATGAGTCAACGGATGATGACTCTGAATGCAACGGATTAGATGACTCCGAGGAAGAAGAATGGTGGAAGGAAGATGACAGCGAAGACCTGGATTGTGAACAGGACATTGAAGAGCACGAGTATACCACCGACGACGCGGCACGAACGGTGAAGATTCGGCTCTTTTCGATCGATGCCTATGAAGGAATGAACAAGTCTAGTTGGATGAAAAATTTTGTCGCCGAATGCACTTGTGACGGCGTCGTTGTCGCCACCGCTCTGGCTCGGTATATTCATCGACAGGGCATGCGCTCTGAATTTTGGGAAAAGATGGAAGTGCCCAGCGAGGAAACATGCGATGTGGCCTTCCATACCTTTGATCGATACGGAACAGTCAAGGCCAAGTATAAGGACCATCCAGTGCAAAGAGGAACTGGTGTATGGGGAAACGAGCTTGACCACGGCCCTCTTTTCCTGATCGAAAAACTTCACGTTACAGCACTGAATCTGCGTCGGAAAGGTCTAGGCCAGAAAATAGTGTCTTTACTTTTGGACAAAGCTAGGCTGTTCTGCCTAGACGACAAGCCAGACGGCGAATATGCGGATCGTTTCTACGGTTCCAATGAGGCCCTTAAGCGAGCGTGGACTCTACATGCCCTAGTCAGTCCCGGAGTACTAACAGCTGATATCAAACCGCAGTTAGTGGGCAAGTCTGCAGAAGAACGCTTGACGACACGGGCTCGAATCCAATCCGGCGCTATTGACTTCTGGCGATCGTGCGGTTTTCGCCGAATCGGAGCATCTCGGTGTTTTGCATTTTCGTTCGATAGCCAGCATCAGTCTCGAGCTCTTGCTGCGTCTTCTGATTTCGACCCGCGTAGAAGCGATGCTGAAGATCTTGAAGAAGAAGAACTCGAAGTCATCTATGAGAGGGATCACGTTACTGATGTGAAGAAAATGAAAATGGAAAGACTTCGTGACGCGTTGCCGCTGCATCATGCAGCCCTCACTCTGATGGACGAGGAGCTCAAAATTTTTTTCGCGACTCATGCCGACGACGAGATTGGCTGGGATCGAGTGACGAACTCTGAAGCCACGCTTCTGCATTTAACAGCTTGCGAGCTCAAGCCCCTGAGTACACGGTGGCTACTTGAGAATGTCCACCACGCCGACTGCTGGAAGACAGCCCGTGATATTCACGGGTACACCCCGCTCGAAGCGTTGCAGGAGACTTTAGAGACAATGCGAACGCGAAAAGGATACGGCTTTTTCAGGGTCTTGAACATATCAGACCACTTTGAAGGGTACTCTGACGCTGCAGTGTCCTGTCTCTCCTTGCTATTCGGACAGGATGCTTTGGGGTTTAATAGAGCATGCCTCCGCTACGGGTGTACATGCGGAGGGTGCGTTGAAGGATTTCTATCCGCCCGAATGAGGAGCTCTTTGATCCTTCAGGGCGAGTTTATGTACGACCTCATGCAGGATGGAATTGATGATAGCGGCTTCTGGGTAGACTTCAACGACTTCAAGCTCGAGCATCTCGATCTCGATGTGCGAAAGAACCTCAAAACCAACAAGTCACTTCGAAGAGGCTTTGTGAATATTTGCCAAATTGCCGTGGAATGTCTGCAGGCGAAAAGAATTCCCACCGCGGAGAATCTCGAGTGGTGCTCTAACAACCGGAGCGAGTGGCCGCCAGATACCAGGAACTATCTGCGACGCACTGGGACGCAGATGGGCTGTCGGGCAGTGCTGCGTTACATGTTTGACGCTGCTAAGGAAGAGGATGAGAAAGCAGGTGACGGATGGTGTCAGCGCACATTGAAGAAGGAATGGTCCGACCTACCAACTTGTCGGAACGATCATGAGTTTGAATTTGTTGCCAGGGCTTGTGGCTACGGCGGGGATGATTTCATTTCGTTACCATGCTGGTAGATTGAATTATGTACTTATCTGGCCTCGCCTACGTCTATATGCGAAGATTCAGTCGTCTTCGCTATGTGTTTTTGAATGCCGTGGAAGGCCCTGCCCCGAATTGTTCATCATGGGAAGGGGATCCAGTGGATTATACATACGTCATTTTGAGCATCAATCCCCCTGCCCCGCCCCAAAGAGCCCCACAACTCCCCTCCTGGGGATAGAACAGTCCTGTGTCACGGGTATACTTGAAGCAAATACAAACAGCGGAGGATATACGGAGCGACCGGCCGATATAGCTTATCTGGGTTCTCTTGAACGCGAGAAAGCTCCTCTTGTCCTCCTCGCGCTACGTCTTGTATCTAGAGCCGGCTAGCCGACTATAGCTGTTCTTACATTCTTCCTAGTCATCAATGATTTAGGCATTAGGGTACCAGATATACATAGGGCTTATGATGAGGCACTCAAAGAGCGCTTGTTGCTCGTTGGCAGAAGGGATAACCCGGGTCAAGGAAAAGATGATGTTGGGGTAATGTCAGTTGACAAACTCCGCGAATATGTACTAAACTACGATGTTCATACGGGAAAGAGAAAGGCAGTCATAGACGCTCGGCTCACCAACCGTCATGCGGGGCCAAGAAGGCAATCTCCGGAAGAACTATGAGTTCTATCGGGCGGTTCTTCTCGCCGAGTTGAGGAGCATTCCCGAAGCATCTAGCATTTCGGAAGCCACTCGGCTTTACATACTGCCCTGCGTCAAGCTCATCATCAATGGGATGTATCTTATGTGCACCATTCGTTACCTGAGGCTCTGTGGAGAAAATCCTATCACTACCAAATCGATACACTCTCGGTTTCTATAATGACGGTTTCATTGAGACTTGCAAAGTTCGTCGTCTCATTTTAAGAATGGAAATACATTATATCAACGGAAGCTTTAGTATTAGCCACTAATAGGCCACAGGTTCCCTTTCCTCAAGCTTTCCTGAGAAAATCTGACTTTCCGAATCCCTTCATGGGACAGGACATAGTTATTCCAACCCGATTTTGAGAAGATATCAGAATATATAAAGAGAATATAAACATAGATCTCATAGAGGCCTCTTTAAACAAAACTCGATATGAAGGAAACTCCTCCAGATACATGACCGAGAGCTAGGATGCCGGCTCTGAATGCTAAACAACTTGGGCGAAAGTCCGGAGGAAGCCATAAAACCCTCTTACCCCGAAAGAAGACCCACTGCTTGTCTAGAATAGATAACCCAACTTTGGCTTCAGACCAAACCCAATCGGAATGGCCCTCGAGGGTTTGTCGTAGCTCGCCCGTGCTAGCATCCCACAGCCGGATAGTCTTGTCAAAGGAGCCAGAGGCCATCATCTGACCGTCGGGCGAGAAGGCCACGGACTGAACCGAATCAGAATGACCCTCAAGCGTCTGAGATATCTCGCCCGTGATAGTATCCCAGAGCCGGATAGTCTTGTCACTAGAGGTAGAGGCTAGTAGCTGACCGTGGGGCGAGAAGGCCACGGACTGAACGGAGTCAGAATGACCCTTGAGCGTTTGACGTAGCTCGCCCGTTCTGGCATCCCAAAGCCGGACGGTCTTGTCAAAGGAGGCAGAGGCTAGTAGCTGACCATTGGGTGAGAAGGCGATAGACCAAACCAAACCGGAATGGCCCTCGAGGATCTGTCGTATATCGCTGCTAGCGCCCCAGAGCCGGATGGTCTTATCGAAGGAGCTAGAGGCTAGCAGCTGACCGTCGGGTGAGAAGGCCACGGACTGGACCAAACCGGAATGGCCTTTAAATGTCTGGCGTACTTCGCCCGTGCTGGTATCCCAGAGCTGGACGGTATTGTCATAGGAGCCAAAGGCCAGTAGCTGACCATTGGGCGAGAAGGCCACGGACCAAACCGAATTAGAATGACCATTGAGAGTAAGCCATAACTCGCCCGTTCTGGCATCCCAAAGCCGGATAGTCTTGTCAAAGGAGGCAGAGGCCAGTAGCCGATTATCGGGTGAGAAGGCTACGGACTGAACTGAATCAGAATGACCCTCAAGCGTCTGAGATAGCTCGCCCGTGATAGTATCCCAGAGTCGGATAGTCTTGTCACTAGAGGTAGAGGCTAGTAGCTGATCATCGGGCGCGAAGGCCACGGACTGAACGAAATCAGAATGGCCCTCAAGGGTCTGGCGTAGCTCACCCGTGATAGTATCCCAGAGCCTGACGGTCTGGTCATTAGAACTAGAAGCCAATAACCGACCGTCGGGTGAGAAGGCCACAGACCAAACCGAATTAGAATGACCATTGAGAGTAAGCCATAACTCGCCCGTTCTGGCATCCCAAAGCCGGATAGTCTTGTCAAAGGAGGCAGAGGCCAGTAGCCGATTATCGGGTGAGAAGGCCACGGACTGAACCGAACCGGAATGGCCCTCGAGGGTCTGCCGGAACTCACCCGTGCTCGCATCCCAGAGCCGAATGGTCTTGTCACTCGAGCTAGAGGCTAGTAGCTGACCGTCGGGTGAGAAGGACACAGACTGAACATAATCGGAATGGCCCTTGAGGGTCTGACGTGGCTCACCCGTGCTCGCATCCCAGAGCCGGATGGTCTTGTCACTAGAGCTAGAGGCTAGTAGCTGACCGTCGGGTGAGAAGGACACAGACTGAACATAATCGGAATGGCCCTTGAGGGTCTGAAGTAGCTCGCCCGTATTGACATCCCAGAGCCGGACGGTCTTGTCACTAGAGCCAGAGGCAAGGTGCAGACCGTCGGGTGAGAAGGACACGGAACAAACCAAACCGGAATGGCCCTCAAGGGTCTGACGTAGCTCGCCCGTGCTAGGATCCCAGAGCCGGATGGTCTTATCAAAGGAGCCAGAGGCCAGTAGTTGACCGTCGGGTGAGAAGGCCACGGACTGAACCCATCCGGAATGACCCTCGAGGATTTGTTGTTCGGCGCTCCAATTCTCCTCAACCCTAGGCAATTGGTCCCAACGAGCCAACTCACTTTGAAATTTCCTTTTGATCGTTGAGTTCTTGGGAGCAAAAATAAGTCCGGAGGCGTAAAGCTGAAGTGGAGCAGTATCAGCGATTTGTCGGTTTTTAAGAACAAATCGCCTTGCATCGGAAAGGAACACCGATATTTCCGAATACCTGTCGCCCTATATACATGAGTATAAAGTGAACCACAGATGGCCCTCCATGAGTACATACCAGTGTAAGTGACTCTAATTTCTTGATCGTCACTACTACTTCAGACATATACCCTAAGATACTCATTGCTTCCAACCAGTGAAGAAAGTACTCTTTGAGAAATGAAAATGCCTCCATCAGCGCTTTGACAGGGTCATGACTCTGCACTAAGTGCGTAGCCCAATATCGACAGGCGTATTTCAATACGGGAGGTATATAGTGCCGAATTGAATACCTGTCAATTTCATTGCGTTGCATGCCTTCGCTCGGTAGATTGCAGATATTTTTCCTTAGGCCGTCCTGCAAGAATCGGAGGCATCGAGCTGTAAGTCGCTGGTTGACACGTTTCTCGTCGATCCAGAATTCGCTTTTGTCTTGGTGGTGATCCAAAAGAAAATCTCGGAATGACTGATGGAGAAGCCTGACGGGTGTGTCGAAATTGCTCGGTACACTGAGTACTGAATGGAGCCGGTTTAATCGACATTTGACATCGTCAAGTTCTCTGTCCAGCAGCTTGCTGAGGGAACTGATCGAGAGCGGAGTGGCAAGCACGATGATAGCCCCGACTATCTCCTTGAACTCTTCGAGTAATTGCTGCGACTCCCTTTCATTCTGGCCAATGAGAAGTTGCTTTAGCACGGGAATATATGTGCTGTCCATCTTGGACACGTAGGTTGACCGGTCTGTCAATATCGCTTCAAGTCGCTTTTGAGGGTTCCAGTTTACATCACTGATGAAACGACATAAGGTAGCAGCTGCAATGAATAAAGGAACTGCTCTGTTAACTAATTCCCTAGTAGCTGCGTCTCCGGGCCAGTCTGGTGGAAATGAGTGCCTCTGTTTTAGGTGGAGTAACTCATCCTCGAAATACAAGGATATGTCGTGTTCTATCGCCGATTTATTGATCTCGTGGAGGACGAGATCCCGATAGGCACCGGTGATCTCCTCGAAGCCCAGCCTTATCGGCAACTCAGGTCTGCTCGTCAACAAAAACCGGAGTTGCACGGATGTGAGCTTTTGAACTTGGGGCAAGAGCCGGAGAATAACCCCTATATCGTCTTCCGAATCGCATTCATCTAGAGCATCTATCACGATCACTCTGGTTGTGGTGTCTTCGCACTGCTTAAGTTCAAGCAGTGGGTCTAACAGAAGCTTTTCAAATTGTTCTCTCAACACCTTTTCTGAAATATTAGGGTCGTCGTCAATCGCCTTTTGAACTTCAGGCTGCATTCGAGGTATGCCGACGACCAGTTGCTCGATCAATGTCGGGAAAAGCTTCTTTGCTGTTCCCCGGTCCTCTTCACCTCTCTTGAAGAAGAAGCTCGCCCCGAGAAGCTGCTGCTCTTTAAGACGGGTTGCAACTGTTCGGGAGATTGTTGATTTCCCTGTCCCTGCCATGCCGTTCAACCAGAATATGCATTTTCCATGCGGCGTTTTTGTCCACTCTTCGATTTCTCGAAGCACATCAATTCTGGTTCCCGGGAGGCATTCACCATGTTGATTGTCGTAGGAGTCAAATGCTGCACCTTTTGCAGTCTGTAGTCTGCCAAGGTCTATCTTTTGGCCGATCAGATTGATGGTTCTCCTGTGTCAGGGTCAGTTCCTCCACACCAGCAATTAAGACATCGGATTATGGAGCCTACGTTTGATCAACCTGCAAGGACAAACTAAACGTTGTTTTGTACCACTCAATCTCACCAATGAAACCGTCTACCTCCGACCGTTTCAGCGGCCATTTGAAGGCTCTAAGTCCCCATTTTCTCATTCGTCTTTGCGTCGTTTCCGGGTCGATTCTCTCCTTCAATTTTGTAAGGGTTGAAGAGCACGTAGTAATATTGTCAATCAGATCTTGGGTGGCAGTAAGTTTTGTGCCACTGGATCCGCAAAGAAGCCCGTTGAGAGACTGGAGAACTTGGGCAAGGGCAATGGTCTTCTCTTGAAAACGCTGAATATCCTGCTTCGCATTCTTGACGCTGCTGAGGTATTTTCCACAAATTTGGACGATGGTCCCGGTTAATTGGACAACTGCGATAACACTTGCCGCGCCCGAAAGAGGATCCATGACCAACAAGCCTTAAAAGGCATAGGGAATATCAAAGTAATGTGTCGCAAGGGGTGATAATGAAAGATAGAATTCATGACCCTCGAAAAGAGGGGTAAGTGTCAAACGTGAGGCTGTGAGCAAAGCTGTATTCTGATTGGCGCTTAACCGAGCGTGTTGATCAAGACAATTCAGACCATCACAAGCACCTGTCTGCCTAGATCTAGTCCGTCATGGGATAGACCACAGTTTTCCTTTGTTCAAGCCATCCTAAGCAGCTCGTAATATTTTGCATCAGTGTTTCCCAGCTTCATGCCTCAGTGTCTTGGCACTATTCTCCAAGGACATTCATCCTTTTTTGCCGACGAGCAGGGTCCCAAAAAGATTCCTGGATATTTTGGAGGAAGAATTGATGAATTGCGGATGTTATTTACATACATAAAGAAGCTTGACCTAATATTACCCCAGCTTGACGCGCTTTTCAGCCTTGCATTCCTTGCCATCGGTACCCCATCGTCTTTTCCGTGTTACACAATTTGTCTGTGGCTCCTCTATCGAATGTGCACCATAGAAATGACGTTGAAGATGAGTGATATCCGGTGATTATCGAACAGCTCACTCATACTCCATTCACAAAATCCACTTATTTCAGCAATGTAGCACATGGACGATCTGCCTTGATGTCGCTTCTCTATGGAGAAGAAAGGGACAACAGCAGACTAATCAGATGCAGAATATCGTACATGAATACCACGGCAGGTGCGGCATCCGGTGGTGTGGCATCCGCCAGTGCTGCGACACCATCCAGTGCTGCGACACCTAGATGTGTGGCGACACGTAGAAGGATTTCTTCTCAGAGTAAATCCGCTCGTCCGCTGACATCTCGTGAGAGAGGAAATATTAGAGTGGGGAAGTTTGGCTAGGTTCGATGATGCGGGAGAGGGAGATATTCGGAGAGGGGGAAATTTAGCCAGGTTAGAAAGGTCGAGAGGGGGAATGTTAGCTATTAGAGGAATTCTGAACACCTTAATTTTAGCACTAGGCTAATTTTTGTGTCTGTCCGAAATTCACTGCGGTTAATATTCTCGCTCTCATAATATCATCTGTCTGGAAAATTCTAGCCGTTCGGTTTCAACGGAGATAAGGTGAGCCACATATGACTGGCAGAGTGCCAAGCCGTCGGCGATGCGGCAGGTAGCGGCTTGGGCGTCTCACCGATGCATGAAGTGCAAAAGAGCATTGTGAGTATGGCACCAAAAAGACGATTTCTATTATTGCATCTGTTTGTGTATAAGACAGTGCCAAGGCGTCCGCGTTGCGCCAGAGCGCATGCAGCGCGGCCTCGAATAAAGTGCAAAAGTACACTGTAGAGATTGCTCCATTCAGCCAGCAAAACCGGCCTATAACATCTATTGATCCATACAGCCTGTGAACAGCAACCTAAGAGCGTATTGTATGTGAGATATACTCCTTAGGACATTTTCCGGCTTAGGAATATAACTAATCCTTATCGACAATTAGACTTCTACGCCGTACACCCACTATAATAAAACATGAAGTGGCTAGCTAAAGACGTAACCTGTCTTTTAGAGTGAGCTATTGAGCCCAAATCTAAGAACCCTGGGTGGATATATGTTATACATCCTCTTGACCTACCAGGAATAATCAAAGTTGGCTTTACTTTGGACCCTCCTCACCTGCAACGTTTTGAAGATCACAAAAAATGCCATCGCAGTTTGAAGTTCTGATGACGAAGTTGATACCTTATGTGTATCGCGTGGAGCAGCTAGTACTGACAGAGTTCTCTAATAAGCACTATAAGCTGGAGAATGGTTGTCAGAACCCTAGCTGCAAAGATACTATTCACAAGGAGTTGCTTGACGTCGACAGAGGAAAACTATTAAGGTGTCTAAAGAAGTGGATATGCTTTGTCGAGACTTATCTATACAACAAAGAAGGTCAACTGACGAAAGAGGCTAAGGAAAGGCTACCCCGTCCTGCTTTAACAAGCTACCTTGGCTATAATAAGCCAATCCGCGGTCGCACGTCGAGGGGCACGACTCCAAAAAAGAAATCGGGAAGCCAGGATTCTCATATCACACCTCTGCCGATTTCCGATTTCACGGCTCTCATATCGACCACGAAGTACTCGAGTGTTCATGAGGTCGAGCTGAATCAAGATGATTTATGCTCGGCAGTCGAGGATCTTCAGCTCACACCTTCGAGGCAGACGGGGATTCTATAGCAAGATTATTCTCTATGCCTGGAGGTTTTTATTGACCGGGATTGTGAGCTTGCATATTGTTTCTGCTACTGAAGTTTCTGTCTTGTTCTGAAATTCTGGAGAGAAGAGTCTTGTGAAGTCGCTGAATATAGACGTGCCTTTGGCGAAGGAACAAGAAGCACGAATTTAATGACGAAAACTGTTCCTACTTCAGGAGGGCGATTATAGCCAGGGCTTTCTTAAAGATCTCGAGCCAACTGCATTGGGTATTGTCGATTGGTGCACATGCTTGGGCAGCGAGAAGATCCGCATAGCCAGAGCACCGGCGCCAAACACCACGGCCCGCCCTAAACTAGGCTCGAAATCCGAAGTTGAAAGGCGACGGTATTTGATTCTTGTGCAAACCAAAGATTGTCGCCATCCCATCGTAATCTATGTTTACACCATATCGGATTATTTGTTGAAGGTGGTGTGGAATTCGCTTATATAAGTTAGGCATAGCGTTCTTTGTCCCTACGCACAACCGTGCGTGGGTGTATACTAACTAGTATATGGGGCCTCCTCCCTCACCATCCAACAGCCCCAAATTCCTTTGCCTTCTATTCCCTGCTCTTTGCAATTGAGACATTTTTGCTATTGATTAGAATTGCTAAAAGCTCTGCAACCCCTTTTACTAGCATGTAGTACCTTTGCTAACCACTGCTGCAATTTGCAGTTTTGGTTAGCGAGTTTACTAACTGCAGCCAAACCCGCAAACTGCGGCTGCAACTGTGGTTAGCCAGGGCTAGCTGTAAGATAACCACACTAGCATAACTCTTGTTAATTTACCCTATTCTAGCCTTTATGTGACAGTTAAAAGCCATTGATATGTTCAATTCCCAAGTTGCTACGTGGCGCTGTACCCAGTATTTCTCCAGCTCCACGTTACAGTTTCTACAATATTGTACGAGATAAATTGTGCTTACAACTTAGGTGCCTTTTTTGATGATTTTATCTCATTTTAATCAAGTTCTGTACGTAGAAAAAAGTATGAAACGTTGACTGCAAGGAGTGGTTCATGAACACGATACGAAGTGGGGACGGGATACATTCGAGCGGACCTTTGTAAAAGGAGAAAGTATTAGGTATAGAGAGATAATAATACAGTAAAATCGGGCTATAACGAACCTGGCTAAGACGAATCCCTTGTTATAAAGAATTTGCCGCGCATTTCTTTCTAACATTCCATACAAATAACGAATTAATCCCCTTACAACGAAATTCGTATAAATAGATAAAATCCCCCTTTTTTCCATACAAAAATCTTCAACAAATCGTTATACCCAGGTGTCACGTGTTCACAAAATGCCTCGCCGTACAGCTATCCCCGCCTCACAATAGATTGCTCTACGCGCTCAACGACAACTCCAGCCAAAGCTTCGAATATAGAGCTGGCTCGCTGGTTTAAAGAGACTTTTCAGCATCCAATTGCTCTATCTTCTGTTTCTGAAATCTTTTCCTCGCGATACAAATGCCTTGATAATCATCTATCTCAACACCAAACCAACTCAAAGCGTATCCGAATCGAATTCTGGCCTGACCTAGAAAAGGCCTCATAAGTGGGTACAACAAGCAGAAGGACAGGTCGTTATCAGCCAGGAGGTTATACGCGAGAAAGCGCGTTTCTTTTGGGCTAAAATTCCGAGTTATCAAGGGAAGGATATGCCTTCTTTCAGCAATGGTTGGCTTGCTGGGTTCCAATCTCGACAATCAATCAGAGCCTATAAACAGTATGGAGAGGGAGGTAGTATCTCTGGGACTACTTCTCAAGCAATGAGACCTATTCGACAGCTACTATCGACATTTCAGCCGAAGGATATCTATAACTGCGATGAGATGTCACTCTTTTGGAAGCAGGTCCCATATCGAAGCCTTTCAACACCCAGTATACCACGGCAAGAAGACGGGAAAAGCAAGGATTTCAGTTTTATTTTGCTGTAATGCAGATGGTTCTGAACGCCTACCGCCATGCTTTATTGGTACGGCTTAAAAGCCTCGTGCGTTTACAGCGCAGGAATCAATATTGAAAACTTTAATTGCCAATGGTATTCCAACCGCAAAGCCTGGATGACAAGCCAGATTTTCGAGAGATGGCTTCGATGGTTTGACAATGCTATAAGTGGACGAAAAGTGGTTATTTTACTTGATCATTTTTCTGCTCATAAAGCTGCTTTCGAACAAATTGATGAAGGCCCTTCTCCTTTGAAAAATACCTTGGTTATTTGGCTTCCGCCTAATTCGACAAGCCGTTTTCAACCTCTTGATCAGGGAATTATTCGAACTTGGAAGGCGTACTGGAAACGACCATGGGTGCGTTTTATTCTTGAAGAGTATGAAGAAGGACGAGACCCTTCAAAATCAATGCATGTCCTACATGTAGTTAGATGGGGTATCGAAGCCTGGGAATTTGATCTTTCATCTGAAACAATCCGCCGATGCTTTAATAAAGCTCTTCGTTTTGAGCAAATACAGCTTCCTGAGATCACTCCAATTATCTCTGATATTACTAGGGATTTTCAAGAGCTTCAGCATTCATCAAGGATCAGAGATCTTATGGATATCGACGACTTCATTAATCCAAGCAATGAGGTTGTACAAGATAATATCCATGGGATAGATGATCTAATTCTTTCCCAATTTCAACCTGAGATTGAGCATGAAGAGGATGAAATCATTCAAGAATTACCCTCTATATCAATCAAGGAAGCTATTGACGCATTGGAAAGGCTTCGTTTGTACGAAGAGCAGCAACCTCAGGGTAGTTCTTCATTTCTGCGAGAGCTTTGTAAACATGAGTGGTGAAAGGGAGAAAATTGGCAAACCAGGAGCAGAGGGATATTAAAAGTTATTTTAATGTCTGAATTTGATTATTGTGATTGTCGGGACATATCCTTTTGTCAGAACATGCAAGCGGCAACTTACCGCTGGCGACTGGTAGATCACATTCCTTTGCTGGGTGACCTTGCGCCAAGCTGCGGCACCGGTGTTGGGACCACCGAGGATCGGCGTATTGGATTCAGGGGTATTTTGGACCGGACCTGGTACACATCTACATCGAACAATAGAATCAATTGACTTTTGCTTTGGAGCATACACACTGTCCACTTAACTGTGTACACAGTACCTAGCTGGTGATACCAACAGTGATTATATATAATAGTTCTCGATATAGCGAACACTTGGATGTAACGAATTAATTTCGCTGTCTGAATTGATTCGTTATAGCCCGGTTTTACTCTATTGCCCTCGTCACATGAATTCCAGCAACTGGTATGTTGTATGGGAATACTAGGCACATGAGGTCCAGTGCTGGTCAGCAAGTAGTTGTCTTGGAAGAGAATTAAAGATGCGTCTAATAGCGCAGTGATTGTTCCTCGTAGGTAGCCTGTTCTTCGCCCAGCGGTCTATCTACATTTGTAACATTCTTTTGAACGCTCTGGGCACTTGTTTTGGAATCTGGGAACGCTGCGCGAGTCTGCTGGACGTTGCCCGTGCGGGAACCGAGGACACCTAGTGTTGTTGCGGCCAACATAGAAGAAATATCGGTGCTACCATCCTTTGCTAGCCCACAGTGTTCTCCTAGATCACGAAGTGCCTTTTCAATCTGCTCCGCTGCGGAAGATGCATGAAAGATGCGCGCAACAATTGCATGAACCTTGAGAAGCTCGGGACTCGGAAGATCGTATCTTTGGTCATACCAATTGAATGCAACAGTTCGAGGGAGGTGTAGTTGTATTCGTGGGCGGTAGTTTTGAATGCGGTATTTGTGGGGCTGGGAGGTCGCTTCAAACGAGAAATCGAAACGCCCAAAGTGCCGATGTAGGTGACTCGACATGGTCATCACATTTTTTGTATCGTTGATGTTCTCGCGGTTGAAATTCATCGACTGGATTGTCGGAAAATGGCGGATAAGGTTTGTCCAGATGATGTCTTTCGCATAGCCTTCAGACCCGTGCTCCACGATGCAAGGGCAAACGGGATGATGTGCACGCATTCTGTGCATGTTGTGGGGCTGGTGCTGCTTGCATCAAGAGAATCTTCATCGAAAAGTCCAGTCACAACACATCTGCTGCCATCACGGGCAAGGCACTCTGTCTTGAGGCGAGCTTCTCTTGCCATCGGCCCAGCCGACTCGGAAGCGATATTGTCAATGGAGTCCTCCATTCCGAGACGCGGGGAAATACTCGGGGTCGAGCGCAGCGATAGTAATGGTGCCACTAGGCCATTGGTCAATGACTGAGCATGATCATGTAATTGTTGGTTGGTCTGAAGTGGCTGGAGATGGTGGAGGAAATTGACCCTCCCATCTGCCGGAAGGTAGGTGTAGAATGCTCGTAATATCGAAACTGTCTTATCGTTGGGACCGATGGGCTGGTATGCATCAACTTTCTGCATATTGGCAGCGAATCTTTTGATAGCAGATATTGTCAGAGAGAAAGATGGGCTTGAAGAGAGAGCTTGAAGAGAGACGCGATCGGAGCTTAGAAAGAGTGGGTCTTCCTATTTTGGTTTAGCTCCCGCGCCCGTCTCCCAGAGTGGACTCCGTGAGAGTCGGGCGGAGTGAGAGATGTGACGGCCTTGGAATTGAACTGCCAAGCCACATTTTATTCTTCCATGGGGGCCACGCTCGCTGATTACCTTCTGTTCACACCTCGAGTAGCTTCAAATTATTTTCGTCGAAGTAAAGATCGTCCACCATACTTGGGCGACAAATGGGGTTTCATAGAACCATTTGTGACGAGAAGAGAAGGCACGTGACCAGAGTCGCGTTTCGCGGGCTGGAGCATGAGTAAGAAGTAAGATCACGTGATCTGAATCATGTGATAGGAAAGGGTCAGAGGTCAGATGATTGGGGGGGAGCGACCGGAGAAGTGGGACCAAGGTCACATGACCAGGGGTATAAATAGGCCGGATTCCCTCATGTAGCTCCCTTTTTTCTCCTTCCTCAGACTCGTTTTCTTCGTTGAATGGAACACTCTGCTCTGCATCGCGTGGCCTGAGTAGTTTTCGTAACATTAAAACGAGTCTCACCCTTTTTGTCTTTCTTTCTGTACATCGGCGAGCCAAGCTCTGTTAAGGTACCCCACCGATCGACCGAACCGAACCGAACGAATGAACAAACAAACTAAGATGGCCTCTCGACGACAGAAGCGACCCTTTTCGGAAATTCCCGATCCCAACACCCCAGAGAACGCGCTAAAACGCCCGCTGTCGAGAGTGAAGACAACCCCTAACTAAGCTTAGCCTTAAATAATAGAAGTGACAGCAGACCAATGATGATGGCTAACTCCCCTGATGCCTTCCTGGATAAAGCAGTTACAGGCCTTTTTCTTGACTAGATTGCCCGATCTCTGATATCTAATAGGTACAAATATATTAAAAAGAACAGCTAATTCTTCCTATATATAATAAGGGTGCTAGTGATGAATAGACCTTTCCCTTGCCCGCAGGCCGCCCTCATTTTTGTGGGCAGAGAGAGGGGTCAGTAGCTCCTGCCTGCAGACCCTAATTCCTCTTTAAAATTCGAATCTTAAAAAGAAAATACTTGATTATAGTCTATATATTTTATGCAATCCCAGGACTCTTCATATTTATCATATTTATCGGCCCTCAAAATGCCTTCAGGGCCACTCTCAGAGGGCGGCCAAAAGACCCACCCAGCCCACGGGCAGGAGCTACCAGCCCGCCACCCACAAAAACAAGGGCGGACGGCCGGCCCTCAGAGGCGGCCTGCAGGCAAGGGCGAGGTCTAGATCTAGCTTTAATTTATTTATAGACACCCTTCTTAATATAGAAGGGTATTTAAAGTAAGAGTCTCTAGATCTTAAGTCGACTGCGTATTAGTTTGGCACTGAGTGCTTAAAACTATGTTCTGACTGTGCTAATGATACGATCTGTATGGCTGCGCGGAGCCCCACCAGTTGGGTGGGCAGCGGCGCCAACATTGCAACCCATGGAAACAATCGTTCAGTGCGCTGGCGACCACCTTCAAACTGTCGGCAGGCCTGACAGCGCTCCCACATAGCAGCATATATTTAGAGCAAGCTACATCGGGCAAATGAATTCATCATCATCATCATCATCATCATCATCATCATAGAGCGAGTCTATTATGGCTAGATAAGTCACAATTCAGACGAAACTGATCAATCGCAGTTGATAGAAAATCCCGAAAATATTGGCGCTTCTAACACTTGAGCATAGAGACCATTCAAATGCGAGTACTTCTGATCGACTGGAATTGCATTCGTCCATCGTCAACTTTCAGGACGCGCACCGGCATTTTTGTGCGAATCACTTCTTCGCCGGGCAGGTTCATCGGTGCTGAAAATCCAGCAACATGGATAATCTTTTCCTGACATCGCGGGCACGGCGGACTCTCTTCAGTCGTTTTCTCTATTTCTGCCTCGGTGGCTCGAATGCACACATTGCAGAATTGATGGTCGCACGGTCGAACGTAGCGTTCAGTCTCCAATTTAGTGTGCCAAGACTTTCTATTTTCCTAGGTCCAAAAATTCAAATTCTTAGTCACTTACATGCAGTCGCAAAGCCGCTTCTCACAGCCCTGGCATATTGTAAACTGGCTTGGATCAAAGGAAGACTCTTCCGAAAATCCTTTCTTCTGTTCCATTTGACTCACAGACCTGACATTCCAAATAGAATGTGGATTTTTGTCTCTATAGATGTCTTACACTGGATCAATGTTAGCATTGAATACATGTGTCTAGAGAGTCTAACATACCCAGCCTCCCCCCTGCTCCCAAACCCATGACTCTCACCTTTATGGCAGGGTATGAATTGTCCACAGGTTGGTCGCGAGTCTCAGGTTTCTCGTAAGTGGTTGAGGGTTCTCCCAAATTTGGTGTCCTAGGCGTGGTCCAGGAGACAGAATCATGCGAATAAAGAGGAATAATAGGCTTGCGCTGTGCTAGCGGAATTAAGCCCGGCCTCTGAACATAAAACCAAAGGTAGCTCGATTCGGCTTTTTTTGTTGTCCCACGCGGGAAGAATTTTGATAAGCAAGTAGGTTCACGTCCCAAGCGAATGAGACACTTGTGATAGCCATGCAGGGCCCAAACATTGTTGCGATGCTGATGGGCGCGAGTGATCTTAGCATCAAGGCCGAGATCTTCAGCGTATGCCTTAGCAGCCTCCTTCACATGTCCCTGCTCCAACACCAAGGCTGCATAAGCGTGTCAGGTAGGAATTATCCAACCCCACGGCTCAGTGTATCTCCTATCATCGAAATGAATTGCCTTGCGCAAGCTCTCAAATGCTGTGTCAAATTCACCCTGGCGATATTGAATTTCGCCATCCAACATAGCGCGGTAACCTTGAGAACGTCGGAGATAAGTCCGGGAAGACCTTGCGAGTGGGAGGGACTTTTTTCGCGACGTGATATAACTCTCGCTCTCTTGTCGCATTCTTCAAGTCGTCCAAAGCAGCATAGGCGATATCTCTCCCATAGTGAGTCAAGGTAGTGGTAACACAGTACAAAGCCTGATCCTTGGGCAACAGGAGGGCGATGATCTCCTCCCACATTCCAAAGCGGATATAGACATGGACGCGGACAGCCTGGGAAACTCCATCCAACAGCCAATGGCGGTGACTCAACCAGCGGGAGCTCATCTGTGATAGTAAAATCCAGAGCCAAGGTAAATCTAGCGGCGAGTGCTCTTGCTTTGTTGTCGGGCTTCTGCGTTCTCGGTCAGGGGGTGAATAGGAATAGCTCAAGTTTCTTAGTCATGTCACACACGATGTATAAATAGTACGCGCCATGACGCGTGTTCCGTAACAAGTTCCGAAACTCGTCCATGTCGAGGGACCATAAATGTACCTCAAAGGCCTTGCCCATGCTCTTTGGGAACGTGTATCCTGTTTCTCCCGAAGATTTGGACCTACCCATCACAATACTGCGCCTCTTGCAAAACATTCCGCTCGGCAACTCTTGGACTACGGAGCCCCATCCCAGCTATGAGCACCTCGTTACCTCCCACTCCGCCATCAAGGGCCTTAATAGATGGCGATCAGCGATTTAAAACTATTACATTACCATGTGAATTGGTGGAGGATTACCGCCCAGGTGGTTATCATCCAGTCATTCTCGGCGACGTTTTTAACCGCCAGTACAAGGTCATTCGGAAGCTTGGCGAGGGCTCCTACTCAACGGTTTGGCTCGCCCGTGACCTGAAGTAAATTCATCTTTTGCATTTTCTACCCGCGACGCTATATATTATTGTTACTCATTTCCTATAAGAAACAGTGGATATGTCGCCCTGAAGATCCTTGTGTCGGAAATATCGGGATCGACAACCGAGCTGCGAACCTTACGCCACATCATCGAAGTCGCACCAGAAGAAGGGACACGATATATCACGCGACTGCTAGACGAGTTCAATCACCGCGGGCCCAATGGCGTCCACAAGTGCCTGGTATTTGAGCCCATGGGCCCGAGTGTGAATACTATGGTCGTGGAGCTGCCGCAGTTCAAAACTCGCAGGCGAGGAATGAAGATCCGCTATCCGCTTCGGATGGCAAAGAGCATCCTCAAGCAATCTTTGCAGGCTCTTACATTTCTCCACGAAAATGGTATCGCCCATGGAGACTTCCAGCCGGGAAACATACTCTTCACTCTTAACGGTGTCGACTCGACGCCCGAGGACTTGCTCCGGCAAGAGGAAGATGTGCAAGCCCGGTCAATCTCGCCCCTGGTTCAGAGGCTAGATGGTAAACAAGATATATGGGCTCCTCGATATCTTTGCGTTGCGCAGCCACTCATGCCCTTTACCTGCTACGCCGAAGGGTTCAAGGTCAAATTATCCGATATGGGCGGTGGTCAGTCCTTCCCGTTTCGATCATTTGTACTTTTTCTTGACGAATAACTATACTCATACCTGACTGCCCTGAATAGCATATTTTTTTACCGACCCGTCAGCAAAGCCCGTTGTTCCACTCGGTCTTCGAGCTCCCGAGTTGATTCTTACCGGAGCAGTTAACGATACCATTGATGTCTGGAGTTTCGGTTGCCTTGTCTTTGAGCTTATCACCGGACAGCCACTCTTCTGTATACCATGCTCCGAGATGGAAGATGACGACCATCTTCTATCCTTAACCGCCCAGCTCGGCGCCCTCCCCGATGATCTCCTGAAGCATTGGACGACCTCGTCGCTCTACTTTACGCCCGAGGGGAAACTCTTTAATTGTCAGCTTGGAGGAGTCGCTCCAGGGGAGGAACCACTTATGGTGGAGCAGATATCTATGGAAGAGTCATTCGATAGGGCAGGCCCGGACCTTGATGAGGAGGAAGCCCACAAGGTGAAGGCGCTCATTCGATGGATTTTGCAATATGATCCCGCGAAGAGACCTTCGCCTTCGAAAATCTTATCTGATCCATGGTTCTGCGAAATTGATGTTGAGAGCGACTCGTCCAAGGTATCTATACCCTAGTATCTTGCGTTATCATTGTCATCCTCCAGACATTGGTACGCCCTCTTATGATCTCTGGTGTCGCGTTTATGCGTTAGGAGCAATTTTAAAGTCGAATTAGAACCACCTAAGTACCGCATATATTAAACTCATGGCTCTTTTGTATCAACCCCTTTCTTTTCTCGCATTATCGACCCCTCATGCCATTGTGGTTTAGTCAAGATCTAGCTTTCATGATACGCGGCCTCTGTATAACTCCTTCTAGCTAGCACCAGCTTCTTTTCTCTCAGTACATTTATTAGTTCAGTGGCCAATCATTAACTAACCAGTTAAGCTATAATGATGACATAATGAGAGAATGAGGAGTACGAGTATACGAGTGCGTGAGAATGACCAGTATGGTATTGACTGGATGCTGCTATCTAGAGGAGAGAAGAAGGAGGGGAAAACCACGAGTGAAGGAAGTGAGAGAAGAACGCGAAGTCAAGTGACACTATGAGCTAGAGTAGGGCTTGACATAAGTGCGCTCACCCCCTATCTTTGAACTAACTATGTGAAGTGACCAAGAAACCCTCCTAAAGATTAAGTATGTATGTGTGAGTGGGTAGTGTGAAGGGCTACGCCCGAATTGATTCAATTGAGCGGTACCAACATGCTGTTTATCTGAAGCTTAGGGAAGTGTAAGAATAGGGATGGTCAGCGGTGAGTAAATAACCTGGGGGATCTGATAGATCACATCGTACAGGCTTGGCCTAGACAATAGGTCCGAACCTGACCCGTTACGGGTAGAGAGTAGGTTAGTTGACGGGTTTAATGGATTGGTTAATTAACGTAATCCACAAGCGAGTGAAACACCCAAGCGGGTGAAACATCCCACCAGAAATCGCGTATTCCTTCCTACCTACCTCTTCAGCTACCAACCATGCCAACAAATCGCTCGCGATCTTCACAGGATTCGATACAGCAAGAGGGCAGAATCCTACTAGCCCTCCAGGATGCCAAAAATGGCCGACTCAAATCGATTCGCGCAGCTGCTAGGATATATGGTGATATATGGTGTATCCTATGCAACCTTATCCCGGCGGGCGAAGGGGATAACCTCACGCGTCGACATACGCGCAAATTCGCATAAATTGACCCAATTAGAAGAAGATTCGCTTGGTGAATGGATCGTCTCTATGGATTCGCGTGGAGCAGCGCCTAGGCCCGCTACTGTACGAGAAATGGCCAATGTCCTTCTGGCAGCGCGTGGATCGGCCCCCCCCCCCCCCTTGACCGTCGGTCAGAATTGGGTATCAAACTTCGTTAAACGTCGTGAGGAACTTCGTATACGCTTCTCGAGACGCTACGATTATCAACGTGCACTAAACGAAAACCCAAAATCGTTACGAGAGTGGTTTACTACTATACAACGCAAGATTAATGGGAATGGGATTCAACCAGAGGATATCTACAACTTTGGTGAGACTGGATTCGCGATGGGCCTTATATCAGCGCAAGAAGTAATTACTCGAGCTGAATACTACGGTCGGCGATCAGTTTTACAACCAGGAAATCGCGAATGGGTCATAGTAATCGAAGCAATTTGCGCTAATGGTTTTTCGCTACCTCCATGTGTGATATTCAAGGGCCAGATTAACAAGGAATCCTGGTTCGATAACTTACCGAAAGATTGGCGATTCGAGGTCTCAAATAACGGGTGGACTACTGACGAAATTGGTCTTCGCTGGCTACAAAAGCTGTTTATTCCATCAACAAATTCACGTATACGAGGGAAATATTGGCTATTGATCCTTGACGGCCACGGGAGCCATCTTACACCTCAATCCGATCGAATCTGCAAAGAAAACAATATTATACCACTTTGTATGCCTGTACATTCATCACATCTACTACAACCGCTTGATGTTGGATGTTTTGCTGTGCTTAAACGCGCGTACGGCCGCTTCATGAGCGATCTAGCACGCGTTGGATACAACCATATCCTCAAGGACAGTCTTAATCGCCATCAGGAACCCAGTAGTCAGAGACCACCGGAACCCGAATTCTCCAGAGAACAGCTATTACCAGTTGAGCTTGTCGTCGCTATAGTGAAACGAGTGAAAGGTATGCTATATTTTGTCCAGGTGCTTGATGTATCTGGTTGTCAGAGTGCATCGTCGCTTTATCTATCATCTGTATACTTCTTCCTGGCTCGACAATATATTCGGTCTATATTGGATGGCTGGTAATGATTAACTATCTACAGCCCAACCTCCATTCTTCCTAGTCAGTCAGACCTGGAGAGATTACCAGCAACTAGAATTCCTTTGTCAATCGGTGTACTTTCCACTCCAACCAGTCGCTGCTGGGTCGCTGTCTTTACTAGATGGCTTACTATACTACATCATCCGAGACTATATGCACGAGAAACCTGCCGACCTCGCCCATTATGATCTATCGCCGAGTGCGGCCTTTTGCGAACGGCAGATTTCGTTCTTTCTACAAAGCAATGAGACGATAGTCAATCCCACCCTTGAAAAATCCAAACGTTGCTCATCGGCGTAAGCCTCTCCCCTCGAGAGCGCCACCAAACTAGAAGCTGAGTGTCCCAGGTCATCAAATCCCAGGAAGAGTCAGATCTGCAGCGCTGTTGGACATATCTGTCCCTAGCATTTAATATGCGCCAATCGATGGGGCACCACAGGTCAAACACGCTGACAAGCGACAACTCCTCCGTTGCTGAATCGAAACGACATGCCTTCTGGTCACTTTATACTATCGACAATAACATCTCCCTAAACTTGGGGCTGGCGTCTCACTTCCCTGATCACGATATCGACGCAGATCTCATTACTCCTTCAACTGATCCAAAGCACCGCCCATGGGACATGATGAGCCTGGTTATCGTGGAGTTTGCCGGTATCCAAGGCCGTGTGTACGACGAATTATACTCCATCGCTGCATCAAAGGCATCCGATGCCATTAACTAACTTCGGGCTGGGCTTTTCCCTTTCATCTGTGAACTTCTTTTGCGACTTTATCTTCGGGTAGGCATTGACCAAAGCGACTTGACCACGGCCTCTAGTAATGTCTTGGCTACTGTCACGGCATGGCAGAAAGCGGATTGTGGCAGACCGCCACCATTTCAGAACGGTCGCATTGGATAACATTATTGCAAATGAGTATTTCAATTGGTCCGATGCAGTCGTGAGCCCCGAGCTGTTCTGTGTGTCCACTTTTCTATGACGTGGTGGAATCGTTGGCCTGATTGTTGTGGATGATAATGTCAAAATCTGAATTTGATACAACGATCAGGTGCCATGGTCTAGTGGTATGACGACACATTGTGGTTGTACAATCCTGTGTTAGCCCCGGTTCGATTCCGGGTGGCGCCACTTTTTTTTTCGCATTTTTTAAAATATCTATTTATAATTGTTAATTTTTTTGGACATCGACTATTTCCGTTCATTTAATCTTGTTTGCTATCGTCTCATTAAATACCATTCAAAAATCTTCTAATCGGCCGGGCCAGCGACCTCCAGGGACGGGGTTATCGAGCACCAGATGACATCCGCGCTGGTTCCAGGTGGGCAATAGAATTTACTGGGGGAGTTTTGTATTGCCGAGGAAAGCCAAAGGGCTATACGAGTCCACCGAATTGTTTTGGGCTGTTATTGGCCTGCGTTACGCTAACGAAAGTATTAGAGAGCGCCTTGTTCACCGAAGTTTATATGTACTATTTACCATGTCAGTGGACTAGCGTTGACCGTCGACTCAATCCCAATCCCGACGGATACTCTGGAAAAATCACCCAGTGACAGAAACTGACAAGCTTGTATAATTCAAGAGCAGCAACCTGGAAGGTAGCATAATTGGTGACAGTATATCGTCTAACCATCTTTTACCTGACCTCAAGAGAATCCCCGACCATCGCAAAACAGATTTCTCGGCGCTGTGAAACTAGCAAAGGAAATGAATCGCATTTAGTGTCTCACCCGTAGCTCCCAAAAAGGTCGGGGCTTGTGGTTAGAATTTCAGCCGGTAATACAAGGACTTGTGTCGAGTTCTCGCCATACTGGGAAAGCTTTGGATGAAATTGCTTATTTGGGATATGGGCCAATGAAGAAGATTTGACAAACCCGACAATGATCCACCGGGCTGATTGCGTAAATGTACAGAGGTACGCGCATGCAGCAAGACATCCTAGCAGAATCCTATGGCCCAAGATTGCAAAGTGCTTGTGAGGGAAAAGATGATGCATGATGTTCTCTGTTCTAAGCGGTATGCGACCGTGACACATGTGACGATTCTTTTTTGGTCGCGTGGAATGAAGAGCATTTTTGGTCGTAGATTGAATGTCTAGGGTTAGTTCAAAAATTTAAAAATACGATTCTGAGGCCCTATACAATTCCAGTAAGGTGTGTGGATCCTACGTAGGTATTTTAAGATCGGCAGCATCTTCTCTTCGTCTGTTTAGATAACTACAGCCTGTTTGACAAATTTGTCAGCCATCAGGTGCCATGGTCTAGTGGTATGACGACACATTGTGGCCGTACAATCCTGTGTTAGCCCCGGTTCGATTCCGGGTGGCGCCATATCTTTTTACCATCCAGTTTTTTTTGCTACCCTCGCCTACGCCAGAGTATAAAATTTTTTGGGACGAAGGACAAAAACGATCGGTCCCCTGGGTTCTGTTCTCATTTACTGCACTACAAGTTTTCCCCTGGGTAGCAAAAGGCTCTTCTTGCCAGCGATCACTTTGATGTATGTGCTTGGTCAGGCAAGCCCGTGGATGACAGACCAAGGTGAAAATGCATAGACTACTTGACTTCTTGCTGGAGGTTATTCTTCCACAATCAATTCTTTCACGTAGCGAAAATATTTGAGACAACACCGATACAAGGCCAGCGGTTGTATTTTGTTCTCTCTCCAAGTTAGAGATCTCAAGTATTCCAAGTATCAGACTTAGCCAGCACTGCTGGCTTCTCTGTCTGGACAAGCGGCTGTGTCATCTCGTAGAGCGTCACATAGTAGCTATTCAAGAGTTCTCACTCAAATAAACAAAATCACAGCCATCCGCCTTTTTAATAATCAAACGCGCAGTTGGATTCGATTTCAAATCCAATACCGCTGTCGACATCAATTGCCATCTTTATCCTCCACGATATGCGTCTGCGCAGGTTAGAGACCCACCCCACGAGTCTGACACCGGTGGTCATATTCTTTCTGGACAGACGATAAATTATCGGCAAAGGTCTAGTCATAATACAGACAGGGTGGACCTTGTTATATGGCCTGCCTCACCTTCTCCTCACATGGGCCATAGTTAATACATGCTTAAACCCACTCAGTCTCAACTTCTTCTACTGATTGTTCTACAGTGTCTCGATTAGGCTAAAAAGACATTCGAACAGACGAGAAGCAAAAAGATACCTGGCGCCACCCGGAATAGAACCGGGGCTAACACAGGATTGTACGGCCACAATGTGTCGTCATACCACTAGACCATGGCACCTGAGGCTGACGATTTTGGAAATCTTGAATCTATCAGGTGGTGGAAGAATTCCTAGATTTGGTTAGCGATGTGTCAACAAATGGACGAGTCGGTAGTAGGTTTACATGGATACGAGTTTGGAAAAGAGTCAGCTCATTGACGTATAGTTATGCTTGTAAGATCAGCTTTTCTGGACTTATATCAATCATGGGAATTCGCGGGAGCTTAGAGTGGTTACATGGTGCAGTGTGTGTACATGATATTGTGCCGGACCAGTGCTCATGCCAACAGCAACTCTTAAATCATTGACACGAGCAATAAATTGTATTTGTTTGCTTTCAGGTTGTTTGGAGACTACTTTTTCCCAGATTCAATATGTTTGTTATCTTATTTTGTTTCAAATACATTTCTAGGAGGATTGCCCTGTGTGTGGCTGATATCACCAATGTCAAAAACAAAAAAAAGTGGCGCCACCCGGAATCGAACCGGGGCTAACACAGTACTGTACAGCCACAATGTGTCGTCATACCACTAGACCATGGCACCCAGAAGGTAAAAATTTAGTGATTTTTTTGAATTATCAAGCAGACCTTCCTTTTCGTCCGCACTGTGGATCAGTTTAATCTGCATATCAGACTATATTTTCTTCCATCATGATGAACGTCGTTATCAGTGGGGCTATATCAATTTTCTCTCCACGACCAGTATCCAAGGTTCTGTATATTATCGCGTGGTCTAGCCGGCTGGATGAGGATGCTAGTGTGACATGGGAAAATATATTGTTGGGTGATCACTTGCGCATTACGCCCCACGAAGAAACAGCAATCACTAAAGTCACCTGATGTCGAGAAACCCATTTCCGAATGCAATTCCGAATGGGTCTAGAATTAATCAGAGTAATGTCTCGTGCAAAGCTGAGCAGGAATGATAAATTTAAGGCCAGAGTTTCTAACCTTAGAACGTGAGGATAACCTCAAAAGGGACATTGCAGACAGATCGCGGCATGGACCGAGACAATTGTCCAATAGGCGTCGAATATGGATGCTTAGCGTACAATCTGCATGCCTAAACGGGAACAAGTGGGGCTACGCCATTCCTGCAAAGAAGCTTGTCGGAGGAACCATTGCGAGGGGGCGGTGCTACTGCAATCTTATCCAGGTGTGCTAAGAATGCAGCTTTTTGATTTGCATCCCATCCATCGTGCGTTGTGAGCTGTTCGCTGGTGTCTTAAGTTGATTGCGAAAATCGCAACGCATACCTAATCCGGAAACTGCGCCCTTGATCAGCCCAACCTCAGGAAGACTCTTTGTGGTTATAAGAAGACTGCTAGACCCTTCAAATTCCCGGATTGCACTTATTAAATTTTTTCATATCCTGCAGCAGCACTGAACTCAAAATGAATAATTCGCAAGGCCCACTCGGCACCATCGCTCAAGGTGTCGTTGCCGGGATTGGCTTTGTATCCGAAGTGCGAGGCTACAAAAAGGCGAGAAAAACAGCCAAAATGAAGCGCGAGAGTGAGGCGCATGAACAGAGCCAGTATGAACAGCAAAAACGCAGCTCATCTTCCACTTCTCGATCTCTGTCTTCAGGCGAGGCACCTCTCCCAACGGAGACGAAAGCGGATCCCGATGCAAAGGACCCTCCCGCGTATAAGGAAATTGAGCGCTCGTGGGAGCTGAACGAAGCACAGGATGTGGTGATCGAGACCAAAAAGCCCCGCAAGAGCAAAGGAGGAGTCGCCAACCCCGACAAAGTCATTGCTGCTTTCCTGCAACGCCGGCCGCCACCCTCCACCCCGCTATCGTTATCACCGCATGAGACACACCCGGCACCCAAGCTTACCTATCCTGTCGCCATCCCGCAGCGACGGCCCAAGGACAAGAAACGAGGGTTCATTAGAGCATACGCACTAGACCTACAGAATGTCGGCCTCGATCAGGAGACCTGGTTCGATTTCATCGAGACGTTCAATGAAGCGAGTCTCGCCAATCCATGGATCAATGCTCTCAACCTGGCATCCCTTGCGGCTTCTCCACTACCATCTGCAATCTCCACTGCGGTTTCGATAGCTATCATGGTCGCTACTACGATTGCAATTGAGATACAGGGTCGGCATCGGTAAGAGCATCCATCTCTTGATTGCTGGGAGAATGAAGCTATGCTAATAGATATGCCCCGGACAGACAAAACAAGGCGCTTGATAAGCTAAACGAAGAATTTTTCCGTCCTCGCGGCCTCTTCTGCCTTGTCATGGCATGGGACAGCTCATCATTCGGTCCTCGAACGAACATCGACATCAACACTACGATTCAAAACTCGATTGATAGCCAGGGGAAGATGTCTCACAAGTTCCAGTCTTCTAACGGAGTCAATAATGGAATGGTATCAATAAAGACAGCCCAGCTCGTCTTCCCAGGTCTTGATTTTCTCGCTACCGTGTCAAAGGACGAGCAGAAAGGCTTTAAGAAGAAGATGGAGCGCGGAAAACTTTTTGTTGACGATTATATGGACCGAAGGGCACAAGCAAAGTTTGTGAGTACAGGTGTCTTCCAGTCCACGAGAGCTTCACGAGATAGCTAACCTCCAATAGTTTGCCGAGAACCCAAGCAGTCATCTCAATCAAGCCGGAAAGCCAACGTTCAGTTCCAAATACGCCGATCCAACGCACCAAATAGGAGAATTCCAGGCCCAGATTCGCGGCTTTGCATCGAGAGGTGATATGGGGAGAGGGACAGGACGTGCCGGTGGGCTTGGGGGTGGACCGCTTGGGCTGATTGGCCTAGCTGCGCAGGCATTGAGTGATCGAGACCAACAGCGAACGCCATTCAGCAACGGCAACAACCCCCCTACTCCTTATTATTATAGATCGGATTTTCACGAGGAGAGCGACAAGCATAGACAGTACCCACAACATGGGTCTATCCCAGGTAACTCACAGCAGTACCCCCAGCAAAGGGGCGATGGTGGACTTCTGAACCTGGGCAAGCTTTTCAACTCGGTATGACACCCCTGGTGATACTAGCAACTACGAGGGAATTGATACTGACTCCTTTATACAGAAAGTATTGTATTTGATGGTTGTCAATATGCCGACAGAAAAGGAAATGGCCCAAGCAAAGGAGCTGACAAGTGGTTGGAACGTTCAAAGTCAGCAGTGTCAGTTCTAGTTAATCAAGTGATTATCGCGGCGTCAATCGCTCCTACTTGTTGCCCTGAGCCCTGGGCGGATCGCTGCCTCAACGTTCTCAATGAGTGACAGATGTATCTCAGTAGCAGAGTCCAATCTGGGTCCCTGATACGGTCTAGCGTGCGGCCGTCACTTTGGCCCCTCTGCAGAGGATCTGCAAATCCATTGTTTGCACTCATTAATGTCGACCCCGACTTGATAAACACAGAACGCACCCCACGAGTCATGGCTGTCAATCCTCACGCCTTCCCAGGTACCCCGAACGGCCGCACTCCGGCTCTTGTTTCCTATCCGTCAAACCGGCTCAGCACTAACCACTACCTAATAGGAACATTAAATCCCCACCAACATAGCCAGCGACACCTTCTTGCCTCCGGTACCCGATCTCGATACCTCCCTTAATCTCGGCCTCAACTCCGGCCTGTCCCTCTTCGGTTGCAACACCGCGAATCCATTCACGTCCGCCCCCTGATCGTATGCCTCTCAATTCGCCCCATCGCCTGGGCCTTCCATCAATTTCTCGAGGAGAATTTCACCGACACCTAGCGCAACGCTGCTACTACAGATGGATATAATGTTTGACTCCTGGAAATGGTATTCTGGATGCGGACCGGCCGGCATGTGTGGGATAAATAATTCTAAAACTCTCCTTTGATCACTGTTACTGTCCTGGAGGCTTGCCAGAAGTCCCTTCAGCGTTACTTGCATACGTCCAACACCGTTTCTGTCGGCTTCTCCGTCAGAGAAGAAGACCTTACACTTCGTATCCGACTACTTATAGCTTAGGTGTCTTAGCGAGGATAGTTTACTGTGACGATCGCGAAACTAGCTTTACTAATCTATACTGGTTTCACATTTGAATTCTGTGTTGAGAAATGAGAGTATAAGTGTGATTATCATTGAATAAGCTGCGAATTTTTGGTAACGCCAATCGGTGGATTCGAGACGGCGCTCGGTCACTGTCATAGAATAAGGCAACGAGTAGCTCTCAGTGGTATCAACGGAGATGTTCAATCCTACAGGAGGAAAGCCTGGAAGAAAAGGCGCTCTGGATTATCTTTCACGATGAGCGGAGCCAGAGCACAAGATTCTTCTCTAAACGACCGGATATGCCGACCAATTGATGAAGTTTTTCTTACTTTTTTCAATGAAAAAAAAAGAGAACAAAAAAGAAAGGTCATCACTGTGGCCCCCAGATTATAGCCCAAGCACTGGACTGCACAAGAACCCCCCCCCCCCCCTGGCCCATGTGCGCAAGCGGCATGTTCAAGATAACATGTTACCGTCGAGAGTCCTCAAAGCGGGGAAAGACTGGAGGTATAAAACAGTAATGAAGAGCAAGAATAAGTTGGGGAAGAAAGAAGAAGAGAAATCTGGAGCGATATGGGTACGTCCAGATACCTGGCCAATCAGAAGCGGTGTATACACCCACACATTCACTCCGTTGGCGCGACGATGCCTGCCCGTTTAACTGATATTGTGCAGGGCCACTTTTTGAGGGTCGATCTGGATTTAAACCCACTTCCATATCCTGATCGCCTCGTTGGAACCCTCGTGGAACGCCTACAACTGCGAATACCAGCTCTGCCATCCCGCTGGACCATCTACACTTGTTCGTAACATTTATCGGACAATACAACATCGTCAAATATCTGATGATTCTGTACCCAGTAAATATTCCTAGATGCTTGTTCTTAAAGACCTTAATATCAATGATCACTATAGAGTTGACGAAGTTAACTGATAGATCTTTGAATTTTCTTCCACGTAGAAAATAGACCTACCACGTGGCTCAAGATTCCGAGGAATCATGGCGAGGAAAGCGCTGGCTTTCTGTATTATGACTTTAATTTGCAATTTATAAACGCACAGACATTGCTTTATTGAAAAAGTCCGTACCACTCTAGAACTATGACTCTTCAAGAGCGCTGCATATGAAAAGACATAATGAGCCCCGCCCGATCTGTATATATCGAACCGCTCGTGTCTTTCGGCAAAAGGTGACTGTCGCCATTTGCCCTAAGCGCCTCGGCAAGGGTGCATTTTCCAACAATCACAAATCTCAGACGCTCATACAGCTTCACAGTAGCATGATTCTCTGGCTTGACCATGAGGCGCACATGAATATGACGAGGGGTTGGCTGATATGTCCGCAAATAGTCAATCGCCTCCTTGCATAATTTCCCGCCAAGTCCGTTTCCGCGATGCTCAGGAAGTGTGAACAGGCTCAGCATCTGCCATCGTTCTTCCTCGGCATCGGTTTTAAGATCGGGCTGTCCGGACTCAACAGGGAGGGCGAAGTCGGTTTGTGATATAGGCCCGCGAAGGGTGACCTGGCCAATCCAGTCTGCTGCATGGTGATCTGTCGTTTCTCCGTTCAACGGATTTGCGGCGCAAATGAAAACTTCACGGTCAATTACGATCAGGCGATTGATCCATTCGGCGTCTGAAAAGGCCGCCTCTAGCTCATATGTAGATGCGAAGGATTTGGGCGAGGCCTTCAAAGCTCGCAGTCGGAGATCCCGGTATTTTTGAGCGGCGGCATGGATGTTATCCGTCTTGGATACCCGAAAAAATGAGTACGTGTACTTTGCCTCCATTTTTGGATTGGGAAGTATGAGATGTGTAGTGAGCGCTACCCGACGGTGTTGTTCGCATTTTATTAGCAGTACTCGAGTGGATCTTTGTCTTCCGCGCTACGGCGAACGTGAGAAATGCCGGTCGGGCCCGCGACTTGTCCCACATTTCGGCAATGATTTTTCAACAAACTGGTGCACGTAACTTCAAGCATCGATTATGAACTCGAAATATGACATAAATAAATTAATTTGACAAGTCGATAAGCTTCATTCTGTGCACATACTGCCAGTCCACCAAAAGGCCGCGTCAAAGTCATTCGGTATTTCCGGCGCATCCCAGGACCCTACATCCACAGCAGGCTGCGACAAAAAATCTTGCAATAGTGGGTTGTGCAAAGTCATTTCAGTCGTCAAATAGGGACTTGTTGGATCGACGATTGTTGAGGTGGGTAGTGCCCTGTATTCAATGGAGGAGCCGGGGACGGGCGAGGGCCCACGATCTTCAAGGGGTAGCTGCACGGTTGGATCCGCGATCAAGGGGGCTGCTTCCTCACATGTTTGAGGGAAAGTGCGCTCATCCCGGCGCTCCTTCAAACACTGACAAACACGCTGAAGATGTTCGTGCAGATCCTTGGCTGCTAGACTATTCGAGGCGCTCAGAACCCTAAGGATCTCTGCTGCGATATCAACAGATGCAATGTCTTTAGGGTTTCCTATCGGCAAAAGACTTGATATGACGAGGACTAATGCCGATGAGAATAGGTAAACCGGAAACGCGTAGCCGAAAATAGCTACCGATCCACCTGTCCACTCTTCGACACAGAGCTTGAGGCAATATCGTGCGGCGTGGATGCACGCCTCGCTCAGGACCCCTACAATCGGAGTCACCTCATCAGTCGCTGGAGTTGAATGGTTCTTGATGTGACAGATGAGTAGATTGAGTAATACCGGTCGGATTGCCAAGATGACGCACTGCGATAGTCAGTATAAGATAAGGATTTATCGGTACTTTGGCAACTCACATAGCTGAATTGAAGATGGAGAAAAACCGTGTATTTCGAGTTGGGTCTATCCGCCTGAAGTCTGAGTGGGTCAGGAAGCGTCTGCACCCATCGCTTCAGTTGAATCAAAAGCTTTTGTTCGCGCTGGAGAAAGCTTTCAACGGATTTCTTCCTAGTGTATATCTCTCTGGTTGTGTTGCCGACAATCCTGGCAAGATCTAGGGTCGCAACTTGATAAGTACTATCTGAGAAGTGCTCGGGATAAGTGTCGGAAAGTGAGCTTGAGGGAAGGTCGACATGAACATCATCGTCGTGAATTTGTACAGGGAAGCCGGCTTTTGATCCCCAGAAGCGGTCGAGCATGTATATCGACCACCATATACGTACGCGGTGTTCTCTTTCCACTGGATGTAGGTTTTGATTTTGCGGAACATTGTAGTTCAAACCGAGGCTCAAGCTAAGGCGTAAAGCATTTCCGACTAAGAGATAGGCTGAGTGAAACCTGTTTATAAACTGACAGAAGTATGCCTTCTCAGTAATTAGCATCATGATTAGTAGACGCATGAAAGAGAGATTTAACGTACCAGAAGCAACAAACTCTCAATGTGGTTCATACTTGGTCTTTCCGGGATAATTTGAAGAAGACTCATAGCCCGAGCAAAATATGCAGATCCCGGCATGGCGGAAGTGTTGGATGTATCGTAGACTGTCGAAAAGGCCTCACCAACGGCGAAAAGCGCAAAATACTTGCATTTCAGCCCAGGGTTATCAAATTCTTCTCTTTGATAAATGCCGTGCAGCACGTCGAGCGTTTCCTTTCTGAGAACCAAGTGAAACGCAGGGTTCACATGACCCAAAGCCGTTTTAACAAGCAACTTGGCGTAGACCAGACTAGGCCATTGCACCTCGGTATTGAATAAAGTCTCGAGTGTGGATTCATCGGTATATCGCCATCTCGGAAGATGGGGGGTTGACGAGTCTGGGCCTCTCAGAGATTGACACAAGCGGGTAGCAAAGGCAGTGCATGCTGCTTCACTGATGTAAATTGGCAAAGCAGTAGACCCGAGGCACTGGAACCATGGTGTCTCTCCAACAGCGTGATTGTGAATTACAGATCCCGCCTCTTCTGATTGCCGCGCAGCGGTATCTGTTGCTGGATCGAGTTGGGGCCTGGGTGGCTCTTGGCTCATACGGGCACGTTGATATTGGAGCTCTTGGCTGTCCTGAATGAGCTGTTCAAGGTAGCTGTAACATGGCCGTTAGGCCTGGAGTCATCGACAGGGTAACGATCCAGAGTTGTCATGTATATTACCTTTCGTCCACACGTATCTTGCGGTCACGCGCTGCATATCGACACTGTGCTGCGTGGCCGGCTCTCCTGCATCTCGAGCATGGCTTCTCTCCTGAGCACTTGACTTTCTGTGCATGACACCGATGACACCTGAAACATCGATGAGTAAATGCCACAATACCGATGGTAAGCATGCCAGTCAAGTTTCCGTACTTACGCGATTGGCCTTTTCTGCGATCTTGACCCCACCTGCTGGTCAAGGCGTCGGAATTCGGACCTGTGCATTTGGACTGTTGACGCTGCGATTCACTCTATGCCGGGGTGCATTTGGAGCCTAATCAATGCTGTAGGAGTCAGCCCCGATAGTCGCAAGCAGAGCGTGGGTAAGAGCAGTCGCGGCAGGGGCGACGACCGGCTCGCCGACGAGACCGGCTAATTTTCACTTCGCCGGTAATCTGCCCAATCAGAGCACAGCAATGTACAGTAGGTCAACCACGACAAGCTAGTATCAGGCACGGCTTGTGTTCTCTTGGATCGACAGGAAGTAGATAGAAAGAAGTCGAAGCGCAATTTCTGTCTTCGAAATGACTCAAAAACTGTTAATTCCGCGCGCAGTTGCCTGGGGGTTGGTTCAAAATCCGGTCGGTGTTTGTAGGCATCGAAGGGCCCGGGAAGAGCTGTTCGTCGAGAAGTCGACTCAGTCCAAAGAAGCATGACGGAACGTCAGGACAGTCATGGAAAATGCCGCGACCCGCAATGGTACCGAAATTTGGCTAGCGTGTCGAGGAAGCTGCAAGGCTTAGATGCGTCGAGTAGCCCTGCCGATTAAGCTCAAAGGCGCTAGTCCGTTTTGGGGAAAACGCGGAGATGTGGCGGGCGGACGTTGGTTATCACCGGTTCTGTTTATGTCCTTGCTTGTGTCCTTGGGCTCTCTGGATGGACGAGTACAAATATCAGAGAATGTCCCGGTCAATTTATTCTGCATTAACAACCTCTCACAAGCAACTCAACAGCTTCCGACTCCGATCCTCGTTACCAGCACAATGAATTTGCCGATCCTCTCTCTCCAAAAGTCACTCGACTCGACCAAGGTCGAATACTCTCAGCTGGGTTCGTCTGGCCTTCGAGATTCCGTGACGATTCTGGATGCTATGTCATTCGGCGAGCCCCAGCCGTTTGCGCCTTGGATTTTGGACGAGGAGAAATCTCTCGAGGTCCTCAAAGCCGCCTATGATTGCGGTATCAACACATGGGATACATCGAACTCGTATTCCAATGGCCTCAGCGAGGAACCATTGGGAAGGCTATCAAGGAGTTTAACATCCCTCACCAGAAGGTTGTGATCATGACGAAATGCGCCTTCCACGTGGGCGAAGATCTGAGCGTCGTTGGTGTTGCTTTTCCCAATCAGATGCATCAGAGCAAGGACTATGTTAACCAAGGAGGTAAGTTGACTCTCATTCTCAATATGACTCTTACATTCCTAACGGGTGTTCTAGGCCTCACACGAACCGGTATGTTCAATGCGGTCGAAAACTCCCTCGCACGACTGGATACTTCCTACATCGACTTGTTACAAATCCAGCGATTCGATCCGTTGACACCCATGGAGGAGACAATGAAAGCACTACATGACCTCGTCCAATCAGGCAAGGTTAGATACATCGGAGCAAGCTCCATGTGGGCAACTTAATTTGCTCAGCTGCAGTTCGTCGCTGAGAGGAATGGCTGGACCAAGTTCGTCAGCATGCAAAACTAGTACAACCTTTGCTACCTGGAAGAAGAGCGCGAGATGAACAGATTTTGCAATGAGACAGGAGTGGGCCTTATTCGTAGTCACCTCTATACGCTGGAAGATTGGCACGTCCAGTGGGATTCGATGGCTCTCTCCGATCGAAGCGGCCGTCGCCCCACTCTCCCAGAATGACTGCAGCCGACGAGGAAATCATCAACCGTATCGAGAAAGTCGCAACGGAGAAGGACTGGAAAATGAGCGAGGTCACTTTGGCGTGGTCGAAGGGCAAGGGGGCTGTGCCGATGGTGGGCTGCACTTCTGTCGAAAGGATGAACGACCTCTGAGCTCCGAGGAAAGGCATTGACGGAGGAAGAAGTGAAATACCTCGAGGAGTCTCACCCCCAAGCCCATTGCTGGGCACACATAGAGAGTCTTATAACCTCTTAATCTCCACTTTTTGCCTGCATCTTTTCTTTCTGGTGTCATTGGAATGTATCTACTAGTCCGTCTTGCTTCATATAGAGTAAGCCATCATTCAAAACCCTTTATGAAGGGTTCACATATTTCTATAATTTTTCTTCTTTGGTGTTGTCTCGGCCATCCATTGCAAATCTGAGCATCAACATTATGATAATGGGCGAAATCAGAAAAGTGAGCTCTGCCCGTCATAATCCTCCATACCTCTTAGACGTCTGAGTTATCGGGTCGATCATAACAATTGTAAAATCACATATTGAAAAGCCCATCTTGTGCAATCGCTATAAGTAAGTTAGCACAAGTAGCAATTGCCAGCGAATCTACCCTGGCTTGCAGCCATTGTCTCTGAGCCTGAGAAATATACTCCGAACTGATAGCTATGGCAAGTGGCCAGGCCAGCAGAGTTGCCATCTTTGGCGAAATGCTTTGAGAACAGGAATTTCCGACACAAACCTTGTCCGCTGCAAGTCATAAAAAAATCCTACAATGCGGCATATATCTGTTGCTTGTGAGTCCAGAATAGCCTGGCCGTCTTGCGAGCAATCGTCAACCCAATCCTGACAAGAAAGATCGCTAGAAAGATTGGGTATAACCCGTAAACATATACTGTTAAAATTGAGACGAGCAGCGCGATAGCGGTTCCAGATGGTTGCATGGCTGTGCGTCGAATAATTATGGGTATGGTCTTCAAATATGACATCGCTCTGCCTCTCGCTCAAAATAACGAAGAATTTCCAATCGTCGCGAGAGGACTTCGACCAAACCTCGAATGCCTCGTCTAGTTCTTGGGCCTCTGTGGCAAGTTTTCGCAGCACATCGGCTTGTGATTCTGGCCTGAATTTTGGATTTTGAAGCGTTTGTAATGATTTCGATCGTAGGGACGCGCTGCGAGCGAGAAGTGCATCTGGCGCCAGAACGGGATCTTCTTTTGGGTAAAGATCATCATCACGAAGCCATTCTGGAACATCAATGCCTTGGAGAAGGCACGCTCGAACCTGAGTCCTGTTAGTTGAGATGAGCGTGGGAGGAGAAACAGTGCACATACAAGTGGATGCCGGGCCATCCTATCAAGGGATGGGTTTTGAATCCACCCACAACGCTGGCGAGCCTGCAAAAATCCCGCAGTCCCCTTGGAGTGTCCTATGGCAGGCAATACTTGCGACTCGGACTCTGTTTCAGGGCTTGGGAAGGACGGAAATTGACTTTGACTGAGTCCTTTTTCTTGATATGTGACATTTTGCACAGTATTTAGCATTGTGGCGTCCTTGCTGCTCGTTTAGTTCAAGATGCTACGTATGTCGTAGCCACCCAAAACCACAGTAGCAATGAGTAATTGGTCGATATTTTAGTTCGAGACTCTTGCGACGTCATTTCGCATAGTTTTGATACTTCGCAAATAAACGAGATCGCCGGCACTTAGCGCCTTCTCCGATCTCATAGCCTTTCCGAATAGAATCAAGGAGAAAGCTGACACAGCTAACGAAGTGTCGAGTCGGGCGTAGCTTGATCCCAGTAATGCAGAGCATATGCTCCGTACTCGTGCTCGGCATCACGGGTGTTCAAAGGCCAGGAGGTAAAGTTTGTCTACCAGTAGCTGAATGCATGCGTTTCCAATGGCTCAGCAAAAAGAAACGTCTTTGGGGGCGGATTCGGCCAGCGAGTCGTCGACTTTTGCAGACAGGAGCCAAATCAGCTTTTGCGAGGGCGTCTATTCTGGCCTTGGGCGAACGGATTTTCGGATTTGAAGCACAGCCTGGTGTCGTCATCTTGCTCCCATAGACAGCATCGGTTTGCTTTGTGACAGCAGCCACAATTTGGGCGCACCGAATCGCACTAGATGAATATGTTAGTTTGAAAGAATCTCGGAAAATTGGACAGATTACCTTGACGCGACGTTCTTTGTATGCCATGCAGGCCGGGCTAGGAAACACCATTTTGATTGTGGTAGAAGGAGATGCAGTGTTCTGACATGTTTGAACAGCTGAAGGTGTTGCGGGCGCGGTTAGACGCTATCTCCGTCCGCGCAAAAACCGCGGCGCGCTTGCAAACTACGACTAAGGCTAACCTCAAATACGAAGGCAAATCAGCCCAACGCCTTTTTAAAAAATTAAGTTCACACAATAAATTGCCCTGATACAAGGCGAGTATATACATGTCTATATTATAAGAATCTGTGAAGTGAAAGCCCATATGAGCTAGCAAATCACGGTTGTTGGACCGCTGAATTGAATGCAAAATGAATCTGCGAGGCCGACTTACCTATCACCTACTTCATGGTGCTATCGACAAGCTCGCGATAGATCTTCTTCAGGTCAGAGATATCAGCTTGAAGTTCCTCGACTTGCTCACTCTTCTCACCCAACATTTCGAGGGTAGTCTGATACCGCTGGTCAATGTCGGCGAGCTTAGCTTCAAGTTCCTCCACCTTGGAATCAGAAACCTTCTTCTCTTCAAGTTCACGCATGAGATCAACAACTTGCTGTCGAGCTTCATCGCGCTGTGCGGTGACACGCGCAAGCTCGTCCTTGGACCCGGCACGTTCACTCTCCAGGCGGCGAACCGTCGCGCTCATGCGCTCCACCAGCTGCACAGATGGGCCAGCGCCAACTGTAGACTCGGAGATGATGTCGTTGATACCGCGGGATTGAGCCGCCTGTGTGCCGCCATACGCGGAGGGTGTGGGTGGAACGCCGCTGAAAAATTCATCGGGCTCAAAGTTGATCGAGGGAGTTTCCATGATCATGGACGGCGGGTTCATCGAGGTGTTGATCGGGGGAAAGGCGAGAGCTCCTTGGTTGATCGAAGCCGGGTAAGAATTCTGACGTGGGGGGGTACCGAAATCAGGTGAGGCAGCAGACGGGTTGGTAGAAGAGCGTCGGCTTGCTGGACGGTAGTCTAGCAAGCCAGACGACACGGCATCGAGGTTGCTGGAGCGTCGGGTGGATGGAACAGGTGAAATGCCCCGGGACTGCAGAGCGTTGACCTGCTCCCGCCACTTGGCACGCTCTTCCTCCAGCTTTTGAGCCCAGGTCGCATCGGATACCTTCTTTTGATCGGCCAGATCTTTCTGGGCATTGGCGAGGTCCTCGGCTGTCTTCTCTAGTTTCTCCTGCGATTTCTGCAATTCCTGTGTACGCTCGCCCAGTTTGCTCTCAAGGTCTTGCTCGATCTCCTTGGCAGTTTCAAGCTCCTCTTCCAGCTTCTTCATCTTCAGGTTCTATGGGAAATTTCAGTTAGCAACATGCCCACTGGAAGATCAATGAAGGGGAACCCATACCAGTTCTCGGATCTTTTTTCGTAAGTCAGCTTCTTTCCGTCCTACATCGTCACGCTCTTTCTCCACAGTAGCAAGGCGAGCGAGCAAGGACCCCTCTAGGGTATGCCAATTTTCACTGGCCACAGAGTACTGGGTCTGCAGAGTCTCAATTTGTCGCAAAAGCTTGGCTTGGGTTTCCCCAGTTGCCCCAGATGAAGCCTCTTCTGCCCGAGACCGGAGACTTTCCATCTTGCTTTCCAGGACAGATTGTTCGCCCTTCAACTCTGTTTCCAGCATGCGAGCTCGTTCCTTCTCTTGCTCCACCTTTTCTTTCAATGCACTAATCTCCTTCTTGGACTTCTCATCGGCAATATCGCGTTCGATTTTGATACTGGCCAGTTCTTCCTCAAGATCATTGACGCGGCGTTTCTCTTGCTCCAAGGCATCCGACTGGGCCTTAGATTCGGCTGCTTCTGCACGGGAAACAGCACGGCTGAGCTGTCCTTTTATCTCTTGGACAGTTTGACTCAGAGCATTTCGCTCATTAGTCACAGCCTCAAGGTCCTTCGAAACTTTGGTTTGAGAAGAAAGCGAGTCATTAGCTCGCTTCTCTGAGGCCTCGGCCCGTTTAGCCCTTGCCTCAGAGCTGGTCAGCTCCCTCTCCAATTTCTCCATTTTTTTCTTGTTTTCTGTCTGAGCCTTTGTGTTTTCGATCAGTTGCTGGCGCAGCTTCCGGACCACGGTACGATGATCCATTTCGGATTTGGACAGCTTCTGTCCTTCTTCAAGGAGCAACGCGATCTTCTCGTCCTTTTCCCGAAGCTGTTTCTCAACACTGCCTGGGGCGGCCGTTGCAGCGGCATTCTTGGCTGATTCCGCTGCTTCCTTCGCTAGGTATTTGAGTTTTGACTGTAAAGCATCGATTCGTTCGATGTAGCCATGGATTTCCTCCTGTCGCTGGACCTCGGCTGCATCGTCGCCGGTGCGCGATTCCGATGGAGCTTCTACGCTAGGTCGCAGACTGTCAATAGAATCACGCGTAGCAGTTGCTTCAGTGTCTTGCATGCTTGTAGGCTCTTGGCCCTTTTCGTCAGAATCTGAAGGGTTCTTGGCTGCCTCGTCACGCATAGGTTCCGTCACACTCATATTGGTGGACTGGCGAGGTGCTGACTCTGAATCGTGGCTGACTCTTGACGTCGTCTCTTCAGATTCGGCGTCTTCTCCAGCCACCGAAGAGCTTTGGGGTCCGTCTGCGGACGCCGCAAGACTCGAATCAACCTCCAAGCTCGGCCGGCCATCAGTGCTGGGTCGAGGGCTAGCGTTCGGTGAGGACACTCCACTTGGAGAAGATTGCGAGTTTCGGTTTGCGCTTGACTTGACCATGGCTCGCGCTAGACGTTCCTGGAGCCGGTCATTCCCATTCCTGCGTGCGCTGGAGGAGTTGCGGGAAATCGCTGAAGTTGTGTTAGCCTAGCCTGACAATTCTCATGTAGACAGATATCTCATACACCCAGCAGGAGATCGCGACAATGGTGTCGGTGCAGCGGGTTCGCTCTCTTTGGGCTTCTCCTGCGCACTTTTGGGCCTGTCTTCCTCATCCATCAAGATATTATCCAGTCGCGACTCAACGCCCGCCACGGCTTGTTGAAAAAAGTTGCCCATACCCCATTTGGGTTTGGGTGGCTGCGAATTCTGCGCCATGGTGACAGGTGATAGGTGATATTCGAAAAAGTACGAATCGGCTACTGAGCAGCAGATGCCTTGTGTTCGAATTGCATCAGCTCGGCGGGGACTGCGCTTGGACGACAGCTAAAGACTTTTTGCGGTTCCGTTATCGTACGCAAAAGATGAAAAAGGATCAATTGGTCTAGAGGATAGGGAGGCAACGGTCGAACAGGCGCAAATGAGGGACTGTGTTTCGGAGCCGAGCTAGAAGTACAAGGCAACAACCACGTTGCCGAGTGGAGGTCGTAGAAAGGGACGGCGTGCACGAAGGACCAGAGACAGGCGGTCGAGTCTCAGAATGCCACGGTATGGATGAATGAGAGAAATCGAAGAGCGGCGAACGCGGGGAAAAGACGTCGGAGGTGAAGGGCGAGATGAAACATCGGGCCAAGAAATCGTTGGGAGCCGCGACACTGTGGCCCGGTCTTGGCGGTGCTTCCGTCATCCCTCAAGCTCCCTCCCTTCTCGACACCAACTTCACTCCCCACGGCCGACCTTCCTTTGCACTGGGAGCTTCGACCATCATGTCTTTGGAGCCGCCAACCTACCTCAGCTCGCTGCAGAACAATATCCGCGCCCGTCCAATTCCCTGGGAGGGCGCCGTCCGTGCGGGCAACATCACGGATGACCACCTCAAGAAGATTAAGGCGGTCGACAAGGTGCGCAAGGAGCAGCGTATTCAGACAGTAGAGGCCGACCTCGCTGGATATACTGGCTTGTTGGCTGGTGGTGCGCAGGGAAAGAGTGTCTTGGAGTCGGCGTCACGGAGGACCGATATCGTTCAATATATCTTGGTCCTGGCATCGGACTTGATCCAAGGTATGTATTGCCCCGATTTGAGTAATTTCGAGTCTCTTTCGAGTCTCTTTCGAGTCTAATATCTCTATATCTCCAGATGTTCCCGCGCTAGCCAACTCTCTCGTTTCGCACCCCGAGCCGTACAAGCCATTCCTGCCGTTCTTGCACCAGTCCACCAATGCCGAAGACCCTATTCCCCTGCTCACATCCACCTTCCTCACAGCGCTTGTGTCGCACAGCCTCACTTCATCGCCCAAACCTGCTGCTCGGGACCAAGAGGCTCTCCCGCAACTATACAGATATCTCTCCACCCTGACCAAGAACCAGGACAGTGGACTGCAGGATATCGGAGTACAGGGATTCTCGGAGCTGCTCCGCAAGCAGCACTCGCGTGAAGTCTTCTGGGCCCACCGAAAGGAGACATTGGATCCCTTGATCGAGACTCTGCGTGCGGCCGCTGGTACCAAGGAGAATGGCAGCACATCAGGAAGCAGCACACGTGGCATTGAGCCCGGGCTGGCCGGTGGAATTGGTCTCCAACTGCTTTACCGGGTGCTTCTCGTAGTATGGCAGCTGACGTTCGAGGGCGAACTGGTTGGCGAAGGACTGCAAGAGTACGTTGTGCCTCGAACAATACCTATCGATTTAATCGATAACCTTGCTGACCGCAATGACTCTCACCAGGAACTATGAGATCATTCAACTCTACACTCAACTTCTCCGCCTTTCACCCAAGGAGAAGACAACCCGACTGCTCTTGGCTACACTCTACAACCTTTGCTCTAGCAACCGTAACACCATTCTTCCCGTTGCCGTGTTCGTGCGGCTCCCCGCCCTCCTGGCCAACCTTGCTGGTCGCCACTTGACCGATCCCGACCTGCTCGAAGATCTCGAAGCGCTGTCCAACATGCTGGATGAGTACACCAAGACACAGACTACCTTTGACCAGTACGCTGCCGAAGTTCAGTCCGGCCACCTCCGCTGGTCACCCCCGCATAAGAACCCCACATTCTGGAAGGAGAATGCTCGTCGGATTCTGGATGACACCAATGGTGCGCTCCCCAAGAAGCTGGCTGAGATTCTGAAGAAGAGCTGGGATAACGACAAGCAAGTTCTGGCTATTGCTTGTAACGACGTGGGCCATTTGGTGAAGGAGCTTCCCGAGAGACGTACACAGCTCGAGAAACTCGGTCTGAAGGCACGGGTCATGGAGCTGATGGCCGACAAGGATGAGTCTGTACGATGGGAGAGTTTGCGGGCTGTCGGAGAATGGCTGCGATACACCTTCGACGGGTGAAGTGATTATCTGATATTTCTTTTCTGTTTTCTTCGGGATCTTGCGGTTTGCCCCGGTTTGATGCGGGCTGAACATATACTACTCTTTGGCATGTACCTTGTATTCCCGCCATAGCGTCCCCTCTGTCTATCTATTTCTCGGGATAGTTTCATTCCATTCTCCCGAATATTCTAGGAAATCGCAATTAGAAACGAATATTGGCTTGAGTCTGCTGATAAAACCCCCGCCGATCGGTGGATCCCTCAGATAGATTGGCCGCTAGAAAACCCTCAAACGGCCGCGATTCGAGAAAAGTGTGTTAGTGTGCTGGTTCAGCATAGAGTTTTAATGCGCATACCCCTTTTCCGTCTACTTGGGGCAGTTCCTTCCTACGAGCGACTCGGCTGGTCGTCAGTGTTGGTTCCCTGGAACGGACTTTGCCACGCGGGACTCGGCCGACGGAGATCTGAAATTCCCCGCAGAATTTCTTCTCTCCCCACTCCACAATACCCCTCGCAATCCCAGCACTCATGTCGAGATCGTTTACCGGCTGCACAAGATGTAAAGCGCGGCGCCAAAAATGTGACGAGAAACGACCTATTTGTGGCCGCTGCCAGACCGCCGGCGTGCAGTGCAAGTATGCCATGCAGCTGCAGTGGGGAGGACGGGCATTCTCGCGATCGCGATTTGGAGCATGCGTGGACACAGGGAATATGCAACGGCTGGGTATGTTTGGGAGAGAGCACTCGCATTGTGTTCAGGACTATGCTGACCATAACCACAGAATACTCGCCTGGAGAATTCATCTATACCACCAAGTCGGCGCAAGCTGGGTCAGATCTTGCTCTGACACAACCCGTCGATCCCTTCTCATCCCTGTCGCAAGACCAAAAGTCTTTGCTACACCACTTCATCAACGATGCCTCGCAGATCACAGCATGCCATTCCGGTATGCAGCAGGATATATGCCGGATGATCGTCCCTATGGCCCTCCAGACCCCGTCACTCCTCTACGCCACCACCGCCCTCTCCGCAATTCACATACAGGCCCTACATAACCAATCCGAGAGCGTCAAATCGGCGCCAGACATTGCGCGTCTCATGGCGCTGAGTTTGGAGCACTTCCGGAATGAGCTGCAGCACCCGTCGTCCAAAGGTTCGGAGGCGCTGGTGGCAACAGCCCGAACGCTGTGCCTAGCTGAGATCCACTCCGGTGCGATCAACCCAAATTCCTGGCGCGCTCATATAGAGGGTGCCCGAGCACTGATGAAGGCGTCGGATGCATCTGGAGAAGACTCCATTCGCTCTGCAAATGGCTTTCGACGATATCTGGATCGCTGGTACTGGTCGATTGTGTCCCTCACCGCATTAACGGGCAATGGGCCTCCCATTGGTGATATCTCGGTCTTTGCGCCATCCAACGCTGCAGGTCAAAAGGAGTCGCCAGACTATCTGGATGACTACTGGGGCTTCACGGTCGATTTGGCGGCCGTCTTTCGACAGATCGGCGCTGCTGCCTGGCGAAACCACCAAGCCGAGAAAGAGGGGCAGGGCTTCGTCGAGGGGGAGATTGATAGCAGTGTCGAGCATGAAGCGAATACACTCGAGTCTTCCATACGGCATCTCATGGACCGAGGCGCTAGTTCGCAGCCGTCACTCTACCCAGGCGTCGCAGACGGACTTTCTGCGGACAGCATACAGCACCTCGCGCTTTGCAATGAGGCCTTCCAACACAGTGCCTTGATTCAAATACACAAGCGACTTCGCAAAACGCCTACGACTTCCGCTAGTGTTCAACACTCCGTTCAGCGGATTCTCGAGTGCACGGCTCAGATTGGTCCCTCGGCTGGTCTCAGTCCCTGGGTGATGCTTACAACTCCTCTGTTTATCGCGGGCTGCGAAGCATGTGGAGAGGATCGTGACACGGTCCGAAGGCTACTGTCATCGTTGCATGATACGATCAGAGTGCCCAACGTTTTGCAGTCTCTCAAGTTCCTTGAACAGTACTGGGCTAATAAGGCCAATGAGGATGAGGATTGGAGCCACTTCCTTGGTAAGTATTTCTTCACTCATGTCTTTCGACCGCACTGCTAATCTATTCTCCAGATCGCATGCAATTCGATTTCATACCCTACTAATCCCTAATTGGAAATGCGGTCTCGCGGGTTGTCGTGCGCGACTAGTGGTATTCCAATTGGTCTCTGGACATACTTTTCTTCTGTTGATTTTTTTGACCGCATATATTTTCTCTGGTGTCATTCGAATGCAGGCGCAGATGGCAGCAGGATATCCTGGCGTACTTACGAACGGCCTTGGAGTTTGAATCCCGGGCGTGATGATATCTCAGTAATATTGTATTGTGACTTTGACGAATGTGGATATTTCAACGAAATATATAAATACCGACTGTACTAGTCCCTATCACGGTCCACTAGACCCTGTTCCACCTAGCCCCGGGTTGCTTTCAGGGCGAATCTGACGATCCCAACTCGCCAAAATGACATTCAACAACTCATTCCCAACACCCAGCAATAGAAAAATCGCAATCACTTGACCAAAAGTCCAGCCTTCCTCCTCGGAATCGAGAGTATTGCGTTGAATGGTCTGTTCCAGTGACACAATCAGATATATACAGACACTGCAGTATGCTGCTTTGTTAATAGTGAAGTTTAACAAGGCTTGACCTGATAAACGCTGTGGAGGACCATCGTCAGTATTTTCTGCAGAAGAGCTGCTCACAAACCACCTGACCCGACTCCGCTTTTGGCCTGCCAGGCCAACCTTCTTCATATGCCGACGCTGTCGAACCCACTTCACACAGAGACAGGGCATCAGGCAGGAGTACACGAGAACGAAAGTTCCAGCGACAACACCAAGAGTTCCGAGAATGATATACCGAAAAACTGGCGAAACAGCCTTGATGCTGACTCCAAACACAACATAGACCGTATCTAGATTGCACTCAGGCTGGCTCCCAAAATGCGGCGCAGTAACCCACAGAAATGCGTTGAAGGCGATGAAGGCACCCAGTGCGACTATTCGAATAATGGCAAAGAACCAAAGACGCCAAGGTCCGAAGCCTGCATATCGGCCTTTGCTGATCAGGTCCAGCCCTAGCAGGGCGAGAAGGTGGATCACGCAGATGGCGTGGAAGAGTGTCATGTCGTTGCGGAAGGTCTGGTAGATTGCTGTGCAAAGTAATGCGAGTCCTTGCATGCCCAGCGCAGCCGATACGCCGCGCGAGAACTCGGCTTCATCTTCTCCTGGGTGGAGGACTCGGAGGAGGTAGCTCACAACAGTGCCGCCGAGGCAGAGGGTGTAGATGGAGGCTCGGATCTGCAGTCGGAAGAGATGAGGTCAGATTGAATGAACATCTTGGTTGCAAATCGCTGACACCCACTCCAGTTCCTGTCACGTCGGGATTGGGCTCGATCACACATTGTGTGGAGTTCATGTTGCGAAGGAATATTGTCTCGACTCGAGCGACTCCCACCAGATCAACTCGACACAGCGACGCAGAAAGTCATGCTTAGGCATAAAATATCACCGGCTCAACAAGCAATCGGCTTCATTCTAAAGACCAGGGTTCGCGCGTGCATGCACCTGGGTTCAAGCGTGGCTCAGCACAATCATTGCGCCACAACCGTTCCAACATCGCGAACGAAGAGTGCCACGTCCCCCAGAAAACAACCCTAAGCATGCGATTGGCGCTGACAAGACGGCTTTCTCCAGTGCTCACTCGGGCCGCGATTGGAGGGTGGTGATGCTGCCCGAGATCCTCCTGACGCACGTACTTTGCTTACTGCAGCGCTAAGGAGCTAGCCTCGCCAAACAACCGCCCTCATTCGCCAATTTCGAAGTGTACCTACGGCTGTTTCCTCTCATGATATGCGGTCTTATTATTCGATTGCTATCAGCAGGCTTTCCGCCTTGCTGCCATCAGCCTCCCTTGGCATTTCGGACAGAGAGATGATCGAGTCTCCCTCTGGATGCCATGTCGTATTTTGCTCGTATCATGAGCTGCTCTGAGCTGGCGTCTTATATGATGATCACTGCCCGAGAATATAATTGATCAAAATGGGCTGCAGGTAACAATACTGAGGGTTTTCCGGACACAAACAATGGAGGACCCGTTCCATCGCCCACTCCCATCCATCAACGGTGAGCTTGCTTGACCTGCCCAAGCCGTCCCGATGACCCTTTTAACCTTTGCATAGTATACACCTTCTTCGCCCTCGCCATCCTCGACGTCGCCGCCAACGCAGCTGCCGGTCCCGCCGCCGTCGCAACAGCAACCCACGTCAATGGCGGCGTCTTGACAGCCCGCGCGCTCCAGCTCGGCGCATTGGCCGGTGTCACAAAATCGGGGGTTCTGGCATTCATCGAGTTCGTGGGATATGCAGGTATACCAGCCCCAGCATGGGTACTGCTGATTCTGCTAGGAAGCAGTTTTGGTATTTGTGTGTTGATCACGGCGGAGATATCGAATATTGTGCTTGGAGAGGGTAGGTCTTTCGTTTTCTTTCTAGGTTCTCGATACTTTCTGCGATGCGTCGTTTTTTCAGGTGTCAGGTTTTGCTGGACTTTAAGGGATATTTCACCGAAAAAACTGACTCGATCTCAAAGCACCAAGTGCGTTGCTCATCGCGGCAGTCGTTGCTGCTATCCCTCTCTGGGGCGAATGCATCGGGATATATCAGTGTAAGTCACTCTATATTTGAACCCCAGGAAGAGCTCTGTCCAGATGTGAATGCTGAAATAGAATAGCGGCCGGTGGTTTGAAGGGCGGCAAGCCCACGACCCAGCTACTAGTCATGGGACTCGATTCCCTCGGGGGCTATGTGTTTGCTCGGATGGCACATAATGGAGGTTGGTCTTCCCTTACCCGCAGTCCGCACTAATTACAGTATGAGAGGAAGAAAGTGACAGTGAACTCATTAACCCCGCGCTTTGTTAGGCTATGATATCTGCCCATACAACGTGGCTGCTGCGGCGGGAGCAGTGTATGGTACCATAACCGGCCTCTTCCACACGATTCTAGGCTGCATAGCTGGAGTGCAGCACTATGAAGCAACCAATGGGCATTACACCGTCACGAATGTCTTCGGATCAGCTTCTGGTTACGACCCTGACTGGCGGACCCGGCAGGGTATTTGGTGATGGAAAGAAAATGAGAACCCGATGCTTTCAGAAGATATATAGGGCCATTTTACTCTAATGAAAACTTCCAAGCCACTCCTTGAATAGCTTTCACTTGCCCACCTAGAAAGACTCGCAAACCCAGTATTTTTGCAAGTTTCGTTCACATTTGCCCCACTTTCTCTCACTTCTCACTCACTTCTCACTCACTTCTCGCATATCGAGGGTCCCTTTTTCCTTGTAGTCAAATTGCCATCCTGCTTCAAGATACATCATTGACTTCTCTCTGAGCACAGTCCCCAAGGCAATCAGCATGTGAAACATCTCTTTCACGAGTCGGATAAGCCGTATTTAGGAACCTTCGAGACTGTCCTCTGGATCTCAACATAACTTCGGTTCTTCACATATTCTCCCTCGATTCTCGATCTTCACCCAATTACAACTTCCACCTCTCACACTCCTTCTCCGGATCCCTTTTTCTTCTATCTTCCTTATCTACTTACTCAACGTGGCTTCCCTGCCTTTCCAAACACCCCTGTGTCTCTACACTCCCATCTTCTCCCCCCAACTTCTTCGCTGTTTCCATCTCCCACGCCCTCTCTCTCAGGTTCCTCTTTTCTCTTCACCACAGCTTGAATTCCACACCTGGGTCACAGCTTCCAGCTTCTCCCTATTCACCCAGGCGCAGGTTCCATCCTCCATGCCTTCTCTCTCAACACACCATCCGCCTTCTAAGCCTGATCTCATTAGTCAATCCTTCAGCTGTCGATGGCATCTCTCAGACCTGACGGTCATCGCGCTTCTCTCTAACTTATTCCTCCTATCCTCCACACCGAGCCTTCCGAATCCCTCAACTCAACTCCTTCCCAGGCCAGGCCTGAAGGAACTCAGTTAAGCTCACTGGTATGAACTCGGAACACTCCATCCATACCCGAGGACCACGATCACCGTGGTAGAAGTCGACTTTCTGCACAGAATCCAATGGCATCGAATCATTCTGGATGGTGAGTCTCCCTCTCAGCAGCTGAGTTTTTTCGGGAATGCTAACAAAACCCATATCCAGAGGGCCAAATGACCGAGAACCACAGGACAAAGACATCGGTTGCTGTTCGAGCACTGACCGCCAACTTCAAATTGGTTCTTTCGGCCACGCCAGTTTACAAGTAAGTGCGCACTATACATGAAGCGAGGATATATCAATTAAATATGTCACGAAGGTGGAATTGAGGAATTCTATCCCCTCCTCAACTTCATAGCTCATATTTCTGTGCAACTTCTGTCAAGACCCTAAGTAGTCTAAAGGAAAACTCATAGATCATTCTCAAGGATGTGAGGCATCGAACGAGGCTGGAAGACCGAATTCTTGGTGGCCCATTGTCGAAATGACAAACTTCCGTGTTTGAGGCCGAGTTGCTGGTGTACGACGCTATCGCGAAAGACACAATGCCCAGTGAGTTCAACCATTATGAAAATACGTATACATCAATCAGACATTTATTCTGGCAGGACGCGCAGAATGCACAAAGTTTTCTGCAGTTGGCGGCGGCAGTCCGCTCGCACACGTTTTATTTGCGTCGGCTTACGAATCATGTTCTGACCGTGCAAGTGTTGATCAAAAGCTTCTCGAAGACAATGAAGCTTTTCACGCTTCTATGGTTGCAATGGCAGCTGGACAAAACACCAGCGAGGCCCAGTCAATCAACATTGCCCAGTTGATCCTCAGGTCATTCGAGGATAACAAGAAAAGAAACAATGTAGCGGGTTTGCCGTCCTTTGGAAAACTCTCGAAGAAGTTGCTCTCAAAGAATGTTGTCAGATTCATTGAGGTCTTCAGAGGTAAAATAGATAATCTCAAGGCCCAGGCTAGCCAAGAAGAATGGCGCCATCAGCTTGATTGCCAGCGCTCCGCGTTTGAAATCAAACCCAAGCCAGCCAAGACCATTATCACGTCCTGCAGCCGTATCTTCTGCGCTTTCTGTTCTCTCAATATACTCCGAGCCTCTGTGAAAAGAAAACTTGAGAAACCACGCTGCAATGTTTTCCAGGGCCTCTATCGACCAGTACACTGAGTGCGAGGACCGAACTGCATTTAAACGCGACTCGGGCGAAATTTTTGCGTCTTTCTCTATAGAGGGTAAAAATAATCTAAAACGCAAGTAATCTAGCTCAGGGGCCGTTAAGCAGAAGTCCTCCGCTTCGAAAAAACCACAAATTCCAGGGCCACTCAAGCCACGCAGCATCACTCAAGACAATGACTCTGATAACAGTGACGTGGAAAATGAGCTGGTCTGGCTGACAACGTTCGGACGAGATGCCAAGCGCAAAGCTCCCAAAGGTCGAAAGCCTCATCGAAGGTTGGCTGGAAGAGGATCCAACTTGCAAAATTGTGGTGTATACCGAATGGCAGGACACCCTGACTCCCCTCAAAGCAGATTTGTAAGCGACAGTAATGGATATTCTCATTGGTGAGTAATTTGAGCTTGCTCAAATTATTAGTTTGACTTTAGCTAAACTTAGAAAGCTGTCCGGATTGGTCTCCTCGTCAACAAACGTGTCATGCGCCGTTCAGTATGTTTGCAACTGTCTTCTAGCTAGTATCACAGTATACACTCTTCTACCTCACTAGTCCGAAATTTATAGGTGCACTTCTTACTATTCTGCGCGCCATGCGTGCATGAGTCGAGTGGTGTTGTTCCTGCTGAGTCCACCTGCATATCTACGAGCATGCTGTCTTTAAGCGTTCCCCCGGCCCTCCTTAATATCTACCCAATGTAGTCAACCACTTGTTCATATACCCATTGATCACACCTCACAAGATTGAAATCTTTCTGGTCGCCAGTGTATTTCAAATATGAGATCCACTAGTGTTCTGATACCTCAGGATCCCAAAGCAAACAAATGGGCCTTGGCCGGGGCCAAATCAAATGAAGTTAGAAACAGAAAGACTACTTTTCCGGCGAAGAACATCAAGAGTTTGGATTACACTGTATATGCCTAAAAGATCATGACTACACTGCGCTGCAAGAGGTTAAACCGTTAATGTAACATGGATGCGTCGATTTCCATTCACTGTATTTTATGTGAGGATTTCGATATATTTTTGCGCTGCCGGGCCGGAAGACCTACGCCAAGCATGAACAGCATAGTTCGAGGCAGAGCAGACATCAACGGTGACTCCTGAATCATATGCTATTAATCTATACACCCCTTCCATACGTGGCGAGTTTCTATTTTCTACATGACACTCAATCCTAAACAGACCAAGTATACACTGTATATATGTCTTACAGCTACGGGGTGATCGGGACGGCGAGTCGAGCTCCCTGTGGAACCTGACCAGCCCTATGCGCCCAGCGTATTTGGCGTCAATAACGTGCGTGGTGCGACAATAGCCGGCGCCACCGCACGTCAGACCGGTCTCTTCCATTAGGTGGCTATTTATTCCTCAAACTCTTCACCAGGCCGAAAGGAGGGAGTCCCGATCGGATCTTTTTTTTGTTCGGAGGGGCGAGGCTGGACAGCGTCAGACGAGAGTGGAGATCGTTCGGGGGCCGGTAAAGAAATAGAAAAGCGCCAAAAAAGGAAAAAAGGGAGATAGCAATCAGTCTCCGCGGGTCCAGATCTTGTTGGCCTGGGCGAGAACAAAGAAGAGGCTGTACATAGCGCTTAGGGGGAACGATAGGGAGGACATGCATGCAAGCACGGTTTCACCCCGTGTCTTAAAATTGGGGCCTCAAGAACGGTGGTGTACCTCAGACGAGGAGAAGTTGGTTCAGGCGATTCAGCGCGAACCCGAAACCTTGTCTGGTCGACAACTACGCCGACGCCTTTGTGGTTGGCCAGCAAGAGGAACGGTTGGAGCTGCAGCTACTTCCGCATGAGGCATCTGGCGCACTGAGCGGCGGTACCTTGAGTTGCCCTAACACTTCCTAACGCTGAAGTACAACATGGCGCGAGCTGATCAGTGGGTGAAACCCCCTCATGGCACACGCATCTTGGTGCTGTCAGGACGCCAGGAACAGGCCAGAGGGTGGTCACCATCCCCGTTGTAGCAATCCTGGCCGGCCACGCGCTGGCCCGAGTGCTCAGCGACACGCCTGGGGCAAGCTCCTGGCAGGCTGGAGGTGTGATTGGCGCTAGAGACGGCACAGCGAACAGCACCCATCTTCTGCACGTTCGTCGGCCGCTGGCGTTCGGCGGGCTGGGGTGGTGCCGGCAGCAGGAAAAGGGGGCCTGGAAGGGAGAGAAGGAGCGGACCCCACCGGTTGATCCACGCTTCCCGATATATACGATCGGGAATCCACGTCGGATGGAGACCCCCTTAATCTACAGAGGAGGGCAAGATGTACGTACGACGGCTCACGATGGGATGATCGGGGATATATTAACTTCGGGGGCCATGAGGATCAGCAAGGAATAATGAGGGCGATTCATGGCTCAGTGCTAATAGTGCAATAGTGCAACGGCGAGGATCAATATGATGAATAGCGCATCCATGGCTACCTGACAGTAGGTACCGAGAGCACTCGGGTATAAGATAAAGGAGGGACACGAACGATGAGCGCGTGGCGGGGGGTGAACGATGAAGAGAGTGACCTAAGGGGAGGTGAGGACGAAGTGTAGAGTACGTACATCTGATACCTCGCAGTACTGAAAGATACCGGGCTGGCCATACTTCGTTGGCGTGGCAGGAGGTATCCACAAGTACCAGCGCGTACCGCTACCCCTGAATTTGTTTAGCGCGGACCCCCAGATCCACGACTCAAGGGGTGCTGTACCACCGTGGCACTATTGAATCCAGTTCTATTTCCGGACCCAACGGTCGGATCGTAGTTGATGTTGGTTGGCAATCATGAGAGCAAAGAGTAGAGAAAAAGAGTATATCCTGAGGAGTAAACACGGTTGTTTACCTGGCGGTCAAGTAATGCCGCCCGCAATATCATCCTGAATAACTTCAACACGTTCGCCCCGTCGATCCCCGGCCAGAGCGCCGCTTGGCAGCGCCCGCAGCAGCACCGGCAGCTGTTGTAGGAGGCGCTAAAATGTATGCACGCCAATCGAATGCAACAGCGGGACTCCAGTCGCTCCCGACTCCACCACGCTTGCTCGACCGGCGCTACTGCGTGGTGTCTGGAACCACGGGCGGTTTTGCGCCAATCGCCCTGGACGTCGTCTGGGACTTTCTCCTTTTCTTTTGCGATTGTCACAACTCTCTCCCAAGAATAATCCTTTCCCCTTTGGGTCAATTCTCTGGCACGCGCCATCCCTCTACCCGTGGCCCTGGCCGGTATGAGCGACTGTCGATCGATGGCTATTTTTTGATACTCTGCCCCGGCTTGTCATGGCGTCTCCTCCGAGCGGTACTCCCGCTATTGTCGCTGCTGTTGCTCCTCCTCCTCCTCCTGAGGACCTCGATCTACCTCCGTCCCCGCCCTCGTCGCAAGTGCGAAGAAAACCACTGCCGTCGCACGCCAATCCCCTACCCGGTCCTGGCCCTGTCCACCCCTCCTCCCCTCTGTCCATCGAAGACGAGAACAATACCACCGCTGCCCCGACGACCGCGACCTCGACCCCGACGACATACGGACAGACCACCGGCAGTAGACAATCGACGTCGACCTTCAAACCCACTCCCATCCCTTTTGCGGCCAGGTCATCTTCCCCTGCCTCAGTGGATGAAAACTCCTTGATATCGGTGCCAAGGAATCCGAACAGGTATGCGCGAGCTTCATGAGATACATGCCCCGTTCCATAACTGTCCCACTTTGCCCTCCTCTCCTCCACCCCCTGATCGTCAGTCTGCTTTTGTTCGACGGGGGCCCCTGCTCGGCCTTGAGGAAACCCTAGTCCGCAATAGACTTGTCTCCCGTGGATCACCTTGGGACAAGGAAATACAGCGTGACATGGGCCCGTATACATGCTATCGCGCTTCCCCAGAATCTGGAAGACCCATCACTTACCCACGTCGCGCTTCCCTAGATACTCGCGTGGTCATCACCCAGCTCAATCCCTCCGCATAGATACTTCGGCCTCTGCCGCGTTCCTAAGGTCCGTGGTCGAGGACGACGACGACGACGACGAAGAAGGCGCCGATTTCTTTGACGAAAGTTACGAACACCAGTTCACGAATGGAATCGGAACCCCCTTGCACAGTCGTCTAGTGAGCGAGCCTTTCATCCCGGTCCTTAACTCCCCGCCTCCGACACAAAGGCGTGCCACGAGTATGGCCTTGCACCCTCCCCTCAACCGGCCACCACCGCTGCACATCGATATAGACCAGCGGTCAATGTCCATGGGGCACCACGATCCGCGACAACCCAAAACCCCCGGAAATAAGATCAGCTCCTTCTTTAGCTGGAAGAGCAACAACAACCACAACAGTGGCAACATCGCAACCTCCCCTGGCGGCGAATCCTCCAGTACAGAGATCTCGGATACCGGTCGATCCTCCATGCCCTCCCCGATGCCCCCCTTAGCCAACGTCCCTATCAAACCCTCCTCCCCCTATGATTCCAAGTCTGGCTTTGGTCCTCCCCAGCGGACACCGTCCCTAGGCACTGCCAGTGCACATGACCATATGATTGCGTCCAAGTTCTCCGATTTAGAAAATGAGTTGCGAGAAATTAGTTCCGAGTTGGCGGGCTCCATTCGTCGCGAAATGGAGCTCGAAGACTTGATCGAGCGTTTGCAGATGGAAGGCCCTGATGCCAACCGACGGACGAGCGATTATTTCTCTGACTCGGGCACCAGCTCGGTTCGATATGCTCCTGACCGGGCTGAAGATATTGAGAAGATTAAGCGGGCAGCAGAACAGGAGCGTGCGCAGTTGAAGGTGGAATTATCTCAGAAGTTGCAGGAAGAGCGAATGCAACGGACTGCATCTGAATCGCATGTCCAAATCCTGGAGAACCAGGTTCAACAGGTAAGTTTAAAACATAGACAATGCATAATCTGTCGAGATCGGAATTTGAATGGCTAATTTCTTCTTAATTAGCTCCGCCGCGAAAGAACCGATTTGTCTGATCTGTCGTCCAAGACCGCTGAGCTCGAGAGTGCATTGGAAAACACCCGCCGAAAACTGCTCGAAGAACGGCAATCAAAAGACAACTTTGAAGATCTACTCACAGCCATGCGCGTCGAGCTCGAGCAATTACGAAACGAGCGCGATTTACTTCGGGAAGGCAAAGCACCCCCGCCGAGATGCAACGATTAGTTGAAGAGATCGAGGCTCTCAAGATCGAGAATGCCTCATTGGCTCAGCTGCAAGGAGGACGATTCGCTTCGATTGCGGAAGAGGACGGCCTCTCATCAAAGAGAAACTCGGCTTTCGGTCTCTCTCGATCCAACTCCCTGGCTCGCAAGCCCAGTGGTTTGAAGCGTTCCGGCTCTTTGTCTCGATCCAACTCCGTCAAGGGCCATGCCAACGATCGTGAAAGCGGCGGCGAGTCATTAGTCGACAAGGTCAACGATATCGAAGCCCAACGAGACGCTCTCCACCGCACCCTGAAGAGCCTCCTCGACCGACAAGCCTTCCAGGCATGCGAGTTCGAAAAGCGCGCCAAGATCATGGAGATGGAGGTTGAACGCGCTCGGCAATCTGGCCCACCTCGGAAGCTTGGCTATGAGAAGGAAGTTAAGAGTCTTAGGGATGACTTGAATCACCTTCGCATGCGGGCCGAGGATGCATTGGATAGCAAGTGGCAATGCGAGAAGAACTTGGCGGGATTGAAAATGGATCTGGACCGTGCCGAGCAAGAGACTAGCACCCTTCGCGCCTTGCTGCAGGAGCATGACAATGCTGTGTCCGGGGGCATTGGAGCGGACGGAGAGAGCTTTGCTGAGGTCATGGCTACTTCCTCTTCCCTGGAGTCTGCCTTCCAGAAGTTGCAGGAGGAACGCCAGCAAGCGGCGTCAGCCCCCGAGTCGGATGAACTATCTGAATCGTTGAGCCGTGCAGACTCATTAGTCGCGCGAGTTCAACACCAGCTGCAGACCAACAGCTCCATGCGCGGTCGCCTGGAGGCTGCCATTCTCAAGGGTGAGCGAGATCAGCGAGTATCCGTGGAGCGCATTAACGTGCTGCAAAGCCGCATGAAGGAGTTGGAGGATGTTCTCTTGTACGCCCAGCAGAACTCCGAGGAAGAGATGAGCAAGCACGAAGAGGAGATTCGCTTGATGAAGGAGAGCCAGAATGCTCACCTTGTGCGAATGAAGACCGGTGCGCGCACACCTATAACTCTCTCGCCACGACCTCAAAATGCTCCTTTCAGCAGTCGCACACCCCGTCTCGACCGGACAACCAGCGGTGCCGGCGTTCCCTTGGCCGAAGTCATTCAGGCCGAAACCCTGGAGAAGCACATCAAGGGTCTGGAGCGACTCCTCCGTGAAGCGGATATGGAGATGGAAGAAGCTGTGGGACGCATGAACCGCGCCCAGGTTGATGTGGCTCAACTTCAATCTGATAGGTAAGTTTTTTCCCCCGAAAAGTTGATAGATCGTGTTTCAGATCGGAAATCTGACTCTTTCCTCACAGAGACGACGCCCTTCGTCAGACTCGCCGCCTTCAAGCGGATATTCAGACCGAGCGTGATTCATTCAAGGCTTTGATGGGCTACGTATAGTTGTGCCCATCCCCTCCCTATACCCTAGGGTACTATACCTCCTTTTCGGTTATTTGTTCTATACCAACGTCTGCATCTGCATCGTAACCCATATCTGGCTTCGATGCTGGAGTTTGTGTCCTGGAATTTGGGATTGGAGTTTTTGTTTTATATTTACGGACTTGAGAACTTGGATTCGTGCGCGTGGCATCGCGCCGACCGTGCTCGGTTGGAGTTGGAGCTCTGGTCGTAAAGAACTTGGGTTGTGTTTCAGTGGTCGCGCTTGTATATACTGACCGCGCTTTGTTTTACTGGTAAATAATCCGAATGTATAGTATTCGACCGACTGTCGAGCGTTGTATTCATTACACTACAAATCTCTCTTATTCTCTATTCAAAAATCTGACAGCAGTAACTCTGTGGGCCTTCTTTCAAATTGGGCAGTTGAGCACCCGCCTTAGTCCGTGCTCCGCAGGCTTGGCCAGATGTTTGTTTGTTTTGCACCGCGGTGTTAACGGCACCATCCAGCTGTCATCTGCCAGGCCAGCTTTCCTTTGTCGCAACCTCTGATACAATCACACCGGCCTATTCTTCAATGCGCATTGTCCACAGGTGAACACGATCACCTTATATCCTCTTTTGACTCCAAAAAAAAAGAGAAGCACCCGAGTCCGCGGCACAAAGATTCCCAGCATCACAAAATAAAAACCTCAACCGTAAGCTAAAGTACCTTCCAATCGCTCGCTTCTGGACCCTCCATCTCTCGAGTCCACCTTACCTCCAGAATCATGGAGAATCTCCAAGGTCAGCTCTGCCAGTTCCTCGTCCAAGCGGTCATCAAAAGCCCGACCCTCCTCGACGAGCTCATTAACACATGGACTTAGAGAACTTCCAAAACCTCCTGCAACACCCACTCGTCGCACACGTCAAGGATAAATCAATGTCGCAGCTCGCGATGCAGCTCACCTTCATCCGAAGCGCCTACGTAGACCCCTACGTGATCGACCCGCTCTCCTCATTCCTCGCCTCAACCACTGGATCCGTGGATATCTTCTCCGTTCTCATCCTCGTCGCGATCCTCTACATCTCACTCCGGATCCTGGACTATGCCCGGCGCGTGATTATGTTCTGGGTCTTCCTGGCTCTGCGACTGGTTTTTGGGGTACGGTCATTGGGTTCGGGTTGTATGTCTACCGCGTTGGCCTGGAGAACGCGAGTCGGGATCTGGGATGGGCGTGGGGTGTTGTCGAGGGGTTTGTGGAAGATTTCCAGGCTCGCTCGGCTGCTGGTTCTGGGCGCCCTGGTGCGAGTTCGTACGGGAACATTCCTACTTGGAGCTCTGGGAAGAAGGGGAAGAGACACGGAAGCTGGAGGTGATTGCATGGAAAAACGATGATTCCATTTTCGGAGATCCCTGGGTCGCTCGAAGGGTCTGGCAACATTTGCTCGCTGTATGATGTCTACGATGGGTATGTGCGATTGGCGATGGGCGCTGTCGAATCTACGCGGGACCGAGACTGGGACGGTCGGTGTTCCTATGATTGCTTTGGGGCTACGAGTATGTTTAGCGGGTTGGAACTGGGACGTTGGTCTTGTGCATATGTCATCATTCGTGGTCTTTTGATTATGGTGTTCTAGGCGTTCCTTTTTTTTTTTGATATCGAGTTTCGGTCGGTCCAACTCGGATAATAAAACCTGGCATGTGAATTCTACCAATGCCGATGCGATGCAACCTCGCCACTCATATGTAGGGTCTGTGCTGCAATAATGTGAAGTGTTCGTCGACAGCTAAGGCTGTGGTTGGAGCCGATATCCTGCACGAGTAAACAATATACCACGAGCAGTAGGCATAGATAGGCGTGGGTCAGGTGGGTCGAAGATCTGGAGAACCAAGATTTGCATGTCGTGTCGGTGTTGGGAGAAACTCGGGCCGACGCCGGGTGGAAATGTCGTATCGAGGACGTCGCAGCATCTGTAGGGGAATTGCAACAATTACTCCTCCTCATAATTAACCTCCTGCTCGTCCTTCGGATCCCTTGGCTCTTGAGCTTCGTGGTATTGAATCGCATCGTCGATGTGACTGAGGATGCCCGCGACGCTATCCTCATCCTGAACATCCAGTTGCAAGAACGAGACCATACTGAAGTCATCGATCAATTGTGCTACTGCCCGATTCAATTGTTTGAACGAACCGCCGCTCATGAGCGCATCCTTCGCCATAGGGTTGGCGCTCACTGAAGGGTCTTCCTCGTCGCTCTGAAGCAGCTGTACATCGACATTGGCAAATCGTCGTAGTTCCCGTCGCGAGACCATTTCCCGAACCTGGTCCATTTTACTCAGAATATTCACGTGCGGGATCTCCAGCATCAACATGGCGGACATGGCGCTGAGAGTACCAGCAAAAAATTTAGCCTTGTCGACGACAAATGTGCTCTCGAGGAGATAGGCGGCACAGAGGTTGATGTTCAAAGGCCCTTGACGGGAGAGATATTGTGTAAGGGAGGGCAGGAGGGGAATATGCGTGTAGAGCTCGATTTGACCGGGCATGTCGAAAATAATCAGGTATTCTTCACTCAACGGATCGAGCGCTTCGGACAGGAAATCCAGATTCTGGAGTAGAAACTCGAAGCAGTAAATGAGACCACCATTGGGGCCTAGATGCAGCTCCTCCATCACATCTTCGAGGGTGATCAGCTCGCGAATGTCGAGATCGGGCGCGTAGGCGAAGTTCTCGGCGGCGGGGTCCAGGTTGACGTAGAAGCAGCTGCGGCGCGTACTTTGGCAGTGTTGGATGAGTGCATTGCTGAAGGTGGTCTTGCCGGCCCCCGCGGGGCCCATGACCAGAACTCCGAACTTGGACATGGCTGACAGCTGTGCTTGGGAGCTGTCCGAGGCTGAAGGTACGTCGACCAGAGTAGAGCGAGACCAAATTTGTCGGAGTCCGAGTTTATCGAGCTTATCGGGGCCGGTAACTCCGGCGGGCGCTTCTGCCGGGGCCACACTGCAAACACGGCAAACACCCCTCCTTCGGAGACTCCCCTTAGGGGTATCGATCTCTCCGAATTCTGCCGATGCGGCCGCTCACCGCCCGCGATGGCGCCATCGCCCCCAATGTGATGCCTCTTTGGCAGGCGGTACACTGCAGATGCGGGCGGTGGAGGGTACGCCAGCGGTACCCACTACGGTCGCACAGCGTGGCTGGCCGGCGCGGTACCTGCGGTGTACTCGGTTTGCTGGGTCCCGAAGAAAAACCCCACCACTTTTTCCCCTCTTCTCTCTTCTCTTCTCCCATCCCCTTCTTCTTCCTCTCTTTTTTCCTCACACCAGACTTTGTCCTAAGTCATTCACATCCGTCACAATGGGTTCCCTTGCAAACGGTTCGCAGCCTACTTTCCTCTTCACCTCCGAGTCCGTCGGTGAGGGTCACCCCGATAAGATTGCGTGAGTTTGCCCGTTTCTTTTTTTTTCCTGCCCCTGAGGCTTACGGCGAATACTGTCGCTGGCCCTCGCCCACTTTGGCAAATTGCTAACCAGTCCTTTCTATAATATAGCGACCAGGTCTCCGATGCCATCCTCGATGCCTGCCTGGCGGAGGACCCCCTCTCCAAGGTCGCTTGCGAGACTGCCACCAAGACTGGTAGGTGCCCATTGCGGTCCCGTCTGACTTGCATGAAATCCAAATCCAAATCTGACACGTTTACTTTTCAGGTATGATTATGGTCTTCGGTGAGATCACCACCAAGGCCAACCTGGACTACCAGAAGATCATCCGTGGCGCTATCAAGGACATCGGTTACGATGCCTCTGAAAAGGGCTTCGACTACAAGACTTGCAACGTCTTGGTTGCCATTGAGCAGCAGTCCCCCGACATTGCTCAGGGCCTTCACTACGAGGAGGCTCTTGAGAAGCTCGGTGCCGGTGACCAGGGTATCATGTTCGGTTATGCCACCGACGAGTCCCCTGAGCTCCTGCCCCTTACCATCCTGTATTCCCACAAGCTCAACGCTGCCATGAAGGCCGCTCGTCTGGACGGCTCCATCCCCTGGTTGCTGCCTGACACCAAGACCCAGGTCACCATTGAGTACGCTCACGATGGTGGTGCCGTCAAGCCCCTGCGTGTCGACACCGTCGTCATCTCCGCTCAGCACACCGACGACGTCTCCACTGAGGAGCTCCGTGCTGTCCTCAAGGAGAAGATTGTCAAGAAGGTCATCCCCGCCAACCTGCTGGACGACCGCACCGTCTACCACATGCAACCCTCCGGCCGCTTCGTCATTGGTGGTCCCCAGGGTGACGCCGGTCTGACTGGCCGTAAGATCATTGTCGACACCTACGGTGGCTGGGGTGCCCACGGTGGTGGTGCCTTCTCCGGCAAGGACTACTCCAAGGTTGACCGTTCCGCCGCCTACGTTGCTCGCTGGATCGCCAAGTCCCTGGTCAACGCCGGCCTGGCCCGTCGTGCCCTTGTTCAGCTCTCGTATGCCATTGGTGTCGCTGAGCCCCTGTCCCTCTTCGTCGAGACCTACGGCACCTCGTCCAAGTCCTCCGAGGAGCTGGTCCAGATCATCCGTAACAACTTCGATCTGCGCCCCGGTGTGATCGTCAAGGACCTGGACCTGGCCAAGCCCATCTACTCCCAGACTGCCAAGAACGGTCACTTCACCAACCAGAGCTTCAGCTGGGAGAAGCCCAAGGCCCTCAAGTTCTAAACGGATCCCTCCGTCCGGTGACCCCGGAGACGTTTTGACGACTGTGATGAGTTTTTGCTTTGTTTTCAACAACTCAAAGCACGTGCATAGACTTATACAAAAAGGACAAAACCCCATAAAAGCTTGGTTCTTGATCTGGAATCAATCTACCACTTGTTTCATTATCTGCATGGTCGCCCCATAAGAGACGGGCCTTTCGGCGAAGACAAAATTCAACATGATACCACACTTTCATCGGCTGGGACGGGATGTTTTTGGCGTTTTTCTGGAGCGAAAGTCTTCAACAACCATACCACCTTCACCTCACCAGGCCCCCCTTCACCTCATTCTCTTTTTACCTGAAAGTGACGATGCGTTTTGCATTCTAGCTTTGCATTCTCCATCTTTTGCTTGACTCCGGGGGTTTTGGGCCACCAGGTGGTCACGAGGGTGTGTCTTATCACAACACCCCTGGACCCTGGTTGGTTTTCGGGTAGCTAATCTAAACATTAGCATTACAATAATGATTAAATTTTTCTCCAAATTTTTTTTTTTTTTAAGAAATTTTTCATGTAGCACAGCTTTTCAAACCCTGGAAGGATCTTGTAAATTGCAGGTACTCGAGGCCGTTGCAGTCGATCACTAAGGCGGGGAGGGCAAAGTGCATGGATCGCGACGCGTGATGCCAGGCCCGCCAAGTATCCGCGCCGCGCTCCAAGTTCAACACCACTCCGAATCTCCATACACGACCATTGCGTGAGCGTTCCTCGGTTCCTGCATTTGCTTCCTGAATACTCGCATAGCAAAATGCACATCTTCTCTTAGACTTCATCATGACTGCGCAAGCGCTCCCCGGTGTCCTGGATCCGCTCAGCTCCTCCACGCTGAACAAACTCCACGAAGCGGCCCAACCGCCCTCGAAGAAACGGAAGTTCGGTCAAATTAACACTGCTGGACAGCTTTCAACGACTTCCATTGTCATTCGCGTAAGTATTTCTCTGTCAGTTCCGGGGTGTACCCCTCAGAACTTATCCCTGGCTAACTCGCTTCTTTGCGACGAATCCAGGCCCATGCAGCATCATTATCAGACGAACCTCTAGTTCTTGATCCGATTGTCGTCCTTCCTCGATCTCGTTTTCCTCTTTCATGGGTTGACGACGTGTCGTCTCGCTCTGATGTCCAGGCTGGCGGCTTGTTTGCGGCCGACATCCCGGCTTTAGAGAATGATTTGCGCGGAGGCGTGGAGCCTACTGTCCTGACAGTCCGACTGGCTACCGAGGGTGCCCTATACGTCGTTGAGCGAGTGAAGCGTGGGATTTACTCGCTGTGCAGGCTTGCCAGCTGGGTGCAAGAGGGCGATATCCTGGTTGCGGCCAAGGGCTGGCAGGGATCTCGAGACCTGGACTCAGATATGGATATGGAGTCTGATGGCGAGTGTGCTCCAGATGCTTTGAACTGGTGGCAGGCTGCCCAGATCGAGGAGCCAGCGTCTGATCTCGGATTGGGAGAGGAGTTTGCCGGGTTACAGGTGGACATGGTATTTGGGCAATCGGAGGTCGAGGCTGGATCCGACGAGTCTTCGTTCGTTGATGTTGTTGAATTACGCAGCCAGTCTGCTGTGCCTGCACCAAAGGGTGCCGATTCGGACGATGTCTTCGCTCCTCTAGAATCCCAGGCCGGTAATGCGGAGGCAATGAATCTCGACAGCATTGACCCCGTGGGGGATGATATGAAACAATCGCCAGATGAGCTGCTGAGTGGCATGAGAGACCATTACCTGCAGGCTCTTTACATCTCAAAGGTAAGTTCTCCAATTGATCGTTTCTGGCGTCATATTTCTAAAACGAAGAACAGACATCCCTGGCCTACTTTGCTAAAGGTCCCCTTACCCGCTGCCGAACCGCCTTTCAAACCTCTGATTCCGACGAATCTAAGTCGCCCGCTGACGTGGCTGACTTCTACCGAGAAGCTATTCTTACGGCTAAGAAGATGGACCTCAAGTTCAGAGAATCCCTGCCAACTGTTATTCGCGATGCACTCCTTACTTTCTCCGACAACGAAGACGCCCCAGGGGCGAAGAAACAAAAGAGCAAGAAGAAGAAGAAGAAGAAGAAGAAGAAGCTTGGGAAGAATGGGCTGTACCCCGAGGAGGAAAGTTTCATCCGCAAGTGGTGGAGAGATCGTATCACGACAGAATCAGCTTCGCATGAAGGATCTCGAGAGGCGGAAACCAAGAAACACATATCCGACCTACGACTTCGTGAAACCCAATTGCAAATTCTGTTGATTTTAGAGGTTTTGTCCTTGGAAACAACCCCCACCGAGCCTAAAAACAACACCGACGCCAAGGAGCAACCTGGTGAAGAGAAAGATGCGTCCAAAAAGCCCAAAGCGAAAAAGCCCCAAGATCTCAACGTTCTTCTTGAATTGCATCTTGACCGGCTGTGCATCTGGCATGCTGTCAGCATGGAAGAGTCCACAGGTGCAGACTCGGCTAAGGCTTCCTCTTTCACCGAGAACCATATGTCAGGCAAAAAGGTTGAAAGCGATGCAGTGCGCGATTTCTGCACCGAAGTCATCATCCCATTCTATGCGTCTCGACTTCCAGACAAATGCAAGCTTATCACTCGGAAATTCGGAGTATCGGGTGGCATTTCCCCGGCTGCCAAAAAGTCCCACGTTTCGAGCAAATCTCGCGCTGAGCCAGGTACAGAAGTCAAACGTCAGCCACCGGTACCGAGGTCTCGTCGCTCACTCCAGCGAGTACTTACAGACGAGAAAACTGCTGCTGCATCTCAAAACAGACACCCCTCTTTGCACCGATCCAAGACTGCTCCGTCGAAGCAAGAGCCATCGCGTGACTCGATGGAAGCTCTTCTCCCCAGCTTGGCGGTACTGTCCGAGGCGGCATTCAACAGGCGAAGCGCAGAGACAACCGCGAGGTTGATCTTCACGCAGTTGCACGACAGCATGAGATCAAACTGCGAAAGGTGCAGATGCTCGTTGATCAAAAGAAGGAGCTTGATGCTGCCATCAACGCGCTCAGGAAGCCGAACAGGGAACTGGTTGCTAAAGATATCGCCGACGATGCCGTCAAGAGAGCTTCCACCGGTGGCAGCGCACGCAAGTCCAAGAACCCTGTTCGAAATCCTTTCGGCGAGGGTGTCCAAGTCATGGCCACGCCTCGAGGAAACCGCAAGAGAGATGCAGTAGCCGGACTTCCTCCCATGCCTCGGTCTCTCGCGCCGTCTCGGTCTTTTGCTGGGGAGATGCCAGAACAATCACTGGCCGAGTCTCCTGTCATGTCTTCATCGTCAAGCCGACGGGCAACTTCATTCTCCGGACCTGATGCAAACCCGTTCAGTTCCCGTCGCAGCACGATCACAAGCGGCATCAAGCGGCCAGCTCCGTCAGCGGAGCTTGGTTCGATTCAAGAGACGCCCACCCGCCCATCTTCCAGACTCCACTTCGATGGCGACAAATGTGCGGACTCAACAAACGCCGATCCGTTCTCGGGTTCAAACCGAGGGAAGGGCCTATTCCGAGTGCCTAACCTTCCTGCACCTCGTTCTGACACTGACCCTATATCCGAGCCAATGGCGCCATCAACCCCCGTGTCCTCTCGTCACAAAGGCATGCAACTACCTGCCACGGTCGCATCCCCGTTCATGGGTGATTCTGCTCAAGGCACTCGCTCGGGTATCATGGAAACGCCACCGGGGAAGCAAGGGTCTGCCCCGATTTCTTCTTCTCGTGCTATTCCTTTCCAGATGCCCATCCAAACAGTCTCTACTAATCAAGTTCGTGCGCCATCCCCGCCTGCTGTCATGGGCACCCCGGTCAAAGGGGCTGGCACCATACCGGTGACCCCAGAGAAGACTCAGACAAAGTCTATTTACGAGCAGCTGGGCTGGGATGACGACGAGATGGATGTGTAACCCGTCAACGCCAACCAACCCACTTGCATGTCATGCATCTTGCATCGGCGTTTCATCTTTTACCATTCCCGGCATTATTCATAATCTTGTTGCATCGGAGTTCTCGGGCATGTATTGGGAGGAACTGGGTCATCATCATCACGAACAGCATTCCTTATTGCGACAGAGCTAAAGATACATACGACTATCATACAACTGGCATCAAACCATGCTTTTACTTCCAAATCCAAACTGGGTGTCCAGACCCAAGCTTCAAATTCAGTCATTTCCGCGTGATTCAAGTAGTCAACCAAAAAACAGACAGCACCAGAAAAAAAATGAAATTCCAGTCCTCGAACCTATGTTTCTTCTTCAGGGCAGCAGTTTCCTCCTCAGATTCCGGCATCGCTTGGTATTGCTTGCGAGCAACAAAGTAAGGCATGATAACCTCAACAATCAACACGCTCAAAACGGTGGAAACACCAACCCCTTTTTCCATGCATTGGTCACCACGTAGAAGCCGGCAGCTTGAACGGATCAACGCCGTGAATATAAAAAAGTAAATGATTCTGGAAAGGAGTCAGTCCGACTTTTCCCTTCTTTCTTTTTCATGTGACTTTTTACAATGTAGTCGAGTTTGAAGCTGCACATACCCATATGGATACCACCCGTTGCGCACTCGGTACGGCGACACAGGGCGCAGGGAGTGATCCGGCTCATGGCTCGGATCGAACGCAGGAAAGGGCTCTATTCCGTCGTCATCTGCGTCTGTTGCCCTGTCGGGACTTGCCTTTCTGGCCGACATCCTTCCACGGAGATGGTTGTCGCTGTTTTGTTCTGCTGCCCGTCTGCGACTCCACTTTGAAGGATCTGCTCGGTGGAGAGCGCTCGTCCTTTCCCCGTGTGGTTCTTCTTGGCACGCTCCGACTTGAGACTTGATGTTTAGTGTGGTTTTGTGCAGATGTGACTTTGGGCGAAACGTTTTGTTTTCGTTTCTGATTTTAGTCTTATTCTTCTTATGAGGTGGCGTTTTTGCGCGGCCTTGGTCTGTTTCCACCCCCACATTCGCAGCCTTAATTTGACCACGCCGTACACACGGAATTTGTTAAGTCAATAATATGTGCAAAAGAGATAAAGAGTGAGATGATATGAATTGAGATTGGCTTTATTTCCATTTTGAATGGTCCCATGTTAAATTTTTACCAAAGAAAAAATATTCGCAATCCACCTCGCTAATAGAGAGGTAGTTTGTACGCATCAAAGCTATCTCGCCAGGTATCGTAGGATCTTAGGTCAAAGACGCAATCCATATGCGAATCATTTCCCTTCCAAAGAGGGCGCAGTGGCCAAGCGCAAAGTTCCTCTTCTGTTCCCCTGCGACTGCCCTGGAGCACAGTAGCATTCAACTTGTCCGGCTCGTGTCCCTTCTCGACCCAATCGATCAGAGTCTTGAGTGTAGTTTGTGGGAATGGCCCATTTGGCTGACTTGAGCTATATGAGCAGTGACCAGCACCTGGGATGAGATATAGTCGGTTCCACCCATTCATTTTCCGAGTACTCTCCTCGAAGGAGAGGTCTGGATACATAATCTCGCGAACAGATTCATGGTAGTGGACAGATGAGCCGGCCGGGATCCCAGGGTCTGATTCACCATGGTAGTGAATGATCTTTCCTCCTGTTTCTTGGAAGGGTGAGAGGTCTGGCCATGTTGTTTGAAGGACATCTTCATAGCGCTGCCATCCGATCTTCATCCACTCGACCAAGGTATCGTAAGTGACATCGTCCAGATCTGAGAGGTTGTCAACATCTCGGAGCTCGAGGAATTTTGTTACCCAGCCTCCGCTCAAGGAATTTATCTCTGGTTCCCATTCATGTGATAGTGGATTAAATGTGGACGCGACGTAATCGAAGGTGGCACTCGGCTGGGCCCATATATAAGCACGTCTGCCATCAATAGTATGAAGGCCGTCAAGAATCTTTTTAGCAACAGCAACTCCCTTTGAAGAGACTGTGCCATTTTGTATCAGAGAAGTGTCCTTGCTATGTGGACAGAAATATGATGCTCCGATCGTTGATTCGATGTCAAAATGAAGCTTGCACAAGTCTGTCCGGCTGACGACTCCATCAACCCTGCCATCGAGTGCATCGCAAGAATCAATCGTGAGGTTATTGATCTTCTCCAATTCACAAGGAGGCGGAACATAACCCTTAGTCTGTTGCACGATGTTTCCATACAGAAGGTTGACCTGCTGCTGAGCAAGATGAATAGCCGGCGCACCGATGACAGCCCCATCCCATTCATCTGGAAACCGCTGAATCTGACTCCAGCCTTCTCGACCACCTTCAGAGCACCCCTGGTAATAGGCGAAAAGTTTCTCTGAGTCTGCCATGTCGTAGAAGTGTCTGGTAAAGGCCTTGCCGATCATGCTCAGTTCATGGTGGGCTTGGTATCCATGCATATACAACACCTCGCGATTGAGAGTACCATTGGCTAGCAGAATCACCTCGTCAACTGTTGTCCCAAAGCTTCCAAATCCTCCATCTGTTTGACCAGACGCCGCGCCATAGATCACGCCTCCTGGGAGACTTTCTTCCTCCGAGTTGATGGCGTAGCCGCCACCTCCAGTAGACAACCAACGATTTTGGAATCGCTTGGGGGCCGGCAGCCAAATCTCTAAAAGAACCTTGTCTTGCTTGAGCCCATTATGGGAATAGGAAAATGTGACATTACAAAAATCGAATCCACTGTAATCTGGCCAGAATATTTGCCCCGTGGTGGATGAATTGTAGACTGGCTGAGATGTGACAGAAGGTTGATCCAACGTGAGGCCTTGGAACTGCGTCTTGAGAAGCGTGTTTCTTGTATGAAAAGTTGTACAGAGTTCCTCCAGACTCGCTGCGAATACTGACGCAGCACCGGAAATACTGGCCCATAGGAAAACTAGGATCATCATCTCGGAATGAAGTGATATTTGCAAGTGAGCTAAATCTCAAAATAATTAAAAAGGCAGTTGCCCACTTTTGTGGGATAAAGCGGAGAATTCCATGATGGAACGAACACCTGTGGGTCTCGTCGAAAAGGGGTCGATCTGCCAGAGGGCACGTTGCTGCGTGCGACCTTCGCCAACAAATTTAATGCCGGCAGAATCACCTTGAATGCGATGTTTCTCGTGGGGCCAAAGGCCGAACTGGACTCTTTTTCGCGGGGCTCGGTATAGCTGCGTGGGACCGGCAAAGATACGTGGGGCTCGCATGCGAAATGGGTGAGACCACTCGGAAACGGAAGAGAATCGTTTTAATCCCCTATTGTGATTCTCTCGATGAATAGTGAAGTTTCTTTTCTTCGTATTGATTGTTGGCGGTTCCCATGACCGTCAGCGGAGCTCTAACCCAGGAATATATTTCTTATGTTCGGATGTTGTGTTGTACAAGTATCGAGGTTGATCATTTGTCCCGATCCGAGGCCGTATTTCGCAAAATGAAATTCACCAATGCCTCCCGTCCATCGTTTTTCATCGGCCCTTCGGTATGCATCGCTCCGGGAACATCCTTTCTTGAAATATAAAGCCCGAGTTCCTGGCCCTTCTTTTCCAATTGTCCCGCCACAATGGGTGGGATAACTTCATCATTTTCTGCCGATAATATGAATATAGGAGGAACAGACGGAGATTCACCGTGAGCACCGGACAAATAATCCGAATCACGCCGCGTCAAAGATTCATTCTGATTTCGCCAATCGGCGAGCTGTTCCAGAGCCGTAGCAGTGCACCAGGTGTTCCAAGAAAACGGCCACAGGTATCGATATGGTAGCCATTTCTGTGGATACAGGCTGATCAGCATATCTTTGATATTGGATATGGGCGCCTCCAGGATCAGCCCAGATATCGATGGCAGGTTAGTACTAGTCGCATTCTGCTCGGAAGCCTGGCGCGACAGGTATTTGGAAAGGACAGAGCTGGCCACGGCGGAGCCAAGACTATGACCCCATAGTACGATCTGGAGATCGGTGTCCGGCGCCGAATATGTATTTGCAACCCATGCCAAAAATGCCTGGGCGTCGAGTTCAATTCCTGATTGATTCGCACTGCCCGATGATTTCCAGTAGCCGCGGTATGACAGGGCGACAACTGTATAATCGGTCTGGTCCAATGAGGATATGGATTTCGACTTTGCTGAGATTGTCCTCAGGAAATGAGATAAAAGAGGCAAGCGCAGAGGGGTGGATCCGCCGTTGCCCTGGAAGTAACAGATTACCACTGACTTCTTGCGACTTGAGGCTGGCTTTCGATCTTCACTAGCCGGGATTCGTCCCTCGCAAACAGCCAACTTCGTCCCATCGAGACTTCGGATGCGCTTTTCGTCCCATACCACAGGCTTGCATTCAGCTTCGTAGTCAGAAATTTTATCTGATCGGGAAAACGGTGGCAGCCAGGACAGATACAAAAGCTTGTTTTGCATGACAATGATCCAAAAGCATTTCCATGTCCAAAGGCCAAGTAGGAGCCCAATGAAAATAGCCGGTGGAAGTAGGATGGGCGGGATAGACTCAGTGGATATGAAGCGTGGACGCTGAGTATATCCAAGGGAGGTGGCAAGCCCTGTTTGGATGACACTCGCTCTTTTTCTAGTCAGGCCGTGGATATAGTTGCGAGGGGCCCTGCGCGCGTGGTCGAATTGACCCGGTAGCCCACGCGTTGATCGAGTAGCGCCACTGGCGCCAGGAATATAACCTTCCTAGCATCAAGGAGGTTTGGCTTCTGCGTCTCATCCAAACATGAGGGATTATTGAGTCGATGTGGATGAATGGGAAATGGGCTGGTGGAGGTCGAATTGGCCGCGGAGGTTGAAAATAGATGACTAATCAGTCACATGAGAGAATTGATGTATACTATCAGACGAAACCAGTCAAATGAAGGGGAGATTATGTTTGAAGGAAGGCGATAAAGGCCCCCGGATTAGACCTGAAGCACAGGGCATCTCGTTATACCTCACGAAACGCAAGGTGTGTTGGCGTTGCATTTCGGAGCTTTCATCTTACTCTCCGGTTCGCAGGGAGATGCAAATGCCTTGAATCATAGGCCTGGAGCATGCAATCATGAGTTCATGCCGTGTGACTAGACGAGCACGATAATCCAAGCTTATATGTAATCCGCATTTCCGGGCGACAAATGTTTTTGATCTTCGAAGCATCACGCAAGAGTTCCAATGTCTTTCCAACACCCAACATCAAAGATATCAATCGATATTGATGGACTCGGGAAATTGGTTGGTTTCCAATATGCAAATGGTGTGCAACAATTCTGCGGCATCCCATACGCCTCCCTATCAAAACGATGGACACGATCCGTCTTACGTACTTTGTGGGATAACAATTATCACGACGGGACTCAACTAGGGCAAGCCATAACTTTTTAATCAAAAAAGCCTTCTTAGAAATCATTTGAATTACTAATGTGGCCTACAAGAAACAACTGTCCCTGCCCAAAAGGCACAGACGCCGAAAATCCATACTTCCCCGTCCCCGCCAACCCAAACTTCATCCACCAACCACAAGTCGACGAGAAAACAGCCCTAATCCTGAACATCGTCACACCCACACAAACAAGCCCCCAAAACAAAGACGCAGGAAGAGAAAAATACCCCGTTCTCATCTGGATTCACGGCGGCTCCCTCCTCTACGGCAGCGCCAACTACGGCATGTACGACGCAGTCAACTTCGTCTCGCACAGCGTTGAAATCGGGTGGCCGGTTCTAGTAGTTAACTTCAACTACCGACTCGGTCTAGGCGGATTCCTCGCAAGCGAGCAAATAAGCGAGGAGTTGAAACGAGATGGTTTTGCCGGGAATGGCAATTTTGGCTTCACGGATCAAAAAGTTGCGTCAGAGTGGGTTGCGAAATATATCGCGTCGTTTGGAGGTGATCCAGACAACGTCACGGCGTTCGGACAGTCTGCCGGAGCTATCTCCATCGGGCATCAAATGGCGGCGCGGGAGCCGATGAGGTTTCATCGGGCTATTTGTATGTCTGGGCTTGGGAGTACGCTTCTCCCACGATCTCTTGAGGAGCATCAGGCTATCTTTGCGGCGACTTGTCGGTATTTTGAGATCGATGAACATGCACCTGATGTACTTGATCAGCTCCGGAGGATACCCGAACAGATGATGGCGGATGCAGATCATATTATTCAGGGTGTTCCTTCTGGGACTGGGAATTCTTGTTTTGATGGTTGGTTCTATGCACACGAGCCTTGGGAGATTGAGCCGGCGCCGCCTTGGATTCGCTCGTTCATGCTTGGCGATGTACATGATGAGGGTGTCATATTCCAAGTGAATATTCGCGAAGACACTTTTGAGACTATCCGAGAAACGCTTCTGGAGCAGGTTCAAGACGCGTTCTTTGTCGATGCTGTTCTCCTGGAGTACGGGATCACGCCTGAGTTATCCCATGAGGATCTGGTTGAAAAGGCGAGTATCATGGGTGCAGAGGCCGTTTTCAAAATCCATAATTATAAAACTGCGCTCGTCAATACTCAACTACGGAGTCAATTGTTTAAGTATCATTTTGATCAGCGATCTCGACTGCCGAATATCCTCAAAGGATTGGCGTACCACGGCATTGATGTGTTATATCTGTTCATGAACCTCGACAACAAGCTAAGCAACTCCGAGCGCACCATGTCGAGGGACCTTGCCTCTGCGTGGATCAAATTTGCATGGGGTCAAGCGCCATGGGAAAGTGGGACTGAACATGGACCTTGGGAGTTATGGGGGCCGGACTCGAAAGAGCAGGTCGAGACGGAGGAGGAGGATGAGGCTGTGAGGTCCTATTCTAGGTATAAGCGGCTGCTGGAGCTGGGGTCTGGAGGCCTGTGGCATAAGTATATCCGAGGGCTGGATTACTTGCTTATGAAGAGAGGGAATATTGGGAAATTTGAGATTCTCGGGGAAACCGGGATCAACGTGGGAAATTGAGGGATTATTACCGGCGGAAATTGATACAGCTATATTCTTCCTACCTCAGCCAACAATATTTCCCTAAGTTTTAGGGTATCCACTTAGTGTAGTACTTCGGACTAAATTCCTTGGCCATATATGTACGAAGGCTCTTTTGATAGACACCCTCGGCTGTCTTAGTGTGCAGTCGCATGTCACTCAGGTTCGAATGCAGGGCCCGGTAATCTCTCTTTTTCTCCGTATTGTAGATATACCAAGTGAATGAATATCGACACAATGGTTAAGAAAAGGGAGCATATGAACAACTGCCAGCAAATTTAAAGTAAAAGCAGCCGGGCTAGTATAATGGTTAGTGCCCTCGACTGTACTGTGCAGTCTCACAAGACACAAGTCCGAACCCTAGGCCCGGTTTCTTTTTTTGCTCCTTAGGAAAGACCGAAGTAATATCTACGTAATAGCTGAGAAAACGGAGCATTTGAGCAAGTGCCAGCAAAGTATGAGTGAAAGCAGCCGGGTTAGTATAATGGTTAGTGCCCTCGGCTGTCCTGGTATGCAGTCGCATGTAATCCAGGTTCGAATCCTGGGCCCGGTGCTTTCTTTTTTCTTCTTTACTTGCTTCTCCCAAGGTTGTCCCTATTTGTTGTAGTAGAGAACCCTGTTGAAAGTGTAGATGTCCTACTAGTCCCGTTATGGTGTGGGTCTGCGCTATACCCGATCGGGAACACCGAGGGCGCCACATGATGGAAGTGGTTTTTACCATCGAAGTTGGCACCGTTTTGAACAGAGGTCTAATTGTGACCTGAGAAAGGCCATGATAGGGGGTGGTTATAGAAATATCCTTCTAGAGCGGAAATTACAATCGCTATTGGATATGTGTAGATCAATGGTATCCTGTATAATCGCTCTATACTGTTGAAGTAGAATATGCGATCAGAATTAAAAAAACAAGGCTGCTTAGAAGGAGTTCTATATACAAGTGCAACCAATAAAAAGCACAATCGCTTCCCACAGTAAAACAACATCAAAAGTCATGACAAAACATGAAGAAAAAACAATCTAAGAAGGACGGTGGAACTTGCTCTCAACCCAAGGCATGCCGGTAACAGTAGCCTTGCGCACCTTGTTCCGAACCTGAACACCCAACTCAGTACCCTTCTTGTGCAAGCCGTTCTTCACATACGCCATGGCGATGTTAACACCGCCCAGAGACGGGCTGGGCAGACCGGAGGTGACGACACCGACCTCGACGGGGTTAGCCGGGTCAGAGAGGTCGACGACCTTGGCACCTTCGCGGGCAGGCGAGCCCTTCTCAACAGTCAGACCGACACGGCGCTGTTTGAGGGATTTGGGGCTGGCGAGGAGGGGCAGGATGACGGAGGCGCCGTGGAAGGTGGCGGTAGCAGGGTCACGACGGTCACGGCCGACGATCCAGCCGAGGGCAGCGTCGGGGGGAGTCTGGGCGGTGGAGATGTCGTGGCCGTAGAGGCACATGCCGGCCTCCAGACGAAGGGAGTCACGGGCCGCCAGGCCGGCGAGACGGACGCTGTTCTTGTCGGCGAGGAGAAGCTCGACGACCTGTTGGGGTAGGGTCTGGGAGGCGGAGGTGGGAATGGAGATCTCGAAGCCGTCTTCGCCAGTGTAACCGGTGCGGGAGATGAGGAGAGGCTCGGGGCTGGCGGTGCCGTCAGCCAGGGTGATGTGGAGCTCGCGGCATTGGCCGAAGTAGAGGGTGTTCAGATCGGTCTCTGCGATGGAAGCGGAATTGATGAGCGGCTGCAGTGCCTTAGCGGCCAAGGGACCCTGAAGGGCGACCAGAGCGCGGTCTTCGAGGATGTCCCACTTGATGCTGTCGGCGCCGTTCTTGGAGCGGTAAGCCTCGATCTCGGACTGCAGGAAGGCAAGGTCCTCGGTGCGGCGACCGGCGTTAGTGACGAAGTAGAAAGAGTCCTCGCCGCGGCGGGTGATGACGCAGTCGTCGAGAATACCACCGGTGCCTTCTTCCAGGAGGCAGGAGAGAGTGGAGGTGTTGGGCGTCAACTTGTCCAGGGACGAGGGAGTGATCTTCATCAGCAGCTCGAGAGCGCCAGGTCCGCTCAGGTGATGCTGCACCCTATAGTTATGTTGATATTAGCCCCCATTGCAACCGCAATTGCATTTTTGGGGATAAATGGACCTACATATGGCTGACATCAAACAGACTGGCCTTCTCACGAGTCCACATATGGCTTTCCACATGGCTCAGATCCGCATACTGCAGCGGCATGGAGAAGCCGGCAAAAGGCACCATCTTGGCACCGTGCGCCTCGTGCAAGTCATAGAGCTGGGTCTTGCTGAGGGGGCCACTGGATCCAGAAGCATAGCGCACAGCTTGAGCCTGGACAGGCGCAATGGCAGCGGGCGCAACGACTCTGGTGCTGGGCACGCGGGCATTGGCAGTCGGGCGCACCGCGGAGGAGGAGGAGAGCTCCCGCCGCAAAAGTGTGGAGCCGATAGAGGCGCGGGGTGTGTGGAGGACGGAGGCTCTGGCGGCCACCAGGTCGACGCCTTTGCGGAATGTGCGAACGCTAGCCATTACGGGTGAACTGCAAGGAATTGGAATTAGAATTGACAAGAGAACAAGAGAAGAGGAAATGGCGAGGAAGAAAAGTGGCCGCGCGAGTGGTCCCTCGCTCCGCCGTCGGAGAAGCCCTGCGGAAAAGTCACGTGTGATAGGAGGAGAACCGGATGAGTCAGCGGAGAGCTCGTTTCCCGATTCGGCAAACCGCGGAGTACAGTCGTATCATCTACGATCTGCTAGTACACTGATGTAGGGATTGACGGCAGGGTCCCTGCTCGTAAAGCTTTGAGGTTGGGTTAACACAGATTTGTGAATCGGTGTAGATCTGATTCTTGAGCCGAAACCCGAGTAACGCGCGGTTATACACGAGGATAGTTGACTGTGTTGTGTGTGATAAAGTGAAGATAGAATGTCCATGAGATGATGATAATGGACCAAGCCGAATGCTTTGATTGAAAGTTTCTTCGCAAAAGCTACTCCGGATATTTGTCACCCGGCTCACACAGAATGACCTTTGGTACATAACTCTACGAGAACAGAGATGATGCAAACAGTAATCCGGGGAGCAACAGCCCCGAAGCCAATCGGCCATGTCATTCACTGCCGCAATATGTGCACGGTATGCTGGCCCGGCAGGCAGTACTACCAGAGGGTATTCGTGAGGAAGCTCACAGTAGAAGCCAGCATCCAAGTCTCCATAAATGATACAAAAACGCGAAAAAGATCTTGGGTTGTAATCATTCCAAGACGGGATATCCATACAAACACAAAAAACTAATGCAAAAAAAGATTTGTTCTTCGGTCATCAAATCATCAGATTTAGCCCGGACGGCCGGGTGGAAATAACAATGAAATGAATGATATGTGACGAAATTCATACCCTGCCCGGCAGGGTTTAGACGGCATTGCTGGCGCAGGTGAAGACACCGCCCACCGTGCCCTCGCGGTAGCTGGCCACGACGGACATGACGGAGGCCTGAAAAGATTGTTAGGAGGTCGAAAGAGACCCTAGGTAATGAGTGATAACTTACGTAGGTACCAGGGCCCAGGAAGAACAGGCCGATGAAAATCAACAAGACGTTGAAAATGAACCCACACCAGCCGCGAATGCCGCGCTCCATGAAGAAACGGGGTCCATGATCAGCACTCCGCATGCGAATGTACGCCACGCCCCAGAAAATGAATCCGAAGAATGAATCGAACAGCGAGCTCATGATCGACAGCAGGTCCGAAAAGAACGGGATCACCTCGGCAATGATCCACGCCATGATCCAGAGGCAGGCAAGGATACCAGCCCACGCAGCCCAGCCGACAACCGTGTTGCTACCCTTGTGGCGGGTTCCTTCGAACAGGCGGAAGAAGACGAAGCGGGCCGAGACGGAGGCGTACAGGACGCCCAGGAAGATGATGGTCGGGATCATGAAGGAGAAGGAGACCTTCTTGTAGACCTCGTTGGAGATGGAGCCGAACGCGGGCGAGGTCATGTAGTTTCCTGAACCGGTGTAGGCGTAGATGATCGAGCCGACGAGACTGAAGACGATGATTTCGGCGACGGTGACGGCCGTCACGGACTTCCAGAAGTCCCGGGGTTCCTTCATCTCGGCGATGAAACTGGGCAAGGTGATCTGGCCGATGAAGGTGTAGCTGATGTTCAAGAAGGCATTCATGCCAGAAACAAAGGTTGTGCCCTTCAGCGGGATGGCCGACACGACGGGCTCGCCATATTTGGGATACTTAGCCGGGTGATCCTCAATGCCGACGAAGATGGTGGCCAGAATGACGGAGATAAACGTGAAGAAGGCGGAGATAGTCGCGATGTGAGCCAGCGTGCCGAAGGTACGCGGCAACGAGAAGAACCACGATACAATGGCGACAATCAACGAAAACACCACCGTGCACACAGCACCATCGGACATGGTATTGAGGTAGGTAGCACCGACGACGCAGTGCAGACCCATGATGAAGGTGTTGTTTAGCATGAACATGACAGCCGTGCCCCACCAGGCAATCTTGGAGTCCCAGAACAGGTACTGGCCGATATCACAGACATCGCGAATTTCCGGGTGTCGCAGACAGAATCGCCTGCAAGAATGACAACAATATCAGCATTAGCGTGATCGACGGCCAAACAGGCCAACCCCGCAATTTTCGAGATAGCCGAAGGGGCCCTAACGCAAAAACCACGAGGCGCCGCCAGGGATGGCAAGGGAGGTGGGGAGGGGGAGGGGGAAGTATGTACCAGACAATCAGCGAGGTATACAGCACAATACCCGCAATTACCACCGTCAAAATCAAACCGGGCACCAGACCCAGAATAGAATATGACCACGGGAACGACATGATGGCCAGACAGATGTACTCGGAGAACAGCAGGGCGGCGGTCTTCTGCCAGCTGCAGGTGCGGTACTTGATGGTATTCTCGGACTCGAGCTCGATCTGGCGGCCGACGCTCTCGGTCGTCGAGGACGAGTCGAGTGCGGTGATGTGGTGCGAGGAGCGGCGACGGCCTTGGCCCTCGATGTCATAGTCCTTCAGCTTGGGGTCCTGGTCCAGCTTGTCGCTCAGGTCGGGGGAGCGGTCGCCGTCCCCGAGGTGTGCATCCATTGCTGCGTGGTCTTGAGGCCGAGCCATTTTAATCTTAACGAGCGGGCGAACCGCTTTTGACGGTACTCGGCGGAGTCGAAAGAAGTAGTCCTGTTGGCTTTCGGATACATAAACCGGGCCACGGGGGGTGTACTGGGCAGGTGTTGGAACGGGAGAGATGGGGTACGGAGAATGGTGACGCTAGAATGGGATGCTATCGAGAATATCGCGTTGGGTGCTGCCTCCAGCGAAAGCGAGGAACAGTGAATTCCAGGCCGATCCAGTCGTGAGTAGGCGGGAGTTGGGTTTGGCGCAGGGGAGATGGAGTGTACTGGCAACGGGATCTACAGCGGAGTGAAGCACCGCCAGACCACAATTGTAAGCTGGACGCAAGAGAAAGCGCAGAAAAGAAGTTGGACAAAGTTGTGGAGAGGAAGAAACAGCGATCAGAGAAATACGCAACAGAGAAAAGAAAACGAAAAACCAGAATGAAAAATCCGAATCAGGGCGACGTATCTGGTATCTGGTATACCAGGCCTGGCCGCGTACTGCAAGGCTGGCGGGGGGGGAGCGATGGAGCAGCGGTAATTTGGGGGTATTGCGGGTATCATGGGGTATCCTACCTTCCCTTTAAGGCCGCTCCACCGCGCCGGAAAGGAAAAGTCCTGTCGATCCGGGCACCGCGACATGACGTGATGGAGTGCGCCGCAATGGGAGGCGCTGGCTGGCGCTGGCTGGCGCCGTTTTAGCACAGGATTATGGCGCTGACAGCACTGGACGGCGCAGGGCAAGGGACCAGGGCGCGATCGGACCACTGAGCCACGAAGTCTAAGTTGTGCCCTGGATACACTACCTATACCTACTACTAGCAGTACTACTGTAGACTCTACAAGGAAGATCCACGCTCTAGACCGTCCAGAGAGAGGCTCCTGCATCTGACGCGCCAATGTCGCCATCTCACCCTGAATTTCTTCGCAGGATTCTCTCCGGCGACACCGATTACCTCGTCTGGGTGGTATTTTTTGGCCCGCGAACCGGGCACTGGGCTCCGCATATCATATCTCGCAGCCGTAAGCTACAACCTGCCGAAGTGGGCCTGGGTCAGGGCCCCGCAAGCAGCGGCCGAATGACGGACTGTCGCGGTGTCGGTCGGGATCAGAAACCATGCATCAGCCACGCTCAAAAACATGGGAGGGTCCTCGGTCGAACGAGGGTGACGATTGTGCCGCTGCTGATTCGACTGTCGCTCCCCCCGAGGCCGAATGCGGGTGTCCTGATGGACCCGCGTGCTGTCCTGTGCTGGTGCATAGTGAATCATACAATACGAAAAGACATCTGATGAAGTGGAAACGGGAGGTTGAATTAAACCCGGTGTCTCCATTTTTTTTTCCTCATCGCTTCTGCGCTGAGGCAATTACAGTACCGCAGATTCACGTTCTGCTGGTTGGCAGCGATCCCTACGCGGATGAGTCAGCAACTGCACTCAGCAGGTGCTGCCGAAGACAGCCAGAGTTGAATGCTGATTGGCCTGATAGCCTGGATAAAGATTCCTTTACTATCAACAGCCCTATGTAGGCTGAGATATGTTTGTTATGCCGTATACATCCTGCAGTGCCTTCGAGACCAGTGCCCAGTACCAAGGACAAAAGAAGCAAATCCCAAGCAATCTCCTAGGAATGCCACCAAGACCGCCACGCACAGTCCAGCTACTGCACGCCACAGACTCGGCAGGGCCCGGTTCTCGGCCGTCCCGCGAGTGCTTGCGTGCTCATCCACCGTGATGGCCTCATATGGAGCCCACATGTCTTCACTGAATTCCTACACTACAGCTCAATCTCGACTCGATGGCCATCACGCAATAAACATCTATGCCGGCGTGATGGCGTGCCCGAGCTGGTGCAACGCGCCATGCGTCGAAGGGTTCTAGAAGCCCAGCTGAACGTGACGCTCGCGTGGCACGAAAGTGCAGGATGGCCACTTTCCCGATCGTTTGTCTTGTTCAACGATCGTCGTTTCTGCTTATTGCCGAACGTACTAACGAGTACTACGATGGGGTCAAAGCGCTAGAAACAAAAAAAAAAAAAAAAAAATAGTGGGATACGAAGGAATCGAGAGGAAATTGATATCCCTCTTGATAGTGTATAGTATAGTAAAGTAAATAGATATAGACAAATACCGCAAGGCAGTCCAAACAAAACGCCGAGAACATGGCTTTTACACAATTCGCAACACAGTAGAACAAATCCAAGTATGTGCACGAGTCGATCATAACTTCGAGTCTTCGATTCCCTACATGCCCAGATCCTCGTCCTCGAGCAGAGCCGCGTAGTCGTCCGCAGAGGCGAACGTCGGCAGGTGCTTGAGCTTGCGACGCTTCTGCTTCTTGCTCTTGCTCTCCTCGGGCTCCTCGGCCGGCGGGAGGTCCACGCCGCCAAACTCCATGTCCGAGGGAAGATCCTCGTCGCTGTCCAGGAAAGCCTCGTCGTCCGAGACGTCCATGTCGAACGCATCCTCGTCATCCTCGTCCGCCTTCGCCGGCTTGGCCGCCTTCTTGCTGGCCTTGGCGGGCGGCGAGTCGAAGCCCTCGAAGCCGTCGGCGGCGTCGCCCGTTTCCTCGTCGGAGGGAACGTCCGACTCATCGTTGAAGATGACTTCGTCGTCGCCGGCGCCTTCGCCCTCCTCATCTTCGTCTTCATCGTAGGCGGATTCCAGATCGTCCATGTCCAGGTCATCGTCACTGCCACCGTCGTCCTCCAGGTCGGGTCGGGAGTCGACCAGAGCCTTCCAGATCTCGTCCTCATCCTCGCTGAGATCATCGCCATCCTCACCACGGGTAGCAGCACCGTCGGTACCCTTGGACTTCTTGGCCTTGGCCCGGTCCTTGTCCTTGTTGACACGGTTAAAGTATTCGTGGAAGAAGACATCTTCCGCGGCAATCTCCTCGGCCTTCTTTTTCCAGAAGCCCTCGGAGTTGAGAGGCACACTCTGCTGCGCCGTCTTGCCGGCTTCCACAAGGCGGTCCTTGGCCTCACCACCAGCCAGAGGCTGCATGATAGAGGCACCGCGCGAAGCAGCGCTCGCCTTGGGGGCGCGGTACACGAAGCGGTCGAGGAAGTGGGAAAGAGTATGGATGGTCAGGTCGGGCTTGCCGCTCATGGTCTCGTGGTCCAAGAGACGATCGGCGTTCAGCGAGACCGAGGGGTGGAAGTGGGTGGTGTAAGGAAGCAACTCCCACAGACAAGATCGATCGGCGTTGCTGTGCTCAGGGTCACGCTTGCGAGGATCATAGCGTTCCTGCTGCTTCTTCTCCACCGGGACTGGCTCGGGTTGCTCGTCATCCTCATCGGGGACATCGCGGAAGACCTCTTCGTCATCGTCGTCGTTGTCTTCGGGCTGATCGAACAGGGTCGAGAGACCGGGGAAAGTCTTCTCCAGTTCGCGGATCAAGTAGAAAACACCAGTGATGAAGGCCGGCTGGTGCATGCCGAGAACCTGAACAATACGCTTGACGAATGCCTTGACTCGACGGACATTGAGATCGCTTTTGAGGGACTTGAATAGGAGGTTGAGGTAGAGGGACTGCTTCGAGGAGGTTGCCACACGTGAATCCAAGAGCGACTCGTACAGGGTTCGGTAGAAGCGGTCGCTGGCAACTTGGGTAGAGTTGGTCAGTTGCTGGATCAGCATGAGCGCCTGAATGCTAGTGTTGAAGTTGGAAGAGTGGGTGATGCGGAAGAGGGTGTCGATGTGCTTGGACATGCTAAATACACGATTAGTATAGCGTAAGCAAACTTTTGGTAACAGGGAACATACCGGTCAGTGTCGGTGTCGGTGAAGGGGTAGGCACGATTGACACCAGTCAGGACACCAGAGGTCAATTTCTCCCGCATCTCATCATCCTGCGCCTGTCCCTTGACAGGCTGATTCTTGCCCTTGCCGTGCTTGCCAGGCGGCTTGCCCTTGGGCGCCGGCTTCAGCAGGGTGACAAAGAGCGAGAAGTAGATATCCAAGAGCTGCATCGCAACCGCCTGCTCCTTCATGCTCAGAACCGTTTGGTTCAGGGTAATGATGGCATAGTACTTGGCGTGCGAGCTCTGACCAGGACGGAAGAGAAGCTCCTCCACCGACTTGATGATAGTCGGCTTCATGAGCGGATGCTGCTGCTGAAGCTGGAGAAGAAGGTAAGATGCCCGGGAGGCGATCTTCTTGCCAGGATCACCGAGCTTGTTGACGAGAAGTCGCAACAAGTTCGCTTCTTGCTCGGGCTTCTCTTTGAGCAACTCGTAGACATAGCTGACGGCGCGAGACCGCGAAAACTCGATCTCGTCGTTGCACCAAACCTCAAGGACCTTGAGTACCTCGAAAAATTGCTCCTTCACGCCGTCCTCGAAAGCCCAAAGCATCAAATGACTCTTCTGGAGACCACCGGGAAGGGCGTCGCGCTCTGTCCAGCGTCCAGCAGCACCCTGGAATGCGGCAACCAGTCCAGGCTGGTTGGCAAATGATCTCAATCGTCGATCCGAAGGAAGAAGAGTACCCTGAGCAAACATATCCTTCAGAGACCGCAGAACCTCAACAGCCTGCGCACGACTACGCTTACCAGCAAGCCCAACCAGAGTCTCCAAGGATCGAGTGTTGTGCAATGGCGACTCTTGCACCGCAAGTGTGAGGGCGGAAATCTTATCGCTCAGGGTACCGTTGGACATAATGGTCGAATAGAACTTGTGTGACGAAGATGCTGAAGCCTTCTGAGCTTCGGCGTATTTCTCATTCTCCTCCAGAAGCAAAACCTTGGCCTGCTCGTGGATGCGATCCACAAGGTGACGAGGAAGGGCGTTCATCTGCTTTCCGCCGGCGACGGGAGGGAGGGGAGCGTTGTACCAGTCAGATCGAGGTTGGATGACCTTGTGTTTTCCTTGAATTAGTAAAATTCCACTTAAAATATTGCCATGCGAGACTCACGAGCTTAGCAAATTCCTTGGGAATGTGAGCTTCAGGTTCCCTCTGCTTAGGCGCCGGAGGCGCATCCTCAATATCAGACTCCTCGAAAGAATCCTCGGCTTTCTCGTCGACATCGTCACTGGCGTCTTCAATGTCGTCCTCTGCAGCGTCGTCCTCCTCATCTTCCTCATCGTCGTCGGCTTCTTCCTCTTCCTCTCTCTCATCTTCCTCCTCTACCTCCTCGTCCGGCAGATCTTCAGGCACGACGTGACCCGCGGCTTCCAGCATTTTTGAGAGCTCCTTCCGCAAGTCATCGTCGCCGCCCTTCTTCTTCGAAGCGGCGCCCTCGACCTCGGACTCCGAGTCGACACCCGCCAGAAGGTCAAGATCCTCCTCGGTACCGCCAAGGGCAATAATTTCCTGGCGAAGAGTGTCATCACTGGCGCCCTTCTTAGAACCAGCAGATTTTTCCTGCTTGTTCTTGCCTCCCTTCTCCTCACGGGCGATCACATCGCCATTGCGATTCCGCTTCTTTCCTTGTGCCGAATCTTGTTTCTTGTCGGCCTTGGGGGCAGCGTTCTTCTCTTTCTTCGGGGGCGAAGTCTCGATCGATGCTTGCGGCTTGTTGTCTTTCTTCGACTTTCCTTTGCCAGAGTTCTGATCCTTCAATCGTTGCTCGATTTTTTGTCGGAGGCCGGCGAAGGCGCCTTCGTCGATCTGGGGCTCGGCGAGGGTGGCTTGAGTCGCGGAAACAGAAGGCCCTGCATCGGGGACTGCTTCTTGCGCGCCCGAAGAGCGCTTGCCTTTCCCTTTAGGCATTGCGTTGTGTTTGGGATTGGGGATGTTTTTTTTGTAGGAGGAGAAAATTGGGCGGAGAAATCTTTTGCGGCGGTTATCAGAACGCTCGGACCACACGATAAGAAACGCCCTTCAACCGCGACGATTTCGGACCCGCCGTCATTTGCTCTGTTGTTTGATTCTTCGCCAGTGGTTATATCGTCTGGTGAGTATCGCCCTCGATGATTTCAGGACTGCGTCCCGCGAATGGTCGCCCATTGGGGCGGCGGCTGGTGTTGGGTCTCCATGGCCAGCGTTGCCAACTACATGTACGTGCCTCCGAGAAACCGGATTGTCTGAAGTGTCGATACTGATGGATGTGTAGTATGATGGCCGGAATCGGGTGTCCAATTTCTGGATTCCAACCGGTGGTATTACAAAGAAACCCATGGAGGGTTCAAACGGTGTGTGAATTGCGAGTCGGCGAAAGCTGCCGGGAGTACATGCTAACAACATACTAGAGGATGCCAATGACCTCCTGATCAGAGGCGGTTTTCTGCGTCAGGTTTGTCAATCAAGCACCAACTATGACATACTGTTGCTCAAAGATGGTTACTCCAGGCATATTCCGGCATCTTTCATCTCCTGCCCCTTGGACTGCGTGTCCAAGACAAGCTCGAGCGACTAATTGACAAGCACATGCGCTCTCTCGGTACGTGTCTGCTTTATGTGAATGATCGAAGAAAGTTACCAATAGTTTCTCTTAGGGGCGTCAAAAGTTTCTCTATCCTCAATATCCGCTCAGGAGCTTTGGGAGAAATCCGGCCGATTGACCGAGGGGTCGGGATCAGAGGTACGCATTCCCCAACAGCGTCGATTCAGGACCTCTTCTTAACAGAAAAACCAGATGTTTCGATTTCACGACCGCAAGAATGCTCGCTTTCTCCTTGCGCCTACTCACGAGGAGGAAATCACTTCGCTTGTGGGCAGTCTCACTACATCTTATAAAAGTCTTCCTCTTCGAGTCTACCAAATATGCGAGTCAACCCATCTAGATTTTCAGAAAGCACTTTATTGACTTTTGCGACAGCACGAAAATATCGCGACGAAACCCGACCACGGCAAGGCCTTCTTCGCGGACGTGAATTTATCATGAAGGATCTCTACACTTTCGACTACAATGTACCCGAAGCCCTCAAGACCTACAAGCTAGTCAAACACGCCTACACACAGCTGTTTGAAGAGCTTAAGATACCATATCTGGTCGCTGCGGCAGATTCTGGCAACATGGGCGGCAGTCTCAGCCACGAATTCCACTTTATCAGCCCCAAGGGCGAAGACCGAGTGGTGAGCTGCTCACACTGTGATCATGTATACAATGAAGAATTGGCAGACGGAAAGACACATCAGTTCAAGGAATCAGAAGGGCAAAGTACCGTCCCGGGATTCCAGACTGAAGACGCTCAGGTAGGGGGAGGCGCGACGGTATCCAATGGCATGTGGATGGCCATATCGCATGACGGAAACACTCTCCTCCGGGGCTGGTATCCCAAATATTCGATGCAAGAGGGCTCTTCCGAGCCGGTCGAACGACATGTGAACTCGCACGCCGTGAAAGCGATTGCAGAAGCGGCAGGTGTCGATCTTGATCTGAGCGTGGAGAACCCGAAGGCGAAGTGGGCGGCTCATGTTCGATCTCGCTCGTCATCCCAGAAACGTCGCATTCTGGATCTGTATGATTCGCAGGTCCGCGTCTACCAGCGTCCTCCACTCAGCGATCTGCTCCAAGAAGTTGGCTGCTCTGCTGCGGATGTCGAGTACTCGAAGTTGGACCGGTTTCCCGGCACCTCCAACCAGCTCAGTCTTGTTCGGGTCCATGATGGAGATAACTGCTCGCAGTGTGCCGATGGCTCGTTGACAAGTAACCCCGCCGTTGAACTGGGCCATACTTTCCACCTCGGCACGCGGTATAGTGAAGTGCTCCAGGCCTCGGTCTCCGTCAATCAAGCTGTGCTCGACGGATCCGCTGAATCAAGCGCTAAGTCCTCTAAGGAGCAGATTGTACCAATGCAGATGGGCTGCCATGGAATTGGCGTATCTCGAATGATCTCGGCCGTGGCCAACCGGCTAGCAGACTCCAAGGGCTTGAACTGGCCGCGTGTAATTGCCCCATATGAAGTTGCTATCATCCCCAACAAGGGATTGAATTCTGTGGCCGAGCAAATTTACGACAGCTTGACTTCAAAGTCTGTTGACACTCTGCTTGATGATCGTGACAAGGGGATGGGCTGGAAGTTGGGCGACGCAGACCTGATTGGCTATCCCGTGAATGTTGTTGTCGGTAATGGATGGAAGAAGAACCAGATGCTCGAGGTGCAATGCCGTCGCCTGGGCGTGAAGAAGGATGTATCTATGGACGATCTTCCTGCATTTGTCGAGGGTTTGCTGAGCCAACTATAAAGGGGGCATATTGATATCTTGAAGTCTTTGTATTACTAGCATGTTCATATTAGCATTGTAAATTATCCCACCTCTTGATCTCTCTACTTCTAATCCACGATAAAACTAGTTGGCCAGTCTATTCATTGCTTGCAATCCCTACAAGCAGCTTGATTGTTGTTAAGGTGCGTGCTTATATCAGCTTCCACTGCAAATCGCCGCAGGAGCCCCACTATGCGCACTATTACCACGCCCAGCACCTGGTCTTTTCTGGAGCTCAACCCCCACCTCCGCCCGCATAACAAGTTCCGCGTGAAAACTCGCGGAACACATACCTTCCTACGCGCCAACGCCCCCATCGACTCCGACCCCTTTCACTCCCTCTATCCCTCGCACACGAAAATGTCTGATTCCGGCTCCGACGGAGCTCAGCCAGGCACAGGTAAGCCGCAATCTGCAATCCGCACTGCGAGATGCAGTACCGCAGCAGCATTGCAACATTCGACCCAATGCCTCTCTCTATGCCAAATTGGTCAGGCCTAACGCAATAGCTTCCATTGTACAGTCAACCTCGCCTCCCTGAGCGTCCCCCAGCTGCGCTCCCTCCAATCCCGCCTCACCTCCGAGCTGGAGCACCTCACCACTTCACATTCCAAGCTTCGCGCAGCGCAAGCCAAGTTCCGTGACTGCGTTCGCTCGATCAACGATGGCGTGACCGGATCCAAGGACAAGGGCACTGATGGCCAAGACGATATTCTCGTGCCGCTGACAAGCTCGCTGTATGTTAAGGGCCGACTGACGGATCGGGAGAGGGTACTTGTTGATGTTGGAACTGGATTCTACGTTGAGAAGGTATGTCCCAGAATGCCCTGGAAGCTTCTTAGTTACCTGGCTGTACCTCTGCAAAATACGGCCTTGGGTCTCGAGCTTTATATGGTGGAGGGCTACTGATATGACTTTTGCGCAGACACCGGCCAAGGCTGTCGCCTTTTATGATGATAAGATCAAGGGCCTAGATGCCAACTTGCAGGAGCTCGAAAAGATTGTTTCTGGTAAGAGCCAGCAGTTGCGTGTCGTTGAGGAGGGTAAGTATTTCATTCCCTAGACTCGATATTGAATGCTGTCCCTCGTTGGAAAAGTATAGTGCTGTATACTGACTTCTATTCAGTCCTCCGTCAGAAGATGCTTAGCGGTGAAGCGCCCGCACAGCCGGCTGCTGCGAGTGCGAGCTGAGCTACAATTCACAATCATGAACCAGAATAGTCTACGGAAGTAGTAAATAAAATCATATCCACTTTTTTAATTACTTCCCGGACCGGGTTTTGCTGATGGGGGTGCTAGAGCCCGACGTGGTTCATTGATACTACATTCGTATTCTAAATTTTTCTTTGGAGTGACTGAAGCCCTTCACCTTCATCTAGCCTGAGCTCGACAAAATCTAGTACTGCTAGATCTATCAAGTTCAATCCACAGCGAATATCCTCTAAAAATATATCGTGTTGCTGGGAAGTGCCTGCCTTTTGCAAAGATAGCCAGTCTCTGCAGGAAGGTCGAGCCTGCAGTAGGCGCAGCCTCGGTGCAAGGTCGATTTGGAGCAGTGCACTAAGCTCTAGTGGTAGGCCCTTCGGGAGCTTCTGTACGAGTTCCTCCAACTTGGACATGTCACACTTCCTGCTCGCGGCGTGTCGGATGCCGCAGGTAGTATTAATGTATGCGTAGGTGCAACCACAAGAACACACCATGATTCGGATAGATGTATCGCCCGTCGCTCCATATTCCGATTTGGCTTTGCTAGTCGTATACTTTCAAAATTTCCCTTGTCTGGAAAACTCTTGGAAAGACGAAATATTTCTGCGGCAACATTATTTCCCCTCATTTTTCCTCATTCCCCTTTCACCTGAAGAAGCAAACCCTAGTCCGAAAACTTTCAAAGTCGCCTCTTGACATCAAAAATCAGAAACTTTCGAAAGACTTGAAAGCTTTCTGTGCCACTGCTTTCTCTCCCAACATTTTGCCCCTTTTTCACGTTTACTTTACCAATTTTCTTGGAAATTTCCTTGTTTATTATTCTTCATTTTCATGGTTTTGGCGCACCCTTAATTGTAAGAATTCCCTCCATCCCTCCCACCCTCCACCCTCCTCCCCCTATTTCATGCCTTTGGGGCGTTTCTCAGAAGAAAGTCCCCAGATCTCCTGTTAGGATCCGGAGCATCCCTGGCCCATATCCCGAATTGGGGTCCCCACCAATGCCCAGCATTGTTGCTGTTGCCCTCACCACCCGCAGAAACTCCTGGTAGCCCGAGTCATCCCATTCACGGCTCTTGCCCTTGAGGGGCGGGAAGAATTTCTGAAGACCACCACTGCGTTGCTCATCTTTGCGGCCCAGAGCCTGGTCCCACTCTGGGTTGTAGAGAGTTGCTCCCCAACACACCTTTGGTGCGAACCACCGATTACCGAAGTCAGGAGAGCGAGTGAATTCTTCATACCGAGCCAGCTCCAGCACATAGTTGGTGCCTTTGACTTGGAGCTGAACCGCGCTCTTCTGAATGAAACGGGAGATGGGTACGTGATCAATGAAGGAGATGCGTCGGCCGGGCGTCGATGTCAGCGACTCTTCGCGTCGCCCCGGCTCCTGCTTCACGGTCTCGGCGAAGTATCGCTGCTCGGGGCTGATCTTGTCTTCTTCGAGAATGTCGAAGAATTCGATTCCGACTTGCCAGTCGCATCTATCGAGCATCAGATGTTAGTCAAGGTTGTATACATGTATCAGGGAACATATTCATACCTATCAAAGTCGACACGGCACAGTTGCATGGGCAGTCGCTGTGCCGCTGCCTCTCGATTTGCGGGGATTGTGAGCCACTGGGTATGGCCTGCCGAAAGCTCTGCGCCCGTACTCCCGTCGCCGAAGTTGATTTCCAATCGGATAGTTGCCGGAGTGTTTTTCTTTCCGAGGAATTCGAAGCTAGCCGACTGCGTAGTGGGAATCGATTTGAGAGAGGCGAGGTTTCCGCCCTTGAGCTCCAGGAAGTTGGGAGAGTCGATGCATCGTTTCAGAAGTATCTCTGGGCGGATTTCCAAGCTAGAAGAGAATTAGCAGTCAGCAAAAATGTATCTTTCAAGCATCAGGACTAAAAAAAGAGGGAGGCGAATCAGACATACCCAGGTACAAGATGTCCTTGACAGCGGTCATCAAGAATCATATCAGCGAATTCACCGAAGCGATAGACCGAGGCTTCTTTCCCTATTTTCCTGAATTTCTCAAGGACGAATGTGCCGAACTTAACACGCATCCTCATGTTGCCCTTGGTGTATTGGATAAGGCCAAGGCATTTGTGGAGGCTGTCTCGGAGCAATCTGCGATTCTTATTTTGGAGTTCAATGAGACCCTGCTGTGCTTTCTCCTTTGGGTTGTGTTCTGGATCTTTGCCATAGGGGCTCGGAATGGTCTTCTCATTGCCTTTCTGATGCTGAACAGCCACTCTTTCGGCGGCTTCCATGTTTCTAGGGGGCTCAAGAAGATAGGCTTTGACACGGGTATCACTTTTAGCGAATGCATTCTTCCACTCCCCTTGGAGGAGTCTCGCGATCTTTTCAAGAGATATGTGCTGATCGCTGGACACGCAGAGGAAGTCCTTCAGATCGTCGGTGACAAAGATATGGCATCCGAGTTGTTGTCGAAGACCATCGAGCCGCTCAAGCTCTTCCCCAAAGGTTGCTCGGAGAGTTGGGCCATCTTTGGGCCAGTAGAACATCAACTAGGCAAATAGTGTCAGTATATGCCTGGTTCATCTTACTGAGCAAATTCCATACCTTGTAAGAGGCCTTTGTGTTCCTAGGCTCTTTCCGGAGCTCCAGGATGGACTCAGACGTGCCCTTTGGCTGGATAGGCTGGATCGGGGGTGGCCCAAATGGCTTCTGTGCTGTTGGATGGGGCCCGGTTGGGAGAAGCGCAGGGAGTGAATGGCGAGAGAGGCGAATGGGCTTTTTGAAGGGGCTGTGGTAGAACGCAGTCACTGGCTTAGAAAGCTGCTTACGGAGCAGTTGTTTTGCTTCAGCAACTCCGCTTGGGTCACCCCAAATGCAGATGTGCTGCTCAGATGTCAGAACGAGATCACCAGTTGTTTGTTCAAAGACCACTTACCTGGGGATCGCTCTGGGACGTTTTGATCCATGTGCCTGTTTGCTCGCCTATCTTTGCGTAGAGGCTGGCTCTGCTTGATCGTGGGCGCTTATGCTGCTTGTGCTCGATTGAAATTCTTTGGCTATGGCGAAATTAATCAAAGGGCAAACGAATTATATCCCCTTCACTTCACTCACCTTGGTTTGAGAAGATCATCTTCATTCACAATTGCTATGCGATTCAAATTAGCTAACTGCTCGCTATGTGTGTTCAAACAGTGAACTTACCGTCGGGCTGCTGACGAGAAAAATACTTTATCTTGCCCGGACTGGGGTCTTGTTTAGCCCGCGACTGCTTTGAGCCCTGGGGGAAAATGGGAGGGGTATGGGACTTGAGAGCATTCTGGATTGCGACCTTGGCTTCCTGGGCACCGAAATACCGTTCATCAATCGGCGTGTCCGTGTTCCAAGGCGACGGCGTCGATGGTACGGTCACAGGTGGTTTGGGTCTAGCTTGCTGCATAGGCTGGTCCAGCCGCTGGTCAACTGGTTCAGGTGGACGCCCATAGCCTTTTAGGTTCCAGTCTAAAATATGTCAGTTGGTTTCAAAAAGGCCGTCATGACGATATAGCAGAGATTGAGTAGTCGAGTGTGTCTTACCTTTGGCGGCTTCCTTTTCGAAACTGCAAACGTAAGTCAGCATTCGCATCAGTCATCACCTGAAAGACAAGGGATTATGTAGTGACATACGGCTCCATGGCTCCTGTTGTCATCAGGATGTTCTCAGATATTTAGAAGTGAGAAACGTGATTGAAGCTTTGGAGGTCGAGATGGGTGGGGAGTTGAAGAAGAGACGAAGATGAAGAGGTCGGAGAGGTTTAAATAGAAGCGAGGTGGCAGAAGTGAAGACCATCGAAAGCGGTGGTTGGCGATCTTCGAAGTCTGGATGGGAAGAAGGGATGAAGGTGAAGGTAGATGTTGACAAGAAGAAAAGCCGTGCTTAGAAATGAGAGTCTCCCCACTAAAATATCTCTAAGAAGGGAGAAAAATTGCTGGTTCCGATGTGAGCTGGTTTTGATACATGAGGGTCGCCAGCCAGTGTCAGATGCCACGTCAAAGGTGGATAGTCATATATCATTTTGAATGGATGCAAATACTCTCGTGATGTGCAAGTTACCAGTTCTCTGGCATGCACTCTGCCTGGTTGGTGTAACCGAGAGTGCCACCTGCAGTGATCTGGTAGTCGTGTTATTTGAAAGGCCGTGTGAAAGGAGATATTCAAATGGCCAAAGGCCTAATGATGCGATGATTCTATTATTTCTGTCATGTTCAAGGGAGGCGCGATAACATCAAAGAACAGCAGGTGTTTTGGGTAGGTTACCCAAAGAACAGATTGTCAGACTACCAGTGCTTTAGCACAGCGGCAACTCCATTAGAAATTTCGATTTGGAATTCCGGTGGGACTTTCAACGAGCTTTATAAGTAAGCGCCGCATTGTTGAGTCCCACTTTAAGCGCAACGGCCTTTGTCATATAACTATTCGCAGTGGACAGGACGTTCGTAAAAGCATGCATTGCGCTTCGTTGGTATTGCCACAATTGCAAGAGTAATTTCCAAATGCCACGACAGACGCTTCAATCGCTTGACTGCCACTTTCGGGCACCTTAGAACATGAACGTACCGATCCTCGACTTCTGACATTTGGGGTAACTATACCAGGCAGTCAACCGTGCGGGTAACTGGGTAAATTACCGATAGATTGTCAGAAAGATGACCGGGCAAGGGTAGGATGCAGCGCTGAATATAGAAATAAAACGGTTCAGAGAACATTTGATAGGGATATGGGCCCTGTCCTGTATAGCCAAATTTCCTTGACGCCATCCCATGCATGCTCTATTGTGGTGCCTCAGGCACTAAATTTATGCTATATCTTGGCAGCGCTAAACCGGAAGAGGATTAAAGTGGACAACGCGTCCGAGTCGCCCGATTTTCCCTGCGCCCTTGACAGCTCCTGGCCCTTCTTCCGCCAAACGACTGACACAATGACAGTTAATGCAGGGAACTCAAGTGATACCGAGCCAGACAGACGCCGCTCTGTGCGCAAGCGCGCTCAACAATGGATGACCAAGGGCGCCTTGGTCCACGAAGACTCCGACGATGAACTCGGTGACGAAGACCACCCCTGGGACTGGATTTTCGACGCAGAACCCGAAGCCAAAGATGAACCAGAAGCGAACAATGGCAGCCCCACGAAACCCGCCCGACGCAAGTCCTCGCGCCCGGCCAAGAAGAAGCGCACGATCATCGGAGCAAAAATGGGAACATTTGAATGCAGATTGGGTCAGATTGTGCTCCTCAAATCGCCAGAGGCTGGAAAAGATTGGATCGGAATTATAACAGAGTTTGTCGAGGAGGATGATGATGAGAAGGAAGGCGAGATCATCAAGTCCGCCAACATCATGTGGTTCGCCGGGCCGGATGAGTTTCTGTCGACGAGGAATAAGCGGAGGACGGATGCTCTGCCGAATGAACAGTACCTTACGCAGGACTTCAACGTCAACCCTCTCACCTCGATCAACGGCAAGGCCACTGTGATGTCCAAAAACGCCTTTTTTGCTCGATACCCGAATGGCACACCACCCAAGAATAAGGCCGAGCTGGCTGAGTACAACAAGTGCATTGTGTGCCGCCGAGGCGTCAATCAAGTGCAAGGGCGATATACTGAGGAGTTTTTGTGGGAGGATGTCTACGATGAGAACGACATCATGAAGCTTATAACTTTGGTCCAGGACGGGCTCAAGACGGCCCGGAAGCGCAAGACTGTAGACACTGATGTGAGTGACACCCTGGATGAAGTGAGTAAAGCAGCATGCTAACATTTCCCTTCTATCAGTATGTCGAGCCCAAGGAAGAAAGCGTAGCCCCAACCACACCGCGAAAGAGACAGCGATTGGCCCCCGGCGGGACACCGCAATCGCAACGCAAGAAGGCCCTTACGACTCCAACCCATAAGAGGATTGTCGTGAAGAAGCCTTTGGAATTTACACCTTTGGGCACCCGAGTGCTCTCACCAACCCATTTCGCTTCGCCCTATCGCCAGGCACGTACGCTGTTGCATGTGTCGACCGTCCCAGACTCCCTTCCCTGTCGGAAGACCGAATTTAATACCGTCTACAATCACCTGAGTGCAGCTATTATGGAAGGTACCGGGGCATGTATCTACATCTCTGGTACTCCTGGTACAGGAAAAACTGCCACCGTCCGTGAAGTCGTTGCACAGCTTAACGGTGCTGTGCTAGCTGAGGAAATGGACGACTTCATCTTCGTTGAAATCAACGGCATGAAAGTCACGGATCCCCATCAATCCTACTCAATGCTCTGGGAAGCACTGAAAGGCGATCGAGTATCTCCATCTCACGCCCTGGATCTTCTCGAGAATGAATTCTCCCACCCCTCGCCCCGCCGAGTATCTTGTGTCGTCCTCATGGACGAACTAGATCAATTGGTCACAAAGAACCAATCGGTCATGTACAACTTCTTCAATTGGCCCGCTCTCCGACACTCGCGCCTCATCGTCCTGGCCGTTGCAAATACCATGGATCTCCCCGAACGAACACTCAGCAACAAGATCTCCAGTCGTCTTGGTCTTACTCGTATTACATTCCCTGGATATCGCCACACAGACCTGATGGAGATCATCAGTACACGTCTCGCAAGTGTACCAGGCAACATCGTTGACCCAGACGCGATCCAATTCGCAAGTCGTAAAGTCGCGGCAGTCAGCGGTGATGCTAGACGTGCATTAGATATTTGCCGACGTGCCGTCGAAATTGCAGAACAGGATGCCGACGAAGCTACTAGTAGTAATGCAGCTTCAGGGGAAAACGAGGAAGCAAACTCACCCCCAGCCACACCGAGCAAGACACCAGCCCGACGCAACAAGGTTCTTGCAGACAAAGACATCAACGACTCTGCGGCACCCAAACCTGCACCAACCAAAGGACAACCAGGCCGCGTCACCATCGCAACTATCAAACAAGCCATCCAAGAAGCCACCTCCACACCCCTCCAACAATCACTCCGCGGCCTCCCACTCTCCGGCAAGCTCTTCCTTGCAGCATTGCTAGCCCGCATACAACGCACCGGCCTCACCGAGTCAACATTCGGCGATGTCCTGGACGAGGCACGACGCATCGCAGATGCAGCGGTTGCCGTGGCCGGTGCAGCCGGCGCCGGAGTGAAAGATTTTATTCTTGGAGGAGGAGCCGGGGCTCGCGTGCGGGCTCTCGGCTTTGCTGCTATGGAATTGATGAACTCTGGCGTTCTAGCGCTAGAACAGGGCACTGGGTCCAAGAGCTTGCTTGGCGGCTCCACGATTCCTACTCGTGGTGATCGGAGTAGTAAGGTTCGACTCCGAGTTGCTGCTGAGGACGTACGATCTGCTTTCCGTGAGGATACGGAAGCTAAAGGCTTTGGTCTTGGAATTGATCAGTAAAACCATCTGCGTTTTGTTCAATACCCCGGGATGGGATGTACTTTGTATTCTACATTATTAACTCATGATACTCAATCAGAGAGTGAAACGATTCTATCTGCAATACTATCGTGGCGTATCATGATGAAACAGAGCGAGCGACCTATAATCCGATGGTGCCCTGGTGCAGCTACACTACACTAGTGTAGTGTACTACGTAGAGGAGCTTAAGGGGACTCGCATATTCGGTGCAATCACATATGATGTAGTGTTGGCTCGACTGTCACAAAGCTTCTGCTGCAGCATGATATATTTCTTATAGCCCTTTTCCAAAATCGAATATCCGACATAATATACAAATCCCGCTTAACTCCACACCGTGCCATAAGAAAAGAGAAAAAGACAAAGCAGATAACAAGGGTATTTGGTGACACTAAATATAAGTGCTGGCGAGCAACACCGCATCTAATACCGCTGTCGGCCAAGGGTAGGAGCCCAGGTAACAGGGTGAGTCTCCGGGGTAGCCTCATCATCCTGCTTCCACACCTTGATAGTCTTGTCTGCTTCACCAGTGATGAGACGCAGGCCGGTCTTATCGAAGGTCGAAGCCATGATACCTGCCTCGGCGTCGAGCGAACCAGGCTGGGCCATGGTGTCGATTGATTGAAATTGGTAACCGGTCTTCCAGTCCCAGAAGGACATGGAGCCGTTATCACCACCAGAGAACATGACGTTCTCGTCGTTGACGGCAAGAGAGTTGATGACGGCGTTTTGACCGTCAAAGTTCTGCATAAAAGCGCCCTCGGGGCACTTCCACTGTTTGATGCTACCGGTGCTGGCACTGGCGAAAGTAAACTCGGTCGGATGGGTTGCGAGGGCACGAACACCCTTCTTGTGGTGCGTCAGGGTACCCATGGATTTACCAGCTGCAAGATCCCACAGGCGTACGGTAGCGTCCAGGGAACCGGAAATAACCTGAGGATCGGCTTCCTGACACTTGATATCGGCGACAGTGCCCTTGTGTCCGGTCAAAACGTGGACGTTGCTTCGCGTACGCATGTCCCACACACGGCACACACCATCGCGACCTCCGGTCACCAAAAGGTCCAGACGAGGGTGCAGCGCGAGCGTGTAAACACCGCTCAGATGGCCGTGGTAGTGTCGGATGACCTTGTTCGTCTCCAAATCCCAGCATTTCACCATCTTGTCCTCACCACACGAAAACAGATACGGATGCCGCGGCGACACCGCCAGTCCACGCACAGTCGAGATGTGACCCGTAAGCGTCAGGCGCAAATTGCCCGTCGCCATGTTCCAGATCTTAATAGTGCGATCTCCTGCACCACTAGCAAACCACTCGTTGTTCGGCTCGACTGCCAGCGCTCGCACCCATCCCAAGTGGCCCGAAATCACACGCATCAGCTTCCACGGCGCATGCCAGTCGGGTCGCTGTTGCTTGGTTGCTGAGGGTCTGGCGATCAGACTCGTAGGTTTATCTTCGGCTGCTGCGCCAGCGCCTGCACCGGCCGGCCGCTTAACGAGCTGCATCGACGCGCCGCTCTTGTCTCCGGTTCCTTGTTGCGCCTGCGCCTGGATCTTGGGACGCTTGGAGCGACCGGCGGCAGCCTGGGCTTGCTTCGCGGCAAGAACTGGAGGCAATTCCTTCACATCTTCATATTCTGCCTTGCGTCGATAGGAGACACCGATCGAGCCGTCTGTGAGGGTCGAGGGCGTAACCATCAGGTACTCGGGGCCGAAAAGATCGGCAGTCCGCTTGGCAGAGAGGCGAACAGCCTGGTCGGCTGCATGGGAGGGTTCGTAATCCATTTCGTGCGATTTAAAGGCGGATGTGAAGGTAGGAGGGCGGTTTTGAGGGGGGCGTCGAAGGTTTTGAAAGGACTCGAAGCGCGACGGTTTCGGAGGTTCGAAGGGTCGTTCGCGTAGTGAAAACCCTGCGCCGGGGTCGCGAGTCGAGTCGGTCCGGGCGATTATATCAGCGCATGCGACTAAAACCTCTCACAAGTTCCAGGATCGCAGAAGGAGGGCGGTTGTCGACGGGGAAGTGGGTGGCAGATGCGGTGATGAATCTCTGGCGGACGGAAGTTGAAGGTGTTGGGTCCTTAGGCCGTCAGGTGTCGACCGCCCACTTTATCGTAGCTCTTATCGTTGGATCTTCTTCCCTTCGACATCATATAAATCCAAGCCATGGATTCCAACGCCAGTGAAAAGTTTCCTCTGCACGAGGCCGCCCGTGAGGGTCGAGGTGAGTATGTCCTTAGTTTTTGAAGCAGCTGGACATTTTAATAAATGCGAAATAGATCAAATCGTCGAGTCCCTTCTCAACGTGAGTGATCTCCATGTGTAGAGCTGCCCCGCAGAAAACCCACTCTCCAATAAACACTGCTTATGATATTGATCTCGGTGGCCTCTACCCAGAAAGTTGCTAATTATAAAAATAGGCAAATCCAAAGTTGGCTTTCACCAAAGACGATGATGACCGGCTTGCGATCCACTGGGCGGTGGCCTACAACCGTCTACCCGTCGTGGAGCAGCTCGTCTCCGTCAAGAACTTTGATCCTGATGTCGAGGTATGTATTTTCCAATATCGAATGTCTTCTGTCCATTTCGTGGCATTTACAGTTGGTTTCGTTAACCTATTGATCAGGATGGCTCAGGCTGGACACCCCTGATGATTGCCTCCAGCCTCAAGAATGCCGAGGGTGATCAAATCCTCGACCTGCTGCTGCGCAAAGGAGCCGATGTATCCGTGAAGAGTAGCTCAGGGCAGGTAAGCTGATTTTCCATCTTCCGTTAGATGTGGCGAGTTGAAGCTGACTGTTCCTAGAATGCTCTGCACTTTGCAAGCTCCAAGGCCAACATCACCACCGTACGAACTTTGATCGCCAATAAATGCAGTGCCCGGGTAAAGGATGTCCGCGGTCAACTACCTCTGCACCGAGCAGCAGCAGTAGGCTCTGTTCCCATCCTCCAGAACCTTCTGGAAGAAGGTAAGAGCCCCGTCAATGCAACAGACGGCGACGGCATGACCGCCCTGCACCATGCAATCTCGGAGGGGCACGGTGACGCCGCTATACTACTCTTGAAATCAGGCGCGGAGCCGGAGAAGCGGGATGGCGATGGAAGATTGGCAATCGAGCTGGTTCCGGATGATAAGGTATGTTTTTCTATTTTTATGCACAATGCTCCCTTGGCAGCGGTTCGTCGGCATGGTTACTAATCTCTGATTTTCTCATCATCTTACAGGTCAAACAATATATCCTGCAAACCGCGGAGCGAGAGGGGATCGAACTGCCATAATTGTACTCTTGTATTGTCACGCGCAGATCTTTTCTGCAGGTTAAAATAATCCGTGAGCATTCTTGTGTTTGTTGTGCAGACCTCGGCCGGATGCCCCGCATTTCACCTCCGTGTTGCCGAAGCTTCCTCGCAGCCCCATACGGCGAACTTGCGGGGATCTAGACAATGATGATGGCCACTTTGTCTGGTGTGTGTCTTTAAATGATGAAAATGAAATTGGCGTTCAGCCAGCCAAAGCCGGTATCTGAAGCTGATCACAAAACTGGGTCCACTTGGTACTGAAACTGCCTTTGTCATGCATCTCTTTAGCCGCCGCTGCAGCCGTGGTAAATCCCCTACAAAAATAAATGAGGGGGCCTCGGTAATGAGCTTTGAGGGTATTTAACCCACTTCCCAGAGATTTGGAACTGTCTAGTTATTCCCAGCGCCATAATACCCCCTCCGTGTCTGGCTCAGATCGAGTATTAGCAACACAATCGGCAGAATGTCTTTCACAGGGGCCACACGCCTTCCTGTGGGCAATAAAGACTTCACAAATGCAACAGTCGTCATTATAGGCGCCGGCATATCGGGTATGCTTCCGGTTATCTCATAACTAGTGTTGATACTGGCTCACAATACCTTATGGTAAAGGAATGTGCATGGCAATTGACCTGATCAAACGCAACAAATGCTTCAACTTTGTGATTCTCGAAAAGAGCAGCAGTGTCGGAGGAACTTGGAATGATCAAAAATATCCAGGCTGCTGTTGCGACGGTATGTAGCCCTCAGCAAGAAGCCCCACGCACTACTGATTGACAACACACAGTGTGGAGCACATTGTACAGCTATTCTTTCGAACAAAACTCGAAGTGGACCAGAGAGTACCCCGGGCAGGAGGAGATTCATGTGAGCTCTTGTTCCTATGGGGATAATGCTGATCTAACCCCTTCAATCTTCAAAAGGCATATCTCGTTCGCACTGCAGAGAAATATGGTCTCTACAAGCATATCCGATTCAACTCTACAGTCGAAGAAGCTCGTTGGGACGACGATGAGTTTAAATGGAAGGTGTCAGTCAACGTTTCAGGTCAAAAAGATAGCGAATTCGCAAAGTCTTATGTGATCAACTCGGACTTCTTGATCTCTGCGGTCGGCCAACTGAATCTTCCACGCGAGCCCGGCATTCCAGGCTTGAAAGAGTTCCAAGGGAAGATGATGCATTCTGCTCGTTGGGACTGGAGCTACGATCTCAATGGTAAACGGATTGCTATCATTGGGAATGGTATGGTCAATCAATCGCTGCGAGTACCAACAAAAGATTGAACATACCGTTGATATCTAACAATGCCCAGGTGCAACGGCCACCCAAATCATCCCCGAAATTGCCCAGGAAGCATCTCACCTAACAGTCTTCCAACGGACGCCAAACTGGATCATCCCCCGAGGCGACGCCCCCGTTTCCGCACTACAAAAGGCCTTGTTGACATACTTCCCGCCCCTTCGGTGGCGTAAAAGAGCATTGCAAATGGACTTTAGAGAAAGCTTCCACTCCGCCATTTTCGACGGCAGCTCCGATTTCGCACAGTTGATTCGCGACTGGTGCATGGGTATGATGAAAGCCCAGTTACCTAATCAGCCCGAGTTGTGGGAGACGTTGACTCCGACGTATTCGCCGGGATGTAAGCGGGTTATTATCACTGACGATTACTATCCCACTTTGGCTCGGGAGAATGTTGATCTGGAAACGAGGCATATTACGAGAATCACTGAGAAGGGAATTGAAGTTGAGGGTGCCGGCGAGCAAGAATATGATCTTATTGTTCTCGCGACAGGCTTCAAGTCTGTCGACTTTATGTATCCCATTCAGGTATTTGGTGCCGGTGGGAGGTCTTTGGGTGATATCTGGAACGATTCACCCAAGGCTTACTATGGTATGACGGTTGAGGATCTCCCCAACTTTGGGATGTTTTATGGACCAAACACTAATCTTGGTGGGTTTTGCTTTTTTTATTTTTTTTATTTGATGCGTCAGTGGTTTACAATTGACGCCAAACAGGACACAATTCGATTATCCTCATGATCGAAGCTCAATCACGGTATCTCAACGCACTGGCTGGCCAAGTTATTCGAGCTAGACAACAGGGCAAACCACTGAGTCTAAGACCGAAGCTGAGCGTGCTGAACGAGTATAATGACCGTATACAAAAGCTGCTGAAAGAGAGCAGCTTTGCGGATCCCAACTGCAATAGCTGGTACAAGAGGGATGATGGACAAATCACGAATAACTGGTCTGGAACAGTGATCGATTACCAGCAGAATTTGTCAAAGGTGCAGTGGGAAGACTATATTGCGGAAGGCTCTGGAAAGGGTCTGGTTCTGAACAAGAGACCGACTGGCTTGGGACGCGTTCGGGAAGAGACACTTTTCAGTGATACCTCGCTGCTTGTCGGGGCTGCGGGCTTGATGGCAGCGGTTGGGGGGTATTATCTGGCTTGGCCGAGGCTCATGAAGGCGCGATGAGCTGTTTGCTATTTGAGTTGCGATCCCAGTTACTATAAGGCGAATGAATCTGTGCTTTGACGTTTGCGTCATAAATTCGTGCTCTTGCGTCTAATTATATTGCATCCATACTTCCTCTTGTTCTCAAAGCTCTAAACTGCGGCTCCTTGTTACAGCGTGAAGATCTCCATTCAACCTTAGCCCATCTAGAATCTTCCGATAGGGTGCATCGTCCGTGAGGCCGACAGGTCGACTCTTCCTAAGCACCTTGTATTTCGAGTCTAAAGCTTCAGCAACAATAGACAGATTGCCGGATTGCCCCATGAGCAAGCCAAGGTGGGTCTCAAAACAGGTTTCAAAGCCATATCTTGGTTGGTGGCCCAAGGAAAGTGTGACACCCTGAGCCTCCCCGCTCAGCAGGTAGAACTTCCAGAACTTCGTTTCCGTATCCCCATTCCATGACACAAAGATAGCCGCATCTCCATCCCCCACGTGCAAAGCCAACACTGCAGGCTCCTCACTGGGGAAACCAGTCCAGTTCGCCTTGAACCCACGATAGCTTTCAACATTCTTGTTAGGGTAGGAATCAAGGTAGGCGTGGAAAAGAACAGCTCCATCATCCGAGAACTCAGTCAGGGCGCCGGCGCTACCCCAGTTTGCCAGCTTGTTCCCATTTGGGAGGACTCGGAAGCTCCCTTGCGTATGTGCAATGAGATCGTCAGGTGCATCGTATGTATGTATATCTCTGACTGTTCCTGCGGTATGATTCAACTCCACGTATCGGCCTCTCGAGGAGGACGCAATTTCCCTGCCTGGTGCTGAATATGCTGCGTTGTCGAAGAATGTGATACGCTCAATGACCCCGTCGGGCGATCGGTATTGGGATCGTGCGTCGTGTTGGAAGGCGAATTCTAGGTTTAATGGGATGTCAAAATCCGATCCATGGGTTCCGCCGAGTTGCCAGATGATCGAACCATCTGTGCCATTGATTTTGAAAATGGCTTTGTAGTGGCGGGCTGAGACCAGATAGTTGCCTTGGTCATCTTTGTCGACACTATTCACATGGAAGTAGTTCCAGGCTGAACAGTAAGCACGGGCATCAAATGTGCCTTGTTTGTCCAAGGGGACTGCGCTGTCTGTCATAGTTTTAGCTAAGCCAGTCTGGTTTAGAGAAGAGAAGACCCACGAGCTGGATCTATTCGGCCTTGAGACGACCATTCAAAGAGCAGTTCGCCTGTCTTGAGGTCGATCTCTGGTGTTTTCCGTCAGCTTCACGCGCAGCACGCGGCCTACGATGAGGATACTGACCCTGGAATGCACCCTCAAGAAGAAACTTCTGATCCTCATCACCCCCATAACGACTCAGGTCCGCCAGCGTCATGATCGGTGTCTCCACTAGCACCGAACTCCCATTGACGACTTCAAACTCGTGCGCCGAACTCAGGCGATGCGACGCTGCATGGAGAACCTGAAGAGTCTCGTACCGATTATCAAGAATGGCATGATTTCCCAGCATCCGACCAGTTGAAGGGATCACCTGCCCCTGGAAAGCACGCAAGGCCGGCTTGCCATCGATCGTGACGGGCTTGAAGTCGGCCACCCAGCCGGCCCAGTAGCCTGCGCCCGACCAGACCAATTCGCCATCGTCGCGGAAAATGTAAGCCCCCGGTTGATCGGGTCCGACACTTCCAGGGCCATCACCATGCGCGGCCGTGATAAACAGGTAGCCTGATTCTGTCTGTGGGGAAGCTGGCACGGTGATATTGAGTCTCGGTGGCGACAGATCTGGCCGGGAGAGGAACTGCAAGTTGCCGGCGACGCAGTAAGCGAAGGCGCCCAGCCAGGCGAGGTATCGCAAGGCCATCTTAAGCGAAGACCACAGTTCGGCCGACAAATTAATTCCCGGGCGATGACGTTGGTATCTTGAAGTAGATTGGAGTAAGGAGGAAGGTACGGGAAGAAATAAGGGCGGAGATCGCGGGACGGCCAACAATGGGATTGGTCTTGTTGCACCGCCGCGACGGGCTCCCGATGCGACGAGCATACGGAATTCCACGTCGCACGGATTAATCGAATGGTTTCTGGTCGGGGCGTGGTATACGGATTCGATTTGATGTAGACAAGAGCAAATAATTATTGCTGTCTGTCTTTGCAAAGGGCAAGTTCCTGAGTATGGTATAGGAAGGTAGTAGTTAACATCTATATGATGTTTATGCTCCTTCAGAGGGCTCAGGTGGTGTGTTCAGGAAAATACCCGGGCTAGGACAATTAACTCAGCATAATCCCCAGCGCGTGCTGCTTGGTGGGTTGCGGCATTACGGCTGTCATTCATTATGATAAGGCATGGAAGTTGTGTGGAATCCTAATGGAATGGGAGCATCCAAGTTACAGTCTGTGGAATCTGGAGGATAGAAATAATACCCTTAATGTAAGTGATATGAAAGTGAGAGGGCCAAGGAAAGTCAAGTAAGCTATCAGTGGCTATCTATCCAGGCATCTACGTGATCAGTTGTCTGATTAGGGTAGGAAAGTAGTGTAGCTTTATCGATTCCCTTTGTTTACCTCGCGCAGGAAAGTTTCGCCATAGACCAAATTGGAATCAAATCAGTGCCTGACTATAGGTTCCAACTCCTATAAATAAGCAACCTAAAAAGGCCTATGATCCAGGAGAATTAGGGACGATATAGATTGTGTCCTGGAAGAAATTCAGCGGAAGGTGTGGGGATTTCTAAATATGAGGAGGAACAGTCCGATAGTAAGCCAACTGCATGGACCCGTTATTTCGCACCACGGCCGGTCTCAGCCAAAAAGACATCGCCTGTCATCAGCCCAGCCACCAATTGGAGCGAATCGGCTTGAATACCCTGCGAATATCAATTGGGCCCGCATTGTCATTTCCGGCAATGGAGGGATATCGCGGCGGAATGAAGCCACCCATCATGTCCCCCATCTGCCGCAATTTCCCACAAACGAACCAGGTTGAAATCCTCCAACGCTCTCGCACTGATAACCCCTGATGACGCTGTCGAGCCATGGGCGAGACTCAAGCATATGGGCGGTTGCACTTTGCAGGGTCGCGATGCAACGTCGAGCCACGCGGGGGGTGATCGACAGGGGCGTGCATGCCGGGGGAGGCACGAACGCGCCTGGAGGAAAGGGCGCCTCGAAATGCTTGAAATACCAGCGCTGCCCCTCTGCGGCGAGGCACACGCACCGGTCCTCGCTCTCTTCCAGCCATGCTGTCGCCATTCTTTCTGTCGCTTGTTCTCGCCAGCAGTCGTGTCCTGGTCGGTGCTGCCGGCCCCGTCGAGGACTACGATGTGCTGCAGTATATTAACCCACTGATCGGCAGCGCGAACGGAGGTGGGCCAATTGATCAACCTAGCACTTTGTACTGGGACCGACATCTAATCTGCTACCTGGTATTACATAGGAAATGTATTCGCAGGCGCCACGCTGCCATACGGCATGGCCAAAGCCGTCGCCGACACTGACTCAGAATCCAACCAAGGCGGTTTCGCCTACGACGGCAGCAATGTCACCGGCTTTTCGAGCATGCATGATTCTGGCACCGGAGGCAGTCCGTCACTGGGCAACTTCCCTCTTTTCCCCTACGCCAAATGTCGCGACGACGATGTCAACGGCTGCGTGTTCCCGAAGAAGGCGCGCAAAACGAGCTACAAGCACGACTCGGTCAAGTCGAGTCCGGGGTATTTCAGTCTTGAGATTGCCTCGGGTGTGAGGGTGGAGATGACTGCTGCTCATCACACCTCACTCTTTCAATTCCATTTCCCGCCGGGCAAGGATAATAGTCCGTTGGTCCTGCTGGATCTGTCTGATTTGTCTGATACTCGTCAGGACAATGGAACTATCTCAATTGATCAGTCGACTGGTCGCATGACTGGCAGTGCTAAGTTTTTGCCGAGCTTTGGCAGTGGTTCTTATAACTTGCACTTCTGCGCGGACTTCCAAAGCTCGGGCTGGCTGCGGGATAGTGGCGTCTTTGTGAATACTCGCGCCAGTGACGATGTTCATGATCTGACCATTTCTCGCAGTATTAATGGCTACCCTCTTCCAGTGAGTATATGCTGATTAGAGATATCATGCTGATAATAACACTTCGTATAGGGTGGTGGATTTATCCGCTTCCAGAACCCTCCAAATGGCCTTGTCCAAGCTCGTGTCGGTGTGAGCTTCATCAGCCCGAAGCAAGCATGCTCGCATGCAGAGAACGAGATTCCAGACTTTGACTTCGAATCGACCAAGTCGGCTGCCATCGCTCAATGGACCGAGAAGATGAAGCCAGTTCGCGTTTCGCGAGATGGGATCAACCTTTCTGTTCTCACTAATTTCTACAGTGGCATTTATCGGACTATGGTCAATCCCCAAAACTACACCGGTGAAAATCCGCTCTGGACCAGCAGAGAGCCCTACTTCGATTCTTTCTACTGGTATGCTTCTGTCTCTAATTCTCGATGGATGCAGCCTAACTGCGAACAGTCTATGGGATTCTTTCCGTTCTCAGATTCCCTTCCTCACGATCTTTGACCCATACTCAGTGACGCAGATGATTCGCTCTCTGATTGATACTCAGCGCAATCTTGGATGGCTCCCCGATTGCCGCATGTCGTTGTGCAAAGGTACGAGATTTATTCGATACATGAGCGGGGGCTTCTGCTGACAATGCTCGTGAAGGATTTACGCAAGGTGGATCTAATGCCGACAATGTCATCGTTGACGCTTACGTCAAAGGCCTTGATGACGGTGTTGACTGGGAGGCAGGCTATGCCGCTGTCCAGAAAGATGCCGAAGAAGAGCCCTTCGACTGGTCAAACGAGGGTCGCGGAGGTCTGAAGAGTTGGAAGGAAGTGCATTATATCCCGGTCGAGGATTTCGACTACGAGGGCTTCGGAACCATGACGCGTAGTATCTCCCGTACACTCGAATACTCCTACAATGACTATGCCATTGCGCAAATGGCGTGGGCCATGAACAAAACAGCGGATGCACAACGCTACGAGAATAACTCGCGTGCCTGGAGGAATCTGTTCAAAAAGGACCAGACTTCCTTTCTGAATAAAAAAGACACTGGTTTCACAGGCTTTTTCCAGCCCCGGTACTATAACGGTACATGGGGACATCAGGATCCGTTGATGTGCTCCAACATCGACGTGAGCGGAAGCATCTGTTCACTTCAGAATACTGCGGGGGAGACTTTTGAGTCGAGTATCTGGGAATACCAATTGTACGTTTCCTCTATCATCTTGTTTAAGCAAGTCTGACCTTAAGCAGCTTCGTGCCTCACGACATGGCAGCCCTCGTCAAACTCCTCGGCGGACCAGACAGATTCGTCGAGCGTCTTGACTACCTCCACGACCAGCAAATCACCTACATTGGCAACGAGCCCGCATTCCTTACAGTTTTCCAATATCACTACGCAGGCCGACCCGCCAAGTCCACCGCTCGAGTCCGCACTTATATCCCTGACTACTTTTCCCCAACCCCCGCCGGACTCCCCGGCAACGACGACTCCGGCGCAATGGGCTCATTCGTTGCGATGTCGATGATGGGTCTATTTCCGAACCCAGGCCAGAGCGTTTATTTGATTACGGTCCCCTTCTTCAAGTCTGTGAGCATCAAGTCGCCTCTAACCGGCAAGACTGCCACCATCCAGGTGACGAACTGGGATCAGTTCAACACGAACAATACCAGCGGCAACAGCACCGGTGGTACTGGTTTTATCCACTCAGCATACCTGAATGGCAAGCCTTATACGCGCAACTGGGTTGACCATGACTTCTTTACTGAGGGCAAGGAACTGCTTCTTACCCTGGGTGCTGAGGAAGGTAGTTGGGGTACCGCCCCTGCAGATCTACCACCTTCTCTATCGGAGACCTCTGGAGTCCAAGGACGAGACTGGAGCTCTATGACTCAAGAGACTGCCGATGATGAGTTTATCCCTGTTCTTGGCCGAGGCCGAAGACATTTGGCTAAGCATGGTTTGCACTTTGAGCACCATGCGAAGTTTGCTAAGGGCTGGTGACTGCTAAGGGCGTGTACATTGTGAATCCGTGCATAAACTGTCTAATTCAATTTCAATTTCTAATGACACTTCTTCCCATATCTCTCCTGTCTACTATCAAGAAGAAATTGCCGTCCTCGAATCTTGTGTCGAAATACTACATTTCCGGCTATATTGGCATCTGTGAGGACCTGCAGACGTCAAAGGTCTCGCGGACGTCTGAGGGCTTGCGGACGTCTGAGAATCCGCGAAGCCTCGTTGAGAAGCCGCCATCGTCATCGAACGATAGGCACCCAAGATACTCGACCCTCTACCATAGTACTCCGGCTCCGGCGAACACTGTTCGAGATATTCCGAAACCTCGGTCTTGCTATTCGCCAAAGTTACACACTTGGGCGATGCACCTGTCACGCAGATAGGAATAGAAATTAGCTCTGAGCTCATAAATGGGGTATTTGTTTGCAACAACTCACGATCATGAATAGATCCCACGTCAGCCCCCTTTTCCACAAGAAACTTGACCAAATCAAGATTGTCAGACCCAGCTGCGAGGTAAAGAGCGGTATATCCGTCTGTACTGCGGGCTCTGACGTCCGCTCCATTGTCAATCAGTAACTCCGCGACTTCGGAATGCCCGTTCTGACAAGCGAGCATGAGAGGCATGAATCCAGTTTCGACATCGATGTCGCTCAGGTTGGCTCTGTTTTTGAATGAGGAACTCGGCGACGTTGTAGTGGCCTTGGTATGCGGCGTTGACTATGGGGTGGGTTTCTGCCTGCGTGGGGGTTGGGGAGGTGTCGCGATATTCAAATCGGGGCATGGTGATGGTGTTGGGTTGGCTTCTTTGAATGATGCTTTGGTTATCAGTTGGGGATTGAAGGTTGGTTGATTGCTCTTGGTGGAAAGCCTTGTCGTATTTATCTTCTTTCTGGTGCTACTCTATCCCATGCCATTAGCGAATGGTTCCCTGTTGTCTCAAACTTATCAAAGAACGGCGTCGCTGATATGTGACGGATATGGATGGGCTGTTCGCTGCCCTGTTCCTTTCAATCGGGGGGCGGGTTATAGATTCGACGACATATTTCATGGTTTTTTACAGACCAAGCCTACACACTACTGTATCATATATGGTTCAATGACTCTTAATCTTGATTTGGTTGCTTGATCCCTTTCAATTGCTGTAGAAACAAGATTCATTCGACTTAAGACAATATCGTAAATAATCCACTACATCATTGGTAGGGTTTTGCCGGTATTTGTTAGACAGTCAACTCTCCTTTGCTCGGCGCTGAGACCAATCAGCTTATTGACATCCTCAGCAACTATATAAGGCCTCTATAACTCTGAATTTCAGTTAGCTTCATTTATCGGCATCTCTCTCGGAGCTAACCCTCCATCTTTTCTGTCTTCTCAGGAGGGGCGTGCCGGCTTAGCTGCCCGGCAATCAAAGGTCTCATGTCTTGCTAGAAGGAAGGTTGCTCGAAGCTTCCCTCTCCTCCACTTCTGGCTGTACAAAGAGGACCCATCGAAGGTGAACCACTCCGTCATAATGGATCTGTATATGGTAATTGTGATCCTATGGACATGATTATCATATAAAGGGTTGTTATGGCGTCGCGGTTCACGTTCGATGGGGCCTCCTCGACCGACTGGAAATGGAGAAGCAACAGGCATATAATAAAACATTGACCAAAGTGGGAGCTGATTGGTCCGCTTGTGGTCGTTAGCTCTAAAGACCAGTTACATATATTCCAATAAAATCATATCTAGGGCACTGAGCATGATTATGATATTTTTATGGAAAGCAGAGGAATCGCATTAACTAGCACTTCTGAGGTTCAGGGTGTGACGCCTTGTATTTATCTCTAGGTTGTTCGTAGTGCTCTGTCAATGGACACACACTGCAGCCTGGGCCGAGTCTTTCCTATCATATCCCAGGCTCCAGATGTTGAGATGATCGAAGACGATGCCATTTTAAAGGCAGGTGCAGACACTATAGGTGAATACGCAGTCAGCACGATGAAGACAAGAGTCGGAGAGGACCTGTAGCAAGTACAGATGGTAAAGAGGAAAACTCACTTGTTGTCGGCACAGTATCCGCCAGCCTTGCCCTCGCCAACACACTATTCAAGAGTTAGTTATCTGGATCCCGTTTTTGAGGGCCTGGAGAAGTCCAGTTGGTTACGTACCTTGACCTGGCAGGCCTTGTCGCCACCAAAGGCACAGGTCCAGCCGGCGCGAGCGGCAAGCTTCTCGGTGCGGGCCTCAAGGTCGTTCATGCGAGCCTCAAGGGGGTTGGGGCTGGGAGCAGCAATGGCCATGCTGGACAGAGCAAAGAGAGCGGCAGAGGTGAAAACCTTGGAAAACTGCATGGTGGTGGTATTGATTCTTCTTGCGAAAGAAAAAAGATGAGATAGTTTGTGTGATTGTTTTGTTCTGAAGAGGTTGGATGAGCTGTTGATGAAGATGATATCGACGGATTCTAGGCCATATTTATACCCTTTCATCAACGCTCAACCCCAATCTATCACCGATTCTATCTATAGTATCTCGTAATTTTACTATGAGGGCTTTTCTTGACGATGCTTTCTGTGCCTGTCGCTATAATGCTACTGATGGCATACGACCTCGTCTCCGTTCCTCTGTCGATCAACATATACTAGACTTATGCCTTCTCCTTCTGTGGAATGAAGGGGCCAAATAGCTCGTCGAATCCAGTTTTAATATCTTATGAGGGTCGTTCCACTTACAAGGTATGGATAGGGTGAATACGAGCCAGTTCTTGAGCAGGAATGCGCAGATGTCTACTTAGCGTCTCTATCTTCTATGGTCTATTCGCATTAGGGTAACATTATACGATTTCATCTCTATACGGCTAGTGGGAAGTAATGCGGCTCTATCTAATTAAGGGCCTAATATATTTCGCTAAGATCAGCACCTGGGCAGTGTGTGTATGGTCCTACTTTAACACACTTTACTTTGTATCCCTTTATGTTCTCTACTATAGCCTATAGGAAGCATTATGCACAAACTCTTCACCCCTGCGTTTATTTCCAGCCACAGCTTAGTGGCGTTGCTTAGCAATGTAACTCGTATAGCTCACTAGGGGCGAACCCGCAAGGTATCGCCAAGAATAAAAATGAACACAGGTTGAAGATCCTCGTATTCAGTCTTCAGCTCGTCGCGGGAACTAATCCTAATCAATGAGGTTAGTGTGGGGGACATTCCGACCGTGTCGATCACTCTGTTGCCCTACCGCCGTGGACTAACTAGTATTGCAGGCTGCCAATCGCTTATTATAGATCTTCCCAACTCTATACGACACATTCCTCCATGGCTTTGGGGAAAGAATAACCATCAGAATCTTGATGATTTTGCAAGATCATACCAAGCTGGCTATTTTTACTGACTGTTGACCCATGTGGACGCACGTATATGGGTGTGAGCTCTTCGTCTCGCGATCACAGTATCTAGTGAAGAGGGGAACGCTCGATGGCAGCACGCGCTGAGACGTGCGGGTCGATTCAGCAGAAAAACCACCTCAAAACACACACGTAGCAATCAGGAAATAGCAAGAACCCCAAATGTAGGGGTCAGGTCGGGGAGGTGTAAGAAGGTGTATTCTAGAACTAGCTATCCGGCCACTATACTGCCGGCTATGTCACATAGTCTGGATGGCACCCATGTAGTAGGGGTAGGGGGTCTCCCCACTACACTAGGTACCGTCCGAAACCTTGAGCTCCCGATCTTGAGTAGATCGGTTATACTGGTAGCTGTGGGGACTCAGCTGGACTGGTAATATTCTACGAGGCAAACTCGGGGTAATTGTTTACCTGACTAACCGTCGATGTGCCCCTTTTTATTTTGGGCAATAGATCAAATTGTGAATAGCCGACCAGTGGGTTCCTGTGAGTATGTATACACCCTTGTGCAGTGGCGCCGATGGGTTTTTAAGGGCTTATCCCTCAGTTTGGAGGTTCCAGAACGTCCCCCAGCGCTGTGAGCTTGCATTGACATAGATAGCAAGGCTTATAATCTATAAAATATATAGAGGATATATGGGGGTCAGATTTGCCGCGTAATTTCGCGTGTTATTATGGCGAAACCGCCAAGCCCTCAATACATGACCCATGGAATGGGGGTCAGATTTCTGTATTGACCTTGTAAAAGGGCCGTTTTTACATTCCAATCCCCCTCCTTCTTCTGCCCGCAGAAAATCAAAAACAAATTCACTATGGAGTCGCTAGCGAGCTTTTGAGAGAAGCCGAGTTAGCTGGTAAAGCGAAAGCTTGCCTCTGCACCGTACAAGCTCTAGCTCCTCAACAGCTGTATCCAGAGACAGGCCCTTACCATATCTAGCGTAGATCTCGTCGATGATAACTTTTCGGCGGCAAAACATGACCCTTTCGCGAGAGGAAGGCCGCCAGGTCGCACCATACGATCTCTCTAATGACTGGACAGATGGATTTGCACCTAACCCACATATCCATTCTCTCCAGACCTCCGGCACAGTCTGTATCGTACGAGAGAGCGAGTAGAGAGATCGAGAGGGGGATAATAAAGAGGAGGGAGTATCGATCCCCTGTGGGAGAAGCTGCTGCTTATCTACAGGAGGCTGCAAATATGATGCCTCCGATAGACATGCTGCTAGCTGAGAAGACGGTGTGAATGAGTCCGAGACTGGTGTCCGCGCTTCGATAATAGAGGCATCCATGGCTCGTACGGCAAAGGTAACGTGACCAGAAAGGAGATCATGAAGCTGGCGAGAAATCTTTCTAAGCTGTTCATGAGCCTGATAACCATGAAGATCAACCGCTTGATGGATATCCTTCTGGAGGACACTAAGACGGTCGGCAATAATAGGAAGCGTCTGCCGGAGTTGAATCTCCTGAGGGGTCTCCGTACAAAGAAGGGACTGCCGTATTTGCTCTGCAAATGCAGTATAGTCTTCTCGTGCAAAGATAGGGTCATCCCACATTGAATGCCGGGGGAATTGTGCCTGTAGGAGAACCGAATCCTGGAGGAGGATGATCCGTAGTTGATTCAGTAGCTGCAAAAAGCCTTGGGCTGCCATATCATCTCGGTCTTCCTGTTCCTGACTAGTAGCCCCGCTAGGTGGCTCATTTGTAGGATCGTTGGACTGGAACCAGGCAAGCCACTGATCGATCCATGGCCAGAGAGCTCGTACGAGGGAATCTGGAGGTTGAACTTTGCTCGAGGAAGATAGTAGTTCCCAATTGCATCAGGCTGGAAACCAGCCATAGAACGAAGGCATTTCCGCGGCAGATGCGTCAGATAGCAGTTAGTTAAGGCATCCTGATTCCATTGACCAGCACGGCGGATCTGGTTTCTTCCACGCCTTCTAGCTCGGCTTGTTTTGACCCCTGAGCTCGGCCTGCATGTGTCTTCTTGTCGGTAGAGAGATTGATTGCCTTATAGACCTCATTGGCCCATTTCAGCTGGATTTCGTACGAGATTGGCTTCTCTCGATCTGAGCCCTTGAAGAAGTGGAAATTATACCACTCTGGCCGGCTCCGAAACCGAGGTGGCGACTCCCCTACTATCTGCCAGCGATAAAAGAGATAAAAAGCCGCCTGGCTCATCGTACAAAGGAGAGGATCCTGATGGCGCATTATCCCCATATACTGCAAGCGGCCAAACTGGTTAGTCTTTCCATTATTCATAATCATGATCATTGGCCAACAGGGGGTCGGTCCTTCGTTGGGTAAGGAGATATTGAACAGGTCAGGAAACTGGAGTTGCCGGCGCGATTCTCCACGAAGGAGCATATTGTGACTGAAAGGGAAATCCACGGCCGTGCGAACGTAGGACTCCTGAGCTTGAGGCTTTCGATGCTTAAGATCTTTTGTTCGCCATCCTTGCCAACAGTATCGTACGAAGTCCTTGATTTTATCCTTAGAATATCCATCCTGCAGGGTGCCTGCAGCTCGGTCAAGATACTGCTCGCGCTTTCGCTCGCTTTCCTTATGTAGTCGGCCAGTCATCAAGGCGGAAACAGCATATCCACGGGGGTTAGGGAAGCTATTCGTACCAATGCTTTTTTGGAACTTCCAGAGGTCCACAATAGCATTGATATATTGAGTGATTGAATTGCTTCCCAGGGTTTGTTCTACCTTTGATCCATCTGGCCGTGTACGATCCTTCTTATATGCCTTGGATTTCCTTGTCTCCACAAGATGTAAATAGCAACTCAGCCGTGCCATCTGCTTAGCATCAAGTCAACCGCATGCTCTCTGGGCCATACACCTACTGTCCGTGGCAGATACGCCCACCAGTCATCCACCTCGCTGCCGGGAGTAACAGTATTCAGGGCCTTCACATATTCCCAGTACTCTGGGTACCAGCCACACATTTCCCAGTCAAGAATCGCAGTGATGGTAACTTGTGTGGTTGATTGATTTACAATGTCGTTTGTGGTGCAAAGTGAATCTTTGGGCGGAGCATCGTCCACAACTGGGTCATGTAGGCGGGTGACTACCATGATATTTCGTGGATGAAAATCTCCATGGGCCAGAAACACTTTGTGATCATCCTTCAGATAGGACCTAATCATAGCGATGTTGCTAGTTCGGGTCCGGTGAGGGTCGGAAGTGAGGAATTCGTTAAATTCGTGTTCGTTGCTGATGTATCCTTGTGCAACACGGATTTTTCGTCGTGCATCTTTGCATCGGCGAGGGCTGCCGCCACCAAGCACAGCCTGGGTCTCATCGGAGGCTGGAGCAGGCAAGAACCGAAAGTCGCTAACAATCGTATCTAATTGATCTCTGATTGAAGCTTTCTCGTCCTCGTCCATGAACTTCCACTTTGAATCCAGCGGCTCGCCAGGCGCTCGAGACATGAGCAAGAAAATGCGGTTGGTATTAGGCTGTTGAAGGATACCATGTATATCTGGTATTGGAACGCGTGGTGCATGGTGCTTGATGTAGTCTAGAGTGTGGATGTGATTTATGTCGATATCATTGCCGGCTTTCATCACGATCTCTGGATTGAGACCCAGTACTGCAGTTGACCCAAGGTGCCAGATGACCTCACTAGTTGCCACCAATTTATTAAGACCTCCGATGATGGCAGATAACTCAGGACACGGTCCACAGTCATCAAAATCCTTCAGTGCTGCCCGTGACGCAGTTGCACTTAGTGGCCGTATGATCGTGGCATTGGTTGGAACTTGGAATTCATTTCTTTCGTCAGCCGCACTCTTATCATCAGAGCAGTCGGCTCTTTGGATTGCTGACTGCACTGAAGAATCACGAAACACTTTCCGTAGTGCAGGATATGTTTTAGCTTTGTGCTCTAGCAAGTCGGCCATATCCCGAGAGGGGGATGCTTTGACTTTCGCGTTCAGATCATCGAGAAGCAGAGTGTTGACTTGGATGAAAGCTTCTTCCTCCACCTCCTTAAGGTAATAAGTGGCATTTGATGCCATGGCTCGCTGATACTTCCTATAAGGGGTTGTGTCGGATTCGTGCTGTGACTCGAACTGTGACTTGTGCTGGAAACTCGCAAGTTGGGCCAAGGTCATGTGACTACCACCTCGGCGTACAGTCGGGGGCATAGGGGGCATAGCTGAGCGTGGTTAGAAAAGTCACGTGAATTGACCCACTCATGGGTTGAATTCCTACCCACGATCAGGTGGCTGGGGTGAGCGTGGGTAGAAATTCCAACCCACGCTCCCCATTTTTCGTGTTTTAATTGGCTACCACTGCTGATTAAGTACGCGCTAGCAGAACAACACGTAGCGCGGCTCTTACTAAAATAACGAGGTCAATAGCTATATAGTATTTAGCCGCGACTAGGGGTTTGACCTGGCTATTAGCGCGGTGATTAACACGTCTGAGTAACTCGTCGGGGGAACTTACTATTTTTAGGGATTTGATCGATCTTCTTATCCTAGTGGCGGACAAAATGCTAACGGCGGCCAAACTGATTGGCCAGCGTTTTAGGTCGTCGACACTAATAATCCCTTTATCTCTATTATACTTTTGCATATGTGATCTTTCCACCCCTTACCCTGTATCTTATTTCTTTTGTTACCTATTTCCTTCCCAGACAGGTCCGATCCTTCCCGATCGGCCCTGCTACCTGTATGAAGACCCGGGTGCTCCCGACCCCGGTCCTGTTCTGCCGTTCTCTGACCGCCTCCTGTATACAAATACAGCTACGCTCCTTTACATAGCAGAACATGCTCATTCAACCTTCAGGATCTCACATAACCTGCATCGTGATCGATGACAGGGTGGCAAGGTAACATAAGATATAGAGGATAACCAACATTCTAAGGGAATAGCATCTATCTTGTAACGGGTCAGGTCCCGACCTATTGTCCAGGCAAAGCCTGTACAATGTGATCAATTAGATTCCCCCTGGGAATTACTCACCGCTGGCCACCCCTATTCTTACACTTCCCTAAGCTTCAGATAAACAGCATGTTGGCACCGCTCATTTGAATCAATTCGGCCGTAGCCCTTCACACGAATAATTGGAACAATCGATTAAATTTGAACTTCCCAGGCCTAAGTTTTATTCCTCTTCATGGCAATTAACCCCAGTTAAGATTTAATGGTGCGTAATATTTATGCTACGACATTGATATATTCCCCGAATTTGGTGGTTGCCTAGTAAATGCATCGTTTTTGTCTACTATGGAGCCAACTTTTAGCACTCCCGTGGCCCGCTAATATATAGTGGCGAAGAGAAGACCGAAAAATCGAATTTATGTTTCAAATGATGAAAAATCAAAAACCATAGGGCCAGCCAATACCAGACAACTAAAAATATCAAAGATCCGGCTAATACCATAATTTTGTGCATATCCAGGAATAATGCGCGCCACTACTAAATGTCTTGCCTGCGCCGCAACTCCGGCGCGGCGCAACCCACTGGGGCTGGGCACTTCGCCGCCGCAAGTCAAGATGCCGAGGTAAACCTCGATGTTGGAAGTGTCCACTCTTCCCTCTCAACCTTTGCCTCCCAACAACTCGCGGTCTGGAACAATGCTTCGCCCACCATCGCTCCTTCCCTTTTCTTCCTCCTCCCTCGACCTCCTCGCCCTCCGCTCCAACCCCTCCTCCTCGCGCCTCCTGACCTGTCGCCCGACGACCTCTCCATCCCGACACTTCACCGGACGGTATACCCACCGGTCATACTCTACAGGTAAGGTGACCGATCTCTCCCAATATACGCCAGGCGACCAGCTCTCCACCCTCCTATGCACCTCCGCAGATCATCACCGCGATTCTGACGTGCTCCCAATGGCCAGGGCCGACAGCTTCCGTTCACCCGCCTTCACCAGCTCCGCCAGCACGCTCGCGTCTCCGCCGCTTCGTAGGCTTCTCAACAGTCGCCATCCTCGCCTTCAGCGCCGGCCTCATCTACGAAATCCGTACCGACCTCAACAGAATGACAGCAGGCGCAATGGCCACCGACGCCGAGACCCTGGCCTACAGACCCGACGATGCGATCGCACAGGAGATCGACGAGCGACTCCGCACACACCCGGAAGCCATCAAGCTCCGCGAAAACCCCGACTTCAAGGAAGTCCGGCCACACCTGAAGCTGCCCGAGCAGCTGCGCGCTCGCATGTTGACGGCCGGCACGCTGTCGGGCCCGAATAAGATCGTAGTCCCGCCGTATGTCTTCAGCGAAGAGGGCGGCAAGAGCATGATCTCGTTTATGTACCTAGGCTCTGATGTCTGCGGGCACCCCGGGATTATTCACGGTGGATTGCTTGCGACGTTGCTGGATGAAGGCTTTGCGCGGTGCTGTTTCCCTGCGATGCCGAATAAGGTCGGCGTGACGGCCAACCTCAATATTGACTATCGGGCTCCGGCGATGGCGGACTCGTACTTTGTGCTGCGCGCTGAGACGGTCAAGCAGGAGGGTCGCAAAGCGTGGGTAGAGGGCCGCATCGAGACGCTGCCGCAGGATGGTAGCGATCCGGTGGTGCTGGTGGAGGCGAAGGCGCTGTTTATTGAGCCTCGACAGGCAGCGGTAAGTCTTTCCTCTCGTTCCTTCTATCCTACGAGCATGAGTATCATGTGCTTTACTCGTTACTGTGAAAATCTGGGTGGCAAAATGGCTAATTCGTGGCAGTCACTGGCGCATCTCTACCGTGGCGCCACCGAGTGAAATTTTCGTCCCTGGTTCCTGGTTCCTGGCGTTATGCATTATGCATTGTAGAATATCACATATTGTTATTAGAGTCTCTACTACAGTACTTAGGGGTACATTTGAGATAGACACATACTACTGCCTACTACCTACTCGTACTTAGTATATAAACTACCGTGTAGACTAAATACTACTCGTCTCGTATTTCGTATAGCCCCGCGATCGGCGCAGGTTCCGCTCTCTGACGCGGCCCATTTCATCTCGTCCCGCCCTCACCGTCTTTAACCCCTCCTCCTTTCTACTCTGCTCCTGCATCCCCAGCACATCCTCAAAATGGCCACGTAAGTCATTACATGTCAATTGCACTGCACCAGCAGGGCATTGTCACGTTCAAGAGCACACTGAGTCCGACTAACCCCGCACAGCAACATCACCTTCCACGCCCCCTCCCTCACCCGCAACGAGCGCGAGACCAAGCGCAACCAGAAGGGTCTCACCATCTGGCTTACTGGTCTCTCGGCCTCGGGCAAGTCGACCATCGCCGTCGAGCTGGAGCGCCAACTGCTCACCGAGCGCCATGTGCACGCCTACCGCCTGGACGGCGACAACATCCGCTTCGGCCTGAACAAGGACCTGGGCTTCAGCGAGAACGACCGCAACGAGAACATCCGCCGCATCTCCGAGGTCGCTAAGCTGTTTGCTGACAGTGCCTCCATCGCCATTACCTCGTTCATCTCGCCCTACCAGAAGGACCGCGACTCTGCGCGTGCCCTGCACGAGATCGCTACCCCCGGCGAGGACACCGGTTTGCCTTTCGTCGAGGTCTACGTTGATGTCCCTGTAGAGATTGCTGAGCAGCGTGACCCCAAGGGCCTGTACAAGAAGGCGCGTGAGGGTGTCATTAAGGAGTTTACTGGTATCTCGGCTCCTTATGAGGCTCCTGCTAAGCCTGAGGTGCATATTAAGAACGTGGATCTGCCGGTTGCCGACGCTGTTAAGCAGATTATCGAGTACCTCGACTCCAAGGGCTACCTTCCTCCTAAGAAGGAGTAAGAATTGGGGATTGGGTTCTTGGTTTTGAATGTTTGATACATGGGGCGGGATAAAATGGATTGATAGGTCATGTACAGTGTGGAGCCGAGTTCAGGTCTCTTGTATATACCGATGAAAATATAGATCGCTTGGAAAGGATTTGTTCTGTCAGGCATTTTTACCTTGACCTGATTGCACAACTGTTCCATACTAGTTTGAATATTGTTCTAGTACATCCGAAACACGTCAATTGGAAGAAATCAAGAATAAATGCTAGTTTGTGCTCGGTACCTGGGGTGGTATATGTACGCAACGATCTTCCAAGGGAACAATTGGTCCGAAAGCAAGCCCTGTTCTTCATACTCTGCCCGAATCTAGACAAACTCAAACTCGTAGAACACGTATGGCGTGTACTCTGCGCCTGCGCCCTCACCGCCGGGATGCATATCACTCGGATCATCCCGCTGCATGCGGCCCTTCTTGTCACGGCCGAACGCATTGCCGGCAAGGTATGAGTACTTGTCGTCGAGGTTCTTCTTGGCCTTGTCTGCCTGCTTCGAGGAGGGGGTCTGTACATGACAACAACATTAGTATCCAACGCAGCACGGCTGGAAGAAATAACATACCCGAACCAAAGCAGCCACGAAATCCAGAGGCAACCCATACCTCAGAACTGTCTCAACAAACACACGCAGAACCAGCACATGAATCCAAACCATAACAGCCTCACTCCAAGCCGTCCGACCAAGACGCAACGTCTCCCCCCACAACTTCCGCTCATCACCTCCAACGCGCTCAACCTCCTTGCGCTCCTCTTCCTTCCCGCCCTCGACGTACTTGAAGTCCCGCGGAATCCACTTGTTCTCGCGGCACTTGTGCACGAACTCGACGCTGTGCTTCTTGAAAGTCGTTACGGCGTACAGGGAGAACTCGTTGTCCTCGGCGACCAATTGGGCGGATCGGGGGACAACCATTGGTGCGACGGTTTCGTAGCTCTTGAGGAATTCCTTGACTTGCTGCGAGGGTACGGCGATCAGGTGGGTTTCAATGAACTCGGACTCCTGGACGATGGAGCGGGGGTCGACGACGGAGGCGAGGGATTTTGTGGAGAGGTTTCCTCTGTTCGAGAGTTAGTCCTGTGCTGTCTTCGGTACAGGGGGAAGACGAACGTTTGTTTCCGCTGGAGCGTCGCCAACGTGTTCTTAACCTGGTTATATTGCGAGTACTTGAATCGAATGTCGTTGTCGATACTCGCAGCTTCCTGCTCCGATTAGTATCTGTTCCTCAAATGCCAATGCCCGCTCCAAGGAAAAGCACACCTTATGCAGCAGATCAATCAACTCCGAAAGCGACTTATCAGCCCGATACTTGACCTTATTCCACTGGAACGTCCGCAGGTACTGATCAACCGGTTCTATCCCCGTCAGCTCCTCACATCACCAGCTAAACTTGAATCCAAGAGAACAGGCTGGAGCTTACTATCATTGACAACCTTCATTCGCTCAATCTGACCCTCGTCCCCATCCAGGATATTCCGCAGTGCATCCCCGACCTTGGCGACCACACCCTGACACTGGCCCTCGAGCTTCGACAGCTCATCCGCCTGCTGGACCAGCGCATCTAGGGTACCGATCTTGAACTCCGGGATGGGGAAGGAGGCGGCGGAGCCATTCTCGGGGGAGACGGTGGTGGAGACGGCGTCGAGGGCGTCGTCGCGGTGGTGCGAGGGGACGATCGAGGTTGGTAGCGAGAGGAGGAGGTACTTGCTGTTCTTGGACATGGTGATGTGTGCCCGTGGGCAGGAGGTGTTGGGAGATGTAATGTACGCGAGATGAGCTGGAGCTGCCGGCGGGAGGTGATGTCGTAGGCGGTCGGCGGTGATTGGTGGAGGGGCCACTTCTACAGTTTCATAGTTGGAGTTAGCCGTGGTGGCACCGATGTCAAGTTGTACACTTCTATTACATATATTTATTTGTTTAATACTATTCCACAAATTACTGGGAAAAAGAGAGCTGCTGAGCAGGATAACTTTATTGGCCTCGGCCTGCGATTGACATACATAACGCCGCCACACGATCCATGCTCGCTGAACAAACACAAAAGGGGGACAAACCAACCGCCAGAAACGAGAAATTTTTATGTCCGATTAGACCCATGGACATCGCACTTTCTGGGAGGCAAAAGGCCCCATGCAGGTGACTAGCTTCGAACCTGCGGATTAAGTAAATAGACAAAAAGGGGACAGAGACATGACAGGGTATCTGTATCAAGCGTGCGCGCTGATCGTGAACAGAACTGGGAAGGGAATGGCCGGGACAGGGAAATACACCAGACAAGTGGCCAGAAAAGGAAGGCTGGTATCTGTACAAACAGTACGCCGACAGAAGAAAGACATCACAGGAACAAGCAGAGCCAAGGGTAAGACACCCATCGGTGAGAAGAAAAAATCGGGATCGGTAGAGGCTAGGGGGGGCGATTGGAAAACAGCGTAAGATAGGTCAAACAGATTGCAGACATCTGAATGAAACAAGGTCAAGAGAGATCAACCCTGAGTGTCCATGAAGATGTCCTGGCAGTTCTCGACCAGGAACTTCAGAACGTCATTCTTCTTCTGCACATCCGTCATCTCCCGGGCTAAGCTCTCGGGGCGCATGATGGTGGGAGCAAAGACGACGGCAACGTTCTGGCTGGTCATAAGGTTCTCCTTCTGGCGTTCGACAACGCGCTTCAGGTGGAAAATGAGGAATTCCAGAACATCACGGTGCACACGGGGCAGTTGCTGGAGGTTGCTCCGCAGAAGTTCAACCCGGGCAGCAGTATTGGAAATCTCGCCAGAGTCGATGATGGTGTCGTACACATCAAAGGTGATGAGCGGGGTAGGCAGCTTACGGAAATACTGCTTCAGAGCGGAAGTGACGGCATGGATATCGAGGTCCGGGTCCGAGATATCGTGATCGAAGGGGGAGCGTTCGAAGCCCTCTCGGATGGTTTGAATGGCGGACGCCGCGCCGGACTTGCGGTAAATACCTTCCATGTCCATTCCTATACAATATTAGCAGTGGCTCTAACACGTTTACAGTGAAAGACATACCGCGCAACTCGACCTCTTGGATGCAGCGAGAAACAATGCCAGGGATGATGCTCTTCTCATGCTCCATGCGAGCCTCGAGATCAGTACCGAATAGCGCTACGGAGAGAAGAAATTAGCTTGAGCTCGACAAGATGGAATTGAAAAGCACTTACTCGTACCACTGTTCTCGGCCAAGACAGGCACGCTGTCTGCCTGCGACATCTTCCCGCCCTGCTTGTTGCGCTGGTTTCCAAAGAAGCCAAAGCCCTGACGGCTGGGATCCTGGGTCTGGGAGCGAGGCAGACCGCCAGAGGCCTCCTGAGCCTCGCTGGACATGAACGCTCCTTTCAGGCCCTTGACACCCTTGGCCACGTTCTGGCCACCCTTCTTCCAGTTGAACTTGCGGGGCTGGCCCTTGCGAATGCTGACGACCTGCGGACCGGCGGGGACGACCTGGGCAGTCGCGGGCTCGCCCTCGTCACCGATGTGGGCCGTGGAGACCGAGGTCGGGAATTCGTTCATGGTTGGCTTCATGGCTTCGATGGACGGGACGGAGCCGCCCTTGTTGTGGGAGATGCCTAGTCCGGGGGTGTTACGCTGGCCGTCGGGGTTGTTTTTGTACATGGACTGGATGCTGTGGACGAGTTGGTTGTTGAGTTCGGCAAGTTCCGCGTTCTTCGATGACAGCTGCTCAAACTCTTGGAAGCTCTTCTCTTTCTGGCGGGTGAGGTCGACAAGCTGCTCGTTTAGGTCATTGCGCTTCTGGATAAGTTCCTCGATCTCGGGCGTGTAGGTTTCTTTGAGTTTGTGAATGGATTCGGCGAGGTCGCGGAGCACGTGGTTCGAAAGTTTGGCCAGGTCGAGCGGCTGCCCGCTGCCGCCGCGCTTCTCGGCCTCGATGTGGTCCGTCAACACCTTCAGCTCCCGCATCGTGATTTCCCGCTTCGCATCTAACACCACCATGGTCGATCGCTTCTCCGAAAGTTCCGTGTTGACTTGCTTGACGTCGGAGGTCGCGCGGAGAGCATTCTCCATTTCTACAATGCGCTCGCGTTGCTTGCGAATTTCCTTCCGGAGTGAACTGATCTCGTCGGCCTGGGAAGTGCTGGTGGTGGGACTGGCGATTTCCATTCCCCCAAAGCTGCCTTCAAGCCCAGCTGAGCTGCTGTTAGCGGGTGACTTTGGGACCTTCCCTTCCTTGCCATGACCATTGCCCAAGCCCCTGTCACTAACACTACCACGGTAGGAGAAAGGCCTGGAAAAGCGGCGGAAGAAGGAATCATGAGGTTGATGGCCTCGATCGACGGGGGACTCACATCCGGGGTAGCCCGCCATGAACGGCGAACCTGCGCCATCCAGGTTTTGCTGGGCATCGAAGATCGGTGCTCTCACTGAGGTGTTCATATGCTGGTGCTTTGGTGGTTCAGGAGCTGCACCGTCGAGCTTAGGAGAGCCCCCATAGGCGGACGATGCCGGGGATGCGCCGACTTCCTTTCGGGGAATCTGGTGATGCTTGCTTTCGAGCGAGTCGCCCCGCTTGGGAGGGTAAGCAGCAGACTGCTGGGAACGTGCGGATTCCATCGAGCCATGGTCGTGAAGGCGATGGAGCTCATTGGAGGGCCGAACCGCCGGCTCTTGAGGCACAGACCGGGGTTCGGCCGTGGCTTCCTTGGACCGAACACTCTCCGGGCTAGTAGCGCCAGAGAATGCGCTCTTTTCGCGAATTGAAAGAGGGAGATCGTATCGTGAGTTGCGAGCAGACTCAGACCGTCCGATTTTGGAAAGGGTGGCATCCATGCTGTCTGTGAATTCCTTGGCCGAGCCATTGAGAGCTTCCGTATCGCGACGCGCTTGCTCCTCATCATTCTGTTCCCATCCTTTCTCTTGGTATGCGATGTGAGGCGAAGGATTCTCAGTAGATGCACGAGACGGGGGTTCCAGAGAATAGTGGCCATCACGAGAGGCCCGGACCGATGAATCGCCCGATCGAACTTGATCGAAATAATCATGAGGCAACTGTTCCTGGGGCGGCGCCTGAGATTGCGCACGAGAGGAAGACCGTTGGCTCTCCGAAGGATCGAATGCAAGAGGGATTAAGAGCTCGCCTCCAGCATCAGCAGAGTTGTTCTCACGCTGTGCGCCAAGATGGCGGCTGCTACGATATGTGCTCGAAGGTAGAAGAAGGTTATCATCTAACGTACACAATTAGTCGCAGGTTACTTTACTAGGAGATTATGGATGTCTTACCTGCAGCGTGCTGCTCTGGAGGCGTTGCATCGACGCGGTTGTCAACCGCTTCGGCATACGATTCGCTTGGTGTTTCATCGATAGACCGAGTCTCTTCCATGTTCGGGGGCAGCGAGGGAAGTGACTTGTCGAGCTTCACCCCTGGCCCTCCGGGTCGTTTGGCTGCAGCAGCATTAGCTTTCTTCTTTCGCCGCCGTTGCATGAGAGACTCGTGGCAATCCATGCAAAAGATTCCTTGTGATGTGCGCGCATAGCGCAGATTTTCGATCTTCTTCTTGCAGTTACGGCATCGGAAGCATTGGGCGCAGAATGCCTGATCGCCCGTGAGGATAGCCAGATCCTCAATCTTGTTTCCGCACGAATTGCAGCTGTAGGTGCAGTTGCTGCAGATCAGCGAACCATCACCGAGGAGAAGCAGGTGGGCATCGGAGTCGAGAAGAGTATTGCAGGTACTGCAGCGGAAACAATCGATATGCCAGCGTTGACCAGCTGGGGGATGATTAGAGATGGCAGAGAAGCAGAGTCGAGGTGAAAATACTTACAGAGTTCGAAAGCCTTGCCTTCTTCTAGGATCTGGATATTGGGATTATAGTCAGTTACGACGATCACCTCCATTACAACACCCAGCACCGATAACGATAATAGCCCATACCTCTCCACAACCCATACAAGGAAACGGCACGTCTTCGCCATCCATCGGAGACTCAGGATGCACCACGGGGGACTCCATGCTGAAACTGTCGAGGTGTATTCAAGTTCGTTCCGGGTGGTCGTCGCACTCTTAGTGCGGAGTCTCAAAGCGACAACAAAGGCTCGGCGAACGGGCTCGGCGAGCGTGTCGAGGTCGGGAAAGGAAAAACACACGCGTGCGCGCACATGCGATCGCACGCAGACCGAGTCGACTGCAAGGAAAGCGCTTGCGACTGTGGCAAGGCGGAGCACCGGTGCGGTGCACGGTAGGAGATGGGGGAGGCGCGGGATCGGAGGGGGGAGGGATGCGACAGGGGTCGAGGTTGGAAGAGATGGGAGAGGCTGAGGCACGATTCTGGTGAGGCGTTAGCTTCAGCCAGAGCTGGGTCCATTGTCCGTTTAAGCGTGAGACATCAGGCGCCCCCTGGATGGTTCCGCAAGCCCAGGAGAATCAGGTGCGGTGGGATATGGGCAGCAGGGCCGCAATTCCGGATGAAATGAGGGCAATGGCGACCGCAGGGGGGCCAGCCCGGGAGGATAATCTGCACGGAAAGGATCTTGCATACCAGATAGAGACCGACGTGCGCCGACGTGCTACACGGCGTTTCAGGTAGAGACGGCGCGGGTGTTGTGACAAGCGCAGGCGAGAGATGGGGTTGCCCCTCTCGGGCGCTGGAATCGCGGTAGCGGATGGGCTGGGGATGGTCGGACGAACAGTTGGGACGGGACACGACGAAAGATGGAAAAGAAACCTGACGCCGAAACGAAAGCGGACCGAAAAGAAAGAAAATGGAACGGGCGAGGTAGGGGATGGAGGAGGGAGGAAAGGAGGCCGAGATGAAGTGGCAGAAAAGCGACTAAGTCTGGAACTGTGCTCCTTCCCCACGCAACAACAGCGACAACGGTGTTTACGGGCGAAATCAGTCCTTCATTTAAGCTGACTTTTCTATTTTTCTACGTTCAATGTGTGCAATGTCATCGCGTATCCCAGCAGGCCTACATGCTACAGTACTTACTAGAGTACTGCGTAGTCCATACTCGACCCCATCGCTACGTGGATGCTCTGACGACGCCGCGCCAGAACGTACGGGCCGCATTTCGGCCCAGGCCAATCAGCTCGACTCCCTTGACCACAATTTAATGGAGGGCCAAGGGCCAACTTGAACCCGATGATCGTCAAGAGGTGAACACTGCCCCAGGCCCCCAAGCGAGGCATACTCGAAGTGTCGAGTCCATTGCTAGTCGTCCAGGCCAACTCCCGAGGGGATCGGACGGCACTTCAATAAAAAAGAGTACTCTACCCTTAAGGTACTAGTAATCTGCTCTCAAACGCCCAGGGGCCACTTGATGAGAGCATCCATGGAACGGGGTCGTCTGTCTCAAACCGCGCCCCGGTTGCTCCCTCATTATTCGTCCATGTTCCAGTGGATGCCCCTCTTTGGGAATGGTCTCTACTACTCTTGCGATGCATACAGCAAAGAACCCTAAGGCTGAAGACCAAACAAAAGAATGATACGAATAAAATCGAGGGGATTGAAAATGAAAGAACAATAAATAAATAAATAAATAAATAATAATAATAATAAAATAATAAGGGCAATGCCCGGAACATCTTATCCCAAGACAGCTCGCAGCTCAGGCCGCCTCGTTTCAGCTCAATTCTGAAACGCCTGTCGTGTCACGTGGCCGATCGTTGCGGTGGGAGGCCCAGGGGGATTGTCGACTAGTCTAGATGCATCTTAGGGTGCTTAGGGTCGTGCTGCGAGTGACTATGCCGAACAGGCAGGTGGGCTGGGCTGGGGCTAAAGAGGGGAAATTTTGGGAGGGCAGCCCTCGGGGCGCCTTGCCTTCTAAACCTAACTCAACTCAGATGGATACCGTGAGAAGATTCTAAGCACTACTGCAGTAAGGTTCCCCTGATGAACAATGCGAATGCGAGCCCCGCTTCCAATTCTTTCCTATTTTCAGGCCTTGTTTCAATAGCTCAAACACGAGGCCCTTGCATGGTTCTGCCGCGAGGCTGCAGCCAATAGTCCGATCGGATCGGAGCGTGGATTGACTGGATCAAACGCCCGGGGAATGAGATAGAATGTCAGATTTGCGGGAACGAGAACAGATCGTGATTTCTGCTGGCGCGGCTGGCGGTGGAGGGTGCACTGTTGCTTTGTGCCCGGGGCCGGCGCTGTCCATAGCTTTCGGGGCCATAGGGTCTAGATGGTGCTGAGCTCGGGGCAAGGGTGATCTTTTCTATTATTATATAGCCTACCCTAATCGGTGAAGCGTACACTGGGCAAGGCTGTGTTCATTGCAGAAACACATCATGGATCTTGAATACTACTGTCCTATCAGGATGGTACATAGCTGAGGGATGGTACCCTAATTTGTTTAAGGCCTTTCTGCCGCTACCCTACATGAATGTAGGAGCAGTCGGGCGCCTGATGTCTGAACATAATGTCATCACTTTTTCCCGTCTGGAGACTCCGAGAGCCCAGACCGATTGGGATGGCAGCGTGCCAGGTGGGCGGAGATACTCGCTGAGATGGTGACGGATCATGGGTTCGCAATCGACCCAACAACAATGACATCTCACCTCATCCACTCGCCACACAAGTCTTTCCACTCGTCTCCTTGATCGTCACAAAAGACAACGTGAACAAGCGGGGTTTCTAAACTGGAGCACATCCTCCCAATGGGCAGCTTGGCGTGGATCTCCCTTGTGGGATCCACACCAGCGCCCACAAATGGCTCATGGATCGATCGTAACAGCATAATCACTCCGAGATAATCAGGTCGGCTGACCGTCCAAATTCTGCAGCCGATCTTGGATGGCGCTGCGGTCATCGTGTCCTTCTTCGTCTTCGTACTCTTGCAGGACAATGGTTCGCATCAAGCGGCGGGGGGCGCGGCGGCCGGTGAAGAGCTCAAATTGTGCGAAGCCCTGCTCGGGGAGGACGTCCAGCCCGTCGAGCGCAACCCAGCCGCGGTGGGAGAGGGCACGCATTTGTTTCATCAAAGGGGTGTTAAGGGGTTTGTAGGCCAGCTGGGATGAGGAGTGTTAATTTGAAGATGCAGGGTAAAGTGATGACCAGGGGAAACGTACGTCAACAACGACGCCACCCGTCGGGCTTTCAAGCCATTGGGTCGGGACGTTGAAATTGGGCGCGGGCTGTCCGCCGATGCTATGCGCTGGGATACCAGATACAATGATGGTCGGATGTTTGTAGGTAGCGGGCCAAGGATCATCCAATGAGCGAAGCGTGCTCACGCGAGGGCGCCCGTCGGGTCGACTCCCCTCAAGAGAAAAGATTTCCTGTCGATTGTAATGGTGGGCGAGCTTCTCGGCGTTGGAAAGGGTGCGATTGTAAACAAAGATGTTCTCCACGCCGAGGTGAATCAGCGAGTACACGGCGGCACGCGCCATACCACCAGATCCAATGACGAGACCAGTTGTCGAGGGACGGACTGCATTGGCTGGTGACAGGCCTCGGCGAATGCAATTACAAATTCCGATCCAATCAGTGTTGTCGCCGTGGATTCCCTTGATAGGGCCAGCGCGACACTTCTCGATGTAGACGGACGATTCTTGTGCGAGGTGGGGATCCGCATCGTCATTATTGCGGATTGGAATGAGCGTATTGACGGCGCCAATTGCCCGAGCATGCGGCGACATGGAGTGGAGAAGGGGGATAACTTCGGTCTTGTAAGGGAGACTGACACTCGAACCGCCAAAGTATTGGTTCTCGACGAGGTCATTCAAGCCCCGCAAAGTAGGCGATTGGAAGATGGAGTAGAAATGAGGCATGCCACACACCTTGAAGGCTGTATTATGCATGGCGGGCGACATACTGTATTCCACATTGGCACCGAAGACGAAAAATTGCATCGGGTCCAAGGTAAAGGAGCTGAACAGGGCTTGTTGTGCCTCGCGGGCGGTGATGCTGGGTCGTAGCAGGGTAGGACTTTCGTGAATGAGAGAGGGATGTGTGACGGGTGTAAGAGTAGGATTAAAGCAACGGGACCTGCGACCCAGAGGCCCAGTGTTGTAGAGGATCAGAGGCAGTGCTGAGACTGGCAGGCTTTGGATGCGGTGTCGGAACCGCTGCACGGCAACGTTGTCATCCAAGCTCTCAGCGGGTTGACACATCCGCACCACATCGCAGCCGATTCTCTTTGCACGCTCATATATTTTCATATATTCGTCTCCATCCCAGCCTCCAGGGAGAGGCGTATGTGCCTCAAAATGACCAATGATCTTCGTTGTGCCCCTCGAACTGATAATCTGAGAGATGGTGCTGTCGTCGCGCGACAAGTCCACAGTCAAGAAACTCGGTGCAAGTCGTAGCCCATGTCGGACGAGATTGAGATAGGTCTCATCTGTAGATCGAAAGGTTGGAGTTGGTGACCGAGATCCTGGTGAGGGAGTATAACTCTCCACGTGATAAACCAAGGGCACAATGATATTGCGCCGAATGGTGGCCACCGTTTGACAGATGTTATCTGCGAGGTTGGAGTCAGCGCCCTGTTGATTCGAAGACGCAGGAACATCGATCACTAGCTCGAAGGCATCGACGGTGAATTCCAACTCCTCGATATCCAGTTTCTTCTTGCAGAGAGTAGAGAATGGAACAGAGACCACAGATGTAAAACGTCGGGTTTCAACGGGCAATAGCGAAAGCGGGAAGGAGGCATGCTGCCGCCTCATCTCGGTGGTGTCGCCAGTCACGAAAGCGATGAAGCTGAGGAAGTCTCGCTGAACGCGCTTCAGTGTCAAGAAGGGAGTCGGTGTTTGTGCTCGTTGGTCCAACTTCGGCCCTGGCGATGGGTCGTGGCCGTCCTTGGTCATCAGCTCGCCACTGGAGTTGGTGGTCTCGGACAGATTAAAGAATTCCAGGTTTGAACAGCCTCGGTAGATTGGTCCGGAGAGTTGGAGAAAGTGCCGCACTTTCTGCGTGTCCCATGCCTTCAGATACGACTGGATGCTTTCCGGATCACGGGTGACATGAATGACAGGATGTGTCTGCGCATACTCTCGGAGGAGTCGTTGACCAGTGCGCTCCATTGAGCCAGCACCGCATGCAATCACACATCCTTCTTGATTATCGGTCAGCATCGAGTCAAACACCCGGGCTTCCTGCTGGCGATATACGGCGTGGTCGTTATCCTTCTTGAACGCGGCGCGCGAGCAGCCGGTCATTTGTTGGAAATATCGGTCGGCATCGATCAGTCGTCGGCCCGATGTCGCTGCCAGTATAACGGCCAAGCTCGATTTACCCGTGCCTCGAATCCCGATCAGAACGACGGATGCCTTGGGTGTGAACCGGCGGGGAGTCTGGAGGGGGCCATTGTCGAAAAGGACCGGGGAACCGTGGTTGGAATGCAGTTCTCGCAGCGAACCCTGGGGGGTGTATGAGTCGCTGTGCTCTTCGAGCTGTTCGCTTGTCCGCCGTGAACCAGGCAGCGACCGAGCCGTCGGCCACGACACTGGGCTGGCATGCTTCCGAGGCCCCTCGTCGGGGTCGACCTCGTGCAGCTTGCGCTTCAGCGGGCGCACCAGGATGGACATGTCGCCTAAGATCTAGGAGGGAGGATGAAGGCCCATAGCCACAAAGCGAGATAGGTGATCGTAGCGGGAGGGGAAGTCGGAACCAAGCTGGGGGTAACTAACGGAGGGAACGCCAGGGTGGATTTTGCGGGTTTGCGGGGGAGCCTTTGGGCGGCGCAGGCTTGTTGGAAATTTTGGGGCGTAACGTACGGCGGTTACCGGAACAGCGTTCTGCCCGCAATACGGGTTTCCCCGCGGGGTACGCTGCGTGCGTGCGACATATGCAGCCAAAGGGGAAGGAAGCAAAACTCGTGCTCGGAGGACTCGGGTTCCTTTTTATCTGAATTGGCAATTGTCTTGTTTCTGGATTTTCGTCTCAAGAGGGTGCGATTGACCGGTGGTGCGTGGTCGCCTCAACTCACCGTGTGCTGGACCGCCCCATATTATATTTTGCCCAACAGAGACTGGCTCACCGCTGGCGGGTATCCGTATTCCAGGCGCCTTCCCCGGAACAACCACATTGACACCTCGGTGCTCGCTTGCCCCGGCTTTCCCTCCCCTGCGATTACATCGTTCATCCGATTCTGCCTGGCATCTCGCCTACATTCGACACTCGCACGGTCCATCAGTTTAGTGTGGGCCGTTGTTCATGGCGTAGGGCGCGCAACACCTCGTTTGCGCAGGCCGCCGTCGGCAAAAGATTCAACTCCCACTATACGATCACGTTGCATGAACATGCGCTTCAAACCGCCGAGTGGATAATCGCACCAAATCACCATGAGCTCCGAGTCGCGCCAAGCCACCGGAGCAAGTGGAAAATCCAAGCGTCGATGGACCGACGCTGAGGAGGATACCAGGCCAAATGGGCCGGAGGATTCTGCTCAACCCAAGCGTCAGCGAGTCTCCAGGGCCTGTGACAGCTGCCGCTCAAAGAAGGACAAATGCGACGGGGTCCAACCGGTCTGCTCAACCTGCTCATCACTATGTCGGCCCTGCACCTACAAAGCCAACCCCAAGAAGCGAGGTCTTCCCACCGGGTACATTCGATCGCTGGAGCTGTTATGGGGGTTAGTGTTTCAGAGGATCCAGGGTAGCGAAGATGTGATGCGTGCCATGATGCGCTCCATCAATCTCCCGAGCCACTTGGCGACGATGGGCAAGGAAGCCGAAGGGTCGGACACGCTGCTGTCTTCGTTCAAGAATAGTACGGTCCTTCGAGACATTGAGCGAATGCTGGTCGTGCTGGAACAACCGGAAGAGGAGAGAGAACGCAGCCTGCTGGCATACGGCGATGGGGATACACCGTTGGATGTCGACGGGATTCTTGCTTCTTCCGAAGCCCAGGAATGGCAGCTCCCAGAGGGAAGGGAGCAGCGTGAGACGCCGTCGTTCCCGGAGATATCACCTTCCCGCACCTCTATGACGGGCCCAGCTCCTCGAACTACTCGCGGCAAAGACTGCGGTGTCCAAACAACTCCTACCGACGATTTCCAACCTCAATCCCTCGCCATCTCTCTTATGCCCGACGATTCTCGATCGATCTCCACCAGCACTTCTCTCCAACTCCCTTTCAACGCGTGGCCTCTCCTCGACATCTACTTCTCATACACACAATGCTGGTTCCCGATACTGGAGAAGCATGACATCCTTCGCACGGCATTCCAATATACGGAGGGCGATGTGTACATGTCACGCACAGCATCCGGATCTGGTGATCATGCCGCTCTCTGGGCTGTGCTTACTCTTGCCTCTCTCCAAGATGCATCTATCACTGCCGGTGCACACTCCGATGGCCATGTCACCCAATTGAACTCTCTCCACTTGTACAACACTGCTCGAGACCTCATTCCTTCCGAAACCGGGCCCTTTGAGGTCGGACACGTGCAAGCGTTGCTCATTCTGTCTCTCATCAAGTTTGGGCAGCAGGAATGGACTTCGGCTTGGATGCTCGTCGGTCATGCGGTCCGAGTTGCCCAGACCGTGGGCCTGGATCAGCCGTCATCTCACGTCCCATCCAAAGCCACTGAACAAGGCAAGCAGCTGGGACGAGCAAAGCATGTCTTCCTAGGCTGCTTTGTTCTTGAGACACTCATTGCCGAACAGACCTCACAAACTCCGTCTCTTCGAAAAGACGACCTGGCTCGGGTCGGTTCCATAAACGAAGATGGATTGGAGGAGTGGCATCCATGGGAAGATCAGACCGGTCTTCGGCCAGCCCAGGTCTCACGAGCGTCCATGCAACGTGGGCCACTCCACGCACTGAGCACATTCAATCGACTAGTCTCACTCACTTGTATTTTGAATGATCTCTGCTTCTACAATCAGGATCCCACTATATCTCGGTCGCAACTGGAGTCATTGGAGCTGCAGTTGCAACGCTGGGCGACTGCTCTCCCGAAAAGCTATCGTGTGGATCTACAAACCCAGCCGCTGAAATTGGCTTCGCCGCATATATTTGGACTCGAAATGACTTATCAAAGTATTGTGACGACATTGAGTCTCCAAATTGCCTTGCGGGAAAGCGACCAGAACACCCCCGAAGCACCCCACAGGAGCCGTGCAATTGAGAGTTCCAAACGACTGTTGCAACTGCTTCAAACTTATATGGAAACATACAGCTTCTCGGCCACTGCGCCCACCTTCGGAATGATTCTCAAATACTGCCTCCCGCGCTCACTTACCCGCGATCTCGTGTCGGACGTTGAGCTTGGAATTCGCAATAAAATCCAATCATTCTCCACCCATCTTGGACAACTCTGGTTGATGCCGGAGAGACCGAATACTGGACGGACAATGGGCCAAAGAACTCAGGAGACAACCGTATCACCCGCAACATCTCAACAACCCGATCTCGCCACTCATGACGTACAGCACATCATGCCAGCGCACACTCCTCAACACCTCGGCGGCTCAGCAGAGCCTCATCCTTCACAGACCACCTCGCATCCTCCTCCATCAGATTCCTTCCTCTCCACTCCCTGGATTAGAGCACCTCAAAACATCGACGATGGTGCTGGATTGCTACCCACGCCCCCATCAATGAGTGCTGGCGCTGGCTCTGAAGTTCCAGGGCAACCCGGTCCGCTAGATGCATCGCTGGGCAGTGGCATGCGGCCATCTCCATCTGCGCCCTCCAAATCCCAGAATGGTCCTCCGATGATCCCTGATCTCACCACCCCTCCATTTCCTCCAGGCGGCCAATACCCCCCACCATACCAAGATCCATCACTTGGGCTTAGTCCATTTGTCGATATGGAAGGCTACGGAGCACCGCGGCAACAACAACCGCAACAGCAACGAATTGCTCCAGATCTGGATGCACTATTCGACGAGCTAGCATCGCTGGATGGTGCTGAAAAGTAAGTTTCCTCTTTGACTTTCCGTCACGGCAGATAAACTAACATTCTTCATAGGGCCGATAACCAACCAGAGTTCATGCAAAACCTCGGCTTCGTTGCTGACTCGAGTATGCCCGAGATTTATTCCTTCTCGAGCCAAATCGAGCCGTTCCTACTGGCACAGACGCAACAGATGCCTGGTAATGGGCCTGCGCCTGTTGGTCGAAGAGAATCTCAGCCAATCCGCTTGTCGGACACACCGAGGCGATGAGCCCCGCCCAGTGCATCTGTTATTTGGACACTGTATGCAGTGTAGCCGCTGGTCGGCGTCTTGTTTGAGTGTAAATATGAAATTTTGGAATGCCGATGTACGATACCACGTTCTGCGTTGGTGCTATGGCGTACTAGGGCTTTGGACACGGTTTCGTGTCCGAAAAGCGAGATTATATTCTATTTAATACTTTGACGGATACCGATAATCAAAAGTATTTTACACCTGAATGACTCTACTGTGAAAGATCTGCATCTGTGATTCTGCATACTTCAATTTCACGAACCCATTGTCCTATGTACAACCTAGGTTCATATATCCTAAATTTTGCGTAGTCATGTAGACAGCACTTTCCAATTTTAAACGGCGCCATGAAAAGACCATGAAGTCGAGGCTATTTCTTCACAGAGCAGCTTTACTCTCCTTCTCCAACTCCTTAAAATTGACCGCAACATGCTCAATAGCAACCTTATATCCATAAACCCCCAATCCAACAATAATACCAGCAGCCTTATCGCTAAAGTACGAATGATGTCTCCAAGGCTCACGAGCATGAACATTGCTCACATGGAGCTCGATAAACGGGATTCCAACACCGAGCAACGCATCACGGATCGCAACGGAAGTATGCGTATAAGCGCCGGGGTTGATGACAATGCCATCGACCTTTCCACGAGCAGCCTGGATCCGGTCGACGATCGCGCCTTCATGGTTCGACTGGAAGGCGTCGAAAGAGGCGCCGTGCTTGGCCGCGATGGTGCGGGCGTCGGCTTCGACGTCGGAGAGGGTGGTTGAGCCGTAGATGTGGGGTTCGCGGGTTCCCAGGAGGTTGAGGTTGGGGCCGTTGATGAGAAGGATTGATTTGCCCATTTTTATTTGATATAACAATTGCTTGAATGTTCAAGGTAGTGCTTTGATTGTGTTGGGATGATAGTGAACTGGATGTTCTATCAAACGGCGACGCTATGATTCGCGCGCAGCTGCTCTCCGCATTTTTCCCCTCCCCGGTCGGCTGAGTGCTTTGCCGGGTGGAGAGCGCTGGATGGGCGCGGAACCAGGGTGGATGCGTTGGCCCCGGTCATTGGGTTTATGGGTTACATGCTCGTATTTTTCGCTTCCTTTTAGTCATGGCTTTTGTCTGGCTGGGAATTGGAGGGACTGCCGAGAGTGTGGGGGATTTCAATGCTTAGGTGTGTTATTTCTGTCGGTGGGGTAATGAGGTCTGCGTGCGAGGGTGCGGCGCATGTCTTGAGCAGGCGAGACTAATCGTTGGGGACTGGTGCTCTTGAATTTTAGAGGAAAGGCAAGATAAGTCTGCTTATTGGGTCTCAAACGCGGGGTTGGTCATTGCGTGGCTAGTCAACATCTGTCTGATATTTCGTACACTACACTTGAGGATACTTTAGACGAGCTCAAGCAAGCGGAGGTCGGATAGGCCTGCGACTTTAAATAGCCTATGGCCAGTCTCTAGTATGAGTCATTTTGATTTGATAAAGGCATTGTACATCAGGCCCTGGGAGTTCCTGAGGTTAATCATGGCACTGCATGGTTTGGAATAGGAAGGGAAAATGCTTCTCGCTTCGTCAATTTATAAGTGGGAAGATACATACATTTGATTATGGTTTCATACTCAAGGAAGTCTTCCAATGCCCTATCAAGCACATAAACTACTTTCAGCAATTCGAGGTCAGCTCTAAGACCCAGCTATGTCAGTCAAACCCAATGGGACATCCGGTGGCCGGCATGATCCTCTCGAGTTGCCGCCACCGTCCCGACAACCAGACGAAAGCACCTTCGAATGAGTTATGATTTCTTTTTGTTCATCGAATTATTTATTCATTTCATATTAGATGAAACCCTAATATATTAGGAGTCTTCTAATAGTCCAGCACCCCCAAGCATCACCGCGCGCCCCACAGTGGGGAAACCCGATAAGGCAAATCGGTTAGCGGCGGTGACCTCGACCATTTTTCACCGAGAGTGACTCAGTCCAACAGCACCTCACCATCGATTAAACCTCCTACGCCTCCCCGACAGCTTCCTGGTTACTGCCCACCACCATACACGCCCATATCACCGATACCAGCGCCTCCCCGCACCTCCCGCCATGGCCGTGGGACCCCTTTCGCAAGATGAGCTCGACGATATATACGCTTTCGCGGTAGACCTCGGCCGCAAAGCTGGAGATCTGCTGATGTCGCGGGTCGAACAGCGTATTTCTGGTGGCGAGGGTAACTCACAAAGCTTCGAAGAGAAGGACAGCTCCGTGGACATCGTAACTCAGACCGACGAAGGTGGGGAGAGCTTTGGACCGCGAGGTCCTACACGCAGATGAGCTGACTTATTGCGTAATTTCCAGACGTCGAAGTATTTATTCGAAATGCTCTTCAGGCTAAATATCCATCCCATAGGTTGGTTCCCCTAATTTTTCTTGCATATGGCAACACTAGTAATGACAGCTCCAGGTTCCTGGGCGAAGAGACATACGCCAAAGGCCAATCGCGCGACTATCTGATTGACGAGCAGCCAACATGGTGCATCGACCCACTAGATGGTATGTTCCCAGCTGAAGCTATACTGTAGCTATCTGCCAGACCAAAGCTAATAGGTCTAGGAACGGTCAATTACACGCACCTCTTTCCCATGTTCTGCATCTCCATCGGCTTCATTGTGCAACACCGCCCTGTAATCGGCGTCATTTACGCCCCCTTCCAAGACCAGCTCTTCTCATCCTGCATCGGACGTGGCGCCTGGCTCAACGAGAAGCGCCAGCTCCCACTCATCCACAAGCCGTCTATCCCGCCCATGCCCGCGAATGCCCCTTCAGGTTGCGTCTTCTCCTGCGAATGGGGTAAAGACCGCCGCGATATCCCGGACGGAAACATGAGTCGTAAGATTGAGAGTTTTATGAATATGGCTGCGGAGCTCGGAAGTAGGGGCGGGAAGGGTGGGATGGTGCATGGAATGCGAAGCTTGGGGAGCGCGACGCTGGACTTGGCGTTTACCGCGATGGGATCGTTTGATATCTGGTGGGAAGGTGGCTGTTGGGAGTGGTGAGTTTAGTGTATCATTCTTCATCTGATATGATGCGATACTAATCGTGATCTAGGGATGTGGCTGCGGGAATTGCGATCCTTCTTGAGGCGGGTGGTCTTGTCACGACTGCGAATCCGCCCGAGAACCCTGATAGTGCGCCCATTCCGGACGTGCGACTGGGAAGCCGGCTGTATCTAGCCATCCGGTGAGTGCTTTCATCGCATCTTTAAGTGTTTCCAGACTGATTGATTTATTTCTAGACCTGCTGGACCGTCGCTCACCGAGTCTGGCCGCGAATCGCAGGAACGCACTGTTCGAGAAGTCTGGCGGCGCGTTCGTCACTTGGAGTATAATCGGCCCGGTGCATAGAGGACTGAGAGACGCATTTAAGACGCTACGACTGACTTTCAGATTTCAGGCATACTTTTTGAACTCAATTACATATCATTGGGACGTCTTTGTAGATTCATATTCATGTATTCCACAGCAAACCCTATCCATTTATATAATGCAAGAATCTTGATCTCTATACAATCGTTAAACAGGACATTAAACAGACACAAATGCAACGCTTTACAGGCTAGACTTGTTCGCCGCACGCTCGGCAACCGTCTTATCGACCAGATCCTTCACCTGCTGCACCAGGCCGGGGGTGCCAACAACGTCCTGACCAGTCCAGAGACGAGCCTGCTCCAGACCCTGCCAGATCAGAGCCTCCGAGCCGAGAATGACCTTCCAGCCACCAGTGGAGGCCAGCTGGGCGATCTCGGTCCAGGGGACAGGGTGGTAGCACATTTCCAGGATGACACCCTGCTGCTTGGGCGCATCGGCCGCGGTACCCAGGAAAGCCTGGATGACGGCGCGGGAGCGCAGCTCCTCGGGCGTCTTGGGCGGGTAGTTGGGGATACCGGAGACGATGGCGGCGGGGGACTCGAGACGAGCCGCCTCCTCGGGGTCGCTGACAGGAATGAGAGGGGCCTGGGCGTTGGGGTCCGGGTTACGTTGGCGGTCTTCGTTCATGATTGCCTCGACCTCGGCGGCATCCCGGTTGACGATGTAGATCTTGCTAGAGCCGAGCCAGCGGCGCATAACATAGACAGCAGTCCGGGCAGTGCCACCACCACCGATGATGAGCGCGGGCCGGCCGCGGAAACGCGAGGCATCGGGGGCGTTCTTGACGAGCGCCTCACGGATACCGTCGCAGTCGGTGTTGGTACCGACGTACTCGCGCGCGCCGGTCTCGGGGTTGGTGCGCGGGAAGATGGTGTTGCAGGCACCGGCTTGGCGGGCGTGCTCGGTCAGATCATCCAGGTGAGGCATGATGGCCACCTTGTGCGGCATCGTCACAGACGAGCCGACAAACTTGAGTTGGAGCGAATCGAGGCCAGGAACTTCTCGATTGGGGGCGACCGTGTGTACGGAGGCGGGTAGGTGGCCGAGGTGCCGGTGACGCTGGACAGCGGGATCTGCGTCCAGTTGAGGCCCAGCACATTGTAGACGGTCTGATGCAGTGGTGGCGAGAGCGAGTTGAGTAGCGGATGGCCGTAGAGATAGGCCACTCCGTCCAGGTGCGAGGGGATGGAGATGGGCTCCTCGGCCGGTGTTTGGCTGGCGGTTGAGACGGCGGGCGCGGCCATTGTGCAAGATGTGTGATGTGAGGGTGTGAAGGGGAGCGAGGGATTGATCGGAGGATGATGGGTATTAAGATTAAAAAGCCCGGAGCGCGTCGGGACCAACTGAAGCTATCTTCAGGATTTTACGATTGACGACGTAAAGATAGAGCCGCGGGGCGGAGAAACACTTTCCTCCCACGCCCGCAGCTTCCACGTCGCGCCTAGTCGTCTCCCACTTTACGGTTCTACAGTACTTGCCAACTTATGACAGGGAAGACTATATTTGCTATATCGACTACAGAACTAATAGCAGCCATTATCGCCGTTCAGAGCTGATCGGCCTCATGTCGTGGCTGGAAATGCACGACATCCGCTTGGCCGTGGCAGAATGCTTTGCCACAGTATACCACACCCCACGGGGGATCTACTTGGCTAACGACAGAGTTTGCAGCGGCCAATGATCAATTCGATGTTACGATGGCTGAGGAACTCGCCCAGACGCCCCGAACAGGGTTTCGCATCTGAACCGAGGATGATCACCTTCTAGACGAGCATGGGTGCAGCGCCGGGGGAGCGCTTTTCCCCGCCACCCGCATCGCATCGGCAGCCATTGGCCGTCCACGCGTGTGCATTGAATGGGGACCCAGTCATCTCTGCGAATGAGAACCAGCACGTTTCGCCATGTCGAATGCCGACTGGAATGGCTCGTGCACCTGACAATGTACCCCCGACGACCCCGTCTGGAGAAGAAAAAATTGGAGATGGCCATGTCCCTCCTCCCCGAGCCTCTGCCCCTTTATAGAGAGTAACACACTAAGGATGCTCCACTTGCAGCGGCATCGGCCCTCCCCACACGCCCAACGGACCAATCCACAGCGGAGGCTCGCTCGATTCTTGACTCACGCGGGCTGGCGTCGCCCACAAAGTCGCCAACACGCGAGCAAACCTTCTTGGAGCCAAGCCTTGGGCTTATATTCCGTCGTGCGCACAGTCCCCTCGACTCAAATTTCACCTCAAGTTCGCTTTTCCGGCGTTGGGCCCCTCGCGCGTGTCGCCCAGACTTGCCAGGGCAGCCGTAAAGCATAATCGGTCTATACTTTTCTCCGCCTCCACGTCTCCACGATTTCCCTCTCGCCCCTCGGCCATCCCCAGATTCCTTCTCTTTTCCCCCAGGGTAAGAGCTCTTCTTCTGGGAAATCTCGCGTGGTTATTTAGATCGCGGCTGTCCCCCCGGATGGTCTGCGTCAGCCTCCTTCCATCCCCTCCCCAGACTTCGACTTTTACTCCATCACCACCCTTTTTGCCTTGATACCTGCACCCTCTCGCTACGCGCGCGGTGACCGTTCCTGCTAGGGAGATCTAACTGCTTCTGTGCATTGTACATTGGCAGGACGGGTCGAGTACACCTCGTAGTGTCCGGTGAATTCTTCAGTCTGTTGCATTGTTGTGTGTATTTGTGTCCGTTGAGTCGCCACCATGTCCATCTTGAAGCTGGTCGAAGACCGGCCAACCCCCAAGCAGGTCTACAACTGGAGGATCTACCTCCTGGCAGCTGTCGCGTCGTGCACATCCTGCATGATCGGCTACGACAGTGCCTTCATTGGAACCACACTGTCGTTGAAGTCGTTTAAGGATGAGTTCAACTTCGCCGCTCTGTCCGACTCTCAGCAAGATCTGCTGAGTGCAAACATTGTCTCCACCTACCAAGCTGGTGCATTTTTTGGATCATTCTTCGCCTACCCCATTGGCCACTTCTGGGGTCGCAGATGGGGTCTGCTGTCTGCGGCTCTGGTGTTTATTTTGGGTGCTGGTCTTATGCTGGGCGCCAATGGTGAGCGAGGCCTCGGTCTTCTCTACGCTGGACGAGTCCTGGCCGGTCTGGGTGTTGGTGCGGGCTCCAACATCACCCCCATCTACATCTCCGAATTGTCGCCTCCGGCTATTCGTGGTCGACTGGTCGGTGTCTACGAACTGGGCTGGCAGATCGGTGGTCTGGTCGGCTTCTGGATCAACGTGAGTGCTCCTTTCCCCATCTTTTACATCATCTTTTCAGCTGGTGCTGACGCGTCTCTGCTCCACAGTACGGTGTTGAACAGACTATGGCTCCGAGCCACAAGCAATGGATCATCCCGTTTGCAGTCCAGCTGATTCCTGCTGGTCTGATGCTCATTGGTGGCATCTTCATTCGCGAGTCGCCTCGTTGGTTGTTCCTGAGCGGTCGCCGTGACGAAGCCATCACCAACCTGAGCTGGATCCGCCAACTGCCCGAAGACGACATTTACATGATTGAGGAGATCGGTGCCATCGACCAGGCCCTGGAGGAGCAGCGCTCCACCATTGGTCTTGGATTCTGGAAGCCTTTCCAGGCTGCTGGTTCCAACAAGAAGGTCATGTACCGTCTGTTCCTCGGCTCCATGCTCTTCTTCTGGCAGAACGGCTCTGGCATCAACGCCATCAACTACTACTCCCCGACTGTCTTCGAGGTACGTAGTGCCCAAACCCGCAGAATCTGTAGCAAAGTACTAACAAAACATTCAGGCTATCGGTGTCCAAGGAAACAACAGTCTGCTCACCACCGGTATTTTTGGCGTAGTGAAGACGGTCGTCACCTTTGTCTGGCTGCTGTACCTGATCGATCGCGTCGGTCGGCGTAACTTGCTGCTGATCGGTGCTGCCGGCGGTTCCATTTGCATGTGGATTGTTGGTGCGTATATCAAGATCGCCGCACCGGAGGACAATCCCAAGCCGCACATGGACGGTGGCGGTATCATGGCCATGTTCTTCTTCTACCTGTGGACCGTCTTCTATACCCCCACCTGGAACGGTACCCCATGGGTCCTCAACTCGGTAAGTCAGACCTCAATGCGGAGTGTGTTCAGACAAGCGAAGAGGACAATATTGACAATCCATTCACAGGAAATGTTCGACTCGAACATGCGTTCTCTGGCACAGGCTTGTGCCGCCGGCTCCAATTGGCTGTGGAACTTTCTCATCTCGCGCTTCACGCCGCAGATGTTCGCCAAGATGGAATACGGCGTGTTCTTCTTCTTTGCCTCTCTGATGATCTGTTCGATCGTCTTCGTATTCTTCCTCGTCCCCGAAACTAAGGGTATTCCGCTGGAAAGCATGGATGCCCTCTTCGCGGTCAAGCCCATCTGGCGCGCGCACCCCACGATGGTGGCCCGCTTGCGCGAAGAGGAAGAGCGATTCCGTCACGATATCGAGGAGAGCGGAGTCATGGCGGCCAAGGTTGGCGCAGACCAGGTGGAGAATATCAATGCGGAGGAAAGCAAGTCATGATGGATGACACGTGCAAATGAGTGCTGAATGTTCTTTTTGCTTTTGAACGAGTTGTAGAGTCGTGTTTCGAGCTTGTTAGTCCGGTCGGGAATTCTTCCCTACGTGGAGATTGTCGAATGTCCAAATATTGACGAGAAATTGACGATGTTCCTCAAATCATTCCAGGATATGCTGAGAACAGGATTATCCGGTCTTTACAAAAAGCAAAGGACGCCTGTGAAACGACTGTAGATTTTGACTGCTGTTTTTGTACATGGAGGTATCAGCATGCTTCCTTCCGTTCGTCAGCTCATAGCATTTCCGACACTGCCAGGTACCGAAAAGAGCAGAGATCAAATTATTGCTTCGATTGCGAGAGCAGATCAACGTCAATATCAACAGGCTGACCTGTCCGCATCGCCTGTTGCACAGCTTCACAGACAATCAAGGCGCGCAGACCCTCTTCGCCAGAACAGCTAGGCTTCGCATCACCACGGATAACATCCACGAAATGCGCTACTTGCAGGTCAAATGGGGCAGCATTATCCGGCAAGGGAATATGATCAACCGTCAACGGCTGCGACCAGCTCTTTTCGGCCCTGCCATCATAACTCCAGCGGATCAGATCGGGGACACTGAGCGAGGCATCTGAGCCAAAGATGCGATAGAAATCTGCGCCATCGGACTTCGGGATCATCGGATTTTCACCGGTTCCCGTTTCAAAGTTATGGGGTGAGGGCGTGGCGTCGCATACAATGAAAGAACCGACAACGCCAGATGAGAAGCGCAGTGTCAAGGCAGCTCCCTCATCTGCATCGTGCGGAGGACTAGGGCGTTGAGGAAGAATCTTCTCGGCCTGAACGCGGACGACGGGTCCGAAGAAGTGGTGCATCAGATCAATGTCGTGGACCAGGTTGATGGGAATGACACCACCGCCCCGAACCCCCGACGCACGCCAGTCACCATTACCAGCGAAGTAGGGATCTGGCTTGTACAGAGTCCACAGACCGTTGATAGCAATCGGTCGGCCGAGCGATCCACTGTCCAGAACAGACTTGGTGGCCCGGACATAGGGATTGAAGCGGCGGTGATGACCGACCAGAAGCTTAAGATGTGCGCGTTCAGGAGCCGAGGCAAATTCCAGAAGCGACCGGCCTGTTTCCAGGGTGTCGCTGAATGGCTTTTCTAGAAGGACGTGGACGCCGCCAGCTAGTAGTTCCTTCGCAACCGGGACGTGGGTGTTGTTCGGAGTACAGACAATAGCTGCGTCGGGTCGGTTCGGCGACGCCAGGAGATCAGCTACTGATTTGTAGTAGGAGGTTTTCAAATCTGCGGCGGCCTTTTCACCGGCGGGCATTGGGTCGACGAGGGCAGCGAATTCCGTAGAGGGATTGGAGATAACGGACTGTGCATGGCGCGGGCCGATGAGACCGGCGCCAATAACCGCGACTTTGATGGACATGATAGCTTCAGTTCGGGTATCGTATGATTTAGATGGTCGAAATCAAGTTGAGAATAACCTCTTTAATTTAGATTTCACGGTAGCAAGATAGTGTGTCGTGGGAGAGAGGTCCCTGTCGCTAAAAAGGGCGTCATGGCGAGCACTCCGGGGTTCATTGTCGGGCTTGGCAGGTCCCAAAGTGCAGAAACGGCCTTGACATATCCGACAGGAAATAGTATTGCCGGGGGCCCGGGGCATTTTGTTGAATCAGCGTGGGGAAATCCTTCTTGCGAGGCGGGCGAGGAGTGTCCCTTTTGATGGGCGCTGGTGGAGTGCAGTGGAACCACGCGGCGGGTAAACACTCAATTGATAAAACACTTACCCGGTCACCTGACCCTGCCCATTACGACGCTGGGGGAGAAGGCAGCTCCAAACACTTGGGGATAATGTTTTATCTCGCACGTTGAGGAGAAAAATGACCCCAGGGGGCAGGGCTTGCCCACCAATCCAGATAATGTTTTCCCAGCTGCTGCTGCCTTGTGTTGTATCTCGTTGCATTGCATCTACCTCATCTCGACCAGCCTGAAGGCAAATCCCGGCATCCTGACTCCCCGTTGCCACTTTGACTATATACGAAATACACCCTTATCTCTCCCTCCTCTCCTTGATATCTCCTCCAAAAATGGCGTATAACCGCCCCGGCATTGCGTCTATGTCTCTGGGCCGGCCATGGATCCACGACCTCCCCGGCAAGCTGATGACAGCCGCCGCCCACGGCTTCGAGGGAATCGAGCTCTTCTTCGACGACCTAGACTGCTACGCCCAGCGAACATTCAACGGCGACCACCATGAAGCCGCTCGCGCCGTCCGCCGCATGTGCGAGCGTCTTGGCATGGCTATCATCTGCCTTCAGCCCTTCTCCATGTACGAAGGCCTGCTGGACCGCGCCGAATCCGACCGGCTGGTGTGTGAGAAGTTGCCAAAGTGGTTCACGTTGGCGCGGGCTCTGGGCACCGACATGATCCAAGTTCCCTCCAACTTTCTCGGCCCTGATCCCAAGACCGGTGCGCCCCGGACAACGGGCGATCGAGCCGTAATCGTCCGCGACCTGCAGCGTCTCGCTGATCTTGGCGCCGGCGCTGGCTTTCGTTTCGTCTACGAGGCGCTGTGCTGGGGTGACCATGTCGACACTTGGGAGGCGTCGTGGGAGATTGTTCGCGATGTCAACCGTCATAACTTTGGCCTATGTCTGGACTCATTTAACATTGCTGGTCGTGTATATGCCGATCCGGCTTGCCCGACTGGTCGGACGCCCAATGCCGCCGCAGACCTGGCTGCCTCGCTGGATCGTCTGCGGAAATCAAAAATCGACCCGGCCAAGATCTTCTATGTGCAACTTGTCGACGGCGAGCGTCTGAAGGCCCCACTGGACGAGAACCACCCCTTCCACGTGCCAAACCAGCCCGTCCGCATGAACTGGTCTCGTAACGCTCGTCTTTTCCCCTTTGAGGAGTCGCGTGGTGGCTACCTCCCCATTGTGGATGTTGCCCGTGTCTTCTTTGAGGATCTCGGGTTTAAGGGCTGGGTTTCGCTCGAGCTGTTCAGCCGCACTCTTGCTGATCCTGACCCTTTCACTCCTGTCGACCATGCCCGCCGTGGTATTGAGTCATACTACAAGGCTGCCCGCATCTTCAACTTTGAGGGCCAGGAGCAGAAGAGCTTGAGCTATGCTCCCATTCCTGAGCCTTCGTCTCCGGTTCAGCACCGTCTGTAGTGCTGATCGCGTGTTTCTATATCTCTGATTCCTCTTGTCTATATCTGATTTGTATATATTTCATGTTTAACGACTGTTGATGATAGATTGCTGTGGATCAGGCATTTGTATCTAGGCATAAAGCGACCACACTGAATTCATATTTGATCAAACTTTAAGCATTTCTCGGTACTTGCTAGAAGGCACCAATCAGTATACCACACTGCATTACAATATGGCATACGACAAGGTCGGATGAAATGATCCGTTTATGCCACCATCCTACGTAACTACTCCGTTTGGCAGCATCTATCCCAAGCCAGCTGCGTTGGGTACTCATATTTCGAAGCCTGTAATATATCGGCGCCCAAATGTTCATTTCAGATCAAATAGAACTGGACGCGTAACACTTGTGAAAGCTCAATCTACAAACGTGGTGCTCAAATCACATTACTCTGCAAGCTCCGGTTCAATAATACCCACCCTGCGCAATAAACTGCAAACTGCCTCGTTTCAAACCGATAAATATAATTTCAGACGAACATATGCTAATTGAGTTACAGTAGAACGACCTGGGGAAACATCATGGCTGTCGTATTCTGAAAATACACTCGAGACTACAGAAGAATCTTGAATCAGTGCTGAAGCAGGGAATTGAGAAGCAATCTCATCGCATACAATTTCATTCGCCCCCTGACAGCTCCGGAGAAATGTTAAAATAATCATAGATCATTTCCGTAGTAGTACATCAGTGGTGCGCGGCTTAGTATTCCAATATCTCGGAATTGGTCTGTAGGTGATGAGCTCATTTCATTCTTGTTTATCTTCCTTTTGAAAACGGCTTTTTGACTTTCGATCTGAATCGTGTGCCCCATGAAACGATGTCATGGGAAATTAGGCTCCAAGACATGGAGTTACCTAGACATGAGGCTCCCAATAATGCAGCGTATAAGCAGTCTTCAAGACGAGCCCTGTAAGACAAGATCCCCACTCTCGATGCGATAGAATTTCGTGACGGAAGTTTCTTGAGCTACTCGGCTGTTAGGGACTAGCACTAAAGGATTGATTTCATATCCCGCTGCAGAAAGCTAGCCAGGCACTAGATTAGTAGTGTCTGAATCGGATTACGCGTCACTTGGCGCGATGCGGCATTCCAACCTTCCCGCCGTCGCAAGAACCTAGAGTAAGCTACATCCAGACTATGAAGCCTGTGAGGATATCGAAAGCTTGCTTTCAACTTGGTTAAGGGTCAACAACATTGAGCGATACGACCGACGAGCAAATCCAGCGGCTGGCGGATAGATGCCATACGATTACATGAGAGAATAATTCCTGATCCGGGTGACCCAATCTGATATGTTACCCAAAATATTCAATTAATCCGAACTACCAAGCTAATAACAGGTCCCAAATTAAGATGGTTGTACAATGCTCTGCGGAAATGTCGAAACTATTCCGCACACCAAAACTATAGCGCAGTGACTGTTCCGCAGATATCTCTGTACATGAGCCCCAGCCATCAGTTTTGGGTCTGGAACACGCTCTGAATGGCCGTGGCAATCGCCACAATACCACAAGCACCTGGATCCGGAATACCCTTGGTAGGGTTATCATCACCTTCTTCACTAGCGCCGACATAGGTAGATCGACCGAAAGTGGATTTCATCCACTTAGTGGCCTCCGCTCCATCCTCAGCGGCCTTGAGGGCCTTATGTAGCGCATTGGAAGCATTTTCCTTCTCGGTGAATACAGCCTTGGACAGCTCGTTGACGAAAGGAATCAAGGCATCCATCAATGTACGGCTGTTCTCCCGAGCATTAGTGTATCCTTTGAGAGTCTCCAGGGCCTGAGTGGCGCTCTTGGCAAAAAGCTGAATGTTGACCTCCTTGAATTCTTCGTGGTTTCTCTGCACGCCGGAGACGAATGAGTTCAGAAAGATGCCGTAGAGAGCACCGGATGTTCCGCCCATGCCGCTGCGGACAGCAGAAGCAACCTTCATCAAGCCCTTTGAGAGACTTGCAAGAGTTTCTTCGCCTTGCTCAGAGATTGCGTGTGCGGCCTTTGCACCTGCGAGCAGTGTAGTTCCACAGTCTCCATCACCCATCAGAGTATCATATTCTGTCAGTTTTGGCTCGTCTGTTGTCACTTGGGCGAGAATGTTCTCCAGAATTTTGAGGAAGACACGCTGGTCGCCTATATAATTTTGAAAAATTAGTGATCGAACAGACATAAATGACATGGGAAGGTGAAACGTACACATAATTTCCTTATTCAACTTTGGAGAGCGGGCGCGCTTGTTCTCCGGGGCAGCCTCTGCCACTGCAGCATTGCGCAGGGGCTGACTTGTGGCCCAGCTGCCTATTTCCACAGGCTCGTCCAGCAAGGACAGCAAATTGATGTCTGAATCAAATATCTTGGGTGTCAGATTGGCGATGGTGATATTAAATCCCGGTGCATCCAGCGCTGTCAAGTATGTGTTGACATAGATGCGGATCGGGGTGATATTGTATTCTGCTTTCAAGCACTCCAAGGTGACGTTTGCGATAGCTTGTAGCTCGAGTACTGACAAACCGCCCAGATTGTTCACCATCAATACCAGCTCTGACTTGTTTTGCGGTACCCCTTGGAACTTGAGGAATCCATGCTCGGGGTCATTCTCGTTCAGTAGAAGCTTCAGCATGTTGCTCACGAGCTGTTCAATAGAGGGCTGCGGTGAGATCCGCTGGGCGCCAGGCTCATTGTGGATACCCATGCCGAGTTCGATAGCATTCTCAGGGATTGAAGGCTGGTCAGCGCCACCGGGAAGGTTGGCGTAGTCCAATGAGCATCCAATAGTGGCCATATTATCCGACACATGCTGCGCAACCTTGGCAACCTCGGACAGGCCCAGTCCGCTGGCAGCGGCAGCTCCACTGATCTTGTGAACAAGGACCGCACCGGCCAAGCCTCGCCGGCCGACGAGTTTTCCGCGAGAATAGGGTACTGATACATCGTCTGCAATTGTGACAATGTGGGTGGGGATCCCGGTTTGGGCTTGGTATGTCTCGGCGGCAAGGCCGAAGTTGAGCTTGTCGCCAGTATAGTTCTTGACAATGACCAGGATACCTCGTGGTGTTGCGACGCGGTCAAAGGCAGAAATGATTTGGTCAAAATTAGGCGACGCAAAAACCTTTCCGCAGACGGCCGCGTCGAGCATCCCTTCGCCGACATATCCGGCGTGGGCAGGCTCGTGGCCGGAGCCACCACCACTGATCAGGCTCACTTTTGTTTCGTCCTGGCCAACGGGACGATAGAGAACTATATGTCACATTAGCTTTTGCTCGACGGGTTCCTGGTTATTGCTGCAATGGGTTCGTTTGGCAGAGCGCACCTTTGTTTGCCGAGTCATAGCGCAGCGTTGGGTTCTGGGCCGCCAACGACTTGCACATGTGGTCGACTATGAGCGTCGGGTCATTGAAAAAGGCCTTGGACTTCATTTTGAGATTGACAAAATTCCCAGGAGAGATTGACTTGGGGGCAGTATCCGGGGGCAATCTGGCTCTGGACACCCTTGAAAGAGGAGAAGCCGCCAGCCAGCGTCTGACAACGTACCCCTTTATACCATGCGACGCGGCCTCGGGAAACCTGACGAGCCGCTGAGCAACCCCGCAAATGCGTAGCCCCCACGCTGGCATGATGTCTGGTCTGGAACTTCGTGTTCCCTTGGCTAGTCGCACAGACCCTGGCACCTGTTGCGCATAGTTGTTAGGCTCGCCGGAGACGGACGAGTTCTCCCGGGTGGATCCCGCTTTTTTTCCGTTCAGGTGACACCTTTAGCCTCGCCCACCCCCCGGCGCCAGCTATCAGACAGCACGATCCAGGCAAGTTTCCCGAGCATAAAAAGCAACAGGGAACAAACAATTCCTCCCTTGCTTTTGCTTTTACCCCACAGATGTACTGATGTGCTATCTTCTCCACTGGCGACGCGCAGGGCCCACGGGATCGTGCATGCGGGGCTCCATGTCAAACCATTCCCCAGCGAGTAGGTTGAGGGATGATCGCCACGACTAAAATTCCTACGCCTCGAACCAGAACTGGTTTGTTTCATCCTTGCCAGGCCCCCTGGCCGTGGCAATGACGGTTTTCTTTCCGAGAACAGGGATACTTCGCCTCTCCTTCCTTAATGTGCATGCCGCCTTTCTGGGAATGGACCTTTCCGTCGCTGGCATTCATTCGCCTAGCAAAGTGTCTTGGCATGCCTTTAGAACGCCGTGCTACTATGCTGCCTAATTTGGGAATTTTAACCACCTCGATTTCACCATTCGCGAGCAGCGCCTCCTGGGTCCTCATCGGGTGTACATGAAGTCTGTCGGTGAAGAAATTCATCGAGGAAAAAGCAAGTATATGCAGGGCAAAAATAGGCACTATGGCCGGCGCTCCAGGCGGTCTAGCCGCCTGCGTAGAATATCATCTCCCCTTCTAGATGCAGATCGAAATCCTTACCTTATGCAGCTCGAGGAACAGCTCCACGTGTTCCTTCAATTTTGGACTCCGCACCTCATCATATGAGCTGCTGAGATTTTCATCTCACCCCTTCTTGCTTTTTCCGATTTCGGTTGCCATTCCAGTCTGGCCTTGGCATTGAAAGTTTTGCAGTTAACCGGAATTTAAGCTTATCCTAACCTTTCTCTATAATCGTGTTGAGGCAGAATTCAATTTGGAAATCAGAAACATTGAAAGGACAGAAAGATCAGACGCGCTTGTGGTGTATGGGCCTCTTTCGTTTCACGGCACGGCTACCCCTATGAAGATAGACCAGACAACTAACAGTAATAATAAACACTCTCGCATCTAGACGCGAGAGTGGAACCTCTCAGGTGATAACAGCAATATCCATAGTGCTCCACAAAGCTACCCCTAACCTGGGACTTGGTCCCCAACGTTTCTCTTCAACAATATGAGAGCTCGCAACGTGTCACATCAGTTTCAACGATCGCCATGCGAGGTCGAGAAATTTTGAGAAGATTCAATTCCGAGTTCCGAACATGATTTCACTATCAGCCGATATAGCCCTTTGAAATTCATACGGTTGCTTTTTCCATGTCGAAAAGGATCCACGGTCTGATCGACGGCCCTACTGTATGATACACTAGCACGAGGCGATCGCTGATAGCGAGAGGGCGCCCTCTCCAGAGTCAACGGAAACCGGTCTAGAATGCTGTCATTTAGAAGCGGGTAATTGGCGGAGGCATAGAAAGATGGCCTGATAATAGGACCGATAACATGATGGAGTGTAACTTTTTGGAAGTCCCCGTGGTCGGACATTGGCAATGACACCGCGTTCGCGCCTGCGCCTCGCCGCAGGGGTCGCGCAGATCCGTCTGTTTTTGATGGGGCGAGCACTGGCTGAACCGTTCTGCCGGTTTTTACCGGGTCACGGGACTGAAGACGTTATGGTCATGTGATACTGCTTTGCCATGTTTGCGTTCCACCAATCATGTGGCTTCCTCTTGTTAGTTTCCACTGCGTCCATTATGCCGCGGCATTCATTCAACCATCTATACTTGATCCCCTGGAGCCTGCTTCCCCCCGACTACCGTTCCTAACGAGGTGCTTTGAGATTGCATAAGTCAACTCCTCAAGTGCGCTGCCAAAGTACCTTGGCCTTAGGCGCCAGATTTTCATATCCCTGGAACAGCCGGCCCAAGAGTCTTTCCAGCTCAGCGTACGGGATACTCGAGTTTGAACAAGTATGCCGCTGCGGCGATCGCATGCCAAATCCCATCACGGTTGCGCTCAGTGCAAGGAACGCCGAATAAAATGCGATGAGACCCGCCCGTCTTGTGGAGCTTGTCGGAAAAAGGACCTCGCCTGCACGTTCAGCAGCTATCATTCCGAAGACACTCGCCTTCAGAACTGCGTTCCAGATAGCCCAGGACAGAATCATGGGATATCAGTCGGACTACCGCTGACTGAACTCGAACTCTTGCATCATTGGCATACGGCGACAGCTATATCGTTGGCAGAAAACGAGGCCCTGAGTGGAGTTCTCCAGACACTTGTTCCCCGCAGGGGCCTGACTCACCCGTTTCTCATGCATGGTATACTAGCTATTTCAGCATTGCATCTTTCTCAGGAAATCTCTGGCCCTCGCCGTCAAAAATACACCGAAATCGCCATACAACATCACAGCTTGGCGTTGTCTCTGTGCGCGCCGTTTCTGAGCAACGTCACGCCTGAAAATTGCCACGCTCTGTTCGCCTGCTCCCTCCTTATCGCCAGCTTCTCTTTCGCTTCTCAAGGGCTGGTTGTAAGATCCAGGCCGATTGATGTGAATGACGTCACAAAACTTTTCAAATTGGTCCGTGGAACCGCCTCCATCGTGGAAAAGTCCCGGCCGTGGATTGAGCAGGGTGATCTGAGCCTTCTGTTGAAATTCACCCGATGCGCCCAGCGGACCCCAAGATCAAAACGTGTCTACGAAGTACATGCTCATTTAGAAGCACTGATTGAGCATAATGCCGAAGAAAGCCACCCTCAACTGCAGAGTGACGAGCACGCGGTCGTACTCAGGTCTTCCAAGCATCTCCTTGATGTTTTTGATTCCTGCATGGCAAGCGAGAATCAAAGTACGATCTTAGCATGGCCAGCGATAATAGATCCTGAATATCTTGATCTCACGCTGCAAAAGGACCCGAGATGTTTAGTGACCCTCGCCCACTATGGAGCTGTTCTCCATATCATGATCAAAGCTTGGTGGATGGAAGGTTGGGGGAAACTTTTGATCAATATTGCCGTGGAAAACTTGGCCCACAGTTTTCAGTCATCGATCTCGTGGCCTGTAGCTATCATCAATGGCGATGAATCTGGGTGATTAAAAAAGTCCAGCACCGTGATTCTTACTATTTTGGGTATAGTTCTCGAGGTTGTGGGGCGAACCGCATCGGTTCCTAAATCTACCAAATCGTGATTGCATATCCCCATTTCCGCATTTCCGGCAGAGGCTGACATACTAAACATTCGGGCACAACCGACTGCGAGATTAGCGATCCTGCAGAAAATGTCGAACACGTTTGCGGGGTCCCCGGATATCTGGCTTTCCCTCACATCAAAAAAAGTCGCCGAATATCGACATGACACTCGTGGACCCGTCGAACTGCAGATCTCACCTAATGCGTATTCGTACTCGTACATATGGACAAAACAAGCTTGCCAATTTCGCTGCCTCGGAATAGTCGTCATATACTCGATGCATAGGCCGACATGGCTTATAAAAAGGGGGATATTCCCCTCAATTGAACCTGCAACAAATTCGGATGTGTCTCATCTACACATTCTTCATGTTGAAGATGTATTGGCCATTCTTCACTGTTATCAGCACAGCTGCCCTTGGTATATCGTCAAAGGTACCCGCACCTCCTGAGCAAGAATCAATCGAAGTAATTGAGCTCCCACTGCCTCCGGTTGCTCCGAGCAACACTACGGGAGCTTGTTCGGTCTCAATCAATCACCACCGAACTGGCTGCATTGGAAAGATATCGGAGTCTTTCCAAGCAGGCGATTTCGCACCTGATGGCAAGCATGTGGTGGTTACCGTGGAGTTTGTCGGCGCACCTGCGGCACCAGACCCGGCCAGCATATACAGCGGACTACAACTCATTCTCGTGAAATCGGATGGTACGAACTTCACAAATGGCGACCCATGGAAATGTCTGAGCTGTGGTGTTCCCGCCCAGAACGCTCGTTCTGTGGACTCTTCAAAAGACTATCCCCATATCGCTAGAAATGCTCAACAGGTCCTTTGGGGGCATAACATCCTTGATTGTAGCGGTATTCCCTTGACCAGCGATCTCTGCGCACCAAACAAGACCCACATATATCCAATCTATTGGCCAGCGGGCAAGAACAGCTCCGGTACACCACGCGAAATGCGCATGCACCCAGACGATGTACATATGGGCTGGAGCTCTTTTACCACTGGAGGCGAGTACGCCTACTACGGTCGACTGCAGTTCAATGCAAACCCATCAAACGGCACTCTTCGTGTCCCTCGTTATGACCTGGTCGACGTGAATTTGCTCGTTCAGCCCAACGGAACCGCCCCTATCGTGGCCCAAGGTTCCGAGCTCAGGATTCATGACGAAGCCATCTCAGTTGGTGAGCTGCGCGGGTTTAGCGGCTCGGGCGACGAGATCCTATACATAGGATCAACGCGCGAGGCAAATAACATTGATCTCTTTGCGGTACATATCATCACTGGTGCCGTTCGTCGTCTTACAAGCCACCCCGAATACGCTGATCCGATCGCATTTTCGCACGACAACCAGTGGTTCGTTTCAATGGATACTCGTGGATCGGACCGGCAAATGTGGATGTCGGGGGAACGGTACATTCCCCCAGTTATTGATCTTGTCACGGTGACAGCTGCTTCGTCAACTCGCAATAATGGTGCGCGACGCTTTTTTCAGCCAATCTTAATCGATCGCTACGGCGATCGGGGTGAATACTTTGGCCAACAGGTCAATTATGAAGCCAATCCGAGCAATGGAAGTGTCGGCGATCCGAACTGGAATGGCAGGGCAGATCCAGCATTCTCTCCTGATGGCACCCATATTGTCTATTGGCAGGCTCTGGTGGTCTCTCCTGCCTGTGGTGGCGAAAACCCATTACCCTGCCCAGTCTCGACTGCTCAAGGGGGTCGAACCTATCGCGTGATGCTGGCACATTTTGCGAACCGCAAACCTGCGAAACCGGCCCCGATCTTCGCTGCCCCGGACTATATCCCTTGGGCAACACCTTTCCCACCGGGATCCAGTCCTCCTACCCCGTATTCTGTACCCGCAGGCAACTACATTCTCTATGGTAAAGCCAGTGGTCTTGCGAAGGCGACACTCACAGAGGACCCTCTTTTTGGCTCAATCAAGGCAGTGTCTATGAACTACACCAACTATTCGGATGATGGAAAGCACTACCTTAATGGCTACGAGTCGGTGACAGTGACCCTGTCAACATCTAATCCTTGGCTTAACAACCTGGATTGGATTTCCAACATTGTGCAGACTGGTGCGGTGCATGCACTGAAAAAGACTGGGCCTGGCGGATTTCATTTGTCGATTGATGCTCTCGAGAATATCTTTGAGGCTAATGGGACTTTGACTACGACTATTGATGGCGTGACCTATCATCAACCAGCCAATGGTACATGATTAGCAACTCGTTCCCCTAGATTATGCTGGAATCTGAGACTGCGGGGTTAACCTGGAATTGCTGTTTGTTTAGCTTCTCTTCCTGTCACAGGTACCGAGGAAACAATGAGCAATAGAGAGGAATTTGAAATTAGATCCGAAAGAAGATCCAAATATTCAGTAACATTTATCTTTTCTTATGATTTAGGAGGCAGGGGCTTGAGGGGCCATTCGTTGTGAGTAGAAGTAGGCGGAGAGAGGTGGTCAGTTTATTTCACGAGAATGAGCAGCATTGTGCCCTTAAAATATGTCCGATAAAATGAGAAACATAACAAGGTCATCTGTCAGTAGACATCATCCAGTTGAAAGGGGCCTCAATTTAGTGCATAGAGAATGTGGATTTTGATACATCTGTCATGACTCTATTCGTGGACCCTCAGCTTTTTAAGGGGCTTATTGTCCCGGAAGCCGTGACTAATATTTGGCCAATTGTACAGATTGGCCAAATTTCCAGCTCCAGGAATGTTGAGTCAGGGTGGTGTGCGGAGTAAAGCCGCGGGTGCCCCTATCAGGACCCTGATCACTGAGCGTTAGTCATCCCTCGCATGTCCCACTGACCCGATCACTGAGCCTGAGCCTGAGCGCCCTCATAAAAGCGGCGGCAGCCGAGACAAGAAAGTCCCACCCGCCAGACATTATCCAATCTACATATGTGCATATGAGGAAGCGACCGGGAAGGTATGCTATTTGTGTACAATATTGCCCCCTATTTTACTTGAAGGGGTACTGATGTTCTAGTACCTTTTGTGGTGGTACTGTCTGTACCCATCAATACAGCTAATTCACTAGTGTATCGATAAATACCGCTCGAGTGTATCATAACTATTTAACCCGCCGAATATAACAACTCCTCTCTCACTGCCCAACTTGAAGCTTCTATTCTCCCTTCACTCTCACAGACAAGCATGGAGCTTCCTCCTGACCACCGACTCAAAAGGCCGTCGACATACAGCCGCGAGGCCGCTATCGTCGCTGTCACAGACCTTTACGAATCTCTTACCACTCCCCTGTATGTGGAGCCAACCGACATTCTCTACCCCCCACCCGGAGGATGGCCGCACATCACTCGGGAAAATGAGGCGTTCGCCTCTCTCAACAAAACTGATGAGGTACTTGAGCTGCTTCGCCACTTGCCATACCTAGACTCCAGGAAAAATGAATGGTTTATTAGACCCTGGAGTGTTTCATGTGATTATGTGAACCGTGATCCTCGCAACTATCGGCCTCTAGTGCCTGATGAATTTGAGTTTCCCCCATGGGTGATTAATCTCACATTTTCTGGCAGATATGGCCAATCACTTATGTTTGACACATCAGATGGTACTAAATCCCACTTCTAAGCTCTATGGAATCTCAGTTTCTAATATTTGTCTTAGGCACAGCAACAGAACATGACCCTAATGCAGGAATATATGAGCCTGATTACCCTGAAGGTGATCCGCGATATTGGCGTGTTGAATGTGAGGAAGAGACTGAGCCACTGGTTGAGCGCTTAGACCTCTTTAAGCAGAGGTTTCAGAATCTCAATTGGATCCCACATGTTCAGAAAATCGGATCTTGGCCAAGAGTCTTCGAATGGTATGAGGAACCAAATCGCTCATATGGCGATGGAGAGGGCAAGGTATGTCATTATGTCATTATATCATTTGCTATATCTTTTTTCTGTAAACCCCGACTTTTGCATTGGTCTGACGCAATTGGAACGGCAGGCGATGCGTGAAATTTATCTCGAGCATGGGTGGCCGGATTCATTCGACCGAGAGGCGTGCCAGGCTTCATTGGAAATCTTTTATTATGATGTGGACAGACGGAAGGAACTGATTGCGAGTTACTAACTAAGATGAAAAATGTCAAATGTTCAGCGAATGCAACACCAACCATAAGAATCACAGACACGCTAGATAGCCAAGTTTTGATTTTTGAGCCAGATATAGCTCTCTAGGCCTGCGTCTGCTGAGGGAAATGTGTACTATCGAAGTTGCTGATTCGCCCTTTAGCTGTCACGCCGTGTGTCGCAGAGACTGATATAGAAGTTGCTGAGGCCACAGCGGGTACAGGCATCAAACTAGAAGGCCGCAGAACCTTCAGATTATGCTCAACATGTTCAAGCTCGGCAACCTCGTTTCCACAGTCACCTTCGCATCGAATCAATCCAAAATCATTGCGGAGTTCTTCGGCCGTGGGTCTCCGACTCGAATTAGATCCGACCACCACAATCTCGTCAGGGCTGAGCAAAAAGTCTCGTTTTCTCTTGTCTGTTGTTTTCTCGTAGAGTTTTTGGTATTTGACCTCCCCTTGATGCGTGTCAAACCACGGATCTCTGTTGAGAAGCGCGAACCCAGGATAGTTGGTTTTGTCCCCGACGCCCTTCAGCTTTGCACATTCATTGATTGTTAATCCATCATCACCGTCTCCTGGATCGGCGTTGTGCTCAAATGAAACCGAGTGAATCTCTCGGGTGAAGACTGCCTTTACTTTTGTCCATTCGGTATACAGGTTTCCTCCATGCTTCGGGGCCTCCAAACTGATCTCTGTTTGAACATCTTCCGATCTGGCTGCTTTTGGACACCTGATGAACTTTTGACCAGCAGCCGTATTTTGGCTTCCGGAAAGAAGCCGAATAAATTGCTTTTCGTCTTTGAGGATGCGGTTTCCATATCCCTCCAAATATTGAGAGCCGTCATTAATCTGAATATATTTTGCAGGGGGCCATTCATCGGCTTGACAAGCAATATCTGTGTCAACGAGGTTCGGGTCATGCTCCACATACCAATCTTCCACTGCCCGGCGTTTTTGGTTAGGGACAGGGCCATAGATGCACGTCAAATGCCCATATTCCGGGTTGGCCCTGATCACGGAGGAGTAGTGCCAGCACGGCTGAGGGTATTTACCGCAGTCTAACGTGATAGTGCGCGTTGTGCGCCCTTGAAGTTCATCAGAGATCGCCGTTGTCGTGCGGACAGACTTCTTTCGTCGTTTGCAGTTGGGGTTGTCGGCTCTCTTATTGTCACATCGATCCTCGGTCCGTGTTTTCGCTGACGTGTGCGAAGACTTTGGAGGTCGTGTCTTGGACGGCTTCCTGGTCACTCTCTTGGGTTCGAGTTTATTTTCAATGGCTTTGATTGCAGCCTTGCCCTCTTTCTCAATCAGTTCGCTGCACAATTTGATGAGATATCGATTGGCAAAGACCTCTGCCACAGTTTCAACGCCGATTGCAATCTCCCCTAGACTAGAAGTTAGCGGTATTTCCAAATTCTATTGTCATAGAACAAGCGACATACCAAGAATAGGAACCGCCAGTTCTGCTTCGTCAAGAAGGGCCTCAATGCCGGTCACTATCAGCGAACACAGTGCTTTCGCAGCCACATCTAAACCGACTTGCTCGGCGCCCGCCTCTGCAAGAGCCTTTGCCTGGTCACCAAAATTAGCCATGATCGGGTCATTGTCATCCTCTTCGTTATCCTGACTGCTGTCTACTTCGGAGTTGAATCCACCGGGGGGAGCCGAAAAGCCAGAGCAGCAATAACTTGCGTAAGTGTTTCCTGCACAGTCATATTCCCAAGAGGACTTAGAAATGCGGTAGCGAGTGCTTTGGATGAGTTCCGTCTCTTGAATCTGGCATCCGCTGAAACAAGGCATTCCCAGGCCACTATAACCTCGCCATTGACATGTTCCAAGCGTGGTACCATCTGAACAGCACAGAATTCTCCCTGGCGACTTTCCACACTCATTTAGTGATGTGCCAACCTGACTCTGTGAGCCAGACATTTCTATGATCGCGTTGGTTCCGCTTGGACATTTTTCGCCACACTCTGACATAAAACATGCCGATTGAGCTGCATAGTTGCGATCCAGATATTCCTGAACTCGGCGCTGATCATTGTTCAGCGTCACTGGTTGTGCGATCTCAGAGTCTTTCTCCTGGTCAACTTGATCCATTGCCCAGACCTAATTTGGTGTCATTTACATATCACTGTAGTCTATTGAAATCATGCCATACCATTGTGCCACCCAAGCATCGGCTCATTGCAAAACTTCTCTTCAGCTCGAGTGTCTCCGCGTCATCAAAGGACACCCACTGGTCGGTGTTGAATGTCATCCACTTGACGGCTGCTTTTTTGTCGAAAACGAGGTGTTTTCGTAGATCGCCAGTCTCGATTATATCATTGATCCCTGCCAAGTTAAGGATTCCGGACGCATCAGAACAGCCGCCCGGATCAGCCCCCACGCCATTTTCATAGATGAATTCGCAGATTCCATTTGGAACATTGCAGGAAGTATCTGCTAGTTTAAAACTTCGACCATACTAAATGGAGTATCGTTAGCTCACGATTTCAGCCAAGAAAGCAATCATAGAGATCATACAAGCCCCAGTCCCATAACAACCTTATGGGGGTCAATGCCTGCACGCCACAGTAAATCCAGCCCAAGATCTATCTCGGTGATATTAGTATGCGGAGCAATGTACGGTCCGATGTTGCGGGAGTATTTGTCCCAAACTCCGTGCACTAGAAACACGTTAATTTAAGACCAGCCCTATGCCCGATAGGAGTAAACTCACTGTCATAAGACATAAGGTTGAACCAGTCAACGTAGCGCTCCATAGAATAAACGTCAAAATGCTGAAGATACCAGTATGAGGCCGGCAAGGTTACCGAGATTCCAAATCTGGAACCAAAGGCATGCCTCATTTCCCTGACGAGCGCCACATAGTTTTCAGTATCCGTGTAATGACCGTCTCGGTCAGCAGCCTGTGGATATTCCCAATCTAGGTCGACACCATCAAACCCATAGGTTTCCATGAATCGGATGAGATTGTCGATGAAGTTTGCGCGGGTGCTACGTCCCTGGACCATGTTCGTCCATGCATAGCGAGTTGGCCCCGGATCTGAGAAGGCCCAGCCTCCAATAGAGATCCAGGTCTGTAAGCCTTGGCGTCCATTCTTCAAGGCAGTGAACTCCGAGTATAGTTCCTCGCTGTGACTCCCCATAGGGGCAATTTTAAATGACATTGTCTTTGAACCAAACGCACCAGTCTCCAACACTTCATCAAAAAGCGCAAAAGCAAAGTTGATGTGTGTATATCCAGTCAGGTCTAGATCATTCGGGCTGACTTTCTGGCATCCTCGAAAATTGGCCCAAGACTCATAGTATCCAATTTGGCGCTTAAAATATCCATTATTTGAGGAGCACTTGGGTCGCTTGACATTTCCACAGCTTCCGTATCCTTTTTGGCAGCCAGAATCACAGAACTCGGATGTCGAGCCGCACCAGCTGAATTACAATTAATGAATACACCGAGAGAGATACTCTGACCAAAGAAGTACGTACCCAAATTTCGAACAGCAGACATTCAGAGGGCATCTTTGAGAGCCTTCCTCGGCGTAAGGTCCGCATTGTGCCTTTGCATCACAATTCGAGGTGCAGTTACCCTTTCCACATTCGGCAAGACTATAGCCGCAAATACCACCGGTGCTGCAGCATGCAGCGTTGGCACAAGGTGTATCGCCATTGCATGTCCCTTCTGGTAAATTAGCACCAAGGAGAGAGTATTCTGAGAAAGCAAGAGAGGTAGAGTTGACATTGGAATCGATGAACGCAGCAACAATGCAAATGCTCCATGCAAGAGCAGCTGCCAGTGTGCTGCGCATTATGTCTCAATTTTGATCCGATTTTGCCCTTGAGATAAAAAAAAGGTGCACTTGCGAACACTGGATGTTATGTATGATGAGCCCGAGCAGTATATATACGCATGAGGCCAGGAAGCGCTTCTTCCAAGGCTGTCTCCCGACAAGTTACTAGTTCCATAAATTACAGAAACCCGTACTTTAATCCCGGTAGAGTCGGCACGAAGCGAGAGTAGTAGTAGATTGAAACATCACCTTGGTGAATTTGATCCGATCCGTGTGGAGGGAGGGGGCTAGTGCGCCCGCTTTGCCGGACCCATCCGAGTGCACTTCCTAGACGAGGGCGATTGTCGCACTGGTTCGAAATTAGTTGCATTCACTGTTGGGCGGCGATGCAGGAGGATTTCAGTTACCTAATTGTATAGGATAGACCGGCATTCGGTTCAAACTAAACAGATATTGTACCCGGTAATGAGCTAATTGTTTTTAGACTGGATTTTGAACTATGTTGGCCCACGAGTTCTTTTATCAGCCGCAGGGTCAAGTTGGTGCCAAGAATATAGAATGGAACTAACAATATCCAGAGGCTCGCAATGTCTCATATGCTAGCTCACTCAATGACCCACCAATACCTATGCGAAAAACCAATATCAAACTAACAACTCCCACTTGGCACTTATACCAAGCTTCTTTTTTCCCCTAAATCCAAACGATGCTGTGTCTTGAAATATAGCTTCTTCTTGCAGGCTCTTGTTGCTGTTCCTCATATGTCCACAAAAAAGAGATTTCTATTGAGGAGGTTCGATGGCCCACCAGCGCATGCAGGACAAGGGTCTGTGCAGGGTCCAGGGTCTGCTCGGAACTCGCCATATTGCTAGCAAATGTAACATGGGGGACAGAGCCAAAGAAGCCGTAGGGCAGGCAAATGAGCAAGACGAGAGCAAATATCAAAATTTTTGCCTCTTTGAAGCAAAAATGCCACGCCAAGATCACCTAGAAGGAACCGTCGACTCCGATATGCTTAGCGTTGATGCTAGTCCCTATCTCGATAACGATGATGCTCGGCGCATCGGACTTTTTCAAGCGCCCGAACACTACCCGTCCGCATGCAATTGGTCGGAAGAATCCAACCGCCCCAAGCAATACCCACCCGAACTCGAAAATGAATGCTGCAGCTCGGAGATGGGTCAGGGGCGATATTCAACAGAACGTGGTGTTGGTTTGACGGGCGTGACGACCCGAGTACCGTTTCAAGGATGTATTCAGGTAAAATTACAACAACGATCTGAGGACCATTGGACGAAAATCGAAATGGGACGAAACACATAAATCCCTTGATAACCGACGGTCATTCAAAACGAAGAGAAAGTTGAAGTTTTTTTTCTTGGGGCAAAAATCGAAATCATGCGAACGAGTTGGATGTGGTGGCCTGTTGTTCTAACTGCTCTAGGGACGCATGCAATGGCTTTCAATCTATACCCAGCGGCAAATGCAACGACTTTAGCAGCCTTTTTCAACATCACGCTCGATTGCATGGAAACATTGTATGTATGTATCCTCTGAATTTCTAAGTTATGGATGTTAATCATTTCAAGAAACACCACACTTCCGGAATGTGAATCTACCCTCTTCCATATGGCACTGAATGTGGATAACTACTGGTGGGAAGAAGATGATGTCACGGCCCTTTGCAGTGGGAACTGTTCTACTGCAGCAAAATACTGGGACCTCCAGGTCGCCAGCGCCTGCGATGGTCAGTACTATCCGTCTTACGGGAAATTGCTCCCTTGGGATACAGTGACAGGTCAGTATATCGACGGTCTCAACACGGCATGTCTACCGTCTACCACGAATGACACTTGGTGCTTGATTGAGTCTCAAGAATGGCAAGGAGTTATTCCTTACAGCGTCGATTGCTCGGAGGAGCCCGATGACCCTAGTGGTGCAATTAACGGGACGTATCTGGAGTCTCCGTATTCACGGTTGCGAACCTCTATGAGGACGATATTGTCAGTTGAAGTTCAATTCTTTCTCTTGTTTTTTCAACGGCCTTGGAATGGTTTCTAACTTTATGAGCTTAGCTTTGTAATGATTGCTTTGTTCAGAGACTATATCAGCAAGTGACCAGTCCATTCCTGCCAGATAGTGCCTACTCGGACTACCTAGTGGACCAGCTGCAGGATATTGGAGATGTCTGCTCTACGAGCATTCCTGATATCACTGTACGCGCGATACCCACATATTCCTCGATCCCGAAAAGCGTGTCGACTAAGCCAACGACAACCGATGCCACCCCTACATCTACGGCTACTTCAGTGCCAACGTGCTATGGTCAGCAGGTGTCAGGATCAGGATGTGATAATCTTTCCGCGCAGTACAATGTCACCACTGGTGATCTGAAAGCATACTCACAAAGCGATTCTTGCTCTTTCTCTCGCTTGGCCTGCCTTCCGAAAGGATGTGACTTGTATAAAGTGACTAGCGGCGATAGCTGGTGGGTGCCTTGTTTTTTTACTTGCGATTATTTCATGGATATCGATTGACGCCGTCTCTGCAGCCCATCTATCATAGCGGGGGCAGCTGGAAACGTGACCCTCACGCAGTTCCTGAAATGGAATATCAATATTCTAGGTCTGTGTGACGCACCCACCGTGGGCCAGTATGTTTGCGTTGGGTGAGTGACTACAGTTTTTGATTTTCACATTTGCCTATATTCTCTTGCACTCAAATGAGCAAATCGTGGCTGACAGAAATATTTGTATAGCGCGCCAGGAGGAAACTACATTCTTGCACCGCCTCCTCTGGGTGATGATGGGGATCTTGGTAATGGCCAACGAGGAGGCGGTGGTGACGATGGGTCTTCGGAAACTACTTCTTCCCCGACCGATGAAACATCTACTACCCCTCCCACGTCCAGTCCGACGGTGACCAAGACGACCAGCGCAAGCAGGACCACCGCGACCGCACCAGGCGAGACCCAAGCCGGCATCGATCCCGACTGCAACAAATTCGCGAAAGCCCCGAAGGATGGGAGCTGCGAGGGATTCGCAGCGGATAACGGTATATCTCCATCCCAGTTATACGCATGGAACAATGTTTTGGGAGAGAACGGCGCGTCCTGCGGCACTTCCTTCTGGGCAAATGAGTACTACTGTGTTGGTGTTCCCGGGTCCTCCACGGTGAGCACGGTGACTGCGCCTGGTCCGACACAAACAGGAATCGTAGGCAACTGCAACAAGTATGCCACGCCGGCGGATGACAAGGGTTGCGAGGATTTTGCAAAGAATAATTCCATCACGCCTGCCCAGCTGTATAAGTGGAATACTGTCCTGGGAGCTAACGGTAGCAACTGCGGGAACAGCTTCTGGTTCAAAGAGTACTATTGTGTGGGCGTTAGTAGTTAGATCCTTTCTCATTTCTGCCAAGTACCAGCAGGTCTCAACGCCCTGCTTTGATTTTTGCCGCGGACTTTGGTACAAGGCCTCTCTTGAAATACAATTTGTAACCAGACCGGGGGTGGACAAAAGGATGGCGTAGAAGCATGGAAAAATATTCGTGTCTTGCTTGCAGATGCTGAGTCCCGATAACTATGAGGCATTCGTCCGAGCAGGTCACCTGATTGTGGTCTTTATCGAGTCACCAGTCCTTCTTGCATTAGGCACTGATAGTATCGACACCTCAGGCCAGATCGATACAACAATCGCAGGGGATTCTTCTCCAGCTGATTTTCCAAGAGCTGTTTCTTTCTTGCACACTGTACTTTTCTCTCTGTGTACTACACTCTTACCAAATGGTTCATTAAGCGCCTCCATATGGGGTTTTATATTTCTCATATTGCGAGAAAGACTCACTGGGCTTTTCTTGGTCGTATTTCAGCATATCCTACGTTGGGGTAAATGTAGCCTTCTTCTATTGCGTTGAGTCTGTGGTATCATACCACCAAGACAAGGTAAATTTCGACGATAAAGTATACACCGACATGCTAACCATACATGAGAGGGTGATTCTCACCTGCTGTCACCCTAGTTCTCACCTAGTCTATTGCGCACTCACCCTTTCTGACCTCAGTCGCGCGACGCTAGAGCAGCGAGTTCCTATATTCCTGTACCGGGTAGAACTGAGAAATTAGCTTAGATTGGCAAAGGAAGCTCGGCTAGTCTATAGTTAATAGTCGGGTGGGTGCTACCAGCGTGAGAATAGGGTGAGAATAGGGTGAGACCTCGTAGCAAAGTGGTGAAAAGAGAGGGCACCCACCGAGTGCTGAAACCCATCATCCACGATTTCGTTCGCACCACACGTTTAATTCTTTACCACAAGTTTATTGATTGAATTAGTACAGTATCCTTTGGAGTAGTGGGTTGTGGACGCACCTCGAATTTGCCTTGGATTGATGATTAGTCGACGCCTGAATTGGCCGCAGAAAGGGGGTTCAATACCTGGTCAGTTTTTGAGGATCTATTCTTCACCCCGATTACTCGGTTGCCAAATGTCGTGTGAAGCTCTTCGATGAAAACCCATTCATTCCTTACATTTGCAGAAATAATGATCAGGACTGTGAAACTGCCAACTACAGTAGATTGCTTGCAGCATACCCAGGTTGTACTCCGTCTGAGATGCCGGAAAGACACCCTTTGGAATTATTTGATTAGAAGATTGTAATTCGTCCAGAGCCAGTTATCATTTGAGAAAATGGATTATTCAGAGCGCCCATTTACCTAGAGCAATTGAAATTTGCATGGAAGATTTTCCTCGCCATCTCAAACTTCGGCCAGGACAGATCATGATTTTTTCAGCAGGAAAACGAGTTACGATATGGATTGTCGATATGGATTGTGACCCGCTTCAGAGATCAGTAAGACAATACAAAACAACTATCTGACAGGTCATTACATACAAGACGTTATTTATACTAGTAATTGTATTAAAAATGGTGTGGCGGTGCAACGTACCGTACTGTACGCATTCTGTAAAGATATGTACCATGAGCATCGGAGAGTGAGCTGTATTCTTCTGGAATTAACCAATGGGTAGGGCCGAAAAAAAGTAATCAACAACATGCGAGGTATTTAAAGCATTTGTGTATTGCTAAGAACCTGCCTGGCGTACATCATCGCTTTTGAGGTTCCTTGTTTCGATTCCCTAGCTTTGGTCGGCACGGTAATGTTTCGCAGTCCTGATGCAATGGCATCTGTGGAGTGTGCGTAGAACAATTACCTACTTTTATTATAAAACTTCATTCTAACTGATAAGCTACTCTGGATTTAGCCACGAAAGTGCGCATGGACAGCACGAGTAGCGGAGGTCATATCCCAATCCGCACAGAAAATATTTGTTGAAATGAATGTTCTAGCCCGGGTCTACTCCAAACAAAAGTTCCCGAGAACAAAGCCTGCAATTGATATCCATGTTATTCTTTATATTAGGATCTCTCTATGCGCCATTTCTAGAACCCTGCCTTTAGACGTTGCGCTTCTGTAAAATAACGTACGGAGTGGACGTTTTCGGCGTGATGTTTGAGTGCTACAGGTCCACCAAAAGCAAGTCCGCAAAATCTATCAGGACATTCTATAGGCTCGTCCCGATTAAACCCACGAATGTGTTTCTCAAAATGCTCCCTAGCTTTGCGCGAAGAGGCGAAATAGCACTGGTAATTTGGCTCAAAGACGCAGAAGAGGCAATGTCTATTTGTCAAAGAGATTGGACACTTACGGGGCTCCGGCGAAGGGGAGAAGTCCTTCCGTAATGATTCTTCTGGTGAGACGTGGCTAACAGCCATGTTGCGTAGCTTGGCCTCTTGGATTGGTCTTTCTGATGGAACACTTTCGATTTGGCCGAGCCGAATCAGAGCACCAACCAATGTAATTCGTCGAGTCGTATCCTCGCGCCCAGAAAATTCTTGACATGGTATTTGCATCAATTCTGCCACTCGGCGGCGTTCTTTGAGGCGGTTAACAATTCTTTCTGGTTCATAAACATCCTGTTTAATATCCAGGAGCGATGGGTCAAGCTGCCTATTGATTTCCAATGTATCAATGGTAGCAAAGAACTTTTCGCGAGCACCAGTGAAATTGGATTCTTGAAGTTTCGTCTTCGCTGCTCTCAGAGTGGTATTCGCTTTCATTTTCAGCTCGCCAATCTTTGTTCCTTCGGCATTTTTTATGGATCCGTAGAGCTCCTTAGCTTCCATGGCAAGTGAATCACGCATTTGCGGTAGGCGCTTTATGCCAGAGTCATCTGAAAACGTTTTCCTTTCAGCTTCAGGCAGGTCGTCGTATCTGGAGGGAGCCCCTGGGTCGATATATCGGCTTTGGTGGTTAAAAATGTTCATTAATGCATCCTCAGAAGGTAAGCCAAGGAATGCAGCTTGAACATGGCTTTGAACCCGCTGATTCATGTATTTCTGAAATGTGCTGGCGTAGGCGTGGCCCATCACCTGTTGGAGCAAGGGGAGAGATGCGGTTTCTGGATAGATATGATACGTCAGCTTTCAGAATCTGTCTTAACCACTGAGCATGACTTACTGTCGACGGCCTCGCCAGTACCACGCCGAAGGTCGTACGGTTTCATGGCTCGAATCATTCCCACGGCCAAGCTTAACCGCTGAAGGAAATATAAATACGTGTGATACTTCAAGGGTTTGATGTCATCGGTAGTCATCCCGGAAGAGGTCGAAACTGGTTGCCGGCAAATGGGCACGTTGAGAAGTTTTTGTTTGAATCTTATATCAACGACCGACGTGGAAGGGCTACACGAGTTCTGAAGATGTCCTCAACCGACCTGATGTGATCCGAATCAAAGGCGTCATCAAGGATTGCTAGTGCAAGAACGAGACTTATGACGTCGAAGATTGATTCCTTCACTTCGGATATCAGAAATATTTTTCTTCAGGGTGTGGTCAGCTCAAATGACGTTGAGTAGAGTATCCATGCATCTCACCTTTTTGGTCTACTATGATGGCCCTTGGTATGTTTCAAATCGATTTCTATCACAAGATGGTCACGTTCTCCAGTTGGGTTAGGTAGCAGAATCAAGCTGATTTGCCCGTAACAAAGAGTTTTCAGATCCTCGTGCCTTAGGTCCCATTCATCTTCGGGTGGTCTGTCACCATCATCAGCATTGCCGAAGAAATGCTGGATGTTAGTTTTCTCGTTCCTTTCGACATAGACCAGAGCTCCTGGTCGACTAGCGGTATATGCCGACACCAGAAGGATAAATGCGAGTTGTATGATCTGTCTACCATCAGGATAGGGTGTTTTGTCTTTTGTCCAAAGGTGGTGGAGGACAATGTATAGGTCGTCAACATTCATAACCGGCTTCTCTCCAACGGACATGTCAAGATTGTAGCGCGCAACCAGGTTCTCTTTCATGTACTGTCAGATTTTGCTATAGTAAGAAGAAAGACGGAAGCATCACGTGAAGGCAAAATGAACTCACGTCATTGATATCCTGGCTGCATTTTGCATGAAGGCTACGGCCAACTGCTTTGCGATATAGCTGGCACCATTGTCCCCAAAGCTCATGCAAACTGCTGAACTTCCTTATTTTTGAGTTATCAAGTATCCACTCCAGAAATATCATAATGTCTTCTTTCCGCGCTGAAACGAGAAAGCGCAGAGGATCTTTTCCCAAGTAATCGCAGTGCCTGGGGCGATTAGCTTCGAAGGATTCACGATTAGAGTGTAGTGTTACCTGATCCATCGCCTTTTGATATGGTCAATATTGTTTTTGGTTGAAACGGCATGTCGTTTTTGGATGATGCCTTTCTGCAATTGCTGACGGCGTCGCCGGTAGTACTCGGGACTAGGCCTTTTGGCCCTTTTGGTGGCAGGAGATTCAAGGATTGACATAACTGGGGATATCGTCCGCAAGAAGCAAACGAGGAAGCCAAAGATGGAAACAAAAGAAGGCTTCAGATATTGTGATGACAATGGTGGCAAAACTAATAGGATGATTGGAGATAAAGGGGACCAAAGAGGAAGATTAAAGTTGCATAAATCAAACACAACAAGAAAACAAAAGCGAACAACCGAGCCAAAGGCAAAGAGACATGATAATTGAAAGAGAATGCTTTGAATGAATATCTCTGAAAAGAAATACGGGCAGATGGGAGCAAGGACTATTTATGTATCGCTCCAAAGCTTGAGGTGGCTCGAACACCTGGCAAAGTCATCCCTTTATTTTTGTACAAGCGGCTACAAGCGGACGACAGAGAATAGGAACTGATGACTTGCCGGATCGTCTACCCAGAGCACCCTGAGTAGGGTGGATCTGATCCCGGAGTAGCCATGAGTGCTCAGGGAGCGCTCAGGGAGTACTCAGGGAGTGCTCAGGGAGCAATCCGGGAGCAATCCGGGAGCAATCCGGGAGCAAGCGATAAGATTAGTTTGATTGCAATCACGTGCTGTTTCGATGACTAAGATCTTGGTAAAACGAACACTTAAACTGGCGTCGAATGTAGCCATTTTTGGCGCTCAATTTACCGTCACTTAGTGTTGTGGTGTAAAATCGAAGATACTCAAGGTGCAACTACACCAAAATGTTTTTGAAAGGGTCTCTTGGACATTATGTGAGCTCCCACGCTCCTGGTGCCAGTTCCTCACATGACCGGGCAGGGGCTTTTGTCGCTGCGGAAGTAACCTAAAAATAAGGCTGGACATGTCGAGGGCTGGACGCCTAACCCAAACACCGGATCTGGACACAGATCAGTGACTCGGGTCTTAGATTGTAGTGTAAATACGAAGCTAATTATTACTGACTTCGAGATCAACAGTGAAAAAGCCGGTTTGAGCTATTCTTCAGTTGGGGATTCTTCACAGCCCCGTCAGTCCCATTGGGGTTTCATGAGGCGTCCGGTAAAGGCGTCCAAACTTGTTTCAACAGCCTGACATTCCACGAGTGTCGTGCGCTGCAATTTGCTGATCTAGGTCATTGAATCAATCTTTCAATGTAACGCCTAATATAGGGCCCTCTTGGAGGGACAACTTGCTCCTATGGTTCATTATTGCCAAGGAATGAAGACGACGACGATTGCTCTAAAGTTGACGATCCAGCTAGATTCCGCCTTATAAGAAGCCTTTGGATAATTCGCAAAAAGTTACACTATTTACAACCCTTCAATAATCAATCCTCAAGATTCAGTTCTCTACCCAGCAATTTTTCGACATTCTAAGAACACCAGAACTTTTGAAAAAACCAACAAAAATGAAGACTACCAGCATCTTCACTGCCCTCATGGGTATTACAGCCGCCGTTGCAGCCGGTCCCAATGACTTCAAGCGCGACCTGCAGGCTCTGAAGCTCACAAAGCTAAACGCTGGTCTTTATGACCAACACCTTCCCTCTACTCGCATTGTCAACTTTGATTTGAACGATCCCAACAGCAGCATTGACACTACTTGCTCTGCTGCCTGGTATGTTAAAAGGAATATTTGTCTCGATGTGAAAGAGCCGTATACTCATTATCTAATAGGTCGACCGGCATGGCCGCTTCCTACAAGTTCAACTGCACCAACCCCAAGTATCAGGTCAACTTCCCGTCACTCTACGACATCAAAGACATGAAATTGAACGTGTCTATCACTGGCTCCAAGGCTTTTGGACTCGGTGAAGTCAATGGTGATAAGTGGAATTGTGAGAAGACTGGGGCTGAATATCCCTCAGAGACCTGCGAATGGGATGGAGTTTATGAGATCCCCTTGGTGCTCGCTTAGTCTTGATAATAGCGTATAGACTGAGACAGAACGGAGAAAGATTGTTCAAGTATGAGAAACTTACAATTTCATGTGATGTTCAAATTACGAGAAACTATGCGTCTCCTGTCCAATGCGAAAATTGTTGGTGCTGGCGATCTTCGATTGATGCTTGAGGCAGCACAGCGCCTGTGTAGCCTAACTAACTTAACAAGTGTAGTGTGGAGACCCCCTCCCCTACGCTGCTCCTTACCAAACGCAACTGTATCGCGACTAAGGAATCCGCCATCATTCATGTTCTTGTTAAAAGCACTCACGAGCTCCTCGTCGGAAAGATTATGGGCATTTCGTGCAAAGTCTGCCTCCGTTTTCTGTCCGATATCCGTCGATCCCTCGAGGTACATTAGACCTCCCCCTCGAACAAAACGTCTCCGATGGGGACCCATGCTGTAAGACTGGGGGGAGGGCCGGCTCGCAGGTACATCTGGTCGAAGTGGACGGGTGTGAGCTCGCTACTGGGAACAAATGCGCGGAGCATGGTCCGCTGAAGCATCTGTGGTTTTTCCCAGCCCTTGAAGCGGGTGATGAAATCGCGTAGCACTTGGTTGGCGCAGAGGTCGAGGTAGAACGGGGCTTCGTGTGCGGAGATCATAAGTTCGAGATATTTCTCGCTCTCGGTGTCGTTTTTCAATCCGAAGAGGCGACGCAGGTTTCCGGGTGGGAGATACTTTCGGCTATCTTTGTGGGAGAAGATGCCGTCGACGGGTGCGGTGCCCTCTTTTAGAAGGCCGCTTGGGGCCATGTAATTGAAGTAAGCTTCGCGGCATTTGAGGGAGGCTTCTTTGGAGATGCATCTTTTGGCCTAGAGGAGAAAGTTGTCAGTGCTCTCCGGTTGAAAATAAGAAAATGATCAGGCGTACAAAGAGATAACCATCTCGCTCAAATCTTTCGTGCATAATCTCCAGAGGAGTGCCGATAGAAGTCGGTTGGAGGTAGCCGACAGTTCCAGGCTCCATAGGTCCAAAATCGGACTCTAGGTCGAGAGTATCTGGATCCGTAGGGTAATAAGTGCCATATGTATCGTCCGGTGCAGGTTTCAAGCTGGCTGGTGAGGCTTTCCCCGCGGGTAGTCTGGCAGACACTTGAGACGTTGGTGCCTCAAGACGACTGGGAGCCATGATCAAGTGCAAGGAGGGTGGCGCGAATACTCGAGGCTCAATACCTCAAGGTCCTCTACGGCAGACAGATGGTTGCTGACCGAGCTGGGCGCTAGCAGTGCTATATAGCAACGGTGGTCACATTGTGCTGAGACGAATCTCTAAAGACCCAGCATATAATGAGTCGATATCCGGTCTTCCCATTTCCCTCCACAATTTACATGCTCGTCATCGGATAATTCGTCTATCTCCAGGCATTTCAAGTGATGTTCATCGTCATCAATTATAACCGTCTACAACCATCTGCAGCCAAGCCTCCCGCACGCTTTCTCGAGGCGGGGAAGAGACAATCTACAGCCTTCTATAGCCTTGGCTACTTTGCAACGAACGAATTCGATGCATCATTCCAATCAGCTTGGCACTATTACTCTTCCTTGGTCTGTCCAAATGCATGGCCTTTGGAGAGGACGCTCAGAATGACTAAGGGTGCCGGTCTGCGACTATACCGGGCCTGCGTGCGGTGTCGCTCTCGAAAAACGCGATGTGATTTGTAAGTTCCTCACCCCGTTTCACCATTACCGGTCCTCCTCCCGGATTACCCTCGGAGATTGTGGTCCTCTGACAAATCCCGCTTGTTGTGCGCTTAGACACAGTACTGGAGACCCCGGCAAGCCCCCCTGTCTCAAGTGCTCGCGTGAAGGCGCTGACTGCGTCCTCGCCGGCTCCCGGCGTGGGGGCGATTATTCTCGATTTCGGCAATCAAGGAAGATATCTATCCATGAGACACATACACAACCCGAAATACAGCCGGCAAGGGCAAGGGCAAACCATCCCCAACCCAATATACCTACCGCATCACTGGGAATACTACTCATGGCGACCTCTCTGCTCACAGTAATCTCCAGAATCCATCTGATGCACTGTTAATATTGGCCCATGCGGCAGGGGAGCCTGACGATCAACCATTGCCCGGGGGACAAATGGCTCGCAGGCCCCGCAAACAAGGAGGTCGGCAGCTGCTCGCTTCAGACAACATGGTTCTTTGGGACGAAAGCATCGCAGTGGCACCAATTACGAAACGCTCGCCGGCAAGAGCGATTGGGCAGAGCAAGAGACTGTACCTCTCTATCCGCCTCTACAAGATAGCATCGTAACCATCTACCTTCTTAAAGCTCTTCTGGATCTGTGAGGACTTTCTATCGGCCTAGCTTCGCACGACCGTACTAACAGCTATAAAGTTATCACGCGAATTACCATCAATTTTTCCCAATCGTCCCAACAAGCATACTGGACCCTACGAACATTTGCGAAGCCCTTAAAAGCAAATCATTCCTAATCACAGCAGTCCTAGTTATCGCCTTGAAAGACGACATGAACCTATCCAGCACCCACAAGGCAATATGGGACTACTTCCGCCAAAGAATCCTCGACGTAGTCCTCGGAGCAACCAATACCCGCCATGTTGGCTGCGTAGACGGCCTATTAACGTATTCGGTAAGCGAGTCAACCATGTAAGCGAGTCGGCCACATACGCGTTTTTGGCCTCGGTCGAAAACCTCACTCAATTCAACCACCAACCATGCCTCCAAAAGCGCGTCAAAAGTCAAGAAATTTAACTGAGCAAGAAGGAAGAATCTTACTTGATATTTGAGTTTTAAAAAAGCACGAAATTTCGAACATTCTGAAGCAGCACGTACTTATGATGTACCTCGCTCTACTCTTCAAGACCGATTACGTGGAAAGACATTTCGCAATGAATCACGCGCCAACTCCCATAAAATGAGTCAAAATGAAGAGGAATCGCTTGTACGATGGATCCTATCACTTATTAAACGTGGAGCACCTCCCCGACCGTCACATATACGAGAAATGGCCAATATTCTTCTTACTGCGCGAAATACCACACCTATTCAAACAGTAGGAGAGAATGGGGTATACAACTTCATCCAACGACAAGATGAACTAAAGACATGCTTCTCTCGACGATATGGCTATCGACGTGCTCAATGTGAGGACCCTAAAGTTATAAAGGATTTTGGTTTAATCGCGTACAAATTACCATAATGCAGCATGGGACCAGATATGCAGTGAGAATAGTATTATTCCTATCTGTATGCCTGCTCATTCTTCGCATCTACTGAAACCTCTGGATGTTGGCTGTTTTACACCATTAAAGCGTGCATACGGACACCTAGTGGAGAAGAGAATGCGCCTTGGGATTAATCATATCGACAAGCTTGACTTTCTTGAAGCTTTCCCTCAGGGGCGTACAGAGATTTATACTACTAGCAATATCTGCAGTGGTTTCTCTGCTACTGGGCTAGTTCCATATAACCCAGAGAGGGTGCTTAGCCAGCTTAATATTCAGCTGAATACGCCAACACCACCAGGCAGTCGGTCAACCAATCAGTACCTAAGACACCCTATACCACCAGGCAGCTCGAGAAGCAGGCATCTATAGTGAAAAGAAAGCTTCAGAGGCGCGTACAGGAAGGCTCCCAAAGTCCTACCTCTTAATTAGAGGTTCGATTGGACAAAATCATTAAAAGCAATGAAATTGCTTTAAATGAGGCAGTTCTTATGCGTCAAGAAATTCGCGATTTACGAGCTGTACATGAGAAACAGCTTCAAAAGCGGAAGAAGTCTACTAGGCAGCTTACTGATGCAGAGGGTTTTTCTATTCAGGAGGGCCAGGAACGATTTGTAGAGGAGAATCAGGTTTTTGAAGCTCAAGATACTGTGACTAGGGATCCAGGGCTTCCTGCAGTTGGACTACGCGTACGCGCGCCACCGCAGTGTTCTAATTGTCATATTCGGGGGGATACTAGGGTTAGGTGTCCTAATCCGCCCCTAATCCGCCTAGTAATTAGTTTTATTTAGAAATGCAATTGTTTTGTTGGTAAAAAGGTGCTTGAATCTCACCTAGTCGTGGAAATCGGGTGGAGGTGGCCGACTCGCTTACATGGCCGACTCGCTTACCGAATACGTTACTCCTGGGTGAAATTAAATCTCGTCAACTATGGCCAGATGGATGATGGTGGAGGCGAAGCTGCCTGGTCAATACTCGGCCTCGCAGTGCGACTGGCTTATCGACTTCGTCTAGAAGATAGTTCTTTCCGGGGCGATGATATCGAGCTGGATCCAAGTGCCCAGCGGAATCGGTTAACATGGACCTGTGCGTGAACGTTCACGCCATATCTAATCAGACTTAAAATACTAACAGAACCCAGTCACCTATCTCTCCGACCGCCAAATATCCATCCGAATGGGTCAAGCCTTCTGGTGTCGTGGCCCCGGTCTATCAGCAAGGTTCACGGTAGAAGACTTCCCCTCCCTACAATCACAAGGAACGAATGAAGAGGACCTAGCATCCTGGATCCAGGCACAGGTGGAACTAACGACACTCTTCGGAAACGCCCACGACATCCTCTTCGCATCCAAGGCTCGGACGGTCGAATTGATCACGAGAGGCGACTATGTAAAATACATCGACGACACGACCAGGGCCTTGTCCGCCTGGAAGCATGCGTGGAGATCAATTGTTGTTTCAAAACATTTGCTAAGCTGTCTTACCCTCATGCACGACTATCTCCGTCTCTACGTCAACGCATTCGCTTTCAGGCAGTGCTAAACCGCGCTTCCAGACTTACGGCCGAAGATAATAGGATTGAGGCGCGGACGCTTGACTTACCGAATTCAGCGATGGCTAGTGCTGATGCACGGCATATCTATGATGCGCTTGTTGCTGCCGAGACTTTATTGAGGGTATTCATCGAGGACTTTGATGCAGAGAAGCATCTTCGCTATATGCCCGCGCGCTTCTATCTGTACGCCACGCCTTCACCAATAACCGAAGTATCAAAACTAACACAAAGGAACTAGATACGAAATCCATTCCTCCGTCTTCCTCTACAAAGTGCACGCCTCAGGCGCAATCCCAACAGGCCGCTATCCTCAAACCACCTCCCTAATAGCCCGTTTCATCACACACCTAACAACCATCTCCTCCGACGAAAAGCACCTCTCAACCCGCTACGCCCGCCTCCTGCACAGACTGTGGTTCCGACCGGAGCAACCCGCCCCGGAGTGCAGCAACGACGCAAGTGGCAGTGGACTTGGGGCCGCCGATCCAAGTTACCACACCCACGCTTCCCTGGCGTCTTACCAACATCCCGGGTCCACACTCGCATCCATCCACCTCAGCCTCATACACGGTCCAACGGTTCCGGCTGGAAGCAATGACGGTGGGGCGGGAATACTAGATGAGCTCAGTCTCGAGCCGTTTGATTGCATGGAGACGATGGATGGGTTCTTTGCGATGCCGCCTGTTTTTCCATATGATTTGTCTGTGTTTTTCAATGGGAAGATGTCGGAGGGGGATGCGGTATTTAGCCGGGTCGATCAGGAGACCGGAGCCGGCATTTTGGTTGCCAACTGGACTGGCGACGTCAATCGATCGGCTTGGGACCTGTCGTTTTGAGACCAGGTGCGCATAGTGGTGGGTTCTTGGAATGGCGCCGGTCCTGCGGGGTTGTCTGCAGTGCATCACATCGTGCAGGGCGGCGCCAAGAGCGAATAAATATAAAGACTACAGCGAAAACAAGAATCACAAGTAAAGAAGGAAGGACCATCATATTAGTAAGATTATAAATAACGATTCGCTATCGATAGCCAACAATTCCTAAATCGGGATAAACTGGACATATCCACCAAAACCTATGTGCAAAAGAAAGGGACAGAAACAAAAACAAACACCAGATTCTTAATCCAACTCCGTCGTTGAAGACAAATCATGACGTCGAAAAGACCAGACGAGCAAGTCACAACAAATGCCTCAGTTCCAGCACTGCACGTGGTGCCCTCCACGCAGTCATAGGCTCCACGCCGAACCGGCAACGTGCCAGCTATCCACGTTCCCAGCAGAAATCCAAGGGTGGCCCAGCGGCAAAAAGCCGTGCGCGGCTGTCCCGAGTCTTGTATGCAGGTCATGATGAGAAAAGGCGCCAGTGAAGAAAATGAGGCAAAGTGGGGGGTGGATCGAGGTGTGGAACCGGGTGCAGGACCGCCGTTCAAGCCTGTCGCGAAAGCTGATGCGAATGCAAACCCGCGAATGCGGTGGTGGGGAGGAGGGGGTAAGGAGGAAGGACCGTAGAGTAGGTCGAGGGGCGTTGTCAGAGGCCTCTAAAAATTTAGGCTAGCACTTTTTTTTTCATGCCTCCAGCGCCCAGCGCTGTTCACGGAGGGGCATTTCGTCGCCGGCCTTCTTGCGGCTGCCGTCAATCTCGCGCTTCCAGGCCCAGTACTCGCCCAGTCGGAGTTCGGCGTAGCTAGCGTAGTCGAAGTCGATTTGGGAGATTTGGGCTTGGATGAGGGCCCAGACACCCCTGTGGAGTGACGTTAGCATATTTCCTGAGATTGGTCAAATTCGGATAGATGTTTACCAGTAGAAGCCGGGAATACCGCGGAACCGATCCACATCCTGATACAATCGGTCGACGATCTCCGCCTGGGAGGACTCGTCGAGGCCGCGGTGCTGGCAGTAGCTCTTGGTGTACTCGGTCAGGAACTGACGGCGCACCGATTGGGTGGGGGTCAAGCTGTAGTCGCAATCGTAGCCGATCCACTCGGCCAAGTGGTTGGCAATGTCGAAGGCGGCCGGAGCGGGCACGGCGTACTCGTAGTCAATGAAGTTGACTGCGGTGACGTCGTCCTCGGGCTTGGAGCCATCTTCTCTTGGGAGGACAATCACATTCGCGCACAGGAGGTCGCAGTGCGAGAACACAAGCTGATAGGCAGGGGGTGTCAGTGGATCCGAATTGACGTCGGAGGGGTTTACTTACGCCGTCTTCGCCAATGCCCACGCCGTCATCCAGCTGGGACACGACCCACTGCAACTCTTTCTGCAGGCTTAACCGCCGGGTGCGCTGCTCCGGTGTGGAAACGGGCAGGGCAAGAACCCATTTCTGAAGAACTGCCCACATGGAGGGGCCCCCGCGCCGCGGTTGGATAACCTCAAAGCCCTCTTCTTCCTTGGCGGATTCCGCCTCGGCGTGCGCGACAATCGAGGCCTCGTCGGAGGGTGTCGAGCTGGTGCCCTTGCTGGGGAGAACGGCGTGCCACTGGGCCAGGCGTCGGGCCACACCGCGGTAGATGGGAGGAGTCACCAGGTCCAAGTGTCCACAGGGCTTGCCGCGAATAAACCGGTAGAGGAGACCATTCTTGAAGCGGGCAAGAAGGGGAGGAGCGAGGCCGCGGCTGGCGAGAAGAGCGTGCGAGGTGGTTTCTCCTATAGTGGAAAGAAAACATTAATTTTAGCCATAATGTCCCACTGGATAAAAGTGTTGATAACCCAATTGACAGCCATAGGGAGGAAGTCGTACTTTCACGGTCAATCAGGATCTCTGTGCCATTTCCGTATGCGCGCATGAGCACCGCATCGTTGTCTACCTGCTCGTCGGTCAAGCCGGTCTTGCGATTGACAATTTTCAAGAGCTGCGGGGTCGGGGTCAGTCAAAACAATGTCGATATGACGCTGCACGACTCGGCGTCCAGGATGCGCTAGGAGGGGCAGCGCCGTGCGTGAGGGACAGAAGACGTACAGTATTGGTGATGCCGTCGGTGAATCGGACGAACTCGATCTTATTGCCGGGGCCCTCCCAGTCCGGGAAGAGGGTCAGGATGAGGCGAAGGGCGGTTGCTTGCGAGTCCGCGGGGCTGTATGAAAGGGGAATGTAGCGCAAGGCGGGCGCGACGCCGTTCGAGTCGTAGGAGCCCATGGTGGGAGGGATGAGGGAATAGGAGGTGGACGAGACAAAACAGGGGCGGGTGAGGGTTTAAGTGGTGGGAGCGTTGGGAGCTAACAATGTTAGTTTGGGAAATTTGAGACAGCGTGGGATTGCAGCCTCAGCAAATCTTTGGCGCCTGGCAGATTTGGACGGGAGATCTGCAGGGTCGACGAGGGACGAGGTGGAGGGGGTCGCGCAGGGCGGAGCATACCGAAGGCTTCAAATGGCGGACAGCACTAGCAGCACTGTGTAGAATGGGGCAAGTGGTCGCATGCAATCGCGCGGGCAGATGAGGAAGTTGGAGGAGGGGAAAAGAGTTCAGGGTCGCGGTCTCGTGCCTACGCTCCATGCTGGGACAAGCACAATGGAACATGGGGCCAATCTGGTCCCTTGGGGGGGCCCTTTGCGGGCGCATTTTTCCATGGATTTGCCACGGGAAGCCAGGCACCGTGTTTGAGGTACCAGTATTGTACACGTATTACTTCTACAAGTACATTTGCCTAGGATGATGTTCAAGGATCATAGGCACGGCTAATTAAGCATCATTTGTGCGACGCCATGCACCCTCGAAATCTCGCGATGAAACGGCTCGTGTTCACCGCTCCGCGAGGCAGAGACAAGCCAGACAAGCCTCCCGAGGTTTCTCTTTTGGGGCAAAGCCAGCACGGTCGGCTCCACTGGGGGGCCCTCACATGCGAGCCTGAGACAAGGGGTCACCTGGCCTCCACATGCCCTAACCATCAAAACCCTACTTTCCTCTTCGGGCGCGCGGCTGGCACTTCTTGGTCGGCGACCGGCATTTCAGATGATCCGGACCAGATTAGCTCTAGCGCTGGCGCCGAAATTTTGGTTTAAATAGCGGCCGGCCTCCCCGACGTTGCGTCTTTTTTTTTCTTCTTCATCATCAGTAGAGGTTTTACATTACCATGTAAAATTTTCAACTGGGGCTCCGTAAATACGGCTTGCTGAGGGTTATCCTGTGGCTTTTGCTCTATGGGTTTTCTTCCGTTCCCGGCTCCACAGACCAACGTGCGTCTCCCTTTTTCCCAAACATACTATGGCTGGGCTAGGGTTCCCTTTCGGGAGCTCCATGCGCTTCAGCTGTGGAGGGGACGTTACATACCATCTTTCCAATTCCAATTGTGTAGAGTTGTTCGGACGATGAGAATTGTCGATTCGGACAAGATCCTACACTTGTAATTTGCAAAGACGCTTATTCGCCTCGCATTTTCTGCTATCTGCTGCTATTTTGGCCTCATATGAGTGCTTAATATGGTGGTTCGGACAAATTCTGTCCGGCGGATTAGGTTCGGGCAGCTTGCCCAAGCATATCGCGCAGATTTGCTGTCAGATGTGGACTGACGGTCCACCTACAAAATTTCAAGTGTCGAGTTTATGAGCCTGAGGTTTTCGTCTGAAGCTCATGGGCAAAGCTTGCGCACAGAATTGATTATAGTGCACGATTGTCATTTTTCTCATTGGGTAGCTCTATAGCTATCTCGTCATCGCCATCACATCGTAAGCCATCATTGGCATTAACTGCAAACACATGCTTGTATGGTCTTTCTATTTACCATCTCTCATGCCCGTCCGGCGTTGCCAACCTGGATGCGCTGGCCAGACCACTTGTCATCGCTGCGCAAAACCGGCCAGCTAGTACCATCCGCCTTGACCAACGTGAGATCCAACTTCGTGCCCAGCACCTTGAAGCTCGACTGCTCCGGGTCAATTGGGGCAAAGAGGTTGTAGGTGTCTTGATAACGCTTGTTGTCGGAGGTAGGCAGGTCGAAGGTGATCGTGTTGGCGGACAAGTCGACGCGGGCGCGCTCCTTGTCGATCTTTTTCAAGTAGAGAGAGACATTCACAGAGGATGGGGTTTGGTAGAAGTCGCTCCTTCAGAGGACGCTCGGTGTCAGCCAGCTTCTATCTCAACTCATTCACATTTGCATGATCTGGTGAAGACGTAAACACTCGAGAGTTCGAACTTACCGGACGCTCTCAACCTTCTCCTCGCCCGGCGGCTTAGCCTTGCCGACAAACATGTGCTTAGTCTTCTCATTGCAGCCAGGAATCTTCAGGAACTCGTCGAATTCCAACACCCGGCGCTTGCAGCAAGACCAACCCTTGCTACCTTCGTGGAAGACTGGCTGGCCCGGGTGGTGCACACACTTCTCCTCCTCGCGCGCAATAGAACCATCATAAGACTTGCCACACCCTCTGCGACGGCAGGTCGCATTGGCGGGGATCTCCAGCTCGGGGTCATCGGAATCGGGCTCCTCAACTTGCGGCTTTGCGGGGGGTGTCGGAGGGGCAATAGCGGGGGAAACGGGAGGGCGTTCAGAGATGGCGGGCGCAGGAGCAGGCGCAGGCGCCGGAGGCTCCTCGACGACCTTGGGGGGTTCGGGAGCCGGTGTGTCGTCGATTTCAGAGTGCTTGCCCGTGGTGCATGGCGGGATCTCGAGGAATTCCTCAAAGGTCAAGACGCGGGGTTTGCAGCATTTCCATCCTAACAAAAAGTTCCGGTGAGCCTCGATCGCGATTGAGTTTGTCGGCGGTCGTTGAGGGACCGGACGATGGCGAGGACCATGTCGGAGGCAGAGATGTCAAGGACCGATGGGGAATAGTTCGCAGCACGCAAGGTACCTGGACCTACCTTTTTGCCCTTCGTGGAACACCGGCGGGCCCGGATGATACACGCAAGCTTCCTCCGGGTCGGAGAAGGTCTTCCCACAGCCCTTGTGAACGCACTTGCCAGCCATGGTGTGTAACGAGCAGCCCGCGGAGTATATCAGACAGTGCAGGGATGAGGGGGAAGGAGAGATTATATCGAGTCCGTGCGGGTTGCCCAACGGGGTTTAGCTGGCGAAGCTCGAAGGTTCCATCGAACGCGGAGAAGTTTCGCTGACCGCCGCGGATCTTCGCGTCACCTGCCTCACCCCCTGCGGTAGTATGTTCTGTATGCTCTTACCCTAATACCTTATCCTACACCCATACCTGGCATACTGAGGCGACCACGACAGTCTCGCTTGCCAGTCACCATGTTGACTACACGCGCGCTTTTCGGCCAAGCCCGATTGACCCTGTTCACCCGCGCCGGTTGCGGTCTCTGCGACAACGCAAAAGCCACGGTGACCAAATTGCACAAGCGCCGTCCCTTCGAATACATCGAGACCTATATCGATGAGCCTGGGAACAAAAAGTGGAAGGATGTGTATGACTTTGACGTGCCCGTGCTACATGTTCAATCGGTAGGAGAGGGATTGCCCAAGGAGGCTGAGCTCTCCGACGCGCGCAAGCTCTTCCACCGGATGACCGAGCAGGAGGTTGAGAAATTGGTCGACGAGGCGGAGAAATGATCTGATCGTGCCCGGAGGGATCTGTACATTCTGTGGAGGTTTTTCGTTTGCATGGTTTGGAGTTGTCTTTGATTCTCTGTACACTGCTTGCATCAAGGTGGGCTATAGAAGGCATCCAGCTACCTCGACCCCCATTTTTAGGATTGCACTTATATCACCCACAAATCAACTCTTGCACCTTTTCCTCAAATGTCTTGATTGCGTTAAGCCTCCCCCTGCCCTAAGGAGGCCAGTTCGATCCGGCGAATACCTCCCAGAAGTCTATTTGGCCAGCCGCCCCACAACTGCGGCGTTTAGAGCCTTAAGCCCCTAAAGCCCGGCATGTCACACCTGACTTCGTGCTTACTCTGGAAAAGAACCACGTCTCTCGACACCTACGGCTATCAGAACGAGTATCTGGGAATATCTTTAAAATGTCAGATCCAAGCCTGACGTTAGATCCAGTGTCGAGGCGCAGACTTCAAAATCGTCTCAACCAACAAGCAAGGCGTGAGTGGCGCTCAACATCCACCTCAATCCTCACCACATCCTGATGGATTACAGGGAAAAGAAAGGCCCAGGAAAGACAAAGCAACCTCCAAACAAAACGATGGGTCGTCTACACGGACAAAATACCGTCTCCAGCAGAAAATGAATATCAGCAAGGCAAGGCCGCGACAACCAGCCCTCGACTTGAAGATCCACCAAAAACTCCAAATAATGAAAATGACTACTTCTGCGGATCTATCAACCTTCCCCGCGAAGTATACTGGAATCAACTCCAAACAAAAGTCGCCAACGGCGCCGCCAACAACCTCCTCTCTTCCAACCTGCTTCTTGAAGTCACCCAATTCAACATCGTGCGCGCGATGTTCGCCAACGCCGCGAGCATGGGTCTCTCCCTGGAAGTACTCTGCGAAGACATCGCTTCATCCTTCAATATCGCCGGCCCACTCACGCTGCAATTACCACCAAGCTTGCAACCCAGCACCACGCAGAAACAGATAATCCACCACCCCTGGATCGACCTGATCCCCATCGCATCCCTGCGCAACAGTCTTCTGTTGAAATTGGAGTCACTCGATGAAGAGGAATTATGCACTGATCTATATGGACTGTACGATTCGTCCCCGATCGTTGGATTGCTTGTCTGGGGCGAGGCTTGGGATCCGTCTGCGTACGAGGTTACGGAGAGAGTGGCTAGAAAGTGGAGGTGGATATTGAAGGACTGTCCGGATCTTATGAAGTCGACGAATTACTGGAGGAAGCAACGGGGTGAAAGGCCTTTGAGATTGGCGGATTTTGAGGATCGGCGAGTAGAGGAGGTTCAATAATATGATATTAAGGAAAAATTTAATGCGATACTAATACTTCTCTCCGATGAACTCCTCGCTTAGCGCCCAGAGACGGGTCCAGTTTGCCTCGTCGCTAATGTGCGTGTGCAGGTCGTCGTTGGCGACGGCATTTTGGCTCAGGAAGGCACCGGTTGCATCTAGGATCATAATTAGCTGTGTATAAACGCCAGTACAAAAGGCCATACTAACCGGCGATCCTGGGGTCGATCATGCCCGTGATGATGGTGGCAGCACCCTCCGAACGGGTAGTCCAGGGAGGAAAGTCGAATTTCTTTCCATCTAGGTCGACCAGATCTGTTGTATGTTAGCAGGGATGCTATCAGGCTGGCAGAAATAACACTTACGACCATTGTTCCTCATTTCCGCAACCTGCGCCTTGAAATCATCGGTGAAATGTCTTTGAAGTCCAGACTGGACCGCTTTATCCAAGTTAACGGCGAATAGTATTGCAGTGCATCGGCAGACATACCCCCTGGATCAATGCTAAAGACCCTGATCCCATGACTCTTGAGCTTTTCGCCCAGCCGCTTAGCGAACATAACCCGCGCGGCATTCGATTGACCATATGCAGTGTAGGGCTCATATGTATTGCCCTCCTATTGATCCCAGTTAGATGTTGTTCATGCAGACCAGTAAAGAGGACACATACGCTAAACCAAATGTCATCAAAGTTCACCTTCCCATTCCGAACAGCAGAGCTAGCCACAATAATGACAGACGACGTGGGGCCTGCAGCCTCAATCTTAGGCAGAAGAAGCTTGACCAAGAGGAAGTTCGCCAAGTGGTTCACTCCGAATTGCGTCTCAAAACCATCATTTGTCTTACCGTAGGGGCACATCATCACACCCGCCACACAGGCAACGTGGTCAATCTTGAAGACGTCGGCGAGATCCTTGGTGACGGCCTGGCGGATAGCGCCCAGGTCTGACAAATCCATGTTGAGGAAGCGGGTTTCGACTTTGGGCTTGGTCTCCTTGATCTGGTGGATGATCGGGGTCACCTTGGACTCAGCCCGAGCACTGAGGATAAGCAGCTTTGGGTCGGCGCCAGCTAGTTGAATGGCGAGTTCTCCGGCGATGGATTCGTTCGAGACGCCGGTGATGAGGACTGGTATTTGTTAGAACAGTATGCGTAGCACACGCCGAGGATGCAGATAGAGTACCTGTTTTACCAGCGAGGGATTTCCCAAACTTCTCGAGAATCACCTCGGAATGAAGGATTTGCTTGTTGGACATGTTGGCACTATGGTAGAACGTAGCAATGATCCGTAAAATAGATAGGAGGAATGACTGGTCGATGTTGCGATCAAACTGAAGGACAAGTTTTGTATGATAGAACTTACAGAGAAATAACTCCCTCTTTATACCCTCTCTATCTGCATCCCCATAACTCCGTCCGAGAAGTGCATACGCGGGACTTTACTCCAAGCCACGAGAATACCCAAGATAGACTAGACTCTTGTCATCAGAGCAATGCTGAAAGTTCTATAAGCAAAATTCAGGAACAACATGTCTGAAAGCATTTAGATCCGTGTCATCACTTAGGCTTTTTTAAGATCAAGGTTCTTACAGAATCTAAGTCTCGCGGGCAACTCAATCTTACCTTTGGCCAAAATAGGTTAGATGGGTGTCATCAAACTTGAGGGAATCATCGCATGTTGCTATCAGATGCGACCCACTACAACTGCCGTATACGGTTAGTCTCCCGTCAGCGTTTGCCTGGTACACATGGGAGGACTCGAGAGTGGACGTATCGGATTGATGAGAATCTACTCAAGAGTCATAGTTGTATCATGGTCTTGATTGAAATCTCAGTCGAGGTCAATGCTCTGTTGGGAAAGTTCCCGCAATGGGTTTTCAGTTCATGACTGGACGATATATATAGAGCCTGTACTACGAACACTTTGATGCCCCAAGGTGACGTAAATGAAAGGGAGTATCCACGAAAATCGTGTCTCTTTCCGTTGGTTTTCTGTGATTTGCAGAGTATCTGCATATCACATCCATTGAGCTCTGCCTCGGCCTCGTGAATATTTGCAAGACAAGTCGGCAAATCGCCCCTGATTTCGCCACTAGCTGAGGTCCGGCTTGTCGATCGATCGCCCCTGGTTGAAGACCCACTTCAGGTTGCAGCCAGAGCTGCTGCAGATGTCACTGATTGGCTTCCTTCATCATTCAAAAGGCAGACAGTCATAATCTATCAGAACCATTGGATATTCGCAGCCGCTATCTGTTCACATCCCAATCGATGCATCACCTGGGACCTGCCGTTTATCCCTACATACATCATTGACATTCCCCCTTCTCACCCGACACTAAAAAGTAGTCTTGCGCCCCCCCAAGAATCCACCCGCTCCCGAGGAATGTACCGGTGTGACATCCAAGCCACGCAGACCACGAGCACACAACCCTCATATCACGAAGGCCATGGCACGACCGAGGTCCCGGGCGCCATGCCCTACCGAAGAAATGCCCCTCCTACGCCGTGAGGCCTCGGACGCCCCGATCAAATCCAGCATCGCGGCAGGTATCATCTCGACCTGGATCGCGACCTTCCTCGCCGCAGCCGACAGCACCATCACCTCCACGCTCTCCGCCACAATCGCAGAAGAGTTTCACTCGCTAGCTATCATATCATGGCTTGGATCCGGATACCTGATCGGACTGACAGCAACGCAGCCGCTGAGCGGGAAATTAAGTGACATCTTCGGTCGACGCGCGAGCTTCTGTCTCGCGTCGTGCATGTTCACAATCGGCAACCTGATCTGCGGCTGTGCGCGCTCGAAAATCCTCCTCATTTGCGCGCGCATCTTCACGGGTATTGGGGGCGGAGGCTGTATTTCTATTGCGACGTTCATCGCGTCGGATAATATCCCGCTACACCGTCGGGGAATCTGGCAGGGGTGTGGTGCGGTGGTTTATACGACGGGGATGGGGTTGGGGGCTGTTATCGGTGGCACTGTGAATGATGCTGTTGGATGGCGATGGGCGTTTATCGGGATTGCGCCTGTCTCGCTGGCTGCGGCGGCTGGAGTTGCGACCTTTGTCCCGGATCACCACGAGACCTCGAAGAAGTTCGGGGAGCTCTTGAGTCGCGTTGACTTTGCTGGGTCGGTGACGCTGGTTTCGTCGCTGGTTTTGCTGCTAGTTGGTCTGAACCATGAAGGTGATCAAGTCGTGACGCGCCAATTTATGATCGCTGTTCCGCTGGGATTGTGCCTCATGGCGGGATTTATCTGGATCGAGGCGCGCTGGGCGAAGGAGCCGATTATCCCGCTCGAGCTATTCCGCCGACGCACGGTGGTCGCGTCGTGCTTGACTGCCTGGTTCATGTCCATGGCTTTCTACGCGCTCACCTTCTATGTTCCCTTGTACATGAAGCAGCTGGGCCACTCGACCAGCGAGATCGGTCTCCGCCTCCTACCCGACTCGGTCGGCGCAGGCGTTGGATCGTTTGTGGTCGGCCTCGTGATCCGCGTGACGGGCAAATATGATATGTTCCGGTATATCATGCCACTACTCCTGGTCGTGGCATCCGGGGGGCTTTTACTGGATCTCAAAAGAGACATTCTGGCTGCTTCCCGAGCTATATCTGTTCTTCAAGGGCTTCGGTATGGGCGGCGCATTAACAATGCTGATCCTAGCGCAGCTGCACGCCGTTCCGCACGAGAAACACGCGACGGCGACCTCTGCCCTGTATGCTTTCCGATCGACCGGGTCAACCATGGGCCTGTCAGCGGCGAGCGTGATGTTCTATACTCGGCTCCACCCAAGCTCGCCGGAGAAGGCTCCCGAATGTGGTGACGCAGGTGACTGCAATATGTATGCACTCCATGGGGCGTTTCAATTGGCGCTGGTATTCGCATTCGCAGCATTAGTGACGGCGATGTTTATTGCGAATCAGGAGGACTCCACGGATAAGGGGAGAGATGAGGAGACTCGGTAGGGCTCCCGGTTGTGATCTGCAGTATTAGCCATGTGACTCCCACCGCCGCTCGTTGCCCGCCGCTGGTACTATCGTACTCCTAGGGTGGAGGTCATTATAAAAGTAATTAGTTCCATTCAGACCTGAATTTGTCGCGCTTTTTTTATCATAAAGGGAAGCTCGTCGAGATAGCTATCCCGGCGGAACTGGTTGCGATCGAAGTGGGTTCCCCGCGGAAGCCTGGGCGGAAGCTCGGAAAGAAATGCCTAAAAGAAGCAGGATTCGCACTGGTTTCAAGGTGTGGGACCACTGCTGGGAACGATACTCGAATAGGCAGGATCAGGAGTATCTTTCCCACAGCTGTATTCCTTCTGTTATGGTTCATCAATTGGCTATATTGCCTGTGAATAAATACTGTTGGGAAACACAGGTGGTGATGTTGATATCCCCCGATGGCTGCCCGCGTGGTTTACGTATATATATTGTGCCACTCCGTTCCACTGCTGTCTATAGAATACTTCAGTAATGTACTTTAGCAGTGTGTAAGCATATATGTACTAGTTAGTTATATGTACCTTTGTACTACTGTAGTATGTAAATCCATTGCATGATCAATTGGTGGGGGTCCCACCTACCCAAAGAGGTATACTTATTATGTATAGTAATCCAGGCACCTAGACCAGATGTATCAATAATCAAGCGCGATTGGGTCGGTCGATTCTTCGGTGCTGGGCCGAGTCAGTTTTCATGGTAGAAGTATGCCCCTCTATACACAGGATAATGTCCGCCAGGTGGGGTTTTTTTCTCTCTGGGCCGCCGCCGCTTTAATGAGCGCGATCAGGTTCAGGCTGCGCAATCCTACTCCGCGGACAAAAGCGGCGAGAGAGTGAGCACTAGAACGGAAGGGTGACGCCAAAGGTTGGCGGACATTATTTGGTATATATGTACTTCGTGTAGGTAATTCACAAATCTCGGCAGGGGCAGTCCCGCTTCTAGTAGCTTCGACGCCCGAGCATCCCCTCAACATAACCTCATGAGGGGAAGTCGGAGCAGGACGGGGATTATGCAACGGAAAATGGGGAACAGCAGGCCAACTGGGGAAACACGGGGTTCGCCGCGCACATGACTGGGCTCCCCCGCAGTGATGAGTCGGCCAGCAACATCGGGAGCTCCCCCACTTCGGCGGCGGTCTGGCCCAATAGCTGCGCAGAGCTTAGGAATCCGCGGTGGCCCAGACGAGTCCAGCCAGTTAAGGCTGACAAAACGGACTCTCCGAGGACATCAAATGGGTTTCCCGCCATTCGTTACCCAGCGTAACCCAGGGTGGCTCCCGGTAGCTTAAAAAGTGCGGGGTGCCCAGCGTCGCCACGTTTTTCTCTTCTGCCACATTTCTCCCTCCTCAACCTCAAACCCAACAGAGTGCTGTCGCAATCATGGGTGAATGTCCTGTACACCCTAAGCCCGCCAACGTCGCCGGCGGCGGCACCAGGAATCGTGACTGGTGGCCCGAGGGCCTCAAGCTGAACATCCTGCGCCAGCACACCGAGGCCACCAACCCTCTGACCAAGGACTTCGACTATGCTCAGGCCTTCAAGAGCCTGGACTACTACGCCCTGAAGAAGGATCTCCACAACCTGATGACCGACTCTCAGGACTGGTGGCCCGCGGATTTCGGCCACTACGGTGGTCTGTTCATCCGAATGGCCTGGCACAGTGCCGGTACCTACCGTGTCTTCGACGGTCGCGGTGGTGGTGGCCAGGGCCAGCAACGGTTCGCCCCGCTGAACAGCTGGCCCGACAATGTCAGCCTGGACAAGGCTCGTCGTCTGCTGTGGCCCATCAAGCAGAAGTACGGTGACAAGATCTCGTGGGCCGATCTGCTACTGCTCACTGGCAATGTCGCCCTCGAGTCCATGGGTCTGAAGACCTTCGGTTTCGCGGGTGGTCGGGCCGACACCTGGGAGGCCGATGAGTCCGTCTACTGGGGTGGCGAGCGTGAGTGGTTTACCAACAACGTGCGCTACCAGGCGGAGACTGCCGACCAGGAGAAGAAGCAGAGCGACATTCGCACACGCGACCTCGAGGACCCACTCGCCGCCGTCGTGATGGGTCTGATTTACGTCAACCCGGAGGGCCCCGATGGCAACCCGGACCCCGTCGCGGCAGCCCGCGATATTCGTGTTACTTTTGGCCGTATGGCCATGAATGACGAGGAGACCGTTGCGCTGATTGCCGGTGGTCACACCTTCGGTAAGACTCACGGTGCCGGCCCCGCTGACAACGTCGGCAAGGAGCCGGAGGCCGCCGGTCTCGAGCAGCAGGGTCTCGGCTGGTCCAGCACCCACAACACCGGCAAGGGCAAGGACGCCATCACCTCCGGCCTGGAGGTCACCTGGACCAAGACGCCCACCAAGTGGAGCAACAACTTCCTCGAGTACCTGTTCAAGTTCGACTGGGAGCTCACCAAGTCCCCCGCTGGCGCCAACCAATGGACCGCTAAGAATGCCGACGACCTCATCCCCGATGCCTTTGATGGCAGCAAGAAGCACAAGCCCAAGATGCTTACCACCGATCTGTCTCTGCGCTTCGATCCGGCCTACGAGAAGATCTCCCGCCGCTTCCTCGCCAACCCCGACCAGCTGGCCGATGCCTTCTCCCGGGCCTGGTTCAAGCTGCTGCACCGTGATATGGGTCCCCGTGTCCGCTGGCTCGGCCCTGAGGTTCCCCAGGAGACTCTCCTCTGGGAGGACCCCATCCCCGCCGTCAACCACCCTCTGATCGACGTCGAGGACGTTTCCGACCTGAAGCGGGAGATCCTGGCCTCTGGCCTCGAGCCCGCCAAGTTCATCTCCACTGCCTGGGCCTCCGCCTCGACCTTCCGTGGTGGCGACAAGCGCGGGGGCGCCAACGGTGCCCGCATCCGCCTGGCTCCCCAGAACAACTGGCAGGTCAACAACCCTGCTCAGCTGCGCGAGGTCCTGAACGTCCTCGAGGACGTCCAGCGCCGCTACAACAGCTCCCAGACCGGTAACAAGCGTGTGTCGCTGGCCGACCTTATCGTTCTGGCCGGTTGCGCCGCCCTGGAGAAGGCCGCCGGTATCCCCGTGCCCTTCACGCCCGGCCGCATGGATGCCACCCAGGAGCAGACCGACGTCGATTCCTTCCAATGGCTCGAGCCCGTCCACGATGGCTTCCGCAACTACGGCCACTCCAGCACCCGCGTCCGCAGCGAGCAGATGCTCGTCGACCGCGCCCAGCAGCTGACCCTGACCGCCCCCGAGATGACCGTCCTGGTCGGTGGTTTGCGCGTCCTCGGCGCCAACTGGGACCGCTCCAACCTGGGTGTCCTGACCCAGCGTCCGGGCCAGTTGACCAACGACTTCTTCGTCAACCTGCTGGACATGGGCACCGAGTGGAAGTCCCTGAATGCCAACAACGACACCTTTGAGGGCGTCGACCGCAAGACCGGCAGCAAGAAGTGGATCGCTTCCCGCAACGATCTGATCTTCGGTCACCACGCTGAGCTCCGCGCTCTGTCCGAGCTGTACGGTAGCCATGACGGTCAGTCCAAGTTCGTCCGGGACTTCGTCGCTGCTTGGGATAAGGTGATGAACCTGGACCGCTTCGATGTCACCTACGGCTCGACCATCTCCGGTCGTCCCGCCCGCCTGTAAATTGTTTTCTAGCCTGTTTTGGTTGCGGACTTCAAAATTCCGTTTTTAAGTATATGACGCTATGCTCCTGTATCTCATTTGAATAACGAAGATTGACGCCTATCCAATCAATGTTGAACTAGCTTCAATAATTTCAAATTTCTAACTTCAATTTTTCCATCGCAAGAATGTAGTGCTTCCACTCTTTAACAATTTTGACCTTGGTGCCGGAATTATTGAGATTTGTATATCAATTCAACAGACCGAGAGAGTCACTAAAAATGTCGTCCAGACAGTCATGAATGGTCAGCTGAACAGTTATCTGAGCAGTCACCTAGTATCACCACACCTAATCTTGCACGCAGGATGAATCTCCATCTCACCACGAAAATTGTTTGTGCCGAATGCGAATTCTTGGGCAGAAATGTCAGGAGTCTAGGCGTCGTCGTTCGGTCACTTGACACCTTGGTTGAACAATGAATACTGGGAAAAGAAAACAGATGCCTCTCCCTTGGCCCCGCCTTAGCTACAACCTCCTGCTCACTCTAAAATACATAATTTTGAACAAAGCAGTACCTTCCCCACACTGGTGCAATGACTACCAATGACCTCGAATACTGTGTTGAGCAAGAAATTGCTGACTTCTTCGAGAAGACTACAGCGACTCGCCCAGCCTGTGACACCTGTGAAGGGAGCATCTTGGCAGCAACGTCGTTCCCGTGGTCGTGCAGGGCGTATGCAGCTATACCGTTTATGCCGGACATAATGTCGAATTCGTCGTTTAATTTCGTCTTGCGTCCCTCTAGCTGAGCATGGAGATTGCGAATCTTGCAGCATTTACGACCACTTTGCTCCTTCCGTTAGTTATTTGGGGTAAATTGGAGAAGTTACGGAGAGCAAGGAATCTCTTCATATCTACGTTATGAGCCGAGTACGAGGTATTAGTTATACTTGGATTTCATCCTGGCACATGATCGTCAAGTGCTTGAAAGCTCGCCTACATTTTCCTCGTGGCGAAAGAATCTTACCGCTGATATTGCGAAGTATGTCCAGCTTCTCGTCGCAGATACTCTGAATATCTGTTGACAGCTTCTATCAAATCCTTCGCTCTCTCATGGAAAGGCTCTCAAGATGTTGATCAAACGTACCGCGATGACGTGTACAGTCGATACAAAAAAGAGCTGGAATTGTTACTTGTTTCTCTTCCAGTTCGCTTGCACCTATTCATCCACGAGTCTCTCAACTCACTACCCACCATCTTTTCTCTTCCAACGGTGCTACTCCACAGAGACTTCCGCGTCTTCAATATCATTTTGAACGAACGACTTGCAATCTAGTTGGGGTAGTTGATTGGGCCGAAGCAGAGATTGCGCCATCCGGCTTAAACCTCTACTCTCAACAGCGACTAATAAGCCAAATCCGTCTCAAGTTTGACTTGCCCCGGTTTGACGAATACGTTACTTTGGAGAATATTTTTTGGCGCACGTTCAGTGTGGAAGCTGGAGGGTTGGGCGATGACACAATCACAGCCATCGAAGCAGCGAGAATACAGGAGTGCTGCTCTCTCGTGGCTTTACAAGTCGTCTTGCAAATATGGCGGAGCCAGTACCCATTAAGGATGATGAAAGTGGAGCATATAACATGCGTGATCTGGATGGGCTGTTGATTAACCCAGCTACCAGGTTTACGAAATTGGCAGAGACGATCCATGAATGAATACTGCCAGTAGAAATAGGATGGGAAAATTGGGATTGGACATTCATTGATCGGCAAAAGGGGTCAATTATAACCTTATGTCTTGTAAAAGATCATTAGAATTTTCAGGATCCTTAATATAAATAGAATAAACAGCGTCGCTGGTTGTCGCTCGGTCAGTGCGACTTGCAGTGGGGCCGATCAGCCCGCTAGTCCTGAACCGGAAATTTCTGCGTATTCGCATCGACCTCCATTTCTCGCCTCTCCCCAATTCCTTTGGATATCTCGATGCCTGGAACAAAAGATGAGACACTGATTGAAGATCAGTCAAAGCTTGCAGATAACTCTATTAGACCTGTTTGCAATTGATTTTAGCTTGACCTAAACCAGGCAGCCTGGAGTGGAGGGCGGCGAGCTGGGCGTCATAAAAGGAAGTCGAAGAACGAATACGGTTTGGATCTCACGCACGAAGGAATGGAGTTTTCGGATAGGCGGGCTGTCCGACCGCGACGTACGCATACCAAGTCGCGTCTGGGCTGCGCTAATTGTAAAAAGCGGCGGATCAAGGTATGGCTCCTCCAGTTTTTCGCGTCTGACTCTCCCTACCTTTATTACATATTCCCGTCCACCACGTCGACGATCTGTGCTGTCATGCTTTACATTCTGCGCTCTTTATTCTGTTTCCGCCGCCAGGTGTGGCAAAACATAGTCTCCGAAACCGAGAGCAGCCGAACTGATCCCTTCCAGTGCGACGAGAAACGGCCCAGCTGCTCAAACTGCTCCAACCATGATATCGAGTGCACGTTCGCGACTGCTGCCACCTCCAAATCAGATTCATCGGCACCAGAGTCCTCAGGAACCCCCACAAGTCGGTCTCCCCGCCGATTCCGACCTTACCAATTCTCAACCGGCGGCCTAAAGCAAACCTTCAGACTTGCAAAGCCGCAAGAACCCGAACCACAATCAACCAACACCCGATCAACAGCAACACAATGTAATATCCTAAAAGACACCCCACAAAGCACGATGTCAATCCCCGACCTCCATCTCTTCCACCACTGGTGCATTTCAACATATTGCACAATGCGAGACGACGATCCACACAACGTCTGGCAATACCACATTGTACAATGGGGCATCGAGTTCCCCCCAATACTGCATCTGGTACTCGCTCTATCTGCACTCCACCTCGCCTACGAACACCCCTCCGAATGCGAAAAGTATCTTCAACAAGCAGACGACCATTTCACGTTCGGAGTGCGAACCGTCACGAACGTACTGTCGTTGGATAATCTGAATGCGGACAATTGCCAGATGATATACATGTCGGCTACACTGATCTGCTTCATATACTTTGGAAGAGGACCGCGCCCTGGGGAGTACCTTATTTTCAGCGACGCCGGTCCAGCGGAGTGGCTGGTTCTCATGCAGGGTGTTAAATTGACCCTCTCATCGTACCAGTGGAAGGTATTCACTGGGATCCTTGAGCCGAAACCTGAAGAGCCGCTGCCTGGGATTGAGCCTTCGACTCGCATCGAGATGCATGAGCACATTGTGCATGTCCAGGCAGTGGAAAGTCTCATCACTGAAGAGATTCCGGAAGAAGATCGATCACCGTACACATCGGCGATTAACGGCATGTACGATATTATGGAGCAGATCTATCAAAGGCGGTCGGCGCAGCTGTCTGGAGTTACATACATGCACCTAGTGATCGGGTGGCTATATCGTCTCCAGGACAGATTTGTGGTTTTACTGGAGCAGAAGGAGTCTCGTGCTTTGGCACTTCTCGCTCACTGGGCGGTGATGATTCAGTTTATGGAGAAGACGTGGTTTATGAAGGGGTGGGCTGAGCATGTTCTGTCGGGGATTTCTGTGTATCTCCAGCCTGAATATCGCCCGTGGATCGAGTGGCCTCTACGTCAGGTGCACCGAAGTGATGATCAGGACGGGTGACGATTTAGACGAAGATGAAGATGGTGTGGGTAGTGGTGTCGCCTTGTAAATACTTGAATATACAGTATTAGGCCCTGTTGTTTGTGTCATCCTTTGAAGCATCAGTAGAAGAATATACTGCATTACAGCGCATAACGAGAAAGGCTTCGGGCACAGTTCTTCTTCTCGAGTGGCGCGTAAAGACAGACTCCTCTCCCCGACGGCAGTTACGTAGAGCGCTCCACGAAAAACAGATCAAGACTTGAAGTTTTAACTTGTGGAGCTAATTGTCATAGCCTTAGATACGATTCCTAATAATAGCCTTATTTCTGCCTAGAAAGCGCCAGATAAAGGGTCTAGTGGACCATTGATTGATGAAAGAAGCATTTGAAGCGGGCGAAGATGGGCGCGCCGAAGAAGACCCGCCCGTCCCCACACGTATTCGTTCTCACATTTCCTAAACCGGTAATATAGATCAGGACTTTGAACAGGATCGATCGTCTTTGTACTTAAATATGGCCAACCCTGGCACTTGGGTTGGGAATTCTTCAACCCAGTTACTCATTCTATCTCACAATCTTCAACATGGATATCGTATACCACCCCGGAGTCAACGGGTCAGACCCCGTGGTTGAATTCTACCCCTACACACCATCTGCCACAGCCGGATACGCATTTATGGCCCTATTCGGCATCGCGACTATCGTCCATACAGTCCTGACGATCCCTTTCCGCGCCGCATACTTCATACCTCTAATACTGGGCGGGATATGTGAGTCTACCACCAAATTCCTCCCAATCCAAATCTAACGCAAACCAAGGCGAAACATTCGGCTACTACGGCCGAGCCTGGTCCCACGAATCACGCTTCGAAATCTCATCCTGGGCCTTACAAGAAATGCTCATTCTCTGTGCCCCACCCCTCATCGCCGCAACAGTCTACATGGTCCTCGGGCGCATAATCCGCTCTTTCAATGCAGAGCACCTCTCCAGCATGCGCACGAAATGGCTCACATTCGTCTTCGTGATGAACGACGTCCTCTGCTTCTGCACACAGCTCGGCGGCGCAGGCGTCCAAGTTACCGGCGATCCGCAGGTCATGAGTATTGGCAAGAAAGTCGTGCTTGCCGGACTTATCTTTTCGTTGGTCGTCTTTGCCTTCTTCATTCTCATTGCGGTCAAGTTTCATCTTCGGCTGAAGAAGTTTCCGACGCCGCTTCTTATTCTGAATTCGGATTTGAAATGGGCGTCATACATGTGGGCTATGTATGTTGCCTGTGCTGCGATGATGGTTCGGAATCTTGTCAGGACGATTCAGTTTGGGGCGTCCAGGACCACGGACGTTAATACCAAGGAGGCGTATATTTATGTCTTCGATGCGTTCCTGATGTTTCTTTCGATGCTTGTGTTGATTATATATCACCCTGGCAAGCTCATTAAGAAGCTTCGGCAATTGTCCAAGGCTGACGTGTTTGGCAATTCTCTCCAGGCTGAAGAGCGCGATTCGTTACAAGTTCCATTGACCCAGTATGATGCTCGGCCAATGCAGGAGAGGTGCTGAAGTTTATCATGTTTAGTGTTTGGATTCAAGTTTTCTTTTGTTCGGTTGCTTATTTGGCGCGGGAGTTAGAAGGTTTGGTTTTGGTTATTGTTATTTAGAATGAATTAGATTCTCTGAAATGTAAATGTAAATGTCATTAAAGTCCACTGGAGGCTAAACCAGAGCCATCCATACTAGGAGATCCTATCCATACATGTCCAGACAAGACAAGAAAACTCATAACAGGCATGAGAAGACATAAATAGCACCGGCGTAGTCCAGTATCCAACAAGGAAAATGCGCGCACTGCAGTGATAACATACGGTGGTAGACTGCATCTACCATTCCACCCAGTCTTACTCACGAAGTTGTTTCAGTAGCGCTGTGGATTAAGGGCTGAATTAAAACCACATGATTCCTACGACCAATCCAATGACCACTGCCATGCAGCTACCTCTCAGCTCCGGCGAGGTGTGGACAGCAGCATCTGCAGTCTCGCCGCTATGCACGGTTGCTGATTTCGGTGGGGCCGGAAGACTTGAGGTTCCGTTGCTCAGGGGCTGAAGATCTTTTGGGTGCGGAATTAACGTTGTTGGGTGGTTCGAGGCTGCTTGATCGCGATGGACAATCGGCTCGATCGATTTCCAGAGCCATTTCACCGGCTTCATGGCAGTCTCGACTGGCGAGTTCTTTCCCATTTGCCAGAGGTCACTAGCAGTGCGGCAGGCCTGCTGCCATATGTCGAACACGGGCGGGAATTGCAGTCCCGACCCTTTTGTCGAAAATGTACATGAGGGGGTCGACTCATTATGCAGATGCGGTGTATTATCGGAGTAAGATTCGTGAAGGGGGGTCGATTGGGGAGAGAGATAAGACGGAGTGCGGGTCGCGGTGAGGTGGGCGGTTTCGGTGGAAATGCTGCGATTGGAAAAGGGGGTGAAGATTTGGTAGTCGTCTAATTGCTGAATGAAGTACGTTTGGAACGCACGTGCTCGTCGGCTGAACATGAACGAGGATTCTGTCGCAGTATATGATAACCGACTTTTATTATCGACGGAAGCAAATTCGCTGGCAATGGTCGGCGCGTTATTTCCGGACCGCGACGATCGCGACATCCGGTTCCCGCGCGGCCGACACTGCGCAGCGGTGATCCATGATGTCCGATATTCGACTGGCGATGTGTCCGCGGCAAATTCGGCGGCGCTGTCCTTGATGAGCGGCACTGCTGCATTCCGCGTTCCCTATTAGCCCACATCCCGAGAGTCTGAGTCGCGAGACCCATTGCACATTGAATTAACTTACGTCGAGCTCCATAGGGATAATATGTCCAGTCCGCCAGCTTGAGATTATAGATACTCGACAGCGACGGGGCCAGCGTGAGTAGCGAAAAGATCACCACGATCAGGAGTGGCAGCGCGCCTGGCTTGTCGAAACCGGGACGCATCATCCGCAAGCTCGCCGGTCAGCGCCGGAGACCACTGGCGGGGTTCGAGCGGGGGGTTTGGCGTCCAGCAAGGAAGAATTGCGGTAATATGAAGGCCATGGGAGGGTGCGAATCGTCGTGGATTGGGGCCAATGGGAGGTTCGATGTTGGACGTTAGGGGGCTGCCTCTCCTTTTTCGACCTTCCGCCCTCTTCGACGCGCAGATTCAACGCACGAAACGAGTCGACTGCCGGGGTCGAGGAACAGGAAGTGACAGCCGTCAAAAAGGCGCCAGGGCAAGAGAGGGGGATCCAAGGGAAAAGAGCGATAAGCTTGTGGGAACGTACTGTCGTTAGGCTTGGCGACTTTTTCCTTCTGCGGCCCGCATGACGTCGACGATCGGTAGCACAGGTAACGGGGCTGCATGCGGAGGGTACTCAGCAGACTAACCAGAGTATTTGTGTCATGGATATCGACAAAATTAGAAGATATCTACTCTCGCTGGGATCCAATGCGTCCTTCTCTCTTCCTCTCGCCGATGTTGCTATACTTTGCCCTCCGCCAAAAATGCCGCCCACGTGGGCCTATCGCCTTCTGCGCATTTCTGCCCCAGGCATTCATGAATTGATGCCTGATCCAGGTTGGCCGCTGACTAACCCACGCAGCTTCTTAGGGCACTCGCGTGTGTCTTCCGACGATCACCACGCAGAAACCAGGTTCACTTTGTTCTTTTCCTGGATCACCGAGATTAAGACCCATCACTCCACCAAATGATGTGAGCCAAGGGTCAATTCTCCAGGCAACTGCTGTGTGGTCGCCCTGAACCAGCAAGGGATCGGCACGCCCAGTCTCACTCGCAGCGCCCTAAACCGTTTTCACGGCCTCTTTTTCTGTGGCGATGGCGGGCCAATCCGTCGCTCCTCTTCCGTCCCATTTAGCCGGATTGGTCCCGCGACGCTGGGATGCTCAGATACCGATCATGCATAGATTGCGTGGCCCGCAGGATGCATCCTCGGCGGACTGTCGTTGCTATTTACATTTAAGACATGGGCTTCCACCTGATCACTGCTTGTCCCGACCAGTCTATGATATTATGGCCCATGCGTTCCATCCACATAGTCTCAAAAGGAAGAGGAATCCCACAGACAATCGAGGTTCAGCTAAGCAGATCTCCAAAGGCCGATCGATCACGGAAGAGCCAAGATCGACCTGGCGAGTCGAAGAAAGACGACAACCATTCAGGCAATGGGAAAAATACGCGAGCCGGAAGCTCTCCGCCACCGCCGTGACTATGCAGTGACATCAAGGCTTGCTCGAGGTGAAAACAGCCGGCACCATGGATCTGACTACTGCTGCTGTGGCCTCGCGCTGTGCCTGCACCACCGTAATATTCCATGCGGAAAAGACTAGGACTACCCGGCGAGGAACGTAAGGTGCCATGAAGGCTCTCCAGGATATTCATGCCTCTTTTGGCAATGCCGTACTGCGGCGCCTGCCGAGAAAGAAGTCCATAGGCATCGAAGAATGTGGCGTAGCTATACCGCAGATCCGAGTCGGGATTGTACTGGATGCCTGCGATCGACAGCCGTCGTGTATCTGCCTGGATAGAAAGTAGACATACCCCAAGACAGGCGAGCGCTTCGACAAGCAGGATCGGAAGCAAGAACATTTGCTCCGACGTCCCACCTTCATCGTCACCGGTCAAAACATATAGTCTGGTGATAGATGAGATCACTTTGCAGGCGATATCCATCAAGGTCCGACGGTGCGAAAGGGCTAGTAGGTCGGTGCCATATCTGGTTCTAGCGCTGCTACCGCGATGGAGATTGTTGCAGGGGTCCGCAAACGCTCGGTATAACGACGCCTTCGTGCTGTAAATAAACAAATAGAGCGTCTCTCGCTTCGGAAGTATTGCCGGCTCGGCAGCATCCCATCTCGTATCCGGATTTTCCAACCAGAAGGCCGGGGGCAATTGGTCAATGATGACTTCTTTGTATCGTTGCGCGAATTCTGCGACTAGCACCGGGTTGTATTGATCGGTCGTCCAGGACGGGGGGCTCGTGAATGCAGTGAGATATCGTGCCACCTTAATGTAGAAAACCCGGTCCGTAAAAGGAGTAAGCGCATAAGGTCGGGCGGTAATCATGTGCAGGTTGTCATGAGGGAGTTCAATGTCGAAGTACCCTTCGGGGATGAGCGGCCAATGTCCGAAAAATGTACACATGAATCTGGAACATGATGAGCTGTTAGCTTATAACAGGATAGCCTGCGCGGTCGAGAGAATGCACATCTGGTGACTTACCTATCCATTACATACAAGTTCCAAAAGACACGTCGACGGAGCTCCATGCTCAAATCACTCAGCGGGATGCCAGGATCCTTCATATGCAGCCCCATTTCATGAGCATCCTTGACAGTCGCACTCAAAACGGACCAGCATTCCCGAATCTTTGCATAGTTTCGCAGGTAGCAGACATGATAGAATCGATGCTGTATCGTAAACAAGGTCGGCTTTTTCTCCGGTGGCTGCGCTTTCTCGATTTCGTTCGCCAAGGAATAGAACCATTCCTCTATACGATCGAGATCGAGGTTGATTTCCAAGATCCCACTTGTCGGATATTTCGAATGTGGCAGACACTGAACGCTGAGTAAACACACTCGGAGAATGAGTAGCCCAAAGTCGATATCCTCGTCGGAGATACCACCGTCGAACATGCCATCGACATTCTCTTGTACCACCCACCACTCGTTATATCGCGAGTGGAAGGACGAAGGGTGAATCATTTCGTAGACTCGGTTGATCTCTCGCAAAAACATGCCGATCAGAAAATCAGCCACTGACCGTTCTGGCCACGTTCGGCGTAGCCTCGATCGCGATCGTGATGAAGGCATGCTATTCTTTGCCGCCGTCATTAGCGGGAAATTTCTGAGAAAAAAAATTCGTTAGTAAAATGTATGTCCGCAAAGATGTTTCAATGTCAAAAGTATCCAGGCACCAGTGTGGATAGGATAGGAACCTTCGACACGACTTTATCACCCACCCCAACTCGAGTATGAACATACCTCAGAGCTTCTAGCCCATCCATCGCCGGCTCCGTTGAATCGGATTCATACGAGGAGATGGTTGTAGAAGTATCTCGTTCCTCACTCCCATCCGCTCGAGAGCCTGCCCTTCGTCCGCTTGGATATGTTTTGCGGCCTCTGCTGACACCCCGCGGCGAGTCGGTGTGGGAATAGATACAGAGGTGTTCTACCCCACGACCCTGACAGTGATTACATGGCTTTTGGCGATTACACTAAGAAGTGGTCAGCAATGCGTGATGAGTCATGAATGTCATGAGTGGTTTCACAAAGATGCCAGAAAAGGTATTTAGTGCACTAGTGTACCGCATGCCTACCTTTTGCTTTCTGCGATTGCACTCCAGGCAGGACTTGATGGGCTTGCGGCGAACTTTTCTCTCCGTCTGCATATTCTGAGGAGTTTTCCCATGCCCACCAAGCATTGATGTGGCATTTTAGCATTTAAACAGTGCAAACTTTGCCCATCATTGCCCTGCAATACTCCAGCGTAAGCGCCAAGACCAGAAGGGCCCCCATGCCAAATATACCCCAGTTGCGCCGCGAACCACGTGTAGAAAGATTTAACGAAGTTAAATGCTTGTCGTAGTCCATTTCCTGGCCCCAAGACCCGGTCGGTTTCATCTCGCGATCTGCCAAACCAGATTCATCAACAATTGCCCGGCCAAATGAATATATGCTGCCAAACTATCCACTTTCCGTTGCAGATATGCCCTTGACAGCCCCCAGATCGGCCTTACCGTTTCACGTTGCTCTTATGTCCGTTGCCCCTTGGCATAGAATGCTTATTGTCAAGGGAAGATCACTCAATCCCTGCTTGACCACGCGATCACAGCAATGTGGCTCGGTGGACCCTAACAACCCACACGGCGGATTCCGCTCTGGGGGCCAGAACGCCCGGAATTCGGCCTTGTCAGCGAACTCTCCCGGGTTTTCCGACATTTAGCTGCGAGTAGACATGTGAAACCTGCTTATCTCTGAGCTCGATCGAGAGTGTAGCAGCATGGCGTCACGCCGTTTGTTCCTAGCGATCGACCGTCAGCACAAGGCTCCGTCAGTGTTATGGGGCGGTTTCTTCAACATGGCAGGCTTACCTGCAACAGGAACTTTCCACGATGTGGGTATAGCCAGTCTCTTCAGTGTTCCCCATCTTGATTTCACAGCTCAGCCTCCAATGGAAATGGAGCTCTTCAGCCATGATGTAATTCGTGCCCTCTATGCGTACTTTTGAACTTTGTACTGATCTGACGAATGGTAATATCGATGAGCCTGTGCTGTCTGTTCCTGAAGGGGCGAAAAAAAAAACAAGACACAAGAGTCGTCGAGCGGTGATGATGGAAACAAAAGATATGGGCGGTGGTGAGGTGAGAGAAGCTCCCCGCACTATGTAAATAAAGTTGGTGACTACGGCGTCAGGCAGAAAGGCAACAGTCCACGCAACAATGTTGAACTCAGGTAGTGTAGACAGGTGATCTGAAACTACCTGTACCAAAAATAAGCGAGATGAAATATCTCCAAATTAAGCCGGACACTGCCTCGGGCTGTTGTTTCAGGCCGACCGCAAGCAGTTGATATATGGCGCATCGTAAGCAGCTTCAATTATAGAAACCATTTCATCATTAGGCCCCAAAGAGGGATCTGGTAACACATGGATTAACCTTACTTGCCATAGTCCATGAAACAAGCTCGGGCAACTGCGATCTACGTCATAAGCATTCCATCTATCCCTTGATTCAGCATCTCGAAAGCCAGCGCTTCTCCTTGTGTCTGCTCCTCCGACCCTATGCGACCCCACAAAGCCTAAACTGTAAAATTTCTTGATTTCCCGACCAAAGCTTTGCTTTTAAGGAAATATCGAATTGAATGTCGATGTGACTGGTCGTGATATGACATGTGACAATCCCGAGCCATGTTCTATACTCATGACAACATTTTCCAATTTGTCGGATTTTGTCCTGTGATTTGCTCCGTATGACCTCACGATCATAGGAACAGTTAGTGGAACAGAGAGTCCCTATTTGAGGGATGAATCAAGGCTGTTGGGAACTCTTTGAAGCGTGAAGCCTACCAGTGGGTCGCAAGTACTTTGCCCCCCTTGTGATACCCTCAAATCCCTTGTTGCGACCTTCTCCCCTTTGCAAACCACCCCTTGGCCCTCAGGAATCTGAGTGGGCACAGACACTTTCCAATCCCGCGGCGTCCAATGCACCCTTCTTTGAACCCCAGCTTTTCAGGGAGTGGACTCCTGGAGGGCACCACCTTCATTATTCAACATGGTTCCTCGACACCCCCAAGTCGTCAAATCCTAAACTCCACGCAACTTTCGAGACGATAAACCGACCTCCGACTTTCCACGCCGAAGGCTGCCCCGAACACAGCCGAGCACTATCAAATGGGACTTTTCTTACAAGACTCCTTCGACCATGAGCCCAAGACGGCCCTCGACCCTCACACAAGTGTGCAGAGCATCGACGAGGTAACGCCCGATCCAGCGCAGGAAAGTACATTGCAGCTATTCGAGGGTGAGCCTCTCGCCGATGAGCAGCAATGGCGTCCCGGGGTACGCGACTGGCTGGTCTTCATTTGCATCGCCATTCTGACCATGATGGACGCGTTCGATGCTTCAGTGTTGATACCGATGTTGCCTGTAAGTCGCACGACAATCCTTGTCCTCAAATCTGTACCCAACTGACTATGTGAAAAGGACCTCGCGAATACGTTCGACAACTCCTTCGTCAGCGTTCTCTGGATCAACGCCGCCTACCTTATGCTCAATGCCACCAGCCAACTCTTCTTCACAATGATGTGCGATGTTTTCAGCCACGGCGCAGTATGGATCATCGCCGTCGTGCTCACAACAATCGGCACAGGAATCAGCAGTGGCTCCATGAGCCTCATTGAATTGGTGATCGGTCGCTTGGTCCAGGGAATCGGCGGAGGCGGCGCCATGAGTCTTTGCTTCGTACTGGTGACCGAGTCGACTCCCAAACACATCCACTCGCGATATTCCTGCTACATCCTCCTCACCCGGCTCATTGGAACCATGATTGGACCGGTCGTTGGCGGAATTTTCATTGATTACGCGAACTGGACGTGGGCATTCTACTTCAACTTTATCTTCTGCGCCTTGGGAATGCTTGTGATCCCATTTGCAGTTGATTTGCGAGTTTCGAAGAGCATTCCGCTTCGCAAGTTGCGGATCTTGGACTGGTCCGGGGCGTCAATGGCTTTTCTTGGACCTGCTGGTATTCTCGTTGGTTTGAGCTGGGGAGGCATTTCATATCGTTGGAATGAGTGGCAGACACTGATGCCAATTGTGGTTGGTACGATTTTGTTTGTCACTCTGGTATTTTACGAGTCCAAGTGGGCACTTCATCCTCAATTTGGCACCCGGGTTTTCCGAGATCGTTCGGTTGCCATGACATATCTTGGATGTTTCTGTCATGGCTTTGTGGTCAGTATTTCCAGCTGTGGTAAGCCGAAAGCAAGTTAACAACTCGGTGCAGATTTTTTGTCAACTACAGTTCTTCACTCTGTACTTCATCTCGACAAAGTACCTCTCTACATCACTATCTGGAGTCACATTACTTGCCATTACCGGCCTTGCCATAGCACCTGCTGCTGTAGTAGGAGTCATCCTAGCCAGAGAACCCCAGTGCTGCAAATGGATCATCTCCGGTAGCTGGGCTCTGTTAATTCTTGCATCTGGCTGCTCTATCCTTTTGGACGGCGCTACTCCTACAATCGGATGGGTCTTTCTCTTCTTCTCTATGGGACTAGGTCACGGCCTCCTCCTTTCGAGCTACAACATCCGCGTCCAGAGTATCCCGAAAGATGAGGAATCTGCTCTGTCTACAATGCCGATAATTGTGTCAAACTTCCTGAGAACGTGGGGAATGGCATTCGCAATTTCTGTCGGCGGTGTGTTTTATCTGAACGTTTTGTCCCACGAACTGCACGGTATAGGGTTGAATGGCGAGTTGGTAAATACTGCCAAGGGATACATCATTTTGATGGACCAAGTCAGGATGTCTAGCACAGAGAGAGAAGCTATCAAGGATGCCTCGGCACTGGCACTGCAGGTTGTCTGGGAAGTTATCACAGGTGTCGCTGCAGTCGGCGGCATTTCTTCCGCCTTTTTGTGGAAAAATCGCCCTTCCGACATAAATATTTAGCATATAGAGTTGGACTTGCTGTACAACAATGCTCTACTTCATATCCAAAAGAACTCTGACATTGCCTCTGAAAAGCAGACAGTACTTTTTCCCTTCAAGCCCCACCTGTAGGCTCTTTTTGCTTTTTTGGTCGATCATATATCCAATCACGGAGAAAGATGGGGAGTTCGTGCTAGTGTCGCCTATTTTAGCCTCTGTTACTAGTTACTGCATGAGTGTCAGAAATGCACTACGCGGCAGGTAGAGATTGGCCTTCAAGTCAGCCCCGGTCCGTTTGACAATACACGGCACATCCAGCGAATGACCCCAAATAAATGAGACTGTTCGCCTCTTCGGTGCTAATCATTCGATCAAGTGTAAATCTAATCTAAATCTTTAAAGCCTCTTTGATGAGCATGTTGCCTATATCAGCACCCAAGGACAATGTTGCCCAACAAGATCCTCCGTCGGATTCTCAAAATGCCGAGAATCCTGGTGTCTTATCAGAAGACAAAAGATCCGACCCCGAAAATAATAAATCACCACAACGTGAACGTCAGGAAACACGATCAAAGAGTTCCATCGCCTCAATCAACAGTCTGGTATATTCCATTGTCCCGCGTTCAATCCACAGAGCGAACACGCAAGATTCAGTATACTCCGACTCGGCCTCTAGCGGATGGCTAGATCGCCAGTCCACCTCATCGGAGGTGGTTTCTAATGTACCGCCTGACGAGAACGACGAAGACCCTGTTGAAATTATGGAAACAGCAGAAATAGTATTTGATGTCCATTTCACGCTGATTGAAGTCACACCAAATGATGTCAGAAGAAAAATTTTCGACAATCACTCAAGCGGTCTCGAAGATTTCCTCTCCGCTTTGAAAGCAGCTCTTGGAAATAGTACATGTCAGGTTCTCCTGTATGCTTTCCAAATATAATGTTTTCTTTTAGAAACTTACTTACAGATAAAGCTCCATCGATGGAACGGCCAGTACGAGCATTATTTCCAAGCTTAACGATGTTCTTGACGGAATCAAGCGCCTTTTCCGACCAAAAGGGTCATATTGGCATCTTCCTAGCGTATCAGATAAAGGTTTGAAATCTACTATTGTCTGCCTGACCTTCGCATCTTCTAACTACTGAAAGGGTTCATTTTCGACGCGCTGTTTCTGCAAAATGGTATCCATTATTGAAGGCACTTCAACTACCCGGTCAACTAAGCTGACTATTTATATTCAGATGCTAAGACCAAGTCCTTACAGGTTTGGTTCCCCAGTTCTCGTAATAATGTAGCTGTTCTTCGAAATACGCCAGATCCTTCCGTAATCGAAACGCTTTATAAGCGATATCGCATGCAAAATAAATCGAGACAACGTTTTCGGGCCAATCGACTTTGGTTGATTGTTAATCTCCACAACGAATTTTATAGTCAGTCTTGGGAGAGAAAGTATGCTCAACTGGCCAAAAGGACTGAGCGCAGTGTGAGTCAAGAGCATTTATGAGGTTGCAGGGTTGGAATTGACGTCCTTTACCCGACCTTGTACTTACAACATACTCTGTTCTCATACAGATACGACAATCTATTCGCCATTCCTCAAAAGCACCGGTCGCACTTACATCCCTCGATCTGCACCGGTCACTTTCCGAGTTGCTATTCCTCCAGGAACTCAATCGCTACCAGCAAGCCTTCATCCACCGCGTTTTCCTGGCCTACCCAGAGGACGACCTTCCCGGAGAACTGGAATACCGACTAAATTGTATACGACATCAAGAGAGCCACTATCAAGAGACTATCGAGTTCTTAGAACGGCGCGTTGAGAATGCGATTAACCTGGTAGGATTTTACAGTGCAATTCCTCAATTTCCAGAACGATGCTTAGCAGTTCTAGCTTTTCAATGTAACGTCCTTTGACGAGACTCGGAGTATCAATCGACTGACGTACCTTGCGTTCGTCTTTGCGCCGGTCTCTTTTGCTACAGTAAGTCCGGACTCCGATTGCAGATTTCGAACTTTCTAATCATTGGATAATGTCAGAGTGTCTGGGGTATGACCGAGTTTACCATTGCCCCTAAATGGGTTGCTGCCCTCGCGATGCCTCTCCTGATCCTCTCCTTCTTTATTGCGTGGTTGTCCACAATAATCTCCAGGAAGCTGGACTTGAGACGAGTGAAACACTGGACGGACGAGGAAAAGAGAAGATGAACTCTGTTTCGTGACTGTAAGACATAATGGCCGAATTGAAATATTTGCCTTTTCTGGTGTGTCATTAAGAATAAGGATGTGTTGTTGTCAGTTTTCCAACATTGAAGTGGGTTGTTGAGTAAGTAATTATATCACCGCCCGTCCAAGACAGCACAGTAAGCCCGTCAGCCATAGGAATAAGACATGCTGCATTTAGGCTGAATAGGGCGAATCGAATGACCAGGTAAGGGTCACTGGACATCTCACATAAGAAGGCATTGGTCGCGTTTCCTTTGTTTCCGACCAGTCTCGGGCTTTGCAGGGGGCGAGTTGAGTCGGCGCAGTTCCTCCTCCTTCAATTGCGCCTGGGTCTTCAGCCGGTCAGGCGTCACATGCTCTCTACCACCTTTGATTTTCCAGCCACGTAGTCGATCCTTGCCCAGAGCTTGCATGGTCTTCCTTTCGACAATGCTAAATTGGCTAGGGTCTGACCGGTCGAAGTTGAAGGGCTGGTTTAGTGAGACGGGAGGGTTGGTGATGATGCGCACATGTCTCAAGCTATTAATGGAGGCCGAGTGTACCATCAACGGGTGGAGGAGAATCACGTCCCCGACTTCGCCAGTCATCTCATGAAAGTCGTTGCATTTCTGCACCATATCGTCGTAAAAATCATCAAAGTCCTTCTTGGATTGTTTGGAGCCTCGGGGAACCATATACGGGGATACACCTTCGGGGTGATCATACTAAATTCCATATCAAGTTAGCAAGACATCCCTTTATCAACTACATAGCACTAGAGCGAGCATGGGACAGACTCACCAAATACCGCGCCATCGCGTTGATGGCATCAGAACAGACCATCGTGCCACCAGCCCGTTCCTGAATATCGGTAAAAAGAGGAATCACCAACAACGCCTGCTCAGGCGAGTCTAGAAAATGAATAAAAAAATCCCCATCGACATGCCATCCATTCAGCTCAGCTGGATGAGGCCACTTCCCGGCCATCTCTTCCGTGCCAAGATTGACAATGAAGGCATCGTTCCAGGTGGCCGAGTGTTCCGCCACCCGGCCCTCGCCGCCAAGAAGCTCACAGATAGCGGACCACGCTTTGGGCGCAAAGGTCTTGACAGGCTCCGACTTGTGCGCGGGCATGTGCGTGAGTTCGGCGGCCCAGGTCGACTTGTCTGTCGGCGAGTACCCGAGGCGCGTCCACACGTCGGCCGTCCACTCGGCTGCTTTTTGGCGGGAGAAGCACTGGGGCACGCGCACCCATCCGTAGCGCATGAAGTGGTCGATCTGCTCTGGCGTGAGCTTGAAGTCGGAGGGACTCGCCATGGTGGGTTCAGTCGGTGCAGATGGCAGCTTCAAGCTTCAATGCGGAAGTCGCGTGAATCACAGCGATGCGTCAACAGCGCGCTGAATAAGCAAACACAGTTTGGCGGCATCGATTCTTCCTCCCTCGCAGCTACTCCTTTTGCTACTAGGAGTTCTTGTCAGTATACTGGCTGTCAAGAGTCACCCTAAATGCAACAGCCGGCAACTCTTCAACCGCAGCCAAGCGCGCATTTTGGCTAAAATCGACTGACGCCTCTCCGCAATCCGCGGCGTGCGCCGCTAGTCGACTTGGCTGTATATTTTAAGCCTATGGCTCGCTGGTTTGGCCACGGAGCCCCTGCAGTCCTCGTGTTGGGCTTCCCAGCATCAACTTTCAACACGATCAGGGAAGCCCCACAGGGAGATGCACGCCAAAAAGAAAACGGGGCTAGTCCGTCAGCGCTGATCAGATCGCCTGTGGGCCTCGGCCCGGCCAACCGGGGTGTCGCGTGGGAGATGGAGGATTGCCAGTGGCATCCACGAGCAGATGCAGCAGTGCTGGAAATCGCAGAAACAAAGCAGCACTGTCAGTGTCCATTCCGCGTCCGTCTGAGCCAGCGGGAAAAGATGCCGTGAGATGCTCGGAATCCCTTGGCATGCCGGGCCATCGCTTTATGGGGAAAGGCTGGGCAGCACGCTACTCTAATGCCTCGATGCCGGATGCTCCAATGGCCTCCCTTAGTTCTGCATAGACTACCCAGAGTAGTACGCTTAGCGAGGAGGTTCCCTAACACTCGGAAGATCTTGGCGAGCTCTGGCCCTGCATTGTCCGCCCGTGGGGTGTTCTTGCCCGAGAAAAGCTGGGGTAAGGAATGCTTTACTGAAATGCTACGCGACATTATCCGGCCATTATCCCATACACTCATGAGAAATGGCAAATTCCAAAGGCTTAAAGGCTGTCAAGCCCCTCGTCCCTTCAGAGGGGAACTATTCGTTGCATATAATACTTGGACTTTGAGTTGGGTCTTGTCAACATACTCATTGAGGCATTTCCCTCTCATCTGGACTGACTCGTTTATATTGAGATACTTGCCGGCACCATGCCCCTCGCTGTTGGAACATCGGCGTTGAAGTCGGAGGTAGAGGTTGCTCAGGCCGAGAAACCGGAGCTGGAGCAGGTCAAATGGTGGCGCGAGCCTGGTCTCCGCCGACTATATTTCTGGGCATCGGTTCTCTGCGTCGCATCGGCGACAACTGGATACGATGGGTAAGCAAATCATCCAGATGGTCGCACCCAATGGACTCATACTCTCTCTAGTATGATGCTGAATACGTCGCAAAACCTCGACGCGTGGCAAGAATACTTTGGCACTCCAGGCGGCTCCAAGCTTGGCTTGATGAATGCCATCTACCAAATTGGTAGTCTTGCCAGCTTTCCTTTTGTGTAAGTAGCTAATAGTGTAATTAACTGAGCTCTATTGATATATGCTTTTCTCTCATAGTCCCTTCATGGCGGATCTTTGGGGCCGCAAGGTCCCAATCATCCTCGGTTGTCTTTTGATGATCCTTGGTGGCTTCCTCGGTGCATTCTGCAAGGATTATGGAAGTATGTGGATTTTTCACCTGAACGTTGTTCCCTTTTTCTAATTCCAATAGTGTACGTCGCTGGTCGGTTGTTCCTGGGTTTTGGCAACAGCATGGCCCAGATGGCATCCCCAGTCCTCCTCACCGAGATCTGCCACCCACAACACCGTGGCAAGGTCACCACCATTTATAACTGCCTGTGGAACCTGGGCGCTTTGGGTATGCTGACTCGATTCTGATGATTCAAATCCTTTATTAACTTGTCTAGTTGTCGCATGGATTGCCTGGGGCACCATGTACATTAATAATGATTGGTCATGGAGAAGCTTGACTCTTCTCCAGGTCTTCCCTGCAGTGATCCAAATCGCACTCATCTGGTGTAAGTCTTCATCCCATTGCCCTTCATTTTTCATTTATCGCTGATCATGATGTAGGGGTCCCAGAGTCTCCCCGATGGCTCGTATCCAAAGAGCGATACGACGAAGCACTGCGCACTCTCGCCTACTACCACGGCAACGGCGACGAGCACAATGCGACCGTCCAATTCGAGTATCGGGAGATCAAAGAGACCATCAGCTTGGAAATGCAGTACCAAAAGAACAGCAGCTATCTCGATTTCATGAAGACGAAAGGCAACCGCTACCGACTGGCTATCCTGGTGTCTCTCGGCATCATCTCTCAATACAGTGGGAATGCTTTGTTCAGTAACTACACTAGCTTGATCTACAACAGCATGGGGATCACTGAGCAGAATAAGAAGATCCCGGTTCGTCGTCTACTCCCCTGGGTTGGCCCGTGGTTGTAATCAAGCTAACTTTCGCAACTATTTCAGCTTAATGGTGGACAAACTCTCCTCAGTTTGATCGTCAGTGTCAGCAGTGCCTTTTTCGTTGATCGCGTCGGAAGAAGACCTCTCTTCCTGATTTCAACAGTCGGTATGTATATCTCCATTCATAAATCATCGGATTAAAAACTGACAGTTTCACCACAGGCATGGTTCTCATGTTCCTCGCGTGGACTGTCACTTCATCGGTATATGAAAGAACCCAAGACGTAAAGACTTCAGGGTACCCCCAAGTCGTCTTCGTCTGGCTCTTCTCTGTCTTTTACGCGATCGCCTGGTCGGGTCTGCTGGTGGCATACACTCTCGAGATTCTCCCGTACCGCCTTCGTGCCAAGGGTATCATGATTATGAATCTAACTGTCCAAGCCTCGCTGGTTCTCGGAAAGTAAGCCCTCCGAAATCCCGACTGGTGTCATCGTATTCTGACTGTTCTAGTTATACCAATCCCATAGCCTGGGAAAATCTGCCGCACCATTGGAATCTGTCACTCATCTATACGGTATGTAATTTTCCCTTCATAGCATATCGCATAATTACTGACGATATTCTACAGATCTGGATTTTCATCGAGCTTCTTTTCGTGTATTTCTTCTATGTTGAGACCCGCGGTCCAACTCTCGAAGAACTAGCCAAGATCTTTGATGGAGAAGACGCCGCCGTTGCGCATGTTGATTTGCGTGAAATTGAGAAGGATATCCAAGTGGATACTAAAGAGCCCAAAGCATAGGATATGGAAGGGTGGTTAAATAATGTTTGAGCCTGGATTAAGTGAGTGAGTGCTTTCTGTCTTTATGACAATGCCATTTACGTAGATCCGATCAATAGATCTCCGGTCCCGAACCTTGCACAGCCCCCAATAGGATGTTTCTTGTTCTCCCCAAATGAATATGCGTGGTGTCGTGTCTGCTCCGAGTAAGCATGTGCGTTTAAGGTTTGCCCGCGCCTCGAGTTATTTGTAGCTGCTGGCCCCAACCGCCCTGCATCCACAACGGCCATGATTTGGAATCACTCACTGCCACTCCACACTCTCGAATTGCGGGGGGTGATATGACATGTTGACAGGACGGGAAAAATTTGATGTCTATTTATCGTACATCACAGTATCGTGGAGAGGCCAGTTGGTGGTGGCTGCCCGCTCTCCGTCCTCGGGCTGTACCAGCCTAAAAATAATCGCGTCATGGCAGAGTGACTACCTCGTGGGTGGATGGGACAGGTAGTCTATCATGAGAGAGCCTCGGGAGTGTTTCTCGATCTGAAATTTCTTCTAAGTCGAAATGCATTTAAGCGCAGTGCTTCCGGGCGATGAGAGCACTTTCCCCGTCATTCATCGCCGCTCCTGCCAGAAGTACAACTGTGTTGACATCACGAACCTCTACGCTTGCAACTTCTCTCCTCTTCGCAATAACACACGGTATTTCCAACATCGCCAAATACTTTCCTTGCTCTTCACTTTACTTCGAACGCATTTTTCCTTCTCAGCATGCATTTCCTCCGTCCCGTTGCAGCTCTCCTGGGCGCAGCCGCTTTGGTATCCGCCGCCCCGATCGATACGGGCGCCCCCAACAACAACAACAACAACCACGATCTCCCAGATGGGCTGCCCTACCCCAGTCCCAGCGAACTTACGCTCATCGAGCAGCAAGCTCACGGAACACTCCCAAACGGGTCCCCGCCTCCTGTGATCAGCAGCCAAGGGATCGTCAACCTGCAGCTGATTGCTTTCAACGAGCTATTCGAAGTGGCTTTCTTCGATGAACTTGTCACCAACATCACCGAGGGGGTTGTGGGTTACCGTTTCTCGGTTACGGATGATCGGGACCTTGTTGTTGCTTCTCTGAAGGCTATTCTCGCGGTAAGCCGATCCTCCTCAGCCATCTGATATCACTTGATACTGACTGCCCCGGACGAAAAGCAAGAGGAACTCCATGCAATCCGCGCAAACAATGCTCTTATCCACTTCCACGCGCACCCTATCGAGCCTTGCCAGTATCACTTCCCCGTCAAGGACTATGACTCTGCCATCGCCCTGGCAGCTACCTTCACTGATGTCGTCCTCGGTACGCTGCAGGACACAGTCGAGCGGTTTGCCCTCGGCCACGACTTTGACCTGGCACGGGAAATTGCAGCCGTAATCGGAAATGAAGGCGAGCAACAAGGCTGGTTCCGTATGCAACAGGGCAAGATCCCCAGTGAGCTGCCATTCCTCACGACTAGCGACGTCAACTTCGCCTTCACGGCCATCCAAAACTTCATCTACCCCGGAAGTTGCCCCAACATTCACGAAATTCCGCTCCGGACCTTTGAGCCGCTGGAAATCGTCACCAAGGCTAGCGCGAAAAGTCAGAACTTGACTTTTTCCTTTGAGGATCGCGCCAACGAGACCAGTCAGTTCTGGATGACGTATATCAATCAGCAGAACACGCCTATCGTTGAGCCGCTGAATATTGTCTCTCATACTGGGAGCTACATTGAGGCATCAGCTATATTCCCGTATGACGAACATGAGTTGAATGGGTTGACTATTGCCGCTGTTACGAAGAGTGGTGGTCCTTTCGCGGATGCCAACACTGTGGCGAAATGGACACACGCTGGGCCGGGTTTGATTATTGTGGACTGAGCTGGAACAATTACTGTGTAAACATGGAAGGTTGAGAGTATGACCCTTATCATTATATACAAGTTCCAGGAAATGCCGGAGCCTGGCACAGGGTATGATTCTATTACTCTTTTGCGTTTCACTCGTGCACACGCAGCTCATGTATCTTGGGCTTCGTTTCACTCCTTCATGAACATCCTTCTCAATCCTTCAGCATGGTCCCGGTACCTGGCACCTTGACCTGAATCAAATAATCATCAATAGCATCATGCGTCTCCCCCTCATGATAATAACTCGTATGCCCAGGCCCATCCCTAATAACCAACCTCGCATTCTCCCCAAACTGCTTAAGCACCGATAAAGCCCACTGAATCGGTGTTTCTGGATCATAAAGCGCGTTCGTCATCAGTATGGGAGTAGTCATATTCCGCCCCTTAAATGACTCCACATACAAACGTTGCGGATTCCGAACGGGCGTAGGCCAACTCGCACAAATAGTTTGCAGGTACCAGACCTCCCCGATCCCACGCGTATGAGGCGTCGCCACGTTTCCAACAGTCGCTTTGAGCTGGTAGTCTGTTGCGCCCCAGTTCGAGCGAATCGTATCTTGGCAGAAGATCGAGGAGTAGGAAATGTCGTAGCCTGTTTTGGATGTGTACTCGGTTGTCGAGAGGTAGCTTGATTTTCCGTTCATGGCGTCTTTCAGGTATTCTGAGAGCGCGGGCCAGCCGCCTAGGCCGTAGGAACCGGGGTATGGGAAGGATATGAAGCTCTGCATGTTGCGGAGAATTTCGTGGCCTGTTGCATTCTGTAAGCAGGGGTATGCAGCAAATGTCTCGTCTGCGCAGCTGGGCGCCGGGATAGACGAGGTATTTGCTGCATCGATGAATGCATCGAATTTGGTCGGGAGGTGCTTCTCGTCTTGTAAAGCGCAAGTGTTGTTTTGCTCACACCATTCGAAGAATTTATTCAGCGTGACTTCGTACCCGTTCGACTCGGGGCCCTAGAGATCCAGGCCTACTTTGGAGTGTTCCATGATTCCATCGAGTGCAATAGCGCGGATATTATCCGAGAAAGAGCTCTGCGTACTGCGCGCCTAGCAGAGTCCCGTACGAAAAGCCGATGTAGTTCATTGTTTCATTTCCCAGTGCCATCCGGATTTCTTCGAGGTCTTTGGTGACGCTCATCGTGTCGACGTAGTATACGATATCATTTCCCTTTTCTTTCACGCAGCTCTGCGCGCGGGCGTGGTAGACGTCTGTCATTTCTTGGAACTCGGCTTCGGTTTGGGGCATTTGAGGAGGCCGGAGGTTCCAGGGGGCTGGCTCACATTGGACTGGTGTGCTGTGTGCTGTTCCCCTGGGACCGGGGCCGAGAATATCGAAGTATTCGTGTAGTTTTGTGGATTTGAGGAACTCTTTCATGCTGATGATGAGGTCGATGGGTCCTCCTGGATTGATCATTAAATTGCCGATTCGCTTTTCTGGATTTGACGCTGGGAGCATCACCATGCCGACTGTGACCCTTTTGCCGTGTGGTCGGTCCCAGTCGAGAGGGACGGAGATGTTGGCACATTGCACGCCATCGTCGCACCTGACCCATTTTATTGATGAAAACGTGTTGTACTGGGATGATTCATGTTTTGTCGGGGATGCGGTTAAAACTTTGCCAGTGCTATCGCTGCTGTGAGAAAACAGCGGAAATTCCTCATCGTCGAGTGCGGAATGTAGTACTGAGGGCACAAGTTGTCGGGTATATCGCTCGCTTGTCATACGATCAGCCGTGTTTTGGTTTTAATGTATACCAGCAGCGGGGGTCCGCTCTCGCCGCGATAATGATATTTAATGTCGCATGCAAATTACAGAAAGAGCAGCATTTAAATAGACGTCCGTCGTAGCTGCAGGGCCCGAGCCTTGCACCAGTACCATGCAGGCCATTCTGCGAGTTGTTGTGGTTGGGGGAATGGGAGGAAGATGCAGGTCCCACCGTGTTGATCTTGGAGGCAGTGCCAGCCTCTGATTTTCGTGGGGAATTTTGTTTTTGATTGTTTCTGTCGTCTAAGCCTTGCGGAATGTTGCATTCGGTACTGATGGTTACATGCGGAAACTGATTTGATCCTTGTGAAAACGTGCCTAGTACAGACCACTACGATGCACTATGTAGGCAGCTGTTAATTATAAAACCGATCGGATACCTGTAGGACCTGGGCTTATTATTTCGTCGACTTCTGATAGCTTGTCTTTTTGTTCCATGTTAGCTACCTACCACTGTTCAGCCTTGTTCAGTCGGCATTTTGACCCCATTGCGATCCGAAGCAGTCGTGACATCCGCAGCTCAGCCTCGTCCATCCGAACCCCGTCCGACGATGATAGCTCCCGTCGCAGAACTCCCGCATATTTACCTGTTGAATGATGGCCTACAGAAAACATATTCGATATGGAAAAATCCTTAGAATTCGCTATTCACTTATTCACACAACACTCCAAATTTCAAACACCAAGAACACGATCTAAGCCGACTAGCTATAGAATCTTTACTAGATTTACAGTTTACCCTGGCCAGCATTGGCAACAACGCTGGAAGCAACAGAGGTGTAAGCAGTAGCAGAAGCAATGTTCTTGCCAGAGAAGTTAGACAGGAAGCCAGTGTCGCTCTGGCTGAAAGAGCCGCTGGATCCGAATCCGTTAACCTGGCAGACACGGCCGAGGTAGCTGCTGCAGACGGTGTTGGCGCTGGTGCTGGGCGAGGTAAAGAGCTGACCATCAATGGGCGACTCGACGGGGGTATCGATGTTCTGGAAGACGTTGCCCTCAGCCAGAACGTAGCCGCCGGAGCCGATCTCGAAGGCGTGGCCGCTGTTGTCGTACCAGTAGTTGTTGACGGCGTGCAGGAGGGTGTTGCCCTGGACCTTGGGGGAGCGGCCGGAGGTGTGATAGATGTAATTACCCTTCAAGGTGACCAGGTCGCTGGAGCCGTCCAGGTAGATACCCCAGTAGTGGTAGCCGTCGCAAGTGGCGGAGTAGGAGGTTCTGCCGTCGATGTAGTTGTTGGACAGGGTCACGCGGCCGGAGGACTCGGTGCCCAGGACGATGTGTTGGCGACCGATGCGAGCGGTCTAATTGTATGTTAGTGGGCTGATGGTCATGATTTCTTCTAGGGAGACGTACGGTAACGTGGTCAATCCAAACCATGTCGCTGTCGTTGATGGTGATGGCATCACCACCCCAGACGTACTTGGCGTTGATATCGGTGATGGCGATGTTCCTGAATATTTGTAAGCTTCTTCTTTATATCTCCGGTCATTCGATAATGTACGCACTGGATAATGATATTGCTGGCGCCGCTGACGATACGGAGACCCTTGCCCTTGATGACACCGCTGGAGCCAGAGCCGATCAGGGTCTTGTCGGAGGCAACGGTGATACCGAGAGTACCGGCATTGTCGCTGCGAATAGTTAGTGCCATAACATTACAACCCGCTCAAAGCTATGACTTACTAGGTCACCGAAACAGACGGGGCAGACGACTCGTAGTTGCTGCACCAGTCGTTCTGGTTGATAGCAAGCTGGCAGCCAGAGGCCGTACCCCAGGGAGCGCAACCAGTGGCGGTAGTGGTACCCTCGGTGTTGGTGAAGTCGAAGGTCTTGGTGAGAACAATGACGCGAGCCTCGCTGTCACCAAGGTAGGAGACCAGCTCATCGGTAGTAGAGGGGTAAACAGCAGTAGCGGACCCGCCGCCAGTAACGCCCTTGGCGAAACCCTCAGCTGCGCCGGAAACGCTGACAGCAGCAGCCTGGGCAGCGAATGCTGCAACAATAGCAGTAAACTTCATTATGAGTCTGCTGATAGAGGACAAAAGAAAGCGAGAAAAAAAGAACGAACGCGGAGTGGGATGCAGAACTCATTCTGGCAGCGAGGCGTCAAGTCCTTTTATACCCCCCGTTTTAATCGGACGATGCATGGCCGGAGCCACGAGGCAGGAGACGTTCATTACTCCACACACGCCTCCTAGAACATGCCCCGTTTCTCCTGTTTCTGGATGCCCACGCTGTCACCGGTCCGGTACTGATGGTGATACCGCCGCTGGCGTGACGAATCACAACGCCACGGCCGCCCAGGAGAATGGATACATGATTTCACACTATTGCGGAGTAAGGCTCAGAGCCGACCGAATCAATCCGAAAGCTGGAAGAATTCTTCTCGGGGCGCAGGCCAGATCCACGTGTGGATGGGCCGAATTGGAACCACAAAGCCAAATTGATTAAACCGCTGTGAAGGGCGCTGGTTTGAGCGGGTAAAAAACGTCCCAGGAAGTCGTTAGAGGATGGAATCGGTGCTTGAAGTCGTTTCACCTGGCTGCTGCCCCTGGTCGCCCCACACTGCACAATTGAGTAGCTTGATCCACGAGCCCGGGCGCTTTACTCGGACGAGCGGTGCTCCGTGTCAGCCCAGTCCTCACTTTAATTTGAGGACTCTTTCGCGGCATGACTGGTTTTGCGCTGGCCTCCGGAGATTTTCCGGCAATATTTGCCAGTGGTCGTGCGGTTCCCTCCGGATCGCCAGCAGAGGACGTTGCGTGTGAGTACGTGGGTGAGGGATGGGGCTGTTGCCCATCGAAGAATTCCGCCGTCTTGGCGAAACGTGAAGAACTTCACCCTGCCAGGAGCTCCTGTCACACGTTCTCGGGAAAATCAGTGAAAATCAAGGTTTGCCGATCACGGCAGCTAAAGAACAGCCGGAGTCGTTTTCGCATCAATGGCAACGCACTGAGCAAAATGTTGTTGATACGCCGGGCGATCAGGATCGCTGCCGGACCTTCTTGATCTGCGCTAGTTCCATGTTATCAATAGCATCAGGATCCACCGTGCGGCTCCTCCTTGTTTATTATGGGTGCACCAGTGTGGTGTTAGGGCATGCAATTTCCTCGGAGATTATCGTAGACCCATCAATATAGCGCCAGGTTCTAGAATACCTGGATGCTCCACTTCTCGGACTCAAGCTCTCAAACTGGCATGTCAGTACTTCAGCAGGGGCCATTTCTTGAGAAACAAGCGGAGTGAAGATAGCGGTCAACTCACCGTAGCACGCAGCAATATACTAGTCCACTAGCATATATTGAGCTGAGATGAGCTGGAAATTGGCCGAAAAACAATCCATCAGACCATTCGGTCCATGTCTCGCAGCTCATCGAAGAGGGTCCAATGGTCAATGTGATGGCTCTATGTTCTGTTGGGAGTAGCATGGCACGACAAGATAGAATGCGAACTCTCAGGAGAAAAATGGGGTATATTAATGATGATTTTATTTATCGTACATGCAAGATATACAGGCAGATGTTAAGACACCACTAACACCTTTCTATGATTAGTACAAGGTAAACGTCTCCCCATCCACGATCATTTACATGATCACGGGCAGGTTGCGCTCCAGGTAGCCGCGCCACTCAGGGAGCGTACGCTGCCACTTTGTGCCAGAGGTCTTCTGAAGATCCTCAATAGCACTGGCGTACTTGATGAGAGTGGGCTCCGAGAAGGCCGTGTTCATGATCGCTAGGCCGTAGGGCATGCCGGACTCCGAGCCGGTACCCGCAGGCACAGTGATGACAGGGTAACCAGCCTGGGCAGCGATCTGAATGCTCTGGGCGACATCCGGAGGCACCAGAAGACCATCCAGGGTGCCATTCTTGTACTTCAGAGCGGCGTCAATGCCCTCCTCGCGGGTGGTGCGTTGGCAGAACTCCAGGGCGGAGAAGTAGGTCTCGTTCATGATACCCTTGCTCTCCAGGGAGGCGATGAGGCCGTCCTGGCCGGAGCCGAAGGCTGGGTGGATGCCGGGGAGACCGCCCTCGGAGCCATAGTTGTCGATGTTGTACTGAACGAGGTCCTCGACAGACTTGATCGCGGTGTTGTTGACCTCGGCGAGGTAGTCGCGTAGGTTGTTGTAAAAGTCGACCTTGATGTAGGAGTACTCCGACTCGTTGACGAAACCACGGGTGGTGCCGTAGTCCCAGTTCCAGCCGTCGGGGGAGACAATCTGCTTGTAGTGAGGCAGCTCAGTGCCGTTGATGATGGTAGCACCAGCGGACTTGATCAGGGAGATGAGCTCCTCGAGCTGGGCAATCTGCTCCGCGTCGCCGAGAGCCCAGAAGGACTTCCAGGGAAGACCAAACACAGCGCCCTTGAGAGCGTCCTTCTTGGACAGGAACTGGGCATATCCGCCCTTCGGGGTCATGTCCTTCTGAGCGAGAGTGTAGTTGTCACGGGTGTCGACTCCATAGATGGCATCCAGGGCATACACGGCGTCACGAACGGTCTTGCCAAAGGTACCGACAGTATCCTGGTGCAGAGACTCGGGGATGACACCAGCACGGGAGGTCAGACCGACAGTAGGCTTGATGCCGACGATGGCGTTGCGCTGAGCGGGGTTGATGACTGTTTGAGCGTAAGCTACACGACCACCCCATACTTAAGCTTGGATGTTACATACCACTACCATCAGTCTCGGTGCCCAGAGCGATGGGGACCAGATTGGCACCGACGGCGACACCAGGACCAGTGCTGCTGCCACCGGGGTTGACGGTGAAGTTATAGGCACTACGGCACTGGCCACCACGGGCAGTGAAACCCTCGGAATAGTTGTTCGAACGCATGTCCGCCCACTCGCTCAGAGCACCCTTGCCCAGGAGCAGAGCACCGGCCTTGCGCATGCCGTGGACGACGTGGGAGTCACGGGGCACCACGCTTCCCAGCAGAGCCCAGCAGCCAGCAGTAGTCTCCATGCGGTCCTTGCTGGCAATGTTGTCCTTAACAATAAAGGGAATACCGTGGAGAGGACCACGGACCTTTCCATGAGCACGCTCCTCGTCCAGCTTTTGAGCGATGGAGAAAGCATCAGGGTTGAATTGCAGGATGGCACTAGGGGGAAGGGTCAGCGTCAAAGCTCCCCCGCACAATCATTTCCACCTTGAAGAACTTACTTCAGGTACGGCTGGGTCTGGTGAATGCGGTCGAGGTAGCACTGCAGCAGCTCAACGCTGGTGAAGGAGCCATTGCTCAGTTGGGCCTGGATCTCATCGACACTGGCTTCCTCCAGCTTGAACCCGTGGCAGCGGCGCATCGGGAACAGCGAGGCCCCGGGGGCGCCCAGACGAGGAAAATCATAGGCGTAGGGATCGGTCAAGATCTGCGAGGCAACCAGTGTATCGACCTGTTCGTGGCGAGCAGCCACGGCTGAGCTGGCCAGGGCGAGGCCGCTCACGGCGAGCTGCAGGAAGGGCGCCATGATGAATCCGATGAGATGCTAGGTGCAAGTCGAATCAGATGCAGAGACCCCACCAACAGCCATGTGGCAAAGGGACGATCCCAGGGGAAGCTTTGGTTTTCATATACGAGACGACATCGTGGAGCCCTTGACTAATCCCGGCGGCCGGCCTCCGTTGCTCCTGCACACCTCAACAGGGGCTATCTACCCTCACCTTCCACATACGCAATGGCCACAGATCCAATTGACCCACTCCAATGGCACGATCCTCGCCGTCGGAACGGTCGGAGAAGCCGTCGCCATCGATCCTGGGGCGTCAAAAAGGCCAGAGGCGACCAACCAGCAGGCCGGGGCGTGTCGGCACCATCTCCAGCCCCGATCGCATATCAATCGCAGCCACTAGCGCGGTTAACCTTGGGGGAGGTCTTCCCTCCTGCCTAATCGCACGTAGTTCGTGCGCAAAATCTTCAGCGCCGGGCCTACCACGGTCGCCCGACGGATCTCGCCCGGTTTTGCTGCGATCGCATCCTCCGATCCGACTCCACCACCGCAGCCCTGACTGGTCGACAAAGCCCTACTAAGCATCAGCGTCAACGCTGCGAATGCTGCAGGCGAGACTAGCGTTGCCATTACGCGTTAGAAACGCCCAGCTGTGAGTTTATACAGCAAGTGCCGTTGCATCTGCGTGCAGTCGCTCGTATCCCGAAACACTGCAAACCTTCCCTGAACCCTGAGGGCTTTACATCGTAAGATCCTGATGAGGATAGCCACACCAACAATGAATCATTCTCGGTCTTCTAGATCACTCATGACAGCATCGACAGCACCGCGTGGGTCGGGCAGGAATTTTACCCCCGAACCATGAACCGACGCCTGCGAGCCGAAATCCCAACGCGGTGGATTGCCCCATGCGGCAATATCGAGTCTGGAACAAAATCAATTCCGGCTCCACCGGTTCCTTCACATCTGCGTCTTGGCATATTGTCGGGCAATGCAGACGCACTCCTGTTGGTTGCTCAGCTCGAAGAAAGTCAGATATATTGAACAGAATGACCCGCTTCTGCGTCCACTTTCCTCTACCGTACGAGAAAGAGAGTTGTTCTCGTCCTTCCTTCCTTCTCGTCGATCATTCATTGTTATTATCGACGGTCCCTCGTCGACTCGCTACACTCTTTTCTCTGGGACCTCTGCAGGAACAGGACATGTCGGCGTGATTGTTGGTTTGCCATGCCATTCCCTTGATCGAGAATGACCATCCCCGCCGATATTCAGGCTGCTGATGCAGCAGGGAGGATTCCGGATGGGATCTCCCTCTCATATCTCGCGCAAAGCCGCGATAAATCCGCCCTGGTGGGCATCATCTTCCTCGTCTGCTTGACCGGAATTCTCATGATCTTGCGTCTCTATGCACGACTATTCCTCGTCAAGAAGATCGGCCTTGACGATGCGCTAGCGATCTTGACAATGGTGAGTCCGCTGATCTGTGCACGTTCTCCCGCATAGTGGAGAAATCAAAAATGGGCCATTCTTGATCTCGTGGGAAGTATACGGACTGTGTACACAGTCTCAAACAGTGACATCTGAATTGGCAATCGACCCTGCACAACGACAACAATACAGTATAGTGCAGAACAGTAATTGACTCAATATTCAATATAGATGTTCTACATTGTCTTCGTCGTGTTGTCCATCGTCTTGATCAATCTCGGAAGTGGCCGCCACATTGAATATATCCAATATGTCCTTTCGATGCCGACGGTCCGTCAAACCGAAGTGCTCGACTTTGTCGCCCACATTCTCTACACCACTGCCCTTTTCCTTTGTCGCCTCTCTGGTCTGGCCTTCTACTTCCGCATCTCTGCGCGCTCCGGCAAGCTGCACACCAGCATCCTGATTGCTGCCCCGTTCCTTTTCGCCGCATACCTCCCTCAACTCCTTCTCTTGATCCTCCACTGTCGGCCCGTGACGGGGCTGTGGCCATACGAATGGCAAATCGAGACCACCAACTACAAGTGTCTGTCATGGGGCCTGGTCTACTCTGTCAACTCCGGCGTCTCGCTTGCGTGTGATGTGATGATGTTTATCATTCCCACCATCTTGATCAAGCAACTTCACGTTTCCTTCAAGAACAAGATCAAGCTGTCCATGGTTATGTTCCCCGGTGTCTTGTCAGTACCATCCACGCACCACATCCCCCTCACCCAAGATCACCAACTAACATAAATCAACAGCGTAATCGTCATCTCCGCTGTCCGCGTCTGGCTCGTTGTTCGAGGCCAATGGGCCGCCGACGGCAGCTGGGCCTACAACCCCATGCTCTGCGTCGAGAACGCCGAAGTCGCCAGCACCCTAATCGCCCTTTCCGTCCCCGCCCTCAAACCTGTCTTCGGAAGCCTGTTCGCCCACATAACCGAATACACCTCCAGCCACACCCACTCGCGCTCCGCAGGACGACTACGAACTCACTCCAAGCCCATGAGCGGAGTGGGCTCGGCAGCCCGCGACGACCGACGCCTGCTGAACTGGTCCAAAAATGGGCGTGATGATTACGAGATGATGCCGTCTGAAGTCTCGGTCATTCGCGACTCCCCGAATAACCCGTACAAGTCGCCTGGGATTAAAGTGACGAACGAAATCGATGTTTCGCGGGGTTCGGAGAGACCGCCGTCGTCGCAACAGTCGTCGCGGCCTTCGTCGCACCATACATAGACTCTTAAGATAATAGACTAATATTAAAAGTATTTGGTTGAGATTCGTTTATCAAAACAGTCGCCCAAACAGCCATTTGAACAGTCCCCTAATACCACCACTCCTAGATCATACTGTCGATGAAGCTTCAACAAGTGTTATGGATATGAAACTTTTCCGTGTTTCTATTATTTTTCATCTGACGGTGTTGAATCAGCTATCAATCGAAAACAGGCATCAACATGAAGAACGTGAGCCTTGGCCGCTATAACCCTCCGTGCCCCGCGTCCATTTAATCCCACAACAGCTGCAGGATGGGGGGAAGGTTCCAGAGTGTAGTTTCTTGGCACAGATCATGCCCCTTGGGGTTAGTGTCCATTCGGTCTTTCGGTTTCACGTCTCGCGCGTTCTGACGCTAAGTCCGAAGGGGCCAAGTGTGATAAAGGGGCCAAATGTTCTGCTTATGAATGTGTGCTGACCAATGCTCGATATTCAACACATTAGGTAAGCATCCCTGTTGGTTCGTGTTCCGACAGCGAAGATGTGGTATGATTGGATTAGTGATCGTGGACTCGTAGTATAAGAGTGCTGTTGGCGCTGGTTGAGATTCGAAAGCATCAACACTGTCCGTTACATTGTACTTTGTCGCCCCACCTTCTCGATATATATCAACACACTGCACCCACCTACGCCTCATGACACTCAAATATCTAGTTACCGGTGCCACAGGCGGACTCGGCAAACAGGTACTTTCATATCTCGTTGCAAATGTCCCTGCATCAGAGTATGCCGCAGCTTCATCGAGCGAAGCGAACCGCAAGCAGTTTGAAGACCAAGGCATTGCCTTTCGGGTAGTCAACTACGATGACCCCCAAAGCATGGAGAAATCCTTCCGAGATGTAGAGAATCTCCTGTTCGTGAGCACCAACACATTCGATGTTGAAAAGCGACAAAAACAACATCAGAACTTCGTTGACGCGGCGAAGAAGATGGATGTCAAGCATGTACGTCACTTCCTCCATAACATACTCATCATTTGATGAATCGAGATCTAAACGACTATCCTCCAGGTTTGGTATACATCTCTCGCCTTTGGGGGGCTACGCTCCGACTCTAAAGCGAATGTCCAACAGGCCCACCTCATGACAGAGGAGATGATGCGAGAGTACGCCCAACCATCCGATAGACTTCACCTCATGTCCACTAACACGAGGTATAGATCCGGCATCAACTTCACCTCTATCCGCGAGGGCCTCTACACGGATGCATTTCCGATATTCATGGGCTGGTACCCGAGCACCTCAACCGTATACCTCCCATCCGACGGTCCGATTGCATTTACCCTGCGCGACGAGCTCGGCGAAGCCACCGCCCGCCTGATGATCCGAGGCGGACACGACAAGGAACTCGTGCTCCTCACAGCACAAGAAACTGTCACATTCCGCGAGATCGTCGATATCGTCAACGAGAGCACGGGCCGAAACGTCCGGCTCGAGCTGGTTTCACAAGAGGATTTCGTGCGATTGAAGGCGACCGACGACGAGGGCGGTAAATCGGAGGCATTCTTTCACTCGCTTTTATCATGGTACGAATCGATTTCGCAAGGGGAGGCAGGTGCGACGGACCCACTCATGGCCGAGTTGCTGGGGAGGGAGCCGGTGCGGCCTCGGGATGCCATTCGGAGGTTTTTGGCGGAGAATAGGGATTATGAGTGGCATCAGAACTATGTCAATCGGGGTTAGTGCGGATGGGATTTGAGGGGTTGTTAATGGTGTGGTCGTGATTAGTTAGTGCATGTGAGCAGACGCCAATGCAGGCGGCACCGAGGCCTGGCAGTTGCAACTGGCAGGATGAATGGGATGCCGGGTCGGCAACGGAAGCCGGTGGCGGCCTGGAGAATCAGGCAGAAAATACATCATTTGGGGTCACCCTCTTTTTCTTGGGGAATATGTATTTTGAATGAAATGGATAGCAATGGGATAAATATCTCGGGTTTTAATACTATCAGGAATATCAATTGCTAGGGTCAGTGTATACTCAATCTCAGTCGCATCGGCTGTCCGCCGGCAGAGAAATACAGAGAGGAATATGACGCCGCCGTGTCCGCCCGAGCGAGTGACCATTACGCCGCCCATGATTGGCGCAGGCCCGCTGAGTCAGCGCGTTGCCGACGCCCAAACCCGAGGTTAGCAACTGGAATCTCCTGGACTTCAATTTGCCTTCGAATCTTGGTGGTGCTCCAGGCTGACTGACCCTCTCCTCTCTCCTCCCCGCCTCCATTCGTCCCAAGTTCTCCAACACAGCTTTATACCTCCATATCCTCCGCCATGGCCTCTCTCCGCACCACGTCGCGGTTGTTCGCTGCGTCGCGGCCGCTCTTTCGGCCCGCTACCTTTGCTCGCTCCTACGCGACCGTCGAGGCCGGTTCTACCGACGCCGCCAATGCCGGTCCGGAGGCCAAGTTGAAGACCTTCAAGGTCTACCGCTGGAACCCGGACACCCCGAGCGAGAAGCCCACCATGCAGAGCTACCAACTCGACCTCAACAAGACCGGCCCTATGATGCTGGACGCCTTGATCCGCATTAAGAACGAGCAAGACCCCACCCTGACCTTCCGCCGGTCTTGCCGTGAGGGTATCTGTGGTAGTTGCGCCATGAACATTGACGGTGTCAACACACTGGCTTGCCTGTGTATGTTCTTCCCGCTCGGCATGAGATCTTCCGCACACCCGAGACCTTCGTTATGATGGTTATGGCCAGAGCCAGAGCCAGAGCCAGAGCCCGCGAGAACGAATCGCTAACACTTTGAAATCAGGCCGCATTCCCACCGACACTGCCTCCGAGTCTCGCATCTACCCTCTGCCTCACACCTACGTCGTCAAGGATCTGGTACCGGATCTGACCCTGTTCTACAAGCAATACAAGTCCATCAAGCCCTACCTCCAGCGTGATACCCCCAGCCCCGACGTGAGTGAATCCTCCCGCGCGACTCCGCCTCGCGGAAACTCGTCATGTACTAACCGCATTTGCGACGGTAGGGTCTGGAGAACCGTCAAAGTCCCGAGGACCGCAAGAAGCTCGACGGCCTCTACGAATGTATTCTGTGCGCCTGCTGCTCAACCTCCTGCCCCTCATACTGGTGGAACAGCGAGGAGTACCTGGGTCCCGCCATCCTGCTCCAGTCTTACCGCTGGCTGGCCGATTCCCGTGACGAGCGCACCGCCGAGCGCAAGGCCGCCCTCGACAACAGCATGAGCGTCTACCGTTGCCACACTATTCTCAACTGCACACGGACCTGCCCCAAGGGATTGAACCCCGGTCGCGCCATCGCCGAGACCAAGAAGATGTTGGCCTCTATGTAAATTCGGATCTCAAAAAATGGAGTTGGGATTTTCCTTTCTGTCGAATGTCTTGACAGCCGCTTTCTTTTTCCTTTTTTTTTACCCTGTCTCTTTTACCATGTTACCTTTTTTTTACTTTTTTTTTCTACCAAGTCTCTCATGGATGTTTTCATAGGTGTAAATCGTGGACATTTGATTCTTACACAGGAATGCACTGGTAATCCAATTGACTGAAACTCAAGCTGAAGCTGAAACCTGTTTTGCCATGTCGTTGATTCGGCTATATGCGTTGCCATTGAAAATTGATCACATGACCACAGGATGGCATTGCCTCGAGCATTGTCTTCGGTCGGATGATCGCTAGTCTCATTGATTTGAAGACTACATTCAAGTCATTTTATGATAGCTTGGGCTACTGTTGGGAGTACATCTCTAACTTCCGGATTCAATGTGTGCCGGGCCAGTGGATTTCCGCGACTTGCGAAAGTCATGAACTCGGCTATTTGTTTTGCCCATTCACGATCTGCTGTTCTCGAGGTTTCACGTGATCCAACCACGTGATTTGGAATTGGTCAATGCCTGGGGTTGATTCCCCGCTTCTCCAATCTTTATTCTTTGTTTCTAAGGCATTGGCACTTTTTGTCGCCTGCAGGAAGCAGGCTGGATCTAATATTAGGATACCGTCTCAATGAATGTTGGCGCAGGAGACCCTCTCAGGACGCAGGTCAGGTCGACAGTAACAGGTGGGTCGGGCCAGACCTAACCGGAATATCTATTTTCCAGGTATAGAGCATAGATTAGTAATCTTTTCTGATTCGCTAGCTCAAATACAGACTCCTTGGCATTACCAGCTCTTTCAATCTCCACACCTCCCACCAATCGCGAGCACTCCCAATCTCCCACGCCCATTTCCATCAAGAACAAATTATTAATCTATTATTTTCGAATCCCTGAATCAAAATGGTGCGTTTCCTGGAGTCCCACGCCCCGTACAAGCAGTACATGGCGGATGCGAAGGCCGGCGTGCTAGAGCTACCTGTGTATGACAAGGTAAGTGGAAATACCTCTGGTCGACCGGGGTTTCAGGGTGTCCCGGGCATTAAAATATATCTTGGATGCGGCATCTGAGCATCTAAAAAATCCTATAGTTCACCTTGTATATGACTGATATGCTTTTCTAGGATGACGATGGTAGCGTTATTGTTCTTCCTGGAGAGCTTTTTTGTCGATTCGAGGATTGTGATCACCAGGTATGCTCTATGTTCTTAACATATTTTGAATCTATTATTAACATATTATTAGAAGCAGTATTCCCACACTGGCAATCTCAAGACACACCTCACCGGTCACCAAGGCGTGACGGTCTCTGGTAAATACGCTAGCAAGGGCCGCCATGCTATCAAGGAAATGGACGAGGTCAAGGGTATTAACACATTCTCAATCCATTCCCGGTTTATTACTTATATGTTTTTAGCTTGGTACACTGCTCTTGTTGCTAGTATCCCTACGAAGCCTCGACTTCCCTTCACGAAGGGTAAAGGCAAGAATCGGAAGGCAAGTTATCTCTGATTTACTGAGAATGTATTGCTAATGTATTACAGATTTCAGTCAAAGCTGTGAGGGATTTCCTCACTACTAAGCACATACATAATGACTGCAACGCCTGCATCACTGCTAATCTCAGTAAGTGATTCTTGATACATCCTTGATACATTGTTAATATATTATAATAGAATGCGGTACTGCCCCATTCACCTGCGAGTATCTTTCTCGCTTTTGGGATGTGGACGCAGACTTTGAGCGTCTCGAGGAGGAAGCATAAATTTACAATTATTCTTAATTCCTTGACCAAAATTGTAAGAGTTAATACAAGTGGGCATATTTTAACCTACCTACGCTTTACCTGTCTATCTATCTCATCTAACTCTTGCTGCCGTTTACGATTAGCAAGCTGCTTTTCGAGTAATTGTGCCTTTAAGTCCTCCTCTCGGAGCTGATGTTCAAGCTTTTGGATAGCAAGACTATCATAATCTTGTCGTAGGTTATCAGAGGCAACCCGTTGTAGGTTTTGAGCTCTGTAATATATTAATAAAATATTCTGAAAGCAATAGATACTACTAACCTTGGTGTAGGTGTTCTTGTCCGGCGAGGAGTGGTTATAGGGGATCTAGTACTAGATCTCCTTGGTACACTAGCTGAACGTCGAGAAATTGGTACACCAGAGGTTGTATACCGTACACTTAACTCATCAGGTATGGAGAACTCATCTATGCTAGATGAGTTCTCAAGCTGATTAAGTTCCTCTTCTAATAGCCTCTCCTGGCGCCTTTTTTGTTCTGTAGAAAAATTTTTAATAATATATTCTCAATATCTTTAGTATTCTCTTACCCTTTGCTAGGTGACGATCGAATGCTGCGTGAATACCATTCATCCGATAGCTTTGTCGTATTCCATATTCTTGGCGAATAGAATAAGCTTGAATGCGGTTCTTATCATGGGCAAACGAACTGGAAATATCTTATTAATATGCTAGTAATATAACAGGACAAAAGTAAGAATAAGAACTTACTTCAAAACCCCTCGTAGAAGTGAGAGCTGAACACCGGTACTATTGATCATATGGTGCGATTGCTCCACTGCATTTGTGTTCTTTCGAAGTCCTTCGAAAATCACATCAGGTATCTGACTCCAAGCTTTATTTAAAGCTGCCGCAACGTAAGGAAGTTTCTTATGGCGGGCCCATTGCTGAATGACAGCTGATGATTCATGATCTAATAATAAATTAATAAACTATTAAGAACCGGTTTAAGTATACATACCAATTATCCAGTCTAAAGCTTGAATATACTCCTCTCGGTTAGGAATGTCGATCACTGCCCGCATCCTTTCCCTACATCCAGGAGTGACCTGTTGCCCATGAAGTGCTCTATCAATACCTCTGTAGAAGTGAGCTCTACAGAAGACAACAAATTGTTGGATAAGGTCATCAGGTGATACCTGGAGAGTACTCTTATCGGCAAGAAAATCTCTTAGACCTATAATAGATTAGTAATATATTAATAGTATATGGTTTATTTCTCACCTCCATATTGCTTTGTATCCATATCCAGAACAACAGCATGTAGCCCTGTATAATGGATTGGATAAAAGTAGAACTGACGGCTAAGAACACGCTCCATACACTCAAAAAGTCGAGTAAACAGGAGATAGTAGGTTGAACGTGTCTCAGAAACAACAATCACACGTGCAAGCGTAAAAACTATAATATATTAATAATATATCCCACTTTTATTATAGCAATATTTACCTCTGTCTTGTTCCAGTATAAACCTTGAAAACGTCACCTCTCGCATTGGCTTTTGCTTAAACCTCTTAAAAGACATATCAATCTCTATCGAGTCAGAGTTGAGGAAGAGGCCCGCCATCTCAGGAGTAAAGCAAATAATCATGAGATCAGGATCCACATAGATTTGCTGTACATAGTCCTAAAAGAAACATTAATAAATTCCTAATATATTATAAACGTACTATTACCTTTAGTGGAGGATTCTTTTCCATCTCAAAGATCAACCCATTAGTGTCCTGCCCATGCGGGAACTGTAGGAGTCTCTCCTTTCGAATAAGCGCACCAACTCGGTCCAGATTCCCAAAGCTTTTATGGATATCAAGAAGCGAGGAGCTATTGTTAAATCGTTTGCATAAATCTTGAAGCTCAGGGCTAAGAAGAAAACGTCCTAATTTCATCAATTATTAATAACTTCTTAATATATTAGAAAAAAATGGACTGAGAAGAAACGTACCTGTTGTCAGACCAGGGTCATTTCGGAGACGAATTATACGTATGATTCCGTCTAGAATTGCTGGCGGAGGCTTTGATGGCGGCGGCGGAGGATGCGTATGAATACCAGTAGAAGTGAATACCCAAAAAGGACAGGAAGAAAGGTCTACTGGAATAAACCAATGGAATTCAACCGAGCATTTCTGGTGCCTGATTTTACCAAGCCCGCGAGTATGATCAAATTCTATAATAATATATTAATAAAACATTTATATTGTATTCAGAATGTCTTCAGACCTACCACAATAGTCCCCACGGTGTCGATTTGTATCGATATAACCACAGGTTTGAATTTCCCCCTGGATCTCTCTATCAAGGATTTGCCTAAGCAATTCCCGGTCGATACCAGAGTCAGGTCGCACGCATGATGCAAAATGAGACCTTGGATTTTCGTATGAGTTAGAGCAGTAGATATAAAAGTCAGATCCACCAATAACACTCTAAAGTATAGATAATTAGTTGAAAATATATTAGGAATAGATTAAGAGTATATTACTTACATCCTGAACCCATCGACCGCGTGGCGAACAAGTATCCTTCCAAGATACGCATGAAGTGCGATTGATCTTAAACTGACGCGTTGTAGATTGGTACAATCTATACGTTGCTGGCTGTAAAGGGTTTTGGGTATCACTGAATGCGATATGTTGGCGAAGCTCTTTGATCCGCTGCCAAATGTCCTCAGTAACATGCGAATGCACCATTTGCTTGAGCTCCGGATTTGTAAATTCGCACATCTTGATCCCTGTGCATTTGTAGAAGCTGTGTAAAAAAGCGACCCTTTCTCCAAAGATAGAATCATGCTGGTTGCGCTTGTTTCGATAGGCTTGCTTTGATGAGTATTGTATCTAATACATTGTTAATACATTATTGACATATCAGGAGATTAATATACCCCTTCAATAGACTGCTCGACTGCGAACAAAGACCGATCAGGCACATTAATCACATATGTAAAACCATCTGGATCTGTCCGGGGATATTCAGGTAGCGCTGAAGTATATTCAATAAAGCGGGTTCGAATTGGCGAGCGCTTGTCGTGTAAGATAGTCCGCTGGAATTCCTTCAAATAGTAAAACATTATTAACGTATCGTTAATATATTAAACATATTTCAAGCATACCGGGGGTTCATCCAGAGCATCTGCAGGCTCAGGAGCGCCTTGGACAATAGCAGAAAATGCGCTTTCCTCACTGTTGAGCTGCTGCTGAAGCTCCTGCTGAAGCTGCTGCTCCAGAAATGCACTGATCTCTCCGTCGTTCTTGTGGAAGACTGCCATACTAGGTGTGGGTGTAGAAACCACAAGAATATGAGATAGACAACGAACTACCCCGCCGACCCATGGTACTGTGCGAGTGAATAATACATCAGTAATTTATTAAAGTATTCGCTAGAAATAAATTACAGAAGCCAAGAACTTAGGTCTGGCCTGGACTTATCGGGCTTATCAGGTCTGGCCTGACCCACCCGCAGGTGTTCAGGTCACATATGCACTCCCTCCCTCTTACTGTAATTATGCTGATGGTGCTTATGTAACCAATTTCTTGGCGAGGACGAGTCAAAACACCTTTACTTTCTCGAGCTGCCCTCACTTGATCAATAGCATTGTGCATTGCATATCATTGCACATATCATTGCACATATCCACTGCAATGCATGTTCACTGCAATGCATGGCCATGTCGGATTTCTATTCCGCCCGCGATTTACTCCCAGATTTCCAGCACTCACTTCCCAAGGAACCGCCAAACCGTGATTGGTGTTGATGGTGATTGCTCTGACTTGCATTGTGACTGCGCACCGGGCCTCAGATGTGGCTAGGGGAGGGGTATCCATGTCAGCACGGGTGCTACCGTGAGCCATCACACCCATCCATCCCTGAAATAATGCCTTGTCTTTCCAACTTGAACCTTAGTGCAAATCAATGCAGCGCAAGGCACGCAGCGGGGCTTCTGGCCGTCCGCACGACGGGTGAGCAGCAGACCCATAAGATGTGGGGCTCCGTGCTAAACCAGTACAGGCAAGAGTCTCTTAACATGGCGGCCCTAAGTGCAGCTCTGTTCAGGTATAGGGGCGGAATCATGGGCGTCCTGGCATTCGCTCTGTTGGTGCGCAGCCACTCACAGCCAATGTTTACCGCCGTCTACCTAGTCATTAGCTAGCAATTTTTATCGACTATCATCATGTTATCAAATACTCTTGCCATTATAGGCGCTGTTGGTTCCTGCGTTTTAACATGCCTTCCCCCATTCTTCCCCCGCTCCCCGGCTTTCTCTTCCCATGGTTCTCCCTGCCTTCATTGTTCCATCGTCATCAGACATAAATGATACCTCGATCTCCGAGTCTCCCGGTTCTGACCTTGTCTCGCGTCCAAAATGGAATATATGCTGCTGCTCCCCGCTGTGGCGGTAGCACTGCTGCTGTTTCTCGCCGTCCGCATACTCATCTACCGTCTGTACGCCCATCCTCTGGCCCAGTTTCCAGGCCCGAAGATCGCGGCTGCTACGTTCTTATATGAATTCTACTTTGACATCGTCAAAAGTGGGATGTATATCTGGGAAATCGAGCGCATGCATGAGAAGTACGGTATGTTTACCTCGCTTTCAATCCTCCCTCCCGACAAGTGAAACGATCGGGTTAGAGGGTCACTTTCTTGAAAAACAACCATGGAAAACACACCCGAATTCTTGAAAGCAGACTAACACTGATACGACCAGGTCCTATCGTGCGCATCAATCCCAGAGAACTCCACATCAAAGACTCCTACTTTTACGACGATATCCACGCCGGTCCATCCAAGAAGCGCTCCAAAGATCCCAAGTACGCGATCGCCTTTGGAGCACCCTACTCCCTTGTCGGAACAATCGGCCACGATCACCACCGACTGCGCCGCAGCTTCCTGAACAACTTCTTCTCAAAGCGATCCGTCACAAGCCTGACCCCATCAATCCACCAAAAGGTAGACAAACTAATCCGGCGCTTTGAAAACGCCTCTGAGAATTCCACCGTCCTCCGCTTACAGCTCGACTTTGCTGCGCTCGCGGCCGACGTGATCACGCACTACTCGTACGGCTGGAGCTACGGGTATCTGGACAATGAAGACAGCTCGAATAGCAATGACCTGGTGGATGCGGTCAATGGGCTCATGACCATGTTCCACATCAATCGGTTCTTCCCGATCCTCATTACCATTTTCCGGGCTACGCCGCCGAGTCTGGTCCGTAAGCTTCAGCCTTGCATGGCGGATTTGTTCGATGTGAAGGCAAAGCTTCGCCAACAGGCTAAAGAGACTATCGAAATGAAGGATAAGCTAGATGACCCCGAGGGAAAGGAAGGTATGAATATCTTTGATGCGATGACTGGTCCTGACGTACCGGAAGCGGAGAAGACGCTGGATCGATTGGAGGATGAATCTGCCTTGCTTCTTGGTGCCGGGACGGAGACTACTGCGAGAGCTATTGCCGTGTCCATGTTCCATGTCATGAACAACGAGGAGGTGGGGAAGAAATTGCTAGCTGAATTGAAGACGGTATTGGAGACGCCTACTTCAAAGGCTTCATGGACGGAGCTTGAAAAACTGCCATATTTGGTGAGTGATGATCTATTCAAGAATTTGTTTATTACAGTCAACCTGGATGAAGCTAACCTCCAGCATTATAGACTGGAGTTGTCAACGAGGGCCTTCGCCTGAGCCACGGAATGACCACTAGACTGGGTCGCATGTCAAGAAACGACCCTATTCCTTACAAGGATTGGATTATCCCCGCAGGAGTAAGTGGTTTCCGGCATCAAACATACATATTTCAAAGCTAACATATTGTGTTATAGACACCGATCAGTCAATCGAACTACTTCGTCCACATGGATGAAACCTTGTTCCCCGAACCCCACAAGTTCGACCCAGTACGCTGGGTTCGAGCCGCAAAGAAAGGTGAACACCTGAGTAGATTCATTGTGGCATTCACCAAAGGCAGCAGACAATGCCTGGGCATCAAGTAAGTCTCCGCGGTGGCAGGGAGCTCATTGGTTACTCCAACTAATCAACGAACAAAAGCCTCGCTTATGCAGAAATATATCTCACCGTGGCCCACGTCGTCCGCAGATTCGAGTTTGAACCGTATGAAACGACAGTTGACAACATCCGTGTCTTCCGTGATCTGGGAATTGGGTGTCCTGAGAAGGGTCTTTTTGACGTGAAGGCTAAGGTGAAGGCCATCAGGAAGAAATGATTTCGGATGAGTTTGTTACACCGTGCTCGTACTATTGGACCGTACTTCATGGTGAGGAGTTGAGGAAGTGACTAGGGAGATTGACGGAAGTCATCTAGCTATCTGATCTCTACTTTTGCTTTATGGCTAACAATATCCAGGGCATATGATAGCGTTTTATTGTTTCTAATTCACACTATGAATCAATTGACTTCTTGGAGTGCACGAGACTGGGCCTTCAGAGATAAGCCTGGACTTGATGGATGATCTACGGTTCTATCTTGCGGAACAAATCTTCAAGTATGAATCTTCGCAGAGTGTTGCAATCGTAAAAACCATATCAAACTTCGGCATCTGCCTCTCAGGACCCGCTCCTTTGACAGGCTCCCCCGCAAAAACAGTAACCTGGCTGATAATTCTACTACCTTGTCCAAAAGCATGCAGAGCCAAGGATACAACACACGTACCAATAGGGGTGCCCAGGATCGCAGAGAACTCGGTTGTTCCATGTCCAAAGACTTGCTGAGGCTGAATCTGGTTTTTCTAGAAATGTGGAGATTCAGAATCTTCAGGCAGCACACTTTCTGGATATCTGTTAGAAAAAAAGTGTCGGAGTGTAGTTAGTGGGAAATCTTGAGCGTAGAAAGCTTTGGAAATATCAGAAATGTGAGAGTCCCCACAGGTTTTACCATGAGTTCGTCGAAGATTCGCCAAGAGAATTATTCCTGGACCGGTTGTGCCGGACCAGGAAGCTTCAACTGAGGACAGACGGATTGGTCTAAAGTCGGATTCCTTGTCTAGTTTTTTTCGTTTTCAATCAATACATTGAAACCATGTAGAGCATTGTAGCACTTGACTAGATCTTCCATGTAATCTCGGTAATATGCAAAGTGCCATCGAGGCTCTTTGAAATCAGCTAAAGGTGCCGCGGAACAGTAGATCTTACAATCGTCGTTGAAAGTTTACTCACGAAGCGATCGTCGATAAGTCTGTCCCTTCTGGACCTGGTCCTGGACCCGGTCCTGAAAATAATTTTCATCGCCGCCAGCATTCAGAGTCGCCGATCCCGTTCATATACGCATAGCTATAGGGGTGCTAGACATGATTGTATGTTAATACTAAAATTGATGTTGATAATGTCTCTGATGCCTCTGATGCTTGTATGTGTTGAATTTAAGGCAAACGCTACTGAAGAACAGGTCTCCAGGCTACTCGAGGGTTATTTACATTTTAGACTGGACAGTCAGAGAATTGATCAAGCTTCACAGTACAGTAAACAGATGAGCAAATTGGAGACAAAACAGTACTCCAAGAAGAAAATTTTTGTGAAAGACATGGATTTTATACGCAGAGAATAAATTCCGGTCGTAATAGCCGGAGACATAGCAACCCCCTCGCTTTTCGAACACTCTCTAAGAATAAAATTAGATGGGACGAATCACCAATGAGTCCATTGTTTGGGACAAGGCACTGTATTTCTTTTATCAGATCAAAGTAAGTTAGGGTTCAGCCTAAATAAAGATAACCCTAGTCTGAACTCTATCTCGTGGTAGGTTAGACAACCATGCCATATTCTGAGATGCATCGACATCGAGTGACGAAAAAGAATAAACAACTTCAAGAAATCCAATTTAGCCAGACCCGTATAGTGACAGCTAGAGTGTTCATCGTCAAACACGACGCTGCTCCACTGTTGGGATCTTAAACAGAGTAGACCAAATCCCCAAAGCCACAGCCAACATCGCCAGCAAAATCGGCTGAAGCACACTCACCCCCTTCACCTGCGCAATAGCACCTATCATAAACGGGAAAACGGCACCACCACCCATCGAAAAAGCCGCGGCAAACCCAATAGCCGCAACATGAAGGTGTTTAGGCAAGAGCCGCGTTGCAACAACCACAACACCAGGAAATATCGTCCCCAAGAAAAACCCAACAAAAGAAACCGCGACGGCCGAGACAATAAACTCCGGCACAAGCCAGAAAATCAGCTCCAGCGCAATCGCGCAGAGGATGTAGATTGCGATGGCCATCTTCTCGCCAATCCGTGGCGATACGAATCCCAGCACGAATCGGCCGACCGTAATACCGAGCCAGAATCCCGTTTCAGTCATTCCGGACGCGAAGGCGCTGCCGTGCCGGATGTTGGTCATGAAGACGACGATCCAGCCGCCAATTGCTACCTCGGTTCCGCCGTAGAGGAAGAGGAAGGCTGCTATGATCCAGGTTACCTTGAATGTGAGGGAGAGGCGAGTCTGGTAGAGCGCGCCTCCCCTTGTGGTCGTGCCCTCACTTTCCTGTCTATATTTGGCGCCTGTTTCGGTCCAGAATGCGCTCGCTGCATAGACAAGTTCAATGGCAGCCCCTCCGGCCTATGGCAAGCAGGTTAGTTGGTGATTTTGGGTGGGCAGTGAAGAGAAGGGTGGGCGGGTGGCTGGGCAAGGGGGAATGTAGATACCATCAGATAATAAAAGGAATACCACGGCCATCCCGCTTTTGAGATTAGACTTGTCGCGACAAGAGGGCTAACAGTTGCCCCCACACCATAAAATCCGTGTAAGAAGCCGAGAACTTCGCTCGAATTTGCCATGTTTCCAATCCACACATTCCACGCTGCATTTTGAAAGCCACTTCCCAAGCCCACGAGGATATAGAGGACTACCAGGACAGGAAAGGGTGGGTGGATTGAGATGATTGCGAATGCAATCAGATGACATGAAGGCCCGATGAAAGCAATACCTCGTCTGCCAAGATACTGGTGAACGGTATAGCTCAGGACCGCGGAAATTACATAGCCCGCAAAAGGCGAAAGGAAGACGAGGGATATGACCGTATAGCTCTTTTGGTAATAAAGCTCGAGCTGTAATTTATTTAGTATAGACTTTTCGGGACGGCATGAGAAGGCACGCACTGAAGAGATAATAGCTCCGTACGCAGCATCATTGGCGCCCATCACCAAGGCACACCAGCATGTTGCGGTAACCCGCCATATCATAGTTTTGGTCTCATTCCATCTCGGCGAGATGCTGACCGCGTGCAATGGCGGGGTCAACTCGTCCGAATCGGATAGAGTATGGGTGCTTTCGATATCTTCCACATCGACATGTTGGTCGCCGCGCAGAAGCTCCGGTGGATCTGAGGCTGGTGCTATCGTCATAGTTGCCATGATTAAATCTATAGATCTGAGTCCCAAGGCGTTTTGTGAGGAGTGACACGTTTTCCGAAGCGGGGAACTCGGCGGGTCAGCAACCGCCATGTGATGAGCGGTTCGAGCGCGAGCTCGTATTAATTCTTTTCACCCAGGCTGACATCGGGACATGTGTGTCTATCTGTGTCATCGCTAGAGTGGTTTCGTGGCGCTATCAGTACAACCACCCAAATCATTTTGTAAGTGTTCATCTGGTTCGGTGATCTTTCCGCGGAGAGCACAGCCCTGAGAAGGGAAGGGTGTGATGCGATTTGGGAAATTTGCTACACCACCCAAAAAAACTTCGAACTTGTGGATATACGCATTTTGAATCTGCATTTCTCAATCATGCCCAGGTCATGGTGGCTGTTGCTACCATGCATGCCCAGAACCTTGGTAGTCTTCTTGCGCTACAGCCGGAAGTCAATTTGCCATATAGATTTCTTCGTCAACCGCGCAAGCAGCATAAATTATTTGAAAAAATAGAAAATAAAAATCCTGCTGCTTTATATACACTCCAGGTAGAAGGAATCAGTGTTGAGGTTCAACGTATTAATGTATCCATACGGTTGGTGCTGGTCAGATACACAAACACCCGATATATAGAGGATATATGGGGGTCAGATTTGCCGCGTAATTTCGCGCGTTATTATGGCGAAACCGCCAAGCCCTCAATACATGACCCATGGAATGGGGGTCAGATTTCTGTATTGACCTTGTAAGAGGGCTGTTTTTACATTCCAATCCCCCCTCCTTCTTCTGCCGGCAGAAAATCAAAAATCAATTCACTATGGAGTCGCTAGCGAGCTTTTGAGAGAAGCTGAGATAGCTGGTAAAGCGAAAGCTTGCCTCTGCACCGTACAAGCTCTAGCTCCTCAACAGCTGCGTCCAGAGACAGGCCCTTACCATATCTAGCGTAGATCTCGTCGATGATAACTTTTCGGCGGCAAAACATGACCCTTTCGCGAGAGGAAGGCCGCCAGGTCGCACCATACGATCTCTCTAATGACTGGACAGATGGATTTGCACCTAACCCACATGTCCATTCTCTCCAGACCTCCGGCACAGTCTGTATCGTACGAGAGAGCGAGTAGAGAGATCGAGAGGGGGATAATAAAGAGGAGGGAGTATCGATCCCCTGTGGGAGAAGCTGCTGCTTATCTACAGGAGGCTGCAAAGATGATGCCTCCGATAGACATGCTGCTAGCTGAGAAGACGGTGTGAATGAGTCCGAGTCTGGTGTCCGCGCTTCGATAATAGAGGTATCCATGGCTCGTACGGCAAAGGTAACGTGACCAGAAAGGAGATCATGAAGCTGGCGAGAAATCTTTCTAAGCTGTTCATGAGCCTGATAACCATGAAGATCAACCGCCTGATGGATATCCTTCTGGAGGACACTAAGACGGTCGGCAATAATAGGAAGCGTCTGCCGGAGCTGAATCTCCTGAGGGGTCTCCGTACAAAGAAGGGACTGCCGTATTTGCTCTGCAAATGCAGTATAGTCTTCTCGTGCAAAGATAGGATCATCCCACATTGAATGCCGGGGGAATTGCGCCTGTAGGAGAACCGAGTCCTGGAGGAGGATGATCCGTAGTTGATTCAGTAGCTGCAAAAAGCCTTGGGCTGCCATATCATCTCGGTCTTCCTGCTCCTGACTAGTAGCCCCGCTAGGTGGCTCATTTGTAGGATCGTTGGACTGGAACCAGGCAAGCCACTGATCGATCCATGGCCAGAGAGCTCGTACGAGGGAATCTGGAGGTTGAATTTTTGCTCGAGGAAGATAGTAGTTCCCAATTGCATCGGGCTGGAAACCAGCCATAGAACGAAGGAATTTCCGCGGCAGATGCGTCAGATAGCAGTTAGTTAAGGCATCCTGATTCCATTGACCAGCACGGCGGATCTGGTTCTCTTCCACACCTTCTAGCTCGGCTTGTTTTGTCCCCTGAGCTCGGCCTGCATGTGTCTTCTTGTCGGTAGAGAGATTGATTGCCTTATAGACCTCATTGGCCCATTTCAGCTGGATTTCGTACGAGATTGGCTTCTCTCGATCTGAGCCCTTGAAGAAGTGGAAATTATACCACTCTGGCCGGCTCTGAAACCGAGGCGGCGACTCCCCTACTATCTGCCAGCGATAAAAGAGATAAAAAGCCGCCTGGCTCATCGTACAAAGGAGAGGATCCTGATGGCGCATTACCCCCATATACTGCAAGCGGCCAAACTGGTTAGTCTTTCCATTATTCATAATCATGATCATTGGCCAACAGGGGGTCGGTCCTTCGTTGGGTAAGGAGATAGTGAACAGGTCAGGAAACTGGAGTTGCCGACGCGATTCTCCACGAAGGAGCATATTGTGACTGAAAAGGAAATCCACGGCCGTGCGAAGATAGGACTCCTGAGCTTGAGGCTTTCGATGCTTAAGATCTTTTGTTCGCCATCCTTGCCAACAGTATCGTACGAAGTCCTTGATTTTATCCTTGGAATATCCATCCTGCAGGGTGCCTGCAGCTCGGTCAAGATACTGCTCGCGCTTTCGCTCGCTTTCCTTATGTAGTCGGCCAGTCATCAAGGCGGAAACAGCATATCCACGGGGGTTAGGGAAGCTATTCGTACCAATGCTTTTTTGGAACTTCCAGAGGTCCACAATAGCATTGATATATTGAGTGATTGAATTGCTTCCCAGGGTTTGTTCTACCTTTGATCCATCTGGCCGTGTACGATCCTTCTTATATTGAGAGGACCGAAGAGGTCGATTAAGAACCTCAGTGTCAAGAAAGTAGACAAGCTTCTTCTCTGTGACTAGTTCGCCGTCTGGGAAACCCTGCTTTTTGCAGAAGCTCTGTAGCATCTCGTTTAGCATCTCGTACGAACTAGAGACAACAAGGGTGTTCCTTTACCTGCCATTCCTTATGCTTGTTAACATAAGCCTTTGATGTATTCTTAGGCCGCTGGCTTCGCATGTAGTGTAGGGCCTTGATGCTGTGGAGGTTTAATCGGTCCTGGAGCTCAATCTGCGCTAGCTCCTGGGTCTGTGATGATGGAGGAGAGGAGCAGGGAGTAGAAGGTGATGATAAAGCCATTTTTGATTAGGTTCGAAATAGTGTTCTCTCTTTCTCTCTTTCTCTTGATGATGAGATGCGTGTAGGTAGGAGTAATGACAAGAGAGGAAGGAACGCGACGTGGAATTCACACAGTAACCAGCTGCCTTTCTTACCACCCTTCCTACCGCCTATCCCCATCATCCCTAATCCCCCCCCCCCTTGATTCATCGTAAGGTACTGTCATAGCCCCGTAAGGGCGCGTACGAAGCTATCCCTGGCTTCAGGATTACTGCCAAGATTTCGCAGGCTTGATCTGCGGTCAGATATCTTGCGCGGGATGGGGGTCAAATGGGTGGGTGCTGTCAGATATCTCAGATATCCTGGGGGTCACGTGAGATTTCGCGAAATTTCGTGGGTGTGGATACATATTCGAATCCGACTTCGGACGCCCAGTACACCTAACTCGGGAAGTGCTATAAGCAAAACAAAAGCAAAAATACATCGTTAGAATGAAAGCTTGAAGGAAAATTGACTTTTGAATTTTCTTTAATAGCAGACGATTATATCCTATTCATGCGGCCATAAGAGTTGTAGGTTGCGAAATATCGGTAGGGCTCAAAAAGTGTGATCCTGTGTCTACAACCGAGAACGGACGAAACTACAACTCGGATGATTCCAATTGCGATCAACATCAAGATAAAATAGAATCAAGCTATCAAACGATATTTTAGATTTAAAGTCTAGGTTGACATGCTCTAGAAGATCGCGACGCGTGACTAACTTGGTCTTGTCGATAGCACATCTATAAGATTGTTCGTCTCGCCTCTTCCGAATTCCAGCGCAAGCAGAACAATATCACAACAGTACCCGCTCACAAGGCCGCAAAAAAAAAAGCCGAAACACTTCAGCCCCCCAGGCGGCTCTCAAGCTTGGTCGAATTCTTGTTCAGGAGTTGATCTGTCAGATTGACACCTCTCAATCAAGGGTGGTTGGGCTGTTACATCCGGACAATCACGGAGAGCAAAAATGTCGAAGGATCTGATGCAGATCACAAAAATCTGTGAGAGGAGTCAAAGAGCATTTACTATGCGATCAATCAATGGAATAGAATACCGAGGACAGTAGTCAAGCTGATGCGGGTGGATGGCCGGTGCCGCAAGGGGGTTGTCGGCAGGCAGGGTTGCCAGGGGAATGAGCGCCCGCGTTCCTGAATACCCCTTCATAGTATTCATTGTACGAAAACCTTTCTTTGTGAGAGCGTCTTTATCGAGGTGCTGATTGAAGGAGTCGGAAGGGGTATCTCCTGCACCAAGAGTCCCTAGGTTTTTTTGATAGTGTTGTTGTCAGAATCAACGGCCATCACTTCAACGCTTTGATCTCAATGACGACACAGTGCATCCCCACGAGGCCGTTTAATCCGTGGCTAAACCGCAAGAGCCTTGTAAACTCATGCAGGCTAGTAATGTAACTTCACGCGAGATCCAGCCTCGTCTGCCACCTGCCACCTCGCACTATCAATAATACTACTGGTAGTATCTGGGGCTGCCGCATAGTATAGCAGACCGGCCACCCAGAAAAGCGTTCTTTGCATGGAATATGAGGGATCCATTAGTCGGCCTCTTCTTTTAACCCCCAAAGCTTGACCTGGTAAGCATATCGGCGATCATTCCACACCAACCAACCACAATGCCCAACGACCGCGCTGGAATCCCAGCATGTCCGCTAGGAACGCTCCGGTATCCAGCCTGAGAGGGCCGGCCGACCCCTTATGTGATGGTGTTTCGCCATCAGGGCGGACGATGCTGATCGTCATCAGTGCGCGTGCCCTGGGTTATAAGGTATGGACGACGCAGGAGGAGAACCATTGGAATCACAACAGAACGAAGATCACGTCCTGAAAGAGTTCCCGCGAGCTCGCCATAAAAGCCACGACATCCCTTTATCCCGACTTGCAAGTGCAAAGTTCCCTTTCTGACCCCATACCCTCCTTTCGACTCTTTCACCCGGTCCAAGTCCCGGCCATCCCACTCCACCATGCACCCGACCTATGTTTCTCTGGCTATCATGGCCGTCGGCGCCGCTGCCGCGCCTTCTTTCCCCAAGCCCGGCAACAGTGACCCCTTCAACAGCTATCCGTTCATGTCGGACACTTCCTCCGCGGTAGAAGATGACGACGGCATGGAAAACCCCATACCCGCCTACATGGAGGCCATGCAGATTGCCGAGTCCGCCGAATCTGGCAACTACAACCCAGGCCCGGCGTCGTCTGCTGCCCAGCCTGCCCAGCAAGCTGCACCTACCTACCAGGCACCGCAGCAGGAGGCTCCTCCCAGCTACCAGGCCCCCAAGGAGGAGCCAGCACCGGTCCAGCAGGCTGCTCCGGCTTCCACCTACCAGGCACCGCAACAGGAGGCTTCCCCCAGCTACCAGGCCCCTCAGGCCGACCCTGCGCCTCCCTTCCAGACCCCCAAGGAGGAGCCAGTACCGGTCCAGCAGGCTGCTCCGGCTCCCACCTTCCAGACTCCTCCGCCAGTTGCTCCTCAACCGACTCAGGCTGCGGTTGTCATGCCGAGTCACAAGCACCACTCGCTGAACATCCCGGCGCCCATCTCCAACATTGCCCCGGCCCCGGCGCCTCTGTCGGACCCTGTTCCTCCCATGCAGATGTCGACTTCGTCGTCCTCTGATGATATGCCCATGATCTCGGAGGTCCCTATGATGCAACCTATGTCCGAGGAGATGCCCGCGCTGCCTGACCAGCCCGAAACCTACTCTTCTTCTTTCTCTACTGAGGCTGTTGTGACCATTGCTCCTATTCCTACCCACTCTGTCATGCAAACTCCCCAGCCCATCCCTCAACCCGCGTCCTCGTCGACGCACCCGGCCATGATCATGCCCACCACGCACTCTGTCATGGTCCAGCCGAGTCCCACCTACCAGATCATCGTCAGCATGACCACCAAGGCTCGTCCTACCCACTCCGCCATGATCCACGAGCAGCACTTGTCCTCGGCTAAGGAGTCTTCGTCGTCTGCTACTCCCTCGAGCTCGGCGACTCCCTCTCCTAGCTCTACCCCTGCCAACCCAATGGGCTCCCTGGGTAATGCCCTGGACAACGTCCCCATCCTCGGCGATCTGCTCGGCCGTCTGGGCATCTAAACTCGCATGTTTTTTTTCCGTGTACTTTCATGAACACACCCCAATCCTTCATAGCTGCCTGTCATTCCTTTACTTCTGCACTTCTTGTACTTTTCTATATCCGGCAAGGGACTGGGGCGCTTGGCTTTCTGGGCTTCGTCGATATCCAAAGAAACTTTTAATGAAATGGGCGTTTGGGGGTAGAACCGACGTGACCTTTTCTATTTCCAAATGTAAACCAGCATAGTCTGAATAAACATTATACTATAACACTCCTCGGTATTATCTAAGGGTATCTTCCACTCGAGCCCAACTGATCACAACATCCTTCCACAGCCTTCTGCATCGCATTCGTCGCCTCCTCAAGCAGCGTCGTCAAGGGGACCTTGCCCGCCTTCTCCTGCTGCACCTTGATATACTCATTATTCAACACCTTATTAATGTTGATCTTAGACACGCCGCAATCAATACACTGCTGGAAAATCTCCTTGGTAAACGGATCCGCTCCATGCAGCACCAACCGCACTTTACCCCCAACAGCCTGATTAATCGACTGTAACCGCTCATACTCCAACTGAATGCCCCGCGGGCCATACTCCCCATGCACATTCCCAAAAGCCGGCGCAAGCCAATCGATCCCCGTATCAACAAACTCCTGACTCTCTTCAGGAGTCGTCAACAGCCCCTCCAAATCCGCCGTATCCGCAACCCCATCCTCCCCGCCCTCAATACGACCAGGCTCCGCCTCCGTCGCAATACCCCGCGCATGACAATACTCCACAAGCTCACGGGTCAGCGCGAGATTCTCCGCCTTCTCGTAGTGCGACATGTCGACCATGATACTGTCGAAGCCGCCCAGGTCTGCCGCGTACCGGATGATCTCGGGCGTCTGCGCGTGGTCCATGTGGACGGTGATGGGGACGGAGGCCTTGCGCGCGGCTTCGGCGGCGGCGTGCACTAGCAACCCGTCGGCGTAGTGGACGGCCCATGGGAAGAGGAGAATCATTGCTGGGGAGCGCTTGGCCTCGGCAGCGCGGACGGTCGCGAGGATGCCTTCGAGGTTGTAGCAGCACATTGCTGGCACGCCGTAGTGGTTGGTGGCGGCATGGTCGAGGATGCGCAGGGCGCGGTTGTCGGTGAGAGGCATTTTTTTTGTATTTGTGTTGTGGGGGTGGATTGGAGGAGGAAAAGAGTGTAATTGAGGGGTTGTTTCTTCTGCGGGGGTTTTAAGTCTGTTTTTATTCTGTGCTGTTGTTGAGCGGACGATCGTTGTTCTATCCGAGTGTTGTTGCTGTCGCAGCTTGTCCGAGTGCTCGGAGTTGCTCCGAACGGACTGCGTTACGTCAAATTGACTCGGCCGGATTACAGACCCTTGCAATCAGTAGCAGAGCAAGTGGGCCCGAACAGGAGCAGGAACAGTAGTGACTGGGGGATGTAATTCCTATGTCTTTGGTCTGGAGAGATACGAGCTCTTTGTGCACTCTGAAGGGCAAATCCCCGGTGGGGCGGGGAGAGGAAGGAAGTTTACAGAAGCAACACAGGAAGATTGAATAACTCAGAAATCATTTCAACTATACAACAATATGGGAATATCTACACTAATTACCAAAAGCCTTGATCACACTAGTACTACCCTCATCACCAAGACCAGCCCGCTTAGCCATGAACAAAACATTCATCGCCGCATTACCCAGATGCAACGGACAGTGGAGATCTCTTGCCTTTTGCGCCGCCTTCTCCAGACGAGCAATTGCATCGTTGATAGTCTCGGAGTTCTTCCCGACATTGCCCTCAATCATCTCCAGACCCTTGCTCATGAACTGACGACTGGCGCCAGCAGCATCGCTCACCAGCGTGAAGAATTGCTTCAGATCGACCTTGAGGTGCCGGGCGAAGCCAATGGCCTCGGCTGCTGCAACGAGATTGGTCACCTCCATCACGTCGAGGACAAGCTGCTGGGCTTCGGCAGTCTCTTCGGCAGATTTGGTAGAGACAGAGGTAATGGCCTCCTTGTAGTACTGGCGGACCATGGAGGAGTCGTCGACGGGTCCGTAGCCTTGCAGCAATGCAGACAGGTAGACCTGCTCAGCGGTTGAACAGAGAGGGGTGGGGAACTGGTTCTGGCGGGCAGAGGTGGTGATAATGCCCTAGCAATCGCCCCATTAGCAACTGAACTTTCTCGAAACACATTTTCATATGTTTGTTTAAAACTCACCACATCCTTCAAAATAATAGTCAAAGCACTAGCACCAGGATGCCAATCCTCCTCCAACATCCTCTGCAATCGATTATCATGCATCCAAGTATGGGAGCCAGAAGCCTTAATCGCCTCCGCCGTCTTAACAGCGTCCAACCCAAGCTGTGCCGCAAATCCCTGAGCCTCACTAGCCCCGAGAATATGAATACCCGCGAGGACCTGGTGCACCATCTTCATATTGCTTCCGGCGCCAATACCGCCTGGTACCAGGTACAACTTGTCAGAGTCAGACATCTCCTGCAGCAAGAACCGGCCGCTCTCCAGCGCGGCCTCTGAGGCGCCCGCCATAATTGACAGGGTCCCGTCGGCTGCACGCTTCGCGCCGCCGGATACGGGGGCATCGATGAAGTGGATGTCGCCGCGGCCGCGCGATTGAAGCTCTGCCTCGACAGATTGCGCGTAGGAGGCCGGGACGGTGGAGCAGAGGAGGAGGGTTGCGTTTTGGGGGAGGACTGTTTACTGTCAACAACTAAGACCCAGATCAATTGCTCCGCAAAATGCGACTCACCCTCAACAATACCCCCCTCGCCAAAAAGAACAGTCTGCGCCTGCGGCGCCGACGCAACCATACAAACATAGTGCGGCTTATCCTTCGCCGACTCCTGCAGCGACAACGCGGGGATCCCACCGGCCGCCTTGAACCGATCGACCGAGGCGGGGAAGACGTCGAAACCATGCACCGGATAGCCCTGCTTCACGAGGTGGGTCGCCATGCCGAAGCCCATGGCGCCCAGGCCGACGAAGCCAACAGCTGGTTTGGACATTTTGCTTCAATTGAGTTAGACACAAAGAAGATGGGTGAAAGTGAAGATGAAAGAAAGCGACTGTAGAATCGAACGTGGGGGTGCCACGAGGGGTTTATCTGGAGACGCGGAGTGGGATGTCGGGCCAAGTCCGAGCGGATGCCGAGCTGCGCTTGCCCGAGGCCGGGCGAGAATTGCGGGCGACGCCGAGGTGGGCACTTGGCCCGGGTGGTAGATGTCCGGCTAAGTTGAGTCTGCGGTTAGCTTGACATTCATTTTCCCCAATGTTGACAGGGTCTTTCGGGCGAGAATCCATGGAGAGACAGCGATGCGGCAGTTTAGCAATGGATTTCCGGCAATGACGTCAGGCGTTTACAGCGGACTACTGTATACGAATTTACAAGAGAGACAGCATTGATCGTATTGCGCACATACAGCTAAGCTCAAAGTAATGAATAGAACTGAGTATGCATTGTTCACGGCCTAATCCACTGGATATTTCATCCATTATTTCCATCACCCGAATCGTCTCGGTCTGAGGAATACTCGAACTCTCCAACTTCCCTCCCAAAACATCCATCCGTGATATTACCCGCTTGATACTGAAACCCACGTCCTGCCGCCCGTAAAGTCATATGTCTTCCCCGGACCACGACTGATACTATTCCCCGAGTCTCCCCCAAACGGCGGGTAAACAGTGAATGCTCTGAGAAGCGAGGGATAGGGACCGTGGACCTCGACAGATCCAGTCTTGCCATGAATACGAACGAGTAGGTCCTAGTTGGTAGTCACCTTGGCTGTGGACGTCATGATACCCTGCTTGCCGGTAGACGGAAACTGGAGAATAGCGCTGGTGTTGGTCTCGACATCTTCCCAGTCCGTCTGCGCCGCGAGGATCTTCGGCATTTTCGATTTTCTGTGAGTTCAGGGTCAAGAGCGAGCAGCACCCACAGCAACGAGTAGACGCCCATGTCGAGTAGCGAGCCCGCGCCCATCGCGTTCTGTCGGTAGTATTTGTCGAGTGGCAGGCTGGGGATATCCAGCTCAGAGCCAAAGTCGGATGTTGCGCGGAAGATCTCGCCGATGACCTTTTCCTCATGGACCAGACGCTGCAGCTCGCGAGTCAGCGGTCGATGGCGTAGCCACATTGCCTCCACGATGAAGACGCCTTTCTCTCTGGCTGCGTTGAAGACCTCCCGGGCCTTGCGGGCATTAAGGGTAAATAAAGGACTTTTCGCAGAGGACGTGTTTACCTGCCGCGATTGCGTCGAGGCAGGTTTTCCTGTGGAAGGCGTGTGTAGACCTCTTCATAACTCCATAGATCTTTGGTGATTCTTCGGGTCAATATTGCTGGATGAAGGCTTTACCCCTGTTCACGTCCGAGGTTCCGATGGTTCGCACGATATGGCGAACTTTTGCGTCTCGGCGAGACAGCATCAGGTCGGCCACATACCAGGAAGCGATCTTGCCGGTGGCTGTTACAAGTTAGCGAGGTATTTCAAGATCGGAAATAGGAACCCATACTCAGAATACCCCAGTGAACTGATGGAAGCTGCGACATTATGTTGGAACAGAGACGTTGAGATTCAAGAAATCACTAGTCTTTGAGACGGGAGTCTCTCATTGATATCAGTGAGTACATGCACTAAAATCTTTGGAGGTATGCGCCGTCGAAATGGCTTACGCGCGAGTGAGATGGTTAATATCAGTTGCTGTAGGCTAATAAGGAGACAATCAAGCTTGTAGAGAAACTCCTCGCATTGGGGACCTAGCAAGTTGCGGACGCAGCGCTACATCGGATTTGACTTAATACTATTCATATTACCCCGCGATCTCTTGACCGGATATAAGCACTTTCGGAGAAGATGGACAAATAACCCAACGCAGTAAGTAACGGCGGCATCCGAGCTAAGCATTGTAACTTTCTGGCCAATTAAAGACTAAGCGTACCTTCTGATATAATTTACAAGGCCTATAGGTATCATTCAGGACGACGATCCACGAATGGAGCGACTTGGGAGTAAAAGCAATGAATTATTGGCTATGACGTCGTTTTGAGTGTACTTAGACCAATCTCACGTAAGAGATAGTCGCATACTAATCCGAATAACAACAAATTTCAGACCAAAAAAATAGCTGAACCAAGATCTCAATTTAATAAAGGAACATGATCACCTAAGGGTGGTGAAACGCAAAGTACAAGCCTCCGCTCCCCGAAGCTACCCACTGACCTCCGTAGCAGCTAGACTTTCTCCACAGCAGATGAAATAGAAGGGTCATCATAAGACGAAAAAGAATTAACATTCTCGACATTCTCTGTTAGCTCGGACGTACGGACACAATACCTAGAAGTACGTTCATCGACAATAAGTGACGATTCATGAGGCGAGTTAACATTCACCAGCACCCGGCCTTGTATAACCTGCGGAGTCAAGTCAGCAAAGTATTCCACACTGCGAAGGACTTGAGTCTCATCTGAGAAAGGAGAACCACTATGCTCAGGACCACCGCCAGAAACAACAGAGCACGAATCACTCATATACTGCTCCTCGACATCATGATTGTCGCTCACAACTGTACTCAAGTCAGCAAATTCCTGCTCTGATACAGGTAATAGAGGAGTGTTTGATGCGCTCGCTAGAATTATACTTGTATATCCACCACCACTAGTTAGTTTACTAGTGTGTCCATTCTTCAGCCGTCTCCAGAACGGCAGGATCCACCGACCAGGCCGAACAAAGGGCTGTCGACACTGGAAACAAGGGCACCTACCCGAGAACAATCTAGCCGACGAATCTGTTTCGGGAGAAATTCCACGCCCGAAGTCATCAGCATACATACTTCTGTTTGATAGGGGATGCTGGGGAACTTGAACTTCTCTGAGCGGTGGGCGGGTTGCGCAGACCGCGAATTCGAATGGAAGAGAATTTGCGTCTAAGCCTTCGATGGGATGGTAGGCACTGCTTGAGGGCTCGCTGGCACCTGCTTCAGTAACAGAAGAGTCGGTAATACACTGCCGGCATTTAACCTGGGGATCGTCAGCAAGAAGATCGTGCTGGATCTCGGCATCTTCGCACTTGATAAATTGGTCTGGCTGGGATCGGAGGTAATGTGTAAAATCTAGGCAGGTGGTTGCTGTCACATTAGCGATATGGCCGCAGCCGGGGAAGTGGTGGTAAGTGATGTGGCACATAGTTGTAGAAAGTATCGAGGGAGGAGTGGTGGGCTTCGATGCCAGGAATAGACGACATTCATATAGTAGTGAGATGGGGTGAGGCTCTGCGGTGACAAAGCCGAGGATGATGCTCGGAGACAAGGTAAATATAGTAGACAATGACATTATGATCAATGTCCTCAATGAACGAATCTTTCATCCGATGATGGTAATAATGAGAACGAAGGGTCATTGTTCTACTTAATGACAGCGAGGTCGAGGGCTCGACCCCGCATCCTCACCTTCTTGTCAATTTCAGTTCTTTGAATCATTTTATTCCATTACTGTTTTGTTATGATCTCAAAGAGTTCCAAGGAAACACATAATCGGAACGAAACAATCATCCCAAACGAAAACATCGGAACGCACGCCTTCGTATAGTATAACTCGAGAGGTATCACTTCAAAAGCATCAAGCACAATTAAAATCGTAATAGCGGATCAAAAGAAATACAGATAGGGCAAGGTGATCTATTTGATCACTTGTTTTCCGAAACCTGCGCAGGCTGGGGTTGCTGGAGATGCTGCGGAGGCTGTCCCGGTCTGGCGATGTTTTGTCCAGTCTGCATGACCTGAACCCGGCCACTGTTGTGCCAGCACGCGAGTTTGATGCCGCATTTTCCGCAGTAGTGGTCGACGTCTTTGAGAGAGGACAGCAGGTAAGGGAAGCATCCGAGACAGCAGCAGCAGCAAAGGACGGCGGCCCAGCCACTGTAATCTAGTTGTTAGCGATGTCTGCAGGTCGAGTATAATGCACACAGTGCATTTTGTGAATTGAATAATGTCACTCACTGTGTCGTCATTCCCGTTACTGCCTCCGTCCGTGTAATCTCACGATGCCCACAGGAAGGACAATCCACCGGCGCAGGTGCCGACTGCAACGCATGCAACGGTGCTGCGGTGGCATATCCACTCGGTGGACCGTAGGGCGTATAATATAATTGCGGCTGGTTCAGGTAGTATGGCGATTGTTGCTGTGATGGGTCGTGGTGCGCGGGTTGTGGCTGTCCGGGATATCCCTTCACGTCGTCCGGCGCGTGCACCGGATATTGTCTCGCAAAGCCACCACTCAGATCTTGGGCCGGCTGTCCCTGGTATGATTTTGCCATCTCTTGATTGTAGTTGATCACGGGTGTCGGGGCGATATCATCTGCGGGTCTTGATTTCTCGTTCTGTGGTTCGGGTGCTTGATGCGAGTCGGTTCCCTCGGTGGGTGTGGACACTGAAGCCGCCGAGTGTGGTGCTGGGCTCATGGGCGCCGGTGTCAAGGACTGGTATGGTGGTGCTGGCGAGCCAGGTGAGACTGCCGGTGAGCCGATCGAGGAGACTCTGTGGTGATCAGGAGGAGCGAAGCTCGTTGCTGAAGTCTCTGTGGGTGTTTCGACCGGGATGAGGCCTGTCGCAAGTCATGTCAGTGCTGTCGCAAAATAAATTGAAGCCTGAGAGTGTCTCGCCCTCGCTGTCTTTTGTTTCCACCATTTTTAACTGTGATTGTCGTGATTCTTGTGCTTTTGTGGTGTCCAGGGCGACTCGGAGGTGGGGGCGAGATGGGGAGAGCAGAAGGGCAAAAGTCAAGCTCGGCTGGCCCCGGGGGCCGTTTGTACTTTATCTCGGGAATAGAAATCCCAGATCATCCCAAAATAGCACGGAAAACTGATCGTCGACGCTGTCCGTCAATCGTGGCTAGTTTGGAGGTGGATGCACTGCCCGAATCGGCAGGTTTGGTCCCCGCGTTGCTACTTCAACAATAAACAGGATACTACGAGCAATGGAATCCCCAGAGAAATGAAATTGAACCAGGTGTTCTACAAATGAAGACAACCCCTGCTGGTATTCTCGCGAGTTCTCTCTGAAACGCCCCTTGCCTACTGCTTATGTCGACATTTTGTCCGACGCCTTGTGAGGCGACCTCTGCGAGGCTATGCTCCGCACGGCGGCTCTCGAATATGGGACGAATTGCTGGTAACTGCTAGTACGAGTCTGTCGTAGTGTTTTTAATTCAGCCTCCTAAACACGTAACTGTGGATCCCTTGCCCCTTTCATCGCGGGCTAAAATGATCTCAGATGATCCTGGCATTTTAACACTCACAGAAGCAGCTATAGCGCCCTTGGTGACGGGCACATAATGGAATGAACCTTCTTTAACGTGCATTATGTAGCAATGGATGGCGGTGAAAAGGCACATTGCTCCTTGAGCTGGACGTCGTCTATGGCCTGTTGATCTCTGCTTTGTACCAATCACAAACATCTATTCCGAAGCTCCATGGCTGATCTTTGCTCCTTTGGAAAGGAACTGCGAGCCCTTCAGCAAGGCTGTGTATGCACAGTACGCTAGCTGACAATACAGTACGCAGAAAACATGGCCGGCCACCGACTTGACTGGTTTGGTCGCGCGGGATATCTGGCCCCCAACTTTTGGAAGGCCTGTCATGATTCTCACTGGCCGATGCCGATGCCGATACCGAAAGGAGTGAATGGGTCATAAATTCTGGTCGCATGGAGCACAGCCCTACAGCGAGTAGGCGAAGATGGATCATGATTCAAGGCAGGGCACGAGTTTTGGACCCTGGCTTCGATTCAAGCATATTTTAGTTTCTTCGTGTGCATGCAGCTTAGACCAGTCCAGACCGTCAGGAGATTTTGCTGGTGCTGCAATGATCTTGCAGGCATGAATACAGTGTAGATTGATACCCAGGAAGCCAAGCATAAGGTATCCATTACCACGTTGCTGTATCCATCTTATGACGAAAGTGTTAACAGCTTCTTCATGACGCTCACTTGTCAATCTACTTGGGTTAAGTGATCAGGCCAATGCGTAAATAGTAGAATGCAAGCACTGGATAGTAATGTCAAGGCATTCTGTAGAATTCCTACACAGAGAATCTCTCCTCTAACAATCCCCTCCAAGCTCCCTCCCAGATGGCAATCGGGCTACCGTATGCAGCCATATCCGCAACCAAGCTTTGGGCGCACGCGGATGACTAACAGCGCATCCAATGAACACACCCAGACAAAAAACCCGAAAACAAGTGAAGATAATCGGATGTAAGCAGGTTAATTCCGCGGATACTAAAGATGTCGCAGAGCAGCGAGTGCAGTGCGGGTTATAAAGCATCTCCACGGGTTCCGACATTCTCCAACTTCCACCCTCTTCCACCCCGCCCTGATGAGACTCGAGAATGGCAACCTCCATCACATCCACCATCAAGCTGCCCAGCGGTTTCGAGATCCCGCGGCTGGGTTTTGGAGTATGCACTCTCCAACAATCTCTAATTTCATCCAGCTAATTGACCATGCCAGGTCTATAAAACGTAGGACCTACCGTGTAACGCCCTGCGGAGCCTAAAGTAACACACCTCATGCAGTCCCCCAGAAGAGACAGAGAGATGCTGTCGCCAGGCACTTGAGGCCGGCTATCGCCATGTGAGTCTCGCCAATGTTCCCAATCTCCGAAATCGCGCAAATAGCCGAGTCAATCCCCACACGGCTCGATTCCGGACAACGTCATCACGAGCAGCACTGATACTGACAGCCACAGATCGACAGTGCAGCAGCATACAAGAATGAAGCAGATTGCGGCGCAGCAATTCGTGCCTCTCCGATTCCCCGAGACCAAATCTTCTTTACATCCAAAGTCATCGACATCAGCTACAATGGTGCCAAGGAGCAGGTCGACAAGACGCTCTCCTCAACAAAACTCGACTACATCGACCTCATCCTCCTCCACAAACCCATGGGAGGTTCTGAGAATCGCAAGGGAGCATGGAAAGCAGTACGCTCTCTTCTCCCAACCCCCAATCATGAAGTTTTGACTAACCCGATGTCCCAGCTCGTTGAAGCCGTCGAAGCAGGCAAAGTCCGCTCCATCGGGGTAAGCAACTACGGCGTGCACCACCTCAACGAACTAGAGACACACATTCAGGAACTCGTGACCGAACGCGGTGGCAAAGGCAAAGGCGGCATTGTGAGTATCCACCAAGTCGAGCTACACCCGTGGCTAGGGCGGAAAGATATCGTCGACTGGTGCACGCAGCGGGGCATCTTCATGCAGGCGTATTGCCCCGTTGTGCGCGGTGCGCGCTTCGGAGAGGCTAGCGTGACGAAGCTGGCGGACAAGTACGGCAAGACGCCAGCGCAGGTGCTCATCCGGTGGAGTCTGGATAAGGGATTCATCCCGTTGCCGAAGACGGTTACACCGGAGCGCATTGTGGCAAATGCGGATGTGTTTGATTTTGCCTTGACCGAGGACGAGGTACGGGGTCTGGAGACGGATGAGTACAGTCCTGTTGCGTGGGACCCGACAGTTACCAAGCTGGAGGAGTAGAATACTAGTTAGTAGGTTGTGCTTTTGTTCGCGCAGACACAAATTTACCAACTTGAATGTACGGATGCGACCAAAGCAATCAGGAATCAAGTACTTAGTACTTTCGCAATTATCTTGGAACCGAGAAACCTTCCAAAAAAGTCCAAGGAGTGCAAGCCGGATTCGGGAGTAAGCATTGACAAGTCTATCGCGGACGCGGCACGAGGATCGACCATGTGCCCGAAGCATATAAAAGTATAAAGGCAAAGTACGACCGGGTGCTCGTGGACACTGCACGCCGCCCAAACAACCCGAGCACAAAGCCCCCGGAACCGTCGCCATGCACCCGTACAGTGTACTGGAGGGATGTACTGTATCGTGTGGCCGTCAGCCTGGACTATTCCAGCAGCGTGCAGCCATCGGGGGCGGGGTAGCTCTAGAACACCGTCGACTCTCCAGCCCGCCTGCAACCCTGCAGATGATCCCGTCTGATTCTTATATCTCGAGGGCATGATCCGCTCTCTGTGTCCGTCGTCGTCCAACCTTGTCGGTTTACCGGTTTACCGCTGCGAGAGGCATGGAAGGGGAGAAAGACCGGTTTGGCGCGGACGACTTTACAAGAGGTACAGTTCCTTTCCAAGTGGATTTGGAACTCATAGCGAAGTGTCTGAAAACGTGATCATCTGATTCCTTTAGAATGCTGTCAAAATCTAACTGCGCGCAGGCCTCCAGGTTCTGGATCGCGAAATGGGCCAGGATGACTGGCTCATCGCCTTCGCCCCCATCACCCTCATATCCACCGGCGGCTTCCTCGCCACCAATTTCTTCCATAACCGCGAAAGCACCGGCGACATCGACTACCTCCTCGAGCCGCAGTGGGCGCACGACAACGACATCAAAAAGCCCCTGCAAGACGCCATGACCCGCGCCGCGCGACGCCTGGGCTTCATCGACGAATGGCTCAACGACGAAGTAGCCTTCTTTGTCCCCGACAACCACCGCGAGCTCCTCTTTGAGAAGGCCGAAGAGCAAAATATCGTCTTATGGGAAGGTGCGTACCTGCGCGTACTGGCCGTGCCGCTGGAATGGGCGCTGGAGCGAAAACTGCGCCGGATCCATAATAGCAGAAGACATATCAAGCGCGGATCCGACATCTCGGATGTCATTGCCATGTTGAGACATCTCCGGACGCAACATGGCGGTCCGTTGGATCGGGAGTACATCCGGACGATGAGCATCTGCTCGTTTGAGATGCCGCCGGATAAAGCGACGATGAACGAGATAGCCGCCGCATATCGAGAGAAATATAATGAAGAAGCTTTTCTCTAATCCGGAAAAGAACACTGCGCCAGGCAGGTGTGTCTCCCCCATTACACGCGGCTCTAAACAGTGTAGAAGTGCCCGGTATCCGTCACGATATTTCTGTCTGCAAAATTGGGGTTCTCGCCGCCTTCTTCGAGAACCAGTCTCCCCGCTGCATCGCGCAGTTCAGCGGGGAAGTCTTCCAGCAAGTCAACATCAATGGGTCCTACGCGTCTGGTCCAGCCAGGCGCGATTTCAGCCACGAAGGGCGGAAGGAGGTCATCGAACGTCTTGCGGTAGATATGTTTGGTCTTATCCCGTCGCATCCCAAGCCCCATCCGCCAGTTGAATGCCAGGGCAAGCTCCTCTGCAATGCACGCGAGGATCGCATATCGAACGGGGTCGTGGTCCTCCGGGTCCGGGATGCGGTGTATGGCCCAGGACCGACGAGACTGGTAGAAGAAGTATTCGACCTCCGGACCAATGGCGTAGAACTCGCGCGCGACGATGGCCTCATAGAGACGGTACAGGGATCGGAGCGGGGTATCTCGAGCGCGCCAGAGGGGGATGGATCGCATATTGGTGAGGTCCGCCGAGGCCTTGCGGGACTGGAGCAGCGGGACATTGTTCAGCATGGTCTTGAGGGGGACCGGGTCGGGAAGACCAAAGTGCCATGTTGGGATCGGAAGACACAGACGGAGCAAAGAAAGGAATGGGTGCTGGTGTCGGTGGCTCAGACGGGCGAGGGTGTGCCGGAGACGCAGCGGTGACTCGAGATCGTAGATGAAGCGGCGAACACGCATCCACCAGGTGATTCGGGATTTGGGGGCCCGTGGGGGCGCCATGGTGGGCTAGTGTGCGTGTTCGGAGCGGCGAGACATGATTATTGTGGTGGGCTTTTTCGGGCAGAGCTGGTAGAGCTGGAACTTGTCGAGCACCGTTGAAGGAAGGAGCTTCGCAACGGTGAGACCCACCCGCGGGTTTAGTAGCTTTGGCGCCTGACAATGCGGGCAGCCAGGCAGATACGAGATGCATGTATCTTGCACGCGAAGTATGCTGGGGAGTTGTCATATTATCTATAAAGTTGACTGCAATTTTAGTGATTTGTATGGGAAATGAAGTATAAAATGCTGTCGTGAGGATTCTACGACGTATCTCGAGTCCTCGTAGTACTAGTCCTTCCCCACCTTCCCCTTTTTGGCTGTTCCTGTACCTTTGCCTCAGACCACAGCCTCGCCATGACATCTCTTGGGTACTCAATTAGAGCCTAGACCCAGCAAGGTGCAACTCCGCCCTGACATTGTCCTTCACTCATTACTAGCACCTACTATCTGGTCATTTACCTAGTCGCCACGTGATCAGGTGCTTGGTGACTACGAATGTTTTAAACTGCCCTAAGAGTACAATGTATGTACTCTCTTCGAGTATGAACCTTCATGGTATTTCACGTGGAGAAAACTTTGGTCCCTCTTATCAATCACACAATCTTCACTCTACCACTCTTGTATATACTACGTCGTCCTATAGCCAACCACGGCCACACGTGAGTCCCCTGATCGCCGCATGTGAGCGCGTCGCCCGATCTGATTTGGTCATCCCCCCAATAAACACCACACTATATCTGCACCTTTACACTACTTCACACTACCGTGTACTCGCAGTATAGGAAGACAATTGGCACAGTACTCCCCAAAAAGGGGGCATCACCCACATTACTCGCAATTAATATTCACGACTCAGATTTCCCCGTTCCCCAGGTGCTGCATTCCAGCCCAGGAATTGGGCTTTGTCTACATCGAACCTAGTCGACTCTATCACGAACGCCAACATGCCCTACAAAGAAAAATTGCCCATTCCTTACATAACTCCAATATCGCATGACTCGCTGGATTCAATAAAACAAAGTAAATTAGAAATGGATAGGCTACAAGGCTAAGGTTGAATTCCGGGGCCATGGGAAGAAGCCCGGTGATGGCAGAACCGGGCATTCCTCACCATGACCCATCCCAAAAATGCCCGATCCATAAAATCGCACAGTTCGCCAAGAGTAGAAGCGTGGGCCTTGTGGTCCAGGGAATCTTGCACATGCTGTTGCGAGTAGGACCCCGGCCCCCCAACTGGTTAGCGCTAGGGGGACTACTGGGTCCCAATAGAGCCGAACACGGGCAGATGAGTGACACCGTGAGGCTGGACAGTTTTGTGTATCTCTTATTTAGTTGGTCTGTTGTGGAGTCGAAGGTTGATCTCTGCCACCTGCAGTTGGTTGTGCAGAGTGATTGATTGGATTGGTAGTGGTGGTCATTGGATCTCTCACCTGGGCTCTTTCCTTTAAGAATAAAATCTCACTTCGAGGCTCACCTCTCCTATGCCCACCATGAGATATTTCACGATTTTGACGGGCTTGACCCTGTTCCTGCTCTCTGCAGCAGAAGATCTGAGTCAACATGTCGACGTGTTGTAAGTACTATTTCCACCCTTTCGTCCAACACTTGTGAGAGTACCACAATACAACGATAAATACTAAAAAACCAAAAAGTATGGGATCCGAAGGAGGAGGAAACGACTTCCCTGGCGCCACAAGACCATTCGGCATGGTCAAGCTCGGCCCCGACCTCCTACAATCAGGCACAGACGCATACTCCGGCTACCTCCCCACCGGCGAATTCTCCGGCTTCAGCATGATGCACGAGCAAGGCACCGGCGGCGCCCCCAAATACGGCACCGTCTCGCAGCTGCCACTCGTCGGCAATATCAGTGATCCGCTTTCGAACATCACAGTTGCACGAGACGGGACTGATCAAGGTTCCGTCGGGTACTACAAGGCGCAAACTGGGCAGGGCGTCGAGGTCGAATTGAGTGCTTCGTCTCGTGCGGGTATCTACCGGTATAATTACCCGATTGGGTCGGTTACCAACGTGCTGATTGATGTCTCGCATGTTCTGCCTTCGTTTCGGGGCCAGGGTCTTGGTCAGAACTATAAGGGTGGGAATTTGACCATCTTTCAAGATGGGCATTATGAGGGGCAGGGGACTTATGATAATGGATGGAATGAGGCTCCTGACTGGACGATCTACTTTTGTGAGTCTTCCTTCTTTGGTTTGTGATCTTGAGAACTAATACCCCACAGGTGGCCATTTTGATTCAACGGCAACGAGCAACAAGACATATACCGCAGCAGGCTCGGCCGGCAGTGTCGAGCAGCCCGATGGCGAGGTATCATCTTCGTCCGGCTCTACACGAATTGGCGGGCTCTTCACTTTCAGTGACACTGAAGTGATTTCTCGTGTCGGTATCTCTTGGATCTCCACCGAGCAGGCGTGCGATAATGTGGACCGTGAGATTCCCAAGGGTACGAAATTCGCCTCTGTGGTCGACGATGCCGTTTCCGAATGGAACACCAAGGTCCTGTCGAAGATCAAGACGACAAGTACCGACGAAACCAGCCTGAGTCTACTCTATACATCGCTCTATTTCATGCATTTGATCCCCACCAATCAGACCGGTGAGAATCCGGGCTGGAAATCCAATGAGCCCTACTACCAAGATATCTTTACTTTCTGGGTAAGTCTTCCCAGCGTCTTTGAAATAGTGTGTGCCCCTGCTAATTCCAGACAGGACCTCTTCCGATGCTCGACTGCCCTAATGCAGGTCCTCCAGCCAACCGCCTATGAGGAACAGATCCGCTCCCTCATCGACATCTGGCGACACGATGGCTATCTTCCCGACGCCCGATCCTCCAACTACAACGGCCGGACCCAGGGCGGATCCAACGCCGACAACATCCTCGCCGACGCCTACGTCAAGGGTGTCCGCGGCCAAGTTAACTGGCAAGACGGGTACAGGGCCATGGTCGAAGACGCGGAAATTACACCCGCCAATTACCCTGTTGACCCAATGGCATCCGACTCCTCCACACACCAAGGCCGCGGCGCTCTGCCAGACTGGCTGAACCTGGGCTACATCACACCGCGATTTAGCCGGGCCGTTACACGGGCGGTTGAGTACGCCTGCAACGATTTCGGTCTGTACCAGGTGGCGTCTGGACTGGGGAAGGAGGATGATGCGCGGAAGTACCTGAATCGCTCGCGGAACTGGCGCAATCATTGGAATCCGAATCAGACGTCGCTGGGATTCTCGGGGTTTGTGGTCCCCCGTAATGCGGATGGTTTCATTGCGACGGATCCCTTAAAGGATGGTGGGTATTGGGGGGATCCGTACTACGAGGCTAGTTCCTGGGCATATTCGTGGAATGATGTGCATGATATGAAGCATCTCGTTGAATTGATGGGCGGTGCGGAGACGGTTGTCCAGCGTTTGGACACAGTATTCAGCAAGGGGATTTTTGACTCGACTAATGAGCCGTATGTTTCCCATTTTCCATCCCCAGATCTGAGCTAACACCACGACACAGGATGTTCAACTTACCCTACCTGTACAACTACGTCGACCGACAGGATCTCTCCGTCTCGCAGTCGCGCAAGGTCGCCAAGGGAGATTATCACACCGACCCATCCGGGCTGCCAGGTAACAGCGATGCCGGCGCCATGCAGACCTGGTTGCTCTGGAACATGATCGGTCTGTATCCGATCACCGGGCAGACCACCTTCCTGATCCACTCGCCGTGGTTCGAATCAATGACGATCGATCTGGGCGACGGCAAGAAGCTTGAGATCACCTCGACAGGTGGCGACGGTAATGGTGACAGCGACTATTACGTGCAAAGTCTCAAGGTCAATAGGAAGGCGTGGGCGCAGAACTGGTTGACGTGGGAGGACGTCTTTGCGGACGGCGGCACGCTGGAGTTTGAGTTGGGGCCGACCGCAGTCAATTGGACGAGCGGTGCCTTGCCGCCGAGTCCCGCGTCGGAGTAGAAGCTGACAATGCTGCAGGGGGCAGCTTGGGGCGTTGGGGAACCCATTTGTTGCATATACATACTAGCGCTGGTGTACATAGGTTCCCAGGTGGGGCAGGCGTTGTAAGGTCGCAATCACGCCAGGAACGGCGAGAGATGTCCGGAATCGTTTTGATCTGCTAGTCAGTATAAGCCATGACATTCAGGACCCTGTGGGGAGGGCTCGCCGAGTGCAGCTGTCACTGCCAAATTGAACGTAGTCCCAACCGTCATGGGAAAAAAGAGGAAGTGGATGCGGCGCAAAACCGGGAAGGCGCGCAGGCCGTCTGGACTCGCATGGCGGGGCCCGAGCTCCCAGTCTCCGCATCCAGACGTCAAACCTCCCGGGCCCCTTTTCTCTCTCTTTTCACAATTCTCTCAGCTTTGGTCGATTTCTCTGTATTTGCGCAATCATGGCCGATCAAGCCATTCATGCCGCCAAGGCGGCCAGCGTCCCCGATGGAACAGGTATGATCCCATCGCAGTCTCCACCTCCACCTCCGCTGATCGCTAACGCCACTCTAGGTGTCCTCCAGCTCGATCCATGGCTGGAACCCCATCGATCGGTGCTGAAGCATCGCTTCAGCTTGGTCGAGAAATGGGCCAAGGACATTGAAGCTAGCGAGGGCGGACTGGACCAGTTTAGCAAGGTATGATGCTTGAGAGGTCGTCGCGGTCTCTTATCGCGCCCCATGCGCGATTGCCCCGTTCAGATGCCGCCCGACTACCTGACGATAAGCCTGTTAACCATTTCTTCTAGGGCTACGAAACATTCGGTCTCATTGCGCAGCCAAATGGCGATATCACATACAAGGAATGGGCGCCCAATGCAAAGGAGGCCTCGCTGGTCGGCGACTTTAGTACGTTGCGCTGATAACCCGATATGAACCACATCCAAATACTGAGACTGGCAGACAACTGGGATGTCAATGCCAACCAAATGACCAAGGACAACTATGGCGTGTGGGATGTGACTGTGCCGTCCAAGGGTGGTGTTGCCGCCATTCCTCACGACAGCAAGATCAAGGCAAGTCTCTCATTACTACTTGCGGGCGATAAGCTTCAGGTCATTTGATAGGAGCAGCCTGGGAGCCCAATGCTAACACGGGTCTCCAGATCACCATGGTACTCCCGAGTGGAGAACGTATCTATAGGGTTCCAGCATGGATCAAGCGAGTCGTGCAAGATCTCAGTGTGTCTCCGGTCTACGATGCCGTCTTCTGGAACCCGCCTGCCAACGAGCGATACAGCTTCAAGCATTCGCGCCCCAAGAAGCCCCAGAGTCTGCGCATCTACGAGGCCCACGTCGGTATCTCATCACCAGAGAACAAAGTCGCGACCTACAAAGAGTTTACCAAGAACATGTTGCCGCGGATCAGTTCTCTCGGCTACAATGCCATCCAGCTCATGGCCATCATGGAACATGCCTACTATGCCAGCTTTGGCTACCAAGTCAACAACTTTTTCGCCGCGAGCAGTCGCTACGGATCTCCAGAAGATCTGAAAGAGCTCATTGATACGGCACACAGTCTGGGCCTGGTGGTCCTGCTGGATGTGGTGCACAGCCATGCGTCCAAGAACGTTGACGATGGAATTAACATGTTCGATGGCACAGACCATCTCTATTTCCATGAAGGTGGCAAGGGTCGTCATGATCTTTGGGATAGTCGCCTATTCAACTATGGTAATCACGAGGTGCTGCGCTTCCTCTTGAGTAACCTGCGTTTCTGGATGGAGGAATACCAGTTTGACGGTTTCCGTTTTGACGGCGTCACCAGTATGCTGTACACTCATCACGGCATTGGAACGTAAGTTACCTCCGCCCTCTGCATTCATTCCGGTATTGCTAACCATCTGATAGCGGCTTCTCTGGCGGATACCATGAATACTTCGGTCCAGCCGTTGACGAAGAAGGTGTCACGTATCTAACTCTCGCCAACGAAATGCTGCACCAGCTCTATCCCGAGTGTATTACTGTCGCCGAAGACGTCTCTGGCATGCCTGCTCTGTGTTTACCACACTCGCTCGGCGGTGTCGGTTTTGACTACCGCCTCGGCATGGCTATCCCAGACATGTACATCAAGCTGCTGAAGGAGAAATCCGATGACGAATGGGACATTGGTAACCTCGCACACACCCTGACCAACCGACGACACGGCGAGAAAACCATCGCCTACGCCGAAAGCCACGACCAAGCGTAAGCATCCGCCCCTCTCTATTTCGCTTCCAAAACTAACAATTTCCAGCCTTGTCGGCGACAAGTCCCTCATGATGTGGCTCTGCGACAAGGAGATGTACACCCACATGTCCGTCCTAACAGACTTCACCCCCATCATCGAACGCGGCATGGCCTTGCACAAGATGATCCGGCTAGTAACCCACGGTCTCGGCGGCGAGGGCTACCTCAACTTCGAAGGCAACGAATTCGGCCACCCAGAATGGCTCGACTTCCCCCGCGAAGGAAACAATAATTCCTTCTGGTACGCCCGCCGCCAGCTCAACCTCACTGAAGACAACTTGCTCCGGTACAGATTCCTCAACAACTTCGACAGTGCAATGCAGCACACCGAAGCCAAATATGGCTGGCTGCATGCCACGCAGGCATACATCAGCTTGAAGAACGAAAGCGACAAGGTCCTCGTCTTTGAACGGGCCGGTCTGCTTTGGATCTTCAACTTCAACCCCACGCAGAGCTTCACGGATTACCGCGTTGGTGTGGATGTTGCGGGCACGTATCGCATCGTCCTTGACACGGATGACAAGGATTTTGGTGGGCTTGGAAGGAACGTTAAGGAGACTCGCTTCTTTACCACGGACTTGCCGTGGAATGGACGGAGTAACTTCGTCCAGGTCTATATCCCTACACGGACTGCTTTGGTGAGAGCTTCCCTCCTCTTCTCTCTAATATGAGGTTGCGTGTCTAATACTGACTGATTTAGGTCCTTGCGCTGGAGAGCACGCTGTAGACGGATTAGATGCTCGCGACGTTGTGATTCAACAATACACAATGGATTAGGACTCGGAAACTTTGCATATGAGACAGATTGTTTAGTTAGCCAATAATTTCACGAATGCTCTATTGATCAGAATCATTAATCTCATTGCTTTCATAAACGCATCATGCTTTATTTGGAAGCTTCTCCTATCATGACCTTTTGCGACTGAGCCGCAAAACGTCCTTTCTGGCTCTTGTATGTTGGTATGTAGCTGGTCCAAAGCAAGTTTCGGACGAGCTCCTCCTATTGCCATTTAGACGGACGGTGCTGGTGAATAGGAGAGGTCCAGGAGAGTCCTTTTTGACGGCGACTTTCCGCCAGGATCTGATAGTACTTAGTGGATTGGTGGACCCCTTCCTGTCAGCGGTTTGAGTTGGAGCTGGCTGCCCGTCTCTCTTGAGATTTGAGAGCCCAAGAATGCTTTTCTTTACTCTGCTCCCTATGCTAATTTTTTTCTGCGTCGGACCATAGACTCTAGCATCGATGTCATGCCGCAGAGCTTGAGATAAGTGATATCTTTCCTACTTGGGTTATCCCGAATGAACACCCAGGAACCTCAAGTGTGAACGGTATGGACGACGCTACAACGCAGATACGCATCATGAGTACTGCGTTTAGTGTTATAGCCTACTGGAAGAATGAATCACAAAGGAAATACAATTGATGACACCAGGATATTTAGGGTTGCCTCACAGGGCCATGGTTTTCAACTCTAAATACACAATAATGAAACACAAGCCACGCCGGAATGGGGAAACAAGTCCAGGAGGCTTTAAAAAAAGGAACCAGGGTGAAAACTTCATCAAAATCGCTCACATACAGACGTCCCCAAACTCATTCCTCCAGAAATGCTCTCCTCTTCTTCCCTCATTTCCTCCATCGTTCTCCCTCCATTGACTCACACCCAATTTCTTCCTTCCGTGTCTTGCAATCCCTCCAGAGGTCCAAACCATATCTCCCACCCAGCACGGTCCCCTTCCAGACACCCTTTCCCAGAGTGCTGCTGAAAGGTACTAAGTGCTAAAATGAGAACAAGGTCCAAAACAACAAACACACTCGACGCAAACAGGAAAGATTCGACAGTCAAAGTCCCTTTCTGTTCTGTTTTCTCTTGAGGATTCGTACTGTACACGTAGCCAAGAAGGGAAAATTGACGTCGAGTGTGAAGAGCGTAAGGACCAAGTTTCAAACATAGGAAAAATAATCCGGACCACAGGAAAAAAAAATAATAAGGATCACAAGGACACAAAAAAGAAAAAATTTGGTGATAAGATTTCAAGAGGGGTAGCGGTTCAAAGGATTTGAGAAGACAGGGCATGAAGGGTTGAGTGGGCGCCCGCTAGCTAGCAAATGACAAAATTACATTTAAGCAGAGCCCTCAAGCTCAGCCAGAATCTTCTCACCCTTGGCGCGGGCAGACTCGATGTCACCAACCATGTAGAAGGCGTTCTCGGGGAGGTCATCAGCCTCACCAGCGATGATAGCCTTGAAGGAGCGGATGGTGTCCTTCAGGTCGACCAGCTGGCCCTCGATACCAGTGAAAACCTGGGCGACAGCGAAGGGCTGGGACAGGAAACGCTGGAGCTTACGGGCACGCTCGACGGTGAGCTTGTCCTGCTCGGACAACTCGTCCATACCCAGAATGGCAATGATATCCTGGAGGGACTTGTACTCCTGGAGCATCTGCTGGACACGGGTGGCGGTGTTGTAGTGGTCGTCACCGATGATACGGGGGTCGAGCATACGGGACTTGGAGTCCAGGGGGTCGACAGCGGGGTAGATACCCAGCTCAGAGATACCACGGGACAGCACAGTGGTGGCGTCCAAGTGGGCGAAGGTCGTGGCGGGGGCAGGGTCAGTCAGATCGTCAGCGGGCACGTAGACGGCCTGGACGGAGGTGATAGAACCCTTCTGGGTGGTGGTAATACGCTCCTGCATACCACCCATGTCGACGGCCAGGGTGGGCTGGTAACCGACGGCAGAGGGGATACGACCCAGCAGGGCAGACACCTCGGAACCGGCCTGGGTGAAACGGAAGATGTTGTCAATGAAGAGCAGCACATCCTGACCCTCCTCGTCACGGAAGTACTCGGCAATGGTCAGACCGGTCAGAGCGACACGGGCACGGGCACCGGGGGGCTCGTTCATCTGACCGAAGACCAGAGCGACCTTGGAGTCACCATCAAGCTGGATGACACCAGTCTCTTGCATCTCGTGGTACAGATCGTTACCCTCACGGGTACGCTCACCGACACCACAGAAGACGGAGTAACCACCGTGAGCCTTGGCGATGTTGTTCTAGAGAAGCATGAAAGTTAGCACTGGTACTCGTGCGTATGGCGTATAATTTTGTGGGATACTCACAATCAGCTCCTGAATGAACACGGTCTTACCGACACCGGCACCACCGAACAGACCAATCTTACCACCACGGGCGTAGGGGGCAAGCAGGTCGACGACCTTGATACCAGTGACGAGAATCTCAGCCTCGGTAGACTGGTCAATGAACAGAGGGGGCTCGGCGTGAATGGGCAGGAACTTGGTGGCCTTGACGGGACCACGCTCGTCAATGGGGTCACCAGTGACGTTGATGATACGGCCCAGGGTAGCGGGACCGACGGGGACCTTGATGGGGGCACCAGTGTCCTGGGCGACGACACCACGGGACAGACCCTCGGTACCTAAATAAATTGCGTTAGCCATGAAGCTCTCAGGGATGTGATGAGGAAAATGCCGGGCCGACCGGTGTGGGTCCCCCTTAGCGGTGAGAAGGGGACAAACACGGTGGCTCGACAGGGGGGTGGGGGGTGCAGCAGCGGCGAAGGGGTTGGGGGTTTGGAGCTTACCGTCCATGGCAATAGTACGGACGACATTCTCACCCAGGTGTTGCTGTAAAGCAGAAGAGGTTAGCCGCGATCGGGGCAAGGGGTAGGTTGGTCCAATCAGAGAGCACGTACAGCAACCTCCAGGACGAGCTTCTGGCCGTTGTTGGTGGTCTCAATGGCGTTCAGAATGGCAGGGAGCTTGTCACCCTCGAACTTGACTATAAAATGGCAAATTCCAGGTCAGCGAAAGTCCAGGAGATCGGTTTGGCATCGATTGCGATGGGATTTGAGATGGATTGGGGCCCAGGAAAAAGATTTTCGCGTGTCCCCCATGTCCGCTCAGGGAGACGAAGCACATACCGTCAACGACGGCACCAATGACCTGGTGAACCTTTCCGGACTGGCCGGCATCGGTGCTGGCGAAGCGAGCAGACAAGGCCGGAAGGGCAGAGGAACGGAGAGGCTGGAAGGCGCGGGCGACGGGGGTCGGCCGGGCAAAAGCAGCCCTCCCGAAGGACCGGGCGAGACCGCTGCGTGGAAAAACAAGTTAGAATAAATTCGAAGAGAAAAATAGGGCGATCGGATCGGTGGAGGTCGAAGGTCGGAAACATACCTCTTGAACATGATGGAGGTGTTGAAGAGCGAGGTGGTAGGGATAGAGGGTGGTTTGGGGGGGGAGGGAAAAGAGGGAAGAAGAGAGATGGGAAGAGGTTGGTGGACGGGAATGGGGCCCTTAGCCTTTCCGGGGCGGTTTTGCCGATGGTCCCGTGATGAACCGACGCTCGAGCGGACGCTGGCCTGCTACACTTCCCTCCCCTGGAAAACCTCATTACTTCTCGACAGATTGCATCTGCTCTGTGATTGTGCTCTCTAACGACTCCCATCTCATGGTGGTTCCGTCGTGGTTGTGGCGTCCCCGTTGCTAGGGGATTTCTTCCTTCTCACCGGGTGGCTTGGCGCCGGATGCAGGCACAGACTCAACTATACAGCTAACTATAAGCTCGCCCTCCGAGCTCAGTCGATGACGATTTACTTCAGAAATGGAATGCAGCAGATTCGTTGGTTTTTGACAGCTGATTTCGGTATCAATTGGTCTGCCCGTGTGGTGCTGGGCAGAGCTCCGAGTCCCAGCTATGCCCGGGAAATCTCTGACGTGTAACTCGGAGCCCTCGAGCCGTCCATCCGCGGTCTGCTGAGAACCGCGGGAGCTCCCACCACGAGCTCTCCACGGTAGTCGGCTCTATAGAACAATCAGCAGAAATAAGATCTAAACACATCAATTTATACAATATTTGTAAAGATCACTCACAACATAAAATCAACTCGAATACACTGTAAGACCGTTCGCCCATCCCGCACGACAGGGGTTCTCCGCACCAGCTCTGCAGGTTCCGAATCCCTCCGGCTGCACCACCCCATCTGCAGGATATCACTTGGACCCCCTACGTCGGATGCAACAAAACAACAGGACCAACATATTTCTCTATGGCTACAAAGGAGATACATTGATTATAGCACAGTACGAGATACACGCATTTTCGGATGCTGGAAAGCGGAAGAAATGACAAAATTGGTGAACTGCTCAGATCAAACGGAAGCCAATCATCAGTCGAGGCGTCATGGCTTGCAGCAACGTTGGCATGCAAGTCAGGGTCCGAGCCCGCGAGGTGAATCCTCGTTGAACTCGGACGAGCCTGCGATATTGAATCCCAGTTCCATTCGACTGAGTTGAGTTCATCACCGACTGGGCTTCGTGCCCATCTATTGCTTCTCGGCCGGGGGGCTCTGGACGAAGCCCTTGCCCTCGTAACCCTCCTTGCTGATACCGTGGATAGGGTTGATCTTCTCGGCCTGTAGAAAAGAAAAGAATATGTAAGCAGCCGTTCAAGCGAGGCTCCGCGCCAACACGCGGAGGAACGTCTCGTCGCGCGTGCACGCGAGTGAGGGGGAGGAATCTATATTTACCTTGGCATACTCGTTGGAGGCCTCCTGCCACTCCTTGGACATGGTCTTGGGCTGGGGCTTGGCGAAGAGGTGGATGGCGTAGAAGAGGGCGAAGGAGACGAGGGTGAGCTGGGTCACCTTGAAGAAGATTCTCCAGCCTTCACCCTTGGGGGGCTGAGCGCGGGGGCCGTGGGGACCGAAGGCAATCCAGTAGGCTAGAAAGAGGGAAGACAGAGAAGTCAGTATAAGACTGCGATCTCATAGGCGGAAAGGGTAATGTGAAAAGGGCAGAGGGGGGCCGCGTAAAATCTGGGCCTCGGATGCAGCAGGGTAGCGAGGGAAGGACATCCGATTGAGAACAAATGTCCTAAGAGGACTAAACGTACCGGCCTTCTTCTCCTGGAGGGTCATCTGGTGCCAGTCGACCTTCATGCGGTCACGGAGCGACATCCACAGCTCAGCCTGCTCCTGAGGGGGCATACCCTCCCAACGCTTCTCGATGCCGGCGAGGGTGGGGTTCGCGATGGCATGTTCGGAGGCAAAGCGAGCCTGCATGGCGTTCACAGAGGCAATTGGGCCAGCACGGATGGCGGCCGGGCTGCGAGGAGCAGCGCGAGCGATGGAGCGAAGAAACATTGTGCGGCAGGTGGGAGGTGGCAGCACCACGTCGAAATCGGGTCAATTGATAGGTAAAAAGGTAGACCGTGACCAGCAAAGTCCGGGACCACGAGTCGACTCAACTGGGGAAGAGAGTGGAGGGGGTGGAGGGAGGATGGAGAAGGACTGAAGTTGTCGTGGTTTGAGGTGGAAGTTCGAGGTTTCCGGCTTAGCGCCGTTCTGCGTTTGGCGGGCCTCTGATTGGCCCACCCGGTCGGCTGCCAGTGAGGAGCATCATCATTCTCATCATACGATTATTCCCTGCGTAGCGACGGGTAAGACGAAGGAAATGACTCGGAATAATATTGTAGTATGAATTATAACTAGTCATTTCCCATAAAAGTATCCTTTGTCGAATATACCCTATCTTAGGGCACCATAATTCGACGCAGCCTCCTACTGTAGTACCGTACCCTATGCTACCGCCCGGTCGCAGGCGGCTCTACTTCGTACCACCGTGGGCACGCGGTCAAGATTTAAAGTATAAAAAGTCAGATTGCGAGTACTCTACAAGTCACACTTTTTCTTTTTAGAAACTTCGTGCCATTCGTGCTTACCACGCAATTTGCACATCTATCCGGGAAAGACCCAGGATTCAGCCGCAACATCAAGTCGTAAAACCAGCTCCGGACAGAAAGGGAGATAATTGCATTGGGTGAGATTCCATATGTCTCGTGGGAAACAAGAAAAAACACCCAAGTCGTAACGGTCTTTGCATTGCAACTAGGAAAGAAAAAGAGGAGGAGAACGGTGTGCAGTGAAAGTTAGGGATTGATCGTGCCGTGGCGCCTCCGAGGGTATGAATTCCCTACGATCGCGCGACCCGGACCCAGCCGGCGCCCATAATCTATTTGGCCTTGCCACCGCTGGCCTCGGCCAGGACGGCGCTCCACTCGATCTCAGACTTGTCGTCAGCGTGGATGGAGTTGGCAACGTTCAGAGCGTTCTTGAGAACCTCGCGGGTGCTGGCGTAAACCATGGATTGCTGTAATAAGACAATTAGCAAACTGCGCATTCGCATATATAGTGGAATTTGAAGGGTCCAAGTGCATTGAACGTACCCGGGTGGGGGTGTCCTGGGGAACCCAAGAGATGAAGATGATCTTGTTTCTGTAGTTTCCAGCAGCGTCAGCGCTCCGGTTCAGCTCTGGGGTTTATGGACGGTGTCGCACCTCTTGCCCTCGCTCTCGCCGAGGCTATACTCGACATCGTAGGTGGCGTAACGGGGGGCAGGTTTGCCGTTAGCGTCGGTAGAGCTAGCCAGCTTCTCGCGGAAGACCTCGTAGTCGGCCTCGCCGCTCTTGTCCTCGACGACGATCTCCTTCATGTTGTCGGCGATCTTGTAGATCACGTACTTGACCTTGCCGCGGCTCATGCGGAGCTCCTCGAAGGCAGCAATGCACTCATCGTTGACGGAAACACTGCGAACCGGTTATCAATATGAGGAACGTGAACGGGTGGGAGGGGTGATGCTGGGATCAAATCGTACCCGGATGCGAGCTGCGAAAACGAAGTGTGTTAGCTGATTTTGAGTAATTCAACGTGGTGCATGGGATTGTATACGAACCGACATGATTGCTTTTGTGGATGAGAGATGAGGAAAAGGGGGACGACCGGTCGCCTGGGCTGAGGGCACAACGATGTCAGTGGCTGTGTTCACACAAGAACCGGAAACGGGTCTCCATGGCGGGCGGGTTCGAATCCCGACAGAAGCCCGAGACAATGCATCGGAGAAAACTCACGGAGAAGGAAAGACAAGGGGATTTTTAGAGGAGGATGGGGAGTGATGGGGGAGGAGGCGGAGGGGTTGTTGCCCAGGTGTTGCGATGGTGGGGTGCTGCTGCACGTGATGCCGGAACGCCCAGTTGGGGATAAACAAAGGGCCTGGAAGAGAGGCGGTAGGCTGATCCAAGTGTCAAGCTTAGTGTCTCTAATTCTTTGCTACAAAGCAGGCGACTCTATTTATTGTGGAATTGGCAATTGCCTGCCAGGCATCGATCAAGCGTGACCTAGGTTCCTTTTTCCCTTGCAGCACCCCCGCCAAATCAACAGAGATACCTGATTAGCTCCGTGGCCATGGGGGCGGTAGCAATACTGGAGCTCACATCACATAGCATGAGGTCTGCACGACATCGAGAAGCATGTACAGGAATCCACAATGTGAGACACATACATGTAGAGAAGCGTCGGGTAGGGTTCTTAGGGTATGTCTGCATGCTATATTTGGAGCCACTCCAACCATGGGACTGTCGGCGGACACGTCAGTGCCCCTCCCTGGTGATGGATATACAAGCAGACGGCCCACCTGGGATGATGACATCGATGACATCCCGTATCAGGCTTGAGTGTCAATAATTGTGCCAAATTATCAGGCGACAAAATTAATTTTTAGCCTCCAGGCTGATTCGATATCAGCTTATTCTGCGGTATCGGAAATATCGTGGCCTACAGTCAACAACGGCTTGGCAGCACATAGTAATCTCTATATAGTACTACCCCAAGTTTCGTTCCAATTTCTTTGCACGGTTATTGCAAATTCAACGCATCATGCGAAAAGAACCCGAATAGAGCCACTGTGATCAATTTTTCGTCTATTCTCGGATTCGTCCCATTTTCGGTGATCAATCTGGTGTATAATGGAACGAAAGCATGGTTCATTTCTGGTCGATGAACCTTCCCTCACAAATTTCCCCGTGGAGGCTACGAGAAGGTGAAGGTTGTTGAAGCTGCACCTCCTTCTGTGGCTACAAATCCGCATCGGGAGCGAGATGATACAGAAGCACAAGAATCCGAATGTTCTCTCCGTTCATGAGTTTATGGAGATATTTATTTCTGGCCATGAGCGTGGAGATAGCATGATCGCTCCTGCATCTCCAAGCTCAACTTCCGTGTTACACAAGGTTACAGCACTTTACATGCCAACCCACCTTGCACTAGTAACGATAGCTTCTTAACACATACTATTAGTACTTAGTAGGTATTCGGTGGATCTAATGTTGACAGGTCCCAGGTGCCAACAACGTGTAAGTACTACCTGGGTAGCTATCACGTAAGTTCAAGTTTCACCTCTCGTCGAAACTCAGCAGGAAACATTAAGACATAAGATTCCGTCATCAGAGAGGCTACAAACTGCTAAATGTAGTCTAGACCTTAGGAGCAAACTTAGCCCGCATACGATCAGCCACATCCTTCTCATCAAAAATGAAGTTGACACTCTCATGTGCAGCAGTAGCCTCCGCCCAGCGCTTGAATCGCGGAGTCTGCTCCAAGAGGCTGGGAAACTTAGCGCTAACAAGGCCATGCTCAGGCTTACTGAATGCCAGCAGGCGCAGGATAAAAGAACCAGTTTGAACCTATCGCAATTTGTCAGCAACTGCTTAAAGTGAATTTGGAATGAAGTCAGGCCCCAACATACCTCCGCCAGAGTCAGCTTATCACTACCTCCAAAGAACGGACCCTTGCCCTCGGTCGAAGCCAGCAGAGGCTCGACCTCCTTCTGAATGGCGACTAGGGCAGCCTGGGCAGCAGCATCGCGCTCCGCATCACTTCCAGCGCGCAGACTGGTGAACAGGTTCGGGACAACCTTGCTCATGAATGCGTCGATGAAGACGGCCTGTTGGGCACGGTATAGGGCGTTCTCCGCGGGTCCGGATGGAGGGGAGAGGTGGGAGGGGAAGGCATCGGCTATGAATTGGGCAACGATGCCAGATTCAATGATGATGTTGCCGTTATACTTGAGGGACGGGACGAGACCGCGCTGGAGACAGAGGTACTGGGTCAGCATGTATGTTGGGTAGAGACAAGGCGAGGAAGGCGATTTTCCAAAGTTCCAATTAGTATCACGTACGTGGTTCACTTCCAAATACCACGGCTCGCGGGGCACGGTCAGGTCGATGGTGACCTCCTCGTATTCCACGCCAACCTCCTTCAGGGCGATGTGGGCGCGGTGTGCCCATGGGCAGCCGCGGTTGGTGTACAAGGTGATCTTGGGCGAGGACATGGTTAATCGGGGGTAGGTTGGGTGTGAGAATGAAGCACGGGATGAGGAGGGGAAGACGCCATTTTGAACGACATCGCGGAAGCCGAGGAGGGGGTGGATTACTAAAAGCAAATGGCGAAATCGCGGTGATGTGTTTGTGTCCGCTTAACGCCGAGCCGGATAAAGTAATGATGCAAAATGCGGGGGGAGCCCACCCCAGCCGTGGACCACGGTTGCTGTTCCGGTACCCCGGCTTGCTTGGGACTATGTATGCATATGCATATCCTTAAGTACCCTTAGGTACTCTAAATTACTTAGGGCCACAGGAAAAGGTGTATGACGGTCAAGGCCAACTATTCAATGAGATTCGAGTCTAATTATGTACATACATTAATACGTGCACTGTAGGCATCCGATAGCTTCGGATTCAAACAAATATCAGAGAACCACACGTCTGGGAAGGCTCGCTCGCGCATCAGGACAAATCCGATGGCTAGTACCAATGTACATAAGAACACGAAATGATCAAGGCCAGCCTCGGGGGATAGTAGTGACCTTGCTCCGTAGCGCCAGCGTCCGGTTCCGCAGTTATCAAGTCAGAAATGGAAATAAGAGAAGATAGAAAGGAAAGGACGGTATCAGTCGCCATAAAATGGGGGGTATATCGAATACGAAGAAAACTGAACACAAGCATCGAGACGCAGAAGGCCAGCCTGGGTGGAAAGCACGGGAGAATTTCTCGCAAAGCTGGGGCGACGAATGACAATGCTGCACACGCTGTCGTGAGGGCGTAACTCGGCATGAAAACAAGGCAGAAGAATCAAGATCCTTTCGCCATCGCTCAAACCTCATCTTCATCCTCCTGCACTCCGCCATCAATGATCTTCCGCCAGTGTTGCGGGAGACAGATGCAAACCAGCGGGAATGCCTTGATCTCGCCTGATGGTGTGGGTGACGGGCCACGCCTGTGCGAGCCGCTGGAGACGCCGCTGTCACGCGCCTCGCGATGAATATCGTAGTCTTCTGCCCGCTCGGGGATTCGGACTCCAGTGGCCCAGCCATCGTCCCAAATACCAATCACCTTCAGCATTTCACCACGGTCCAATTCAAACTCGTCACCCGCCCGGGGAGAGTATGCCCATAGGGCAGCCACCTTGTCACCAGGACGGATATCATCTTGGGAGTAGTAGTCGCGGAAATACGACAATTGCTCTGACTGACCACTGGTGACTCCCTCCGGGGAAGAGTATTGGTTGGTGATCGTGCCGGAGCGAGGCGAGCTATCACTGTCCAGTCCAGCCAGAGCAGAGCTGCTTGAAAGAGAGCCGTGGCGCTTTCCAGTTACCGGGGGAATTCTCCTTGCTGTAGAACCGGGACTGGCACCCATCATCTCCGAGTCCGATGAATCACTATAAGGACCCTTGGCACCACCACCAAACATCGCGTTCGATGTTCGCGAGTAGGCGGGAGAAGAGCTAGGGATTTCACGCAAGGCTGACATTCGCGCAACCCGGCCCCCAGGGACCATGTTGACGTTGGTTGGGGTACCAGACTGTTGCATAGGTGGTGAAGCGCCTTTCCTCTGTGGGTTCGGTTGGTTCAGTGCGACATCTGTCTGTGACTGTTTACGACGACGGGTACAGATGCAGAGCAAAGCAGCCAGCGCCGCCAAGATGGCAGCTGCAGCAACAGAGCCGATGACAATTCCGGCAATCGCACCTCCTGAGAGACCCTTGTTCGAGTCGTCGGAATCAGCAGCCGCACCGGTGGTTGTAATTGGCTGCAGAGTGACAGTCGCGGCTGGGACGGAGACTCCCTCGCAGCGGCTGGTCGCATTGGCGCTGATACAACAGGTGTCGGTCGAGTTCGGGGAGCTGGATGCGCAGTAGGTGCATAGGCCGATTGTGTTGGATGAAAATCCGCAGTTGTGCGGTTCGTTGTCTGATCCTTCGATACAGCTTCCGCTCAGGGAATCGGAGGGTGATGAGCACACGGTAAAGTCGGCGCGAATCTGCTTCATATAATCCTCGTGGGTGTTAGAGCAGAGATTTTTATTGACCATGATTTCTTGTTCGCTGGTGGCCATGAGCGCGCAGGTTTCGGCACACAGGGGTTCGGATTGTTTGTCGGATAGACCGCATTCATCTTTGGAGCTCTGGATGAGACTACTGCAGATGACGCTGGTGGTATATTGGGCGTAGTAGTCGTTCAGTGCGCTGTGATCCAGGCCTTCGCAGCCCAATAGGTCGAGATATCTACGAGTTTCCAGTCAGGACATCGCAATTCGATTCTCGTCAATACTCGAAAAACTTACTTGAAAGTAACATAGGATCCCTGAACATAGTCGCTCAGGGATTGATCGAAAGAAGTAAGGTTGGAAACATTTTCCAGCCATGGGCTATTTTCAGGTCAGTCAGTCAGTCGGCGCGTCCCAGACGATGCATCAATACATCGGGTCAAACTCACAAATTCCCATATTGGCTAGAATTGGTTGAAATCGAAGCGCTACCCCAGGCAGAACAGGCGGTCGATCCGGAGAGGGAAAGGCAAGAGCTCGCCATCTCGGGTGTCAAATCCTCAATCCTCCACGACGTCCGAGCTGAGGAATGTGGTCGTGAGGAATGTGTCAGATGGTATAATCGAGGTTGTTCGGGATTATACGAATCGCATGTCGAGGAGAAAACTTTGTGACGGATTGGCGTAGGAAAAGACGTCGACGGCAGGCCAGCGACAATAGCCTCAAGCTCGCAAGAAGGGAAGAAAAAGGCGCGTAGAGAAGGAAGGAGGGTAAACGAGTGACTTTGGGGGTGGTCGATGCCGTGGACCCGCAGGGAAGGAAAGATCAATCGAGCCCCGGAGACGCTCTCTCGATCGAGTTGGGTCGAAATGGGTGAATGAAAGAGAAAGGATGACCAATCGAGAGGAGGAGGAGGAGGAGAAGTTACGAGATGTGGTGGAGGCCGGTGGGCTGGGGCCGGATCCAACCCAGGGGGACGTGAGACGAACTGGTCGAGAGCCTGAAACGAAATCCGAACAGCTTAGCGTGTGCAGTGGGGAGGCTGGAGCTGCAGGCAGGATATGCAGAGAGTCAGGCACCGTCTCTGGCACTGGGATGTTGGGATGCACGGAGTCCCGTGTGGTGCCTCGAAAAAGGGGCGTATCGCCAGGGGGCAGCTACGCTCGCTTGGGTATGTCAACGGTCCGCCTCATTATTATTGGCCTCGTCCCAACCGGTCGGGGGCAGCCGTGCCTGTCTAGACCGGATTTATGCTGGCGTGTGTTCCGCTGGAGGCGCTGTCTATTCCCAAGGTGTGTTTGGCGTGTTTACTCCTCCACTCACCAGCCTCGTCAGAGACCCATCGACGATCGCTATCACCCGCCCGCGCAAAATTTCAGATTCCTCTTGAATTTAGATACATGCCATGGTAATGGTACACAGTGTGCGGACGCAGATTTTGTCTAATATTCCGAGCGCCTTGCATCCTGTACGAAATAATGTGAGCTGTCCGCCAGGGGCGCAGTGCCCTGCATGGCGAGGGCGATGCACATCAGATCCGATGTCACGAATACCAGGCCCTGCACGGCTGATCGCGGCGTGGAGCGGGTAGCCAGGACCAGATTTCGCGTTGCGTAGACCCTGCAAGGCCCCCGCTTTGATACACCAGGTCCGGATGCCGAGGTGGTGAAGAAATGCATGAAATATAGTAGTATAGCTAGCTCAGTAGGGCACGGGAAGCATGTAAACAGTATACCGACTTGATATCTCTCCGAGTTGCTGTCGAGTAGTCAGCGGCAGCAACCATGGATCACGGGTCACATGATCAACGTCATCTGATCCGGGCAGGCTGCAATCGAACTCATCCAAAAGGCTCGCCTTTCGACTCCCAGATATACCCACCGGTCGCCACTTTGGACGTCACGGTCGTCAAACGGTCGTCAACTATTCGATTAACTTTCGTTGCGATCTCAGATCCCACCATCAACGCCATTCTCGCCCTCTTGCAGGTGATAGAGCGCAAGCCCCCTTCCGTCTGGAGCCATGTGTAGCTCCGATACTTTCCTGGCCATCCTGGCCGTCTTCTTCCCACCCATTGCAGGTAAGCAGAGGCCGATGAGGATCACTCCCCTTACTATTAACCGATAAACTGAATGACTATGGAAACGCTAATGCTCTCCGCGCCCCATTAGTCTGGATCAAGGCGGGGATCTGCACTGCCGACTCCATCATCAATATCGCCCTTTGTCTGCTGGGCTACATTCCCGGGCTCATTCACGCCTGGTACATCATCCTGAAGTACCCAGAGTCCGACTACGACGATGTGGCCTACGAGCCCATCCCTGGCGGTTCCAGCCAGCGTCGCGACCTCGAGAACGGTCGCGTGACGTACTACTATGTCTCACACCAGCCTCTCCAGCATCCTTCCCAGCAGCGAGCATACGGCACTGTCGATCGTGGCCAGCAAGTTCCGACCGACTCGAATGCCCCCAAGACCTCCGACCACCCGCAACAGGGTGCTGGAAGCAGCAGTGGGCAGACGGCCCCGCCAACCTATGCAGAAGCTGTGAAGGGCGACAACAAGATTCAGACTCAGGAATAAGGGTGTGTGGGCGACCGTCTGGCTACCAGCTTGGCATCAGTGTCCCACGATGCCAATTTACAGCCACCTCTTTGCTCTGTCTTACCGTAGACACTCTCCCTGAGCAGATCTCATGACTTTGACGAGTATATGTTTTTGTAGTGTTTCTGTTGTGCTGCTCTCAATCCGCCGCTTCGAAGCCGGCGTGTCTTACCAAGACTTCTTTCATTTGAATCGATGGGAAGTTTTCAGTGCAGAATTACGGCAACTCTATGGATTCCATGGTGTTGGCCGGTGCTTTTAAGTCTGTAACAATCTCCTTGACAGCGTAACAAAGCCGTATCTATTTGAGCGCTTCAGCTTTGGAATTTCAACATTCTCATAATGGAACAATGTATTATCGCTTGAAAATGCTTCGTTGTTTAGGTCACGATATATCCAGGGACTGTACTTCATAACTTAACTCGATAGCGATGGGTTCTGTAACGGCCAAATACAATGTATTACGCTTCAATGAGTAGGAAAAGTGAAGCCTGTCAGTACACCAGTGTAAGGTTTTACCATAACCTTGGGGCAAATCCACTTGCATGAGTTACTACTGCAAGTAGCTTGTTTGTTTGGCTGTAGCTGTCTGTCGAAATTTCATAGTGTTCATATTGAGTTATGATCATAGGTGCTACAACACTGTGAACTCGAAGAGTTTTTTTTAAACGTGTTCGCGTGGAGATGTGATATATATTCTCGGGACACCTCGGGAACATTTCAATGATAAAATTCATAATCAGATTTCGAGACAGAAAGTGCTAAAGGATAGAGTTTACTTACGATTTTCAAGAAGATCACAGTGAGATACACAGCCAGGAATCTTTGAACAATTTCCCAAAAAATACAGCGGGCATAGAATGGCATCGAAGTGGTGAGTGCAGACCGACCCATCTGATAAGCGGCGGGCCCAAACAGCTCCGAGCTGTTCCCGGCCGCATCGGTACTCAACATTCAACACCAACCCCCTCCTGGCCGAGGCTCCTCAGACCGGCCATGCAGTCCATGCCATTACTGCTCCGGCAGTCACTCCGGTCGAGTCTACACATCACACGATCGACATCGAGACCGGTGCAAGCGCAATTCCGCCCGACGGCGCCGAGCACTTTTGCCGTTGGACCGACGCCGCGGAACTTCTCTGTCTGCCTCCAATGCCGGTTCCGCCAGCCTTCGGGGCTCTATTCTACACACAACGACAAGGGCGAGGCGGACAATGACGCGGAGAGGCTACACCAGGCTGTGAGGGAGGCTACTAGCCCCGACGCGACCTCCATCCCGGAAGCGGTTGCTAGAGGCCCTCCGCTAGACACCTCGGCGGCGGAGGTTGACCGTGCTGCGGAGCAGGGTGCGCCTAAGGAGCCTGAGCAGGAACCTCTATATAAAACAGAGTCGGGACAAACGAAGGAACAAGGTGCCGGTGGGGATGGCGTTCGAAGTGGTGGACTGCCGTCCTACCTGGAGAGTCGCCGGTCGAAGCTGTCGAAGCAATTCACCACTATGATGGATAACATCCAGTCCAATGTCTTTGTGGCTGGACAACGGTTGAACGATCTAACGGGATACTCCGGGATCGAAGCTCTGAAGAACGAGATTCACAGCCAAGGTTCGTTGATATTTCCATCTAAGCAGCACAATGCAGCTCGATTACTGATATCAAACGTCTGGTAAAGAGGAGCGGCTCCGTGCGGCCCGGTCAAATGTCCGCAAGGCTAAGGACGAGTACACTGCGGCCATCAATCGCCGTTCGACCTCGCAGCGTGAAGTCAACGAGCTTCTTCAACGCAAGCATGCTTGGTCCCCGACCGATTTGGAACGATTCACACTCCTCTACCGCAACGATCACACCAACGAGGTCGCCGAAACAGAGACACAGGAAGCTCTATCTGCCGCTGAGCGTGAAGCTGAAGAGGCGGCCGCTTCGCTGAGCAAGAGCATTTTGTCCCGCTACCACGAGGAGCAGGTCTGGTCCGATAAGATCCGTCGCATGAGTACATGGGGTACCTGGGGCCTTATGGGCGTGAACGTTCTGCTCTTCTTGATTTTCCAGATTGCTGTGGAACCATGGCGCCGGCGCCGACTGGTCAAGGGCTTCGAGGACAAGGTTGTCGAGGCTATCGAGAAGGAGAAAGCGCTTGCCCGGATCGAAGCGGCTGAAGGTGCTGTCTCTGTCCCGACGGCCGTCGCTTCAGCTGTGCCTGGGCAGATTGACTCAAGCATCGAGTCATCCCTCTCGAGACTGGAGTCCCCCACAAACACGCCGGAGAAGCCTACTGCTGCCGCTATCACGGAGACTACCGTCAAGCCAACTACTGAAGCATCTCCTACACCTGCCCCCGAGTCCCTCTATTCCCGCCTCTCTAATATCTCACACTCACCCCTGTCCTTAGAATATTGGCAAGGAGCTCTGAACGAGCTCTTCAACGAGCGCAGCGTTGCTATTTCCCAACGCGATCTTACAGTGGCTGCCATGCAGAGCGCTGCAGCCGGTGCGGCCGTGATGAGCCTGTTGATTGCTTTGGTGGGGTCCCGGTAAGGGCGACTCTCCTGGGGCCTATAGACAAGATACATATGAGACCTGACGCCTCCTAGTGTATGTCCACATGTCTGACCTTGAGGCATTGTCACATACTCTCGACCTCGTTGGTCAATATATTGTACAGTTGAAGAGACATTAGTGGATCTAGCTAGGCTATGTAGAAGCCGTGTACTATTATTGGATTTTCTTTCTCGAGGCCTTTTGCACACAGTACTATTAAGGTACACACTGCAGATAATACTGGTTGCTCAGCCTTCACTAGCTGTAGACTACGAAAATCAGGTGAACCAGGCAAGTAATGAATAACAAAGGAAATATCATGACTAGGCAATACACTGGCAAATATAGAACACAAGGTATGTACTGTACTCAAGAAGATCCTGGGATACTGCGTGGGCGGAAGAGCCGGAGCAGAGGCTCTCCAAAATGAGACAATCCGTAGACCAATGGCGAGACCGAGGACAACAAAAAGGGTAAAAAGAGGCTCATTTTTTGTCCATATTAAAACACGGTCTCTTTAATCTTGACACGACACACGGTCCGCTCTGTCTAAAAAACAAGGGAAATATAAAAATCACAAGCACATACACAGACACTATTGTCTTTCACCTGCCACCCTGCACTCTTGGTCTAACGAAACAAGAAATTTTCCGCGCGTATATCGGTTAACATGCGTCTGGGTTATGAAGTCGTTTAACCGATGACGAGAGTCTCGTCCTCAGGGAATTGGTATGAGGGAACCTCCAGGTTCAGAGGGGCGGGGCCCTTGCGAATACGGCCGGAGATATCGTAGTGGGAGCCGTGGCAGGGGCAGAACCAGCCGCCGTAGTCACCGGCCTCACCAATGGGCACACAACCCAGATGGGTGCAGACACCCAGCATGACCAGCCACTCGGGGCGCTGGGCGCGGTCCTCATCGGCCTGGGGGTCACGGAGGGACTCCCACTTGACCTCGCGGGCCTCGTCGATCTCGCCCTGGGTACGGTGACGGATGAAGACGGGCTTACCACGCCACTTGATGATGACCTATAGAAGGGGTTGTTAGACGCGGGCAACGAGGACTAGTGGCAAAAAGGGGAGAAAAAAACGTACGTTCTTGCCCTCAGGAATGGCACCGAGAGCGATCTCAACCTTGGCCTGGGCCAGGACATCGGCGGAGGCGGACATGTTGACAAGGAAGTCTGTAGAGGAGTCGCAAAGTCAGCCACGGAACCCGAATCATGCAAACCCCGTATAAAACCCAAATAAGCCACCCCCAATTGAGTCGACATAGTTGTTCCCTCCATCTGATCTTGATATAAAAGGCGATAGAAACGTACCCTGAACGGTAGCCTTGGCACCGACAGCGGAAGCCAGACCCATGGTGCCAGCCATGAAGTAGGAGAAGACCTGGTTGGAACGGGGATTCTTGTTGGACTGGTATTTGCTGAAGTTGGGGATCTTCAGAGTCGAGCCACGCTCGTTGGCGCTGGCGAAGGGGCTCTGGAAGGAGGACTCTCCCCCTCCGCTGGCAGGAGGCGACGGCGGTGCGGGAGGTGGGCAGCTGCTGGCGGGCGCAAGTGCGCAGCAGAGTGCTGGAAGCGGAGGAGAGCGACATGGTGAAGCAATTGACCGCGAGGGGTGTGTCCGCAATTGCGTGGGAGTGCGAGTGGGAGGGCAGGGAGGCAGAGGGTGGATGAAGTCGGAAGTCGAAGTTGGAGCCAGAGCTTTCGCTAGCGATCGGAATCACGGGGCCTGTCATTGGCTGAGCGGGTCTCGGCCACTTCATTCTGCCGGACGCGCCTCTCTATACTACCACCACCCTATTCTATACTAGTAAAGTCGTTTTGGACCGGATGTTATTCGGCATTGCCTTGGGTTTTCCCGTGACTAATAGTTACATTTCAGTGGTTTTCTCTGTCCGTGGTATCTACTATATGGTCGTTGTCCGCAGCCCGAGGCGACCCGGTAATCATCCAAAACACCCAGTTGGCCCAAAAACAGCCCCGGAATTCCCCAGAAAACTCCAATGCAAAGCAAGCGAGCAAAACAAGAAATATGCATCTTGAATGCATTTATATAATCCCGATCAATCCTTCATCTCGACGTCGGCGTTCTCGGCAGCCGGGGGCTCAACCGTCTGGTCCGCGATCAGCGCACTCACGGGAACCACTGGTGTGCGAGGGACCGTCGGCGATGAAGCCTTTGATTCATCTGCCTGAGGAGACTTTTTCTCAGGAGTAGCCCCGTTCTCATTAGCGGGTGCAGCAGCAGCACTCGTGCCATTGAGCGTCCGCTGGCCCTTTTCCATTTCGCCCTGTTTGGCGGTTTCTTTTGCCTTCTTCTCCTTGAATTGCTTGTAGGTTGTAGTTTTAGGGATCACATCGGAGAGGAACTCGAGATTGTCGGTATGGGAGACCGCAGCCGCTTTAGTGAATTGTGGTTAGTTTTCAACACCTAAAAGTGCTGAGGCCATGATGGCTACTCACCTAGATCTTTGTATTGGACAGTCTTTCGCGGCTTTCGTTCTGACTTGACCACATTATGGCCTTGCTCAGCAAGGTATTGGATGAACATCTCCTGTACGTAGTGTCAGTTGCCGTAAAAAGGAATTGGATCGCGGAGAGAGAGAGCCATACAGTCGCCATAGCAATGGCAAAGGTCGCATTGCTGGAACATTGTACAATATCCTCATCCAGCTGGATGATCTTCTTGATTCGGGAGACTTGGCGTCTTTAGCAAGACTATTCTGGTTTCGGGGGCATTTCGTCACGTACTGGGAAGAGCGCTCTGGCCGGTAATCTCATCGGCCTCGCCAGCGTTCTTTGGGGACATGTCGGGGATATGAATGAGCTCGGAGGATGGATTATGAAGATCACAGTCGACTTTTGGTCGTAAAACGGGGTTCTTTCTGGGAGCTAGCAATGGCGAGCACACGAGTGTAGAGTGGAAAGACCCTACGCGTGCGCGGTGTTATCTCAGCAGCCTCCCCGTTATCGATACTTGGCGCGGATTAACACTTTCGACACCTTGGCCGGAGACTCATTCTCATCGCAATTGTTCAACCCCGCCGGCTCATTCACAACAACGCTCAAGCTCCCTCGAACAACCCGCTCGGCCTCGCACATAGCGTGGTATCGACTCGCGTCTCCTTTCGGTGACGGTGTGCGATCTCCCGGCGCGGTGGGAGAGAGCATCATTGACATCCTCCGGGCCCGACTATGCTGAGATCACCGCCCCGCTACATGTTATGACCTCGTCACGCCCCTCATTGACCTCGCTCAGGTCGCCCTCGATCCTGTCCGAGCGCCGCGACATGCGCAGACTATCCGGACGCTCTGTCTCCTCCCCTATTGATCCCGAGCCCGCTCCCGGACCCCAACCTGCCGCCATCACCGAAGAAATCAGTGAGATCAAACGCTATGAAGATTTCACAACAATCGATTGGGTCCAGGATGCGGTCTACGAGCAGAACAGTCGTCGCGCCAAGCGGCGGGATGGTGGTGGCTTTTGGGACCAGGAAGGCATCTTTGGCTGGCGTCGAAAGGTGATCGAGTCCTACGACGCAGGCCAAGCTTGGCTCGTAGTGACCCTGGTTGGAATGGCGATTGGATTGAATTCAGCTGTCTTGAATATTATCACTGAGTGGCTGTCCGATATCAAGCTTGGCCATTGTACCACCGCATTCTACCTGAATGAGCAATTCTGCTGCTGGGGTGCCGAAGGAGGTGAGCAAAGACCCTCAATGTGTGCTTCTTTACAAAGAGTTGAACTGATTCAAGACCTCCAGGTTGCCCCGAATGGAAACACTGGACTGGCTTCTGGCTTTTCAACTACGTGATCTACTTCTTTTTTGCGGTATGTCCCATTCGCAGCATGAGGTTGGAATATATGCTGATATCTAGCTAGGTACTGCTTGCTTTCATTGCAGCGATTCTTGTGAAAACCTTCGCGCCATACGCTGCAGGCTCCGGTATCTCGGAGATCAAATGCATTATTGCTGGCTTTGTCATGAAGGGCTTCCTCGGAGCCTGGACTCTTCTAATTAAGTCAATTGCTCTGCCATTAGCCATCGCATCTGGTCTTTCTGTCGGAAAGGAGGGACCTAGTGTTCACTTCGCCGTTTGCACAGGAAACGTCATCTCGCGGTGGTTCGGGAAATACAAGGCGAGTGCCTCGAAGACGCGAGAAATCCTGACGGCGTCAGCGGCGGCCGGAGTAGCAGTGGCTTTCGGCAGTCCTATTGGCGGTGTACTGTTTTCACTTGAGGTACGTTATAAAGAGCCTGTTTATTATGCAATGGTTCTAACTATTTTCAGGAAATGGCCAACTACTTCCCGCTCAAGACTCTGTGGCGCAGCTATTTCTGCGCCTTGGTAGCGACCAGCGTGCTGGCGGTAAGTTCAGCTCAACCCATCCACAGATCATCCGCTGACCTGATAAGGCCTTGAATCCTTTTCGAACTGGGCAGCTGGTCATGTTCCAAGTTGAATATGACCGCACGTGGCACTTTTTCGAACTGATCTTCTTCGTGTTCCTTGGTGTCTTCGGCGGTCTGTATGGTGCTCTCGTTATCAAATGGAACCTTCGTGTAGCAGCATTCCGCAAGAAGTATCTGGGTAAATACCCTATTGCCGAGTCTGTGGTCCTTGCTGCTGTCACTGCGATTCTTTGCTATCCCAACATGTTCCTAAAGATCAACATGACGGAAATGATGGAGATACTCTTCCGCGAATGCGAGGGTGGCCATGACTACAACGGGCTTTGCGAGTAAGAATACCTGGCTTACCAATGATCATTTTTCTGTACTGACTCCTTCCGCAGAAAAAAGAATCGCCTGTCAATGATCCTGTCCTTGGCAGTTGCAACGGTCTTGCGTACTGGCTTGGTGATCATCTCATATGGGTGCAAAGTACCAGCTGGTATCTTCGTCCCATCAATGGCTATTGGTGCATCGTTCGGCCGCATGGTTGGAATTATGGTGCAGGCACTATATGAACACTTTCCCAAATCGGCCTTCTTTGCATCATGCGAGCCAGACGTTCCTTGCATAACACCGGGAACATATGCGTTCCTGGGTGCGGGAGCAGCTCTAAGTGGGATTATGCATCTCACTATCTCAGTAACCGTCATTATGTTCGAACTCACTGGCGCCTTGACTTACATCCTGCCGACCATGGTATGTTTTTCCATCTCTTCCCATTCGAATGATCTGCTAACATATGCAACAACCTTTTAGATCGTTGTTGGTGTCACGAAAGCCGTGGGAGATCGATTCGGAAATGGAGGCATTGCAGACCGTATGATCTGGTTCAACGGCTTCCCATTCCTGGACAACAAAGAAGACCACGTCTTCAACGTCCCAGTCTCCCACGCAATGACCACCGATCCACTCACCCTCCCTGCATCCGACTTCCCTGTGCGTGAAGCAGAGCATCTGCTTAGCGACAACAGGTTCCAAGGTTTCCCGATTGTCGAAGACCGCAGCAAAAAGACGCTGGTTGGCTACATCGGTCGTACAGAGCTTCGATATGCCATCGACCGCGTTCGCAGCGAAGGACTCCTTTCGCCACGGGCCCGATGCGTGTTCACCAAAGAAGCTGCCGAGGCTTCAGTCGCACGACGGGCCTCCGCACCCCGGGACACCCACTCCTCAGATACGTTCGATGCGATCCAGACTAGCGTGGGAGCCGGCTTCGTCGACTTCTCCCGCTACGTCGACCACACCCCGCTGACCGTGCACCCCCGTCTCCCTCTCGAGACTGTCATGGAAATCTTCAAGAAGATGGGCCCGCGTGTTATCCTCGTTGAGCACCGCGGCCGTCTGACTGGTCTGGTTACCGTCAAGGATTGTTTAAAGTACCAATTCAAGGTGGAAGCCGAGGAACACGCACTTGCAGCAACAACAACATCTGAATTCACTTCTACGCCCCTGGGTGGTCATCTGAGCAGCCCTACCCTGGAGACCCTTGAAGAGCGTATCTGGCGTATTATCCAGACGGTTGCGGCTTTCGTCTCTGGCTCGTCTCGTCCTCGTCGCCCTGTGCGACTGGGTGATCGGGACCGCCGCGGGCCTTCAGAGTCTGCTGGGATCCTGGATGGAACGGAAGATGATGGTCTTGTTGAGCTGGAGAATAGAGAAGGGCGACCTGGTCGCTCTTAGAGTTGTAATAATCATATGAACATAGTTGTGATACTCACCATATAAACCGTTGCTTTTTCCATTGTCTACTTTTATGTGGCCTTGTAACGCATCGTGCAACATTTCTAACTTAATAGTCTACTGAGCAAGCCAGGAACCAGCTAGGCCAGTGCTCATCAAAGCACCAATCTTAATTTGATGCCTTGTTGTCCCAGCATCATGACACAAACCTACACGAGGACCATAGAACCTTAATGTGGTAGGCTATTCACAATATCATATTTTGATATATCATCTCAAGATCTCAAGATCAACTCACGCTCCTTCGCGCATCCCAACTAAGATACACCCAGCACCCATCATTGCCGCACCCAGCCACCACAGCCCACCAACCGTCTCCTGAAACACAATCATACCCAAGAATGCAGTCGTCAGAAAATTGGCGGCGGTATTAGTGATCGAGACTTTTGTCGTGGAGGGGCCGGCCGTAAGGGCGCGGGTGAAGAGTGCCCACATAATGATATTGCATAGGACATTGAGACCGAGACAAGACTAGAAGGGTGATTCCATAAGTATATATACAATTTTCGAGGAGGAGCCGCGCAGTAAAGCCGCAACGATGGATATAGGAAGGGAAGAAGACGTACGCCGCGGACGAGAAGCTCGAGGAATGGGGAGGAATCGAGACCGAAGAGGTGGGCGAGGGATTGCGCGAAGGATGTGGTATTGTTGTCCGTTGTCCTTAGATGGTCAATTGACTATTCCATATGCGGGAGACATCGCTGTAGCCTCTTGATCTCCGTCGGCGCAACTTACAGCTTCGCGAAGAGGCCGTTCAGCGCGGCGAAGGCGCCGCTGGCCACGGCGATGAATATCCACGAGGGGGTGACGGGTTTTGGGGGAGCTGATGAGGACATCTCGGGCGTATATGTGCTCCTGCGAAATATACAGGTCGTAATAAGAGTATGTAGCGTATATAGCAAGCCTGAGGAGGAGATGGGATGTCGCGGAAGGGAGGAGGTTGCTGCCAAGCCGTGATAAGATAGGGCGATCGACAACAGATTTGGTCGGACATCAATGGAAGTATACAATCAATTGCACGCAAAATAGGAATGTGACATCAAATGAACGAAACAAGAGAGATGTGTATTATTTACATCTGTACATGCCGATACTAATCTATGGTGACAATCGTTGCAGTCGCCACTGCGCATCATCTCCAGTACCCTCGAGACGAACATACCGGAATCGATCATGAAGTCGACTCCGGCGGCCCTGCCAGAATTCCACAGACTCAGGCACAAGACGAACACCACCCCAGAAAGGAGGTAGGGGAATATGATCCACGCCCTCGAACTTGGCCTCTATTTCCTTGACCCGCTTCTCCAACAAAGCCCGCCCATCGTCAATATCTGTTTCATCGATATCAGCCGGCACGTCCGCACCAAGCGCCGATCCCACAACCGCCTGCAGCTTGGAAACACTCTTGCGACGCTGATGCCTCTCCATTTGCTGTGGCTCTGCAGACCACAGAACGCGACTCTGCCAGCTTGCCCACGCCCCTATCTGACTGCCTCGCTCGCGCGTCCGCCAGTATAGCTCACTCTCCTCGCGGCTGAGCGGTTCCAGGAGTCCTTCCACGCGAACTTGACGCTCAACAGAGGACCAGCAGAATGTCAAAGCGCCCCATTTATTTCCGCCGGTTTGTCCTGTCTCGCCAGGCTCAGGCATCGCGCCTATCGCGTCTGCCCCGTTGGGATACTGTCCGAAGACCTGCGCGCCTTTGCCTTCCCGACTGCCCCAGTTGCTATATACGACCCATCCGCGCTCATCTAGTTCCTTCAGGTACAAGACGCGCGAGCTGATGCGGCCTGAGGGCAAGGATGCCGTGGCGAGAGTACATGTCTCGGGTGCCGAGCTGGCCGGTAGACGCGGATCACGGAACCAAGCATTGAATTGGTGCAGGGGGTTGGTCCCGTGAATCTGGGAGACGGTCAAGGGTGGGTTCGTCACGAATTGGTGTGCCCGGGCAGGGTGCGAGAGGATCTGACTTTCCGTCGTGGAGTTCGGGGTCGAGGTATCGGAGCGCAGGGCTTCGCCGGGGGCAAGACGGAATGGGACTGCGGATTGGGTGTGCGGTGGTGTGGCAGATGTATCTGGTGTTTCTGCTCCAGCTTCGATATCTCCTGGTGCGACTAGAGAGCAGGTCCGTGGTTAGCTTCGAAGTTCCGGTCATGATTCATCAATTCCCCGCGGGGCATTTCTGGTCGACTTGGGCGCGGAGGACGGAGTTCGGGGCCAGTGTACGCACAGATCAACTTCTTTGGGCGCCGCGATTGGGCATCAAGCTCTAGATTAGGTTGCGACATGCTTGCTTCTAGGGCACTGGCGAGTTGAGCTGTAGAAGAATGCCAGGCTCGAAGGTGGGGTTGGCGGGCGGTGCGGAGAAACAAAACACGGCTGACGGGGACAGACGTCACGGAAAGGCGCCTGAACATGAAAGTCGACAGAGACAGCTGCTCAATTGGAGTATGTCAGAGGATGGGAATATATGAAGGAGCGGAAGAACAGGGGTGCAGGGAAAGTCGGGTGGACAACGTTGAATTTGTAAAAAAGGTGACGGTACACTGCCGCCTCGGGGAAGCGATCGGCTCCCGGAGCCCAGCCTTGAGGTAGTCCCCCCGCCGCCCTGAGGCCGCTCCCTGAGCAACCCTGATCGCTCACCCCCGATGCTCCAGCTCGCCAACGTCGGCCTTTCTTTCTTTGTTTGACTTTCTCCGAAGATAAGCGCGTTGCTGCCTACGACCGTTCCCAGGAGCCCGGGCGAAGAATTGCCCGTTTGTCATCATGCTTCTACTCTCTAAGTTAGTGCTTACTTTCGAGCTCACCGTCTGTCGGCCATGATCTGACATTTCGTATGAGAAATGAATCTGCCGTGAATTCACTCCCTGTTGCCTTTCTCTGCTTCACAATGGTAATGCATGCTTCACTTGACCGAATTCTAAAAGACGAAAATTCGTCGCTGTCTCTGCCTCTATGCTCTGGATTAGTTCAGCCCCAGGACTGTCATTCATCACTATAGTCCAGCACAAATTCAATGACCCATAGGTCATATTACCCCACATGGAGCAGCTGGGAAGGCGTTGATAGCATGCCATAGTATAATTACTGTCTCCGCTGATCACGCGTCCATTTTAGACGAGAGTTCTTAGGAGCACTTCCTTTCGCTGGTATATTCCGGGTAAGGATGGTCCTTCAATTGGCTCCACGGCAGCTCGCAGTGGAGAAGAATCAGTTATCAATCCGGTGTGTTTTCGATTTTCCCAGTACTCATTTGCAGCTTGAGCAGAAGCCGATTCCTTGATCATATCTCTTCCCGCGGGATTGGGACCTCGATAAGCACCATGGTGCAAACAAATATAAATAGCCATGATATCCCTCATTTCACGAATCTCTGGAATACATCTTTCCTTTAGAATTTTCATCCTCGAGATCCTTGTTCGACAGCTCCCAGATCAAATTCCACTAACCTATCGTCACTATAATGACGCTAAATCATCAAAGATTTTGGCAACCGGCCGCGGAAATCTCTAGGGAATGCTCGGATAATGGTCCTGAAATTGGCACCTCTGAGATACCCGGTCAGTTCATTACTGTCGGGGAACAGTATAAGGGAAATAGCTACATGCTTTGGAAACACGGACAACATAATAGGGATGAAAAAGCGGACTTCGGTACGTATCATTCTTTAGGCATCTAATTTCTATTCTGGGTGATCTAACATAATCAGGTCAGTGTCGCAAAATGGCCAATCTGTCTAAGGAATTCTACTAGAAGCCTCTACTAGCGACGTATCAACCACTAATAATTACCCTAATTACCCTAAGGAGGTCGCACTCTACCCTTCCTCTCGATTTAGCAGCAGTCGTTCCGTGACCGGTCTAAATAGGCCTACGATATCAAGGATCTTTAACATATTTCACGATAATCTAATCAAACAAAGAAGCGAGCACGTGAATACGCAGCCTAGTGTAAGAGGAAAGAAGCGATCCTTGGAGGAATCGTATTCTCCTCAGAAGCGACTCTAGACCCGCTATTCTATCATTATAGATACGAAAATGTCGTCACGAGAAGAAGAGCCAGTCTAAAAGATAAAAGCCTATCCTAAGATAAGGAAGGCTATTCACATCTTTAGCGACCATGTTAGAGATATGACCACTAGATTCGATGACTCGATTGGAGATTAACTTTGCGGATGCTCAACAGATGTGATTTATATCAAACCATCATGTATATATAGAAGATTATATTGCCCTTCGCACAAGATTCTGTTTCTGACAGATTAGCAATCATTTTTCGAGCTATAGTCCGCGTAACTTCTTCTATCGGGTCTAATTCATGTCGAGGGCAAAGCTTGATTAACGTATATACTTTCAAAGTTTTATTCACACATAACTCAAACGTATATCGGGATTTTGTATCATGATAATTTTCCGTTTCGGTCCTTATTTTAAATTACTCTGATATCTTGAGACTAACATAGCTACACGGTCTCAGCAATAGATATGACACCCACGACATATCTTGGTCAAGGTCTGGCCAATACTCTGAGATCGTCTAAAAAGGGTTACTAGGATTTATAGAATAAATGGAGCCATTATATAGCTTTCTCAAAGTGGTTAGGTCTCCATGGCTCCTTTTTTTATATAAAAATGTCTTTTCCGGTACGCAGGCCAATGAAGAAAGTTAAAAGCGGCTTGGACAGCCTCCACAGGACCAGTACGAACGGGCTCACCACTCTCACCAAAGCTGGAGCTTGACCCAACAAAGCGCGATCTTTGTTTGCGCCAAACCTTTAGCGAAATGGGAACCGCGGAAAATCTAACTGATTATCACGTCTTTCTTGACAATGCAACTTTCCAGGCTAAACAGCGACAAAACCTGCTGGGATATATAGAGGGTATATTAACATTCCATATAACATAAAAATGCCAAGCAGTCAAGAAACTCAGAACTTAGTTCCCATCCATAGATCAAATCATTGACTTGTCTCAGGGTTGAAGATAGAGCTATGCATACAACTTCACATTCTGATTCTCCTGTAAACGGTTGGTTGATGTTTGTTATTAGATTTGGCGTCGACCAACACAATGGGTTTCTTCAGATGCGACGCGGGGTGTCAAATCTGCCGCGAGATCCTCTGAAAATGGTGACATCAAGATGTCGATCCAGATGATATCTTTTGCAATCTCAGTGAATTCGGAGGGTGACGGTTTGTCCATTGCAGACATTTCTCTTTTCATCTCCTGTACGTAGACGTCTCTTCCGTCATGGTATCGCAGTAAAGCAACAGTAACAAGAGCCCAAACTTTCAGCTCAATGTACATTTTCCCAAGCGTCTTTACATTCTGAGAGACAAATCCAGCAAGCCTAGCATGTAGTGAATCTTGCTCACTCGGAGGGAACGCGAATAATTCCTTCAATTTCGACATAAGCATAAGACATGTAAGTCGAATCAACTCTCTCGCGATAAGGTCTTCAGGGTCAGCCATGACCATGAAATCACTGGGGAGCCTTGGCATTGAGAGTAAAAAGTGAATGCAGGGGCCGATCATGCGGATTGCATCGATATCCTTCTTCCAGAATGATGCGCATCGGCTGTTGATATTGATCACATCCGCAATTGAGGAAACCATTCTTAATGCTTGACTAGCTGGGAGAAATGTGGGCGACATGGGTTGGACAAGTAAGGCTTGTAACCTAGGGGCAGGTAGTCTTGAAGATCTGTTGGATATGCCAACAATCTGTAGTGGGAGATCAAATCGCGGAAAGGAGTCAAAGACCATAGCACCAGCCAGATCGTACCTTTGCGAGGAGTAGTCAGAAGTGTTGTTCAGGGAATGACAAGGTTCAGAGTACTCACAGCAGTATGAGAAGGGCCATGTGACACCCGAGGTCGGCAAATCCACCACGTACGTTCGCTATGAGGCTCAGGCCATTCATGTGAATACTCCAGCTATCCCAATCATAGTGTCGTATCTATAGAAAGAGTTATTCAAGAGCTCAAAGTCGAGAAGGTAGCACATACAGCGAGACAGACATGGGCCAATATGTTGGCAATGGCCCCTTCACTAATACTCTCTGTGAAGTTATTAAGACGATGTCTCAATTTCCTTGTTGAAGCTCCATAATGACTCAAAGCCTCCGGACTTTTCACACTGCTGTTGCCACTAATAGTATTTAAGGAATGGGCAGCGTTGCCGAGAGTCACATGGAATGCCCCGGGGTCGCATAGTGCTATCTCAATCCAAATAGTTCTGAGTGGCTGGTAAGGGGCTGTTACGACTAATACAGAGCAACTATTAGTAGATGAGACGAGCCAGAATCCACCGCGAAAGCTTGGAACTCTTACCAAAGTGCAGAAGTTCGAGAGCGCGAGTATCAGCCTGTACAGGGAAGTGAGCGAGCATAGCTAGGCTTTGGCTGGGTGAAAAGCGGTTTATATTTGCGCCGCGGAGCTGAGAGATTTCGTAATCGCTTGACTCCGAAGAAGATGTTCGAGTGGCTCGCGAGGTTTCTTTGGGTTGTGGGCGTCTCCGTCGTTGGCCTATATCCTTCATAACATGACGACGGATCTCCGTTCGTACCTCTTGTTGTCGATGTAAGTCATCTGGATGAGATAGGTTTATGAACTTGAGATCTTGAGTTGGCGACGGTTGGACGCCTGTCAACTTTCTTGCCAACATTCGTGGTCCATGCGGGGGATGGGTGGCGATAATCTGCGCATCCAGTATCGGTGGCTCAGCAACCCTACTCTTCCAGTCTAAATTATCCATAGTTGTTTGCAGTGATAGGATCAACTGGTTTGTCCGTATGACTTCTCAACGTAGTGTGGCTGACTAATGTTCCATGTTGTCGATGCAGGATAGGTGGATACCCGGAGAAAGGAGATAGTTAGTTACTGTACATCCGCCAGGATTAGTCATTTAGTAGGCCCGATCCAAATTGCCAGTGAGGGCCTTGTTAGCAATTCAGATCTGTTGATATCTTATTGGTGCACCCGTATGTCCCACTTCCCTCTATTCCGACTAGAATGGATGGACTGAGGGCGCAGCCCTAATAACTCACAACACAATGTCTGGAAACGCGCCTCCTGATCATTTATTTCCTATTGAGTGATACAAAATCTCAGGGGCTCAAATATAGAATACTGGAGTAAATAATACGTCAAAGGCACGTTTGGCACGGACATGCAAGGTTCAAGCAGAGCTACAGGAGCAGTATATTAAAAGTGCAAGTCAACGAACGTGTTTATTCTAGATGGACTGAGACTAGCAAAGATCGACTACTAGTCACGGCATTCGCTCTTTCTCTTGTGTTTGGAGAAAAGCGCCATGACTCAACACTCTGCTAGATTGTTTAGAGCTTGGCGTCGAGATCCTCTTGACGCCAAGTCAGCGAAATAAAACGCAATCAATCCCTTCCCCGCGTACATTTCCATGTCAAAATAGATCTCAGAGCGATTGTGAAGATACTTCTCAGCAAAAGCCAGCATCAAAGCTGGTCAATCCACTGAAGAGCAGTCTCAGGATCCAATCGGGGATGGTATTCAGGATCCAAAAAGGAATTGCGTACAATTCCCTTCTTATCAACAAGGAAAGTTGCAGGAACCGGAAGCTCCAGGTCATCATTGCCATACCGCTGGTTCCAATCCACGCCAAACTTGTCGAAAACAGTCCGCATAGATTCAGGCTGAGGGAACAACAGGCCGAGCTGCTTCGCCAGCCGATTGCCAATGTCCGAAAGCACAGAAAATTTCAACGATAATCTCTCGGATGTAGACAAAGATTGATCAGGTAGCTCTGGAGACACAGCTACCAAAGTTACGCCTTTCTGGTTAAACTCGTCCACATGGGCTTGTATCGCACACAACTCGAGGTTACAGAAGGGACACCACCCACCCCGGTAAAAGGATACCAGGATGGGCCCTTTAGCAAGGAGATCATTCAATGACACTTTGATACCGGTTGCATCGCTCAACTGAAATTGTGGAAAGGCGCTCCCCGGCTGGATTGCTCTGGCAGGGTCGTAAACGCTTTTGAAATTGCTAACTGCGTCATTGAAGACACTTCCTTCGGGGCGGTTTCAAGAAACTCGTTGTAGATAGTGGACAGTTCTTTGTTGAGGGCCAATGAAATAAATGGAAGCAAGGGTTGGAAAAGAGTCGATAGATTTTGTGGTGATGTAGCAAATGATTTTGTCAGAGGTAAAATGCACATATTTAACCCCTCTAGATGGGCTACAACTCGTAAGCCGAATTCCATTTATTAATTTGAAAGCCGAAGTCCGACATGGCCCAAATTCAGGGAATGGGCCAGGACCTTGCGACTAACCAGACACAACCAGACAAAGAGAAAGCTGTGGTAGATTGGCACACAATAGGGCAGTCGTTGAGAGGGATGCAAGCAATGTAAGACTATGTTCCCGATTGAGAAACCAGTGATTAGTCCAGCCTAACCGCATACGGATGTCGGTCCTCCCTGTTATCAAGAGCCCGGCGCAATTTAAAGTTCAATCGTACAAATTAAGTGGGTCCTCATCTGGCTCCACATGCGGGAAGAGGCTAAGCGCACCTGATTGATCAGCAATCAAGTGATAACGCACTACGGAGTACAGAGTACAGTATCGACATTCGCGAGATTTCTCCATGGATAATTGCCCTAGATCATTCCATTCTTACCAAGCGATCGGCAACGGAAAGGCGGATTATCAATCAGGAATCCAGGATTACAGCGGAGTCATGTCTAATGACGCGTTGTTCGGTCAGAAGTTGGAAATATAGATAGACTGGCTTTAACAAGAGCTTCAAGTATTGAGAGAATATTTAATATTAAATCATTGGAGTCCAACAAAATCCAATAACTTCTTTTGTTGAAGTGAATTCGTCAGAATCGGCCATAATCTCTATCTACGGCAGAAAACATATACTCCGCAATGTCGCGACTTATTGTTATTCTCGGTATTACCGGTGTGCAAGTAAGTTGTAATTGCTCTTTATATATAATTTCTCGAGATGCCCCCCGGTTAACTGACACCAAAGCTGCAGGGAAGCTCTGTCGCCGATGCTTACCTTTTAAGTCCGGGTTGGAAGATCCGTGGTGTGACACGCAATGCTGCCTCTGATAGCGCAAAGAAATGGGAGATGAAAGGCGTTGAGATGGTCGAAGGTGACCTGGATGATGTGGAGTCCTTGAAACAAGCCTTCGTAGGAGCCGACATTATTTTCGGTGTCACCGACTTCTGGACAATCTTCAAAGACCCAGAAAGCCTCAAGAAGAAGAAGCCCAGCCAATCGCTCGTGAAATATTGCTACGACGTCGAGCTCCAGCAGGGAAAGAATATTGCCGATGCTGCGGCCACTGTTCCTAGCCTATTCCGATATATCTTCAGCTCAATGGCCCATGCGAAGAATTCCAGCAACGGCAAGTTCGCTGAGCTTTATCACATGGACTCTAAAGCAGACGCAGGAATCTATGCACAGAGCCTCTCAGCCCTGGCTGGAAAATTCTCGCAGGTTCAGGCACCCATTTACTTCCAGCTCCCTTGGGAGTGGGGACTTCCTACAACGCCGAAGAAAGTATGAATAAATGAATCGTTGCGACTTTTTTGAATCACACTTCCTGGAATATTGGGAGGTATTGACTCGTTTCATAGGTAGCTGATGGCACGTGGCGAATGGCAGGAATTGGCCCAGGTAACAAGGGTATTCCGTTCGGACACGTCCGCAAAGATTTCGGTCCCTGCGTCAAGGCTGTTGCTGAGTCCGAGCCTAATGTCAACCTGTTTGCTGTTGGAGAATACGTGTCGTGGTCCGATTATCTCCGAATTTTTTGTGAAACCCAAGGTTTCAAGTATGGTGGCTATGACGAGCTTTCCTATGATAAATTCTGCGAGTTGCTTCCCGGAGGTCTTGGTCACGAATTCGCTCACAATGTACTATTTGCTCATGAGTTTGGGTACGAAGGTATTGACCCTGCAGTTGTACGACCAGAGAAGGTATGTAATATCCTATTCAGACTTTCCAGTCTTATTTCCGCTCTGAGAGATAATTGACCCTTTTTATAGCTTGGTCTGAAAATGACTTCGTTCCGTGAATATTGTCAAGAGACTGATTTCGGGGCACTGAATGGTGGGATGTGAGACAGTGGGGCTCGTCTGTTTGAATGCGACATTTCAATCTTCACTGAAGATGGCTTTCGTGGGATCTTACAGCACTAACTGAATACCGAGAATTTCGTTAGTATTCAATATCTCCAAATGAATACCCCACATATTGAGTCGATTATTGTAGAACTTTAAGATTGTGCGTGGCTCGAAACAATTAAGCTTCAGTTTGAAAAGGTAGCCGCATTAGAGAGCACATTGGCCACCAATGAATGCTCGTCACGAGAGAATTTTGGACACTGTGGCTTGGAGCAGAACATCAGAAATATAAGTACCCTTGGCTTTTTGCGGGCTTAATACATTATATCCTAAGAAACATTCTCTGCTTTCTGGAGCCAATAAATTTCAAGTGGCCCTTAGTGTAATGCCAAAGTCATTTTTGCACTTCCTAGGAGCAATGTTCAAAAATCCGCCATGTCCATTTCCGTTCTCATGGCAGGCTGTACATTATCTCTACAATAGCTATTCTGGGAAGCACAATTTGGCTTGTCTCACTGCGACCGGCCAGATCACCATAATATTCAGCGGCCCTGTACATACAGAATTAAACACAATACCGTCATCGTACAGTAATCATATTCGGTTGTCCTCGTGAAGCTCCATCTGCATACCATCAACCTTTACGTCATGTTGTCAGCTAGATAAAACCTCAGTAGAGCATTTTTGGCAAATTACCTGTCATAGCTTATTCGTGGACTAACTATAGCCTAGGAACTCTGTATAAATATCAGTTGGGCAGGAGCAAATCTAGAGATCTGAGGTTGGAATCAGCCATCTTTCTTGCTTGCATGACAGAAATGCTTCGTCCTTCACAAGCGCTTCTGGGTAGATGCTTAATTTGTCCCGGGAAATATACATTATCACCTCCAAGCATGAGGCATACAGTCACAAGCTCAAAGATCGATAAAGACTAATCAAAGCTGGGTAGCGATTTAGAATATAAATGACCAGTTTCTCTACCATTTTATTCTGAAATGCAGTTCTTCTGCCTCTATTCAATGTCAGCAAATCAATAAACACCGTAGAGCATGAATGAGTCTGCATTTGATCTATCAAGTCTTCACTGGCTAACAAACCACACCAAGTCCCATGCAAGTATCTGTAGTGTTTGAATCGATGCGGAATTCCCGATGCGTCAGACCTTCGCCTGGCCTACATTTAGTTGGGGCGTGTACTATTAGTTAATTCTATACATTAAGGAAATGGTTAACTATAAAACAATGTATTTTAGTTCTTAATGGGCTAAGTTATTTGTCGATTTTAAAAAGGTGAAAAGACCAAAACAAGGGAATTATGATACCACATCACTCTCTGGAGTAGCTGGCCAGAAAGCCGATCACGTTTGTGACTGAGTAGATGACCAGGTAACTGAATAGATAGGTGACTGAGCAATGAATTTGGCAGTAGGTAGAAGGAAGGCCTCAAGTTATCATGACATAGCCGAGGTGACATTTTTGGCGTCGAAATTGGCACTATGTTCGATGAAGGTCTTGTTCTGAGTTATCTGAGCGAAACCATGCCAGGAGTATGGAAGCTTCAATATCTTTAAAAAGTTTATTTCGCCCAGATCTCTCAAAGCTAAGGCTATCAGCGAGACATGGAAGAATGGCTCACACCTAGAGTCTGTGATTCTAGCTATCTGAAGGGTCGAAGAAAAAGAGAAAGCCACTAGCTTGCAGTGACCACACACACCCAAGTCAATTGTGCTAGCTGGACATATGCCTGCTTACTTATTATGAGTAGATGTCTTTTATATCAGCTTCTCATGGGTGGTAACACTCCGTCTTGGCTTCGGGTATTTCTTTGGGTGGCTGGAGGCGTCCCCATTTATGCTGTTGTTGTGATTGCTACTAAAATTAGCATGTCAGTTTCAGATCCATGAGAATGGGGTGACACTTTAGCTCAGGGAATAATCTTACCAGACAAAGTAATCGGAGAGGCAGTCGCAAAGATAGTCGAGGAGGCGGGCTTGAAGATCGCAGATGAGAGTCGCGCAAAAGTCCCCTAAATCGATAAACAGGATGAGATAGGAAGATTTAAAATTTGTCCAGGAGCTGATAGAACGAGCTAGGACTTGTGCCAGGCACTGTTTACCCAAGTGAGGCGCGTCTGGCCCAGCGTGGGCGGGAGACGGGGTAGAGGACATCCTGTTTGTTTATTAGTTCATAGTTTTATCCGCATAGTAAATAAGTGTAGAATACTGGAAACAATGATAACTTGATACCTTGAAATGAAGCGGAAATCCAGGCAGGGCCTTGGTGGGTTGACGAGAGGTCGAATTGTTGTTGCTGTGAAGGGCACCTGGGCTGTCCAATCAATCATGATATATGACAGTACAAACTGGAACTCATCAATGCGAAAACGGCCTGCCACTATATCTTAACTTTTGTTCGCAGGCAATGTGTGTTCTTTTAAGATGTTCTGCGAGAACATGAGTCCATTGTAGGTACGGTAAAGTACGCTGAGTCGAGGGCATGACCCTTCGCCTGTACATAAAACCAACCGTAAGTCAGCCCAAACATCAAAAATCGACTACATGTCTAGAGATTACCAGAACCAAAGTACTCATTCACTTTTTTTGTATTTCATATTCGGCGTCTAGTAGCGCCATGCAGAGTTGAGATGGGTCTATGAACTGTGACATCAAGCATGAATCAAAATGGTATACACGTAAAGCATCAAAACACCAATTTTAAACGCCAGAACCACGCTGGATGCCAGAACAAAAGAAAAAGAAAACACAAAAGGTATATCCCAAAAGAACCAGGAAGTATCCAACCTGTCCCCTACAAGCGCCGAACCGGAAAAGCCCAACGACGAGGGATCCAGCCCTGAAAAGGTGACGCGGGGTAGAGGTGTAAAATAAATCACAACATTAAATCGGCATAGGACCTGGTTTTTTGCTTCTTTCAACAGATCGAGAAAAAGCAATTAGATGTTCGGAAAAAAAGTTTAGATGGAGGGAGAGCCACCGACAAGGTCGACGATCTTGCTGGCCACTGCAGAGGGGTATCCACGCGACATCATCTCCTGGACGATGACGGTGGCACTGGCGTGGTCGTCGGCAGTGAGGAAAGCGCGGGTCATAGCCTCGTAGGTGCTAGGCTCGCGCTTCTCAAGACCAATGCTGTCGTAGATGGCCTTGGCCTTGGAGACGTTGCCCTCGGTGGCCCATCCATGGATGAGAGTGTTGGCGATGTAGGCGGTCATCTCAACGTTGCGCTGCATCATGTTCTTGACGACGTCCTCGGTTTCAGCGACACGGTTGTTGGCGACCATGGCCTCGAAGAGAGCCTGGTACATGCAAGGCTGCGGGCGCACGCGGCGGTCGGAGACAACGGAGTCAAAGACCTTCCGGGCGGCGGGCAGGTCGTGCTGGACACAACCCTGGGCGTGGATAAGTGAGGCGTAGTGAACGGCATCGGGCTGCTGACCGGCGGCCTTCATTGATTGCAGGACCTTCTCCGCAGCAACCATATCAACCGGCTCGAGCGAGGCGTGAGCATCAATGAGAAGCTTGTAGGTGTGCATAGTGGGCTTGATGTTCCGGGATTGCATGCGCTCGTAGTAGGCCAGGACCTTGCTGCGGTCACGCTTAGTGTTCAGGAAGTACTGGATCATGGAGTTGTAAGGAGCCGGGCGGGGCTTGTAGTTGGGCATGGACTCCATCTCCTCGAACATCTCCTCGGCGAAACGCTCATCGCTGACACGGCAAAGGGCGTTGACGATAGTACCATAGGTGACACTGGTCGGACGGACGTTGTTGGCGCGCATCTCAGCAAAGTAGGCGAGGCAGTCGTCGATACGGCGGGCCTTGCCGAGCTTTCCGATGAGAGCATTGTACAGGAAAGAAGTGGGCTCGACTCCCTCGGCAACAGCACGGTGGAAGATCTTCAGAGCCTCGGTGGCCTCGTCGAAGGTCTTCGTCGACTCCTTGAGGGTGGTGATGTACAGGCCAAAGGTGTTGGCAGAAGGCGCAGATCCCAGACCCAGCAGTTGCTGGTGGAACTGGCCTGCCAGGTGACGGTCACCGAGGGTGAGACAGGCAGCAACCATAGCATCCAGAATCGAGACCCAACCGTACTGGACGGCGTTGTAAGCCGGGTTGAGAGGAACGTCGACACGGGCCATATCGTGGATCTCCTGAACCAGCTCCATACGGCCGATCTTAGCAGCGGCAGTGATCATTTTCGCATACGTGATGTAGCGAGGGTGACGACCAATGCGGCGCATGTTCTTCAAGCGGATCAACGACTCGTTGAGGTGAACATCGGCTCGGCCAGTGGTCTTCTCAAGCTCTTCAGCGATGAGAGCAGATCCACGGAAGTCGGTGGCATGAGCATACGGGTCAAAGGAATCAGGGCTCGAAGGGGTCGTGATCGAAGTGTCAGCCGCTGAGACGGGACTGTGGCGCTCAGAGACCAGAGAGCCCTGGCTCGACGCATCTAGATGATCCTGCCACCTCTTGGCGATCTCGGGATGAGTCGCGAAAAGCTTGGAAACGGCCTGGTCAATCAAACTGGAAGTGTAGGCATCCAACGGGAGCGAACCCGACAGGGCGACGTCGAGCATGTGGGCAAAGCGGACGGGGTGAGCAACATCGAACACCATGGCACTGTTGCTAGCGAGCATGCCAGCCTGGACCTGGAGAGCGAGGGTGAGATCAGCAGGGCCCATCTGGGAAATCCCCATGGGGCCCAGGCTAGCGACAGCATGCTCGGCGAGAGGAGACACCAGACCGCCATTCTCGACCATCGACCACAACAGGGTCATGCAAGCTTGCGGCGAGAGAACAGCGGCCGTCTGCATGAGGACACGACCGAAGAGGTGAAGAGACTCGGTGACCTGTTCTCTGGTGGCGGCGCCGACAGCAGTCTGGTTAAGAGAGGCCTTGCGAATACGAGTGAACATGTTGCGGGCCTCATGGAGACCCTCGTCGACATGACCGCTCTTGAATTGCGCTACCGCATACATAGCGGTCGGCTGCACCATATCCGGGGTTGCCTGACCCACCGTGTTCAGCATGATCCACAAGGAACGGGCCGCTGAAACATTGCCCCGGCGAATGTGCAGGGCGAGGAGGGAGATGGCGGGCTTCTGGCGGATGGCAGGCGCGGTCGAAAGGCGATCGTAGGCCTCGGAGGCAGTGGTGAGATCGCCGGCATCAGCCGCGGTCATGCAAATCTGGGATATGGCCTGATCGCGGGCCTCATCATGCAATTGCTCCTTGGCTTGCTCCAGCGCCTTGCCGTACTCGCCGGCCTTGAGCGACTGTTGCACCAGACCGTCCTGCACAATAACCTCTTCGATAGCCGCCCATCGGCTCTCGCGCTCGGTCACTTCGTCAAAGGAGGAGCGAATCCGGTCAAGGAAGTGCATGGCACCGTCTTCCTTGCCGCAGGTCATGTAGGCTCGGATCACGGCGGCATAAACTTCTCCATCCAGACGCTGGACAATGCTGAAGACTCCGCTGTCGTCAGAGACAGCAAGAGAGCGGTACTCATTGTAGCATTCGACCGCGCTCTTGAGGTCACTGACGCCGGCGAAGGCATCGATCATGAATGGGAAGATAGATGCATGCGGGGTGACCTTTTGCTGTTCCATGTGAGAATAAATCCGGATCATATCCTCCATGTTACCCTCGCGGGCACAAGCAATGATCAGCTGACGGTAAAGGTCGACGGGGAAAGCCAGACGCGAGTGTCGAGATACGGCGGTATCAAATAGCTTCACGGCGATGGCAAGAGAGTGGTCCTCGGCCAGGATGTCGCGCTCCAGCTCGCTGGACTGCAGCATGAACTTGCCGGGCTCCTCCATGCCACCATAGCGGGTGCGCTCCTGCTCCAGAACCTCCTTGGCATTGATCGTTTCATGTGCCTGGGTAACCAGCAGTTGAACGAGCGTCTGATAAGTGTCTTCGTCGGGAATTACCCTGCGACGGAGCATATCAGAGTACACGTCCAACGCCTTAGGAATTGCCTGGGTCGTCTCGGGGTGCAGGCGAATGGCAGCGACGAGAAGGGCGTTGTATGCCTCCACAGTCGGAGTCAACCCACCACGAAGCACAGCTTGGAAGGCCATAGGAATGTCGGCATACTTCTTCTCCACACACAGCTGCACAATTTGATTCGAAGCGATCTTGGTCGCCTCAGATGCGGCATCGGAGAGAACAGATTCCTCGACCGCAGATTCGGCCGCGGTTTCGTGTCCTTCAGTTGCCTCCTCCGCTTGTGCTTGCTCCTCCTGAATCTGAATTTCCCGGGCGACAGCCTCCTCTACTTGAGCGCTGACATTCTCGTTCACGGCGGCCTTGGTGGGATGGGGCGGTTCGGGCGAGGCGGTGCGTTCCTCCTTGGCCTCTTCGATGTCCTCGGCGGAGGGTTTCCAACCAATGCGACGCTTGAATTGGAACTGTCTCCAGTCGCTGTCATCGCCGGTCTGCTGGGCATGTTGCCAGGCGGCGTAGTAGGCGGCTAGACCGAAATCACCGTTACTCGAGCCACCCTGGCTGGCCTTGGCGCCGGCGCCGGACGAGCTCGACGCGTTGAAGGCATTTTGCAGTTGGGTGCGGGAGAATTTGGCGGGTTGGGAGGCGATGGAGTTGAAGGTGGTCGACGACGCGTAGGTGGACTGCGACGCCGCCACTACCGACTGAGCATAGCCATGGGTGAAGGCTTTGGTGAAACTCTGGCGCGCGAGGTGGGTGAATGGCTTGAAAACCATTTATCTTGCGGGAGACCTCTTCAGAGTGAAGAGGCAATGCTAGAGGCGCGCTCAGTTAGTATTGATTCACGAGACAGGCCGCGCAGGGAGGAGGCGCGTGGTCGGACATCAGCAGCCGGCATACCTTGCACTCAGAGTAATAATTTAGATGCAGGCTCATTGAACGACCCTCAGTCGCCAATGAACGCGCGAATGCGATAGGATGGGAAGGGTTGGTTTAGAGGGGAAAAGACCTGGAGTGAACCGGTCTTTTTCGGCAGGTGGTGTGATAATGGGAAGAAAAGCGAGTAGGGGAAAAGGAAGCCTAAAACCCCAGCGGAAGCCTGTCAGAAATAATGGCGGAAATCGGATTCTGGAAGGAGATGGAGTCGCACACTGGGAGTGGACCAGTTTCCTTAGGGCCGATCTTCTCCGGAGAATCCTCTGGATGTACTCAGTACTTTCCACCAGTGCCAACGGGGCTAATTACGGTAGGTTCTTTTTACAATCGCCCTGTCTCCTCGAGGACGGGGCGCGTACACGGTACAGCCACAGGCCGCCCTTTCTCTGCGCAGTCCCGACACGTCAATCCTCGGAGCCCCCCGCGGGCTTGTATGTATGTACAGTACTTGGGAGGCAAGTACATTCAGTCGAGGCAGTGCACGCCGCGAGTACCCGTGGGAGATGTACTCCCGCTGGCATTGCCCCGGTTCCTGCCAGCAGGTCAGCTGGCCCAGAGGGAAAAACAGGCCCAGCAGCCAATCAGCGGGAGTGGAATGGCGACTAGTGAACCATGAAAAAGGGGGGTTCCTGGATGAGTCACGTCGTTTCCGATTCTTTTTCTTGCGCAGGCTCTGCTGCCCGTCGGAGGTGCAACCCCTTTCCCCGGCTCGGCCTCCCGGTTGGCCCGACGGGCTTAACGGCGATTGGCACTCCGGATACGAGCAGCTTTCTAAACATGATCAGAGATGAGATTTGTTCGATTACAATATGAGGCGTTTGAATCACGTGTAGGGCATGGGATTTTTTGGCATGTGTCTTGCCAGTTGAAGATGTCTCCAGTCTATCTATCCATATACAGCGTATACATTCAGAATATTGTATACACCTCAAGTATCCAAAAAGTACCAGAGCTAACCCTTGGTGTTTAGTGTGTTAAGGAGTAGTGTTCGGAGCACGGAGAACTTCGTCCGAGTCCTAACACCGTTTTCCTGAAGACGAAACACTGGCTGCGAGCTGAGACAACGCTGTGTCCGCTGACTAATACAAACATTCAAAGTTTCAAAAAAGCATAAGGTCACGTGGGGCAGTTTGTGTGAGTTTGTCTTGGTTTGTCCGAGTTTGCTCTGTTTGTCTGAATTAGCTGTTTGCCTGACAGGAAGAACCGTGGTTGCACCCGTCTATGACAGACAAAGCCCTCTAGTCTACACCCATTCTGATGTCAAGACCAACAGAACTAGAACAATCGACAAGTCAGTACGAAATAAGAGGAAAGCCGGTTTCCTCAAATATGAAAATATGATTTCTTGGTTCTCCAATCCCCAACGGCTGGTCACTCGGAATGACTGGCTGATCAGAGCGACAACACACCCGTGGGCCTGCCCAGCTTAAGTATCCCGAGTCCAGTGAGCAGCCACTGGGACCAAAGTACTGTTCGACTGTGCCTACATTTCGTTGCATCCGCGTCGCCCAATATGAAGAACCGCAGGAGTAGAGACCGATCTGACGTCAGCCAGTTCTCGTTGATAATCGTCGACGCTCGGACATCTGCCCAGAGACTTTGCGCTGCCGATCGATTCCCGCGTCCCGTGGTCCCAGCTTGATCATCGCGGGGGCGGAGGGGAAGGCGACATGGAGAGGCCTGACGCTTTGCAAAACAGTGTTGGTCAGGATTCATTTTGCGGTTGGAATCTGTCACTGGCCTACCATTGACTTATTTAGCCACCTTGCGACTGAATTCGAATTCAAGGAATCGATTCGATATACATATCGGTGCAGCAACCCGGCTCTATTCGATTCGCTTTTCGATCCGACTAGATATCACACAATATGATAGACATGTGTTACATCCCCGCATGTATCACACAGCTCATCGGAATCCTCCGCGAGGCATTTGTAAATCATAGACGATGAGGTGCGAAACGAGTCCAGGCTATCAACATCGGTTCCACCACGAAGGCCCGTGTCAAAGGCCATGAGCAGACGGGGTACCGCAAAGGAAGGGACCTGCATCAGATCATCCTGGAGTGAATTCAAGTGAACCCTTGTCCGACAATAGCCCGTCAAAATAGAAAATTGTCCAAACTCAAAAGGTACCAAACCCTCCAGGGTCCATACAATGAAGTATAATTAGCATGACTCACAAGCGGGTTGATATGTATACGAAGTAACCTGCCCCAATAACCCTAGGCAGGTAACCGCATTGATGATACCTCAGGAGGAAAGAGGTCTCGCCCGTCTTTACATCATTTGTTGGTCTTGAGGTGGTTGGCGACGTACATCTGTGATTTAACAGATTTTTTTGGGGATGGTTTGGTCCACTGTACTCCACTCCATGCGCCGTGTCCAGGATTGCATCATAGGTCATGCCCGCACTGTTGATCTCCAAGCCCAGCGGCAGACAGTTGCTACCGTACGTTTCATCAGTTCCTGGCGAGATCCAAAGCGCAGGATGAGATCCACCATTTCCACAAATTTCGCACGCTACCAAGCCATCGACGCCTTTTCGAGGCATTGGCGTCTCATCTGCATGCGCGTACCGATATATAAAAGTGGTGCCATTCTGCACTAAACCTCTCCATCGGCTAAACGCCTGGCGGGAAACGACGGGCGGAAAAGAAGCAATGCCAAGTAAGTCCGACGGACACTGCCAGAATCAGCCAAAGCCCCGCAATCCACGCCTTTTGTTCGGCACCCGGAATCGACATGGAGCATTCTGCCTTATTTGGCGGCCACGTGATGCCGGAAATACGGGATGGCGTCAGGGTCCGTGACTCGGATTGCTTTCGCCCTACGCCGATCATCCCGTGGAGACAAAAAGGTGGGTCCATACTTCGTTATTCAATCAAGATTCAAAATGACAGTTCAGATTCGAAGCCTACCCGTTAGTCCACTCCCAGAGACATGGCCACATGGCCCGGCTAGGCTTGGCTTAAGGATTTTTATTGCATTTTTTCAATTTTATCTTCTTTTCGTGAGGATTCCCGAGGAAAGGAAGGTTTCGAGAAGCGGCCTCAACCGCCATCTAGGGTATACTTCTCCCAAACTCCCGCGTGGCTAACACCAGGAGTCAGTGTGACCTGAACATGTAAGGACATGGAATAGAGCGACTAAGAAGATAGGCCTGCGTAGTGTATACTAGTCGGCTAGGGTGCCTTACATATGGTAAAAAAGAAAGGGAAAGAAAGGGAAAAAAAAAAAAAAAAAAAAAAAACGGGCCTGCAGTAGAATCCGTGACACAGAGAGGGGTAGCTTGCAGAGCCACTAGGAAGTTCTGCATGAAGCTTTGGAGGGGACTGCAAGCCCCCCGCGCTTTATAGTGGCTCCCCAAGGTGATATGGGCTCATGTACGATGATGTCCAACCGTCTAGGCCACGCCCAGGGCTCGCCAATTGCTATGGCCATTGCGCGCGGCAGTCAGCAAAGAGTATTCATCGTCGAGCCACTAGAGCCGGTGGGTCTAGATCGTCGCTCCCATGACGATACTCATTTCCTCGCAAGGACCCTTCCCGCGTCATCCGTACCTGGCAATGTCGCGTTCGTGCTAGACCGCTCTCTAGGGCCCAACCGATGCGGCCTGGAGAGATATTGCAGTTAACGCGATGGCAAAGAAGCCTCATCCAAGGCTCCTCAGAGTCTGGTTCTCCGAAGCCATCACCACAAAATTGCTAACCACCCTTGTTCGGCCTCTTCGTCCCGTTCGGCGCGAGCCACTGCCGGGCTATCCGGTATGAGCTTCCCTGTCCGGTGACAATCCACATTGTGGCTACTGACCGCTCACGGTCTGCTTGGCGAATGATTTTTCCTTTGGGAAATCGTGGAGAACGAGGATCGGAGAGAGCGCGCGCTGCTTATAAATTGCGCTGGGCCCCCAGGATGCGGTGCGAAAGGCGCATATACACACCGGCCCCCCTCATCCCACCTTTTTCCCCTTTAGCTCCGGAAGCTACTACTCATACACCCTCCTGTACAGCTTCATTTCTTTACAAAGCTACCTCCATCATGGTCTCGCAAACACTCGTGGAGACGCCGCACCATCCTGGGCGCACCGGCCGCGGCTCTGAAAGCGATAGCTCTCTCGATGAGATCGCGACCGAGAAGCAGAAGATTTTTGTGTCCGCGCTGGGCAAGCATGGAAAGGACCTTGACAATTCGGCGTCGCCGAAGCGCTGGAAAAGCTTCTGGACTTCATTCCGATACCTCGCCAACTTGACCCCTAGGCAAGTCGACGATTTCATGGCCTCATATGTTATCTACAACCTCGATTGGTCAGATGAGAAGCAGATGACCGAGACCTTGGGCCCCAATTATCAGGAGAAGGTTGGCGACTGTTTGAAGTCGTACTATGGAGTGCTTAACCACCTTTGCGCCTTGGGAGACGTCGAGAAGATGTACATCCCTCCCTGGATGAGTCGCAAGTCCACTGTCCTGGAGAACCAGATCCTCTACGAGCGCTCAATTGCGCAAAATATTGGCCTGTCTGCCGGCAGCAAGGTCCTTGATCTCGGCTGCGGTCGTGGTCGTGTCGCCGCGCACATGGCACAATACTCCGGGGCGCAAGTCACCGGCCTGAACATCGATCCAAACCAAGTCGCGCAAGCGCAAAGCTTCAACGAGGAGCGCGGCCTGCAGAACACCTTCGTCCAACAAGATTTCAACAACCTGCCTTTGCCCTTTGCGAACGAGAGCTTCGACGCCTTCTACCAGATCCAAGCCCTGAGTCTGTGCAAGGACCTGCCGGCGCTCTTCACCGAGATTTTCCGTATCGTCAAGCCCGGCGCAAAGATATCCCTGCTGGACTGGATCAGCCTGCCGGCATACGAGCCGACCGACCCGGAGCATGCAGAACTGATGGGGCGGGTGAAGCCGTTGATCGGGGCCGTCGGCACCCCCACCCAGGAGAGTTTGGAGCAGGCGCTAACCCAGTCGGGCTTCGAGATCGTGAAATCCGAGAACGCGAGCATCGACGGTCTGCAGGCCCCACTAATCGACACCGTCGACCTGTACTTCCGCACCCTGCGCCAGTGTATCCTTGCCCTCGTCAAGCTGCACGTTTTGCCCCGCCACTTCAAGACCCTCATCAACCGCCTCTGTCTCGACGGACAGGCCTTCGTCAAGATGGATAACATGCGCCTGGCGACAACGAGCTACAGCATCATTGCGCAGAAGCCCAAGGCATAAATACGGGGTCATTGTGTGATGGATTTGTGATGCATACTATAATCCCTTTGTGTCGGTGTGGGGCTGGTCGTTTGGTGGTGTGATAGGAGACAGCCTGGTGTTGGCCTGACGGATTATCGCAGATATCCGATCAACTCGGATAGACCTTTAATACCCGTCGCGCCATGAAAACCTGGCTGTGTTCATGTTACGCGATGCAATCTTTCGCGAACGCGTGTTCGTCACTCCCTACCAGACTGTCTCTCGGCTTCGGCTTGCCGAGGCGACCCCAACCTCGGTCCCGGCTTCCTTTGCAGATTGGCCGAGCCAGACTCGGACCGTCCTCATCATACAAATACCCTGTACACTAATAAAACATTAGAGAGCTTGGGAGTTATGGCTTATTTTTTTTTTTTTTTTTTTTTTTTTTTTTTTTTTGGTGCTAGGTCTGGCATTTTACGATCATTGCAATTTGCGCTGGCAGCAGTTTATGGAGTTATTTCGGATAAACCGAGCATATTGCATATTGACATATCCTTGAAATCATAAGACGAGATAAAATTGCGACTGAAGTACACTAAGTGTGGAAACGACAAAGCGACCCTTGTAGTCACCTGAAGAACCAGCAAGGAGAGAAATTTAATACTCAAATCTTGAAAGATATGGATGGGCGAGTGCACCGGCTTATCAGATCATGACCAGAGCGGCAACTTCTGGTACTCACGCAGGGCAAACGCTGAGCGGCTCCTAGGGGCTGAACTCAGCCCGCTGTTCATTTCATGAGAAATGTGGCTTGAATAGAATGATTGCCAACTGACCACCTTGCGCCTAAAGAGGTTACGTCGTCGATTACGTTTTCGAGAAAACGTGCCGGGAGCAACTACCCTGCGGTACGTTGCACTAGTGTAGAAGCTGGGAGCAGCTATATCGCGGATTGGCAATTAGTTTCCGAAAAGGTCTTGAACACTGTTCAATCAATTGTCTCCAACTTGCGCAAAAAGATGAGCAATCAAGCGCCACAAAAATACTTCAAAGACAACACTTGATTCTCAACTGACTGAAATCGGAGAGGCTTTTCCTTTGGGATGTAGCGATGGACTGTAGCCTTATCATATCACATGAGATGTATTGGGCGCTTCTAGAACCGATGCTACAACCGAAATTGCTACCACAACCCCCACGGCAATATTGTTCCCCCGAATCGATTAGCTACGAACTAGATGGGAACCCTTAGGAATGTACTTCAAGGTAGGGACCTGAAGATAAGGGCGGCATGCGGTGGCCAGATCCCATAGCTTTCTTTGTCGGATCTTCTGTCTATTAAGTAATTGTTAGGGGTCTTGTAGAAACCTTAGTCTGAAGCCGTTACAGTGTTAGATTTTCCTATGATACTACACTAGCGCAAGCCTCGCTATCGAACAGATGATGGCTCTATCTGAGATTTGCATACTGGTGTCATTCTTAAAATGTACGACTGGCCGTGCAGGGGCAAAGAGGGAAAGGCTAATTCGAGATCTAGCCCGATCAAGGAAGGATATAGATCAGAACATGAGCAGCAATCGTCTCGATGATGACGCATGGATCTGGATTTAACGGAGTGATTGGTGGCAGCCAGCTGATTGCAACATCCAATTCCTGCTCGTTATTCGTTGACCGGAGCCATTTCCCTTGGCATGCTTTAACAGGCTGTGGTGCAACTTGGACCCGCGCTAGCCTCTTTTAGGAGAATTCGATACATCCTTACCTCCCCCACTGAACCGCTTCCTCCTTTAATTCTCTCTCCAGCCCACGGCCTGCGATATCTTCATCCACGCTACATTCAATCTTATCGAGCGACCACCCACTGCTCGTTGTGAATTCCGATCCCTCGTCTGCCCACCCGACACGCACATTGCGGGGCACCGACACCCAACATAAACATTATCGGTCCCGCCCCGCCTTTTTCCCTCCAGAAAACCCACGATCGATATCCATGCCACCCCTACCCTCCCCAGTAACGGCCCTTTCGGCGCCAGGAAAGGTCCTCCTTACTGGCGGCTACCTTGTGCTCGACCGTAACTACACGGGCACCGTATTCGCTCTCGATGCGCGCATCCATGCTATTGTCCAGCAGCTAAGGAGAAGCCATCGCCGTGGAACCTCGGGGTCGACAACGGAAACCAAACCCACTGGCCTCGGTACAGAGGCGCACCCGTGCGGTGCAGTGGTGGAGGACCAGGATGCAGAGGATACTATTGTTGTGCGCTCTCCGCAGTTCGTTGATGCCGTCTGGGAATATGGTGTGCAGCGATGCGATAATGGTGGGGGAGTTCAGGTGCTCCAGAAAGGCAATGGGTACGATGCGATTGTCTAGTCACAGTTGTTCTTGAAAAATGCGCTAACAAATGTACTGCTAACAGCCCTCGGAATCCCTTCGTCGAGACCTCTTTGAACTACGCCTTGACCTATATTAGCTATGTCGCCGATTCCAAAGACTTCGGCTCGCTGTCGGTAACCATCCTGGCTGATAACGACTACTACTCCGAAACGGCTACCTCTAGAGGCACCGCGACCAAGGGACATGGTGCGCGCTTCGCCAACTTCGGCGTTCCGCTATTCGAAGCCCACAAGACGGGACTCGGCTCGTCCGCTGCACTGGTCACTGCGCTTGTCTCTGCTCTGGTGATTCACCGGACCATGCAGGCGGAAGACCTCGGTAATGGCCGAGACAAGCTTCATAATCTGGCCCAAGCAGCGCATTGTGCAGCTCAGGGCAAGGTGGGCTCAGGGTTCGATGTGGCCTCTGCTGTCTACGGCTCCTGCTTGTACAAGCGGTTTACACCGGCTATCCTGGAATCTGTTGGAGATGTAGGCACCACCGGATTCGAAGAACGACTGTTCCGGATTGTTGAGGATGTCGACCCCGAGCATCCTTGGGACACCGAGTGCGTGGACTTCGGGATGCAACTCCCGCGCGGGATGCAGATGGTTCTGTGTGACGTGGAATGCGGTTCGCAGACTCCCTCTATGGTTAAGAAGGTCCTCGAATGGCGTAAAAACAGCCGCCGGGAGGCTGATATTCTGTGGGCTGGTCTCCAGAACAATAACGAACGGTTGCGCCAGGAACTCAAGCGCTTGGCACAGCACCCCGATGCCATCACCGACACCGACTTCTCCGAGATCAGCACCTTTATCCAACGCTCGCGCGTTCACCTTCGCACTATGACTTCCCAGACTGGAGTCCCCATTGAACCGAAGGTGCAGACCGAACTACTGGATCGCATTACTGAACTTGACGGTGTCATTGGTGGTGTGGTGCCGGGTGCGGGAGGATATGATGCTATTGCGCTGTTGATTCGGGATGACCCTGCGGTCATCGCGCGACTGAATGAGATGTTCCAGAACTACGAGAGTGCTGTGGAGGATGACTTTGGAGGCAAGATCGGCAACGTTCGCCTCCTGGGCGTCCGGCACGGCTCGGAGGGCGTGAAGAACGAGATGCTGGATCAGTACGCTGGTTGGGTCTAAACCAGGGAGTGACTTTCTGTTTCTTCGACGTTTCTGGCTGCAAATCGACGAGGCAACTCAACATGAACTGACACCGACAAAGTACCTCGGCCGCTGACTTGTTGTACCCTGAGCTAGATGGCCCACGGTGCGCAGCTTCCGGCCCACCTGAACAAGAATTTGTGCGAATCACAGCCTTATTATTCTGGGACACTGGCGGATCTGACTCGGATGCGCACATTATTCCCAAATGTCCCTCTGGGCTCCTATCTGTCGCTCTGCATGCATAACCCAATATTGACTCCGCACTCGTGCCTCCCCTGCATATGCAGCACGAGGCCCATACCGAGGTCACTCGTCCCAACCCCCTCACCGTGTGCGACTGCATTTGTGTATCTATATTTCAGTGCAGCCTGATTCAGGGTGTGACTTGAAGTGGAGAGGCAGATTGGGACATGAATTCGGCACGTCATTGATATCCCGCGCGTGGTCCTAAGTTTTCGGAAAAAGCTTAGTATGCGAAGAAATTCTAGTTTCACTTATTCCCCGTCTACCATTCTCGGCCAGCTCCCAAGTAGACAGTATTGTGTATATGGACATTGCGTAGCATGGTTTGACCAAAGAGTAACAGGGTGATTGCCTGGGGACATGGTCGTCGTTTGAAACATATGATCAATCAGGAGAGGATCACGATAACATGATTAATGAAGAAATCGCCATGGCCTAAAGTATTTATTTGCAGACCTAGACACGCGACTCGTAAACCTGCACTCCATACCGAACTCCTCGGCCCCGGGGGCCCCTCTGCGACTATCCAGTCTGGACGGGACCAGGCGCGGAATGCAAACAAGTTGGCGTTTCTTGGCCGGACCCGACCTTAGTCTGTTCCCCGGATCTTCCTTATCAGCCATTACCACCTTTCCACCCCCATCTCAACAGGCCTCTCTGCCCGTCTCCTACTCATTTCATCGGATTCTTACTGTGCCAGTGCTGGGGCTCTGTATAGCTCTCGGCCTTCTCCAGTCTATCTGTGCTGTTTCGTCTCGTTCAAGGCCTTTGTCCGTCGATCCCCTTACCGGCTTTGCGGCCTCCTCGCTCTCACGCCCCTCGAGTCGCCCATGTCCTTCGTTTGACGAGAGCCTCCTTATCAATTCAAGCCCTGTACAGAAGCTGCGGCATCCAGCGTCCGGACCCGATCCCCACGAAGGGAAAGACTCTTGCACGCCTCCCGCTTAGTCGACTCCTCACGTCCGGACCGATCAACCACCTCCGCCTTTCGCTCCCACCTCCTCATTGCTCTGCTTTCCCCTCTCCGTTGACCAGTCGCCCCCTTTCCCCCGGGACTGCCAATTGTCACCTAGCGTCGGGGAAGTCCCAGTCATGTCCTCGAACGACCACCCTGAATCCGGGGCGCCCGAGCCCAATGACAAGCACGAGTCGGAGGCCACCACTTCTCCGCAGGACGACCAGCCCCAGGCTACGGCGACCGAGCCGACATCTGCGTCCACCAACTCTGACCCTGTCGCCGAGCCCGCGAGTTCAACCGCGCAGTCCCCCAGCGTCCAGTCAGGCGACGCCGCTCTAGAGCCTCCAAACAGCCACCCCGCAAGCGGTGGCGATACTGTCGTCGCCCCCATGACAGCAACGACTAGCTCCACGACAACACCCGCCAACGACACCTCCACCACTGTCGCGCAACCCCAAACCGATGATATCCCCAAAATGGATACCGAAGAAACAAAGAACACATCGGAACATTCGTCGGAGCAATCTGAGGATATCTCGGGGAAGGAGGTCGAGGATGCCGGCCCATCACTGGTCATCACATTGCTGTTGACTACCGGTTCGCGTCACCCATTCACCATCGATGGGAAGTACTTGCGGAAACGATCCGTCAGTGTCGAGAATAATGACCCGTTCGCGATGAGTGTCTACACGTTGAAGGAGTTGATTTGGCGCGAGTGGCGATCTGGTAAGTCTCGCACTCGACCGGGCGGCAGGCCGCCCGCGAATGCCCGCCCAATTACGATATCTAACCATTGACTTTAATGGTTATAGACTGGGAAACCCGTCCATCGTCACCAAGCTCGATTCGATTGATCTCTTTTGGTAAACTGCTGGATGACAAGTCTCCGCTCTCTGGTAAGTTTCAACTTGTCCCGTATGCATCAAAGTAAAGGTCTTCTAACCAAGCTGAATAGATTCCAAATTCAACAAGGATGCACCCAATGTCGTGCATATGACCGTCAAGCCTCAGGAAGTCGTTGATGAAGAGGATGCTAAGGGAGCCAAGTCTCAGCTCAGCCGAGAGCGCGAGGCAAGCGAGCGCAGTCCTGGATGCCGCTGCGTCATCCTATGAGCGTACAGGCTTGAGCGACGAGCATCATTGTCCCTAGTACAGCAGCTGTTCTTTCTGCTACATACCATCTCCCATCCCGCCTCGAAGTCTTCTCTCTATCATCACCTGTCACCTGTCGTGTCCAGTCGACCGAACCTGGCTGGGGCGGGATCAAATTTGACTGGCGTGAACATGGTCCTCTCGAATATGCATTCTGGAAGCGGCGTTAGGCGATTTCCCCTTTCTCTGTCATATTGTTATCGAGGTCATCTTTTATTCCACCCCCCGCCTTCATGTCGGTCGATTGGACTCCCCTCCGACATTCTCTCCTTATCCTGGGGGTCCAGCTCACTTTGTACATGGGGCATGATTCATCTTGTTCGCCGGTCGGCTCTCCACTTGCTGCAGTTCTACCGCTTCTTTCCTTGTTCTTTTCCAAAGCACCTTGTTCAATTTTCCCATCCCTCCATGCCACCCTTTCTATCTGGATACCCATTCGATCCCTTTGTTTTCCTGTTTCCCGTGTGATTTCATTCTCTGTATCGCCTGCCCCCGGACTTGTGTATCTACGAACCATTCACCCTCTTTATTCTCGCCTTTTCTTTTTAGGGTAGGCTTCTCGTAGTGTACACGCCATCGTCTCCATGCATATCACTGTTATTTGGGAGGTCTCCTGGAAGATAATTGAGTTCTCAATCAACGCAATCAACGACTGGAGCGCCTTCTACATGAAATGTGGTTTTGCTGAAACTACGACTGCTACTACTACTTCTAGCTCATTGCTGGCTTGGCTTATCGGTATAGTTGCATCAACAGGGAAGGATCGAGATGAACCAGAATAGATTGGATTAGCTACAACGTGGGTCTTCAATATTGACCAACGATGCATCCGCTCTGATAATCTATCTCTCTATCATAGACATCAAAGATGTAAGATAGAATTCAGGCGGGAGACTAATATGACATATCGACCAGAAAAAGCGATGCGGTAGAAAACGAGAAGCAAGAAAGAAAAAGTCGTGAGAGCTGCATTTAAAAGTCCATCTTCAGACGCTTCTCCATCTCGTCGTGGAAGGTAGGCGGTTCCCGGAACTCGTCGCCTTGAAAGAATCGACGTCAGAATATGTGGTTCATGGGGAGCGGACGAAGTATATCCATAAAGAGAAGTCTGCAAAAACTTACCAGTGAAAATGTCCTCCCATCCAATCTCCGCATCCCGACCACCAAGCGTCAAGATATCCTCGTGGACATTGCCACCCTTCATACCGCCCAGAACGGCAGGTCGGAAGGTGCTATCACGAACGATCTTCAGCTCCATGCCGCGGCGAACGGGCTCGGCAATACCGTATGCTCGTCGCAGACCCTCCATCTTCAACTGCTCTTGAGTAGCGCGCCAGGCGAGCAGGCGGGCCTCCAGCGGGTGTGACGAGGATGGGATGTCAGCAGCCGAGGGGTGGTTGGTTGAGGAGGCAGATGGGATGGCGGGAAGGGTGATCTTGTTGCGGAGAGTATCAGGGATACCGGGGGCGGAGGGGGCACCCTTTGAGGGGCGGGCAGAGCTGTGTTGTTGGCGGGTGTTGGTGTTGGAGGTTGAGTCGGCGTAACCGGCCGGAGGGGCAATGCGGAGAGACTGGTGAGGCTATTGTCAACAATTGTTCCAAAACTCAACAAGATATTGTCGATATGTAAGCTAGACATATGACCTAGCTATCGGAAGGCTGTTGACTCCGAACCCTTGCTGGGGTACATCGGAGGATGGCTCGATTGGAGAGTGCAGTCTCGACGAGGTCCGTAGCTTGATAACGTACCATTTTGGATGTTGTTGATGTGGTTTTTGCAGTGATTGAGGACGGACAATATTTAAGATTTCGAGGATAGCTGCAGCAACGGAAGAGGAAGATAGAGGAAGGTATGAAGCGGATGACCGAGATGCGGAGGACGGACGGCGTCAGGCAGAGAAGCAACAGCGCGTCCAGCTCCTCCGGCGGGCGGTTAAGACCAAGAGTGAATCCACGTGACCACAATTTCTCGTCCGCGATCTGAAGTCTAGCCTGATAGAAGCCATTTCCCTCCACGGCAACATAAAACAACCAAAATGCCCCAATTAAACCCGTCTTTGGCCCTCCGGGCCCTGCGAACTCTGGTCCAGCGTCCGACGCCATCTCTCGCCCCCCTCCGTACCCTCACAACCTCCACCCAGGGACTCGCCGGCCGAACAACCCCGATCACCACCCGCTTCAGCTTCCAACCCGTCTTCCGCAGCCAGACAGCGCTTTCCCTGTCAACCACTGCCCGCCGCGAATTCTCCAGCTCCCCTATTATCCGCGCCACCTACAACCAAGTGCGCCGAGGCTGCCGTCAGGGTCAGCGCGCACGCCGTGGACGGTCTCCGGCCTTGAAGGACCACCCGTCACTGAAGGGTGTGTGTCTGAAGACCGGTATCACCAAGCCCAAGAAGCCCAACTCTGGCGAACGCAAGACTGCTCGTGTTCGTTTGAGTTCTGGCAAGGTCGTTACTACCATTATTCCCGGTGAGGGCCACAACATTCAACAGCACAGTGTGGTTCAGGTTCGTGGTGGCCGTGCTCAGGATTGTCCTGGTGTGAAATACCATTTGGTTCGTGGTGCAATGGATCTGGTATGTTTTCCCCCTTTTTAATTCTCCAGAGAATAATTCCTAACCGTTCTTGAAGGGTGGTGTTGGAAGTCGACAGACTAGCCGTTCGAAGTACGGAACCAAGAAGCCCAAGGGCAACTAAATCGGATTTATACCTTACATTTTCAGTTGATGGCATAAAAGGGCAACGCTTCAGTCAGTCATGACCGAAAAATCAGCCAGAGCCATGCATCTTTGCTTTTCTTACTACTGTATTTGGTGCACAACATGGGCGATATTGTTATTTATTGGAATCGCATGTATCATTACGACGTGAAATCATTACTGGATTATCATCGATATTTGACTTTTTTTTTCTTTTCACATTGTAACTCGTAACTAAGTGCAGCAGCCTGGCTGGCCGGGTAATGGATATTGAACAATATTGCTCGTCCTTTTGAGGACCCTCTTGTACTCCGATAATCCCATGCAACCAGTATCAAGAAACAGATAGAAGCGCTTCCCAGAATTCAGATAGTAAAAAACGGAGAAAACACGGAGAATCAGATGATGGTCAACAAAGTCGAGAACATAATCTCCCAGTCGAAACGTACTGGGCGGAAAGCCTTCAGTCAAGCACATACTCCGAACATATGCTGAAAAAATCACGATCGGGAAGATCTTGCAGTTTTTCTCAATTTTCCGCCGCTCACAGAACGGTATTTGTGAGCGTTACGGCAACGGTCAATCAGACCCATCACAAAGGTGATGCAGACGTGAAGTCGTACGAATAACCAGCTCCGCACGCTTTGGCTGAGTAGAATGGAGGCGATGCTAACAAACAGCAGAAGTATGGCAAACTGGCCAAATGCCGCTAGTCAATCGTTTTTGTCCCAGCCATCTGGCTTCTGCAGGTGATTAACCTTGAACCATCGGTTGGTGCCTAAAAATGTTAGCGGTGAGACCACGCAGAGAAGAACCGGCGCGAGAGCTTACAAGAATAGTCCTTCCAGTCAAAGTTGTCCTTGGGCTTGCATGAGCAGCGAAGATCCAGCCTGGTCTGCTCGTCGTTCGGGCAATGAGTGAAGGGTACGTGGTAGTAGGCAATGTCATGGAAGAATTGGATCTGATCCTTCCTCAGCATGGTTGCAGCAGCAATCGAGTGGACGGGTGCATCGCCCCATCGCTCGTAAAAGAAGCCACCGTCTTTGTCAAGCGACTCGAAATAGTCGAGGTATGCCTGAGATCGCAGCCACTCCAGACTGCCAATCTCGAAGTTTGACCACTATCGAAAAAGTTAGTGTCAGGTATTTCTCGGCAATCTCCCTCAAAAGATATGGACAACATACGAAGTGACATTTGTTGTAAGTTTCGCCACCATTGTCGCTGATAAACTCCATTGCGTTGTCTTGCGCAATGTGTTGCGGGTGGTTCGCCATGAACTTCTGCACGCTACTCCACAGGCTGGGAATAGTTGCTTCATACTCGTATAGACTGATGACGAAACTGTACTTCTTGTCGTTTTCTTTCATGAAACGGAACGGGTCGGCACCGATGTCGCAGAAAAGTTCGATGCTGGGTTCGACACGCCAGTAGTACTCGTAGTTCAGCATTAATGGGTGGCGGAAAAAAAAGCCCGATTCGTAGCGGCACATATGACGGTAGCTCTCCGATCCACCGTAAATGATCTTCTTGCGATCCATTTCCTGGCGTGCATCGGCAGCCTTGTCTTGGTCGATCCATTCGGGATACGACCAGTGCTCCTTTGGGATTAGGCCATAATGAGTCGTTCCGGAGACCAACGCTGTGGTCAACTTCTTGAAGTCTTCGTCGAACTCCTTGTCGTTCAAAAAGACCCAGTCGTAGTTGTAATCGCGGTTGAAGCGGTCTTCGACGGTTCGGATGGACTTGACCATGTCCCAGAGGTCGGAGTTGCGCGCGAGAGTCACGAAGGTGGCATTCACCCGTTCAGTGCTATTGGCGCCGGGAATTTGAAACTTGTTTGCTTTGAATTCATTGTATGTCGGGGCAGGTCGCGAGAAGGAAGCGGAGCTGGGGAGGCGCAAGTTGGTTCGGGAGACGAGGTAGAAGAAAGTCAGTCCCTGACAATGTCTGTTAGCGACGTCGCGTGGCTAAGGACCGGGGCCTGCGACGATCCATGTGTGCCACGAGACCACGGAAATCGATCTGGAGACCTACCACGAGCGCAAACACCAGATACCTGGTGTACCGCACGTTGACGGACATGGTGGCGGGGGGCGAGGCGAATACGCCGACGGCGGAGACAGAGAATGTAAACGAGTGTGACAGGTGCGATCAGGCCGAGAAAGCGAAGGCCAGTCCACAAGGCACAACCAGCATCCGCTGAGACCAGAACGGGGACCTGGCAGCTTTGGGGAAAGGAGAGTTGCAAAACAAAAATCGGAATGCGATAGGGGAAGGCGGAGGAAGAGGAACCGCAGGCCGCGCAACACACTGGCGACAACCGCTAGGAGCCGCGTGGTTGCACCGATTCCAAGACAATTCGGATCCGACTGGGCGCTCAGGGGATCCAAGCGGCGGACGACATTGAAAGCCAAGATGACAAGACTTGGTGGGTGAGCTGGCGCTAGCAGGCTACAGCGTGATGAGTTCTAGGAGTATAGGAGGCCATGGAAATTACACCGAAGCACACGGGAGTTTGTTTCAGGCGCGCTGTACCCAACGGGGCCAATGATGCAAAAGCCCACTGATCGCGCCCGTTACGCCGATCTATACGGCAGCACCGCCGTAGGCCATATTTTTATGCTCGACGAGTGGCCAGAGTGGCCAAGAACCCGGTCTGGGCCCGCTCATCCGGAGGCGTCCAGGGTGGATTCTTCGTACCTTAGGGCATTCAGAGGAGGCGCCCTTCGTGTTCCTTCATAACTCGAGGTCCCTCGTTCGGCCCTTGGAGATGCGTGGTTTCCCTCTTTATTGTTTCACATCCTCTGGAGGACCCCAGTGGGTACCCTAAGTACAATGCATTTGAGTATAGTGCATTTTGAGTATAGCATAGGGTATGATATGACCGAAGAAGTATTTTCGATGCGAATGGAAAACGGTTGATTGTCTGAACACTTCCAGTATCCACGACCTACATCATGACGATGGACTGAGGGCCCTCAATAGTCCCATGCCCAGATAAAATCGCAGAATCGAACAATGTAATTGTTTCATTACGATCCCCGCGGTGCTCCACGGACTTTTGCAGGGTCGATCCGCGAGCTTGGCGGTTTCTGCCTGAGGCCGCCCGTCCGGCAGAACTTCGCTCGCGCAGCCCGAAGTTGCTTCCTCCTCCCCCACCAAATCGTCCTCCCACCTTCGCCCACCTCACCTTCCTCCCATCGGCCAAAGGATCCATGTCTTTCTTTGGATTCGATACCAACCTTCCGAGGGACCGCCAAGGCGGTCCCGCGGCCTCGCGGGGTTTCTTCGAGAACCCCGATCCCTTCGCGGAGGTTGCCCGTGCGAGTGCGCTCGAGGATGACGATGCGTGAGTACCATCGGCGATGGCGGTGACGGTGGAATTGAAGCTAACGGGGCTTTCAGGATCGATTTCGAAGACACATACGATGGTCTCGGTGACCAGCTTGATGACGACCAGGATGCCTTCAACGACGACACCTTCGGCGGCGGCGGCGGCGGTACTGATACGGGACCCGTGGGCAAGGATTTCGATTTCTTCGGCAAGACGGCGACCGTCGCCGATGCAATTGGCGAAGAGCAGATTCGCTATAGCTTGCAGCACCCCCAGGCGGCGCCCGCTGCTGGCCAGTCTGCCCAGCCCGCAGCGGCTCCGGCAGCGACGGCGACCACGAAGCGAAGCGGTTACGAGAAATACTCCGATCCCGGATTTATCCCCGACCTGCAGGCTAAGTCGAGCGTTTGGGGTATCTCGCAGAAGAAGCCCGAGCCGATCCCGACCCAGGCTCAGGCTCGAAAGATGATGAGTCTGGAGGAGGTGGAGGCGCAGATGCGTAACCAAGGCTACCAATCTTCGCCAGTGCCGCAATCAATTTCCCAGCACATGGCCGAGCCGTCGTATATGCGCCACCACCAGGACATCACCCTTCCCGATGGCTTCCCTACAATTCCCCCGGAGGTCTTGCGGGCACAGCTCGAGCGAGGTGGCCCACCACCCGGCATGCCTCACCCCCCGCCGGGGATGCCAGAGCTCCATGCTGGTCCCCCTCCCGGTATTCAGGGGATGCCGCCGCATCTCATGATGCAGGGTAACCTGCCTCCTCAGAATCTCCCTCAAGGTCCGCGCCATGCCGGCCCGCCCCCCAACCAACGCCCGCAGCAAATCCCCCCGCCGACAACAAGAGGACCCAATGGTGGACTGCCAGTGATCACAGACCCGCAGCAGCTTGTGCATCTGACCGAGGAGCAACGCAATGCCTATCTCGTCGAAGACGCCAAGCGGGCAAAGCGTAACCACAAGATCTTTCTGCTCTCGCGCGGCAATGGCTTGATGACGCCTCAGGACAAGAATTTCATCACGCGCATCCAGCTGCAGCAACTAGTTGCGGCTGCTGGCAATGTCGCGGACTCGGATCCGGAGGCTGTTCTGGCCGAAGACTTCTACTATCAGGTCTATAGCCAGATTCGGGGAGCGCCTCGTCAGCACCCCCACCAGCCTCTCGGCCACTTTGCTCAGACCTACTTGCTTCAGACTGGCAACCGGGTCGGTGGTCATGGTAACCGCCGAGCTTTCCAGAGCGCCGACAACCACATGCAGCGCATGCAGCAGCAAGTCCAGCGCGCCGTCGAGGCAGCCAAGGCGAAGCCGAAGAACAAGCAGCTGATCATCGAGGGCAGCCTGGGCAAGATTTCCTTCAGCAATGCCAAAGCCCCCAAGCCGATGCTTAACATCAAGCGGCCCGATAGCTCCGAGGGGCCCCGGCCGAAGAAGCTACAGTCCGACCTCAGTCTGAGTGATCGCAAGTCGATTCTGACCAATATCGAAAGGGTCTACAGTGCCCTCATGTCCATGGAAGATATGGAGCGTACTATGCCACCTCCGCCCGAAGAGGGCGATGCCGAGGCGATCCAGGAGCACATGGAATGGCGCCAGAAGGTCCACGCCCTCAACCAGAAGCTCTGGCACTCGCTGAAGGTGATGGAGCCCATCGTGCCCAACTCCACGACCCCGCATCCGTTTATCGCCTTCCTGTCCTACCCCAAGGGTAAGAAGGCCATCCCTCGCATTTTCCGCCACATCGATCAGGAGCAGCGCGTGACCATCCTGACAATGATTGTTGTCCACCTGGACAGCTTGGATGTCGTGCGTCTGGCCCAGCCCGTCCCCGGGGAGGCTCAATTCTCCGTAGCCATGCGTGAGGCCATTGATTTGTTCTCGTTGGCCGTGATGCCCAGTCTCCTGGGCTATGTCAACGAGGCCCCGTTCAACATCATCATCGGCCTTCTGGGTCTGGTCATCGCCCAGACTCACGTGCAGACCGTGGCTCGCACCAAGGTCGGACTGGGCATTCTGACCATGCTACTCAGTCGCGCCGAGATTGTCAAGGAGGCTGGCCAAGCCTCTGAGCGGGACTGGCAACAGTGGGTTGAGAAGTTCAACGTGCTCTTTGACACCTTGGAGCCTGCTCTGGCCGACATCTTCCCCGGCTCAATTAACTCGGGTGACGACATGTACGTCTGGCAGTTCCTTGCCGCCGTCGGTATCGGAGCCAGCCCTGAGCAACAGCAGCGCCTGGTGATTGCCGTCAAGTAAGTTTTAATCCCGGTCTACGACAAAGACCACCGTGATACTAATGAATAATTACCAGGGACCGTGTTATGGAGACCGTTGCCTACAGCAAGACCCTGCCCGCCGAAATGTCCAGCCAGCGTCTGGGCAATGTCAACCTGTTCATGCGGGCTATTGGCCTCGACGTGGAACTTCTGGGTTAAAGTGAACCTGCGTGCTTTGAACTTGTATTCCGATATCGATGGAGTCTTTGCCAATCAATCTGGCCGCCTTTAGTCATGATGGAGTCTGTCAGGACGGGACCGGCTTCTAATCCCACGCCCCCTTTCATTTGATGCCAAATCTCCCGCCGACTGCTCCCCCCTCTGGCTACCCCGCGCATACACGCCGGGTACTGGGCGTCTCTTCGTCCTCGCACAATTTACAATGAGGACATGAAGGGTCAGTAGTCCACTCGGACCTGACCCCCGGCTCTCGCCATCTGCTTTTGAGAGCGTGCCCAACAGCCCTACATTTTTCTGGGCATCTGTGTTTTTACTTCCAGTTCTTCATACCAATTTCATTCCCATTTTCTACTTCCTGTTCAGCTCGGGAGCGGGTCTACCCTACCTACAATAGGTAGTACCCTCTATAAATAAGCCGGGTTTCCGGCTAGTCCAGCCCTACAGTTGTATGTATGCGATAGTCTCTTTATACCCAAATTGAACCCTTGGGAATGTGCATGCCCTAATGTATCCTACCCTACAGTTCTGCAATAAGATAATGTATTCACGATCCGGGCCGAGTGGCCGGATGCACTCAATGCTCCAACGTGGACCTGGACCCTGACGGGGCGCAACCCGTGCCGCTGAGTGGCCACCCGCGGTTTGCAGTGGGCACTCAACCCGCAATTCGCATGGCGCCTGCGACGATGACAGTTGGCCAATTTTGCAGACGATCGTTACCCTGGCGGATGGTTCCAGCGACGGGCTGTTTTCGTGCTGCTCACCGCCGCATTCCCGCGATCGGCGAGGAACAGCCATCGCGCATCCGCATCGGGCGACCCGACACACGCCATTCGCCTCGCCATTGAGGTCTCCGGGGAGGATCACCGGTTCGGGCGTGTCATGTAGATATCCAGTGGTTGCGGTTGCCCGGACATATCACCCCATTGCTTTTGGCCGTAAGATTAAAAAGGGTCTTGAAGGTTCGGCCGCGTAATGGGGATATGACGAGCGGCCTGTCGGCACCCCCACCTCGAATTTCCCCTTAAAAGCTGCCCCTCCCCGCCTGCGTGGCTGCTTTCCTCTCCCCATTCCCTTCTTGTTCTAATTGCGAATCCTACATCATGTCTGCCGGTTCTGTTCTTGTCGCTGGGTAAGTGTTCACGGTGTTCCTGCTGTTCCTTCCCTTCCCGGCATTTGTGATTGTTGCAGTTCCAACTAATTCGCCCCGCAGTGGTACGGGCTACATTGGCTCGTTCACCACCCTGGCCTTGCTCGAGGCTGGCTACAAGGTCGTCGTCGCCGACAACCTCTACAACTCTTCCGCCGAGGCTCTGAACCGCATTGAGGCCATCTCCGGCAAGAAGGCCGAGTTCGTTCAGCTCGATGTCACCGACGAGAAGGGCTTCGACAAGGTCTTCGAGGCTCACCCCGACATTGACAGCGTCATCCACTTCGCCGCCCTGAAGGTACATTCCCCTTGAATTCATTTCTCCATGCTGTTGTGTCACGGCGCTAACCTTTTGTGCTTGGATAGGCCGTCGGCGAGTCTGGCGAGAAGCCCCTGGACTACTACCTGGTCAATGTTTACGGCACCATCAACCTGCTCCGCGCCATGGTCCGCCACAATGTCACCAACATCGTCTTCTCCAGCTCCGCCACCGTCTACGGTGATGCCACCCGCTTCCCCAACATGATCCCCATCCCCGAGGAGTGCCCTCTGGGCCCCACCAACCCCTACGGTAACACCAAGTTCGCCGTTGAGACCGCCATCACCGATGTGATCAACGCTCAGCGCAACAACGCCACCAAGGCCGGCAATGAGGCCGAGGCCAAGAAGTGGAACGGTGCCCTGCTCCGCTACTTCAACCCCGCTGGTGCCCACCCCAGCGGTATCATGGGCGAGGATCCCCAGGGTGTCCCCTACAACCTGCTCCCTCTGCTTGCCCAGGTTGCCACTGGCAAGCGTGAGAAGTTGATGGTTTTCGGTGACGGTAAGTATTTCCGTATTCTTAACGCCATTCACACCCAATTGGGACCCGTGATGAGCCAATGGTTAACAATAACTCTGCTAGACTACGCCTCCCACGACGGCACTGCCATCCGTGACTACATCCACATCCTTGACCTGGCTGACGGCCACCTGAAGGCCCTCAACTACCTGCGCGCCAACAACCCCGGTGTCCGCGCCTGGAACCTGGGCACCGGCAAGGGTAGCACCGTCTACGAGATGATCCGCGCCTTCTCCGCTGCCGTCGGCCGTGACCTCCCCTACGAGGTTGCCCCCCGCCGTGCCGGTGACGTCTTGAACCTGACTGCCAACCCCACCCGTGCCAACACCGAGCTCGGCTGGCAGCCCCAGCGCACCCTCGAGCAGGCCTGCGAGGACCTCTGGCTCTGGACCAAGAACAACCCCCAGGGCTACCGCCAGCAGCCGCCGGCCGAGCTGCTTGCTCAGCTGAAGAAGTAAGTAGATCAGTTCGCTTGACTTTGCTCTCGACAGTGAAAATTTAAAAGCATTATTGGTATGATGCGTGGATAGAAACTCGGTAGAATACACGAAACGAATTTCCTTTTTCAAAATATATAGTATACCCTACCTGTGGACCTGAGGGTAGAATGTTCTACTTTATGCGTAGAGAGTGCATTACCCTACATGTGGAGACATATTTATTTCTTAGTTCATTCATTGCTTGAAGTCTATACGGTTAGACTAAACTCTATATACTGCAATGCAGTGGATTCAAGAGCCAGCAACCCAGCTAGCTCTACAAATGACATCAGCCATTATTTATTCTTTCGACTCCGCCGAGATCCAGCAGTCTGCGCTTTCGCAGAAGAGGTCTCCTTCCTCTTCTTCTTCTCTTCCTCTGCCTCTTTCTCCTTCTTAGCCAAAGCCCGCTTAACAGCCCCCTCCTTCTCCGCCTCTTCAATCTGCTTCTCACTAAACTCCCACAGCCTCTTCCCAACATCCTCATCAAAGACATCTCGCCGCGCACAATCCATCTCCCGACACTCCTTGATAAACCAGCCACCCTCTCCGCGCGCAAACTTCTCTTCCATCGCCGCATAGAGAATACTCTGCGCACCCTGGTCCGGAGACTTGAGTACCAACCACCAGAATGGCCAGGTGAGAAGATACAACAGCAATCCCCAGAGAGAACCGCCGGTAAGCCAGCGCCGAGTACCGGGTGTCCGCGAAAGACCCGGGTCAACGATAAGCACGCGCGTGCAAGGGGGCAGGCCGTCCGGACGGGCGTAGGCGTTCAGGTGGCGCTGGAAGGAGTGGGCAAAGGTCATGAGAGCGAATTTGCTGACAGCGTAAATACTCTTCGGTTTCACGGAGAGTTTGGCCGCAGGCGCCTTATCTTTGGATGTAGATGACCCTGTGTTGGAATCATTATCCCGCTTGACAGTTTCCAGATCGAATTTGGCACTGATATAGCTTGAGCATGTCGCGAAGATGACGCGGACATCACGGTGGGCAGGCTGAACACGGAGGGCGGGACTGAGGATACTAAGGAGGTGGAAATTGGACAAATAGTTCACCTGCCATTCTTCGGAGATGCCATCCTGCGTCTGGCCGCGGGCGCTGGCAGGCACGGCGGTGCCGCCGCACAGAATCACGGCGTCGAGGCGGCGGGGCGGGACATTGTCGATCCATTTTGTGGCGAATTCACGGACAGAGTGTAGGGAGGAAAGATCAACTTGTTCGGCGTAGATGAGAGGGTTCTTGGTTTCGCGACGAAGATCTTCGATGTATTCAACGAGGAAGAGGTCGGAGGGTGGTTGCTTCGTGAGAAGGATGACTTGGGCCTGCCGCGCGGCGAGGTCACGTACAACTCGTGCTCCAATGCCTGATGTACCGCCCTATAGAAGGGAATATAGTGAGTAACATTATCTATATATAGTAATCCGATTCAAACGTACCGTTACCATCACCACCTTCGAGGCCATCAGGCGCTCGGAGGTGTTGCGGGCTCCGCCGAAGTAGAACTTCAGCGCAGCGAGGGCGAGGATCCATGGGGCAATGCGGATAAAATCCCAGGCATATGGGATAGTAGAGATACCCTCCTGGATGCCATGGGTAATAATTGGGATGGGCATCTTGTGGAAGGGCGAATTGGGGAAAAGAAGCGAGAGAGAAAGTGGTCGAGCTGTCCGTTGCGGAAAGGGCGAGCTTATCGGCTTATCGTAGATCTGGCATCGCCACATCGGACGGCGACTTGGGACTCCAGGCTTTCGCCCGTCAAAAACCTCCAGCAGGTCGCGCACGATGCCCCCATTAGAGGAAGATGAGGATTACTTTCTTCCCCTCGAGGACCAGCGCGTCTTCGGCGCAGGAATACGCCGCAAGCGCGTGCCGTTCGTTTTGTCCTCGGAGCAAGAACTGAGTACGACTACGTCGACACTACCATCCAAGCCGTCAGGTTCAAGCATCGCAGACGCATACCTCTCGATCGTCCTGAAGAACAAGTCCGCAAATACATCACCGAATGCACCCATAGGAGAACAAGAGCGAGAACGAGAATCCATTCCTCCCCGCGCAACATACTCCGCACCACCAACTTCAAGCGCTGTCTCATCTCCACCTCCACCAGTGCAATCCAAGGACCACTGTGAAATATGTAATTTACCACTTTCGTCAGACCCCTCAAACGCCGACACAGGGACATCGACAGACCGGCCACACGAGGCCTCCCTCGCCCATCAAGTTTGCCTTTCTCATTCCCACCCTCCATCACATCTTGACCGTTCTCGCGCTGGTCTACGCTACCTTGCCACATACGGTTGGGATCCGGACAGTCGCAAGGGACTCGGTGCGCCAGGTCGAGAAGGTATAAGAGAGCCATTGAAAGGCCGTATGAAGAACGACACTGCTGGTCTGGGTGCGGGGATGGATGAAGACGGTAATCGGATAAAGCCACCATCTCCGCCGCCTAAGGTGCAGAAGTTAAATGCAAAGCAGGTTCGAAAGGCCCAGCTAGACTCGCGGAAGAGGGGGGAGAAATTGCGGAATATGTTCTTTCAGAGTGATGAGGTGCTGAAGTACCTCGGGGAAGAGGCATGAATCGTTCAGTTGTGGTGCTTTGTTACCAGTTTGATTTTTCCGATGATACCCATTTGAATACATAAGTTACTAGAGTGCTATTTGAACTTGTAATGAACTACTCGCTAGCCGAATTTTTACCCGGTCGCCTGGCCATGTACTCTGTACTGTGACACAAGATCTACTTTTTTTCTAATACTTCAGTGTCCAGTGCAAAGAAATGGCCCGCTTAGGAATTTATAAGTGAAACTGGATGAGTGAAAGATCATCTATCCAGCTGGAAGAGTCTCGGATCTCGGACTCTTTCTCTCTATCTCTCTCACAATTATCTTGTCTCCCTGAAGTGTTCCTACCGCACCTATATGTTCTCGGACTATTCACTATTTATCTAGCAGACAGCTTCTCAGATTTACTCACTCTCTCACTCTCTCACTCTCTCTAACCAGCTTTAGCAAGCCATAAGACTTGCTGAGAGCCGTTACGAAATCGAGCATGCCTCGCCCATAATTCCCTACTACGCGTCCTCCTGCACCTCCTCCTACACCTCCTCCACCCTTATCTGCCTTATTTTCGCGAGAAAGATTTAGGATCCTTGTACTCACAGTCCTTGAGATCCTACAGCCCGATGCACAGTTTCGCAATGAAACTTCAGCCGCGATTGATGCGCTGAGGTCAACACCATGTGGCCGTTTGGAAGCGATGGTTGTCATCTACGGATTGCATTGTTTCAACTCCTGGGCCGCGCAAGCCGCCCAGGGCAGAATAAAGAAACAGTTACGTGATACCTGGGGCCTATTGTACTACAGGCAGGAAGCAGAGATCGCAGGAAGACTGAAACCGGACGCGAGGAGCTCTTTGTTCGATATTCTGGACCCGGAGGTTAATGCTTTGTTGCGCCACATTCTCCAAGCACCGGCTGAGACTTTCGACCTCGTTGCTAGTGAAGCCGACGTCCTTGTCTCTATGGGCTCGCTTGTGGAAACATACAAGGCTCTTTACGAAGTCATGGACATCATGCCCCACGACCTGTGGCTACAATCTCAGACGATTAGCGAAGACATCTTTACTCGCGTCACAGAGGAGGAAACGGTAGTTGTACGTGAGGACGACGAGGCAACAATGGGGACACAGATGGAGACGACGCGTGATGCGTCGAGGGCGATGGAGGTTACCTATTTAGCTGCAATAGTGTAACATGAAATAGGACCATGCTTTCCCTCGATACATGACAGTGTCGTCGCACATGACAGTGCCCAAGCAAGCCTCGGCTATCAGGATATTTGCTGGCTCTTCAGCAGCAACGGTCGAAGGACTTCGGGCATATTTTCCTGAAGACCAAGAGGTCAATCAAGTCTAAGAAGTCTTTCGGAATGGTTTTCGATCAGATATCGCAATTGAATCAGTGTTTCTTATACTCACATGTAAATAAACTACAAAAACAGGAAGTATGTACCGGAAAGAATGGCTACGGCAGTTTATTAAGAAATCACGGATTTTTGGTGATGATATTTGAAAGTTATATGCTCTGCGTAGCTAACTATTTGCAAGTCCCCGATGCCTGCTAGCAGGTACCTGGTAGGGACCTCCCTGTCTGGCAATCACGGAGATCATGCAATAAAGGATCTTGAAGTCCAACCGACAATGCGCCTCCGAGTGGACCAGACTGACCAAAACAAGACAAAGAAAAGATGGTATCACAACAGCGCTGAATGGACCCATGCCCAGCACGGAGAGCGATCAGACAGGAAAAAAATTGATCCGAGGGAAGAACAGTCTACTTGAAGAACCGGTATCCCAGCTTCTTCTTCGAATCCTTGTCCTTGTCTTTCTTGTCCTTATCCTTCTTATGGAGTTTTCCACCAGGCGGGGGAGTCCCACTCGATTTGTTCAACCCATTCGGTCCAAGAGACATGTTTGCCATGAGCGCCTCCGGGGGTGCAGGTGGGTTCAGATGCGCCGGGGTTACCGTCTTCTTCTGTAGCGGAGGTGTTGGTGCAGGAGGTGCCTCGCGCTCGAAGAGGTGATCCGGGGCCTTGGGCTTGGGTCGCTCAGCCGGAATATCAAGGCGGCGCTTGTCCATACTCAGGTCACCCACTTGACGCAGGAAGAGTCCGGGCGTCAGCATATGGGTGGTGGCCAGGAACACATCACGACCATAGGTTTGCGAGACTTCGTAGCAGGAACGCGCCTCGCCGTGGGTGGCACCTCCGGCCATGAAGACGATCATGCGCTGACGAGGCTGATCGACAGATCGGGTGCGCGCCCATGTAGGTTTGGCACTGCGCAGCGAGGCTTGCTGAGAAATCATCTCTTGTGCAGCCATTCCGCCATCCGTGTCTGTGTGAGGCCGGGTAAAGGGAAAGACTGTGGGGTCCAAAGTGCCTCGGATTTGCTCTTCTAGCATCAGCTTCAGCCCAAGCTCGTACCGAGTCAAGCTCAGCTCTTCTGACTCTGGCGCAGGGATGCGTCGTTGGAACAATGGCTGAGCGGGAGGTTTTTCATCCTTCAACGGCTTTTCCACGCGCACGCCAAGCAGTTCGAGATTGGAGATTACGTTCCCATCTTGGCCCGGAAGTTGGGCATGTGCCATAAGCTTCCGAATGTCGCCGCCTAGAAGACCCCCACGATAAATGATATACAGCAAGAGTAGCCGCAGGCGATCTGGCGGGATGACTGCATCATCATCGAGCAGTTGTACGAGCTGCGCTGCCAAGTTCTTCGCCTTCTTGTAGTTTTCATCGAGGCCAGTAGCGAATGATTGCTCGATAGAGCTGACCTCTATCAGTTTGCGACTCTGGAAGTATTTCATGCACTCCTCGGCCATGTTCAAGTGCAGTGTATAGGCGTCCTTCCCTTCGGTGAACTCTGTCAGTCCAGCCAACATGTCCTTGATGGTGTTGACGTTCGCTTTGTCGTTACTGCGCATGCGCATTAGTAAGCCCGAGGGCCATAACTGAGAGGGAATACATACTCGTCAGCAAACTGCGGGTTCGCTTTTCTGAATTTGGCAAAGTCGTCTCCGAGTTTTCCAAGCACATCTTTCATGTGCATGTGTCGGTAGTCCACCCAGACTTTGTCATGCTCTCCAATCTCCATCTCCTTGATCTCTTCAGTGTCCTTGCCCTCATTGAGCAGCGTCTTGTAGGTAACCTTATCGCCTTCTTTGATGGGCAACAAATCATGTACCATCGCTTGGTAGGTGAACTCGTGGAGAAGAGGCGAATATACGTCCATGGATCGATCCACCACAAGCAGCACACCCCGGGGACGGTTTGACGGAGGCGGAAAGTCGCGCTGGAATTGGGCAAATTGATCTAACTCTTCTTGAATGAAGCGTGCGAGGTGCGAGCATAGGACACCAGCTTCGTGAGTCGGGGATCGAGGGCGATAGTAGCGGATCACAGGGTATTCACCCAGAGAGGCGCAGAGGGAGACGACCTAATTGAGTATATCAGCACCATAGCGCAAATACACACGGCTACGCCGAGCTTACCTTCTGAGCTAGGCCTTGAAGATGGTGTCGGATCAAATGGTTGCAGCCTGGGTGGAACAGGACGGGGAAGCTCCACGGATCGCGGAAAGTGACCAGGTGTGACTCTCGGGGGTAGAAATCGATGTTCATAATGCGGTAGTCGGCGATGCTATCGCGTGCCATTTGTGACCGGTCAATCCGAGCGCGTTGCTGCGGATCAAGGACTAGAAGCACTGTTAGCTGGAAGCATTCTCTTACAGCTCCGGCATTGCCGCCCACTGACATGAGGTCCAAACCAAAAAGGCCCTTCGATACCGTTTGACCTCAAAGTCGGCCATGAGGCAATCCACGATCCAGGATTCCGGTGACAATATGTATAGCGCATCCATATCCGGATTCTTCATTCGTCGGTGGTCAATTTGTTCGATATCTGCGGGGTGACAGTGCGGTTTAGTGGGCTGTCTGACGCTCCAGGGAACTATGGCAAGCTAGGCGGACTCACTGGAGACATTCAGGTTGAGAACCTCTTCCTCCTTGACGGCACCATTGATCAATTTCCGGCTGTGTTCGTCCACCACCAAAACTTTCCACTGTACGGGAGTGGCGTCAGTGCCCGGCGCAGATGGGGGGATAGGGGAAAGGAGGACAACGCACCTCGTTGCCGCCAGCATGGCGGATGGTGTTGAGGATGACTAGGAGGAGAGAAAACAACCGTCAGTGAGGTTCCTTGGGGAAGACGTAAAGCAGCGTAGTGGCCACCTACTATCGCGCTGGATGTTGATGATCGAGGAGCCCATGATGGCGGGCAGCCCGACAGGAGGGCGCAGGAGAGGAAACGAGAAGGGAGTACCCAGAGACAAAGGGCTCAAAGCGCCGGAAGCAGGAGAGGAGGGTGTTCAGGAGGAGTGCGCAACGGAGCGAGGTTGCTGTCTGAGGTATATTGAAGGAGAGTGGTTCCCCACCATTCGAGCTTCGCCAAAGTGGATCGCCCCGTGGCGCGCCAGGGAACTCCTCCCCGATAAAGCAACTTTTTCTGGAGAGGTTTCCAGCTTGCCACATCCTCGTTCGCGTGTCTTCCAGGATCGAACCTCGCGCATTGAAGTCGCCATCTGCTTCCACCAACAGTCGACTTGATTGTTTTCTCGTCTGCACTTTTCCATTGCTGTATTGGGTTCCCGGCTGATCAGGGATGCAGTCATGGACTGGCAGAGGCAGCCGTTTCCTCTTCTGCGCCTTGCGATCGTTTACACGACCTACTAAACGGCAATTTACGACCTCTGACCCTCTATACCGTTCGAAGCGAAACGCGAAACATGACGGCGCCGGCTCGGACCAAAAAAGGATCTCCAAAGCTGCATCGAAGACCCAGCCAAAAACCACGCGACGACTACTTGCAGCCGAGCGAGATTTCACCCGACTGACGGAAGCCGCATTACGCGATGTCAAATTCAAATACGAGGCAACTGGGGAGTTGCCAGCTGCGTGGTCTCAGTTTGAGCGTCAGGTGTTGAATGCTTGCCATGTTACGGAATCCAAAACCACCGCGAAATGGGGCACTTTGCAGGATCTGAAAAAGTCACTGCAAAGGGCGTATCTGTCGACGGGAGTATCTGGACTACGTGATGAGCTGGAGTATCTACTCTATGCAGAAGACCTCACGAAAACGTACTCGGCACCGAGCTTGGAAGCGCAGCAAAAGCTGGCTGATCTTCGCTACCCGGCCGAATGGTATCCCAACGCGCGCTCCATGCAGCGAAGCATCCATCTTCATGTCGGTCCCACGAACTCAGGGAAGACCTATCATGCATTGCAGCGACTGAAGTCGTCTAAATCGGGATTCTATGCGGGCCCACTACGATTGCTTGCGCAAGAGGTTTACCACCGTTTCAAGGACGATGGCATTCCCACTAGTCTGGTGACAGGAGATGATGTCAAGGCTCCAGAGGACGGACAACCGCCGCGCATTACGAGCAACACGGTGGAGATGGTCAGTGTGGGACAGGAGTACGATGTGGGGGTTATCGACGAGATCCAAATGATATCCAATGCCCAGCGCGGATGGGCGTGGACACGAGCAGTGTTGGGGACTCAGGCCAAGGAACTGCACCTTTGCGGTGAAACGCGTGCGGTACCTCTGATCCGCGAGCTATGTGCACTAACAGGTGATACGCTGGAAATCCATCGCTACGAGAGGCTGAACGGCTTGGAGGTTATGCAGAAGAGCTTAAAAGGCAACCTCAACAATCTTCAGAAAGGAGACTGTGTGGTTGCCTTTTCTCGAGTCGGCATTCATGCCTTGAAAGCGGATATCGAAAAGACAACTGGAAGACGGGCAGCTATCGTCTACGGAAGCCTGCCGGCCGAAATTCGAACTCAGCAGGCCAACCTATTCAATGACCCACATAATGAGTATGACTTTCTTGTGGCAAGTGACGCCATTGGTATGGGACTCAATTTGTAAGTTTTCACACCCATGAGTTCGCAAGTTTCTTGCCTGACTAATCGAAAATAGGAGCTGCAAACGCATTATTTTTGAGACCTTGATCAAAAGACTCCCGGGGGGTCTGCAGCAACTCACAGTACCCGAAATCAAACAAATTGGTGGACGAGCGGGTCGATATCGACCAGCTGGTGCTAAAGAAGGATCAGAAGATGACGAGCCCAACGTTGGTCTCGTCACATCTCTAGAAGAGGTCGACCTTCCCTACATCCAACAGGCGATGGAAATGGAGCCACCTCCACTCCGGGCTGCTGGACTCCTCCCACCGAACTCCGTGTTCGAGAAATTCGCCGCTTACTACCCAAAAACGGTCCCTTTCGAATACCTGATCAGACGTGTGATCGAGATATCCACCATTCACCCTCTCTTTTTCTTGTGTGACATCAAAGGACAGCTTGAAAATGCCGAAATTGTCGACAGCACGCACGGATTGACCATTTTGGATCAATTGACATTCGTGGCTGCACCCATGGACCATAAAAGTGCATCTGCCCTTAACACCCCGGCCGCATTTGCCGACTGCGTGGCTGAAAACTCACGGGGAAGATTGCTGGACATACCCCATCTCAACCTCGAGATCCTCGAGCAACCTGTCTCCGGTAACAAGGACTACTTGCACGAATTGGAAAATCTCCACAAAGCTATCATACTTTACTCGTGGCTGAGCTTCCGATTCGGCGGAGTTTTCACAGACCGGACTCTTGCATCGCATGTCAAGGAGCTTGTAGAAGAGAGAATGGTTCGGGCACTGACTGAATTCTCTGCGAACAAGACACTGCGGAAGGACGCGTCACTGAAACGTCAGATTGCACTGCAGAAGCAGATACATGCGCAACAGAGTATCGCTTCCGAGGGCTTGTCGCATCCCTCAGGCGAAGGCGAAATGATGTGGTACGGCTTAGGTGAGGAGAAATCCCAAGAAACCACGGCCGATGGAACCCCTGAGGCGGGAATTGAGGGGTCCCCTGAGGAGGAGATAGATACAGACTCGGACCTCACTGATGAAGGCTTCCAAGAAAGCGTGGAACGAGAAGACCTCGAATTGGAGGAAAAGGATCACACCCAATGAGGTACGGCCGGCTTCAACATATGGGTGAATGAATGTAATGTAGACATGTATATTAGACCTAGATGAGCGAAATGTTGTAATCTCCAGCTCTTGGCTATTCCATTCTTCAAAATGACAAGAGTTCACCCGGAAAGTAATTTAGCTTGCAACTCATACAGCAATTGAAAGAAAGGATGTCACATGACGTATGCGAATTTAAGTTATTTTGTTGCCTCAGGTAGATAATTTCTTATCGGTGGCGCTCCGCCCGTGATTTTCCCTGCCGCATTCCCTTTGCTCTCCGAGGGTCAAGTCAACTGCGCGACCGGAGCAGTGTTCTGCGCACTCGCTCGTTATTGCTCAATAACCTGCGCTTGCCATCCTTGCTCAACTGCGTCACTCTTTTATCTCTTTCTCATCCCGCCTTCACCATGGAGGAAGTGGATTCGCTGGAGCTGTTCTCGCTCGTGTCGCGAGTGACGAACGAGCTCCAGAACCATCTGGGTATTAACGACAAAACGCTATCCGAATTCGTGATCGACCAGCATCTCAAATGCAATGGAGACTTCCCCAAGTTCAAGGATAACCTCGTCGAGATGGGCGCCGAATTCCCTCAGAGCTTGTTGGAGAGCGTCGACCGCCTTGTCCTGACGATGCACCCGAAATATAAAGGGAAGCAAGAGGAGAATGGCGATTCGGCCCCGGCTGAGAATGATATGCTTGATGAGCTTGGTGCGCTGGAGCGCAAGTCCCGCGTTTTCAAGGGACTTGCTGTACCGGATACAGGAAAGCGTTGGGAGGAGGATGACTATCTCGATAGCGGAGCGAACGACGCGCAAGCCGGCGCCATGGACGATACATTTGCTATGCTGGAAGGATTAGCTGGAAACAACTCGAAGGCCGACAAGCCACGCCCCTCGCGAGATGAACGCAGCAGCCGAAAGCGCAGCCGCAGCCCCGACGACGATTACAACCGTGGTCGCCGACACGGTGACAGATACCGCTCCAGGTCACGAAGCGCAAATAGGCGCAGCAAAAATGATGATCTGGTGGACGAATTCGGCCGATCAATCGGAAAATACCGAGACCGAGATGATGGCCATCGTAACGGCCACAGCGACAGGCGGCGACGACGCGATCGCGAGCGAGACGACTACTTCGATCAACCGCCGCCCATGGAAGTGGATGACCACCCGGTCCTTTTCAAGGTGTATGATGGAACTGTGACGGGTGTGAAGGACTTTGGTACCTTTGTGAATTTGCAGGGAGTGAAAGGCAAAGTTGATGGTCTCGTTCATGTCTCCCAGATGCAAGAAGGTGTTCGGGTCAACCACCCTTCTGACCTTGTGTCACGAGGCCAATCTGTCAAGGTCAAGGTGGTCAAAATCGAAGGCACTCGAATTGGTTTGTCGATGAAAGAAGTCGATCAAGTCACAGGACGTGATCTTGTTCCTCAACGTCGTTTGGCCTCAGGTGCCAATATGGAACGCCTTGATGGCTCGTCTTCCGATGATAGGTACGGAAACATCAGCTCTGATGTACCCGTAATTGAGTCCTCAGGCCGTCCAATGAGGAATCGAAAGCGAATGACCTCACCAGAGCGGTGGGAAATCCGACAGCTCATCGCATCTGGTGTTGCTTCAGCAGCCGACTACCCTGAACTCGAAGAGGAATACCACTCCACTCTCACCGGAGAGGGTGCTTTCGAAGAAGAAGAAGATGTCGATATTGAAGTCAAAGACGAGGAACCGCCTTTCCTGGCTGGCCAGACAAAGCAGTCCCTCGAGCTCTCTCCTATCCGTGTCGTCAAGGCCCCTGATGGTTCTATGAACCGAGCCGCGATGTCAGGCACAAACCTTGCCAAGGAAAGGCGTGAATTGAAGCAACAAGAAGCGCAAGACAAAGCTGCCGAGCGGGCAGCTGAGGTTGATCTCAATGCTCAATGGCATGATCCTATGGTCGCAGCCGAGGATCGCAAGTTCGCTTCTGATCTGCGTAACACACAGCAGCAAGATGAGGCGATACCGGAGTGGAAGAGGGTCACTATGGGCAAAAATGCCTCATTGGGCAAACGGACCGACATGTCTATCAAAGAGCAGCGCGAGAGCTTGCCCGTGTTTAAATTCCGCAAGCAACTGCTAGATGCTGTCAAGGATAACCAGTTGATGATTGTTGTCGGAGATACTGGATCGGGAAAGACCACGCAGTTGACTCAGTATCTAGCTGAAGCTGGCTATGGAAACAATGGCATCATTGGTTGCACCCAGCCGCGTCGTGTGGCTGCTATGTCAGTTGCCAAACGTGTGTCTGAAGAGGTGGGTTGCCGACTAGGTGCAGAGGTTGGGTACACTATCCGTTTCGAGGATTGCACCAGCCCAGAAACCCAGATCAAGTACATGACCGACGGTATGCTTCAACGAGAGATTCTGCTGGATCCGGATCTCAAGAAGTACTCGGTGATCATGCTTGATGAGGCACACGAGCGGACAATTGCCACCGATATCTTGTTCGGACTATTGAAGAAGACGGTCGAGCGAAGACCTGATCTGAGACTCATCGTCACATCGGCCACTCTCGATGCCGAGAAGTTCTCAGAGTACTTCAATGGTTGTCCTATCTTCTCTATTCCGGGAAGAACTTTCCCCGTTGAGATCATGTATTCGAAGGAGCCGGAGTCCGATTATTTGGACGCTGCCCTTATCACTGTGATGCAGATCCACTTGACTGAAGCTGCCGGTGACATCCTTGTCTTCCTCACAGGGCAAGAAGAAATCGATACGTCTTGTGAGATCTTATATGAGCGAATGAAGGCGTTGGGGCCTTCAGTTCCGGAACTGGTCATTTTGCCCGTCTATTCTGCGCTTCCCAGTGAAATGCAAAGTCGCATCTTCGAGCCTGCGCCCCCTGGTGGCCGGAAAGTTATCATTGCTACCAACATTGCCGAAACCTCCATTACAATCGACAATATTTATTATGTCATCGACCCCGGCTTTGTGAAGCAAAATGCCTACGACCCTAAGCTCGGAATGGACTCTCTGGTGGTCACTCCCGTCTCTCAAGCTCAGGCTAAGCAGCGTGCAGGACGTGCAGGACGTACAGGGCCCGGTAAATGTTTTCGACTTTACACCGAAGCTGCGTATCAATCTGAAATGCTTCCGACTACCATTCCTGAAATTCAGCGGCAGAACCTCTCCCACACTATTCTTATGCTCAAGGCCATGGGCATCAATGATCTCCTCCATTTTGACTTCATGGATCCTCCGCCGACGAATACTATGTTGTCAGCTCTAGAGGAATTATATGCATTGTCTGCACTGGACGATGAAGGCCTCTTGACCCGACTCGGTCGAAAGATGGCCGATTTTCCCATGGAGCCCGCCTTGGCCAAGGTGCTCATCGCTTCTGTCGACATGGGTTGCTCCGATGAAATGCTTAGCATTGTCGCCATGCTTTCCATCACTTCGGTATTCTACCGTCCAAAGGAAAAGCAGCAACAAGCCGACCAGAAGAAGGCCAAGTTCCACGACCCGCATGGAGATCATCTTACGCTTTTGAATGTCTACAATTCATGGAAACACTCCAAATTTAGCAATGCGTGGTGTTTTGAGAATTTCATCCAGGCGCGACAAATCCGCCGTGCACAAGACGTGCGACAGCAGCTCTTTGGCATCATGAATCGCTATCGCCATAAGATCGTCTCGTGCGGGCGAGACACAATGAAAGTCCGACAAGCTCTCTGCACGGGCTTTTTTCGAAACGCTGCCCGCAAGGACCCTCAGGAAGGATACAAGACCCTTGTCGAAGGCACACCTGTGTACATGCACCCGAGTTCCGCGCTCTTTGGGAAACCGTCAGAGCACGTCATCTACCACGATCTGGTTCTCACCTCCAAAGAGTACATGCATTGCACCACGTCGATCGAACCAAAATGGCTGGTTGAAGCGGCGCCTACCTTTTTCAAGGTTGCGCCCACTGACCGTCTGTCTAAACGCAAAAAGGCCGAGCGCATTCAGCCTCTGCACAACCGGTTTGCCGGTGAGGATGACTGGCGTCTCTCGGCTCAACGACGACAGGGCAGGGGTGGTGGTGGTGGAACATGGGGTTAGCCTGTCACATCTACACCATGTTACGATGGAAAAGTTTGAGGGGTTTAAATCAAAGGCGACACATTTTTATGTACAATTTAAATTCAAGATAAAATCTCCCCCCCCCCCCAAACAAAATTCTTCCGTAAACTGCATAGAGACTCTGCCCTAAGCGCCGTATGGTATCATCTACGTAGTAACGATCAAACCATCTCGCAAGAGTACCTGAGGGCACTAGCATACAGAGTAGTGGTGAGTCCCGATATCGTTAATGCACCGGGAGTTTAATTGTTCTCCCTTTTTTAATCATCGACAATATCATTAAAAATGAAGATCGAGGGCCTTAGCTTCTAGTTTTGTCCTTCGTCAAAATCGTTGATGTCCTCGTTTTCGCGCTCTGAAGTTGATGTGAGTTGCGGAGACGCACGGACCAATCGGCGACCGCGAAATTTCGATGGCATCGGATCCTCGCAGCGACCAAGAAAAAAACATCTCACTTCCTCCCCAGCGCAAAAATGGCGCATGTCACAGAACATCCGCTTCGGATAAAGCGGAGAAAGCTGGATGAAGATACACAGCCCGTCGAGGAGGTCACCTTTACATCTCCGAACCAACTACGCGACTTGCTCGTCTTCCAGCAGAACCCCGTGGCGGCCAAGCAAGGTCGGCAGCCTCTACAAAACAAATTAAGAGACGCAGGAGCTAACCTGAATACTAGGTCTAAACAAATTCAAAGAGTTCCTCTCGTCTATCCATAACCCGGATAATGAGAACGAAAAAGCCCGGAAGCTGAAGGTCCTGAAAGGCTATTGCGATAAGCAAATCTCCCCTGGAAAGGAAGAGGGAGCCTCGATATGCTTTCCGGATATCATTCAGGCCTGGAGTTTTGCTGACAGCAATAACAATGAGCCGCTTCTCACCAACGTTCCGTCGGTATTGGCCATCTTCCTGAAGACCATCTCGCGAGAGCTTGAATTTCGGGACTTTGGCCTTGCTCTGTGCAAGCATCTGTTGCAGAAGGACCAGTTGAGACTTTTCAACCGCGGGTTGACTGCTCTGAAATCAAAAGAGCATCTCATTTCTCCTTGTCTCCGCCTCTTGACGGAGATTGTGACTTATGATGGAGGCGCAGTGGCCCGGCAGTTATATAGCCGCCGTTACATCGCCTTCAAGCGTCTCGAGATATTTTTGACTCCCAACAAGGTCCAACTGGAGTCAGGTGAAGAGGCTCAGAAATCGACCCTTCGACGAAATGCCCTGCGCTATCTGCTTGCCAACTTTAGAGTACAGAGCACCTTGGAAAAGAGCGATATCATCGAGCAATTCAAACTTACCAAATCTCTACTCGAATACGTTCGAAAGGACCCTCGGGATATTGCTTTGGAAGTCATCAAGTCGATCGAGAGAGATATCGTTCAAGACGCTTCGCTACCGCGCAAGTCGAAGAACAAATTCTTCAATCGAGTGAACCTAGAGAAGCTGGTGACTCTTTATGGCTATGATCGTGAATCCGATGAGCCAAACCCGGAAGGTATTTCCATCGCGAACGAGGTTCACCGGATCCTTTTGAACATATCTAAGACCGCCGACCTTGGCGTTCTTCTTCCCGAGTCGGGATGGTATCCGGTCGGAGTTGATCCGGAGACCCTGCCCGTGGACGATGACGAATGTATTGAACTGGGACTTGACTCGCCGATCTATGTCGACAAATACCGAGAGTCTGTCCCTGTGCGCAACAACAACTTATCATACCTGATTCAATGCCTTCGACCCGATGTGGATAGTCTTCAGATCGAGCTATTAGTGAATATCTTCAAGGTAGCGCCAGAGCTAATTGCTGATTACTTCACGAAGAAGTCCATGTTCACATCAGACCCCAAGCCGACAGCCTCGTGGATGGCTGAATCCGCCTTTCTCTTCTCGACGGTGCAACTGCCCGTCCCCACAAATTGTGGCTGGAAGGACAAGCAGCCCATCCTGCCACCGCCAGTCTCAATTGTCATTGAAAATATCCTTCCGCGTCCGTTGACCCAGAGAATTATGACCCGCTGTCTGAACCAGAATGCAGAGATCATTACTCTATTCGCCGTGCGAATCCTGACAGAAGCATTCAAGAAACTGCGGGCAGTGCTGAAGATTTTCCGAGCCGAACATAGCCAGGCGCAGTTGTTCTGGAATCAGGCTTCATCCAGACTACTCGCTGAGTTTTACCGTCGATGCCCCGCTATGAAAGACGTTATTGTTCTGTTCCGCCGAACTGCCAAGGAGGATTTGCAGCAGCAAGAGGCTGTCGCAGAGCTTCTGACCTTCTACTACGAAGTGATGCCCGATATCGCATTGGAAGAGAACTTTGATGTGTCTTTGGTCCTGGTTGACGTGCTGAAACGATTGGAGGAGCCAGAAATCAGCACCGATGATTCGGAGCTTCTCCTGAGTCAGCTCCAGAGTGTTCTTCAGATCGCACAGCAATCCACTTCGGTGCGCTGGTGGCAAAAGCCAGCATCTATGCAATATTCGCCGTTCATCTCGGTCCTCAAGGTTCTTATCGAGACATCAGACAGGGACTCTTCCCGACGAATTTCGGTCTTGCTGAGGTCGGTCCTTGTGGAGAGCTCGATTCTGCAGAATTCCCCGCTGTCCTTCAATGCTCTACTGACTAGTATCGAGGATGTTGGATCGGAAACTCTGCAGAAGCAACTTGTATTCATTGAGAACTGCCTATCTCGTGTTGCCAAGAAACCTGTCCACTACCTCGACTTAATTGAAAATCTTTCGAAGGGTGCGACGGACACAACGAGTTCATTCGTGGCTGCTATTGTTGAGCAGTGGCCTTTTATTGTTAAGGCTGGTGATGAATCAACTGAAGCGGCCGTTGGATCGTGGATCTCAAAACTACTGGGACAACTGAATCAAGCCGGAGAGAGCCCCGCTGCACTGAAGTCCGCCCGGGATGCTCTGGTCGAGGTGACGAAGACGAAGAAGGTTCGCTCTTCTTTCAAAAAGTGTCTGAGGGAGACAGATGATGCCGAATCGGGAGATAAAATGGACATTGACACTACTCCGGTCACATCTATTGCCACCAGCAAGCGCCCGGAGGTGGATCTCGATGAAATATTTGGCTTTTTGCCAGCCGAAGGGACAACCCATAATGCATTGCATAGGTGGGAGAAAGAGGATCTGGAAGTAGCAGTGGAACAGGGTCAGGTGGCCGAGTTGATGCTCTGCCTGTGCTCCGACCACGAGGAAGTTCGAAGGCAGGCATTTGCCAATGTCGCTCGCTTTATGGCCAAATTGAAGGAAAGCAAGTATGTGGAATGGCGATCTGTTTATCTTCTCACCGGTGAACTGCTCGAGACGGTCAACAGTCTTGGAATCAAAACCGGTGAACCCATTCCTTGGATCGTTGGTGAATGTGCGGCCAACTGCCTCGCAGTCATCACGAACCCGCTGCACAAAGTGTATGGCAAAGTCAACAAGTTCTTGCAAAAATCACCTTCGTGGGAGGTGGACAAGATCCCTTCTTATTGGATTGATAAGATTCTCCTACATGAGCCTGAGCTGGACGATGGGTTCTTCGATGAAACTGATTGGTTGCTGGGCATGTTTGTGAAGGGTCTGCGCAGCAAGGCGGTATGTGGTCCTCTTTTATAATCTCGTGCCGGAGAAACGGAGCTAATAATATTCTAGGATATGGATATCTACCGTCGTGCGAATGTTTTCGAGCGCATCCTTTCGCTTTATCAAGCGCCCAGCATTGGTCCTGCTGCGCGCAAAAAGATTCTACACATCCTCTACCGCGCCGCTCAGGTTGGAGGCAGTACGACGCTGATCACTCGCGCAGCTGTCATCCCCTGGATTCAGCTTCAGATGATCGACTCTGACGCGAAGGAGGCCGATCTCCTCTCGGCTCTGGCACGAGCAATCTATGAATCGTCTGATCGGGAGCGTGTGGATGCTTGGAGTGCTGGCACCATCGAGCTATCACTGAAGAGGATTGCACGGGCGTGAATGAGTGAGATGTGTATCATTATGTAGCCAACTTTTTCGAGGCAGTCAAGATTTTTTGCTGATGCACCGGTGTCCTTTAGAAACCTAATGGCACTGTATATTACAATACTTTCATAAAGTTGCAAGGGAAGTCCGTTGTTGTGCCAAGCATTTGCTTATGGTGTTTCAATGGTACCGATTGGTGTAATATATCATTTGCGACTAGACACTCCTAGTAGGATCATCAATTTTATATGAAAAAGAGGGAGTGGTAAGTCCATTGGAAGTCAACCGGTCGCTACCTACCATAAGACGCCATGTTTCTGCCGCTGAAGCATTATTGTATGTGAGGTGAGAACTATTAGCGTAGCAGCTCCTCCGAGCCCGTTTCGGAAGCCCTTGATACTACACTAGTTAGTAGCCTTTGGCGGACTTGCCAGACATCTGCCCCTTTGTTCTTCTACTCCGTTCCCCATCCAATATATTCCACAAGCCAGATCTTACTCAGAAAACACGGCTGCAGCTACTCGCCATCGTTTTCCAACGGCGTGTGACTACTTGACCTGCAGGTTATTATCGGGCGCAACCACTCGCAGCTGGGCCTCACTTCCCCTTTCGGTACCGCAAAACCCCTCCAGAAGTTCGAGCTCCGCAACCACCGCAGCTGTCTTTGCTTACACGCACCGCTACCTTCGGAAATCCTTATTTGACATTTCCCCATCCCCATCCACCCTTAGCGTCTCGTGGCCGCTGCCTATTTTGTCTGTTTTGCTCTGTTTCCTTCGGGTACTTCCTCACCGACCCCGACTCCGCCTTGGACGTCGCCACAAAGTGGCTTGTCGGCTTCTCCTCACCCCGACCTCTTTTTCCGATTAACCTTCCTCACCCCACGAAATCCCCCTTGAAACGTCTTCAATCATCCTGGAAGCTCTTCGCTCGCTGAAAGCATACGATCACTTCTCACCAAATACCCCCGTGAACAAATGAGACCGTCATAACTCGTCGATCAAGACCGCACACACCCAGAAACGGCCGTCATGGCGCGACGGTACGAGATCGAGGAGCTCATCTTCCTGCGCTCATCGCCTCTCGTCGCAAAGCCTCCTGGCCTTCCCCCAATTGAAGAATGGATGTAAGTCGAGCCACACTGTCTGTCTCAGCAGAGCGTTCCCGCACCTCAATCTCCTCATCCTAATCTGACCTTGTTCTTTGTGGATAGGCCTCAACCCGAACCTACCACCCAACGCAAGCAACAGACAACCCGCGACCCAAATAACCCATCCGACACGCCTACAAATAGAAGACCAAGCTTTTTTGAAGCTCGGCATATCTCTCGGGGCTCCAATTCAGGTAATGCTTATCTCCCTCTCTTCATCTGCCTTAAACCTGCCCTTTAATCACTCTACGAATCCTCCTCCACCCCCCAAAGGTAACATGGACTGACCGTATCTGGAATGATACAGAAGAAATCGTGCTTGGTCCTCCTAAGACCGCCTTTGCTTCATCTCGTATCGGGGGTAAAGGCTCTTTTGACCTGACGGAGCGAGGAAACCGCACAAACGAAACGGACGAGAGAAATGACCGCTTCAACTTTCGAGATCGAGCCTTCAAAGACCGAGACCCACAAGAGAGAGAGTTTGGCCGACAGGGAGGCTTGACTCCCCGACGCGGGGACAAGGAGGACTGGAATGCTGGACGCCCCCGCCGAACCTTTGGCCCCGACGAGCAAGAGCGCAAGCCCCGGCGCAACGGAGAGTTTGATCGATGGGAGAACCGCGATAACCCTCGAGAACACAACACTGAACGTGGAACCCGTGAGAGAGATGGCCGGTTCTCTGCGCGAAAGGATGGTCAGCCTGGACGATCCAAGTATGATGGAAGCTGGTTCCGTGACGAAAATTCCCATGATGCCCTTGAAGCCGATGACGATAAGCCACCACTCCGCACGCGCGAGTGGCGCCGTGACCGTCATGGTGCAGATCGCGACTGGACTCGCGGCGCAAAACTCGAACAAGAGCCAGAGTGGCTCGATACGAATGGCAGGGAAGAGCCGCGACGAGCACATACACAGGAGGACTTCGAGCGTTGGAAGGAGCGAATGAAGGCTGGCTCTAGCGCTGCCCAGCAGGCCGCATCGCAAGAGGAAAAGGTTTCCCATTCAAATCCTCCCCAGGAGAAACCCGAGACGCGCCGAACAGATGGTGAAATCTTCAGCTCCGGTGTCCCATTCATGGGAGACACATCTATGGAACGATTCTTCGGCATGTTGGGAGAACCGAAACCGACACCTCCAGATGTCGGATCACCCATCGCCGCCGAACCGACTCCGAAGAAAGACAGTGGCGCTGGTGGGAAGTCCGGAAAGTCGTCTCGGTTTGCTGGTCTGTTTAGCCCTCCTCCCGACAGTCCTTTCAAGGCCCCCGAATCGCCAGCCCAGCCGAAATCCTCAGCTGGAAGTACTCCAGCAAACGCAAACTCTCAAGATGCCGACCAAGAGGGTTTCCAACGAATCCTGCAGATGCTTGGTGGCGGTGGTGGTGGTGGTGGTGGTGGTGGTGGTGGTGGTGGTGGTGCTGCTGCTGCGGCTGGAGCTGGAAACGGGCGTTCGCAGAGTGGCACGCCTCACCAGGCTGAGCACCATCTGCAATCTCGTCCGTCGTCGATGGCGCATGCGGAGCACGCTCGGGCTGCTGCAAGCATGTCGTCCCCTGTACGAGACCCTATGGGCCGGCCAGCAGACTTTGCGAGCCCTGCTCAGGAGAATCCTCTTGCCCAGATGGCAGGCAAAGAGCCTCATCCCGGTGAACGCGAGCATCTTCTTCGATTGATGCAGCAGGTCCAAATTGGCCCGCATTCCGCTGGCGCTGCTCAGCGGTCTCCCAATGCAGGCCCGGCTCCCCCTCCAGGCTTGATGCCGGAAATGATGCCTCGGCTCCCTCCGGGCTTGGGTGGCCCTAAGACTCCCAACTTCTTTGATGATCCTGCTATTGCCAATATGCAACGACCCGACAGCGATCAACTTCGTCGACGACCTGGCAATGGCCCGCCTCTGGGTTATCTCGATGATATGCCTTTCCCTCATGGTGGCCAGGGCCCGCTGACTCCGGGTGGCTCGCACCCTCAGCGCCTCAACCAGCCGCCTATGCCTCTTCAGCGTCCTCCAGGCTTGGAGCATCTGCCTCCACCGGGATGGACCGGCCAGCCTCCCCCCACAGCAAGGCAATGGGCCGAGCCCCATGGGACCGCCCCCTGGAATTCCCACACCCAACCGTGGGCCTCCTAACTTCCCACCTGGCATGATACCAATGCCTGGTAACGGACCTCCACTTAACGAGCGGCAAAGCTTTCCCCGTGGGCCCCCTCCCGGTATGATGCCTCCTCCAGGATACATGGGCGGTCCTCCCCCTCCCGGATTCCCTATGCCTCCTAACCCAGAGGCCATGATGGGGCTCGGCCCTGGAGGCCAGGGTCCATTCGGACCTGGTAACCCTGGCCCTGGCGGTCCTCCCCCGTCTTCTCGACACCTGCTGGAGATGTTCGGACAGTCCAGTGGCGGCGAAGGCCGCGGCGGCATGATTGGACCAGGCCAGTTCAGATAAGCAGTGCGTTTCTGCACGTTCACCATCCGATCCGTTATTTTATTGCTCATTGTGATCTGTAACTATATGGGCAAAATTTTGCTGGAGGGAATGTACGGTGCAAGAATTCGGTCTCTATTTTATCCCGGTCCGGTTACACGGCAACGTTGCATCATCTCTTGAAGAGTAAAGCATGACTTTTGTTGATTCTCTTCATTTATTTTTCTTTATCGTTTCTTTTTTTTTCGCCGAACCGCTTCTCTTCCCCCCTGGTGTATTTTGCTCATTCCCACTTTCGGTACGGTGATGCTTTTCCGACTGTATGTCTGCTAAGCGCCCCGGTCTCAGCCATGGCTTTATCGGCCTTGGCTCTTTCGTTATTTTTATGCTACATGCCTCAGACCGGGGTCCAATTCTTCTTTCCAACATGCTTCGATTGTCAAAGGATTTGTATGCTGCTTTTGCCGTTACCAGTGCCGGGGGTGACCGCAATTCCGCTCGAGGAGACCAACAAGGACACGTTTTGTCGATCGATTTGGCGGCCGGTGGATTGTTTTAAATCTATGCTCGGCGCAGAGGCAATAATGCAGGTTTTTGCTTCTCGTTGGTGGATACTATTGCTCATAGATTGCTGGACAGATACAATCTATCAATCGCTTGGTCGAGACTATTGCATTGTAGCGCCCACTAATCTTCTTCGGGACATTGTAGAAACTCAAAAGGCACAAAAGTAAAAATAGATATCACACTAGTAGTGTCGTTGAGAATTAGTTCTTACGAAAAGAAAATAGAGTTAACTTGTTACCAAATCAATGGCTTAATAACGCTTAATTAATTTTATCAAATGTACACCATGAGTGCGTGGAGTGAGATTAAAAGGGCTGACAGTATCCTACCCCTTCAAACTCAGCCTCGACCTATATACTCGTGACCATAGGCGAAGGATAAAGAACATTATTGACACCGATTCACCTCCCAGATCGTGAATGTGCTTAGAGAGCAGCCAGGGCCTGGCGAGCGTCGTGGATGGACTTGTAGATCGCCTTGTTGTCGTCCTGGATGATGTCCAGGCAGTACGGGGTGGCGGTCTTGGCAACGCCCTTTACGAAGTCCTAGAGAGCAATCGGATTAGCTGGATGTCTTCCAAGGTGAGTCGTGTTCGTGGTGTTGCGGAATGACTTACACCAGTCTCCTCAGTGACCTTGTTCAGGCAGTGCTGCAGATCGTGGCGCTGAGTCTGGTTGAAGTAGTTGACGCTGTTGACGAAGTTGTAGTTCAGCTCGATGCCGGTCAGGGCAAGCTGCATCATATATCATTAGAATCGGGTCCAAGTACTCGCAATTGAGCCGAGAGGTAGGTTTGAGGTTTGCACATACCGAGTGGAAGGACTGGCAGATAACCATTTGCTGGGAGTCCTCCAGCGGCTTCCAGGGCTGAGGCATCATCATGTCGGTGGCCTCGCGGGCAACGACCTCCTTGTAGGCGACAACGATGTCCTGTGTGGCATTTCCAATTAGTTGACTGTTTTTGGGGTAGTATTGGTACGGGATAATGCACAACGTACGTTGGCAGTGGCATCGCCAGTGTTGTGCGTCAGCTGGCTCAGAAGGACATCGGTCTGCTTGAAACCGAGGTCAAGCTGGGAGATGCGGCGCTGGACAGTGGGAGCAATGTCACTGGCGTTGTTGGCCGCGGCACCGATGGTCAGGACGAAGGCAATGAGAAGGTTCTTGAACTGCATTATGAACGGTATTGGGTATACTAGAACGAGTCTAGATCTGTAATGGACGAATGTATGTGGTTGGTGAAAAGAGTGGACTGAAAAGAAGGACTGGAATACTCGAGAACATTATTGGGAGATAGAGAGGAACATGCCCTCCTTAATAAACTTTGGATAGACCTGGAGAGCAATGCGCTCTAGTGTGATTTGGAATACATACAGGTCGTTTTTTTGCACCAAATTCCTGCAGCATCCGTTCCTGTGCGGCCTACGGGGTGCCTGGCCTGAATCAACTAAACCGACTAACCGGGCTAGCGGTTCTTGCTCTCGGTCGGCTGATTGGCAGGCCTCACATCGTGCCAGAAGCGTGGAGATCCGATCGACAAGGGCAATCCAATTCCGACCGAGTTGTATCGCGCCAGGTGGGAACGGGAGTGGCAGATCTGGAGGGGTTAGTGTCCGCCGGACCCAAAAGTTATTGAGGGAGTGCATGCAGTTGAGAGCACCAGTTGATCCAAGCGACAGGCACAATTCAACGGTGGAGCTCGACCCGGGCCAATCGCCCCAAAGACGTCGCTGTTTGGCGGGAATTGGGATCGCCAGCGCGCAGAGACTCAAAACTGAGACCTCGCCCGGCCGCGCGACCCACTGAGTAAGGCCGCGAGCTTATCCCGGGGAAGAACCCTGTAAGTGCAGCTGCGGATGCGAGATACGATTGCCATGCGATGGGAGATGAGGTCCGTCTTTGGAGGCTCCCGGTAGCGTGGGCTCGGGATGCTGGAAGGAAGGAGGCTGCAGAAGTCCGAAGTACCAAGTGTGGAGAGCATTGATTCATGCTGCACTGCTCAGGGGAAAACGCTCCCCATTTGTCATGGCTTGGTCTCCTTTTGCTCGTGTTCGCCAGGAGAAGCTCAGCCACATCTCTCAACTTTCATGATTGCTGATTTTGCGCATATCGATCCTTCGTTAGCGTGAGCATGTCTCTCTCCGGAGGATGCCTCGAGGTATCCAGAGTTGATACCCGATATCGCCTCCGCGCGGGTAGATCAAGCGAGATCCTTATACAGCCCCATATATTGTCGTAGACAGTAAGACCAGACCCAGAACACTCTGACTAGCGCGGTCGCCTTTCTCTTCACATGCCGCTATGGCTCGGCTGCCACCGAACGTCTCCGGGCTACCGTGCAAAACGGCCGGACCCCTTTCCCAGGGTTTCGCGGTCTGCGATTGCGCAGTGTTAACTTGTACTGAGCTTGAAGTTCTCGATGTCACTTCTGTTTGGCAATTGTTGCTCCCTGGGAGACTGACATCTCACTGTGGACGCTTGTGATGCCCTCATCAAATCCCCAAATTGACATGGACGAGCATATCACGAGGAGAAGGTGTGGCGTATATGAGGTCCCCTGGAATCGTTTGCTTGAAGCAACCATGCCTAGTATTCCGCCGCAGTTAGGAGACGACCGATGTTTATGTAAGGTGCTGCCTCTGTGGTACCTGGACGAAGTCGAGGTCCGTCAAACGTAAACGAGCAGAATGTCTCGAACCGAAACTGCCATTGTGATAGATGATTGAGAGAAACCGGCCTCTTAACACGATGCTGATCTGTGTAGTGGGTGAAGCTGTACGGGCTGTGAATAGCTTCAGCTCTGACGCATGAGGTGTTGTGTGCCTGTCTGCATCTGTCTGCGCGGTTTGGAAATCCTGAAATCTGGAGCCCAAGGGAATCTGCCTCTCTTGAGTTATTGGGATAGGACCGTGGCACATATTATGCAGGATTTTGACGTGGGCGCCGAGGAAAGTGTGTGTAGTGGGCGGCATCTTCCAGAAAAACCCCCAAAAGTAAAGAATCATTGCGCAAAGTTAGGAAATGGCGGCAGTGACTTTGTATTTTCCCAGAACCTCCAGACTTGTCCTCCACTTTCTCTTTAAATTCTCATTTCGATGGGGTCCCAGTTCCCATTCGCTGACTCTGATCGTCCTTTTGCCTTTTGAACATGGATAACACCGACCTCGACCCTCTGGGCCTCAACCCCAACGATGCCGCTCCTCGGACCACCGAGGCCACTCGACGTGCGCGGCTGGCAGCCAGACAGGCTGCTCGACTGGCAGCAGGTGAGTCGACCCCTGAACAAGATGCAGATGCGGCGCTCCTCGGCCCTCCCCGCCGTCCATCTGAAGAGCGCGAGAGTTTCATCATCTACGAGAACCCTCCCGAGACCCAAGGTGACCCAGACTACATCCCGTTGGGCCATACTTATGTCTCAATGCCCTTTGAGGACCAGGAGAACGTCTTCGGAGAATCCAGGTTGACCCGCATCATCAGTAGCAACGACGCTGACAATTACTCGGAGGCATCCACGGAAATCGACTTTGACCGAGAGGAGCAGCAGGGGGACCCAAAAACTGCTGCCCTGATTATCCCTCCGATCCCCGTGGGTGATACAGCTCGTCCACCAACCAACACAAACAAAGGCCGCGGCCTGAACAGTCTCCCTGACGATGACATCTTTGGCCTGCCACCTCTACATGTAGGCCTCTCTCGCTCAAGAGAGCGTCGTCGTCGAGAACGCAGGGCTCGAATGGTCCGGCAGCCTCCAAGTTCTTCGTTGGACACTCTGCCCCAGCAAGGTGAAGAAGAGGGATCAAGCAGCGACTACGAGGGGTACTATTCCCCGTTCCCGTACGATCTTGACGTGGACCAAATTCAGGATCGACACAGTTCTGTTCGCTGAACCAAAAAACAGGCTCATTGGCGAGGACCGATGGGGGTTCGAGTCGGCTAAGCGATTCACCCCCATGCCCAGTAAGTCATCCACAATCTATTGATGTTTACATTGTAATGTGCATTACCATGTACTTGAAAGCCTTCAACATATGAATTCATAACTTGCCCTCTAGAAATTCGGGAGACGTGGAGGAGTAACGATAGCACCGCAATTGTATTGGCTCAATGGGGTATTTGAAAGCAAAAGCATTTATCATATCGGCGGCTCCAATGCAAGAACGCCATCCAGAATAGAATCAGGAGTCACATTGTCCAGGACTTGGGATACAGCCCCTAGATCACTTCCATATTGAAGACTGCGGTCATCCTCTGGCTTCGCGACAACAATTCGGTGACGGAAGACCTTCCTCGCAGCCAGCGCCACAATCGATGGTGTTAGGTAATCGATACCGTGAATGGGTGCAAGGAGCCTAGAGAAGATGGTCACCCATACCGATCCGTGTATAGTGTTCACGCGTGAGCCACGACTTACTGTGCAAACTGAGCGAACTGATTGTTTGATTTGGCAGAGATACCACCAGCCACGGCACGGCTGAGCCGCAGAAAGACAACGATATCCTGGATGTACCGAACGACCTCGGCGCTTGTTGTGACTGATTCACTTGCTTCTCGAAGTTTGTTCAGAATCTAAGAGGCAATTAAAAGGTGAACCCCGGAAATGGGAAGCGGGCGTACCATTTCATCGATTTTGGCGCGCTGCTGCTTTTTGGCTTTTGACTTGTGAATCACTGACGACGTAGAGTATTGACCGTCGGAGAACCATTCATTCTCTTCCAGGTACACGTATCCATCCTCAGGGTCGTGGAAATGGGAAACTAAGAGATGCTCGCTCTGTAATTGAATTAGTTTCCATGTCAACTGATCAGATCGACGGGGAGCTGGCATACAAGGTGTGTTCGTAACGGAGGATCAAGCAGATCTCCATCGCGGACGACAAGGGGTACGAAGAGGAAGTCTGCCGGAGCATGTAATATTCCCGCTTCTGTTGCCAGGTTTCTTGTTCGCATTAACTGTTGAGAAGGTTAGAATAATCACGAGAATGGTCTGAAAGGAGACATCGCTTCATGAACCTGGTCGAAGGTTTCAAGGTTCATGGGGGGCCATGACATGAAACGTGTATGCCTACCTGCAACGCCTGGACCTGAACGTCATCTTCAACCAAGTTGAAATTTTTCGCAATGACGATATTGACGACATTTACATCATCGGCCGGAGTATTGGGGACCGGAGACCTGCTTCGATCTCGCGGGCCCATATAAACGGAAATGTTACTGGACTGTCTCAATCAGTATATGCCATAGAAAATTTCCATATCCGAGACATACCGATTCAGTATTCCCGCGCACATAGGGTGGCCGCGATTGGAAATTGCGCGCATCCTGAGTGAGAATCTCATCGTGGATGTCCTCGATTGATGTTGCGGCACAGCAATCAACAATGCAGGATGACAGATCGAAAGTGTTCGAGGATATCTATATGCAAAGTCAGTAAATATTTTTGAGAGACGGAGAGGCTCCGCAATAGTCCGTATGCATGATTCACCAGGGTTAGCTCCTTTGCAAGATCGTCGACATAGTTTCTGGTGGTCTCAATCAGGCAATGTGCGCGACTGGCCAAGCACAGAAAAAGTGCCACTTCAACAGCGGACAACTGTCGCGCGATATCCTCGAGAATATCACCATCCATCCTTCCGCTCCATGAATCCCGAATGTCGCTGGGCGAGATCCGATGGAAGCAATGACGAGTGGAGGGGGAGTCGACGGGTGAGGCCATATTGCTGCCTGGGTGCCTCGACACCTAACAGATCGGGTGTTTATGCTTCCACTTTCGAGCTAGCGTAGCACCTGCCTTGGACGCCGAGTTGCGCTGGCCCGCCCGTCGCCAACAATCAACACGGGGCATGGGTTGACGGTCTGTTTAGGGCCATCGTCTGTGACAAGCATCGTCCAGAAATGGCTCCCTCCAATCCGCTTTCCAACTGGGAAAAGGTTGGCGACAGCTTTTACCGCAAAATCCCGGTGTATGACGCCGTCTTCGACGAAGATGTCGAACTAGAGAACTACATTGTCGCGGGCGCTCCGCATGGAGGGGCAATCGGTATGTCTCGAATGAGGTGATTCATAGGGATTCATGCTGACTGGCTTATGTTCGCAGCGCTCTATCGTGATGAGAACAAGCCGTTCAGGTTGCGCGACACGCAAGCATCACGGTCGGGAATCAACATTTATTCGTGTTCAGGAAAACTGATTAATCGAATTAATGTGCATACCTCCTGCCTACTGGCGTCTCGAGCGGACTTAAGCTAACTTTTGTACAGTGGGATCAAGCTACCATTCGGGGGCTCGGCTGGTCCGACAAAGAGGAGCTCTTGGTAGTTGCCGAGGATGGCACCGTCCGTCGTTACTTCGGGCTGGATGGCGAGTTCACCTCCTTCTCGCTGGGCAATGTGAGTGTCCTTGGCCATGTGAAATCTAAGCCGAATCCCATTATTGACTCGCGGGATATAGGGCGCCGAAGAGTACGGCGTGCGGGCTTGCCAATTCTGGGCGTCCGGCCTTGTTGCATTATTGTCCAATAACCAACTGGTCGCGGTCTCGAAATATGATGAACCACGTCCACGACAGCTCGCGCCTTGTCCCGAGGGCGAGGTATCTTCATGGGCACTAAGTCCCCCGGCGCACACGCTCTCGCGCTCGGTAGAAGTTCTCCTGGCTGTCGACAAAACAGTCTACCTTGTCGATTCCACCGAAGCTGAAGACAAGATCCTGCAGGACGGTCCGTTCAAACACATCAGCGTTTCCCCATCGGGGCGCTTCGTTGCGCTCTTTACCGGGGAAGGAAAGTTGTGGGTTGTCAGCAATGACTTCCAGAGCAAACTAAGCGAATATGATTCTAAATCTCGGGTTGTCCCGAGTTCCATGAACTGGTGTGGCGATGATGCTGTCGTTCTAGCCTGGGAGGACGAGATCCACCTAGTTGGACCCAATGGTGCTGCTTCGAAGTAGGTTGAGTCCCTGCGGAGTCTCGCTCGCTGCTAACAAACCCGTCAGGTTCTATTATGATGCCCGTGTACACGTCATTCCCGAGTTTGATGGTGTTCGCTTGATAACGAACGACACCTGCGAATTTTTGCATAAAGCCAATGAAGTCACGGAAGGGATTTTCAGACCGGGCTCCTCAGCTCCTGCATCTGTGTTACTTGACTCGGTCGAGCAATTAGAAAAGATGTCGCCAAAGGCCAATGAGAATATTCAACGGATTCGCTCGGGTCTTCCTGCTGCAGTCGATGCATGTATCAAAGCAGCAGGTCACGAGTTTGATGTGTACTGGCAGAAGCGCTTACTCAAGGCCGCTTCCTTTGGCAAATCAGTCTTGGATCTTTACAACAGCGACGAATTTGTTGAGATGACCGAGAAACTTCGTGTCCTGACCGCGGTACGCGATTACCAAGTCGGACTACCAGTGTCATACGAGCAATACTTGCGCTTGACTCCGGAGGGACTCATTGAGCGCCTGATCAACCGTCACGAGTACCTGCTCGCCATCCGAGTTTCTGAATACCTCCAAATACCGGCGGATCGCATCTATGTGCACTGGGCGAGCCAAAAAGTAAGAGTCTCTACCGGGGATGATGAGGCTGTATGCAAGCTCATTGTTCAAAGACTGGAAGGAAAGCCGGGTATCTCTTTCGAAACTATTGCACAGGCAGCCTATGACGAGGGCCGATCGCATTTGGCTACTCAGCTGCTGAACTATGAACCTCGCGCTGGTAAGCAGGTTCCACTGTTGCTGAGCATGGAAGAGGACGAGGTGGCTCTCGACAAGGCAATCGAAAGTGGGGATGATGATTTGGTAAATTACGTGCTTCTACATTTGAAGAGCAAGCTTCCCCTCGCGAGTTTCTTCCGCATGATCAACAGTCGCCCAGTAGCATCCGCATTGGTCGAAACAGCTGCACGAGGTGAAGACATTGAGCTTCTCAAGGACCTTTTCTACCAGGATGATCGTCCCATTGAGGGATCTAATGTTTTGTTGTCGGAAGCTCTACGAGAAACAGATCTAGAGCGTAAGACTGAGAAGCTTCACCTGGCAACACGCTTGCTGTCCGACTCCAAAGACCCAACTGTTGTGTTGCACCAAAAACTCGTTTCCGAAGCCTCGCAACTTCTCAAAGCCCAGGAGGCGCTGGACAAAGATCTTGCTGATCGAGCCGAGTTTGTCGGTCTCAGCCTGAACGACACGATTTACAGGTTATTCCGAGCGGGCTACGGAAAGCGAGCGCATAAGATGCAGGCTGAATTCAAGATGCCGGAAAAGACCTTCTGGTGGCTAAGGTTGAGAGCATTGGTAGCTAAGAGGGACTGGGGTGAGTTAGAAGAGATTGGAAAAGGGAAGAAGTCCCCCATTGGATGGGAGGTAAGATGTCATTGACAATCCGAGCTATCCGATCATATTCTAACAACAGGATAATAGCCCTTCTATAACGAGGTTCTCGGTGCCGGAAACACGAAGCTGGCGTCCCTATTTGTTCCGAAGTGCACGAATCTGCAACCTGCCGAGCGAATTGAAATGTGGGTGAAGTGTGGAATGATTGTGAAGGCGGGAGAGGAGGCGCAAAAGGCGAAGGACCTGAACGCCCTTGAGCACATTCGAACTAAAGCGTCTGGACCGGCGGCAACGGAAATCGAGCGCATGATAAATCAACTCAGGCCGAGGAAATAGAGAGCTGAGCGCGTCGGCATTTTTGGGGCAGGACGTCATGTTCAAGTAATTTCGTCGTCTTCATCAGCCGTGGCAGGATCCGCTGCCGCTGGTGCCACAGAAGCCGCAAATACATTAGCTGTGGTCCTGGGTTGTGTTGTATCATCGGCCATAGCATTATCGTCATCGTCATCTTCATCGTCATCGTCTTCCTCGTCTTTGCCAGCCTGCTGGAGCACTGCAAACGCCGATGCATTGGCAGTTCGGTTTGTATCCTCCCACTCAGCCTAAAGAGAGAGTACCTTGTCAGCATCCGTGCACCTAAGTAGAAAAGAATTTGCTCTGCGAAAACATCATACCCTTCTGGTCTTAATATTCTTAGCCCGGTTGATACTTTTGGCTTTTTTGATTTCCAACTGGTCTAAGACATTCTCGGCCCTCTCCATGCCTTTCTCCTGTCTCAAACGCTGTGCCCGAGTGATTTTCTTATTTGCCTTCTTCTTTTTCTGAACTCCAGCATTTACGCGCTCAGCTAGAATCGTGGGACGCTCGGTAGTAGGGGACTCTGCTCGCGGCAAAGCAACCAAGGACTTGTCGACGGGCGAGACAGCTCGCCGCGCCGCACGGGAGTTCTGACCTTGGGCTATAGTTGTGTTAGATTCGAATGTAATAGCTCACAAGGTGGGCACAATATATAACTCACGCTTGTTCTTAGCCATGGCGCGTTCGACAGTGCAGTGTTTTGAGCAAAGAAATCTCTCCCACTATTGTGTGGAGATTTGACTGCAAAAGCCCGCCGCTATCACAGCTATCGATAAAAAATTTTGCGGCGGGCGCGACGGACCCAAAGCGCAGCTCCCGACCAAAATATACAACGCCTCCACCTGCGCCGTCCTTTCCTTGACACCACTTCGCTCTGTGCTGGTCAACGCAACGGCCCATGCTTGAGGTGCCTGTGCTGCTACGGCTCTCTCAAACTCCCTTTTCGCCATGAATGCTCAAGGGAGAGCTGACATCCTATTGAACCGCCCCATCCATTACGCAAGCCAAAGCAGCCACGATGCGACACCTGCCACGGTCTTTCAGAATCACCAAGCTCTAGTATACACGCTCCTCGCCCTAATTTCTGCCTACGTGGTAGCCGACCACTTCGGCCTCGCGCCAGTCTCTTTGATCCAATTTCTTTGGAACATCCTCGTCTATCTTACACCCGCCCGCGTCCTTGTCGCATTAGACTCCAGAATGTCGCCGGCCGATTCCGACCCCTCAAATCCTTCCCAAATGACGATGCACGCCAAAAGTGAATCGATGCAACGGATTCTGGGCCTTGACAATAACTCGTTTCCTTTCATACCTCGCCCGCGAGCTCTCTCCGGCATTGGGAGTGTTTTCCTGGGAAACAACAAAGAAGCGATTCCCCGGGGGCTAGGGAACTGGGATAATTCCTGTTACCAGAACAGTATAATCCAGGGACTGGCCTCTTTGAAATCTCTTTCATATTTCCTGCGCCAGAACGTCGATGAACTAGCCGAGAACAGCTCTCTTTCAACACATGAGGCGCTAAGGGGGATCATCGACCTCTTGAACAGCGCATCGAAGTACGGACAGAAGTTATGGATCCCACCGGAGCTCAAATCAATGAGCAGTTGGCAACAGCAAGACGCGCAGGAATACTTCTCAAAAGTGGTGGATCAGATAGACATTGAGATTCGAAGGGCGTCCAAAGGACAGACAAGAAACCTGGGCCTGAAGATGGCTGGTCCGCAAGAAAATATTCTTGGCAGCCTTGATCAAAATTCCACGACTAATGACGGCAAGTCTAACGCCAACTCAACTTCCGAAACAGCCTCGCTTCGCAATCCGCTTGAGGGCTTACTTGCCCAACGCGTGGGATGTACCAAGTGCGGGTGGACCGAAGGACTCTCGCTAATCCCATTCAACTGCCTCACGGTTCCACTTGGGAGCAAGTTTGAATACGAGGTTGGTGAATGCCTAGACGATTACATGGCTTTGGAGGAAATAGAGGGCGTCGAGTGTGCCAAATGCACTCTACTGCGTGCTCAGCAACAACTGAAAAACCTTCTGGGAGACATCCTAGGCGGTGACGGGTTCTCTGACAGGCCGGAGTCTCCTGGTCTGTCAGATGCTGTGGTAACTTCTGCGCAAGCTAGACTGGAAGCCGTGAATACCGCCTTGGAAGGCCATGATTTTGCCGAGAAAACCCTCACAGAGAAATGTCACATCCCTTCGAAAAACCGGGTTTCATCGATAAAGTCCCGGCAAGCGGTTATTGCGCGAGCTCCTCAATGCCTTGTCGTGCATATCAACAGAAGTTTGTTTGACGAAATGACAGGCATGCTCAAGAAAAACTATGCCGGCGTCAATTTCCCAAGGACGATGAATCTGAATAATTGGTGTCTTGGGGTCCGATCTACTGGGCAAACCGGAGAATCTCATGAGCAATGGGTTACGGACCCCCGAGAGTCGATGCTTCCTCGTGCAGGTGAAGCAGTCGATGTCCCCAGCAGACAGTACGAACTTCGAGCCATCATCACCCACTACGGACGACATGAGAACGGGCATTATGTATGCTATCGCAAATACTCCACAGCGGAATTCCCGGCTCCCGTTCCAGACGAGGTGCTCCAGGCGGAGGGAGACAAGGAAAAAGCCGAGCGTTGGTATAGGCTGAGCGATGACGATGTGCAGATGGTCAGCGAGGGCCATGTGATGTCACAGGGTGGTGTTTTCATGCTTTTCTACGAAGCCATCGAGCAAAATCTTTCGGCACGCCCCGAAGAGCCGCTGGGCACGGAAACCGTTCTGAACGAACCAACAGAATCGGTATCCAATTTCACAGAAGACATGTCTACAACCTCTACAGTTGCAGATGCAGAGTCGAGTACATCGCGCGCTACCAGTGTTTCTGCCTCTGACCAACCCTCTCTGCCTGTCGAGAACAGCAAGTCTCCAATTCCACCTCTGAAAACCTCCGGTGTGGTAAATATCAACACGCAAGACAGCGGTGGCGACACAATTGGCTCGCCGACTTTTATCACCGCGTCATGAAAATGAATTTTTCCTACTCGTCATTTCTTGCCTTACATTCCACCAGCGAAACCGAGCCGTTCAATAGGCCGCTGCATCATCGTGATACCCGGGATCAATTCATTTGGGGCGTTTACAGGGGAGGGCTGGTCTCTGCTTCTATTTCCAGGGATCTGTACTTCTAGCACAATTCACATCTGATTACATCACAATCCATCAAATTCTCATGCAAATGTTCCATTGTAAATATTTCCATGCGACCTATCTAAGAAAAAAAGGGTCCAATACTCTCTCTAATTTGCTGTTCGAGGTCTCAATTTCAGAAACAAATCCGGCGGCATGTAGCTCTCCTTATCCCGCACTCCATTCACCGTGGCACCATGACCAGCATCAAAGCACTGCTTGCCATGGATCTCCCCATCACGCGAATGTATCATGCCTTCCATAGCTTTGCAATGCTGACGCCACTCGTCTAAAACCACATCGATCTCAGTCTTGGTGTCACCGACCAGAGCATCCATTTTGATGTCATTTCTATCATAGCCGAATGGATCTTCCAGTTGAGAACCGATTCCCTCGATACCATAGAGGGTGAATATGACCAAGCTCACAATGGGAATGGCCCACCAGCCCATCTCATCGACCATTGCGAAAGGAAGTACACACCCAAAAAGAGCGAGGACTTGCTTCTGGTGTATCCTATAACAGTGTTAGCACAGGCCTCCCCGACATGGAAGGAAACGTTCACCAAACATACAAGTGAGCCACTGGTATTGGAGTCAGCTTAATCGTTTCCATCCTCCCATACGCATCAAGAAGAGTATTCAACTGCGCCTGCATCTGACTCGCCCCAGGGGCAGGGAACCATCCTCTCGCCTCACCACGTTTGATAAAGCCATCCACAAAGAATGTCAACTGATAGGGCAACCCCAGCCCTTCATCTTCATGGCCCACTAACCCAGCCGGAAGAAGACCCGCGTACTCGGGGTTATACGCCGCAGTCCCATGTTCATCCATGTCGTTTCCAAAAGCACCACCTAACGCCCACGCAGCCCCCCATTCCGCGCGGAGGTGGTTCTTCGTGGCAAAGGGAATGGCCATCAGAATGCGTATCGTACGTTCGACGTCCTCTCTCTCGGAAGCAGTGGGCGGACCACGCTTGGGATTGTAGCTGTTTGTTGCTATTGTGCGGACTAGATTGCGGACGCAGGTGTTCATTGTGCTCATGCCGTTGCGTCCATCCCAGAATCGGTTGTAAGAGGTTTGATTTCGGAAGACGAGAATCAGACCTACGACGATGGATAGTGATGGGATCTGGATTGAGTGTTAGTTTGGAGCGTTTGGAGCCGGAATGCAAAAGACAGACGATGCTAGCGGGTAACCCGACTGTGGAGACGCGTGTGTCGAGGTACACGACGAATGCTGTGAAAAGGGCATGCAGAAAGACAGGAACTAATATCTCGGCATGAATTGCCCCTTTGATAAAGCGGAAGACGAGGGGCCATCTGGAATGGTCTTTAGGCTTAGATTATTGGGATGGTAGAGATCAGAGGGAAATCGTACCTCCGTGGTTTCTTTCGAGATGATAGAAGATGCGGATGCGTAAATCGGCGCTGATGGTGATGCACATTGAGCGATGTATTTTGGCGTGTCAAAGTTGGAGTCGGCGGTTCGCTGAAGTTCGAGCGCAAGGCGCTCTGGCGGACTCTTTCGATCGACATAGCGGATGAGGCTATCCCTGGTTCGTGGAAGCGGTGACACCGTCGATTGGGGCACCTATTGTCCCACCCGGTTTGAGAAATCTCAAGCGAGATCCTCAGATCTGAAGTCGGTGAATAGCGCGGTGTCTCGAGACCCTCCGTTGGCAGGAGTACCTGGAAAGATGCACACTGCGGTGAAATCGTGGGCCGCGTGGAGGTGGGGAAGACGCTAGGATCATCCGCGCGTTGACGGTTGACGTCGCAGAGATGCGATATGATACACCGCTGCAGGATAGACACGCAGTGGCGTTTTTCTTTGCTTTTCCCGGGATGCTTAACTTGACTGGTTGCAATAAATTACTGGAGTAGCTAGCCAGATGACCGATCACGTGGGTGACTATGACCACAGCAGTAGCCCCTGGTAGAATACAGCTTTCAAATCAGAAAGACCATGAAGAACAAAAGCAACCCCGGAAAACTAGTTGATGAGATTGTTAATTTAGGGTTTAGTACTTGAAGAGCATATACGTCGCTATGCCAAAGGGTTGTTGCTGTCTAAGATACAGACGACCCAGAATTCATATACATCAGGTCGAGCGGGAAAAGAGAAATTACCACATTTTCTCCCATACACGACGCGCCCAGTTCATCTGCGCCAGTTTAACCTTGCGTCTTTCCTCGTATGCTCCATCTTCCCAGATCTTACATTCCTCGTCGACCTCTGCTTTCCCAGAATACAGGTCTGCTTCGGCCGGGTTCACAAACTTGGTCCGGTGAAACACCTTCCAGAAGGTGAACATGACTACCCAAAACGCTAGGCCGAAATAAGAAGTCACAAATCCCTCGATGGTGAAAGGCTTGAACACGGAAAATCCGTTGAACAGAGCCGTCGTGCATCCGATGACAATAGCAATGCTGGACATATATGGTTGGAAGGGGGAAGCCCATGGGACGAACTGTTTGCGGTCGATTCCCTGTGCTTTCAGTGCGCGATACCAGCCAATAAACACGCAGAGCATGCCCGTATAAGTGAGAACGAAGGCAATGGTAGTCAGATCGACGAACCAGTAGAATACCGTCACGGAAGATGTGTCTGCAACGAGGAAGGTGATGCAGGACAAGAGCGATACCGTTAGTACGCAGTAGATGGGGATACCTGACGCGGTACACTTCAACAGGAACTTGGGGGCTTGGCCATCTCGAGCTAGGGAGTACAGAGTCCGACTGGAGCTGTAGAGATAGGCATTTCCACATGACCAGCCAGACAACAATATGAGTAAGTTGATCAAGTCAGGAAGACCATGGATACCGAGATTCTCGATACCAATCACCCACGGCGAGGCGGCCGATCCGGCGGCAGCGTCATCGATAGCAGACATCAGACGAGGGTCCCGTGGGCTGCAGATTATACTCACGGCCAGGACACCAACCACGTAGAATCCGACGATACGCCAGAAAGTCATTTTGACAACACGGGGGATCGTGTATCGTGGATTCTGGATCTCACCAGCCGCCAGAGCTGGTAGATCAGGTCCCGCGACGGAGAATGCCGCATAGACCATGACAGAGAAGAATCCCAGGAACCGTCCCGTCACGCCGTCGGTATAGTATTCGAACATCACGCCATGGGTCCAATTGCGGAATCCATAGACGTCATGCTTAGGATTCCCACCCACCATCGTGATGAAAGTGAGGAGAACCAGTCCGATAAGGAGCAGGATCTTCGTCGATGCCATGATAAACTCGCTTTCGCCGTAGTACTTCACCGCGACGAAATTGAGTAAAGAGCAGACGACTAGAGCCATGGCCACCCATACTGCGGGGCTCACGCTGGTATTCCAATACTGCATCACGGTTGCAACGGCGGCATATTCGGTACAGACGAGCATCACCCCACCGTAGAAGTACACCCAGCCCCTAGAAAGCGGTTGTCAGTGTCGATCTCCGACAATGCGGGGGTGGCCACGAGCCCAAGTGGAGACGTACATGGCAAAGCCAAAGGCCGGATCAACAAATCGCGCAGCCAATTCGAATATGGACCCTCGGATTGGTAGATAGGCACACATCTCTCCGATACTCAGGTTGACTGGCAAGATGAACATACATCCCCAGACGATATACCCCAGGAACAACGACAGCGGCCCTGCATCGCGTAGATACGATCCAATGCCGACGAAGAGTCCTGTTCCAATCGAGCCCCCAATTGCCATCAGCTGCACATGGCGTGACGCTAGACCGCGCTGGGTCTGGCGGTAAGGTAGCATGGTGCCGGAACTGGCATCTACCAGGACGGGCTTGACGTCTGTTGAGGCCTTCTTCTCCATGGTGGTCGTGTACAGGAGAACCATGACGGGAAGAGCGCCAGGCAAACGGGAACTCAGACCATCTTTATATGGGAATGGGCACTGACTTTGGGCTTCAGGGTAATAGACTCCGAATCGGAATACGGTGCGGAGATGTAAAACGTATCCTGTCGATAGGCCTCCTGTGTGTCTCTGGGGATATCGATCGTAGCCGGTGGCACGACCGGTCTGGGTGTATAGCAATCATGGGAGCAGAGATAGGAGATGTGTAGTAAGGTCGGGTCTTGCCAAATTGAGATAAGAAGCTTGGAGTGCATGTTTATCAGCGGCACAGCGACGACCGGTCCGGGGGAAACGAGCCTAAACCGCGAAGGGGAGGAGATGGCGATGCCAAGTGATTAGCTTATCTGCGACAGTCACGCGCGGCGGTTGGTGCATTTTCTTCAGGTCCAAACTGGTTATTTTGCAGAAAGTTTGCGGCGTGAGGGGTTGGCCTCGGATGTTGTTGCTTACCTGACGGAGCCTAAAGTCTTGAGGGGTACACCCGCATACATCGAAGTACGTTGATTATGGACCAAGCACTCAGGGCAATGAAATAAACAAATCAATTCTATAGTGAATCTATACAATTTCAAATCAAAAAAAAAAAAAAAAAAATTAAGAATTAGTCCCGGTTCTAGACGGAAAAGGTGCCGTGAAGCCGCAGATCCCGCGAGCTGGCACCGATATAAACGGAATAAGTACCAGGAGCAACAGCCCATTTCTGGGCCTTCACATCCCAGTAGGAGATATCGCGACGACGAAGCTTAAACTCCACCGATAACTGCTCTCCAGCATTGACATCAACGTTCTCGAACCCCCGCAGCTGACGCAGAGGCTGGGTGAGCCGACTTCGGGTAGTTGATATAGAGCCGAGGCACCTCTGCGCCATCTACGGTCCCCGTGTTGCGAACAGTGGCGCTGATCTTGGACACAATATCCCACAGATCCTCATAACCACCAACGGAGAGCTTGCCGGTCGGATACTTCGAGAGCAGCTTCGGCGAGTGAACCTTCAGGTTCGAGTAAGTAAAGTTGGTATACGAGAGACCGTATCCAAACTCGTAGCGAGGGGTAACTTTGTAGGCATCGAAGTAACGGTAGTCGATATAGTTACCCTCCGTAAAGCTGCAGTTGTGAGACTCACAGATTCCGACGTTGTAGTCGGACTCGTTCTTGGCAATGGTATAGATCAGTCGTCCGCTGCGGTTCACGTCGCCGTACAGAACATCAATGATGGAGTTTCCAGACTCCTGACCCAAAAGATTGCCATACAGTAGTGCGGTCACGTTCTCATGTTCAATCCACTGGTCGACGAGACGAGCGCCAACAGTGTTGATAACTACCACCGTGTTGGCACAATTCTCTGCGACTTCGTTGACGAGAGCGTCCTGGTCATCATTGTAAAGTTCGGTGCGTCAGCCCCCTCGCCCGCAAATGCATTGATAAAAACAAGGCACACGTCCATGTTTTCTGCATAATTGCTGATGGATGGAGTCACGGCAGTGCTGTCTGATCCTTGCACCACAAGAGTCGAGCCACCGGAAGAGGAGTAGGTACCGTTCGCAACCCAGTGGAGCATGGTACCATCCTGAGCGGCCTTGATGGTAAACGCAGTCTCGGGAGTAATGAGGTAAGGCAGAGATCCTTGTCCAAAGCCAGAGTCAGTGGCCAGGTGGCCATCGTAAACAGGACTAGATCCCTCAACGCTGAATTCCATATTCGGTCCAGCAATAGCGGCGCGGGCATGAGAGCCGAAAATTGCCATTTTATGGGGCTTGTTGAGGGGAAGAGCGTTGTTCTCGTTTTTAAGAAGGGCCATCGACTTGGATCCGTGAGAGCGAATCAGCTTAGCGTAGTTACCACGGACATCAACATATGCGTCCTGTTCGGCTGTCAAAGGTTGTGTGCCATTGTCCAGGTTGACATAGTAGTATCCGATGAGGTTACGAATGGCCATATCGTTCAGTCGGCCCTCGGTCATATTATGCTGCTTCAGATACCCCTCGATAGTAGATGTGCTCCAAAGACTGGAAGAGCCGTAGTCCAGGCCATTGATTGCGGAGGCGAGTGCATGCTGTTGACCGCTGGTGTCTGGGAATACAAAACCAGGGAAACCAAGCTCGGATGATTTCTTTCTGTGCATGGTTGATCCATTGAATGTTGGCCGGGATGTCCGCTGCCCCTTATCTACATATGAAATTGAGGATGTGAAGTTGATGAGCCACTGGAGCTGTAACGGCGCTTTCCACTTGTCGATTGGCCGACACTATCCGTAGGCATGAGGTCCACCTGTCTCAAGGCTGATGGAGATCTTCGGCTAATGTATGAATGTTCATTTCCAAGCTTTGAAACGCATACATGGTGTGCATATAGAGCTCGCCCACCAGAGGCCTGCTGAATGACATTCGTAGAGCATGTCAGCATGATACTACGATGTGGCTGAGTGCTGAAGAAGATCGCCGGGCTCACCACATCCATGGATGTGATAGGACGTGCCTCAGGAAGAGACCCACCTTCACGATCTATAAAATGCCCCACCAAAATACTTCGAGTGAGAGAATCCTGATACTGTAGTGAATAGACTTGAACGTATAGCGAAATGCCACTAAAGAGACTGATTTAAACTGTTGGAAGATGGTCAAAGTAACTTGAGTCCAGCAAGTTTGCTGTGAGGCCACGCTGAAGCATTCCTGGATTACGGAGATCAATCGCTTTTGAAGAATGGAAAAAGGCAATGTAATACAGCTTGTTGGGGACTGGGGATCCTCACCATCCTCACTGGACTTATTCTACTCTGAGGAGTCGGAGACGGAGAGCGTATTGTGCTCCAGTATGGAAGCGTACCGGACGCCGCGCACCAAACACACAGCCTGCGACGCACTCACATGCCACTACCGCGTACGAGGGAAAGAAAAAGTGGCAAAAATTCCAAGCAGAAGTTCAAGAGTGTCTCCAGCTTCCAAGTAATGACCCACTTCAAGATCATCAGTCTACCTACGGACAGCGCTCGCGATTATCGAAGACCCAATCCTCCTCCCCTCGGTTACCACACACCCTCCCCCTCCCACCTAGCAACTGTCAACCGTAGAACTCCGTAGAATTATTCTAAAGGAAAGTTCCGTAAAAGTAGTGGCGTGACTCGCTTCGCAGGTCTCGCTTGGGCACGTGCTCGCACAATGGGCGTTTAAAAGGGAAGGAACTCCAAGGCAACCGTACCCCTCCACCCGCCATCTCCTTCTCTCCTCTCCCACTCCCATCTTCCACTCTTCTCCCACTCTCATCCATCACTCTTCTCCCACTCTCATCCATCAACCCACCACAGGTAATCCTGTTCATCCATCAAGGCTTTGCCCACCATGCATTTGCTTGCTCATCGGCCATGCATGCGGCCACCGAGGCTTCACTCGCTGTGCCTTCCCTCCCTGATGCCTTGCTCACTTGGGCCTTCCTCCATCGAGGCTCGCTTCACTGAGCCTTCCCCCCATGAACCTTCATCCACTGAAGCTTCCTCCATCGAGACCCGCATCACTCGAGGCTTCTTCTAGGGAGCTTTACTTAACTGAGCCTTTGCTCACTGGCCTCGCTCACTGAGCCTTTCTCACACGGGCTTCGCCCGCTGAGCCTTCCTCCAACGGAGCTCACTCACTTGAGCCTTGAGTATGCTCTGCCTGTGGTACTACCACAGTTTGCCAGGACAAACATTCTCTGCGTGCAGCAACTTCCAGAGCTCATCAAGACTTTTGACTGTGTTTCCGCGTTTCTGTGGCACTCGCCCACATGGTCCACAACATCTGCCTCTCCGATATTGTCTCGCCCAGGGAGCATGGCTTCGTTTGTCGTACACGTCCCCGTTCAACACATGGGAACTCATCCACCATTTAGTACGTCTCCATTGATGCAATCTCGAAGACCCGCCTTGGGGTTCTACAAGAATAGAAGTCTGCCGGGGCTTTTTTGCAAGGGGCTACTTCTACTTCGAGATCCACCGGTGACGACGTGAAAACGATGCGAGCACTCATGCAATGGAAGCCACTCCATCTTGTGTTGAGCGGACCCTCATCCACTGTCGCACATGGCTTCATTGATGCGATCTCGAAGACCCTCCTTGGGGTTCTACAAGAATGGGAGTCTGCCGGGGCTTTTTGCAAGGGGCTACTTCCGCTTCGAGGTTACTACCAGTGACGACCTAAAAATGTCGCGAAGTCTCATGGAATTGAGACCACTTCGCCTTCAGGCTCTTCATTTATCGCCGACCGTATGCCTCGTATGTCCATTCCGATATTCGCCAACCAGGACGAACTGAATACGAGATTCATGCCATGAATGGGGCTCCATTAATTCATACCACTTTCCACCGTTTTCGCTTGTACGACAGAACCTTTTGTCTTCCACAAGATACAGACAATTTCTCCATCGATGAAGATTACTCGGGTGTTCGTTGAGCTCCAGCAACCATCTGACTCTATCCACCATTGAGTCGGTCCATCTTCGGATTTTACCTCGTCCACATACTCTGCGTCCACCGCTGTTCATTCAATTCGTCTGCCAGGTATCGAAGACCCACCTGGGGTTCCACATTTGGAATGGAAGTTTGCCGGGGCTTTTTGCAAGGGGCTACTTCTGCTTCGAGATCTACAGGGGTGACATGAACAATAAGCGAGGATTCAGGACACCAATCCGTTGATGCACTGTCCCTAATTGCCACCCACATCCTTCGTCTCTCTTCCGCTTACAGAACCGTGAGCAGACACGAACCCATGACATAGGGATTGTGCCATGAAAATGGCTTAATTCATACAAGCTATTTCCACCAGCATCATCATCTCTACGGACGATTTGCCCACAGCCGATACCGACAATGTGGTCGTCGCCAAGATTACTCCGCTCTTCATTGGACCTCCTCAGCCATCGGACTCGATCCACAGCCGAGTCCGTCCATCTCGGAAATCACTTCCGTGCGCTCTCCGTCCATCTACCACCGTCCATATCCTTCGTCTGCCGGATATCGAAGACCTGACTTGGGGTTCCAAATTTGGAATAGAAGTCTGCCGGGGCTTTTTGCAAGGGGCTACTTCTGCTTCGAGATCTGCCAGTGAGATAGAGTGTGGACATATCATGAGAATTCACGCCATGAACATGGTCTCGCTCATACATACCTTCACCCATCTTCGTTCATATGATCGACTGGCTTATGGCCAAAGACTATTCCACACACTGCTGAGCTCTATCTTTGAGCTCCGTCAACCACCACGAAAGAATCAATAACCAGACATCAACCGTCGGACATAATCAATTTTCGGACCCTGCCCATTATGGAGTAATTTTCATTTTCAGACTATGTCTGTTCTTAAGCTCCAGGCCCAACATCACTAAACTTCGTCCATGGTCAAATTCAAGCAGCCGCCGACTCGCTGTCTGCATCGGATGTTCGTCATCTGTACAATCTTCACCCACCACCGTCCATACACTTCGCCTCTCGGATGTCGAAGACCCGACTTGGGGTTCCAAATCTGGAATGGAAGTCTGCCGGGGCTCTTTGCAAGGGGCTACTTCTGCTTCGATTCGCCCGTGAGGTCCAAGTTGTGAATGGAGTATGAAAACCCAAGCCAAAATTATGGGGTTGCTCATACCTAATTCCCACCATCACCGTCCATACGGATGACTCTTTCATCGTCAAACATTACCACTTCATCAATTATCGAACTCAGTCAATTACTGAAACCTGTCCATCAGACTTTTCTGCTATCGAGCACTATCATAGTGGAGCTCTGTTCACCAACTCATCGGCGCCGCCACCCACCACTGAACATTCTTCTTTCACATTCTGTCCATAACGATCCACACAACGCCTCCACAGATATCGAAGACCCAACTCGGGGTTCCAAATTTGGAATGGAAGTTTGCCGGGGCTTTTTGCAAGGGGCTACTTCTGCTTCGAAAATCGCCAGTGAGGCCCAAATTGTGGACGGGACATGAGACCCAAGCCAAAATTATGGTGTCGCTTCTACATATTTTCCACCGTCATCGTTCATACGGACGACCTGTTCATCATCGGAAATTACCACCCATCAACCATCAGACAGTATCTACCAAAACCTGTCCATTAGGCTCTGATATCAAGCTTAATCATCGTCGAGCTCCGTCTACCACCAACTTCAACTATCGGACACGGTCAATTACCGAAATTTGTCGAACAGACTCCGTCATCGTCGAATTCTGTCCACTGCCAACTCATCGCCTACCATTAAACATTCTTCTTTCATACACACTCTGTCTATAACAGTCCACACAACTCGCCTCCACAGGTATCGAAGACTCGACTTGGGGTTCCAAATTGGAATGGAAGTTTGCCGGGGCTTTTTTGCAAGGGGCTACTTCTGCTTCGAAAACCGCCAGTGAGGATGTGGACGGAACGCGGAGATACAGGCCATGCATTGATATGGTCTCGTTCATACGTACCTCCACCATCATTGTCCGTGCGGATGACTTGTTCATTTCACAAATCACACCTTTGAGTTCCATCCATCATTGAGCTCTCTCAATAATTGAGCATGACTATCAGGCTCTGTCCACCGCGAAGCCTTTTCCATCATCACACCTTTGTCTGTTTTCAATATCCACCACCGTCAAACTCACTTGTCGCCAAATTCTGACTACCGCCAACTCATCGCCCACCGTTAAACATTCTTTTTCCCTACAATCTTTGTCGACAACTGTCCGCACACCTCGCCTCTCGGATACCGAAGACCCAACTTGGGGTTCCAAATTTGGAATGGAAATTTGCCGGGGCTTTTTGCAAGGGGCTATTTCTGCTTCGAAATCCGCAAGTCGGGCTGTGGACAGGACGTATACCTGGGCTTACTGCGACGCCGTTCAACCACGCAAACTTTCATCGCCAAGCCCTCGCGCTCTCATCCTTCATCAAAATTGCTATATTCACCAATGCTACCTCCTCATCGATCAATTCCACATCTACCTCCGACCAAACTGCCGCGCTGTCTTCTACCACCGAAGACCTCTCCATCAGGCCCTTGTCTACCTTCGGCCAGGCCATCGTGTCTCGATTCATTACTGATCAAGAACATTATTTACCACCATTCAAGCCATCGCGCGTTCTCCTTTCGTTGAAAAACGTCTCACGCA